GTATGCCAAGTGTCTTGACCCCTGAGACCTTGGAGTCCTTGGCGATAGAGGGCCGTGGCGCCTCGTTGCCTTGTCTGGCCTCGGCAATCGTGACATCCAGGAGCAATGAGTCGCAGCTGCTATGCTGACAACATCTGATCAGACGCATCAAGAGCTCAGTTTCTTCTGCACAAGATGACCGACGCGAATCCGTCAACTACGGGCCGTATAGTACGCCAGACGAGGGCTACAACAATTGGCCCATTGCTACAAGGCTGATTGCGTGTTAGGTTACGTTAGCTCAGACGGGCTTACAATGATGCTTCAGGTAGTGGCTGCTGTTTCATGGTGCAATAGCAAGCCGCGTTACGACTACTTAGGAGGTAGCAGATGACCGAAAACAACAAAGAATCCAAGGTTGTCCTTACTATGCATGGCATCGGAGTTACGAATTACCCTATCCGGCCCAGGCGCTGTCAACGGCCAGACGTCTCCCCGATATTACGGTTAGTTAAGCCCACGCCCGACAGAAGTCGGTCTCACGTAATTAAACTGAGTTTTTAGTCGAGTTTACGGACCTTTTTGAGAGAAACGGATATGGTATCCGCAGATCCGGGATGGTGCTTCTATCGATCTGGCCCATTAGTTGTTCCGAGCTGTTTTTGGAGGATGCTAATCTGGCGGGCACTCTGTTTGAGCTCTATCGCTTCTCTTGCAGATATGGGATCCTCCTACGAGTATAAGAATCAGCATTCTGGAGTGTAGGCTTGGAGCAATATGAACCACGATATGTCCATCTATATCCGTACCTAAAATCTTTCGATCCAAGAGTCTCCGCATCCGATATTATACAAAACTAAGCAAATCGCCCACCTTCCAACACCAACTCCATCTCAACAGGCTTGCGAAGTCTGCGGCCCACCTGAGGAAGTACTGCAACTCAGAACAATACCGATTCCTGACCCCAAAGCACCAAAACCCGATGAACTTCTGGTCTAAGTGTCACACTCGGCGTTGCAGCCTTTCGACTACATTATGACCTTGGCAGTCCCTATGTTCCTGCGCACAAAACCCTCAGTCCCGGAGCTCGACTTCTCTGGACGCGTTGGGGCGACAGGGAACGATGCACTACTCAATGTGGGAGATGGTGTCTTTGGAGTCCTGGGCCTTTCGCAATCCCAGCAGGGTTGGGTGACATTGCATAATTCCGAAGCTATGAACACTTAATCATTGCTTCGCAAATTATACAATTGTATATCTCCTGAGTGATATACAATCACTTATACACCCTACATCCATCGACTGTAAATTGCTTAGTAACTTGGGTCACGTCAAACCCCAATCTGCCTTAGGTCATTCCCTAGTACGGGGCGGTGAAGATTGGTGCTGTTGCAAGGCTACACTACTAGCAGCTTCGTCTAGTACCCCGCCAAACGTTTTCCACCCCGCCTATTCTCGTTTATTTTCTTGGATTCACATCCCGAGAGTCTTGTTTTGACACTTCTTTTACTATGGCGGAAGTCGTTGGCCTCGCTGCTAGCATTGCGGGCCTGGCTGGAGCTGCAGCCGCGGTTTCTACCACACTCTACCACTTTGTGACCGACTATGTTAGCACTGATGACGATCTTCTAGCTCTCGCAGCCGATGTGGATGCGGTCTCTCAAGTTCTCGGTTTTCTCGGCTCTGTCCTGGTAGAACACGAAGACCTCATATCAGCACAAGCGATCACTATGTGTGGTCGGAATATTAAGATATGTGAACAGACGTTGGACGAACTAAGCTGTGCCACAAAGTTGGTAGACGCTAAAACGAGGCGATTAAAATGGGTCTTTCGCAAACAAAAAACTACCGAACATATGTCAAGACTCGAAAGGTGCAAGTCGAACTTGAACTTGATTATCAAACTCCTCAGCCTCTCAAAAGACCTTCGTGCAGAACGGGAATCTAGGAGGTGCAGAATCCCGGCTTCTGTAAACCCATCACTTACTTACTTCTTACAGATCGGAGAAAAAGGGTAAACGAAATGTGTCCGCAAGGACGCAAAGAAACATTGAGATGCTACGGAGCGCTATATTATCAAATCATGCAGTATTCAAGAAACAACGTCCGTCAAGCACAAGTGCCAATGACTATCAACAACTTCAACCCGAGGAAGCCGCTGCCGGCAAAGACTTTCGAGACGAAGTTACCCAAGCTGCCAGCCCAGCTCCCTTATCTGCAATCACTGTGCATACTGGTACCAAAGTGTGGGAGACCCGGCTGCTGCAGGACTACACTGTAGCAGAAGCCCATGCAGCGGATGCTGTCGTAACTTCGTTAATTCCTCGACAACTGATGCCTCCCATGCAAAGAACAATCGGCATCACAAATCCTTCCATCCAACGAACCAACAGGGAAGCCGATAAGGAGATCGAAGACCTTCTTGAAGAGATGACTACGACAACTCCAGATGAGATCCAAATTTTCCTCGACGCGCAGAGGTACCGGCAACGCAGTGCTTTGCCAGGAGTGCCCGCCTGGTTCAATGATGAGTAAGTCAAGCCCGCTCGCTTCCAAAGCCAAATCAATCTCACGTACACAGATATAATTTTAACGGTGGTGACCCACAGAACACCGAAAATTGGGAGCGAAAACCTATAGCACAGGACGAGGAAATCAAAATCTTGCCTCATACGAGATTTGCGTACGAGCCCGTTGAGGAGAACCAAGCTTCCCTTGTCGACTTGTTAGCACAAGAAGGTGGGAGATGGGTATGGCGATACGAGACCGGACATCGACGAGACTACTTTGTTGGCGAAAAGAAAGTTCTGCAGTATTTCGTGAAGCCAAGAGCAGAGCCAGATTCGCAGCCCGAGACCTTTGAGACAGTGGTCGCTAAGCAATGGATATCCAGAGAAGTACTCACGAGTCACGATTATCGTTTTCGGGAGTACGGAGAAGGAGGTTATGCCATTACGGGAAAGCTGAGTCCAGTCTGTGCCCTCGAGTGACGCCGGTTAGCCGATGCAGCTCTGACCAAAAGATCCTAGGAACAAGTCAAAGAACTCCATGAAGCGTCATCGTGGCGTATGGAGAATCTCCTCCGCCGGCTGGCCAAAGGGCCACAGGATACTGCTGCGCAATCGCAAGATTCTTCTGATCAAAAGCAGGATCTGGAACCTGTGATGCTAGTCACCGCACTGTTCGCATTCAAAGCAGTGGAAGACGACGACCTCTCTTTCGAGCAAGGAGACATTCTGGAGCTTGTAGGATCGCCCAAAATGTCCGACGGTTGGTGGCGTGCGAAAATAGGTGAGAGAAACGGGCTGATCCCATCGAACTACGTGAAGTTGCTTAAGGACGGAGACGAAACTGCCTTCGAAGGTGGGACCGGCCAACCACAGAAGATTCCCGTCTACGTGAATACGGCGTTACATGGGACTACAACCGGAGGTTACACAGGGCCAGAGTACACAGGGCAAGGATACACGGGGCAAGGGTACACAGGGCAAGGGTACACAGGGCAAGGGTATACAGGGCAAGGGTACACAGGGCAAGGATACACGGGGCCAGGATACATGGGGCCAGGTTACACGGGGCAAGGATACACGGCGGCCCAAGCTAAGCAACGATCCGAGCTTCGGGACATCATGAAACGCTTTACGCAGAGATGGCGTGACCTTTGACAAACCAAGTACTGAGTCGCCTGAAGGAGTGGAACGGACTGAGCTTAGCTTGCGAGAACTGGAACTTAGCTGGTAGAGCAGAGCATAGCCCTCCTCTCCAAGCTCCAACAGACCAGTGTCTCATGTGAACAAACATCAAAACTGAAGGACTGCGTGAGTTAGTGGCTGAATGGTTTCTGTTTAATGCATCCCCACAGCCGATAAGCTCAGAATATGCTATTGTCCGCGCACGTAAACGGCCCATTGACTTCACCGTCCGGATCCGCAAAGATGGTCAACAACCCGTCGACCGAAGCATACATGCCCGCCGTATTCATAAAAACCACAATCGCCAAAATAAACACGTTCAACACCACGAGCACCGTCTTCTTCCAAGTACTAAACATCTTCTTCCAATTCAGATGGAACCAGAAAACCACCGGGAAACCCCACGTGAACCAGGCCAGCAGAATCGAGGAGCTGATGTTGAGCAGCGAGTTGAAGACGGGGATCGCGTTGGCGATGACGAACACCAAGATCCAGAAGGCCGTGGCGATGGCGATCCACGCGATCCAGGACACGACGCTGCGGGAGTCGTGGGGCTGGGATTGGCGGCGTCGCATCATGTCGGCTTCGACGGATGGTTTGCGGTTTCCTCCTCGGACTCCCCGTGAGCGCTTTCTGAGCGGGCTGCTACGCCGCTCGAAGAAACTGAGGTGGCGCATCACGACGACGAAGAGGTATTTGATCGAGGTGTGGCCGAAGACGAGGCCTGTGCCGAGGAGGGAGATGAAGATCTGTGGCGGGTGGTTGTTAGCTATGATGGTCTGGAGAGAAGGAGAAGTGTGGGTTTACGATGCCGTAGGAGATTTTGGCTGTGGTGACGGGAGCTGCTCCTATCGCGGGGGAAGTGATGTACTCGCCAGCAAGGCAGTAGCAGGCAATAGCAACGGTGGTGTATATGGCGATGGCGAAGGGCTTCTCGATCAAGATTGCCTTGGTGAAGTCACGGGCAGGGTCGCGCATCTCGACCAAGACGGTCACGAATGCTTGGTTTCTATATCAAAACTGTTAGGAGCGGCTCGGATGCCAGCAGTCTGGGGAAAACGCTCACCCGGTAAACGCGAAGCCGATGTTGAGGAAAGATGATACAGCTTCAGAAAACGTCGGATTGCCAACTAGCTTGATAGCGATCGATGAACCTGGTGGAGCATTTGCGGGACCACTGACGCCCAATGCAGCCATTGGGATGATGACGGCGGCGACGATCGACACGGTGCACGGCCAACCGCAGTGGGAGACGAACATCATCGTTCGAGGCAGACAAAGCAGATAGCATGCCAGGCAAGCTATTCCAATCCATATGACCGTGCAAGCTGCGTGTTCCGAGATGGTATTGATGCCGATGGACATAGTGATAACTGCTGAAGCGCTGATCAAGCTCAAGTTGATGATGAAGCCAATTGCGAAAATGACTTCCAGTGGCTTCCCGCCAATGATTCTTCCATAGTCGACAATGTTGACGACGTGTGGGTACCGCCGGTAAAATTGGACCAGTATGTACGCAGTATATAGTGACAAGGTGCCCATGCCGATGATGCTGATGATACCGGGAATGAGGCCAAGCACGTTTAGTGCCGCCGGCAAGCTCAAGATGCCTATCCCGACTTCGTTGGTAATAAAGATGATGGCCGCCTGCCACGGGCCGAGCGAGCCTACAGGCTTCACTGTACCTGTTGCAGGATCATACTGGGGGTCTCTCGCTTTCTGTATCGAGCCGGTAGCTTCGACATCGCGACGATCGACTGAGAAGCGCACAGTCCTGTCGTCTTCATCTTTCGTGCCCCAGCCATAGTCTGGATTCATGACTGTGCAGTATCTTTGCGATTGGGAAAGGTATTCTAGTCAGTGCCCACGCTCAGCAGTCTGGGTATAAGAGAAGATTCTGGAAGCAAAAAGTCCAGACAAGATACGCAGTTTTGGTGCAGACACAGACCACGGTTTGGGATGATATATTGACTTGCCTCCCCTCTGGCCCGCATAGCTAACGGCAGCTCCAGCCCCCAAATGCTACATTGGGGTTCGACTACATAAGTTAGTCTAAGCAAATGCCTTACGTACGCCGAGTCACAACGAATCGTGTGTCTTTTGGCAAAGTCGAGAAGCAGTTGTTGTGCTTGACGTCGATTCCGGGGGAATCATCGATGTGGTTACATGGATCTGATGGAGAAGAAAACATTGGCATGTCAAGCTGCCTTGGCTTGCTCGGCTGATGTCGGCCACGCATTGAAGCTCCACAAGCGCACCGTTGCGGAAGCTTCTGTATGGCATTTTCGTCCCGCGATGGAGCTATGAGGAAGCCGGCTGCCGAACAAGTATATGCTTGGAGGTATCGAACTTCCTTATGTTGCCGCAAGTAGAACTTTAGGGGCACGAGACGTTTGCATTTCGCCATTGTGCATGCAGGTTGCTTTTTCCGTCCTAGCCAGTCGTCATTGTTGGGGCTGCGACCATTAAGTGCCGCTTATGGGCCAAACACTCTGGGGTCGCCTATAAGACCGTCAGTGTCTTGCAAGATGTAGGTCAGTTTGTTATTTGATGAAATACTGGACCTCGTCGCAGCTGAGGAGGCGGTTTCTGTTGTTATAGCTTGGCACTTCCCTGTGAAGTGGGATGTCCGCCACGCCATGGGACCTCGGTCGTTCAACATTATAAATGAGTGGCTTCGCTGTATAGAGATGCTATGAATTGAAAGTCATTCAAATGACCGACGGCCATGTTGAAGTAGCCTTGTTGGTTGATGATGAGACCAAATCGACTGACGATTGTGTTGAAACTCGCCTTCCTACACTGTCACTTTGCTACTCTCCATTGGGATCAACGACATTAGTAGTCATCCCCACGACTGACAACTTCTTTCTGAGACTCCCGCAGCAATATCGTCTGTTAATGTTAGACAATTTGACCTTGGGGAATCTGAGGGCTTGCCTACGTGTTCAAACTGGGCCGAATAAGATCCGGGAACATCCATAAGCGGTTGATAGGCTTCTAGTATGCCGTTGGATACGAGAGAGTTGAGCTGTCGCCTAATCAGTATGACATTTGAAACTATTGTATTGCAGCTGAACCTACTCCAGCCAAATATCGTTCCACTCCAAGACGCTCAAGATATCGACGACAGAACACTATACCGCCGAAGTTGTCCTTGATGGTCTTGTAGACGCGATTAGCGGAGGCCAGAGGCAATGACACCCGTGCTGGAGCACCGGGGTCAAGTCCATAGCCGTAAATTCCAGACTGGTTCAAACGTCCTTAGCACACAACGTAAGCAGGTACTTATCTGGCGGTGACTCACATCGTCCTTCAGATAGGCACGTCCGGTGGTTCCAAATGTCTCAATGGCAAATACTTCGCCTTCTTCCATTTTGGTTTGATCTGAGTTTTTGACGAACGGGATGCTTTTGCCTCCATGAATGCGATATTGTTTGATATCATGTGCGCAGAGGCTTCGAACAGCCTTCACAGGGTACATTCTGCCTTTGATCTCGACCTCGTAGCTTTCCATGGTTTCCTGGATCGCAGCACTGACGTCGCTGATGCGAACATCAATGCCTGCAGTCTGCGTCATGCGTTAGCACCCTTCCTCGCGGATGGCTAAAGAACTTCACACCTTGATCCCAGCATTCGTCGCGGCTTTGACCGCAGCCAAGAGATTATCGTACTCGGGATCGAAAGCCATGGTGAAGGCACTATCAACAATCCAGCCGTTGATGTGGACACCAAAATCGACTTTCATCACGTCGCTGTGTTGGAGTACAATGTCCTTCTGGCCGGGATTGGGAGTGTAATGGGCCACAACGTTATTCAGCGATAAACCTGTAGGAAACCCCATACCCGCCTGAAGACTTTGACCAGGCTCCAGCCCTTGGTTGTCCAAGAGCGCACGAACACTGTCCTCGACCTCAACAGCAATCTCTGTTAGGGTTTGGCCTGGCTTGACGGATTGCTGAACCCAGTGCCGCGCTTGGCGATGGATTTCCGCGGCCTTGCGATAGTTGTCGAGAAACGCGCTTTCGTTGGTGCGGCGTAAACCGTCGATACGGACTTCTTTGGTCTTCGCTGTATTTCGTGTTTCGGAGCTAGCATCGTAGCCCAAAAGCTCGCCTGTCGGATAGCTACCGGACGGAAAGAGATCATGAAGAGGGACCCTAGGAGGTGACGACTGCTTCAGAATAGACGTCTTGTTCTTCTTGCCATGTCTCTTGCGCTTCTTTTTCTTGCTCTTGCTGGCATCAGCAGAGGAAGCGCCAGTCAACGTCAAGGTGGGAGGGGCAACATCGTTGTTGTCATCGTCGCCCTCGCCATCGTCATCCTCGCCACCTCCGTTACTGCCCATGCATCCATCTCCGTCTTGCGAATTGTTGCGGCCGCGTACTTCCCCGTTACCGATGGCGGCAGAGGAAGATTGGCTGTCTAGTTGACGTCAGATGATGATGTATGTCTCGAGATCGATTTGACTGGTAGGAAAAAGAGAGAAAGCCTACCGCCTCTTTGATAGTTATCGTTACCAGGTGTTTTGGAGCCCATCTTTGCATGACCAATGGAACGGTGTATCGAAATGATAGAAGGATGAAAACCTGTGAAGAGCTTGTGGTTGCCTTAAAAAGTGCACTCGGTGACATGGGTCATTGATCGGCATGGGTGCCCGGCTGTTTCCGGGAGACCCCTCACGTTCCCCACAGCGCCCCTTGAAACCGCCTACGAGGCACAATGAGATATGCAAATACCAGCTCTCCATCAACAATACTTCCTTCGAACAGGACTAACGTTCTGTGAAAAGTAGAGAGCCACCAACTATGCTTCCTTATTGCTCACAGTCTAGAATCGCTTTTCGGCCTGGCTTCCTTCGCCTTGAAGTTCTGCTGTGCCATCTCCGCCGCCCAGTCGCTGATGTACAGCGGCTTCTCTGTCTCAAGCAGGAAGATAGTGATTCCATCCATCATGACCTTTGCCGGTGTGCTCGTGTCAGAGGTACTCGCTTTCTCCAGGTCCTCGGCAGTAGCACCTAGGCGCATTAGCATTACGCCTTGCTCTTGATCCTGAGGGCCACTCACCATGCACTACCATACCTCCATTCAGCCCAGCTCCAAACGGCTTGAAGCCTTTTCCGCGGTCTTGATTGAATGGATAATCTCCATCTTGATTGTTGACAATAGGTGCATAGAACTCGTTCATGGTATTGCGATGATAATACGGTAGCCACAGTGTGTCCTCGCTCGCCATCCACCGCGGCGGGATGATGGCAAAGTCCACCACCGCGTTTCCCGGCTCTCTGTGCGCCGGCGCCGTCAGAACAGTGTACAGACATGGATCGTGCTCGTCAAAGAGGACATTGCCCAACACACAGAACTTGGCAAGGTCGTACTTGAATGGATAGTTTGTGCCGTGCCAGGCGGCAACGTCGAAGGGTGTGTGGTCCTGCGTGCAGGTCCAGAGGCGAGCAGCTTGGCGGCTGATGAGCGTCCACTCGGTGTCATTGGCGACCGCAACGTCCTCCCGAAGCTGACCGTCGAAGAATGCCACAGGGATCTGAAAGTCGCGCTGATTGGCGAGTCCCGTCGAGCCTACTATTCCGAGACCGGGTAGTTGGAAGTGCGATTGAAATAGTTCGCAGATGAAGCCATGAGCTGGGCCATTAGGTAAAGCTACGCGGTAGCGAATTCCACGAGGAATCACACAGATCTCGTTTTGCCGTACCAGAAGCTTACCGAATTCGGTTTGGATGTCGAGGCCCCCAGATTGGGGGATGATGAGGCAGTCGCCATCAATAGACGAGAAGGCGGTGTTGTCTCTCATCGCATTGGTGATGCTGAAGGTCCAGATAGCAAGACCTTCCTTGCCCGCAGGATCACCATTACGAGCGAGGAGCTTCTGAGATGATACCCAATCTACTCCTGATTCGGTGGGGAAGGTAGGCCACATGTACGAGTTGGGTGAGAGGAAAGTCGGAGGGTTTGGGGTATGAGCGTCATCGTAAGGGACGTACTCAGAATGGAACAGGGACGGTGTTGCACGGTACATCCATGTTTGCAGATTCTGTTCGCGTGGTGCTGTGAAGGAGGTTCCGCTTATGCGCTCCGTTTTGAGGCCATAGGGTGGTTTCTGGGGACTGTTGTTGACATGAGAATTCGCGCCCGGGAAGGCTTCGGACCTGATTGAGGGTGAATAAGTGTTGGACAAGTGGACGCAGCGGGGAGCTCAACTGATGGTAGTTCCCAAGTCCCTCCAGGTAGTTGTAGTTATCACTGACGGCGAAGTCAGTCTTTAGCGCCATGCCTGTAGGCATATAGTACCCGCTGTGCGCTCGCTTCGCCACGGTCGAGATCGTGGCGTGCAGTTGCTGGAAGGTGAGTGCTCACTCAAGCGTTGATGGAGACGACGTAGGTCTTCCTGAGCCGTGCTACTGAACAAGTATCCGTCTCTCGCATTGCTGTGTTCATGTTCCGGTAGAAGAGAGGGATAATGTACCCCGTAGTGCCCAAGACCCTGGAGCCTGTGTCGATCCGTGGGGCAGTGATCCCGCGGGTAAGCACCTGTGTACACTCAAGTGCCTTTACCCCGCAATTGGTATCAGGAACCGCGGCACTTGATCAATGTCGGGAAGACCCGAGAACCGAGACCCCTGCCGACTACCTGGGGCATTAGGGATGTCTTCAATGGCCTTTCCGTCTCCTCGTATAGTGGACTCTGGACCTCATACTCTCAGAATAAGCAGTGATCCAAGCGAAGCAGAGCAGGCAGTGAAAGCTTGGCACAGTATTCAGCGCAATGGAAGCGGCGGACATGGTACCATACACGCAGATCCTCTACCTCTCAGTTCCCCAAGAGCAGGAGCTGGAAAGCTCCACTTCAGACACAGGTCTCGCATGGTCGAAAGCTCTCGATGTCGTGGAGCAGTCACAGGGTTTCGTCCGGCTGTCCTGGGGCCGCTCTCCCGAAGACCGGTCAAAAGTGCAATTGCACACTGGTAAGTTCAATCCACTCCCAAGATCTGCTCGAGCACATGCGCCGTATCTTGCCAGTCTTTCGCTATTGACTTTACACAGTCCGCACCACTCTGGCCCAGCATCAGAACTTCCTCTATTCCGCCGCCTACGACCACATCCTCCAACTAATACAGCCCTTTCTCATTCCCGACACCAAGCCTTTCGCACGCCACGCCCCCCTCAAGCACTTCACACCTGAGCGTCGCTCGCCACTCAGCCCGTCAACACCTGTGACAGGCTCCGCTGTCTACGTCTCCACCGACGTGACCTGGCACGAAGGTGCCTGGCCGCTATGGACGCACATTGTGAGGCACGTGCCGGGCTGCATTGGCATTGTGGGCGGTGAGCTTGTTGAGCAGGTGGATGGCAAGTCCAACTGCTACCTGGTGTATGTGGGCTGGGAGAGCATTAAGGCTCATGAAGACTATCACCATACGAAGCATTTCGCGAGCAGGCGGGTGGTGTTGGGGCTAGGCAACGATGGGTATCGAGAATACGGACATATGGTATTTGAGGGAGAGAGGGTGAAGCCTGGGGTGAAGCTGTAGTTGCCAGTAGCTTACAAGGAGATATGCTGTTCAGCAGGCGCGCAGTGTTGCTCCTTGTCTGTCTGGTGTGATATTATTAAAATTAGTATTCGCACTGCTTGAACATAATGCCGAACGAAACGTTCTATCCTGATCCCCCCGCGTACACGCAGCTGCCTTGATGGAAAAGAGAATGAAAGAAAAAACCGCCGAGTCATCCACCCCAGCAAGAAAGTTGGTGCTCCTACTCCAACAGTAAATGATCGACAGAGCTCACGAGCGAGGTCCCCGGATATATAGCAGATCACCTGTAGTAAACACAATCAACCGGCGCCCTCCCTAGACTCGCACCACGGGCTTTTGATGGTAGTCTGCTGTGAGCTTCAGGAGCCTTCCCATCAATTTCGTCGACCCCTCGTACCCCCTGGAAAGCCCGCTCTTTTCGCATGGCAAGGCTGTAGCCCCTGACAGAGCCCTTACTGCCAAGATATAGAGCTGGATCCGTTGTAGACTGGTCATTCCTAAAAGTAAAATCTGGAAATGTTCCTGACAGCCGCCTCATCTTCTACCTTGATCGTCGTCCCTGCTCGTCGGAAAGCCGGAATTGGCTGTCCGACGAAGGCGTGGACATCAACCTGCGCGTGCCTCGCTGTTTCCCCTGCGAATGATGCAGGGGGTGGCTAGTAATGGCTACCATTAAGGTTGGTGGAAGACCAGAGATAAGGCACCGACTTTCGAGGCCCCGTTTCTTTTCGTTGCAGGAACACCAACCAACTGTGGGAGGCTCTTTTGTGCGCAGACTTGCACCAACAGCAGATGCGCCGCACCTGTTACCGGGCTCCCTCCAATGGCTCATGCTCAGACGTCGGACTGACTACATCTCTGCCCAACAGCGCAAGCCCCTACGCCGACAACACCAGCATGACTACAGCGTCTCAACAACACGCAATTCCCACACAATATCTTCTCTCCCCAGTCTCCCGACCCTCAGCCTACATCTCCATCAGAAATGCCACTACCGAGATCAACATAAACCTCACCGCCAACAAAACCCTCGCCCTCCTCCTCTACACGCAGACCACCAGCCCCGACCCAGCCATCGACTTCAAGGTCTGCACCGTCGGTCCCACCGCCGACCACCAACCCCCGAACCACTGCTTCGACCAATGGGGCAACAACGTCACGCAGGCCGCCCTGCAGATCGACAACGACTACGCCGGCCAGGCCTGGAACCGCACGTGGGCCGACCTTGACGGCGGCGGCGGTGGTGGCTGGACGCTTCGCAGCGACTTCGCGGGCCCAGCCAGACCCCTAGCCGTCGACACCGACGGCATTGACGTCGTCGTGGAGCAGGGCGAGGGCAATGGCGATGGCGACGCGAACGCACTGAGGGCGTTCGTTGACCCTGCTGGTGTAGTAACATCTGCATCCACATTGACGTCAGCGACGAAAACCAATTCCATCAGCACCACGGCGGCATCAGCATCAGCATCAGCAGGTGCCACAGAAGGACGCGGTGAAGCATCCCGCCATAAAGGACTGGCCAGCGGCGCGATCGTCGGGACCGTCATCGGCGCCCTAGCAGTTCTCGTGATCCTGCTGTCGGCGCGCCAGAGGCGACGGAAGCGGCGCGCCTCTGGCCCTAGACTGCCGGGCGTGCATGACACCGCTACGGGCGGCAACGAGCTCGAGCTCGGCGCGGACGAGAAGACTGTACGGGAAGCACCGGGAAAACCGCTGGTGGCGGAACTAAAGGGGGATCCGCCTGGTCATGGGAGCGAGCTGGAGGGGAATGCGGCGAAGATGCACCGTCACCTGCTGAGAGGGGGGCAGGTTGTATGAGCTTGGCTCTGAGGGTGCGCGAAGCGGGATTGTTGAGGTACAAAACAGCTGGATAAATGGATATCTAGTCTGACCAGACGCGTCGTTGTAATAATGTTGCTGCCAATAAAGGACACTTCAGTCCTGACACTTCCCCAATCCAGATCGTGTCTTTTAACTCCCTTGCCATTGCGGCGCAAGTTGCTGTTTTCAACGCTCAGTAGCACTCCCAAATCTGGCTTCCCATGCTAGCCAGACGATCAAAGAGCTCATCGCGCTGGGCAATGGCCGTCGCACGCCAGACCTTGCCCTCCTTGGTGGTGATCTCAATGCCATCCTTGACCTCCCGATCCGTCGCCCAGCCCACGACGATCTTCCCTTTCCAGCCCAGGCCGCCAATCTTCTTGATCTCGGCGATGTCATTGATGCTCACCGCCCAGACCAAGCCCTTCTCATGGCCTTCCTCGACCGCCTCCTCGCTGTTGACGTCCGTGCTGAAGTAGACGCACGGGCTGGCGGGGCGCTTGCCGTCACTCGTGGGGGGCGAGACAGCGGAATCGATGAAGACGGCGCCGCGCTTGCCTTTACAGCGTGCCTTGAAGGTCACTGGGCCCTCCGTCTCGTGCTTCTTCATTTCCGACTTGCTCGGCAGGATGCCTAGCTTGTTCTTGGCATGTCCGGAGCCAGCCACGGCGCGAACCTTGTCGGCTTGCAGCTTCGTCTCCACCGCGCCGGCTGTCGTACCTTTGATGGCGCCAACGATGCGCTGCCCGAAACCCTTCTTCTTGGGAGCCGCTTGAGGTGCATTTGGATCCGTACCAGCATCATCGTCCGCGGTAACAGCATCTTCGACTTCAGAGTGTGTAGCGTCGAGGTTGGAGTCTTCGAGGAGTTGCTGCTTGTCAATGTCGACGGCCTCGTGTGCTGGCGGTTCGGTAGAAGATGGTGGTGGGGGAAGGGGTGCGCGATTGGCCTCACCGATGCGAAGAAGCGTGATGGTAAGTTGCGCGTTGGTCGGAACACCACGGAGGAGACTGTTGCGGAGCTCGAGGTACCGTGGCCAGTCTGGGATCTTCTCGTTCAAGAGAGCAATGCCTCTTTGCTGAAGAGGGTCGGTGAAAAATATGAGGCCATTCATGAGAGTCATGCCCTTATAGATCCATTCAGGACGCACGAAGAGGGAAAGTAGAAAGATCGGGGCAATAATGCCGGCAAGTTGGGTGCGCTTATTCTGAGAGAACGGAGGAGTCGGGGAGAGAGCGTTGGCGAAGCGTTCCCAGCCGTCACTGATGTCGCCGATGGCGTGCATGGCCGGTCGCATCTGTGTCCAGACGGCTTGTTCCATGGGCTGCTTCGTCTTGTCGTGCGACTTCTTAGGGTTGCCTCCAGTCGCTGACGTAGAAGCATCGGCAGCAACATTGGCTACCGATGCCGGGTCGGGCACGCTGGCGTCCAGCTGTTTGCTGCCACCTTCCTCGTCGGGGCTGGCCTGATCGTGCCGCCCAGCCGCGGAAGAGATAGCAACGTTTGCAATGCCTGCCACGAGGTTGCTAGCCTCTTGTTCCACTGCTTCACCTTTATGTTTCTCCGGTGCACCACTATAGCTGTCGGTGCTTCCGAGGACACCTGCCGGCGGGCTCTGTACACCCCCGGTATGACTGCTAACCAGAGCCAGTGGCGCAGGCGGGAACATGATTGCTCTAGACTTCGGCACGGTAATGAGAACAATCAACGTGAGCAGCAGAGTCGGCATAACCAAGTTCAGCAGCCAGGCCAACAAGTACACGCCCAAAAATGCGCCTGTTCTCCGCGGCTCCTTCCAGCTTCTTAGACGCACGATATGCTTGAAGAAACCGAGTACGCTGACACCGACAGTGATATAGAGACGTTCGAGATTTGCGCGTAGCTTATCGGGACTGAAATCATCTTCATCGGCGATGTAGCAGTCCAAGCCACCAGGAGGAGCTTTCTCGATCGCCTTAATGTGGTACATTTGCTAAAATTCAAATCAGCCATTATCTTTCCAGGTGGTAAGGGCGAACATGCCCTATTAAAGCGGCGGATCAGAGTCCACAGGTCATCGTTCGGTAAACCGCCCACCAACGTATCTACACCGTTACCATTCGCTCTCCACCCCAAATCGGTGGTGTTCGGGTCCTTACCCGCCTCGATGGCTTTGCCGTGTAGCTCGTCGCCGTAATCATGTTCACCAGTCGCGAGTTGGTGGGAGGTGGTGGTCTGTTGGGCCAGAGGAGCATTCCCTTTGGCGGTCTCTGGCTTCCTCGCTTGAAGGATGCGCTGGCGAAACTCATTGTTGGAGGGGTCCTGCTCTTCGAGAGGAGGCGTCGTGCCGCCATCTCGAAAAACGTAGCCCGGGGTACTAGGCATCTTGCTCAAGTCAGGAGTATTAGCAGTGGAGGGCAGGAGATGTTGGATGCAGGTTATAGATGAAGTTTGCAGCCGCTGTTCCCTGTCTCGCTGCCAATGCGCGTTCAGCTGCGGATGGGGGAATGATGAAAGCGCATGGCAATTCTCAAGCCAGTGACGTCAACTCAGACAGGGATGAGCCCCGCTGTGGTGATCCGTTCCAGGGCTTGGATTACGCCTGTGTGGCTGAACCACGCCTAAGCGACCCTCCTATTCTTGTTCCGGGTACCGCGAATCTGGCGATCGCTCTCCTATCGGCAAACCATCGCTTGTTTTGACCTCGTTGATCCGAAGTTGTGCGATGCCCAAAATGCCACCATAAAGTTGATTGTTAACGTCCATTTGAGAACTGCGTAGAATGATTCTGTCGTTCCTCTACAACCTTTGCCCTCGCGCCATCGTTCTGTTGGAATAGTGTCCATCAAGTCATCACAATGGAGCCTGAGTAGCTGGCACTACATATATAACCATTCGGTAAGGTAGAAGAACGAAAGATGGTATGTGCTCCGCTGTGGTCTCAGTCCACCGACATTGCAGTTACGGGCTGGGTATAAGACACGGAGTCTCCCATACAAATTCCGCACACCTCTGTAGGCGCAATAGATGTCGTTGCATTCTCGAAAGGATAAGAATCCAGTCCACTCTAAATCGACTTGTTAGTACACCCCTCGGTCTTCATCACCACCAAGCAAATCAACTTTGACCACCAATCGTGCCTGTCTTGGGTAGCGAGTATTGGAACGGCCCATCTCTCATACGACTGTAATCTGTTATGGCTCGCGAAGCGATAGTCATGCGTAATTTCGTACTCGTTGCTAATGAAGCTACGTAAGTTTGAATCGGCACGGATTGGGACGCTTACTGCACTTCCAAAGTCTCTCTGCAGGAGAACTATAAGTGCCGCTGTATGCGCTGTGCGATATAAGCCTGCTGTTAGAGGCCTTAACTTGGCCCTCTGACTGTCTCAGCCTTACATCATGAAGTTCAGTTCCGTTCCGTTGTCTCACCCGCAGTCACAAGTCCCAAGGCCGTTGCGCTCAGCGTGCGCTCATCTGAAGCGGTGGAAGATGCATAGCGATATTGTAGTCGTGACAGATATTGAAGGTCCGGAAGCGATGCCACAGAACGACTGTAGGATTGTAACTCGTCGTTCAAGGGTGGAATACTACTGAATGTGACGGCCGTTTTTGCGTGAGCAAGGAGGACTCTGAGCGAGAAACTCTACACCCACCGGCCCGGGCCCTATGTCTAAGAGTTGTCCAGACCCTGCTGAGTACACCAAAGGCCCCCTCATCGCATGGCTGAACATCCAAACAATCAATGCTTGTGGGTTCCTTGCCCGGAAATCTTGGAAATCATTCCAAATATGGGTCAATCTGGCACAGCTCTGGTACTTGTCAATAGCAGTTTCATCGAAGCTAATCTTCTGCTCGGATTAGCAAGTATCTTGGCCATGATGCGAAGGAACGAGACTCACAAGTGCGTGACCCGCCCAGTGTGCGTCAAGGTCCCCCTTCGTCCACACGTGGAAGGATGCAACCCTGACCCATACACGAAGAAGGAAATTCCGCTCTGTGCCACTTTTCTCGCTCGTGTCCTCCAAGCCCTGAATCCCAGACTGAAAGAGGTCGATAATGGTTTGTGTATTAGGAGCTTTAGCAGCGCCTCCAAGTCCCACATCTCTGGGCCCATGAGTAAACCATGACGGCAACGTAGACTGACGATTTTCAACATTGGAAAGCCGGTGACCAGGTCTCTCTTCAAATTCCTGAAGCGGTGTTTGTCGCTACTGGTAAATTCCAGTTGGCGCAAATTCAGCCTGACAAGCATAGGTATCAGCTTCGAGAACTTGGGTCAATGCGTGCGTATGATGTGAGAGTAGCAACGGTTTTGTGGGATGAGCAGACTTCTTGTCGTAGCCAGGTGCGTTAAAACCTCTGCGCGAACGGCACGAGAGCTGAGCAGTAAGCCTAATGTGATGCGTGTGAAGCTGCAATTCCCAATGTCCTGCTCCTGAACAGAGAAGCGTAGATCTCCACAATCTCCAGCACAGAAAGTGATGTCTTGAGCGTACAGCGTATAGATCTTCAGACTGATCTCGGCTGGAAGATGCAGTAGGCCGAAGGGAGCCATTTGGTCACAATTGAACATCAAGGAGCGGATTAGTCGAGACCGAAGTGCTAGCGACCGAGCACCGCTGTTGATGGCTGTTTGCACTTACTTGCAACTGTCTAGAGTCGCAGGCCACGATCGAAATCTGTAGGCGCAGCATGGCGATTCGAAGTGTGTGACTGCTCTTTCAACAAACGAAGGTGAAGTCGGAGATACACGTCTCCGAGCCCGAGCGGCCAGCAGTCTGAGTGAAGTCTGAACTAGCCTGTGACACAGAAGCATAGTCAGGCACATATAAAACCTGTCGACTTGCCAGAAATCAGCTTGTCTCCGCCAGTAGCCGCATGGTGACTGCGAGTGACAAGTAGTCAAAAGGTGCCAGCGGAATGAAGCTACTAGAACCATGTCGCAGGTACAACTGGGAGAAATGTGGTCTCCGCCCTTTCTCCGCCTGCGCAGCTGATCAGGGACTGTCTTAATTATACCGAAAAGTCTAAGTATACTGAGTCCAAGTCTGCGTCTAATGGTAATGTATTAATGGGTCTTGGCACCAATTCCTTGGCATTTACCCCTTTCTTCCCGACAGCTGTGCTAATGTATCTACGTGCCTCTTTCCAATCCACCATGCACAACTTTATCTACCACCCAGGTGTTAGGCTGTCCAGTACGTGACACACATACACATCAACCTATCGTGTGTTACACAGAGGGTACATCTGCCGCGATATGCCATGGAAGTTGGCCACCATCCTTCCCCACAACGAACCGTGACGCTGATATAGCTCTCTTGGATAGAATGCTGACAAATGCTCTCATAGCTGCGGGGATCGAGCTTGAATGAATGCTAGAGATTGCGAGTTTCGATCTCTCGGCAGTCGTTGGCCCACGCGGGTCGGAATGCCCGCGAAAGTCAATCGTCATTCCCGCGTCGCAATGTCCCAAATGTCCCGATTGGTGGCAGACTCGGCAGTATTCGAAGTCAAGGTTGACACGCGAATAGGACCCTTAGACGCCCTGAGTGATGGAACGCACCTGCTCGTATTGCTGTAACAGGAATGACGATCGAATCCTATTGAGGCTCTCGTATCGTCCGCTAGGCGAGACCAAGCGAGCGCCAGCATGATCAGGGGAAACTTGCCGACGACGGGCAAATGCAATACCCATGAGATGGACTCTCATCGTGCATGCCCAATGGCTGGACTTATGTCCGCCTCTAATTATCTACCATTGACTGCCCTTCTCGACTACAACAGGGAAGTGTTGGAATCGTTCGAAGATGCTTACAATTGTGTGTTAGGCTCATGTCTGAAAGTTTCGAGAAGATATGCCCCTTTACCACCTGGCTAGGAGCCTGCTAGTCTTGCTGGCAACCAGTTCCGCCACTACCAGTTATGCTCAAGTCCTTCAAGCCTGTTCCGACGTTTGCGTCAACAACATTGCCCTTTACGAATTCGATCTACTCCTGCAATCGGTTGTTCCGAGCAATACAGTCTTTTGCCTACAGGGAGACGTTACGGTGTCTGTCACGAACGCGCCTACCAGAATTTCAAGCCTACTGCATGTATCAGTCCTTGTCCCCGAAACGAATGGGAGCGCCGCATTTCCGACATTGATCACGGAAACTCCATGCTTCAACGGCGCCGCGAGCGATCAAACCCCTTTGATATGCCTGCCGTTGGCCTCGTCCACATCTGCCGGCACCCAGAATCAGATTGACGACCCAGTGTATCGCTCAACAAGAGCGAGTCTGTCGTTGCCAACAGTGAGCAGCTCATTATCGTATTCTTCGCAGCGAACCACGAGTGGCTCGGCTCCTTCATCAACGTCAACCACAGTTTCACAAATCCAGGAAGGCAACCTGGGAACTCGAACAGAAGGAACAACAAGCCCCAGCAGTTCTTATACCGGTACATACTTTTTGACGACGACGAATCAAGCCACAACTTCGAGCTCGTCGCGTGACAACTCGAGTGGTAATGGACAGCAGCCAAGCGGCAGTCTGTCCAGTACGATCACCCAAGTTCTTTCAAGTACTACCAGCGGAGCGAGCTCGTCTACACAAAGCAATAGCACTACAATCTTGACGACGACCGCCTCTGGTAGCAGCAGTGAAACCAGCCCAGCCAGTTTCGTGATATCTCCCAACACTAGAACGCTGCCGGGTTATACTAGTACAGGTTCCCAATCATTATCCGATCAACCATCGAGCACTGCAACAGCTGCTAGCACCATTGATACCTCTGAGACCTCATCTCGCACATCGGTGCCACTCAGCAGTTCGAGCAGCCCGGCCTTTCCAACATCGCTTACACGCACATCATCGACTGATACATCTAGCTCTACCGGACAATTTTCGCTGCAGCCAACTCTTATTAGTGATACAACTTCTTCACCCAGCGTGTTATCACTTATTTCAAGCTCCACCATATATCCTACCTCATTGACGACTACCTCCCCCACAGTGGTTTTAGAGTCCGATGGAACTTCCTCGGATCTCAGCACATCGTCCAGCGACACGTTCACCTCAAACTTCGCGACAACCTCTAGCCCTGGTCCATCCCTATCGACCGAGACGTCTTCTACAACAGCTAGTGCTCCAGTTTCATCGACAGAGACGAGTACTTTAGATCAGGATACGTCTTCAACCCAGGCTTCTCAGTTCAGCGGTACGTCAACGTCAACATCATCTACGGCTGAGTTGGAGACTTCATCCAGCCCATCGACAACAGATGTGACTTCGTCAAATATCTTTTCGACTGGAAGCCTGTCTACGAGCACTACAGAACCAGATCCAACTACGAGCGCCACAACTTTACCCACGGAGTCTTCGTCAGACACGAGCTACACTTCATCGTCAAGTGCCTCAAGTCTGAGTAGTGCTATATCTGACATAACGACCTCATACATAGTCTCTGTAGATCCAACTCTTACCGATGTAACCGTATCATCATCCAGCTTGACCAGCGGCCTTTCCAGCCCGACCAGTGATTTTGACCTCTCAAGCACGACAAGCATTTTCTCAAGCACAGATGATTCTTCTTCAACCGCAACTGAGACCTCGTCTAGCACTTCGGATCTATCGACATTTGAAACCTCAACGCCTGTATTCACTGGAGAGAGTACATCGTCGGATGCTTCAAGCACTCTTGCATCGACGACACCATCACCATTCCAATCATCTAGCACAGAAGACCAGGAGTCTAGTACGTCAGAGATATCGTCTAGCACAGATGATGGAACGACATCCTCGAACATATTTTCTTCTGAAAGCACAACCGAGATCATTCTGTCTAGTAGTGAGTCAATTCTGTCGACCACAACCAGTGAGGCTTTTTCGAGCACGACCGAAGAGTTCTCAACAAGTACGACAGGGTTTGTTTTGTCAACCACAACTCAAGCCTTAACTACAACCTCAGAGTCGGTCAGCATGTCTGACACCACCACCGAAAGCAGCACGGAGTCTTTATCGGAGACGTCCACGCAGGACCTGTCATCCACGGATGAAGCTCCTTCGTCAAGCAGCACCGATGACACACTTTCTAGTAGCACCAATAGCGATTCCTCGACAGAGAGTCTTACTCTATTTTCCAGTACAGACTCATCAACGGGGCTGTCTACAAGCACTGTCGCATCTTCTCCAACAACGACAGACGAGATCCTATCGAGCAGCAGCACTCCTGGCTCATCGAGCAGTGTCGAAACATCGAGCAGTACCGAAATATCATCGTCGAGCGATGGCGATCTGTCTTCCTCGACCAGCGAGGAAACTTCCTCCTCCAGCGACGTCAATACGTCGTCTACGGAATTTTCGCAAACCAGTACTGATCTCGTTGATGTTTCTTCCACCACATCAACAGACCCTTCACTTACGACAGCCAGTGAGACATCTTCATCGTCTTCGTTACTCTCTTCAGTCGCCTCCGATACCACTGAATCTACGACCGAGTCAGCAGGCCTATCGAGCACATCTGACACAGCGATCACCACCGATGATACTACTGAATCAAGCAGATCACTGAGCACACCCGACACCAGCGTTACCACGATCACAAGTTCTGATACTACCGACATAAGCAGCTCATTGAGCACAACTGAGTTGCTTACATCGTCCGACAGCTCAGCCGACACCACCGAATCCACAAGCACGTCGCCTTCTTCATTCTCTACCTCTCTGACCACTAGTCTATTGGGATTTACAACGCTGGAGTCATCTAGCTCCTCTGATAGCACCACAGAGAGTTTAGATTCTGCAGCGTTCTCTACATCATCGACTTTGATAACGAGCGATTCCAGCGTCGTCTCGTCCTCAAGTAGCAGCTCTGACATAAGTTCGTCTTTAACAAACGATGCTACTCTTATCTCGTCCTCAACCAGCGACACTACTGCTATCTCATCGTCAACAAGCAGCACAACACCATCGAACCCCCCGTCGACTTCTGAGACGAGTTTCTTAAGCATCCTGACTTCGAGCTCCTCGGTCAGCGTATCTCTCAGCACTTCTGCTAGCTCTACAACTACACTATCAACAACTCTAGTGGTCAGCACTTCGGACTCCTCAGTGGCTTCCTCTTCGTCCAGTTCTACAGTGCTTTCCAGCAGCAGTAGCAGCAGTATGTTATCCAGCCTGCTTACCTCTTCCAGCAGCTCTACAACAGGGCTCCCCTCCAGCGCTTCCTCGCCTGTGCTCTCCTCACCCTCGTCAAGCGCCGTGTCTACCGTTTTCTCAACATCCTCCAGCCTGCCGTCCAGTATTGCCTCATCTACGTTTAGCTCCTCAGTTTCTCCGTCCCTATCTTCGTCAAGCCTATCTTCCAGCTTGTCTTCATTATCGTCGAGTCTATCATCGAGTACTTCTTCATCCTCAAGAAGCTCTAGTTCATCCTCATCCTCATTCTCAATATTTTCTTCGTCATCGACGAGCTCCTCATCATCTCTAAGCGCCCCTTCAAGTACTTCCTCACCCAGCTCAAGTCGATCTTCCAGCACCTCATCATCTTCTAGCTCCATATTAACAATTACGACACTCATCTCCTCGTCCACAACCGCCACAACGACCACCACCACACGCTCAACCTCAATCATCTCGGTATCCCCCGTTCCAACCTTCAGCTGCCCCCGCGAAGGCTACCTGATCCAATACAACGGCGTGAACGGCACATCCCTCTACACAGTCAACATCGCCACCGGCGCCACCACGCTGGTCAACTACCGCCTCGGCGACGGCACGATCCTCAACGGTCTCGGCTACAGCATCATCGACAACCGGCTCTACGCCATCACCTACGTTGTGACCAACCCGCAACTCGTCGTCATCGGCGCCGGCGGCACCACCGCCACGATCCGCACCCTCCCCGCCCAAGCCGGCGAGTACAACGCCGGCGACGTCGACGAAGTCGGCCACCTCTGGGGCTCCTACCTCGGCCGCGGCATCGTCCAGGTCAACACCGCCGACCCCAGCTACCCCATCCTCTACAGCGGCACCGCTTCGCCTCAATACAACATGTACGACTGGGCCTATGTCCCCACCAAGGGCAACTACCTATGGACCGTCGCCGCCGACACCTCGCAGCCCCGCACCTCCCAGCAAACCTACCTGATGCGCTTCGACCGCACCGCCAAAACGTGGTTCACCGTCGGGAGCTTCGGCGTCCTCGTCAACACCGGCACCAATACCTGGGGCGCCGTGTATGCCTCCGCCGACGGCTTTCTGTACGGCTCCGAGAACAACTCCGGGAGGATCTTTCGCTTCAATGTCACGTCCGTGCAGGCGACGTCGTTGGCGACGGGACCGGGCACGAGTGTCAATGACGGTGCGCACTGGTATGTGATGATGCTTGATATCTTTTGCGCTGAATATGAAAACTTTTAGAAAGTGCTAATTATGTTTCTGATAAACAGTATCCTCAACGGCACGTCGACTTCATGATGATGTCACTACGCAAGATTCCGGCGTGCGATTCAGCAGTACATATATCTCTGTCTTTCACTGCTATGACTTTACGCTCTACCACGGACCCGACGAAAATACCCTTTTGCTGCCAAGCATCATCGTCCGGCGAACTTTCTTCACAGTTATTTCGACCCTCGAGCGACCCCAGCCCCCCTTGGGCCTTGGCCAACAGGTCCTGAGCTCATGCATATGGCTTCCAGAGGCTATGTCGTGGCTATATTGGGTGGCAGGTTCTTATGCATATTCATACGGATCGTAGGAGCCAGGCCATGGCTATTCTAGTAGATATTTTCACACTTGTAGAAGAACGAAACCAGATACATGTCCCAACAGCATCCGCTGTCCGCTCGCACTGCACATTATATTCGTATTCATCCCCCACCCCCTCAATCACCAGTAAGTAATGCCAGGGCCCAAAACCCGCTCCTCCCAAGCTAAAACTAAAGCTTCATCACCTCTATCTTAGAACACTGAACCTAACTCTTACAGCATCATGCCGACCATCCCCACAACAGCCGCAACCAAGCCCATCATGGCCTTGACGTCAACAACGCTCGCGCTAGCCGCACCCTTGTAGACATCGACCGGCGAGCTGGGCGCGACGGCCTCACCGCTTGCCCCTGAAGCCCCGGTGGCCGCCGCGGCAGGCACGTTGGCTTCTGACCACGTCTCCGCACCTGCATTGACAGCAGAAGCGGCCGAAGCAACAGCAGCAGCCGAGGCTGAAGCCGGTGTAGCAGCCACGTCAGAGGACCAGGGCGCCCAGCTCACCACGCCCGAAATATCTGGCGTGGTGGACGAGGGAGGGAGGGGCTGCACGGTGACGCTCACGACGGGATACGTGGTCTTCGCAGCTGCTGAATCATCGTCCCAGATGGCGACCGGGGCGGGGGTGCCGCTGGATTGGGGTGTTGTCTTGGAAGCTGGGACTGTTGATGTTGACCATGTTGGGGTGGCGGGGTTGCTGCTTGGGGCGGCGGTCCATGGTCGCCATGTTGGGTCCGTGGACGTGGAGGAGGAAGAAGAGGAGGAGGAGGGGCTCCATGCTTGCCACGTCGGGTCGACGGTCTGGGATGATGGGAGGACATCGGCCCAGGATTGTAGTGTGGAGTCGGCAGACTTGGTGGTGGACTTGGTGGAGGAACTCGAAGGCGACCAGGCTCCCCAGAAGGTTGGGTCTGCTGACTTTGTTGAGGTGGTGCTTGAGCTCCATGTGTCATCCCAGACTTGATTTGTGGCTACGGTTGATGCAGCAGTTGAGGTCCAGTCACCCCAGCTCGTGCTCTGGGAGGGGCTTTCGGTGGTCTTGGCGCTGGACGCTGAGGGGCTGCCAGTCGAGGTGCTGCTGGTCGAGGTGCTGCCGGTCGAGGTGCGGCCTGTCGAGGTGCGGCCTGTCGAGGTGCTGCCGGTCGAGGTGCTGCTGGTCGAGGTGCTAGACGAAGTGGATGCAGGTGTCATTGTTGCCGAACCCGACGAAGTGGAAGTGCTCTGAGATGTGCTGGAGCTAGTGGTAGTGCTTGTCGTGGTTGTGGAAGCGCTGGTGGTGGTGGTGGTGGTGGTGGTGGTAGTTGTGGTAGTGGTAGTGGTCGTTGCTGACCCTTCACTATACATCCTAACGGACTTGATCTTCCAATACGCGTTCGCGAAAGCTGCTGGATTTTCCTGAACATATTGAGCACAGGTGGCGTAACCGGTTCTTGCAGCGCAACTTCCCGCATCGTTAACGGTGCCCCAGGTCGGATCGCCAAGATCACCACAGAAGGTGGTGTCAAAAATGATGTGCTGGTTCTTGAAGTTGGCGTCAAAGTTCAACGTGTCCTTGGGACCAAACTAGGAATGGTCAGTCAGAAGACCTGGAGGGGCAATATAGACACGTACGCTGGCACGAGGAGTGCCCCATTCGGAGGACACCACAGGGTTGTTGCTTTGGGCAGACGCTGGAACTGAGCCATAGGGCCAGAACCATACGTTGAGGACATCTGATGACATTTGCATAGCCCATACGCCACCTTGATACGATGCGTAGGTGCTTGGGTCGGGGTCAACGATTTTGCAACCAACGTAGTTGGGGTTGCTCGGGTCTGTGTTGACGTTGCAGTCAGTGGCCTGAATAGTGCCCACCATGGGATTCGCGGCCGAAATCCTGGATGTTTTGCCGGTATCTGTCGACATGGTCAGACCGTTTGATAATGCCAGAGTGGTTCCACTTACGGAGTGCTTGCCAATTCCCAAGTTGGTTGCTAATAACGCGTTAGCAGAGACCAAACTTGGTGTTGCCTGAAATGGCTGGATAGGGTAGTTTGGTGTCAGGATCGGCTTACTTAGCTCCCTCGATAATGTCAATCTCACCAGCACCCGGCCATGTGTCAGGGCCACCAAGAGTCCAGAAAGCCGGCCAGGTACCACAAATGTTGGATGGCATATGGGCAATGTCAGCGACGATCAGGCCTTTGGTCAGCGTGTCGGTTCCCTCAATCCTAACACTCTTTCGACCAATGTTGTTGTTATTATAATATCCAGTATGGCTCTTATACACATCCTTTCCACCAATGGCATCCACCTTCAAGTAGTTATAAGTACCATCGTAAGCGATCAAGTCATTGGTCTGGGCGTAGCCTCTGTCTCCGTAGGTCACATATCCGTGGGTGGGATCAGCACCGGAAAAGAAAGAGAATTGGTCGAAGAAAGTTGAGCCACTGTATTCCTTGAAAGGCGAATAAGACTTCCCAATGCCGGGATTGACGGCTTGGGTGGAAGAAAATAGAGACAGAACAGTAAGGAGTGATGTGCTCGACTTCAGAGAGAGTGATGAGGACGGCATTTTTGCAAAAGAATGGAATGGGCCTGCGGCACCAGAAAGCGAATGACTGTGAAAGACTGTGGTGAAGAAGGTGAGCACCTACGGATGGTGTCCTCGTGGGAACATCTCTGTTAAACTGGCTTGCTGGCGAGGTTTTCGCCGATCTTCTTTCGGTCTGGAGCGTACTCACCCTCAGCTGAGTCGCAGCAAGCCCTCATGGGCAGAGAGGCCTCCAATGGTGTAGGCCATTGTTGGAAGTCTGGGCGCCAGAAGCGCCATGCAGCCCGTAGAAGATGCGCGTGGCTGTGAAGGAAGACTGTGACGCGGTGATTCTTGTCGACGAGGCGTCAACTATACGAGTCTGGCCACGTTAAGCTAGTGGGTCGCCCCTATTGTAGAATAGAGCCATCCGATTCTGGCCACACGGTAATCTCAGGTACCAAAACCTAATAACGGGTTCCTGCATCTCGAAAGCTACCGTAGGGCTTTCGGAACCGTATCGCAACTGAGAATTAGACAGAAACGCCTCGTCGGTGTCAGTGTCGGGGCATAGAAGCAGAACAGAAGGACGACGACGTTGCTTAACAAGCTAGTCGTTCTCCTGTCCCTTCGGGCGATGGACGCCATGATGAGATGGCGATGTTGTGGACACCCACAGCTTTTCGGGCTAATGCTCGCTAAGGTGGGGGTACTTGTATTCCGAAAAGGAGACACAAGGCGCCGTAAAGGGTAGCGGATAGACGTCGCAAGCGAAAAACCGGGTAGACCGAAATTGGCAGGCCCACGTGTCGCGATCCAGGCGCATGACGTGTGTTCACCAGTTTCGGATGTCTCCTTATGGCCGCAGGGAAACCAAAGTGCCAAAGCCACCCGGCCAAAGGTCCAAAACATCTCATTTCAAGTCATCTAGATATGCACCACTCATAGTCTACGAACAATTACATAAGTCTATCTACACATCATCTACATACTGAAAATCAAACGTCGCACTGGGTGCAGCCTGCGCCCTCGAATATGGCTTCCCGTGCACATATTTGCTGACCAACGGCTCCTCATCGATCGCGCAGTGAATCTCCTTGTCTCTACCCCTGAACCAGCCCAGTGCATAGGTCTTTCCTATGCTTTTCAACTTCGCCTCCATCTGCTTGTTGTTGTATTGTTCGGTGCCGATGAAGTCGGTGAGCATGTTCGACGAGTAAATAAATGCCAGGTTCGCCGCGATGGTGGACGGCTCGCGCGGCAAGAAGGGGTGTCGACGGCGCCAGAATGTGAGTGCAGTCGACAACAGGACAAACAATAAGATGGCGAGAGACAGGACGAGAGAGACGTAGAAGGACACGTAGGTCTCGTCTTGGTTGGATCTCTCGCCCCCGTCACCACGATGAAGAAACTCGACGCTGTTGACGGAGAAGGACCCCACGGTGACCGTGAATATGTCAAGCGCTACAGATGAGATGCCAACAAGCATCACCAGCCAGTGTCTGTTCATGAACGCCTGAACCGGCATCCAGCCATATATCGAGGCTTGATAATCCAGTGTCAGGGAGTGCTCGGGCTTGGCGTGGCCACGGGACAGCTGATAGTAGGGCTCCATCAGTCGCACATCGGCTTCGAAGGTGTTGAAGAGTAGTTTCAGGAGGGTCGCCAGAAGTATCGGCAACCACGGCGCCTCATTTGGGACGACGCGGGCACGAGTCAAGGATATGAGCGGGATAGTGATGAGACCAAACACCATGAAGCCCATAAAGGGAAGTGCCGCGCCTGCTCGGAGCATGGGTGGGTGTGGGCTTTTCTGTTTGGCTTCGCTCTCCACATACGAGTCTTCGGCGTACTCACCCTGCCAGATGGAAGACTTGTATAGCACGTAGCGGCGATTTTTGAGCCTCCTGTGAAGCTGTCCCCGTGTCGCCTCATCGGTGCCCTTGAAATCCCGGAGGATGTGAGATTTGGTGGCCATAGATGCGATGCCAGCAATACCTTTCGGGTCGCTCAACAGACCAGACTTGCGTCGCATCTGAAAGACCAACACAATGCCAATTATTGCAACCATCAGGTAACACGCAGTCAGGAGGCGAGACCATACAGTGTTGACTCTGACAAACATCCTGTACTGACCATTCCCGCAAAAGCCTTCAGTAGTATCACACGAGGGGTCGCCGTTTTCCACGAAGCGGAGCGCAGGGTTTTGCACAGCCGGTCCTATCATGGAGGCGATGATGTTACCCGTCGTGGACAGTAACACAGCCCACTGCTTGAGCCTGAACGCTTTGAACGGTACGAAATACTGAAACATGGTGAGATGATCACAATTTAGACTTGTCGCCGCCGTAGCTCCAGTTGGCTGGGACAGCTGATAATACGGCTCCAGACGGCGGATTTCGAAGTCCATAAGGTTGAATAAGACAGAATACGCCACTGCTATCATTGTTGGGAGGTCTAGCCAGTCAGTGTGAGGTCCAGAGACCCAATGGATGACTTACATTTCCAAGCGAAGAATTTTATTGTTGGCACGTTCTTGACATCATTGAAGGCAATGAGACCTCCCCCGTCTCGGGTTTTCCGTACTGATATCTGGCAAAGCACTTCTTGCACCGCAGCGATGGCGACCGCCAGAACGATGAGAAGGATTATAAAGTAAGTCTTCATAGGGAATGGCTTCCAATTCGGCACGTCGGGGTCGGTCGGAAAAAAGTAGCTCTTGTTGTCTTCGGCGGCAGTAATTGAGCCAAAAGTGCTCGTTCTGCTGGAAGTCATGCCCTCGAACGACGCAGTACTGGAGCGGAATGGTACGCTCTGTGGACCCTCGAATTGGCTCAGGTCGACAGCACCTTCGTTGAGAACGACGATGGTGTTCTTCTCGCTTGCCAGCTTCTGACCAATGTGGCGGACGGTCTTGGTTCGGTCGATAGCCCGCGCACTCTCATCACGCGCAGGAGGATTTCTGGCTGGTGTTTTGGTAGGGTTCCGTCGCAGTTGAGCACCAACTTGATTCATTCCGTTCCCAATACCATCTGCCATTGACTGACGCTTATTGACGAAGGCGCGGAAATTGGGCTTGTCTTGTCTACTAGCAACAGGTGAGACGTATTCGGTCTCTTCCTCTTCTAGGTGCGTGCGTCCTGCAGGAGACATGTCCCGTAACTCGTATCCCAGGCCGTCAAGAGATGACAGATCTACTGGACCAGGCGTTGCTTCCTCTGCTTCATCCAGCGTCTCGTACTGTTTTTTGCGCCTCATTGTGCGGAATCTGGTGCCTGTAAGGGGTGATTTCATGGTCGTCATCCGCCTCACTAAAGACGACATGGTGGATAAAGGCGCCAATCTCTTCGGGCTGGGAGGGGCGAGATGTTGGGCATCAGTCAGTTTCTGACGGTCATCATCTCGATAGGCAAGCTCGATGGGCCTTTCTTCTTGGATAGAGCGCACTGAAGAGTGGCGCGAGTGCTGGGTTGCATTTCCTGCAGGCAAGGCATCCGAGATGTCTTGCTCGGCATCTTGTTGTTCCAGCAGTTGCAAATGCTCTGGGCGAGACGACGGGCCTGGCCTTTCATAGAAACGTTCGTCTTCCTCCATCGCTGGCTAGGCAGTGGCTGACGAACAAGCTGGCCGCGTCTCCTAGACCGGCGATAGCGGTCAAGGATAGAACAGCCTGTTACACATCAAGTGTTCATTGCTGATGACCAGCGCTTCACAAGATCAGTAAGACCATATGCTGCTCAGAGCCTATGTTCATGCAACGATCGACGTAAAACGCTTGTGGGCTTGTGGCCGGGGTCAAAGCGACACAAACTAAAGACCGGGCGTTGTACAGGGACGGAAGGTACCGGCTATTGCGAAATCGTCCGAACTGAGCAGGGGGAAGCGGCAGATGATGTCGCCGGTGTCGTGGCTGTCAGGTGAAGTGGTTCGAAGTCCGCTCGTCAGATGTGTTGGAAACTGACAGCTGTCACCGTGGGACATCGAAAAGTAGTAAATGCTGAGATGGGAGAGACGGATCGTCTGAGACCAGAATCGGGATTTGAGGGTTCTCCTGGAGGGAGTGAGATCTAATCTCGACTAGCTCACCGGTCGTGTTATCGACGATGCTGATGATTCAGCTTGCCACAGAACTTGGGCAGTTGGCGAGGATTTAAGGAAGCGAGTAGAGGTAATATGTCGCCAACCACACGGCGGGAAGAAGGAAAGATCCCGAGGATGCTGCATGTTCAGCTTGATGCTTTACTGGGTATCTCACTCGCGACTTGAGTGGTGGGGGGTTCGTGCGTCCGGAGTCTGGAGCACCAGCTGTCTGGGACAAGCTTCGGGCCTAGCCTTGTGGGCCTGTAAGCGATCCTCCCCCCGAACGGCAGGACCCCCATGGTCGCTCCATCCAGGGCGACCACTTGGTTGAGCTGAAGGGCAGCCAAGGGCGCTTCCGCCACGTTTCTGGGAATCAAACATCGGCATTTGTTTGTGGATGGCCCCCACAGGATAGCTGAAGGATCTCGTTGGAAGGCTCGTAAGGCACTGCACTCGACGCGACGGGGCTCCGAAACAAGGTCAGAAAGTTGAAGTCCGCCTCTAGCGAATGAGAAAAAGGCACGCCTTAAACCGTGTCAACTGGTCGCGCAATTTTAGGGGCTTCAGACTCGTCCGTCACGGTATCGCTGCAGTCTGAGGTTTAGCTCTCGGGCTCTAGCGTCGCCAACCACAACGGCTTTGTCATGGTTGGCGCAGACCTGGTCGCCTCTTACGTACTACTCGTGATCTTTTGTTGTTTAACGTACGGAGATAGTATGGGCTGTTCCCTGAAGCTCAGGATAGCGTGTTGGTCACCGAGGAGTGGTGATGGTAGATGGAGGTGGAGAGATGAAGACGGGGTAGGTGAAGCTAGTCTCTATGCCCGGAAGGCACGACCCATTCCTACGAGCTCTTACTTGTGCGGGGACGCCAGTCGACCGTAGTCTATGACAGCATGCAAATGGCGTTGCTTGTGTTGATCACAAAGAGCTCAATGGGCTAACCAACTTCTGTCGTGATACGGCAGCATCACTCCTTACTTAATATCACGGTTATGCCCATCAAGCCTAGCATCACCGTCTTCAACCACGGGTGCTCGCTGAGCATAATCGTCACGTAGCCCACCGCCGGCACGTATCCCCTTACGCTCCCGATTATGTCTTCTTTTCTGTCCAAGTATTTCTGCCCTGGAGCGTACAGCTCCGTGTCATCCGCCACATTGTTGTCTCCCTTGGTCAACAGTTTCTCGCTTGCTGGCTTTGCAGCGGCACTGAATCATGAATTAGCATGCGCCCATGTGTCCCACTCCACGTGCTGCAGTGAACTCACCTCTTCTTGCCTTTCCCTGACTTGACCTCGAGTGTTTCCGCAGGTGGTGCATAACTCCTTACAACACGGTGCACAATCGGGATATCCTTCTCCTTGACATTATACACGACAATCTCCCCCACCTCGGCTTTGACATCTCTGTTCCATAGAAACAAGAGATCGCCGCGCTGGAAAGCAGGCTCCATAGATCCCGAGAGCACAACGACGATGGGGGAGGGCGAGTCGGCCACGACTGAGAGGGACTTCCACATCATGAATGCCGTAGAGAGCACGAGCGCGAAGTTGAGAACTTGCTGCAGCGTTTGCCGCGGAGAGGCGAGCGCGGTCGAGAGGTCTGGAAGCATAATCGCGGTAACTCGGATTGCGAAGTGGGTGTAATAGTATTTGCTGATCTAGGAAACGGCGTAGTTGGGGCGCAGAACGAGTGTGCGATTTCGTGCGGATGCAAGGATGTACGAGACTCAGAGCGCTGCTTGCATGTTAGACGCGTCAGAAACTCCGAACACTTGAATTGGTGTCGTGGCTGCGCCTGCGCTCAATTGTGTATCCGCCGATGTTGAACGCGAGGAACATGTGGCATCATCCGCGATTCAGAGTCGCTCGGTTGCGGAGAAACCGAATACCCGTGCGACCCCACCCACCAGTCGACCAGGCAGTGAATGCTGTTACATGCATTTGCCCCGCGTCGAAGACTAAGCATACCTAGGTAGTACTACATAAGGCGGCTGACCTCTTGACTTGATTTTGTAACAGCTATCCTGCAATTCGCGCTTCGAAATGGACGGAAAAGTCGTTGCAATCACAGGCATTTCTGGCATTGGCCTTGCCGTCGCTAAACAGCTCCGCTCCCAAGGCGCCCTCCTCTCACTGGCCGATCTTAGCCAGGATGCATTAGACAATGCCCGCAAAGAGCTGGGGGCCACCGACGACCAGATTATGACGACTGTTGTCGACGTCGGCACCGCTTCGCAGGTAAACTCGTGGATTGCGGAGACGGTCAAAAGATTCGGCCGCCTGGATGGCGCGGCCAACATGGCTGGCGCAATCGGCAAGTATCATGGAGTCTGCACCCTCAAGGAGATGGACGACGACGATCATTGGAATTTGATCATGCGAGTCAATCTGACGGGCCTGATGTACTGCCTCCGGGCCGAGCTCAGACACATGTCAGCAGGAGCCAGTATAGTCAACGCCGCAAGCATTCAGGGCCTAAGGGGCTTCGCGAAGCACGCAACATATTCAGCGAGCAAGCATGCCGTTGTCGGGCTCACAAGATCCGTGGCCAAGGAGGAGGCGCCTCACATCCGGATCAATGCAGTCGCACCAGGTGCCACACAAACGCCACTGCTTGAGCAGTCTGTCAAGATCATAGGAAAGCATGACGCAGATGAATGTCTGATGAACCGGACAGGGTCCGCAGACGAGGTCGCAAATGTTGTGGTGTTTTTGCTGTCGCCTGCAGCATCGTACGTGACCGGCAGTATATATTCAGTTGACGGAGGCTGGGATTGTTGAGGCTGTAGATTTCAGTCGTGGAGAGTCGGCGGAAGCTCGACCAGTGGCTCGACGCTTGCCACTCCCTGACAGGCAACAAGTGCCATTTTCTCCAAAGGAGCGAGTGGTCTGCCCTTACCAGCTTCAAATTGTTTAACATATCCACAATATCAAGTGGAATCCATATCTGAAGAGCGAATGCCAGCAATGATTGTCAGGGGACTGGAACTCCATAATCGTACGTTGGTATCGAAAGCTTAGGGTCGCCTGGGGCGGGTATGCAGCAAACGCATCCAGGCAGGCGGGCATTATGGCAAATCTAGTTTATGTTGGCGGATGCCGTACGTCAGTTGAACAGATTGTGTGAGTCAGCTCTCAAGCTGGTCGTGTGGTAACACAAAAAAGGAACCGCAAAAGAGCTTTGGGGGAGCTCAGGCACCACCCATCGTGCCTTATCGGCTCGCAAATGGTTGCTCCTCCGGTAGCTTGGAGTTTCGGCGCAAAGTAATCCAGCTTTGCGTAGAAATCATGTATCGACGAACTGTAGACGTGGTCCGGGATGCTGCAGAGGTGAAAAGAGTCAGTCTAGTCAAGCAAGAAATCCCGAGATGAGGTCGAATAAACATGTAGTGCTGCCAGAAGTACTGGCGCGCAAGCGAATCGAACTTCGGCACAACATGGCTCCGGGCAACATCTCGCATAGGCCGTATCGACTTCATCCCACAAGCCGCATTTTTCACGTTTCCAGCACAACCACATATCATACCCACGAGTCACTAGGCACTCCGACTTTGCACCTTTCACATGGCGCAATAGCATTCATGACTTGCATAACGTGGATACGGTGCGCAGGGGGGTGTGGCTCCTAGCCGCCCCGACCAAGATTTGCAAAGCATGTGAAAGAGAGTCTTGCCCTCAATAAAGATAAGAGAGTACTTCTACATGGTTGAAACTCAACTCGTGCTCTCTATAAAAGCCACCACTTATGCGGGAGAGTCGCAACTGACATACCAGCTAGATTGTGACAATTGAGCGTTTTTCGCTAGCAACCAAAGACCTGTATGCTCTGTCGTTGCGATCTATCCGTCACCATGCCACTAACAGGCCATCGCACCTTTCGAGCAACCCTCCGTGAGTTCGCCACACCATCCAACGCCTCTGGCCTGTACAATATGATCCCCAATGCTGTCCGTTCGAAAATAGCAAAGGGCACCAAGGTACCACTTCTCAGCTCACTGCATCGGACTCAGCATGCCCTGGGTACCACTTCGCCCGAGAGAAGCAGATCGTCCAGCACAACAAGCCAGTCCACAGACGACGCGGATATCGTTAGCATAGCACGCGCTCCATCAACTCCGCTGAACACGCCCCGTACCAACTGTCCCGAGACAGCTTCCGAAAACAACACTCTAGTTCCCTTTGACCCTTCGACGACTGATACTACCAGTGCCTCCATCAACTGGCAGGTAGCAGAACTTGGCTATAGCATGCTGCAGACGGCCAAGCACCAAGCATTTTGTCGGGGAGGTGACGATCTGGTCGTACGCAGGATGCATATTGACGCCATCAGCTACCTCCATATGGCATTACCCCAGGATCTCACCCCTGCAGAAATCGAGAGGCTGCGTCAGAACATGCCCGACACACTTCTTCACGGCAACACTGGGGTCACCAAGTCCCAGCCGAGTAGCGCACTCCGCCGCTTCACCGCCTGGACTGTGACTTGGATGTTGTCATGGTTCCTCTTCGCCGTTCCGGTGATGATGATGCTTCTGAGTGCGCTGCTTCGCTTCGAGAGGCAGAATCAGCTCACCGAGCGAGGACTGGCGTTTGCTGAGGGGGTGGGAACTGGTTTTGTCAACATCACGGCAGGCAAGCAGGCAGACTCGCCAGCTTTTGGTGACGTTGTTGGGAGGACTATCGCCAGAGCATCTATATGTTCCAGCAGAGTGCTGGGAGAAATCGTATGCGGGATCGAAGACGGATGGGACCAGATGATGACAGGCCAAAGACCGGCGGGAGCCACAGAGATGGTCCAAATGCGTTCTCGATAGTCACGAATGACTGATTTCTTTTTTCAAGTGTTCTGAACTCGTCATCAGATCCACATTGTAGAGCTAAGCAATAGATTCATACATTTATAGAAGCGGGCGAAATGGGCTTCGTAGATCTGGTGAGGCTGAAGCAATTTGGAGAAGAGCCGCAACTTCCCCATGCTCGGAGTCGCCCATTCTCACCCCCTCCATCTTCCTTGCACCAAACCATGTCCCTATTGTTACCATCTTTCCGTCGCCAGCAACGCGTGATTGACTTGTGAGTGAACCTTGGCTTGCGGGTGACTCGAAATGACGCGTCTCAAGCTCGTCGCTACAGCATCAGTGTCCTGAGGGTATCTACATTACACTCTCCCCAGACAATCCTTCGGCGTGGTCAGGAGTCTACTTTGTCCGCTCAGGTAAGCATCTCAGGGTCTCAGAATGCAAAAGCTCACTAGGCAAGGTCCTTTCGAGTCTGCCATACTGCGGTTCGAGATCACCTTTCCTTCAGCGTATCCGGATGTGGCCCCTGTCGTAACATTCTCTACCGATGTCTTTCACCCGCTCGTTGTACCTCTGACCCAATATACCTTCAGCACCAGTGCACCCGAGTCCACTGGCACCGTCAGCGCATCGGACGAGTATCGTGTGCCGCCTGGCTCTTTCAGCCTGCGGCATGGCTTCCCTCAGTGGTTCCGTCATGGGACGATAGCCCGTAGCAGTTTAGAAAACAAGTTTGAGCTCGAACCAACAGGAGCGCTATCAGCAGAAAGTGCGGCTAGCGGGCAAGAAACGCTTACAGACACTTTAGACTCGCGAAAGATCACGTTGCAGCTTCTGCATCACATCAAGCAGTCGTTCGAAGATGCGGAATTCTTAGACAACCTCCCATTTGCAGTGGTGGGGAACCCTAGCGCGTGGCATTCGTGGCGGGCTTATCGTGGGCTTGCCAGAAGCCAGACTCGCGGTCGGAGTCTGGGAGACGACGAGCCGGCAGAAAAGCCTCCGTCATCACCGAAGCAGATGAGCGACTGGAACTGGGATGGCGTTTGGGAATCTCGAGTACGCAATGGGATCGATTCCAGTATCAGCGAAGCCGGTCTGTTTACCAATCAGGGTCTGGTCAGGTTCGCGAAGCTCGACAAGGAGCAGCTCGATGCGATCCGCCAACAAATTCGCGCAAGCTAGACGCTTGACGCCTGGAAGTCCAATGGCTGGCGTGACCAGTCCAGCTGCGGTTCATGGCGATAGACCAGCGCCGACGCAGTGTGACTACTTCTCACATATACACCTGCCGCGGCATACAGGCGAAATCTTGATCTGGGTCAGGAAATCCCGATCCCAGCCCGAGTCAGTGGTGAGTCAGATAGCCTTGCTCGGGCCATGCATTTCAATCTCGACTGAGCAGTCCGACATTTTGGGCACAGCATGCGAAACTGTGCAGATGCAAGTGACTGTTTGCTACTGCATCGAGGAGAGCACGGTACATGGGTCGGCAGCCGATGGTTGCTGCGAGCACCTTAAACTTCCTTTCGAAAGAACTATTGCAATGAGGCAGGAGACCGCATGCCAGCTAGCGGTCTCTGGGAACTTCCAAAGCTATTGGCCATCTTCTCCGCATAATTCATCGTCGGCTTCTCAGAACTCTCATCCACATCACAACACGTCATGCCTCGACTAGAGGGGGTTTTCGCCGACCCAAGAGGGAGCGGTGTCGATGCTGGTCGATCATGATATGCAGGCTCTATGCGCGGCGTAAAAGGGAACAAGACTACTGTAGCATGCCCGGCCCGGCAATGGTGGCAGGAAAAACCACTTTCTACGATGCTGTGCTCTGGTCTCCAGCGTATTCCAGTAGCGAAACGCATGACTAGACCGCTATAATCATCTACCAGCATTCAGTCACCCCCGCATCATCTGGGAGTAGCGCAGCCAAAGCCACATCATTGGGTAGGATAACGATGGCAGGGTTCCAAGTGCTTCCAGAATCGCGTCGCTAGCGTACTCGGATGTCCACTTTGTCAGCAATGGGCGAGGATATGTGGGCACACCACCCCGGATACATTTTTTTGACAGGCATGCACCCACCTTTCGTCAAGTCAAGGGCGTAGTGCCAAGTCTCGTCGCCTGAGGAGTCATCAGCCTCGCCCCGACGTCGGCCATTGAATCCTTTGATACAACGACCATTTGCGCCTTTGCCCGTAAGCAGTCATCTTCATCCTCTCACGCCTTTCGTCTTCCAGTACTTGTCACGAGAAGAGTCTGACTTCCGCGAACCCTGCTTGGCCGTCTCAGGGCACAGCGGCACCCAGCCATGGAGTACTTTGATTTTCACGATGCCTCGGATGCTCACGCGCTTCCTCCACTAGATGTGGACGAATTGTCCTCGCTCTATCCGGAGTATACGCAGGATGAGGCCAACGACTGCTTCGACTCCCTCTTCTTCGACAAGAGCCATGCCCTCCCCGCAGATCCTGCCCCACCCGCTCAGCAAGGTCCCGTCATGCTCAAGCTTATCAACGACATTGAGATCGAGGCCATTCCTCAGCCGGACGATCCCTCGCTTGACTATCCTATGTTTAGAGCTAAGAATCCTTGCGACCTCTGCGCCCGCATGGGTCTTGACTGCTTCCTGGCCACTCGTGGTGCTATGGTGACAGGATGTACCTGCTGCATATCGCTTTACAAAGAATGCAGCTTCACCCATCCCAAACTTCCTCGGGGATTCGTCAACAACCTAAACGGCATCAAAGAAACCGAAGCCGAGACATCCTTCGGCCGCCATCATGCCAAAACCCTGAGATCTTTCGACGAAGCCCGGGTCCGGAAGACCGGTGCTCGCTTCCCTCGCGATGCCGTCAAGATTCTTAAACAGTGGCTCGCTGAGCATTCGGACCATCCTTATCCCAACGAGCGCGAGAAGGATGAGCTCAAACAGCTTACGGGCCTGAAGCGCAGCCAGATCAGCAACTGGCTTGCCAACGCACGACGCCGCGGCAAGGTTCGGCCAGCAGAAAACTCAGGCTCCTCGTCTCCAATGCTTGGTGCCATTGATATCCCCCAAAAGTCAAACGACTTGTCGGAGCTCAACCCTCTGGACAGATGGAAAGCTTCTCCTCCCGAGAACGAACCCGCCAGTATGACCGCCATTGCCCGCGCCGTGACCTCCACACCGCTGCCGCATCAGTCTTCTCAATCAGCCTCATCGTCGCTCTCACTCCAACACAACAGCGATCCCCACAGTCGAGGCCCATCGCGCCAGAACTCTTCCTCTGGTAGTGCCACAAATTTCAGCATGTTCCGGGAGCCCTCAATCTCCTCCTTCGATACGCACTCGGCCTCCACCGCCTCAGACCTGACCCGTGCGTCCTCTCGATCCGCGCAATCACGCAACTCCTTCTCTTCAGGCGAGCGTCGTCGTCGCAGGCGTGCCCCTATGACCCAACGTGCTGCCGCCCAGCAGGCCAAATCCCGATCGGCACGTATCTTCCAGTGCACCTTCTGCACCGACACATTCCCTGCCAAGTATGACTGGCAGCGGCACGAGAAGTCCCTGCATTTGGCCCTAGAACGCTGGACCTGCTGCCCCACTGGCGGTACTTACACTGTACCTTCCACCGGTCTAGCCCACTGTGTGTTTTGCAACTGCCTCGACCCGACACCCTCGCACTTGGAAACGGTGCACAACTTTAACGTTTGTCAGGAGCAGACACAGCAGGAGCGGACATTCTACCGAAAAGACCATCTCCGGCAGCACCTCAAACTGCGGCATGGTGCCAAGTTCGAGCGCCACATGGAGGCCTGGAAGACCACGACCAATGAGATCAAGTCCGCCTGCGGGTTCTGTCCCAGCAAGTTCACCACCTGGAGTCAACGAGCCGACCATCTCGCTGCCCACTTCCGGAACGGTGCCGACATGAAGGACTGGAGCAACGGCTGGGGTTTCGATGCCGCGGTAGAGCGCTGTGTCGAAAATGCCATCCCCCCCTACCTCATCGGACATGAGCGAGTGACCATGGAACCTTACGTCGCGCGTCTGACGAAGCGGGGTCCTGCCAGCAACCCTCCGGACTCCGGCGGCATCCGCCACAGCCGCAGACAATCGTCTGCTACGCCGGGCTCCTCAAGAGGTAGCAACAGCGGACTCACGTACGGCACCTCGTCCAACAGCGCGTCCGTCGCCGCCAGTGACGTGGACGAAGGCGAGCCCGACCAAATGACGCGCGACAGCAACTGCTGGGGTCGCTTAGAGCAAGAGTTGACCAAGTTCCTTACGCAGCACAAGCTTGTCGGCACGATTCCGAGCGACAAGCAGCTGCAGGACCAGGCGCGCATCATCATTTACGAGGATGACGATCCGTGGAACTGGACCTGCGCGGACAACGCGCTGTGGCTCGACACCTTCAAGTGGCAGCACGGCGTCGGCCCGCTGACAGACGCAATGCGCGGCGCGGGCTTGGGCCCAGAGAAGGTCGGCTGCACCGCCGGCGGCGCCAGCGAGGACGTCATGGCGTGTGGCGCCGGCGGCGGCCTGATCGGCCACGGGCGCGAGGGCGTGCGCCTCATCGAGCAGGTCGACGTGCAGGCTCCGTACGTCGTCAAAGGCGGCAATCGCCTAGGTGGAAGCGAGGCAGGCGGCGCGGCTGGTACTCGGCGCAAGGCCCGCGGTCGCCGCACCAATAAGGCGGTGACGTCGCAGCGCAACGCGCGCTCCCGCACGGGGAGCAGCGTGAGCTCGCGCTCGAGCACCAGCCATGACTTGCCGACCTTTGCGCCGGACACGAGCATGGATCTGGACTTCGAGGGCGTCGACTTTGGCGGCTTGGACCTCGGCTTGAGCAGTGCTGGTGACGATGGTATGGGCGGATCCAACGGCATGCCCTCCATGTCTGCCGGGCCGACGAGCCTGTCGATGGGCGGCTACGCGCCCGTCAACACGCTGCCAATGCAGATGCCCATGCCCATGCAGGTGCAGATGCAAGACGACTTCTTTGGCGGGCAGGGCTTCGAGATGCCGTCACAACAGGGTCTTGCTCCGTCTCCGGGTCCCAATGGCTTCGACATGGACATGGGCTTGGGCATGGGCGTCCCTCTCGACGTGAACGCCAGCCTTGGCCGTGGGATGGCCGGTGTCGGTGTCGGCGCTGGTGCTGGTGCTGGTGTGGGTGTGGGTCAGCGAGGCGTCAGAAACAGCTTTGATTACGAAAATCATACCCAGAGCAGCGACGGCCCGCATGGGATGGGCAGGGGGGTCGAAATGCACCTTGACCTGGATCAGGATCTGGATCAGGATCAAGATCAAGGGCTCGACATGATGGACGACATGATGGGCGCCTCGCTGACAAAGACGGATACCGTGCAGACAAGCCAGCCTGTGGGGAGTCCTGGTCCTGTGCTGCTGGGTGGTGGTGGGGGGAATGCGGCGGCGGCGGGAGGAGGAGGAGGACTGGGATCAGGTGGTGGTGGGATGGGCAAGGGGAAACGAGGCTCGCAAAGCTCGGACCTGAGTTTCATGAACGAGGCGGAAATTCAGGCTCTGGAGGGCTGGACGGGTGGGTTGCATTGATCCTGAGTTGAGCGCCAGTCTTGACTAGGCGTCCTAGATTGGGAGTTCTTTCTAGATGCGTCTGGTGTTTGTTTGTTTGTTTTTTTGGAAGAATGTTATGCCGACACGATGTCTATCAAAAACACCACCACTAAAAAGGCCTTTTTGAGATCCTACGACATATATGTAGCCTCAACCACACCTATACATACACACCACAATAGGCCCTGCCAGAATGAATTATATAGCCTTTGAACACATCGCCTCTGCAGCCGATCCCAGGTACACGATGTTCAGGTAATGCTGTAGCCCGGCCCCTCGGCGCCCTGTGGTGTCTGCCAGTTGATGTCCTGAGTTGGGACCTTGATGTCGCAGGTCTTGCAGTGTATACAGCTATTCAGGAGTCAGTATGAGTGTATCGCCTGAGGAAAATGCAGAGGGGGTACTCACTTCTGCGCGTTGATCTGGAACCGCACGCCCAGATCCTTGCTCTCGTCCTCTACGTACTCGTAGACGCCGGCGGGGCAGAACCGATTTTCGATGCCCTTGTAAAGCGGGTAGGCCTTCTTGGCGTGCTCGTCCCAGTCTTTCACCTGCAGATGCACGGGCTGGTCCTCTTCGTGGTTGGTGCCGGTTCGGCTGACGCTGGTGAGGATGTCGAAGGTGATCTCGCCGTCGGGCTTGGGGTATTCGATTTTCTGGAATTGGTCTGCTGGCTTGGTGGCTGCTGCGTCGCTCTTGGGATGTGGTAAAGTCCAAGGTACCATGCCGCGGAATATGAATGCTTCGAGCCCGGAGTACATGATGCCGCCGTAGATGCCGAGAGGGGTGTGGAAGGAGGGCCGTATGTTGCGGACGGCGCGCAGTTCTTTCCAGATCCATGATGACCGCAAAGCGTCCTCGTAGTCGTAGAGGAAGATCGAGTTGGCTTCGGGGTTGTTCTTGATGGCGCCGTAGGCTGCTTCGGCGGCGAGCATGCCTGACTTCATGCTCGTGTGGGTGCCTTTGATTTTGGGCACATTGAGAAAGCCGGCGGTGTCACCGATGAGCGCACCACCGGGGAAGGCACACTTGGGTATGGACTGATAGCCTCCCTCGTTGAGTGCACGAGCGCCGTAGGCGATACATTTACCGCCCTCGAGCACATTTTTGTAGAATGGATGCAGCTTCATGCGGTTGAACTCGCCATAGGGAGCGATCCAAGGATTGGCGTAATCGAGACCCACGACAAGGCCAATAGAGACGAAATTCTCGCCGAAGTGGTACATCCAGCCGCCACCATACACATCTTTGCTCAGTGGATAGCCCATGCTATGCGATATGTCGCCCTTCTTGAACTTCTCGGGCTGGACTTCCCAGACTTCCTTGATGCCTAGACCGTAGGTCTGGGCGTCGGATTCACGGCGTAGGTCGTACTTCTTAGATACTTGTTTGGTGAGAGAGCCATGACACCCTTCGGCGAGCAGGGTGACGCGAGCGTGAAACTCCATTCCCCTCTCAAAGTTGGGCTTTGCTTTGCCATCACGACCCACGCCTTGGTCATTGGTGGCAATACCTTTCACAGCTCCATCGTGTCCATAGATTAGTTCTGCACCTGCAAAGCCAGGGTAGATCTCTACACCAATTTCCTCTGCTCGCTCGCCCAGCCATTTTGTAAACTGAGAGAGTGAGATGATGTAATTGCCGTGATTATTCATCTGCGGAGGAGTTGGTAATGGTATGGATCCGGACTTGGTGAGGAAGCGCATGTGGTCTTTGCCTGCTGGGGTGACATCGGGGTAGCGGTTCTCGTTTTCGTCTGACAGCCAGTCCGGTAGCAGTTCATTAATAGCCCTGGGTTCGAGTACGTTTCCGGACAGAATGTGGTTGCCAATTTCTGCGGCCTTTTCTAGAACGATGACGCGGAAATCCTCATTGCCGTCTTCATTTGCTATTTGCTTCAGACGAATGGCCGCGCTAAGACCAGCAGGGCCGCCGCCAACGATGCAGACGTCCACCTCATCGGCCTCGCGATCTACGGTGGCAGGGTCAAAACCTTCTTCGACGTCGGCATAGCGGTGGCGTAGGGATGAGGAGAGGGCTCTCCGCTGGCCTGCAACGAAGAGGGGTCGCGGGAAGGCACGAGCTGAACGATGGCGGGCTGGGAGAGTGGCGAGGAAAGGAGCGGAAGATTGACATGCTCGTGATGATCGGGGTGTCGAGACTAATAGTCTCGACACAGGCTTGGACATGTGCTTAAGAGACATGGTGCTGAGTGGCACTGCTGGTCACACGCTCGGTGAGGGATCCTCGAAGGGCGGCCGGTTCGACGATCGTGTAGCTTGCCGGTAAGCACAGACGACAGTGTTAGGTCTGAAGCAGCCACCCAGGACACACTGCTGGTAAAACTCCCGGTAGTGGTTCTCGTTGTCGTCGCCATCAAGAATGGGGGAGGTGGAGCACAAGATTAGAGGGCGCACGCAGCTTCTCAACGTCACCGAGTGCACCGAGCTCGTCGCTCGTCCCCGATTTTTCACTGCCTCGGCCACCCGAGGCTGCCCCGAAACCCGACTTCAGCCGCCTCTCCGTCCAATGGGCGCTCGTCTAATGGTGAGCAACTCTAGTAAACATCTTGGGCGGATATTTGCGGTTTGGAAGATGTTCGGACTTCAAGTTCTTTTACCTGTGAATTGCAGCTGCGCTGAAACGGACGGCGTTTGGGCTCAGGAATCGACATGTTTGGTGGGGGATCTACTGGATAATGTCTGTAGGTGCGACACATTCTGAGGTGCATCATTGAATGTCCTACGATTCCACCATGAGTTACGTCCATCAAAATCATCCTCGACAGTAGAGACAAATGGATGTGGACTCACAGAGAGCGTCACTGCCTCACAGATTGTCATCATATTAGTAGTATGTAGACGAGGGAGAGGCCTCTACATGGCTGCTGATAATCATCTGTACGTGGGTAATGCACACGAAGAAATGAGACCAACTACTCTCATTAAACGCACGGTCGTTCAAATGCATTATGTCATTAAGGTGGCGCTGTGCCGAGTTCATCCACGAGAGTCATGGCTTCATATGAGCTCGATGTCGACGACTGGGAGCCCGTCGCCATGCCTACCAACCCAGAAGCGGGTGATGCATCAAGGAACTTTGACCCTGGACCTATGATCGAATCCGTGTCCAATGCACCGGTTCGTCGCCACTGGCCCTGATCAGAAGTCCTACTGACGAGAAGCCATTCTGAACTAGGGCCGTGGGGCTGTCCGCCGACCCGAACATCAACAGTGCGCGTAGCTCTTGTGCGTAGCCAGTTGTAGCCAGATCGGATCGAGGGTAGAGTCTAGCCTGGTCCAGCACGACCCGGTCCTCTGTCATAACATCCATAGAATGGGTTCATGGGCCTCGATGCGCCACGGGAATGGAGTATTTTCGAGTTCTCCTGTAGTTGTCTTCATGCTGTTACCATTAAGAAGATTGCCACATCTCGAAAGCCGTCCTGTCGCAGCCACAGAGTAGAGCTCGCAGTATTGTCGCAGGTGGCGGAGTCTACAAAGGCGGGCGATATTGCCTTTGAGGATTCCAGGCGTGACAGACGCCATCGATGGCGCGAAAGTCGAGGCGCAGGCTGATATTGCTCGGGTACTCGGATAACCCATACGTGATAGGTTCTCGAGTATGAGAATCACACTTTGTTTAGTACTCGAAGCCATCTGCCAGCTCCTGAACAATCAGCGCAGCCACGTTCTTCCCCATCAACGCGCTCGTCTCCATGGTGGAGATAAAGCTCTCGATCCCGCTCGTATACCACACGCCGCGTCCGTGGCCGACTTCTTCGCCATCGAGCCTGATGTGCTCAAACTCTGTTCGTGGCACCTCGTATGGATAGCTGTGCCAGACTTTCTCTAATGACCACGAAATATCGGAGTGTGAGATTGCTGAGATTGGGTCCTCATCGACTTCGTAAACGGGACTAGTATGGGGAAAGCTGAGGAGGCGTGAGAGGAAGGATGCTTTGAGGGGCGCGCTCGAGAAGATTTTGTAGAGGTGTTGTGGGGAGGTGACGTTGGCGTGGTGGCTCTGGGACGGGTGAAGGGTACGCAGGCTTGAGATTGAGTAGAAGGTGAGGGACTCGCCGGCTGTAGCGTCAGAGGAAGTCTGGAGTGTGGTAAGTATAGTAGACGGGACGGACGCAGGGCTGTCGGCTGGGAGATCGAAGAAGGTGGGCGAAAGCACATGAGGCGAAGTGAATAGTGTGACGTGGAGTGAGACGTAGTCGACCGGAAACGGTTTATGGGTCAAGGCAGGCTCGAAGGAGATATTTGCGAACTGATATGGCGCAGCGAGCACCACTGCATCATATGGTCCAGATGACGAGCCGTTCGACAGGGTTAAGGAATATGTGGGATTGCTGCCAGCAGTATCTTTCCGCACTTCCAGTACTGTAGTGTTCAAGCGAGCCTTTGCACCGGAGCGTTTCACGGCCTCGTCAAAGATCTGCCAGTTGCCTCCTTCGACCGCCATGGCTCCGTCGGTGGACATGCAGACAAGCGTTTCTAAGCCGTGTATTTGATCGAGATTCTGAGCATAGTTGACACGCGTCGAAGCCTGCACGATGTCGTTCCCAAAAGCCCCGCCGGCGCCATAGGCATCGAGCATTTCCTTCCCACTGACACTCAGATGCTCCAAGAGCTCGGCTTCTTCAATCACGCCCTGAAGGGAGCTGAACGGAAACAGCGGCTCTTCGTAGAACCTTAAAAACTTCCCAATTACAGTGCTGACAAGGTTTCTCGTCCGGATAGGTGCCAGGCCATATTTCCACAGCAGTTTCGCGATATCCCAGTAGCCCTGCCACCTCCCATCGCTGCTACTCTGCTTGAATACGAATTGCTTGCCGTCCCAAACGCCTAGATCGTAGTCAGAGTCTGGCCGCGATTCAAAGGCTCTGGACTTGATATCAAGACCAAAATCACGCGTGGCATTGTAGAGGATGTGGTTGATCTTGACGAATATACTTCCACCCAGTTCGACCGGAAATGCCGAGTCATTCAGCGCGTTGACGGTTGTGGTCCGGCCACCTATGCGTGACTCTTTCTCAAACAGTGTGATATCCAGCGGTACATCGTATTCCGAGGCTTCAGCGAATTGCTTTAGGTGATACGCGGTCGATGCACCTCCTGCACCCCCTCCGATGATGGCTATCCGATGAGGCTCGGTCGTGTGTTTCTCGTGTGATAGAGGTATCTGTGGCTGTTGCGCAGCGACAAGACCCGTCGTCAGCAGGAACAACGATGCCAAGAGTCGCATAGCGGCAGACTGTAATCAATTTGTGCGGCTCAATGTTGGCCCAACGCATGCTCGATATCGTGCAAGATGGCTGCAGGTGAGATGTCGGAGGTCTACAAGGCTGCGCTTCAGCCTTGCCCCATCGACATTCACTGCCTAAGAACCTGAGACTTGCGCGCCCCGCCCCGCGCATCATAGCCGGCACCAGTAATGCAAATCATGCTAACTCTGGTGTCCAAGACGGTCCTATCATCCGCACCCGCCGGAGCCCATTTCGTCAGTGGAAGGAAACACCCGTCTTTTCCCATTCGCAAAGTCCCCCGCACACTTTGAGACGTCCCCACTCGGAGAACAAAAATGAAGGTCACTACGTCAGGAGGATCGCAGCCGAGGACGCTTGCATGACAAGAGGCGGACAGACTAATATATTGACTCGGCGGTGAATGGTGTCGTGAAATCTCTACTCAAGAAAAACACACTCTTCACAAAGAACATCGCCAAATCACCAGCATATCCACACAAACCAGCATGTCTACCCAAATCGGAATGGGGGCTTGCTGCCTCTCAGGCTCCGTCCACAGCGGCACTCCCAAAGGACGCGAAGATAACATCGGTGGCCTCGATACCTACGTGTCGGAACCTCAATCCAAATCGACAGCCAAGTCTATCGTTTTCATTACCGACGTAAGTCCTTTCCCCGTATACACTACAGCACTGAAGACCAACACTGACCCGCCTTCCCCCAGATCTTCGGCTGGAAATTCAAGAACGTCCGCCTCCTAGCCGACAACTACGCCTCCGCCGGCTTCACCTGCTACATCCCGGACGTCCACCAGGGCGACTCCTTGCCGGAAGAGTTCCTGCAATCCGTCGAGCCCCCGCTCAAGGTGCGCGAGCAGGAAGGCATCATCGACAAAGCCAAGGAGACGGTCGACATCATGGCCACATTGGGCCCCTGGCTCGCCAAGCACCGCGAGGGCGTCTCCGAACCGCTCATTTCCGGGTTCGTCAACACCGTGCGCCAGATCCCCGGCACGCAGAAGGTCGGCGCCATTGGCTTCTGCTGGGGCGGAAGGTACGCCATCCTGCAGGCGCACAGCCCGCGACCAGAGGGGCAGGTGGGCGGCGTGGATGCTGCGTATGCTTGTCACCCGAGCTTGCTGTCGATCCCGGCGGATTTTGAGGGGCTGGGCAAGCCGCTGAGCATTGCGGTTGGCACCAAGGATAGTCTGCTGGATCAGAAGAGTAATGAGCAGATCAAGGAGTTTTTGGATACCAGTAAGAAGGATGTGCCGACTGAGGTGCGGTACTATGAGGATCAGGTGCATGGGTTTGCGTTGCGGAGCGACTGGAGCTCCGATAAGGATAAGAAGGCCATGGATGATGCCGAGAAGCAGGGCGTGGCGTGGTTCGAGAAGTACTTGTCTTAGTCGGAAGACGCGGAGCTGCTGCCGCAGATATGTGTTGAATGGTCGGGCAAGCTTCTGCTGAGGTTCTTGATTGTGGCTGTCGCGATGGTCCCAGAGACTCAGGGACGGCCCGTATGCACTTGACCGCTCCATAGTGCTGAATCCCACATGCCTACTCAGCCATTTGCCCTTGCGGAATCGGAGTGCACTGGTAATTGCTCGGAGCCGCCAACGCAACACCCTCCATGAGACACCGTGCTGTACGGCTAATTTCCACATATTCCACCTCCTGCCCATTCGTCACCTTTGCACCGACCTCCGCGAACCCCGTGGGATGGCCAATGCTGATCTTGTTAGTTGTGCTCGCTCGAGCGAGCTGATTTGGAACGCTTCCTGGCATCTGACACGCTGCTCCGAGATTCAGTGCCAGCGTGCCCGGCACGGCCTTGTGGGCTTTGCCCATTGAAAGTGCCTAGGTTGGACTATCAGTCTCCGGACCCCTTGGATATGATGAGATGGCGGGCGGAGCTCACCTGGCAATCGATATGCGTCTCCGCTGAACGGGGACGATAGACCAGCACGATTTTGGGGATGCTTGGCTTGTCCGGGTCCAGACCCATCATCGCCGCTCCCTTTCGGCGGATGACTTCTAATTTCTCCATCAGATTGGGTTGCGCGTCCAGCTCGTCGGGGTTTCTCGCGGGATCCCAGCCAAGGTCAGCGCCACTGATGAAGATGCCCGGGTTGGACACATCAACGAGGGAGACATTGTAGTTTTGACCTTCAACTTCTACTTGATCGAGAGGCCGTCCGGTAGGCAGTGCTGCAGTCGTTTTGGAGCCACCAGGGCTCAGCCATCGAAGGGTGATCTCGGAGCCAGTGCCGGCAACCCCAGGCATTGTAAAGTTGCCTCGCGGCTCGAACCGCCAGGGAGCTCCGGGTTGTGATTCGGGCCTGCTGACCGAGAAAGTACTTTGGATTACCTGGTTGGTGTTGAGGTTCAACAAACGAAAGGTGACTGGGACCGCGTGGAATGCGACGTTGTCTTTTCCTACTATACGGTAGGCATCAGAAGGATGCAGGTGCTGACCTCTAGTCCGAGGATCTTCCAGATGAGCATCTAGCAGTCCAGCATCGATAGCAGCAGGCCCAACGGCGGAGGTGAGGTTACCGCAATTCCCAGACATGTCCAGGAGACCGTCTGTCACACCAACCTGGAAGAAAGTGTACTGTATGTCGGCAAAGGGCCCATCCATGAGATCTGTCCTCTGATAAACTTCGAACGTAACTGTACAGGCCGACTGTTAAGGATTGAGTGCTTCCAGAACCAAGATCTTGCAGCACTTACCAGCTTTGCTGAGGCTAGAAATCCCCCCACCTAAACCGTCCAGCTGCCGTCCGTAAGGATCAGGCGAACCGAGCAGCGAGGCCAGATGATCTTGCATCTGGCTCAGATTCTGCTTCGTCCATGGTCCCTGCTCTGAGTGCCGTGGGAAGGGAACAACACTTCGCAATTGATCGCCTAAGAACTGCACGGAATCAGCGACCTTTACGGGAGATGGACTACGAGCTGAGATCTCAGGTCTGCTTGTGGTAATGGCTGAGGCTCAAGCGTTGAAGCAGATTGTCGTCGCAACTTCCTGACCCTTTCCCCCCAGGCTATTTAGTGCGTGAAAAGCATAGGACTCACAAAGAGACCTTTCGATGTCCCCCCGCGCCAAAACGCAGCTCGTTGCATGACTTGACTGGTCCGTGGCCCCCGTCCAGTGTGTATGCTTGGGCCATCCATACCAGCTGAAGAAGCTTTCAACCGCAAGACTGTCCCTGACAGGCACCTAAGCCTTGCTGTTGGACACCGTCTCTCGGCGATGTCCCGCCTCAAAGGCGGTCCAGGGCTGCATAATACGTTCCGAAGTCGCAAACCTGGCCAACTCGGTCGCATCGCCATCAGTTCCAGTGATGAGATGACCCTTTTCCCCACGCATAAAGCCCACCATATACATGAGGGGGGCTGTAATACGCAGTGGCCGTAAGCCAGCAGGTGGTGTTGCCGTGTCGTATATGTGTACGGCGAGGCACTGAGAGCTTCTGCGAAATTCCGGCCGATTTTGGTCCGACCACAAACAACATCTATGAATCCGCTAGTAGTGCATTGCTTCCCTTTCCTCTCTCATAAAGTGGACGACACGATATGGCCACAGCACTGGTGCTCGGATGCACAGGATTAACGGTAAGTTCGCAGATCACTCTTCCAACGCCGACTTGACATCTCGCAGGGCTCGCACATCTTGGCGACTCTGAGGAACAGTGCACCTCACTTCTCCAGCATTGAGGTCGTGGCACGACGTGCACCTCCTCCTGCACCGGAAGCTGCCGTACCCACAAAGGCCTACGTGGAGAAAGACACTTCGCAGTGGGGAGCTCACATTGCCTCAACCAAGCCTCCACCAGCTGTAGTGTTCTATGCTCTGGCCAGCACCCGCGCTTCTGCTGGCGGATTCGACAATCAATACCGATTCGAGCATGACATGATGGCTCAACTGGCGACGGCCGCGAAGGACGCGGGTATCAATACCTACGTCCTCGTCTCCGCCGCCGGTGCAGATCCTAAATCTATCTTTGGTTACCAGAGAATGAAAGGAGAGCTCGAGGAGTATGTGAAGAAGCTCGACTTCAAGCACACCATCATTGTCCGCCCAGGCATGATCCTCGGTGAGCGAGCAAATCAGGATGCTGCAGGATACGTCTTGAATCATCTCGCAACAGCGTGTGGCTACGTACATGCGTCTTTGAAGAACGCGTGGGCGCAAGACGCCCATACCATTGCGAACGCGGCCGTGTCTGCCTCGCTGCAGATTGAGCGTGGCGAGGTCAAGGACAAGATCTGGACGTTGGGAGGAAGTGAGATCATTCGGCTTGGAAAGGGGGAAAGATTGGATTGACCTAGTTCGTCCTGCTCCGGTCTAGCCCTCTAGCAAGAACATCCTCCGGAAGCCGAACATGTCATCGTACACACAATACTCGGGACTTCCCAAGTCGAAATACATCTGTGATTTCGCCTGCCAGGCTTGCAGATAAGCCCATATTCGAGCTCGCTCCTTTTCCATCAGGTGTCGCAGGGTGTACGCTATGCTAAGGTGGAATGAATAAGTCTCATGGCCGGGGTGGCGCATTTTGAGCGTGTGGGACAGACGATCGCGGAGCCCGCGCAAATTAGTATCTGTCTCTGGAGTGGAAGCCGCAAGCTTCAGAGCGATGCCATCGTCAAGCTCCTCAAAGCTTACAATCTTCATCACGAAGGGTGTCCCCAGCCCAGCGTCGAAGTCCGCAAGCCTCGAGGCAGTATGAGCGTGGCACTGCCGGAGTGTAGAGTCCAGTGGCAGTTCGCCGGGCCAGCAGCTTCGAGTGCGAATCTGGTCCGTCACACCCTCATAGACTGTCATGTGCCAGCTGCTTGGTGGAAGCAGGGTGAAAAGGGAAGAGAATTCTTGCTGCTGAATATCATGGTAGAGGTCTAGCAGTCTTGGTCGAAGAGGGCTATTTTCGGGGAGGTGGCAGACAATTGTATTGCCAGGGTAAGGAAGCACTGCGCCGTTGGGGGTGAACTTCTGTCCGATCCATCGCGGATAGAGGTGGTGAGGGAATCCCGACTTTGGCACAGGCTCGACTCGATGTTCTGGATCATAGTCTAGGGGTATCTCGGGTTCGTCTCTGTTGCTATGGTCAGGCGACTTGACGAACGCGGCATCACGGGGCATCGCGGTGATATCAGCGGCTGCCATGGTGGCGTCGGGAATGGTCAAAGGATATTCTCTTGACGTATCAGGAGAGTGATATGCTCGAGTTGACAGAATTGAGAAAAGATTCACACACTGTCCAGGTAGAGATTGTTCAAGTAGGGACTCGGATATTCATACCTCAGACCTTGTCGTCCGGCAAATGCTGGCTCGCTTGCTGCTAGCCTGTGGGCGCTTGCAGATGACTCTTCTGCTCGTGCTGCATCCCCAACCTAGAATGGCTTGCGCTCGTGGCTTGAGCATCTCGGAACCACGAGAGCCTCTGGATTGGCTTCTCCATGTCATTGACTTGAAAGTTGTCGCCAATTACCTCTATCCCAAACGTGACCTTGGTGTCGAAACGTCGCCGGCTGTCGGCAACAGATAAGCGGTCGCTACGAGATAACGACAAGCTCAAGACTGAGCCCCAAAGCCGGCATACTACGCTGCTTCAGGATAGCCTGTCCTTCTCTTTCGTCGGCTATCGGCTATCTGCCTTCGCGTTGAGGCGTTCGCGTTCTTCAGCAGACTTCAGTCTCATTCCGCTTCACGGAAACATCTGGCCCTCAGTCCAAACGGCCAATCATGTCGGGCGATGAGAGCACACGGACGACAAAACATCTCAGGCACACTCTTTCGAAAACTACTGCTTGCCAGGCTTCCTGAGCAAGTTCGCTGGTATAAAATGATGGCTGTACAGCAGCTGAGGATTTCTGAGGGTGGCCAGCCATCGACAAGACCGGGCCCAAGGAGCATTGCAATAATTTAGCACAGCCGCAGACTCAACCGTCAAGACTCATCATGGACAAGTCCAGTCAGCCGCACATCGACATCGACGAGAAGACTATCCCAGCTCAGCGCGAGCTTCTGTCTGATGCAGAAGATGCCAATAACAACGAACACGATCTCAGCTTCACGCAAGCCATCAAGCTCTATCCCAAGGCTGTCGGGTGGAGTGTCATGATGTCGTGCGCTCTCGTCATGGACGGCTACGATCTGAAGCTCATTGGGTCCCTCTTCGCGCAGCCAGCCTTCCAGAAGAGCTATGGCAAGGAGCAACCCGACGGTACATACCAAATTCCAGCGCCGTGGCAGTCTGGGCTCAACAATGGTTCCAACGTCGGCCAGATGCTCGGCTTGCTGATTGCTGGAACCGTGGTGGAACGTTTTGGCTTCCGAAAGACGATGATGGGGGCATTGACTGTGCTGCCATGCCTCATCTTCATTCAATTCTTTGCACCAAACCTACCGCAGTTGCAGGCCGGGCAGATCTTGATAGGTAAAGTGCAATGATGAGTGCATGAAAAGCATAAGCTTACACAAGTTCAGGCATGCCGCTCGGCATGTTTCAGACCGTCACCTGCGTGTACGCCATCGAGCTTATGCCAACGAGTCTCCGAGCGTACCTGACCTCGTTTGTGAACATGTGTTGGCTGCTGGGTCAGTTGGTTGCCTCAGGCACGTTGAGGGGTACGCTAAGCATGCCCGCTCCATGGGCATACCGCGTGCCATTCGCCGTCCAGTCAGCTCGCCTGCATACTGCGATGGAAAAGTGCTGACACCATGACAGATGGGCTTGGCCTATTCCACTCCTCGTCGGAGTCCTCCTGGCGCCAGAGAGCCCATGGTGGCTCGTTCGTCAGAATCGATTGGAAGATGCCAAAGCTGTTGTACGCCGCCTCACCTCTCCGAAGCGGAACCCAGACTTTGACATCGACAAGAACGTTGCTCTAATGGTCTTGACAACGGAACACGAACGCGAAGCCAACTCGGACACGCGTTTCATTTCGTGCTTCAAGGGCACCGACCTGCGCCGTACCATCATCGTGATCGGCTGCTACTGCATGCAGGTGTTGAGTGGGTCTACATTGCGTTCCTACGCCACATACTTCCTGCAATCAGCAGGACTGCCCACAGATCAGGCTTTCAATATGACGATAGTAGGTTATGGCCTCGGAATTGCTGGCGTCATGGTGTCCGTGAGTGAATACCACGACTTCCTTTCAGGGGTACAAATACTGACACAACTCGCAGTGGCTGCTAATGCCTCATGTTGGCCGACGAACGCTGTTCCTCTGGGGCTTAGCAATCTTGACCCTCATCATGCTCTTGGTCGGCGGTCTCGGAGTCGCCCAGCGCTCTCCATCCACAGTGGACGGTCTGCCGTGGGGCATCGGCGCTCTCCTGCTTCTGTCGCTCTTCATCTCGAACGTCGCGGTGGGGCCCGTCTCGTATGCCTTGGTATCCGAGATCCCCTCATCTCTACTGCGCAGCAAGTCCGTCGTCATGGCTCGCTTTTGCTATGCCACCATCAATATCATCGCCAATGTCATTACACCGTACCAATTGAACCCCTCAGCTTGGGGATGGGGAGCGATCAGCGGTTTCTTCTGGGCCGGGTCGGCTGCTATTGGATGGGGGTTTACTTATGTCTTCATTCCAGAGCCGAAAGGTCGCACCGTTGCAGAGCTTGATCTGCTGTTTGAGCGGCAGGTACCGGCGAGGAAGTTTGCTAAGACAGAGGTGCGGTTGGTGATGATGGTGGGCGGGAAGGCCACAAGCTGAGAGAGCTTCGAGTCGCAGCATGCAAGGACCGAACTGGAATGGGGCAATGTACATTGCTTGCAGAAGATCACGAAGTCCGAGAAGCAACAGCAGTCTACTGTGTAGCATGCCACCACCGTGGCTACCAGGTGTCCCGCCCTCAGCCATATATATTGCAGAATATGCCAAGATGCATCTGGTTTCTCATCCCACCACTTTTACAATATATACCATTATTGACGCGCGCGTTGTGCCACAAGGTCCCGGATCAACAAACCATGATATTGGTCATCGCTCGTTCATAGCCCTGGTAAGAGTAAGACGAGCGCTCGAGAACTAGCGTGGTGTGTAGACCAATCAATGCCGAGGTCCGTCGCACGAGTTGGCTTCGAAGCTTCGCTCTGCCAGATGCCTCCTTTGGTTTTCGGCCATCGGCTTGGCTTCGACGATAACATATCCTTCACCGGGCTCTCATGAATCGTGCGAAGCAAGCGTCAAGATATACAAGCTTTGCATCCGCATTTGACGCCATGAATCTGTGGACGAACAAGACCAGCAGCTGGCCGACATAGCGAGCAAATGCTTGCGGCACATTCTGCCAATGGCTGATCGTACACTCTAAGTCGACAATCAGTTCTTGACAACGCTGTCCCATCTAGAACTGTCTTCGCCACGCCATTGAAGCTCCTGGCTAGTCCAGCGCTCGAGACCTAGCTCCCCACGTATGAAATGGCACTTGCGGAGCACGTCTCGAGTGGAACTGGAGCCATCAACGCAGGGTATCGTGGTCGCGTACGCACTGGTTGCTTGACGTGTCGAGCCTCTAAGGTGCGCTGTGATGAGCAGCATCCGGTTTGCAAACGATGCACCCGGCTGGGTCGAGCCTGTGTTTACAAGAAGAAGGCCTCTTCTCAGCACTCATCGCCGTCGGACACGATCGATCATGGCGGGACTACTACCGATGCGCACGGGCCCCGCCTCAGACTTCGACGAGTCTCTGTCACCCCATCGCCGCTTCAAGATCATGCCGTGGAAGATCAACAGCCAGTGGACGTCGCGTCCCCTTACGTCGGTACACCGCGCTCGAACAGCCAGCATGATGGGCGCTCGCCATACCTATTATCAACGACCACAACTGACTCTCCCTCTCTCCTATCCATGATGGTATCTCAGGACATTTACCTATGTACCACCATCGACCTCATGGTAGCTAACGAGGAGTCTGCCCGCCCGTCCTTTACGTATTTTCAACACTCAGTGTTTTCACCCTTCATCGCCCCATACGATCCCATCGGCTGGCAGTACTTCCAGCACCAAGTAGTGAGCCTGGCCGCCCACAACGCAACCATCGCAACCGCCCTCCTGGCAGTGCAGTCCTTGTACAAAGCACAGGGCAATGGTCTGTCTACATCAAAGGCGCTGTCGCTGTACAGAGCGGCATCTTCTCTATTCCAGGCAATGCTATCGAGAGAAGATGAGTACGATCCGGAAACCATTCTCATGCTCATCCTCCTGCTACATCTTGCGGAGATGCTTTTGCCCGAAGACACAGGGCCGGGTCCGCTTGCACAACATGATGGACCGCTACTCACCCGCCTGGAACTCTGGTCTGAAGGAAGACACCACACTCCTCTGGCCGTCCGCGTCGCCTCTTGGCTCTTACTATGTCACGCAGCAGCACGTCGTGGCGGCAACAGCGGGCTGCTATCCAACCGAGCCCAAAATGTTTTACGACTGCCATGCTGCAACACACCAACCCTGCCTCTCCTGCCCCTCGACCCCACCACTCCCCTACACACCACAATGCTCCAATCATTGACCGAGCCGCTCTACAACTTCCACTTCCAGCTGCAACTCCTCTCCAGCCAAGTCGCCGACCTATCCCACTACCACCGCAGCCGCGTCACCAGCTCCGACCAAGAAGAAGTCTTCGCCCTCATCGCCTCCCTCAAGTCCCAGATGCAGCGCCTCTGGACCACCCGCCCGGCCACCATGCGCTCCCCGCCCGCCGAGATCCGCAGCCACCTCTCCCAGCACCTCAGCGAGCCCCTCCTCCACCTCATCGCCACCTGCACCGCCGCCTACCACCACGAAATCGTCGAAGTCGGCCGCAACCTCAGCGACCCGCCCTTCGCGTCCCCCGAGGCCCGCGACCACCTAGCCAGCGTCCGCGCCCTGATCGAGAGCCCGGACTGGCCCACCACCTCTCCTTCCACCGCCTCCAACGACGACGACGACGCCGCCACCAGTGGAAAATTACACGCAGCCTTCCTCCGCCCGCTCTTCCTGTACGCCATCGAGAGCATCCACCAGGCCGAGACCGAGTGGGCGGTCGAGCAGATGCGGAGGATCAAGGACCCCGTCAGCCGCAGCGACTTCTTCGCCAGCTTCGCCGACGGGCTGGCGAGGGCGCAGAGGGAGAAGGGTCGGCGCGTCACGACCAAGTGGTGGTGCTGGCAGGCGTTTGGCGTGACGCCGCCTTACCTGTGAGGTTGTGGGGGTATGTCTTTGGCCCACGAGTTGATGAAGGCTGGCGGGGTATGTACGCCACCTACTTCCCCTGGAGAAGATATAGCGATATATTTGAACACGCTGCTGGGATGGCGCAGCATGCCATCTCAAGTTTCATCAGATCCACTGATCTCCCTCCCTCGTCCACCCCTCCTCCATCGCCCCTTCCCGTGCCAGCCTCTTCAAACCCTCGCATCCCCCCTCCCCCAAAACCCCCAACCACATCCCGCTAACCTCCTCATCCCACCCGCCCTCCAACCACACCCTCGCCCTCCTCTCCACCTCCCCCACCACCGCTTCCACCCACGCCAACTCCCCGGTCCACCCCTGCCCGCACCCCTCGCGAATCCGCTCCACCCACCTCCCTACACACAGCACCCTGAGCCCAATGACCTGCTGCCTCCGTTTGAACTCGCAGCGCCCCGCAAACACCGGCGCCAGGAGACATTCGAGCGCGAGGAAGAAGGCCATGAGGACCTGCGCAACCGTGTTGGTTTCGTCGACCAGGCGCTCGAACGCCGCGGCGTCGCAGTCGTACCAGATCGCGTGCGCCTCGCAGAAGAGGACGTAGCCGTCGCGCACGCCTTTGCCATCACGCAGGGCCGTGAGGACGACTTTTACGGCGGCGAAGAAGCGCTGCTCTTCTTCTCCATCTTCCCACTCGCACTCCCTTCTTGTTCTTCTCCTCCACCTCCTCCTAACGTCCTCCAGCGCCCGCAAACCCCACTCGACAACCCAAGCATCCACGCCCGGCATTCTCCCCAACCCGGGCTCCAACACCGTCACGAACGCCCGAGGCTCCAACGTGAAGCAGCTGCTTTCCCCAACCCCTGCCCCTGCCCCTGCATTCCCTTGGCTCGCCGACTCAATCTGCCGCGTGATCAGCGCACACCCTCGCACCATGGTGACGAAATCCACCAGCCCGTCCTCGAGCATGTACGTGGCCTGGAACGTCAGGGCGTAGGCGGCGGCGAGCATGGCGTCGACGTCGTCGCGGGACCAGCTGCTGGAGGACAGGCCCAGAGAGGCGTGGAGGCCCGCGAGGGCGGCGGTGCGGTGGGCGACGCCGGTTGCGGAGAGTTTTGCGTTGGGAGGTGGAGAGGTGTGGATGGCGGTGGAGTGACAGGGGTTGGTGCATGGGGTGCTAGTGTTGGTGCCGAGCGAAGGTGGTGCTGGAAAGGGAGCTAGGGATGGGGAGGGGGTAGAAGATGCTAGTGGCGAGGAAGAGAGCAGGTGCAGATGTGTGGCGGCTAGGCCGAGCAGCGCGTGCATGAGATACGGCCTGGAGGCGGCGATGACGGGGATCGTAGTCGTCCAGATTGTTTCGTTGCCTGCGGGGAGGTGCGGGTAGGTGGCGGTTAGGAAGTGGTGGAAGAGGCGCAGATCAAGCAGATTCAGCTCGGAGGATGTCGCTGCTGCCGCTGCTGGCGAGCCTGCTGAGTCTGTAGCAGCTGTGGAATCCGACGGAGTGCGGAATGGAAAGGGGAGGATGCGCACGGGGCTGCTGCCGGCTCGGGGCGGTGCAAGAGGCGGTCGCTTCAGAAGCAGGGATGCCGGATTGGGATACTCGCAGGGGGTGTTGCGCTGGAAGCAATTCATGCACTGTGGGTGCTCCTCGGTGCATTTGACTTTGCGGCGCTTGCAGGGGAAGCAGCCGTGGCGGGATTTAGTGTGCGTTCGGCGGTGGTGGCCGGGGGTGAACTTGTGTTTCATGGCTTGGGGTTTGTGAGGCCTTTGACGTGGTATCGTGGTGATGGCCGACTCGATTGGATGGGGCTGGACCCGGTGGCAGGACTCGATATCGAATGCTGTTCGTTCCGTTGTTGCGCTGGCTGCTAGGTAGCCTGTGAGACTATTTGCGGGCGCTGGGCGTACAGATGTGTATGTCGAAGATCCCGAGTCAGACTTCGGCCTAGTTCAGCCCAGAGCAAGAGACGGCGTTAGACATGTGCATGTCCAGCCCTATAAGATATGTTCAGGTGCCATATGGACGCCTGAACAGATTCCCAGCGGTGCTGTGACACTCAGGCAGCAGTATTTTCTGGGGATCCAGGGAGGCTCCAGCCAGCAGACTGCGTAAAGCTGTCAGAAACGGACACAGGAAGAAGGGCAAATGGAGCAAGAGTCGTGGGCAGAACGGTGGGCCCAGCGTATTCAGAGCTGAGCGCAGCAGTCCTACTGGCCAGCGAACGCGAATACGATGCTTGTTTCCACGCTTGTGCTCGATTGGATGTCGACTGCATTGCTGATTGGCTCAAGATCCAGCACTTCAAGGCGATAGGGATCTGTATATAGCAACGTGTGTCAAGGCTCGTTCTTCACGTCCTAGACAGCGCAGTCATGGGACGAGAGCGGAAGCTGGAACGGCCGTGGACTTATTGCGCTCGAATGTTCAACTACTTACGACCTCCCCACTACCACATCGAAAATGCCGAAAGAGTCCCCATCAATGCTTCTCCGTGCGCTTCAACGCCTTCCAAATGCAGATCGAAAGCACGCAGGACGACGATCAAGTCTCAACAGGCTTGCACCAACTCTGGACTTGCTGCCCATAAAACCATGGTAAAAACGTGTCCGTCCACATCAGATTGCCGTGCTGGTCCACATTCAGCTTCGCCTCGATGGACTTGTCTAGCGTCATCTCGAACTTTCGCACAAGAGTGGCGAACGACATGTACAGCTCACAGTGAGCCAAGTTGATACCGAGACATGACCGTGGTCCACGGGAAAAGGAGACGAGGTATTTCTCGAGCTCCTTGGCATTAGAGCCGAGCCATCGTTCAGGATCGAACTTGTGAGGGCTGGGGAAGATATCGGCGTTGTAGTGCATGAAGACGGCTGACATGCCGACAACGATGCCGCCTGGGACAGTATAGCAACCAATGGTGGCGCCTTGTTCTGGCACGACTCGGGAGAGGGGCGATGCCACACCGGATGAAACCCGCAGAGACTCTTTGATGACTGCTGTGAGAACCCGGAGCGAGCTCAGTGCCTCATAGCTAGGCGGAGCGGACAGGTTAGGCCATATCGAACGCACCTCTTCTCGCAGACGAGCCTGCAGTTTGGAATTCCTCATCAAGTGCCAGAAACCAACATAAAGAGTGTTGCCCGTCGTATCCGTGCCCGCAAAGATCAAGTTCTTCGCCTCCTCCAATAGCATCTCTTTTGACGGTACTGGATGGCCATCCTGTGCAGCTGGATCCAGGAGCCGGTGGTAGATGGTGGGATGAGGATATTTCTGGAGCGACGAGGGATCGTCAAAAGCAGCATCCACTTGCTCCTGGGTCAGGTTCGAGATCTGTGCAAAGCCAGAAGTGTCTGGTAGGAAGTTGACGGATATTGAAGGTGGTAGGGCCCATATGAGGTTTCGATATGAGGGTAGGTGCTTGAAAGGGAGGAACTCAGGGTTGGCGTAGTCCATCGCGATGACTATGGGCGCCTTGAAATCAGGGGCAGACAACGCGTTGAGCGATTTGCCGAAGCAGAATGCAGAGATGGTGTCGACCGTGAGACATCGAAGCCCGAGATACATGTTGGACGACTGTGCGGCGGCATATTGACGGACCAATGCGTCACAATAATCATCAAGCTTCTGTCTGACAAGCCCCTGAATGCCGCTGACTGCTCTTCTCGAAAAAAGAGGCTGCAGTACGTCTTTCCGCTGCTTGGCTTGCGGGTAGGTCAGGTATCCGAACGACGTACTGTCGACACCCATCGAATGGTATAGGATCTTCTCCTTGTCCCATCGTATCGCCGGGGCATATATGTCGAAGTATGCTTTGGGGCTGGCAAAATGAAGTTCATTGGGTGCCGTTCGTACAACATCGCCATACTGTTTGTGCAGTCTTGTCAGGACATCGGTCATGGACTCCTTCTTCCACACCTCGATATATACTTTCCACCAATGGCTCGCCCTACCTGCTATTGGGCCAGGAAAGCTTCGTAACGAATGGAAGTAGACATTGTAGATGAGGCTGAAGACGAACTCAGTGGCATAGCCCACGAGTAGAAGGGCGACAATGATTGCCAGGGTCGAGCCATTAAGCATTTGCACCCCGGACATGGGTGCGCCGCCGGAAGCGTTGGGCTTGGCGTTGAGGTCGTCCAGTCCGGGTGGCAGGGGGTTGAACGCCTCAGATGTCTTGTAGCTCATTGCTTCTGCTCACAAAAGATCCCTTCTCGCCCAACGAGAAGTAACAGAGCGAGTGCAAAGGACAGGAAGAACCGCATTCAGGCCTAGGTGGACATCAGCCTAAAGACGGGTATTCCTCGGGTCGGCGCTCGCGTTGCCCCACGGGAGCGACATCGTACCAGCACCCTGCATTGCTATTCCTCCTCCTCTGGCCCAGGACCGGGACACAACGTTTGTGCATCGTCGGCAGGTTGAACCCGTCTTTGCATAAATGGGACAATCTGGAGTCTGCGGAATTGATGCGCCGAATTTCAGACAGCCGAAGCACCTAAGATTGATACGCGGAGACCTCGACGCAGAGACCGCCTAAACTTCGCTTCAACCAAGGTGGCAGAAAGGACACTACAGGCGACTGCAACGTCGATCGACTGTCGCTCGTGTCGGTCTGAGACCGCATACCTGGGGTTGTGATTTGTTATCAATCTCTAAAAATCACCTGCCACGAGTTGAGCAAGACCTCCATGCACAAACCATCGGTGCTCGTAGTTGGAGCCGGTACATGGGGCACTAGCACCGCCTTACACCTCGCCAGGCGCGGCTATTCCTCGGTCACAGTGCTTGATCGATATCCGGTGCCATCGCCCATCTCCGCTGGTAACGATGTGAACAAAATCATTGATCTCAACCGGGAGTCCGGCGAGGATGCGGACGAAAGGCATGTTTCTCGACTGCTGTATGATACTGTCATGCGTGGCTGGAAGGAGGATGTCGTCTTCCGCGACTACTGCCATGAAACAGGAATGATCATCGCCGCGTCTTCTCCGGAAGGCATCGAGCACGTGCGAAACGAAGAAGGAACCGATGGCCCTGAATGGACCGAACTCAAGACCAAGCATGATTTTCAAGCCGCCATGCCAGATGGCGTGCTCACAGGTGAGTTCCCCGGCTGGCGTGGGTGGTGGAAACAGGCCAACAGCGGCGCCGGCTGGGTGCATGCCCGCAAGGCCATGCAAAGTGCCGCGTCCGCAGCATCATCCTTGGGTGTGGTATTTCTTTCTGGTGAAGCCGGAGATGTGGTCGAACTGATTATTGAGGACAGCGATGTGAAAGGTGCTCGGACGCGTGATGGCCAGCGACATCGTGCTGAAAAGGTTGTCCTCTGTGCTGGCGCGAACGCGGCCAGCCTGCTCGATATGCAGGGTCAACTACTGCCCAAGGCATGGACACTGGCTCATATCAGACTAAGCGAGGAAGAGATTAAGCTGTACAAAAGCCTGCCGGTGCTGTTCAACTGCGAACGAGGTTTCTTCATGGAGCCGGACGAGGACTGCAGAGCCCTGAAGATCTGCGACGAGCATCCCGGCTACTGCAACTGGATCATGGAAGATGGCGGAACGGAATTCAAACGTGACGACGGCAGGCGCGATGAGCCTTTCGCAAAGCACCAGATTCCGGTAGAGGCAGAGCAAAGAGTCCGACTGTTCCTGCGAGAGACCATGCCACAGCTGGCGGAGAGACCGTTCTCCTTTGCCCGCATCTGCTGGTGCGCCGACACTCCAGACCGCAACTTCCTCATCGATCGGCATCCCGAGTATCCCAGTCTGACTTTGGGAGTCGGTGGCTCAGGCCATGGGTATGTATATATCCCGGCCATCGGGAGTTTCATCGTAGATGCGGTAGAGGGCCAGCTCGACGCCAGAATGCAAAAACAATTCCGCTGGAGGCCAGAGACTGCTGTTGGTCGCGATTGGACAGCACTGCAAGGAAGGTATGGACCAAAAGGAAGTTGCAAGGTCATGGACTTGCATCAGGTGCGAGAGTGGACAAACATCTACTCGTCGAGTCCGCTATGAGTACTTGATCGCCCTCATGGTGTCAAATATAGAGACTGATAGGCAAATTGGAACGAGACGAAAGTGTAATGCTGTGTGAATTGACCACCGTCTATGCTGACTAAGGCCATTCCAAAGCGCCTAGTCGAGATGCCTATAACGCCATGGTCCTTTCCAACTCACCATCCCAGGCACCAATGCCCAACCACTCCTATTAGCAGTCCATGCTTCGGCTGATATCTGATACCGTACCTCACACACGTAGAGCCGACCGAGGTGTGCTGCCAGCGTTGCTGGTCTACGAGAGAGTCTTCTCGTTGCGCTGATGCGACACCTGAGCAGGCGTGTCTGCCATGGGACCCACTGCGTCCGTTCTGTTCTTCAATGGATCAATGGCGCGTTTCCACCAGACACATGCCTTCTTCACGAGATGCTCCACCTAGAAGCCTAGCTTAGCTGGTTTGACTCGAGGAATGATGCCAATGAGAACGAGAACAATGGCCACTAGGACAGCCCAAAGTCTGACGCCAAGGACGTTCTTGTTGAAGTCGGTTTGAGTGGCTGTCGCAACAGTTGCAAGAGCGGCAAAGAGGACGGTGTAGCCAGAAACCCTTGCTACAATCAGCCGAATTCAGCTCGCAATAGACCAATCATACCTATGATACTTGTAGAGGGCTTTGCCATTGTCGACTCCGCCCAACAAGCTCGGCGTCCAGTACTGCACGAAGCCAACAATGGCCTGAATGCAGATGAGACCAAAGGTGATCATGCCGAGTATGCCATGGGGCGACTTGAAGCGCTGATCTGGGTGAGGTGCCTTATTGAGCTCAATGACCACTACGCCTGCCACCAACGCTCCGACGCCCACGAAATTGAGTGCGGAATGTGCCCATGTTCCATCTCGTTTCTGCTTTTGTGTCGCCGTAGGCTGTACGATGAGGATCGCTTGTACGAGAAAGAGAACGCCGGCCGACTGAAGGAGCTATCTTAGGTCAGCATAGATTCATCGTAGAGCGGGTGCAGTCACATACAGGATGCGCGCTAAAGAACATAACACCGTGCTCGAAAATGGCAGCCTGTCGTGGTCAGCAGGAGCGCAATGGTACGGGTCGACACTAGTCACCCAGATAATAGCGGCCAATATCCAGACTCCGACCTGTGCCAGAATAGCGGTGCCGGTAAAGAAATTGTAGTATAAGCCCTGGTCGGATTGTTGGGTGGCATCGCCGGGTCTTCCAAGCAACGGCTCTTGCTCGGAGCTCGCGGGAACCTGTTCGGGAATGCCTGTAGCTGAGGCCATATTGATCTATATCTTCGGGGCAGAAGTGTGCAGTGTGATGGTATAGAAGGAGAAGGAAGCTGTCGCAATCTGAGGGTGGACGAGGACAGGTCAACGCAGGCAGCTGTGATCAAACGCGTCCGAGGCAAGAGCAACCGGCAGTAGAGGGTGGTGAGGAGGGTCGACGCATCAATTGCGCCATCAAGTGTATTTGCAAGCAGATCCAGCTGGAACTGCGGAGTGCGGCCCTCCACACTTGGATGAAGGTGATGGACGTGGAGGGGCGTTATTGCTGTAGTGCAAGGGTAAGGCCATCGTTGCTGACCTTCGTTGGGCGCGGATTGGGTGTGAGGGCAGTATTGCGGGGTTGAAATGACGCTTAGATCTGATAAGCCTGGCCCCTAAACCGCGGAGTTACAGGGGTGCCAGTCCTTCGGGATATGGTATTGCCGGCTGAGGTCATCGAATCAGGTGTTGCCATTCACTGCCTGCATCTTTCAACATCCTGTAAATGTATACTTCCTCAAGCTTCGAACATTTGCAGCCCAGGAGTTCAGAAAGTATCTGCGATGATTAGTTGACCAGAACCGCCTGGTAGGTAATCATTTCCTTCCAGAACAGGATTGTCGCCTCAAGCACTAATGGGCTTGTGGTAATGCTATCGATTTACCATTCACAACCACGACGTGCACATAACGGAGGCCTGAGTTACACGATACCGGTGCAACCTACTTAAAATGAGCACTCCTATCGAAGAGTAGAACAGAGCTGGGGTTTCATGGGTTCTCCTGCTTCAAGCCTTAGGCAAAGAATATCGGGGAGGGTAATAGTAAACCCGGGCTTGGATGGCAATGCTCTGAGACTTTCACCGCCATGTCTCTGCCTTGATGGCTAGGATAAGGCTGCAGCCGGGAAACCTGGCGTCAAAAGGGAATTTGGGCTGTCGTAGCTCCCGCCATCTCTTCTTGTGCCTGGAGGCTAGCCTTTGGCGCTGGGGGTCTTTGGCAACGCAGCTTTGATCCAAAGGTAGCCGGCTGGCTTAGGCACACGTAGACTTGCATTGCCGTCGACGGGCCCAACGAGTCATGGGACAGCCACTTTGGGTCCTTTGCCATGATGTGCGTGGGTATTCCCGTAGCGTGGTTGACCTGTCGCGCAGGGGAGAGACTGACTCCACCGTGGCAGATGCCATGCATAACGGTTGGTCAAGCAAATTCAAAGCTGCCCATGGGGTCTACGACAGACGCCATCGAGACATGCTTGACAACACCGAATTCGTCTTGTGTCCTCTGTGTACATCAAAGAAGACAAGGCTATAAGGGGAGTGGTGAAGCAAAAGGCAACATCTGGGCTCATGGGAGGAGGTCAGAATCACTATTCCATATACGATTAGCTCCAGGAGCTTGAGCAAACATCACGTCGGGACAGGCGCTCTCGCTGCCATCACTTTGGGACTTCATCTAGTTCGGCCGATGATGACAGTCGTAACTGCACAGTACAAGGCGGGCTAGCTTCTGTCAGTCCGGCAAGGAGTGACGAAGCTCTCGACGCAGCCACGGTCACGATGAGGTCGAATTGCTCAGCCACGAATCAGGGCAACGTTCCTGTGCTGGTGATCTGAGCCTCCTCAATTCATAGCACGAATCGCAGCCGGTCCCAGTGCTTGAGGTAGGCAGCAGTCTGTAGGAAAGAAGGTGGAGCCCATTTGCCCTCGTAACGCACAGTTCAGCAGCCCGACAGGAGTCTCCTTCCTGGTTCAATTCCGTTCGCTCACTTGGCCTCGGAAGGTCAGCACTCTCTCTGCCGCAGCTACCAGGACTATGTGCTGCAGGATCAGGTTGCCACGAAGCGGTCACGAATAGGCGTTTGGTGTGGTGGCGTAGAAGGTCATGTCCCTTGCACTACGCGCCCTCGATAGTTCTACTGCGAAGCAAGGCAGACTGCAACTATGGCCTGCAAGAGCTTTGATACACTCAGCGCGGCTGATTCGTACATTGACCGACCTAACGGACCGTCAGGTCGGCACCGCAAGGTCGCCAGGCTGATCTTGACGCGAAGTGACTATCGGGCTGCTGCAGAAAGGCAGCCTGCTGGCTGATTCTGTAATGCCTTGGCACTGCTGCCTTCTCCCCGTTTGTCCTCGAAAAGCTAGCTCCTCCGGACTCTTGAGCTCTTCTTCGCAAGCGCATGACTAAAAGTCTTCGGCCATCATCGCAACAGTTGTCGCTGAGCTACAACCTACCATAGATCGTTTCAGCGGGCCGCCATGGGCGATGCAGGAACACTTCCGGCGCAGAAGCGCAGTATCACTTCCGCTGAGCATGAAGAGTTGTTGGACATAATCGACAAGATCCGGTCGCAAGGTATCTCGAGATACATCGACCTTCCACAGATCGTTGTCTGTGGCGATCAATCGGTACGTGCCTCCCGAGGCCTATTCTGACGTCTAACAATGTCTAGTCCGGCAAGAGCTCCTGTCTGGAGGCAATCTGCGGTCTAAGATTTCCTACCGGCGACGGCTTATGCACCCGATTCGCGACTGAATACATCCTACGTCGATGCTCTGATTCTAGTGTTTCAATCAGTATTGTACCCGACACCGAGCGGATTGACTCCGAAAAATTCAAGCTGCAGTCCTTTCAGCCGTCGACCACAGATCTCGATTGCTTTCCGGAAATCATCGAGGAAGTCGCACGATGCATGGGTATTGGACAGAACGGCAAGACCTTCGCTCACGACGTTCTCCGAATTGAGATCAGCGGCCCAACCCAAGGACATCTTACTCTCGTCGACCTTCCGGGTCTGTTTCACTCTTCGAGCAAATCCCATACGGATGGCGACAAAGATGCTGTCTTCTCCCTTGTGGCTTCTTATATTGCAAGACCAAGAAGTATTATTCTCGCAGTGGTGTCAGCTAAGAATGATTTGAACAACCAGGCAGTACTCAACTTCGCTCGTGAGCACGACCCTACCGGCGTCCGCACTCTTGGTATCATCACAAAGCCCCACACCCTATCGTCAAACTCTCCCAGTGAGCAAGCCTACCTCGAGATTGCGAAGAACAATGATGTCAAGTTCGATCTCGGCTGGCATGTTCTGCGTAACCGAAGCTGGGAGGAACAAGCCTCCACTGCAGACGAACGCGATCGTACCGAGCAATCCTTCTTCGAATCTGGGACTTGGAGAGCTCTGGATGTGAAGAACAAGGGTATATCCACTCTGCGCGTTCGACTGAGCAAGATATTGTACAATCACATCCTCAGTGAGCTTCCAAGCCTCCTCAAAGATGTTGAAGCTGGGCTCACTGAGTGCAGTGAGCGACTCGAGACCCTTGGTAGTTCGCGTGGAACTGTGGAGGAGCAACGCATGTACCTGCTTCGAGCAAGTCAGAAGTTTGTGTCGCTCATGACAGCCGCCTTTGACGGCACGTATCATGACTCATTCTTTGGCAGCTCAGTTTCTGTCGAGGGATATCAGAAGCGTCTGCGTGCCGTATCTGTTGCGATCCTCAAAGACTTTGCCGAAGACATGCGGCTGAAAGGTCATGCTGTTGAGCTCGTTGACAAGCTTCCATCCAAGTACAAACATGAGGCACGTACTCCTCGAAAGACGACGCGCGACGACTTCTACGACCAAGTCCAGTTCCGTATGCGCCGTAACGGTGGACGTGAGCTTCCGGGTTTATTCAACCCTAGCATTGTTGGTGATCTGTTCTCAGACCAAGCAAAGCCGTGGTCACGTATTGTCGCTGGGACCAAAGACGCTCTTCTCGAGGCTGCGCACACCTGTGTTGGATTGGTGCTTGATCAGGCAGCTGATGAAGCAACCATAGATGGCATACTCCACGAGATTGTGAACCCCGGGATGGAATCACTTGAACGTTCACTCTCTGACAAGGTGGAAGAGGTCCTCACCCTGAACCTAAAACGCCACCCATTCACACTGAACCACTACTTTACGGAGAACATCCAGCGCAAGCGTGTGGAGCAGACTCGGAAAGATATGGGCAATCGCCTCCATGAGTTCCTAGGCGTCAGTCCTGAGGCCGAAGATGCTAAGGATCGACGCTACGAAGGCAGTTTCGATGTGCGTCAACTCCTGAACGCTCTTGTCAAGCAGACCGAATCGAACATGGACCGCTTCGCCGCTATCGAATGCGTGAATGCTATGCTAAGCTACTACAAGGTAAGCCACACTCCTCCTGAATAGTTATCCTTTTGGTCTAACTTGTATTAGGTTTCGTTCAAGACGCTCATTGATGCTTTCGGGATCTATGCTGTGGAAGCGTGTCTGCTCAGCAAAATCCCCAGCGTGTTCACACCCGAGACCGTGCTGAAGCTTGACGATTCCGCAGTTCAGGCGATCGCTGGTGAATCTCAAGAGTCACTGACCGAGCGAGAAAGCCTCACGAAGAAGCTTCTCATCCTTAAAGACACGCAAAAGATTCTTCACCGCTTGGATCGACACAAGGGCAATCGTAAGGGCTCCCATCCCGTGGACCCACCTCCCTCCGCTGACAGTATCAAGGCATGGCTACCTGCAAGCAGCCGAGAGATCCCAGCCCAGCCACTCCCGAAGGCGGTTCCGACGACGAATCCGACAGTCGCACCTCGGGTGACTCCCACTGCTAGAAAAATGCTCGATCCGCACATGGGGTGGCGCAAAGTTCCCTTGGGACCTCGGGAGGCCCCATCCACCGTCATCAATCAATCAGGCAGGCGATGGAGGCAACCAGTCAGTCCCAGCAAGAAGCTAGCTGCCAAGCTGGCCGCGACCAAGAATGTAGCAGCCCCCCATTTCGATCCTCCCGTCTAGTCCGACGACATTACGCCACGCCAAACTTGTACCGATTTGTTCCGACTACCAGAGTTCACCTACGGGAGGTCTAATTTGTGAGGTTGCTGGAGCTTGCGTACCTAGAGCATCGCCATCAGAGATGTGTAGGATCTTGGATGAACGCAACAGACGCTGCATGGCCTGATCAAGCTTCTTAACTCAGTCGAGGAACTCGGTAGCCTAATATGATTGATTCCAAATGGTGCCATTGACCGAGTGATGTGCCTAACCCAGCTAGAGACTAACGCTGTTACCGTGAGAGCCGGCTGTCATTCGTACACCGGCTTGCCATTGATGCACACCTCCTCCTAGTCATTCCTCCCGGTCGCATGCCGCAGCCAAATGCTTCAGTCCTGGCCCCGACTCGCACCCGTATACACAGCATCAGCAAATGGGTCTTGGTGTATCATATCCCAAGCCTCATAAGTAGATGCCCCATAGATCGATGCCCGTACCCTGATATCCTCAATCAAAACTTTGCGATGCACCAGGTGCAAAAGTGCTACGCACTATTTCCAAGCACAGCAGCGATGTCGATAAGTCAAAACAAGCACGAAGATCCCAGTCGCGTCGTCACAGTAAGGCTGATTCCGGGCGCTCTGGGTCCGGGGTAGCCGTTCTCTGGACCGGAACGCGCCGATTTGTGCCGTCAATTGCTCGCCTAGCGCATATCCACGGCTCATGGACGCATCTCAGCAAAGCAATCCATTAGTTTGTCGTGGTTCGCTTGGGTGCCACCTGGCGTTGGGACTTTGGCATCGACTCGTGCTCTGAGGACCTTTGGCAGGAAAGCGCCCGCCCCCATCTGGCATCGAAGGAACATTGACCATGTGACCGGAATCCTGTGAATCAGCCAAAATCACCATACGCCTTACACGAGACGCAATGCAGCCACACGTGCGCGCGAACCAGTGGGCGCAGCAAGGCAGCGAAACAGAGGGCTTAGATGGGGATCGCGCCGTAAAAGCGGCAAGCGAAGCCTGACCTTTCGCTGCAGCTGGTGGAGGAGATGGACTGTAGTCCAATGAGTGGGCGCTGCCTCGATGTTTTGGGGCTGAGTGAAGCGTTGTGTGAGCCACGTCAATCTTTGAGTTCGTGTTGTACTGATATGCCTTCTGTCTGCTCTTTGGAGGGACGCTGGTACAGAATTCAACTCCCCTATGGAGACTTGCACTATGTTCTGTAACAATGTCTAGGCACCCGAATTTCATAGCGCCGGGAGGACATGGCGGTGAGTCTCCGTACCGCCGGTACGACGAGGACTCGGCTGGCAGAGTTGCTGAGAAGCGAACGTTGATCAGGAGAGAAGAGTCGCCGACTACTGGCGAGGAGCTCGTGACAGTGCGCAGCATTCCCAGCATCGGCAGCCCGAGTTCCTTGAGACGAGCCTCTACGTCACTGTCGTCGTCAATGGAAATTCCAGGGAGACATCACCAAGTCGCCGACCGTCAGCACCACGCCTTTCGTCGATCGCAATCATTCAATGCCGTTTCATCGCTTCGTGGCTTATCACCACCCCCTCAGCACCCTGCTACGAGTACCAAACGTGATGACATAGTCGTTCTCGTGATGGGTATGACAGGCAGCGGAAAAAGCTCTTTCATCAGTCGAGTTTCCGATAGCAAGGTCCAGATTGGCCATTCACTCACCTCCTGCACGACCGATCCAGAAATCTATGCTGTGCAGCTGCCAGGCCGTCGCCATGCATATCTTATCGACACGCCTGGCTTCGATGATACCTCAAAGTCAGACGCTGAGATTTTGAAAGGTATCGCATTCTTCCTGCACAGCCTCTTTCAGCGGAAAATGCTGCTGTCTGGGATGATCTACATGCATCGCATCACCGATGTGCGCATGGGAGGTGCGGCGATGAAGAGTTTGGAGCTGTTCAGGCGTATCTGCGGATCCGAGGCCTTCCAAAACATTGCTCTTGTGAGCACTATGTGGGAGCAGCTGAAAGGTGAAGAAGGGCAAGAGGTTGGTGAGGAACGCGAGGACAAACTCTTGTCCGAGGCGAGGTTCTGGAAGGATTTCGTGGATGGAGGGAGTAGACCACTGCGTCATCATGGAACAGACACCTCTGCGCGACGGATTCTCGAGAGCATGCCGCTTGCTTCTCCGCCCGGGATAGCTCTACAGCTGCAGCGGGAGATGGCCGACGGACGCTCACTGGACAAGACATCGGCAGGCATGTACCTAGAGGGTGGCATGGAACAGATGATATCCAAGTACGAGAAAGAGGTGCGCCGATTACGACAGGACATCGACGAAGTGCGTGCCGAAGGAGATCTGGCGAGCGAGGAGATGCTGCGAGAAGAGCACAAAGCATCGTTGTCAAAGCTACACGAGACCGAAAAAGGCATGGACTCCTTGATCGTGGACGCGGATCAATTGATCAACGAAAAAGCTCCCGAGTACAGGGAGAACGTGGAAAAGCAACAACGGCGAGAATTGGCTCGAGACCCGGCCCTGGCCGAAGTTCTGCAACGTCAACGTAAGCTGGAAGCGGAAAAGCTGGAGCTGAAGAGGGACATCGACTACCTGAAGCATCGCGACAAAGAGAAGAGCCTGCTTATAGACGCGATGCGTCGACAAGATCACGCCTCACGCCTCCACGACAGGAGGGGCGAAGCTCGACAACGCCGAGCTTCAATATCACCACCTCCGTCCTCAAGGAGCCGGGTCGAGGAAATTGAAGCTCAACAGCGTCAGGACGACCGCTTGATCGACGAGAAACTGCTGGCCAGAAACCCTGCTATCAGCTTCGCCCGGGAGTTGGTCAAGCCACTGGCTCCAACTGTGGCTCGATATTGGAACGCTGTCGCTCCCCGTCAGACGCCTCGGAATGGACGTGCGGAACGGCCAGGACGGTACTACAGATAGTAGTAATGTTTCAGATGCTGATTATGAGTATGATTATGCATTGGTGGTAGTATTACATATTGATACATCTCAAGAACTACGGAGCACCATCGTTCCATGCTTGACATCCTTACACTGCGATCCACAGCTGATACACTGGTCATAGTTATCACGCCTGCCTGCGGAGGTACACAAACAGCAATGATAGAACGGGTGGCGTTTCATCCTGATGTGGCGTGTGCACCTGTCGCACCGCACCTCGCTGACTGGCTTTCTTCTGCACGAGGCGCCCGTGTTAGCCTGGGCGGCTGCTTCTCGTTGTCGAGCTTCCTCCTCTTCTTTCCGCCGTCGGAGCTCTTTCAGCTGTTTGTTGTCTTCTTTCAGTTGATCCTTCTGCCGGGCCTTCCGCGCTTCCTGACGAGCCGCCCAAGCCTTCTGTTGTTTCTCGATTCTAGCAAGATCCTCCTCCTGCCGACGACGGTCTTCTTCCTCCATGGCCAGTTTCTGCGCGTTGTATTCTTGTCGCCGCTGCCTTTTCCTCTCCGCTAGGACTTCTCGATTTCTCGCTCGCATGTCCTCCAAGTCCTTGTTGAAAATCTGGGCCCAATGGTTGAGATCATCAGCAACGGCTTCTGCAGCGGCAGTCTTGCATGGCGGGACGCCGGCTTGCATCTGCTTCTGGGCTTCCAACAATGCTGTCTTGTTCTGGGCAATCTTCAGTAGCAATCTGCGATCTTCGCGTACACCATATCCTGTCCTGGCGATTCTCAAGCCTTGCTTAGACAGTAAGCCGCAGAAATCGTCGTTTTCGTAAAGCTCCCGCTCTCGTCGTGCTCCGACAGATAAGTCAACGCTGTTCCAGAAGCTCGTTGCCAGTACTACGTTGCTGAAGTACTCTGGGCCACAAAGACGACGGAACATTTGCATGCTGGACCGAGCAGAACCTTGGATCCTGTTATCGGTGATGCGGTGCATGTAAACGATGCCGCTCAGTCGTTGGTTTTGATTGGCAGAAGTGCGCAGCCATTCAAGTATCTTGTCGACTATAACGTCGTCGTTGAACCTCGAGTCATCGAAGCCAGGAGTATCGATCAAGGTGATATTAAAGCCGCCATAGGAGAACGAATATGGTACGACTTCTTCGGTTGCTGTCAACAGTCAGTGATAGATTCTCTTGTGCTCCAATGGCGGCGATGCGTACCTGACTCCAGCGAGTGGCCGACATAGACATCGTCACGTCCAGTGACCTGTTTTATGAAGGTGCTTTTGCCGGCGCCGGTCATGCCCATGACGGCAATGTAGACATTGTTGTCTCCCGACATTACTGGGCTTGTTCTCGTAGTGTGCTGTTTTCTGCGCACCACTATCTGTGCAATAGCATCAAAAAGAACGACAATCAAGTTGTACTTCGTTGCAGCAGGTCAGTGTGAGATTGCTGAGAGAGCATCTTGATGCTCATGCTGCAGGATCGAGACAGATATGCCCTTGTTGGACGGGTTCGCCAGCGATGCCTGGCTGTTCTGTGGCAATGCATTGTGCCGCCAAAATCTCTTGAAGCATCGAACTTTTGCGCGACCCGGCTACGTACGGAGATTCTGTTCAGAAGTTCGAAATTCCGGCGACTTGTTACGAACGCAAAGTCAATGCACCGCCCACCAAAGTCTTGATCCTAAGCAACGCGGGGTACCAAACGCTGCCGCTTTATCGCCAGAATCCGTGGTGAAGCCAATGATGGGCAGCCGGGGCTTGCACAACAAGCCATCAAGCGAACAACCCACGCGAGGCGCACCACTTCGTCCGCCTGCAGGAGCTCTGCCCATGACCGGTCACCAAAATCCCCCTCCAGACACGAACTGAGCATCGTGCAAGAATGCTCTCATCCGGGCAGCCTGTTTCTACAAGTATAATCACTGATTTGTGTTTCCGGGCTTCGGAGTTGCGCAATGCTCTTTCTCGCTCATATTCATTGACAGAGCTGTAGATTGTCTGCGTACTCTCGAGCATTGTGTTCAATCAAGAGTTCCTTCTGCTGCTCCTCAACTTCGACCAAATCATCTACGATGTCTCATGTTGCCAATGGAAGTAGGCCGAGGGCCGTGGACGAGGCTTTCGACATCAAGTACGTTCTACACCAAACTTTCCCCATTGCGATGGGAATCCATACTGATCATCCTCGCAATCAGACCTACTGATACCATCATTGCTGTGATGGGTCTTACTGGAGTAGGAAAGAGTACCTTCATCGGTCATTTTGCGGATGGCCGAAGGCCAGACGTAGGCCACATATTAGAGTCATGTCAGTCTCATCAAATTTCCAATGACTTTTGGGGTCTATGGCTGACGGCCGTGAATTAGGCACAAACGAGGTCGATATCTATAAATGTAGTGACTACCGACTTGGGGAGTTCTATCTGGTGGATACTCCAGGATTTGACGACACGCACCTCAGTGATACAGACATCCTCATTAAGGTTGCCAATTGGCTCAGCCGGCTCACCCAAGAAGAGATACGATTGACAGGTATCATCTACCTGCACCGAATCTTCGACAATCGCGTGGGGGGCAGTGGCATGAGGAACTTGCGGTTTTTCAAGAAGCTTTGCGGCGACAGGGCTATGTCGCAAGTCGTGCTCGCCACTACAATGTGGCACATGACTGACGAAGACACGGCTAAGAGACACGAAGCAGAGCTCATGACCAAGCCGGACTTCTGGGGCTCCATGATCGCCAACGGCAGCAAAGTCCTCCGACAAGACAACGACAAGGTGTCCGCCCGAGCCATCATCAAATACCTCATCGACAAAAAAGCCAGCAACACCGGCCGACCCCGGCCCCTCGCCATCCAGGAGGAGATGCAAGCCGGCAAATCCCTCGAAGAGACCGGCGCCGGCCAAGAAATGCAGTCCGAACTCGCCAAACAAAAAGCCGAGTACGAGCGCCAGCTGAACAAGCTACGACAAGACCTCAAACAAGCGATCCGCGAAAACGACAAGAACTGGCAGGCCGAGCTGCAGCAGCTCAATGAGGAAAACAAAGCCAAAACCGCGCAGGCGGACGCCGACCGCAAGAAACTCAACGCCACCAACGAAGCGCTGATGAAGCAACTCAACGCCCAGGAGGCCAACGAGGCCGACGCCTGGAAGAAAGAGCGCGACAATCAGCAGCGCTTGACGGCGCGGCTGGAGTACGAGTTGCGCATGCTGAACGCACGCGCGGATTCCGAGGCCGAGAAGTTCCGACTGAGGCAGCAGCTGCAGGACGAGCACAACAAGTTGGAGATGCTGAGATGGAAGATCAGGCAGTCGCAGGCGAGTTGTGTGGTTATGTAAAAAGTTGTCCGGAGGTGTGCTTTGATGCTTAGGTGTCCTAGAGAGCTTGTCCTTCGGTTTGCAGGGGAGGAGGGTATTGCGACGTGACGCGGCCGGGTGGGTTTTGTGAAGCCATCAAAAGGGACAAAATTGGCACATCTACTTGTATAGAATTTTCGTCGAGAGGGGCCGTAATGGTGCAACATAATGACTCTTGATAGATCATGTCACATGGGAGTTTTTCAACACCAGCAGCTGGCTCTTCGTGTACTGATACAGGGCGAGATGCAATGAAATCAGCCATTGCAAATAGTCTCTACTCATCACTACAACTAGTCGGTACCATACGTGGGAACATGAGTGCAGTATTGCAGTCTCTAGTGAGCCCGATCGTCACCACAGTTGGCCTGCTCATCCCACTATGCAGCAGCAGCAGCAACTTGTATTCCATCTAGGTTCCCACTTGTCCTCCAACCGTCCAAAGTCCGAGCATACTTCAAGAACCCCTGCCCATACAAACCCGTCCGTGCCAACTTGCCCAATGCCTCGGGAGGAAGGTGTGCCGCGTCGCCTTCCAGCGTGAAGTAGCCAGGCGTGCATTGCAGAACGGCAGCCGTCAGGTGCGCCGCCGCCGCCAACTCGTCGCCCCACTTGTTGCACGCGTCCTCGGTGGGCTCGATGATGGCTCTCTGGCCCTGCCCAACCTTCCGCTCTGCCTCAGCGATGATGTAGCCGATGTGGATGCTCTGCTCCTCGAGGCGCTGGACTTGATTCACGCCGACGCCGGCTTGCGACAGGGAGGTGTGGAAGAGGTTGGGAAAGCCGTGGGTGATGCAACCGTGTAGGGTCTTAAGATCCATGGTTTTGTTCAGGCCTTCCATGTCTTGGCCGGTTCGGCCGCGGACGGCCATTTCGGCCTTGCCTGCTAGGGATTCGGTGAGCGGGTTGCCGTAGCCCGTGCTCCAGACGATGATGTCGACGGGGAACTCTTGGCCGTTGACTTTGATGCTGTTTTCGGTTAGGGATTCTAGGCCCTTGCCGTCGGTGTCGACTAGGTGGACGCTGGGGAGGTTGAAGGTTGGGAGGTATTCGTCGTGGAACGTCGGTCGCTTGCACCATCCTGGATACCAGGCCTGGAGCTTCTGTGCGTGAACTGTCAGTTCCGGCATAGAGCTTAGAATCAGGGGGTTTCTCACCTCAGCTGTTTTCTGGTCTTTGACGATTTCCAACGCCCGTGCTCGAACCTCGTTGGATCGCTCATCGTCTAACTTGTGCAAATACTCAACCTGCTGAGCCATGTCGTCTGCTTTTACGTCACTTGGCCCACCGAACGTGCCGGAGATCGAAGGCATAGAACAGAAACCGTCGTTTATCAGATTCTCTTCCGGCAGATCCGCCGCCTGCTCCGTGAATACTTGGAGATTGTTCATCCTCTCCGCTTGCCAACCCTTCTTGGTGGCAATCTTCGTCTTCCATTCCTCCATGTCGGTGTCTCGATTGCCACGATAACCGACAGCGGATGGTGTGCGTTGAATGACATAAAGCTCTTTGGCGTACTTGCCCAGCTCAGGGACCGCTTGAATCGCCGTGGCACCAGTGCCGATGATGGCCACTCTCTTATCTCTCAGCTTGTCAAGCACAGGATTTTCTGGAGAGCCACCGGTGACATCGTAAAGCCAGCGACCCGTGTGCAGCATCTTGCCCTTGAATGAACCCATGCCAGGCACATTCGGGATCTTTGGATATGTGAAGCCACCAGAACCCAGGATGACATAGTCAGCATGGATTTTCACCGTTTGTTCTGCTAGACCTTTGGGCTTTTCCACAAGCTCGCAAACCCAATGATCGTTATCCCACGAACAACTTTTACCTGCCGTTTGGAACATGGCCCTGTCCTCCAGATGCCACTGCTTGGCGATAATGTTGACATATTTCCGAATCTCCTCACCACCCGCATACCTTCGCGAGGGGATGTATCCCGTTTCCTCCAGAAGTGGCAGGTAGACATAACCAGTCGAAGTTAGATCAATGTTCATTCTCGGACTGACAAACTTACCTCTCCACATCACACATTAGTCCAGGGTACCTGTTCCAGTACCAGGTTCCGCCAAAGCCGCCAGCTGGGTCGACGATGAGGATGTCTTCTGGACTCTTGGCAGCGCCAGCACCCAGACACTTGACAGCAGCCAGCAAGCCGGCGAACCCGGCGCCGAAGATGAGGATCTTGCAACTGCCACCATTTGGCACAGGCCTATGCACAGGCGTGCCAGCTTGTATCCAGGGATCTTCAGTCAGAAAATCGACATGATGATCCCGGCCAAAAAACTGGCCCAAGCCCTTGGATTGCTGCTGACGTTTCTGGCGCTCCTCCTCGTACTTCTGCTTCAGGTCGACGACCATGGTGCACTTTCTGTCTCCGTAGTATCAGAGAGTGCAACGTTGAGCGGACGGTGAAAGTCTACGCGCGGATAGGCGAAGGTAGTGCTGTGAGATGAACACAGATACCTGTGGAAGAAGGAAGGCCGAGGTAACAAAGTTCCTTTATATTGTTCCCGGACTGGTTCCGCTTCCGCAGCCACGCAAGATGCATCATCAGATCTGACATGACGCTGGTCCAGACCGGGATAGCTCAAAGTAACAGTGGCTTTGAACGGTAAACTCTACCGTATTCGGGGACGAGTCGCGAGCGGGGTAGACAGGAGCGTTCGGGGAAGGAACGCGAGAGAAGCCTTGCGGCTGTCGGGATCCCCCAGAAGACCAAGATGCTTGAAACGCGTAGCGGCGTACGTCCTTAAGAAGTCTGTGATCCATTGTCTTCTTCCGAGTAGCCACGCGACACGTCGAGACTCGAAGGCAGAGGGTGGCGGTTTTGAGAGCATGGGTGGCGGCGGCGGATGGCTCCAGCGGGGCTCCCTTCCCCAAGCTTCGCGGGTCCAGGAGATCTTGATGACATATCACTAGCCCCTTGTGCCTCAGATGGTTATAAACGTAGTATTTTGGACTGGACCCCAAGCGTATCACAGCTACCCAAAAAGCATATGCAGTGTGTAACGGCGTAATAGGGATAGCAGCTCTGGAACTGGTGATCCTACGGGGTATTTGGCAGATCGACCTCGCTTTTGTCACGCACATCGTCCAATTGTCACTTTTCAGTCTCAGGTTTCTTTTCCAAGCCAGTGATCTCAATCTTAGCCATGCGCAGGTGATTCTGCCAACTCTCATGGGCAGCTCTGGCGTAAAGGATTATATGGTCACCAGCTCGGAGGTTCCATACCGCATCAGCCCGCGCCCAATCCGCATCGTCCTTTGGATCCTCGGTCTCCAATACGGAAATGTGCGTTGTCCAGTCTGACTTGAAGCGAACATTAAAGTAAAGTCGATCCATCCAGATCGGATGTCGAGGGTGCTGATGGTACATGAAGGCGACATCCAACCAGCTGTAGCTAGACCCGTGGCTTGCAGCTTCGGTTTCGTGGATATTGAAGCCTGTCAAGAGGTAAGCATAAGGCTCACAGTGTAGTGTGGAGAGGCTCGAACCTTGATCGTGAGACTCCGTGGTTATGATGACTTGGCTGACGCGAACAAAGTTCTCCGGTACAGTGACGGTCATGTAACACGGCGTGGTCTTCCAAAGAGTTGAGTCAGTGATTCGATGTGCGTCGGGGTAGAAAAGGGGTCTTGGATATGGACTGTAGAGATCGGTCATGTCATCGTCTGGGATGATCCTAGAGACAACGCAGACTGCCGAAGGATCTTTCAATCTTGTGAAGGAGGTAGGCTGGAGAGCGTCGCAGCTCATGTCGGAATCCTGGGCGCTTGAGCACAGGCTAGTAAGCTTCGGAAACCAAGAACGCCTCGCCCATCGTTCGATGGCGGGCTGATTGCTGTACCATGGCTGGCCATTGCGAGCATTTGCGTTGAGAAGTTGCTCGATGACGGTTCCGTGCGAGAATTGGAGGGCGAGGTCAAGGGCGTAGAAACCAGCTTCGAGATCCTGGTTAAGATCAATGCTTGAGGAGCAGATGACTCTCAGCGTTTCAATATAGCAAGCATTGTCGTCAAAGTAGTGCCGTGGAATTGCCTGTGAGAGAGCCTGGCGCCCTTTTTCGCCTTCAATGGAGACAGAGTGCTTGATCAGCAAGGATAAACATTTGGCGCGGTGCCTCGAGCAGGCGCACGATAGTGGCGACTTGAACTCATGTTGTTTGTTGGAGATGAACTCAATATCTGCCCCTAATGAAAGGAGTTCGTCAACGACATCTGGCTGGTCGTGCAGAATTGCTTCATGTAAAGCTGGCAGTGTAGCATCGCTTACAGAAGAATTGTAGTTGATGTTGGCGCCATGGTCGGAAAGCAATCTTACAATGTCTCTCTGCCCGTTGACAGCTGCACATTGCAAAGGGCTGGCCCTCTTCGAATTCTCTAATGACACATCGGCGCCTTTGTGGATCAGATATTGAATAGTACCATAGCTTCCCTGCCAAGCGGCATAATGAAGTGGCGTGTTGCCGTTCGCGTCTCGACAATTGACACCAGCACCATTCTCCAGGAGAGCCACAACGAGTACTCTCAAACCAAAGTGTGCCGCTATATGGAGACCTTTTGGACCTTCTCTCTTGATGTAGCCACGATGTAGATCCGCATCAGATGAATCCTGATCAGTCGGCTCCAACATAAATACATCGGCGGTCCGAGAGTCTTGCTGTAGCAGTGATAGAGCAAGGCTACGAACATCTGCTTCAAGAGGTACATCTGCTTCCCGATGATATGCCATCCAGGCATGATGACCCCAGTAACGACCTGCATAACCGGCGAAGGGCCGACTTCGGAGTAACGCATCCTTGTCCCTTGCAACGTCGGGCTCTTCAAACGAGAGATAGGTAAGGCAGGTTTTCGCCATCTGAAGATGCGGATTTGGCAAGATATGACAGACATGCGTAGTGAGATATTCCCTAACTGTGTGGTGAACCAAGTCGATCTTGTCCCCAGCTCTGTCAACCGTGACCAAATCTGCGCAACCCGAGGCCAAACTGTGCACCGTGGGAACATGGAGACTCTCATCGAGATGGTAATGGTCCCGATCTATGCTTAAAGCGTGGCGCATCTCACTTAGAGTAAGAGGTCTGCATGGAAGCGAGATCCACGCAAGAATTTTGATACAAAGCTTTTGTGCCGATATTGCCTGCGCTTGTAGTCTGTCGAGAGCTCGACCATAGGTAATATCGAGCCCCTTTGGCAGGATCTGCAACGCATCGATGATCTTGTCCTTGCCAGCGATTGGAACAAGGGACTGCATGTACAGTGAGGCGATGAGAAACCTGGAGGTTATTAGTCGGCTAAGCTCGCCCCCGAACCAGTGTCTCCTGCGGGTCAGAAAGCCAAATAAAGAGTACTCACATATCTTGTGCCCTGTCCAGTACCATTGCGACGATCTTTTCCGCGAATCCAGGATCCTCGTCAATAATATCTGACAGCTCAATATTATCTTGAAGTTCGCGACGGATATAGGCCTCCATATCAATCTTGGCCGCGCTAATTCTGAGTTGGTCGCTGCCGTCAAATATCCTGCCGATACTGTCCCACGGCCGCGATGTAACGAGGATACTGACGTGTGGGCCGATGTTCTGGAAATCATTCACCAAGGTTCGGTGGGTATACTCTGTACATTCGTCTAATGCATCCACCACAATGAAAACCTTGTTGAACGATTTGGAAGCAAGGCGAAGCATTGTGAGATACTCACGCTTTGTGGACTGCACAGAGGAGCGCCGAAGAGTCTCTAACCTGTCGCGGATCTCTGTCGGTATCGTTGGTAGTTTGTGTAGCAACTGGGCAAGGAGGTCGCCAGCCACTGCTGCCGAGTGCTGTCCGTGGCGAAGGTCGTAGTCAAAATAGATGTGGCAAACGGCGTGACGGTTCCTGCTGCTGCAAATTTGTTGGAGCTCCTCCACGACGAGTGAGGCCAGCACAGTCTTGCCCGCCCCGGGTATCCCTGGGCACCAAAGAAGCCCGCCCTGCTTTTCCAGCCAGATCACAAATGTTGGTGATTTTAAAAACCACTGTCCTGTTCCCGCAAGACACTCATCATAGACTTTCTCGTGCTTGATATTGAATTTGAGCCATGGAAGAACTTCGAGGAGTTCCTGGCGCTTTCGCGATTCGTAGTCGGTTGTTATCGAAGGCTTGCCAATCTGCTCTCTCAGTCGATGCAGCGCGTTCTCTCCTTCTCCGTAGATAAGAGGCATGAAAACTTCGAATATTCCAAGGAGGCAGTAGGCTTTGTCCTCTACTCGTTTAGTGCTGCGCCCTGCCGCCCACTGTAGGCGATCGTCAACGGAAAATTCAGACAAGGGCACTCCACGTAAAGCTGTAACTGGAATAGACGTGATCTCGTGGATGATCGCCTGAAGTGCCGTTTTATGGCCTAAGAAGATTCCCTCTCGCGAGTAAAACTTGACAAACTTTGGTGCAAGAAGTTCCTGCAGTGTCCAGCCTCGTGTGAACCATCTGCTTTTTCGGAAGAGTTCCCAGCAGTCTTGATCATTAGCGCTGTCCTGAGTACTAGCTGTGACATCTGACAGATACACGTAGCACATAGCTGCATCGCGATACCAACGAAACATTGATGTTATGGCGTATGTGACCTCGGTGCTGTCAGTTTTGTTAATACAACATGTATCCACCCAGAAATGCTCTAAATGGTCGTCTGCTGCTTGCTTCGCGCAGAATTGAAGCTTTTCAAAGCCGGACTTGCTCGCAGCTGTCCCCTTTTCCAAGTCGTCGAATGTCACTTCATCCTCATCCTCCCCCCATGTATGTGAGAGGACGGCATAAGGGGGGATATCGTCGAACAGATCCTTGGTAAGATCGAAGCTGCCGTGGCCGTCATGTTTCACAAGTCGCATGTTAAGCGACAAGTCGTCGAGATGTTGGTCTTTCCGCTGCCGATGAACGAGATCTTGGGAAACCCTTGTTTAAGAGGCCTGGGTTGCCATTTACTGTATCTTGGCATCAAGCGCAGGCACAATGGAAGAGGGGGCCTGTCCGGATGTACCTAGAGACGGTAATGTTGTCCAGCTCGAGGTGTAGTCTCGAAAGGTGCAGAGGAGAAGCTGTGACAAACTTACGGCAGGTGATATTGCACGGTGCGCGGTAGGCGCAGTTAAGGTTCATGCACGGAATCGGTGTCGCTTATTGGCGAAGCGAGGCGCTCGTCAGGACTTTTGGCCAACAAGGATTTGGGACAAAAAGACCTTGCCAAGACATGCGAGTATAGGCAAGACGGAATAGTGAAGATATATAACCTTTTAGACAGGTCCTTAAGCGTACTACAACTAGCTAAAAGATAGCTATAGTGTAGTGCGGCGCAATAAGAATAGTAACTCAGCAGTTCAGTCGATCTGTGCCATATTCGACAGACAGAACTCGCTGTTGTCACGCAACAGCCTTTCAACTGTCAGGCTTCAATTTCGGGCTTCGTTTCATTGCCTTGATGTTGATCTCTGCCATGCACAAATAATCTGCCACCATTCACTACGTCCCATGAACCGGGTCCTGTCCCTGTGGGCCCCAGACCGATCGCTCCGACATCCACACAAGCTTTCCCGTCCCGTCCTCGACTTCTGCAAAGATGAAAGACTCGAAAAATGTAGCAGTCCCCTCCACCTTCAAGGTCCCGGTCATATGGGCGGCCAGTCCATTTCCGTCGCGTAGAAACTGATCTCTGTGATTTGAGTAAGATATGGAGTCTCCGCGTCAGAACATCCGACCTACACATTGGGGTAATATTTCACCGATTTTCCCCTCCATTCAGCGATGTCTTTGACGTTGGCGTCATACTCTATGCGAGTGCCGTTGAAGATGCGATAGAAGCTCGGGGTTGATGTAGCCTCGACGTATTTCACGGCTTCCTCTGGGGGACCTGTGAGACTCCACTGCATGGCTTTCTGAAAGCCTTCCCGGGTTGAGGTATATTCAGACATAGTAGCCCTTTAGATTAGAACGCAGTAAAATGGATCAGATAACCTTTCCGACTAAGAATCATAAAGCGATAAAGCTGAGTTTTATGTGCGGACGAGTAGTCTGCTGGAGGCACCGATTCCGATCAGGCTCCCTACCTTATACTTGTAGACGGACCCAGTGGGTAATCGAGCTGATTGCACACCAGGCATGATAAAGCCTATGATTCGACGAAACAACCGAATGTGGCCCCAACTCATGTATTGGCATTCCTTGATTAGGTGATCTGCCCCAGTCGTGCACCAATCAATAAATTGACGTCCAGGTCGCGGGCTCGGCCAGCTATGGAGAATCAGGCGTAATGCAGCGCTCGGTCAGGGGCACGATGATTGGAGTCGCGTATTGCTTATCAGAATCTCGAGACTAATCAAACCCCTCGTGACCCGGACTTGTACTCTTCTTCGTTCGCCGTCAAAGGAATCTGGTCTGCCTCAGCGCCAGCATTCGCCCGTGGGACCGCCATCTCTCCTAAGTTTGGTTAGCTCTTGGGCAATGGCCTTGCGAGTGTGGTGAGCGAGCGTACCTCTGAAGATTTCCAGAGCAGACACAAAAGGTAACAGCAGCAGGAGCATGGTAAGGAGCTGGCCGAAAGTCCACTGTTTTTCACCTCGGTCCGACAGGTCCACCGACGGTGATCCGAAAGCCTGTGAGATGATGATCACTCTTGCAGCAGCACCAATCGCAATGGCCATTAGCACGATCAAGCAAACGACTCGCACCACTTTGCCCCATACCAGCTTGGGCATGTGCAAATACCATGTGCTGAGCACGAAGATGATGCAGCTTGCAGCGATCACAGCGATCGTTCCCGCGACAGAGACGGCTGAATTGGATCGTCCACTTTCACCAGTGGCGTGTTCTTGCCAGACGCACGCTATGGGCAACGTTGGGGACAAATTCCGCATGTTCGTCTGCAGGACGAAAATGCCAAACACAGTGGTAAGCACCAAATTGACAAACATGGCGAATTGTCGGAGCCATCTCAGAAGCCAGTCTCGCTTGAAGTCCTGCACCAAGGCGAGGAGCGTAGCAAAATTTGTTGCCGTCGATAAGATGGCTAACATCCAGATGATGAAGAAGTGATATGGAATCATCGAGTTGACTCTGGCAAGGCCGACAACCTGAATAGCGATTCCTTCAACGATCATTTGGTCGCTCAGACCACTGAGGATCTTTCGGGATATGTTGCGCGACGATCTTCCGCGAATTTCGGAAAACACGATGAATGACGAGAATATCAACGCGAGTCCAGCAGTGATTATAAAGGCCAGCAGGATCTATCGGAGACTATGTGTGAGCATCTGACCAGAACCGCCGAATTACTCCCAGGTTTGTGCAGACTTACACCAGCTCCCGCAACCCCTGCATCTGACAACGCAGTCTCTGGCGCATCCTTGCAACTTGGCAAAGTATTGTTGAACGACATTCTGAGCTTTTGCAGAGAGGAGAGGACACGCTAGCGCTTAATTATGCGCAGTCGCTGGCGTGGTCATCAGTAGACCGGTGTTACTACGAGTAGCAGTTGGAATATCTCTCAGAAACACCAGAGAATCGCGCAACCCTGCTGAAAAGCACAAAGCTGATGAATAACAGAAAACGAAGGTCGTTGCAAGGGATAAAAGAGACAGAAGCCGAAGAATTCCAGCAGGCGGTAAGAATTGTTTGCCTTTTGTTGCCCAATGACACCGGCGAGAATGCGTCGATCTGACACGAAAAAGACGTCAGATCTAATTTTAAATTGCCTTATAAGTGGATGGAGATGCCTCGTTATTGGACACTTGCCGCGTCTGCTTTCCCCTGGGCACAGCCACGAATGCAATCAGCAGAAGCTTGTTCGACCACATCTGCCTCATCTGGCGCATTCAACTTGGGTCCAGTGCTAAAACGCTTGTATTCACTACCTCGTAAAGTATCTCCATTTCGCTCTGCAAAACCAGCGCTTCCATCGATGAGTCCTCGAGCGCGCCTAAGAATCTTCGCAAATGCTGCCGAATGATACAATGGATAGGCGCCGCTGTGCCGCCGCCTCGAACTACCAGTACCTTGAAGAATGCCCACATAAGCCATTCTTTGGAGTATTGCGTGACCCATGTTCCTCCAGTTCACGCTGATGTCTGATACGGACAGCTGCGTAAGGCATCGTGAACGGAACTGGCTTAGAATTATGACAGAAGGTGAGTTGCTTCACCGGTTGCAGAGACACTAGAGTCGTAGGGCTTCCCGCCAACTCGGTCCTGGTCCCTCACTATCGACCTTCTGTACTGTGCATATTAATAAATGCAAAGTCCTTGCCCCGGTTTCATCTACGCCCTTCGCAGCACTCAATCCAGCAAGATCCTCAGCACACATTTTTTTCGCTTCTACCACGCATTCGCTAGTACGGAGCCTTCCGGCCCCCAGCATTTGCCATGCCAGTTTCAAAATGTCGACCCTCAACCCCCACGGCTCGTTTCAACAAGGTAGCCGACCCCTATTCGCCGCCTAAGCGATTCTTCCGCGCGGCTCCTTTAGGCAATCGCCTGCCTAAGAACGCGCTAGTTTCAGCCTCTGAAACGACCAGTCGGAAGTTTTCGCAATCTGTTCAACGTTGAAACACTTACTGTCGCAATTAATATTGGGAACCGAACTTGTTGATCTCTCGGCAGCACTTGCACTACCTCCGCAATAAGTGTATTCATCCTTTTGAGATCGGATGCGCAGGATGCTGCTGTCTTTGATGGTCGGCCTGAATACACCTGTCTCTATAGCTTGAAACAACGCGTCCAAAGCCGTGCAAGGCACGGCTTGCTATCGCAATCCTGCGCCGCTCTAGACATGGAATAGCATACTCGGCGCATACTGCTGCACGACATGTCGGCAGCCTCAACGGTCTATATAACGGTCGGGTCTGGTCCTCTCAAAGTACGAGCTGATCCATCCTCCACCGCAGGTCTTCTTTCGTTCATCCGCAACCATTCGCTTCTTTCTTTGCTCTTATATCCCAAAACAAAAGCTCATTACACCGCAAGCAGGCTTGCTATCTGTTACGAACTCTACTGTACCAATAATTCACGGCCTACGTGCAACTCGCAAGCGCCCATCGTCCACCGATCAGCATGCACTCCACCATCATCGCCGCACTGGCCCTCAGCCTTGCCGCCTCCTCTCTCGCCCTGCCCCATACGTCCTACGCACCTGCGCCATCTCCACCCTTCCGCCTAACCGACGTTCTTCGCAGCCGCCAAGTCTCCCCTCCATGCGATGTCTCTGATGCGCTCAACAACCTCACCGTCCCCTTCGCCCTAACAACTCCACCACTCCCTGCCCCAGATGCCTCGCTCTCCCTAGCCTCTGTGATCATCGGTCGCGGCGTCCAGAACGTAAGCTCTGCCCCCTCCATACCCTGTCAACACCAACGCCAACCACCAATACTAACGCGATCCCCGCAGTACACCTGCCCCACCAACTCCACCAGCGTCCCCACCGCCGTCGGCGCCATCGCCACCCTCTACGAAGCCTCCTGCATCGCCAGCAGCAATCCCTCCGTCTTCGCCAGCCTGACCACCACAGCTCTCGGCCTCCCCCTCCCCGCCGACCCACTCGCCGCCTTCGACTGCGGTGCGGACCAGCCCCTCTCGCGCGCCGGCCACCACTTCTTCAACGCAGCCAAGACGCCTGTCTTCGACTTCGCCGAGGCGGATGCATCCCTGGGCGTGGGGCTCATGAGCGTGGGCGCCAAGAGCGATGCGCCGACGGACAAGGCTGTCGATGTGCCGTGGTTGATGTTGGGGAGTGTGGAGGGCGGAAGTGGGCCGATTAGGCAGATTTATCGTGTGGAGACGAGGGGTGGGCAGCCGCCTGCGAGCTGTGAGGGGGCGGAGGGCGCGGAGGGGGGCGTGGTGAGCGTGCAGTATAGTGCTGAGTATTGGATTTTCAGTTCGGATGAGTAAACGCTTGTTGTTCGGGAGTTGGATATATACTGTATAGTACGCCGAAAGTGTTTAGGTTGAGTTGAATGTTGCAACGAGCTATGATGGAACGTTGTCGAATGCTGCAAAAAAATTCAGTGCCTTCCATAGTTATTTATCGCCCAGCGCCTCTCTACAGCAAGCTCTATGGGTCTGGATTGTAGCGATAGGTGGTGCAGATTGTGGACGAGCATGACTTCGGCTGTCTAGATAGTGGTCCGAACTATCGCACCTGCCTCTCGCAAGAGTCCAGAACACAGGCAGTGAAAGCTTGGCGCATCCTCGGAGGCGGAGAAACTCCACTACAGCATTGCCAAGCCGAGCCAGAAGTCAAAGCTCGACCCAAGTTCGTTTCTCCTCCCTCGTGCCTCATCGCCATCAGGAGTTTCCTTCTCCTCTCCGCCTCGCAGAGACCACTAACAAATACGGCGGTCTCTGGTTCATGGCGGCGCTACGTACTTATCTGATTCGGACGATAGGCGATGGAGGTTTTGCACACCCGCCGTCCAGCACGCTCGAAGGATGGGTGCTTGACTTGCAAGCGGAGGAAAGTACGATGCAATGAACAGAAACCGCGGTGCTCGCATTGCGAGCGACTAAACCTGGAGTGCAATTGGCCTCTGTCTCGCCAAAGGGCTCCTCTACGAGTCGCGCCCCAGACTGATGTAACGACGAGCAACTCGCAACAGCCTTACCCGGCCAACATAGAACCTAATGCTTTCGAGGGGTTTGACTTCGCCAATCTCCTCTCGGAAGGCCCTACGGATTCTGCATTTGCCAACTATATTTGGTTGGATCACGATGCTGGGTATGGACCACCCAATGTGTCCACTGAAGGCTCCAATATTACGGCAATCCCGCAGTGGCAACAATCGAGCCCCTCCGCCGTATCCACGGGACCGACCGAGAATCATCTACTAGTTGAGAGTTTCTTCAACATGAAAGTTCCCCCCATCCTAGAGCCAATTGAAACTGGTCCAAAATGGCTATCAACCAGATCGCTTTTCGAAACGATGTCAGCCGAATCCTATATGGTCCGCCTGGCCATCATGTCTTTCTCGGCTGTCCAGTATCAGGTATCGGGCGCGGATCCACACATGGACCATCGCAGCTTTTACGATAAGGCTACCAAAGAGTTGTCGCGGACCCTAGTCGAATGCGGGAAGGATGTCCAGCTCATCTCGCAGCAGCTGAAGCACATACTAGCCACTATCTTCTTGCTGACATACGCCGATCTGGTTACAGAACGAGAGGACATTGCTCACAGCAATCTCAAAGAGGCCCATTTGGTGATTCACCGAGCCGACAAAACCAAGCTAGGATCTTTGGAGAAGAAACTCATATCATGGGTCCGATTGCTGGATGCCAGGGCCGTCTCTGCTGGCGGTGAAGGTCTGTTCTTGGCCGACAAAGTCGACACAGCTAATCCGACACCAAACAGAGGGAGTCCAGTCTCTATCCTTGGGTCTCGAGAAGCCATTGACGCCGAAGTGGAAGAGGTCCTCTTCGATATCCTTTATCAACCGGGTATTGAATTTTTCCAGAAGGTTCAGTCTTTCGTGGGAAGAATTACCATGATTGACCGCTGGCATCGTGGCCGTGATACTGTGGAAGATGAAACGGAAGTCATGGCCATTGCGGCCACCATCACAAAAGATCTGAGTCTGCTCTACAACCAGAGGCCCGCGCTGATGGACTACGCCGTTGCAGGACACATCACCGACAAATTTCTCTCGCCGAATCTGGTTCTACCGGTGACCAGAAGCTTTCAGACGTATCTGGCAAATTTTCATGCATGCTACATTCATTTACACCGAGTGGCGTACAAGCACCTTCCTCGATCTAACAACGTGAGTACCGCCTGCTCGGTGATTAAAGCACTAGCACACCAAATGGTCATTTCGGGTAACGCGTTGCCTGTGAATTTGCTCTGGCCGATGATGATGTGGGGTTGCGAAGAGGACGATGTCCGAGAGCGTCAGTGGATCGTCGAAACCATTCAAAGTATGGTGCACAATGCTACGAATGCAAAGCGGATCGCCGAGCTCCTCGTCGAAGTACAACGGCAACAAGATACTGGCGGCATCAGGGTCGATGTACGGGAGGTTTCGCATCAGATGTTCCAGCAAGCCTTCGCTATTGTCTGAAATCTATCATTTCACGCTCAACCTCTTCTCAGCCGTTGCCAATGGCGAGACCTGCTTCAACAGCCACGACTTCTTATCTTCGCTGGAGTAGACAGGATACGGCCTCCGGCAGTGGCTCGACTGCTCAGGATAGCCGCGCAACTTGGCAACAACCCACTTGGTGCCGTTTATGCCCCCCTTGGCGAACCCCCATTCCATCTTGCCCAGCTCTGCTTGGAGCGCTGCAGCTTCGTTGAATTGGCCTCTTTCGTAGAGGTTGAAAATCTCCATGCACGTCTATGTCTATGTCAGTTGGATTTCTGCACCCGAAGGCATGACTCACCCTGGGATACAAATTGGCAACGCCCGTGATACAGCCAACCGACCCAGCGGACATGGCAGGTATGAGCCAGTCACTCTGTCCAGCTAGGACAGCGAAGTCCGAGGGCGTAAAAGCGGCAGCGGCCCGGGTCACCTTCGCGATGCCTCCACAAGTCAGTTTGACACCCACGATGTTCTTGTGCTTTCCTAGAATATCAAGCATCTCGGAGTTGATATCAAGGCCAGAGGTGACACCTGGAAAGCTGTAGATCACTATCGGTAACGCTGACCCGTCGGCAAGCTCCTCAAAAAACGCAACGATAGCGTTTTGATCCATGGCAAAATGGAAGTAGCTTGGTACGAGGACCAGGACGAAATCGGCACCAGCTTGCTGAGCGTCGAAAGTTTGGTCAATAACGTCTCTCGTGCAGCCAGCGGAGCAGCCTAGAGTGATGGGAAGATCCGATCGACCTCTTGAGTTTGCGACCTCGCGCGTCATCTGCACGAGCTGTTTCTTCTCTGCAGCAGTGAGAGTGGCAGCCTCCCCGTTGGTACCAGCGATCACCACTATGTCTTGTGAGCGTGCACATCCAGGTTGTATACAGCAGTGCAGCACTTACCGCCATGCAGGCCAGAAGATACGAGGAAGTCGATGTGGCTTCTTTGCACGTCCCAGTCAACCTCTTGCCTCTTGTCGTCTCGGAAGAATGTCAAAGACGGGACGTGAATCCCTGGCGGGAAAGACTTGGCAGATCCATTGGTGCTGCCGTTCTGCCCGCCAACAGCAGAGGCGAGGTGCTCGTTGGAAACCATGACGCAGGCGTCTAGAAAAGCGAGATGAATGTACCAGAGAAGGCTGTGTGAGCACTGCCAGTCGACGCCAGTACGATGGGCAGGCACTTTCACTTTCCGGCACGATGGGCGGCTTGAATTGGATACTGGAGGATTCTTTTATTCCAGTAGGCAGAAACTCTGGATGCTGGGTCTGCTACTTGGAGACCTTCCACAACCTGTCTGTCTGGAGATCGGTCTGCACCGTTATTCTTCTCGGACACTATGCGAGGGCGTGCGATGGTGCATTGCTCGGTGCCCTTGCGTGCCCACTCCTTCCGAGCCGATCGGATAGTCTAAAAATGGCCTAGCTCACCCGACACTGCGACGAAACGTCCCTGAGAAGTCCTTAGGTTCCCCGGCACATCGCTGCATACACCATCCCAGTATCCATTGGAGATGTACTCCCCAATCGCTTGGGGTCGGTACCCCGAAGATGGAGTTGGAAGACAAGTCCTTCCGGCGGGGCTTGGCGCTGCTGTCAATGCCTCCTGAGGCTGCCAAGCAATGAGTCGAAGTCGGTTGACTGTCATCAATTAGTTTGCAGCAACAAACGGCTCAGGCAAGGCACTAAATGGCCCAGGGCTCAACTATCATCATTGTATGATTTATCCTTTCTTCATAAGGTGCAAGTTTACAGGAGTTATCGGCTTCCCACGTAACAAGTATTCCTCGCAGTTCTCCATCGACAGTCTCTCGAATCCCCAGTTCGTCTCGATGGCACCTCCAGCGTTGTGGCAGGTCAGCGTAACTTGTCGAAGCTTGGTCAACTCGGGGTGAACATGAGGTTCGTTCTCGAAGACGTCTAAGCCTGCTGCAAACAGGTGCTCGGATTTCAATGCCTCCACCAGAGCTTCTTCGTCCACCAGTGTACCCCGGGCAATATTCACGAAGCGTGAGCCAGGCTTGAATTTCGCCAGAGTCTCTGCATTAATGAGCTTCTTCCCGCCAAATGGTGTGGCCAACACAATGCAGTCTGCCTTTGCCAGGAGTTCATCGAGTGTGGCCGCATACGTTGCTCCAATTGACTTCTCAATATCATCCGATTTCTTCACAATGTCGTGGTAATAAATCTGCATGCCAAAAGCCTGATAGGCCTTCTGTGCAATTCTGAGTCCAATGTTGCCGAGACCAATCACACCAAGGATATATCCGCTCGGGTTGTGTGCTGTCATTGTCGCATACTTGTGAGCCTCGAGCCACTGATCAGCATTCCCAGATCTTGCTGCCAAATGCGACCAGGTCAAGTTTCTGAAGACCGAGAGGATATGAAAAATTGCCATGTCGGCCACCGCCTCTGAAGAAGCGGCTGCACCGTTGCAATATAGGATGCCTACGCACAATCAATTAGGGCACCATCTGCCGGATAAACCTTGACTCACCGTGCTCTGCCAGAACGTCAACGTCCGCCCAGTCATATCCCGCGCCGGCACTCGCGAAAATCCTCACCGACGCTGGGAGTAGTGGTACGAGCTCTCTGTCCCAACGACCCATCTCGCCGCCGGTGTTCCAGAATGGCCGGAATATACCCTGAAAGTCACCCCATCGCTTTTCTTTCAGAGCTTGGATAAAAGCTGGTCGTTGACGCTCTTCGGCACTGGGCCGAATAATGTCAAAATTCTCGCTCAAGCGCTCATATGTCTTTGGGTTGTGCTTGATCGGATCTCCGATGTGTAGGAGAGTTGGCTTAGCGGCTGATGGCATGATGAACAATGCGACCGGGTAAGGTGCGAGATGAGAGTTGGTGGCTGTTGTCGCGTTTACAGTGGTTAAATGATTGTGGAATCTCCATCTCTATGCTTGTATACAAGTCGACTCTCCGGCCGCTCGTCGCGATCGGCTAATCCTACGGGCTCGCCTCGGGAATCATGTCATTCACTACTGTACAGCGACATTCCCGTCACGCGACTGGCATCAATCCACTATTACCAGTTCCTGGGGATCGTGATCGGCTACACATCAACGCCAAGCACCAAATCTTCTGTGGGGAGGAAAAATGTCTCCATATTACCGCGTCGCAAACTGCAGCGATTGGCTAGGAACCGACTACAATCTGCTCGCCACCCCAGCTCATGGCAGATGCATCAAAGACGAGCAGAACTCGGGGATGCTCGACACGGGGCCCCATGCTGGGCAGATATAAAGCTCAAGATGAAGACCTCACTACTGCTCTCGCCCTTCAGCAATCCGCCCTGTCCTGAATCCACCGCAGAGCACACTGGTATCATGGCCGACAACTCCGACAAGAAGTCTGCTGACTTCCAACTGGAAACACTGGGAGTGGAAGTCCGTACAGATGATCCCATCATCGCCGAGCGAGAAGTCAAGGAGAAGGCCCTCCTACGCCGCATCGATAAACGCATGATGCCGTTGATGATGCTGATCTGTAAGTTGTGGCCGATCAACGCAAGGGCTCCCAACAACTAACCCGGCATTCAGACGTCTTGAACTACCTCGACCGCAACAACATCGCCACCGCACGCCTGGGCAACTTTGAGGAAGACATCGGCCTAGTAGGAACGCAGTATAACACCATCATCTCGATCTTCTTCGTCGGCTATATCCTGACGCAGATCCCAACTAACATGATTCTTGACAAAGTACGACCTTCAGTGTTTTTGCCCGTCGTCATGTGCTGCTGGGCAGTGGTCAGCGCTTGCTCCGGCGCGGTGCAGAGCTACTCGGGAATGATTGCGTTACGCTTTCTTCTCGGATTCGTAGAAGCGCCATTCTTTCCCGGTGCCCTGTTCCTGTTCTCGTCATGGTGTAAGTTCTTATGCGGTTCCCTCGCAGTCGTATCTTTGCTGACCCACTGACCCAGATACAAAAAAGGAACTCGCCAAACGTATCTCAATTCTTTACGCCGCCGGACAAATGGCGGGAGCTTTTGGTGGCCTCCTCGGCAGCGCCATCATGGGCGGCATGGACGGCAAAGCCGGCATCGCGGACTGGCGATGGCTGTTCATCATTGAGGGCACGGCGACGATCCCCGTCGCGATCGTGGCCTGCTTCGTGCTCCCCGACTATCCCGCCGACACCAAATGGCTCTCCGACGAGGAGCGCAAGCTCGCCGTGCTGCGCATCGCCGAAGAAGCCAACGAGGAGGACGACCACCAAGCCGAAGGCGCCTTCACCGGCCTGAAAATGGCCTTCAGCGATCCAGCGCTGTACCTGATCTGGTTCATGCAGCTCGGCCTCAACACCGCCGCGGCCTTCACCAACTTCTTCCCCACGATCGTGCAGACGCTGGGCTACCCGCAGACCGAGACACTCCTGCTCTCCGCGCCGCCCTACGTCTTCGCCGCGATCCTCGGCATCACCAACTCCTGGCACAGCGACAAGACCAACGAGCGCTGGCTGCACATCCTCTGGCCGCAGGTCTTCTGCAGCGTCGGCTTCATCATCTCGGCTTGCACCCTCAACGTCGCCGCCCGCTACACCGCCACCTTCATGATGATGAGCATCTACGGCAGTTTCGGCTGCATCCTGTCCTGGGTCTCCACCACGCTGCCGCGGCCCTCGTCCAAGCGCGCCGTCTCCTACGCCGTCGTCAACGCCGGCTCAAACCTCGCGAGCATCTACGCCAGCTACTTTTACCCCAAGTCCCAGGGCCCCAGGTACTGGCAGGCCAACGTCGCCAATGTCGCGTTCTCCGGCGCGTGTATCCTGCTCGCGACCACGCTGCGGTTTTACCTGGCGTGGCGCAATCGGAAGCTCGCGCGGGCGCTGGAGCATGATGCCAGTCTGCAGGGCACGGATCGCGATACGGAGAGCTGGACGTTGGCGCACAGGTGGCAGTGTCAGCCGGATTATCGGTATACGCTGTAGGATCACCGTAGCAACGCTGTTGATGCGACTGAATAAAATACCATTATTGTTGAGACTGATGATTCGTTGAGTCCTTCAGTATAAGTCCTATACTGCCGATCCCAGCCTAATCATTGATCCGACCCTTCATGCAGCAACTAGCTCTCCTGGCATAGGACTCCTTAAACAATGTGCCGACAATGCATAAACTTCTTCAAAACCGGCGCCGCCGCCGCCGCCGCCACCGCCGCCACCGCCGCCATACTCACCGAGCCATTTCCATTGTTTCCTTTCGAATGCTCGACCAAGTGCCCAGCAGCATGCGGGCCCAACAACGCCATCTGCGCCCCGTCAAAGCACCCGCCAACATTTTCCGTACCGTTACAGCCGTGCCAGAGCGTCCGCGTCTGCGTCTCACAAAAGAGCTCCTCGAAGCTATTCCAGTAGTTGGGCCCCAGGATGTTTGAGTTAGCACACACGGCCTCGGCAGAATGCAAGAGGCTTTCGCCGGCGGAGATGACGAGGTAGTTGGCGAAGAGCTGCGAGAGTGGAGCTTTGTCGGTATCGTCGTCGTAGTTCTGGGGAGTGGGATCGTCGTCGTCGCCGGCTCGCGCGAGTTTCACACTCGGATCACAGGCCTTGGAGTTCGCGTCGCTGTAGCTGTCGCTCTGTGGCCAAGCCGCCATGGCGCTGTGGTCGAAGACCTCGGTGTCGACGACGTACATGGGGTCGAGGTAGCTGGGGACGGCGGTGGAGCCGTTGGCGAAGCGCTCTTCGTGGCCGTACATCAGCGGGGGACTGAAGATGGCGATGCTGTCCGGGATGCTTGAGTGGGCCTGCATGCGCGGGGTGCTCTTGCAGAGCAGGTCTGTGTTGCGGTTGTAGGCCTGGACGGACTCGTTCTTGCCGTCGAAGTCGCGGATGTGGAAGGCGACGCTGGCGGCCATGTGTTTGCTGGGGTTGAAGACTTCGTGTTTGGGGGGAGGGGATCTCCCGCCGAGCCAGAAGCAGGAGGCCGGGTAGCCGGTGGTGGCGTTAGGGTTGCGGAGGTCGGGACGGCCTTCCCTGGGGTTGACTTTGCTGACGGATGGGTAGCCTAGCCAGCCGCAGGTTTTGTGCGGGATATCGCCGTAGATCAGGGCGGAGCCGTCGTCGGGGTAGATGATTTCGATGGCGGAGATGCAGAGGGCGTCGACGTCGGCTGCGGCGGTCAGCGCCCCATGCTCTGTGTGATGGCTCAGCTGCTGTCGAAGATGGACTTACTTTGTGACAGTTGCACATAGGCCGGACGGTCGATCTTTGCGCCCTTCCACGTGTGTATGACCGGATCGATCCAGCTGTCGCCTAGAATAAATGGCTGGGCCTTGCAGCTCTTTCCTATGACTTGGCCCCGTTCGTCGTACAGAGTTACCATGGGGACCTTGCCTTGGGTTCTGCCTTGGCCCGTGTCGCTTCCAGGGACGTTCATCCCCGCCCATATTCGTACCGTGGTATCGCGGCTTGTGGAATTGCCGGTTCCATACTCGAAGTACCTGGTGTGTTCGGTGAAATTTCCCACGAGATGGTGAGATTCGTCGACTGAGATGGGCGTAAACACGTCGGTTTGGTCGACACGGTCGAGACTGGCTGCCATGGTAAGGCGTGGTCAGTGGATCTGCAGTCGTTCGTGCACTTTGGCGTTACTTGACGGAGCCAATAGTCAATTCGATACAATTTGTGTAGGGAAGTAGGCTGCTGGCCTCAGCTGAAGACATTGGCAAGAGAAGAAGGGGGACGAATACAGTAGTAACCAATGAGCCTTCGATTTTTGCAGGCTCGAGGTCAGTGTGCATGAGGGGCGGCCGTGGACAGACTTGGTGGAGATGTGTGTATGCCATGGTGGGAAGATTCATGTTGACCAGTCGGGTCATGTGCAGCTCAACCAAGAATATGGTTATGGTTGTTTTGATTTCCTCGGCCAAGTGTTTCTGCCTGAAGTCTGATAGCGCGGGTCGACGAGCCCGCACCCCAACTAGAGCATAACCAGGATCCAGACAAGCAGCTGAGCTTTTGTGCTCTGTGGATAGAGCATGCTCAACGATGGGCCAAGGTGGCCTGAGTTGCGGTATCAAGACTACCATACTTCGAAGGTGCACGTTGGAGGCATCCTGGCGTAGGTATCAGAGGGATCAGAATGAGGATAGTGGGCGCTGCGATAGGCGCTGCGAATGAGTCTGTATGATGCGAGAGAGCAACTGCTTCTGTTTATAGGAGTGAAGTCAAGTGCAGGTGAAGGCAACAGAGCAGAGCTCAACACGAGGTTTAGGAAAATAGAGCAGATGTCTGACCAAAGTGCCGCGCATGGCGGAGCGCTATCACCGGCAGGGGTTTTTCAAATGAGCTGCGACCGGTCTTGTGTGTGGTTTGAAGTAAGCGTGCGACTGGAGATGCTAACCTCGTCCATGTCGTATAGTATCCTTGCCAAGTGATGAGTATCGAGCTTGGTCGACTGGTCGAAAGGTAAAGCAGTATCGCATCTATTCATGTCTATATCGTGAGGTCACCGATGTGAATCATCACTAGGGGAGCGCGTGTCCGACACATCTGACGCCGCAGATGGTAGGCTCCAGCTGTACAGCGTGAACACTGGTTGATGATCGTGGGCGATCTCAATACCGCGTGTCAGTGATTGGTAGAAGCTGCGAGGACTTCATCGGCGAGTAGGTCTATCCCAGCTTGTGCTGGGAAGCTACGAACACCAGCTCACTTCTCCCCCAGACGTTTCTCAACACCCTCCTTGACACGTTTCTGCGCATCTGCAATCTCCTCTCTGCTGGCGTCGAATCGAACATTGGTCTCGGCGTTAAATGGATTTTCGGGGTGTTTCTCGAACTCCTTCCGGATCTGCTCGATCTGCTGATTTCGCCGTAACCCAGGGTTTTCTTGCTTGACCTCAGGCAGACGCCTTTCTTCATAGGCCTTGTACGCGGCAGCGAATCTTCGTTCCGGATGACGATCCATCTTCATGCCTTTCTGGTCGTTGGTCAAGGACAAGGCATCGAGTGCGTTATCAATGCCCGTAGCATTGAGCGCCGTCTGTTTAGACGCGGGGGCGTCGAGTTGCGATAGATCAAGTGTGCCTCTGGTCTTCTTCTCGGCCGTCTTCTTTCCCGCACCTTTAGGCTTAGATGGTTGACTCGCCTCTTCTTCTGCTAACAGTCTTTCCCGCTCTGCTTTTGCCGCCGCCGCCGAGGCTTTCTTTTCTTCGGCAGACTGTTTCTTAGAGTTGCTTTTGGCACCCTTATCCCACTTCTCTGCCTCTGCGCGTTCGGCGGCCGCATCTGCCACAGCCTGCTTCTGAGCCGCGGCTTCTGCCTTTTTGGCGTTGCCGGCCACCTTCTTGGTGTTCTCCGTCTTTGGCTTGGGCATTATATTCGCTGTTGCCGTGCGCTCCAATGGTTGTGTCCGATCTGTGTATGGCTTGGGGGAAACAGTGCCTCGAGGTGCAGGCTCACGCCGCTGCGAAGGAGCCCGAGCTGGTCCGGTATACCTGTATGACTCGAGCACGGATCGCGTGATGAGAAACGATGTCAGATGGACAATTACGAAGATTCGGATGTATTGTGTGGCGGCATGTGATCTATGAGGGTATAACGGCATGAAAGGAACAGACCGTGAGTCAGTTGGTAGACAAGATTCGTCGTCAGGCAGTGCCAAGTGGCGAGGCAGCGGCGGCGAGTCATGGCGGGGTTCCCAACTGCCAGCACCGACTCGTGCACTCGACGCGCTTCTTCGCCTGTCGTTGCCGCTGCCAGCACATCTCATCAGTTTGCGAGCACAAAGTGCGTCCATCCCGAACCTGATCAAAAATTTCCGATTGGGACCGCTTTGTCTACCGAGAGTCAAGTCCTCGCTGCTAGACGGCATCAGACGTTGCAGGCCTACTTTTTCTATGCCTTCGTGCTGCGGGCACTTACGGGCACCCCTGCTCATCCACCATACTGGCGCGGTCATTCTGATTGCGACCACAATCCGCGCAAAGCATAAAAACGGCCACGGCTCTTGCTGCAGCGGTGTGCAGTCTGCAACATGACTTCTTCGAATGCAACTTCACTAGCTGAACCCTTTTCTCACCAATGCCTAACCTCAGCTGCAAAGCACGGACTCGATGGAATGCTTACCTTTTGGCTCCCGCAGCATACCCTGGCGTGAAGCCGCTTCCACGGCAAGGCTTATCTCGGGTCCCTACTGTTGCTAGCTACTCGATCACGACGTCCCGCGCTCTGCCAGCGGGACCAAATCCTTGTGGTGATGAAAACCATGATAGTTTTGATGGTGGCTACTTCGGGAGTACATTTCCGCCTAAACAATGCACAGACATTCGTCGACAACTACTAGGTACTGCAGACCCGATGAGCCCGGATCCAAAAGCAAAATCCCATTCCAGCCCCTCGGCGTTGTCGATGGTCCTTCTCCCCCTGTTCTGCGTACCTGCTTTGACAGGGGTAACCCAGGCGATTTGCGCAGATGACGTTGACGACATCTTTAGGCCTAAACTACAAAGAACGGCTGCAGGATTCCGTGCCGTGTGCCCTTCAAAAGTCCTTCTATTGTGTACGTCGCGGCCGCGAATTGTTGCCTATCGCCACATCGAAACCTCTGGGAATTAACCACATCAGAGCACCATTCTCCGATTGCGCAGCGTTTTCGCGGCCACACGGTTGATTCATTAATGGATAGCTATGCCACGAATCTCCAGCAAGTGCATGCGCGTCAGCAACGACAGTTACAGTCGACGCCGTTGTGGCTAAAGACCCTTGCCGCAAGATCCAATGCGCAGACGCAACCATCGGTCACAGAGTCCGAGGATGAGAGTAATCTGCCTCATGCCTCTGACACCCGGCAGCCTCAACAGGCGGTCCTAAGGGATCGGGCGCAAATTGCGAGACTGTCCAAGGTTATTGAAGAACCAGGCGATGAAAACGGCCACCCCGAAAGTCCTTCACTTTCATCCAGCGCGAGGTCAACACAGAGCACCGCAGCTTCCGTCGAAACGGCAATTCGCGTCTCTAGTGAGGATAAGGGTTCTGGAGATGGGAGCTCTTCGAGCAATGGCCAAGCATCAATTAGCAATGACTCCGACCCAAAGCATTTGCAGTCTGACTCCGCCTCGTGGTACATATCGGATGATGACTCTCCTGGCAGTTGGAACTCGTCTGTCGAAGGACCCAGCACGGGCTCCAGAGACGGGACACGGACTTCCCATTCTTCTCGGACGAGCTTCACTCAAGCCAAAAAAACTCGCACTGCGAGATACTACAGAAATTCGCCTGATTCGCCGATAGGCCAGGCTACTACAATGTACGACGGCTCTCAAGCCATGGGCAGCCAACCAGATTCGACTCTGGAAGAGTCGGCCGCGGCACCTGCCCCAATTGTTGCTCAAAGCTCTGAGCCAAAGTCTTCGGAAAACAAGCTTAATATTGCTTCCCAACTCAAAGCTGCTGCAAGCACCGTCGTCACCAAGATGAAGCCTGGAGGTAGTGAGAAGCAATCTCAATCCGTACAACCGCAGGATCATGTGTCGGACTCCGTGGAACCGAACACTACTGGCATCGAGGGCATGATACATAGTCTAGGCTCGCGGGAAGACGGTCCTCGTCGTGTAGCAACAGACGAGGAGAGTGCAGTGCCAGGCGGGCATGAAAGCACCGTACAGCAAGCCGTCGTGACACCCACACAGCACACTCCGAGGCGACCTCAACCCTCAGTACGCGAAACTACTCGTGACGGTGTACCCATCAGGATGCGACAGAGATCGGGCGTTTGGGTTGAGAATGTCGAAGGAGCTGACCTGTCATCAACACAAGATCAGCAACAGAACATGCCGGAGGGTCAGCCTATTGCCGAGCGCGAGGCTGAGGATGTTCCTGAAATACAGATTCCAGAAGATCCATGGAACAACCTGCCCCCCTATATTTGGCTCGAGAATGACAACCCAGGCAAGACGAGCAGTAACGCACCTCGGCCCGCTACAGCCCAACGGCGCCAACAAGAAACTGAGTATTGGGCCCGCGAACAAGTACGTTTTCAGAACACTGGGCGCCCGAGGAGAGGCCATACTCGCTCGAAATCCGGCTCTGACACTCGCTCTGCTCAACGGCAATCGCCTTCATCAAGCACTCAGACGCGCCCTCTCACACCACATGGCAGAGGCAACAACTTTGACCTTGGGCCAGGAATCGCGCCGTACTACTATGAGAAAGGCAAACTTCTCCAGAACAAGAACCATCCAGCCGCGAGACATCATAGCGACGACTTAACCGACAAGCCTAGCTCGAGATCCTCCTCCGACAAGCCTTCCAGATCAGATTCGTCGCCAAACACATCCCTTACAACGTACCGATCAAGACCCTCTCCATCGTCGAAGCCTGTGGAGATTAAGGGCGACCCAGACACTTTTCCTCCGCACATACAAGCCAAGATCGCGGAATCTGCAGCAGCCGTCGAGCAACTAGTATATGGTCTGCCTCGAAAGGAGAGGATCAGTGCACGAAGGTTTCAAATTGAAGGTCTTGACACGTCTCGGTAGACTCATTCCACCGCCAGAAAGCTACAAGCCTTGCTTAGACACACACAAAACTCTCCCATGGGCTCTCTGTCATGGCTGCACCGTCCTTATTGCAGCCAATGTCAAGTCCGTGAAGAAAGTGACGCCGCCCGTTTCGCTGGTGGTGACGCTGCCCTCCGGCAACTCACAGAACTCCTCAAAGTCCCCGGATTCGGCCCATTTCCGTGCCAGCACCTCTTCATTGTACCGCTGCAGCGGGCATGACATCCCAGGTCCCTCCGAGCACGCTGGCACCGGATACACGGCATCATTGAGCAAGAGCCGCAGATACTTATCCTCCGTGGCTCCCGCACCGCAAGTCAAGCGCTCAAACGCCACGGTGCCTCTCATCGGGTTATTGCGACTGCTCACGTAGATGCGACTGCTATTCATCGCATCCGCCGCCAGGGGCGGCTGCGCATCGAATATTCCCAGGCTGGACGCCATCTGATTGATCTGGTTGTCGTGCGTGAACGCCACGCTCAGCGGGCCCACCGTATCCTGCTGGCCAGGCTCCGCGCCCTTGACCGGCGTGTCGGGCCCGGACTGCAACAGATCCACTACGCCCTGGATCACGGGCAGCATGACGCTCGTGTTGCGGAAGCTACCCGGGCCAGTACCGTACCAGTAGCGCAGGTCCTGGCGGTACTCGTACTGCAGGATCTCGTCGGGCGTGAAGACGGCGCAGAAGGGGCTGACGCGCCGCGTGATCTGCGTCTCGAAGCCGCACAGGTACGGGAAATTCGAAACGTTGTCCGCCGTGAGGTTCAGGTCCCCCGTCACGAAGCCGTTGAGGCGCTCGGCGATCGGGGGGAGGTAGATGGAGTCCCAGACGTCGGCGTAGCCGCGGCCGGAGCGGTCGTCGTACGTGGGGCACGAGTCGGAGGTGGCGAGGCTGTTGGCAACGACCGAGTCATCGGAGGCTAGGATCGGGTGGATCTGGCCCAGCGTGGTGGCGTTGGGGCCCAGGTAGCCACGTGCGAAGAGGCGCGCCGAGTCGACGGTGCGCTCGTAGTCGTTGGAGAAGACGCGGAAGGGGCTGCCGTACTCGTACCAGCCTGGGTAGCGGGTGCGGAGCTCCACGCCCAAGGTTTGTCTGCATTTCCGTCAGCAAACCAGCGGTCCTCGTGGCCGACATGGCCCGTGAGGCAACTCACAGCTCATCATAGCCCCCCGGAGACAGCTGGCGGAGCTGTTGGTCCGGGAAGTCAATCACCGGCTCCCAATCTGGCAAGAACGCCAGCGGTCCCGTCGCGGTGAAGTTGGCGGCTTGCAGCTGTGGGGAGGAATAGCAGTGTCAGCCTCTCCCTACTGGCACAGGAGTTTAAGAGAGCTATTGTTTTTCAGACTCACGGTTTCATACAGCGTCAGCCAGCCGTTGTAGGCTCCCGGGTCTGGATACCGGCTGCCATGCCTGGCGATGTACACCGCCTGGTCCACCTTGCATCCTTCCGGCGCCTCGGGTGAGATGCCGAACACATTGGGACCTGGGAATCAATCATTTTCAGCTGTCTTGGACGCCGTGGCGGTATTATGGTAAGGGTCACACTGACCTGGAAACCAAGGGCTATTAGCGCCAAGGTGCTCGAGCGGGTTGAAGCCCTCATCACCACCGCCACCGGGCCCTGTACCTGGCGGTGGGGGCGGGGGCGGGGGACGTGTTGGACCTGGGCCGCCTGGTGGTGGTCTGGGTGGGCCAGGCTGGCCAGGTCGGCCTGGGAAGGGGTTGCCGTTGCCGTTGCCATTGCCGGGTCTGCCGCCGCCGCCGCCGCCGGCGGGGTATTGCGCGCCGGCGAGGGAGAGGAGGCCGAGGAGGGTAGCGGTGTACTTCATCGTGACAGCAAAAGGGAAAGTGTGATTGCCCGTCAAGATGGAACCGAGGCGGCCTGCCTAAAGAGTCGTGGTGGGTGGTGTGAGTCTATATACCAACGGCTCTAATATGTATATATGTATGTTCGAAAACACACGTACCCGCCTCTTTATGCGCTAAAACTTCAGTCTCGCAGAGTTCGGGATACACGTGCTCGGTTCCCAAGCCATGGCGTGTGTGTTCCCCATCTCGCTTATCCGTAGCGGTCCATAGCGGTCCATAGCGTCAACGTTTACTCCGTACGGTAAGAGACTCGGCACGGGAAGTTCCAAAACGGCGCCATCGTGCATCGGGCATCACAGTAAGAAAAAAACATCCCGAGTGCAAGTGCATGTCTCCCCCGGTGAGCGTACATCAGGCCCGCACTCAGGTCACGCAGTATCTACTTTTCCCCTAGGAAAGCGATGAAATCAGGATGGGATAGCCCAAACCGTGGTCTGAGGTGACATGCAGCAAACTCCTTACAACAAGTTCGGCGGCCCGTGGACGTGAGCACGGCTGGAGAGGGAGCTTCTCAATGGCTTACTATTTTGGTCCTTTCTGTCGCCAGGAGAGGTTGAAAATCCGAATACAGTAGGCCGGCCCCGGCCTAGTTGGGACTTGCAGGGACTTGGTGGACGAGTGCATGGGCGGGCGGAGAAAATTGTGTACAATAAATTACTCCGTACAGGACGTCGCCGTGGGTGGTGAAGGGTGAGGGTGATGGGTGATGGATGATGAGCCAAGAGGAACATTTCAATTTCAATTTCCGTCTTCAGGTGGGCGGCCCTTTCACGGTCTTAAGCGGGTTATGCGCGTCGATAGGATGGCGGTTCGGCGAGCACGTGTGTGGCCGCCGGTGGGCGTTCCGGGGCGGTTGGCAGAGAGGATAAGGGATGGTTGTGGAGTACGGAGGAGGGAGGTTGAGGTGGGATGAAGTGAAGACTGGTGAGGTGGGTACCACAGTAGTAGGTAAGGCAGAATAGATTAGATTAGTGGATGTAGGCGAGGGAACACACGTTGGGTGAGGGCGTATGGCGATTGGATGGGGCGGTGAAGGGTGGGTCTCGGAATAACGTCTTATGGCAAGGTGTTGGAAAGTGGACGAGGTGGAGTTCGATGGGTGGAGTTTGGCTTATATTGGGAATGTCCGAGGGAAATGCTTTGCTGCGGCATGAAAATACGAATGAGACAGCCTGATGGGTGGTCGAGTGTGAGGGGTGGGTAGGTATGCTTTCAGAGGAAGAGGAGGTATGGAGAGACCCGTTAAATCTCATTATGTATTATATGTATCCTCTTGACACCGGTGTATATGGTCAGGCAGTGAAAGTGCCTGTATCCGCTCAACACAACATTGCTTATATAAAACCTCAAGCACTAGAATACGCAAACTCGACGAGAATCGGGTTATGGTCTGACAGTTCGCTGCCATCCGGCTGCACAAAGAACGTCGACTCATAGTTCCAGTTCATCGCGGACAAGCTAATCGAGTCTCCAGAACGATAGAAGACCTTGTCGACGACCTCACAGTCGTTGTTTGGCGCGATTCTCGGGCAGCCGTTGGCTGGGCTTCCAGGCACTGGGGTGTTGCCGCCCTTGATCAGCTCGACCCATGGGTCTACGAAGCCGGCGTCGGTGAGCAGGTTGATGCTCAGGCCGGAGTTGGTCCAGCGGTCGTTTGTGTCGCCACCGATGATGACGGGGCGCCCGGCGGAGTTGGATGAAATATATGCGAGCAGTTGCTCGACGCCGGCGCGACGGGCGCTGATGTCACCTTGTGCGGAACTGTGCGATGATGTTAGCTAGAATACAAGGATTTTGAGCGTGAGTACTCACCCGGCATCGGCGTGCAGATTGTAGAGGTCGACCTCGACGCCCTCAGCTATTTGCATGCGCATGAAGGAGAAGCCCTTGGGGGTCAAGCAGTCGGCCTCGTTGATGTAGCACCGATCCCACTTTACTTGGCTGAAGGTGCTCCATGGGTAGTTGGCCACTGTGTTGAGACCACTGCCGAAAGGCACGCCGCCCGTAGTTGGCGTACGGTGAGGATGGTTATCGGTTGCGTAGATGTACGCATGGTAGTTGAAGTCCTTGTCATGTCAGTCACACTTGGCGCGTCGTGGGACGTCACATACCTCTTGCAGATGGACAACGTCGTAAGCACGCTCGGCGAGCTTGGAGCCGATGGTGTTAGCATTGGTTCCCTTGTCGCCGGGAACCCCATTGTCGGAAAGAAAAGCCGGCAGACCGGCGACGTTGTATGTCAAGAAGTCAAATGTACCAGAGGACTGCGCTGCTGCAAGCTGAGCGACAAGGGGCAAGAAGGCAATAAGTCGGGAGGCCATTGTCAAAGAGAGGTCAAATGAGTGTGCTGAAAGGAATGCTGGTGATTTGGTGCCGGTGGTGCGTATGGGCAGTGGCAGAAGACGTGCTATAGAGTCGATCCTATATAGTCAGCTCACCTGTTTGTGTACCAACATCCTCGAACGCTTGTCAAGGTTTTAGCGTCCATCACCACGGACAGGCATCTGAGTAGAACACGACCCAGCAGACACGCCATCGTAGAGAGGCTCGAACCGATGCTGCCAAGATGACAAGAAACCAGGCATTATCAGTTAATCGTGGGCTCTGCTCGCCAATCCCATTCGCACGCGGTATAGGCGAGAGCGATTAATTGGACATGTGTCTAATCAGATGTTGGCACAACATCGCATGTAGAAATGATCAAAAAGCAAAAAGCAAAAAGCAGGCTTGATGCCCCTGTTGGTGCCTGGATGACCTGCATGGCGGCTCGGATGCACCCCGGAGATGATTTTCTCGATGAAGGCTGGCGTCCGGTCGGTTAGTGACCTGGGTGCAGATCCTGGGGGGTTGTCAACTTGGCGAATCCGGACGTGGCTGTTGGTAGTGCTCATGTGCATATTTGACCGGCTCGCAATGTGTATACAAGGCCCGTGGAGCCTAGGCGCAGTTGAGAACACCCTCTGAGCTGTCCGAAATAGGAGGAGGAGGAAACAAACGTTGCAATGAAGATGAGAGGGACTTGAGGTTGACTCTACGCCAAGCACCACTAGACCCAGCCTGGAACACTGGTATATAGCGACACTGCGACTTGGACACGCAGGGCAGCAGGCCAAGATAGAGTATTGAAAGCATTCGTAATCGTTTCATAACTGCAGTAGGGTCTCCCATAGAACCGTGCCCAAACACACCAGCATCCACGACGTCCCAACCCTCACCGCACCCGACTCATCGTCTTGTCCAGCATCACCATCGCTGCCAGACGCTGTGCCATTTCCACCCGACATATCTTCGCCAGAGGTTGCTGTGCCATTCTCCATGACCGCTAATGCATCCCTATAGAGACGCACCGTTACCTTGTGTTTATTGTAGTGTTGGTCGTAGGCCCCGCTTACTCGCACTCGACGAATGCGTTGCCGCTAGCACCGTCGTCTGGATTTATGAGTATTAGCCAAGGTCATAGTGGTGGTCAAGGGTGATTGATGCATACGAGTGATAACGCCAGCCAGTTGGCAGTTGCCGTTGAAGATGACCCGGTCTGCGCCCGGAGAGCCGCCAGTGTATGGATTGCTGTTGAAGCTTCTCAGGAGGGGGAACTCCTGGTAGGGGCCCGACACGGGGAAGTCGAAGCCCTCTACATGTGCGTCAGCAGGTGGTCACCAAGCACTAAGATAGGTGCCAACCTACCGTAGTTGTTGTAGGTGTGAGGATACGAGTTGACAGGGTTGTTGTCCTGGTAGCGCTGGCATCCAGCACTCACTGCCCGGTCCACGGTCGAAGCATAGTAGCAGATGTTGTTGCCACAGGTGGCAGCACAGCTTTGCCGCACCTCCAGAGGAGAGAGAGGAGCAGGGCTGCGGGCGTCAAGCTTGGCGGGCAGAGCGAGCGTGACGGGCGCAAGAAGCACGGCGAGGAGGAACTTCATCTTGATGGCTGGCGGACGGAGCGGCTTGGGTTGCGCGGGCTGAGGCGTGTCGGGCTTTATGGGTACGGTCGTCCTGAACAATGGTGAGGCTGACGGGGTGCGGTACGTACAGTTATACAGGTAGTCCGGCGGGCCCTTCCCTGTGCTGGCAGCTATTGTCCTTCCTCTTCGAGCGAGATCGCCGGCCCCGTGGGATATCGACTCGGCTTGTCGATACTCGAGTTTCACGGCTTAGCGACTGACTCTCCTGACGGCAAATGAAAGATGCAGATGGCTATGCTCTTCGGCCCTCACCGACGCGCCAACCCTGTATGGAAGCAAGGAAGAACGGAACGTAGAAATAAAATTGACGGTCAAGGCGGACATGGCCTATCATCTTGGAGAAGTCGGCCACGGTCCGCAAAAGGAAACTTGAAACTAAGGATCGCATTCCCCACAGATCGACAGGGCTGCCGCCGGCGACCACGACACGAGATGGCAGATTCGCTCCCTCATTGGACTACAGAGTAGAGTGCAAGGCGCGAAGACTGGGATTGTAACCTGAGCCGGCTGTCAGGTTCAAAGGCGTTAGTGATGATCGTCGTGGCTCTCCAAAACTGTGCTAATCCAAAAGATCTATCCAAAAGTCATACCACCACGCCTTGGTCTAGGCACGCATGAGGGAGCGCACGTCGAAGACACAGACCCGAGAATCCCACCCGCAGCTCGCCGCCCATCCTTCGCTGCCAAAGAGACACCAGTCTACACCAGTAGCAAACTCGGTATGCGCACCCATGCTACCTAGCTCTCTCGCGCCGCCAGCGTTCTGGTCCCCGCCATCAGTCCAGACACGGCATGTCATGTCATAACTCGCACTCAATAACAGGTCTGGCAGATGCGGACTCCATGCGAGTTTCCGCACTGCGTAACCATGACCTTGTAGAAGCTGCATCGGACCCTTGGGCTGTCTGATATCAAATGTACGCACAATTCTGTCCACCCCACCTGTTGCCACGATTGAGCCTCGGTACTTGTTCCAGTCGTGCGTCAGTGCTTCGGACGGTGGGAAGGTGGGCTGTGGCTTGCCCATGGTGGTCGCGATGGGAGGAGAATGGATCGGGACTTGTAGGACGAGGTGGTTGCTGGCGCTGGCGGGGGTGCGCAGATCCCACATTCGCATGTGGCTGTCTGAGCAGACTGCGCTGATAACCCCGTCCGTGTGAGGGTTCCACTGAACGCTGTACGTACACGAGTGGGTGGGCAGCGTCAACAGGCTTTGTTGACGCTCTGGATTCCAGATCTTGACTGTACCATCCCATGATGACGAAGCGAATGTCGCTTTCGAGGTAAGATTCCACCTGACTGAGAAGGCTTCTCGGCTGTGCTCTTGAAAGGTTGCGATGGGAAATTCGGGTTCAAGGGTCGTGTCGTACAAACGTAAAGACCCGTCGCCGGACGAAGTCACAATGTGGGCGGAATGTGCTTCCGAGTGTGCGAGATCGTAGAGCGCGTCTTGGGTAGGATACCTGAGTGGTCAGCAGCGACCTAGGAGAAGGGGTAGTAATCCCTACCACTTCAGACATTGTATGCCCTGCGGAGTCAATTCCAGAATGAACAGCCTGCCGTTCCCCACCAGTCCATAGTTGGCCGAAGCTGCTACCGCGATGCGATTGTCGAAGAATGGTGAGTATTGAACGGCATAGCCTTGGTAGCCCTGGGTGTGAAATTGCAGCATCGTGATGAGGAGGTGGGCAAAGTCTCGGCGTTCATGTTGAATTCATCGCAATACAAGTACATCCAGCCGAGTGTGAGGAGCAGTATTCAGGAAGCCCGACCTGCCTTCATGCTGTTGATGCGCGTTGGCTCCCAAGTTGCGAGAGCGGGAATTCAATGGCGGGACAGCATTGACGTAGACGTTTTTTTCAAGACATGCTTAATACGTCTCAATGTGCCTGGAGCTTCCTGGATCTGCATGTCTGTACGAGTCATTTCACTCTGAAATCAAACTGCAGCCGAGGCACGAATGATTGGCTATATCCCGCGCAACCACTCTTCGTATATTTTGCCTCAGTACGCGTTTGCCATCGAAAGCCTGCTATGGTCATTATGGCATCTGCTCGAGGACGGCCACGTTTCGAGAAGTCGTGCGAACGCAATGGACGCGTTCGTCTCACGCAAGAGGCGCAGGTCGTCCGTTGACCCCATTGATCAAGGTCGACCTCAGCGGGCTCCATTTGAGCATAGAGGCGAAAATCAAGACGATGATTCGACGGATGTGAAACTGGCCATTTTGTCATCTCTGCACAATGACCACTCACAAGAGGAACTTCTGGAGGTTCTTCTCAGCTGCGAAGGTTCGATTGAGCAGACGCTGAGCATGCTTGCTTCCAGACCCCAGGCTCCAAGTCCCTCCAGGTCGACAAAGTCTGCCACCATCGGTGTGCAGAGTGCTCTTGCCTTTGCAGGACCTGCTTCTGGCAGAAGCGGTCCCGCGGGTCAGCGTTTGACCAAGAAGGGACGAACGTTACATCTGTTTCTCCCGAAGGACATTGCTGCCCATACGCCGTGCAGCATCGTTCACAATTTCTTGCCCCCACATCTCGCCAATGCTTTGCTGGAGGAACTCCTTCCAGAGGTTCCTACGTTCTCCTCGGCAACTTTCCGGCTCTTCGACAATGTTGTCAAGTCGCCCCATACGGCGTCATTCTATCTTGATCCCACCATGCTTGCTGAGCAACGCCACACCTATCTTTACAACGGCTCTTATTTGTCCGATGTGCGGGAGCTGCTACCTGTAATGCGAGAGGTATCGGCCTTAGTCCGAGATGCAGTCAACGTCGAGATTAGTTCGCGAATCAAATCACACTATCCTAATGGGCAGAAGCTCAAATACCAGTCACCATCAACATGGCAGCCCAATGCCGCTTTCGTCAATTGTTACGACGGTCCAGCTCAGTCGGTCGGGTATCACTCCGATCAACTGTCTTACTTAGGCCCGCGTGCTGTTATAGGTAGCCTGTCTTTGGGTGTTGCACGAGAATTTCGTGTACGCCAGATTGTTCCACCAGACTCCCCTCCGACAACTCCTGGATGTGGCCCGTCTGCAGGAGTAGGTAGGCCTCAGGCAGACCAACAGGGCCAGATTGCGATCCATCTCCCACATAACTCGCTTCTTGTTATGCACGCAGAAATGCAAGAGGAGTGGAAGCACAGCGTTGCCGCTGCTCAGTCGATCGACCCACATCCGATCGCGGGTAATAAGCGAATCAACATCACCTATCGTTGGTATCGAGAGGAGTTCCATCCGAGCAAGACTCCACGTTGCAGATGCGGAATTCCGACCGTGCTAAAATGCGTCCAAAAGAAGAGAGAGAGCAGAGGCAAGTACATGTGGATGTGTCAGCTCGGTAGCCGCGCCGAAGGCGACGTCAAAGGCAAGAACAATTCAAACGACGAGCCAAAAGGATGCGGCTATTTCGAATGGGCAGAATTCACAGAAGATGGCGAGCCCATCTGGAAGCACAGAACAAAGAATGCTGCAACGCCGAGCCACAGCGCACATGTCGACGCCGCCGCTCAATCCGAAGCTGACAAGCGGTAATCATGGTCTCAATCTGTCAACGAAAACATGCGCTCTAAGAACAGCCGTGCCATGCGACACACAAGAGCATAAGCAATATCGCCCCAGCCAAGACGGGTCCGACTCGCCAGAACTCGAGACCTCAAACGGTGATGGCCAATGCGTCAAAACGGTCCAGTACAACGCTCGGATCCTTCGGTACAGGTGCTGTACTTGGCACAGGGTCCTCAAGGGTGTTGCCGCTCCCCCGTTCAAGACGCAAGGCTTCTCATCCATGAGACAGATAGGAGCCTACACCTTCTTGCCATGTCATCGAAGCCGGTTATACGCAAACGGATTACAATGCTGCCGTCTCAACTATTTCAACGCCACGGTCCCTTTGTTGTGCAGTCGCCGCAACAAAGGTTAGCTCGAGGCATCATGTTATGCTCCTCAACATCTGCTGGCTTCATTGTCCTGCGCAGTTGGTTGTCCGTTTGCATCATGATGCTCTGTGCAGGCGCCAGGCTCAAAAGCTGGACTTTCAGATGCTTCTCGGACTACGCATTTCCTAGCAGTGTACCTCTCCGGCCGGTTAGATTCTCAAGTAGGCGGTACATGCGACATTTGGGGTTCCTTGGATCTTCTCGACATGCCGCCCAAGAAGGGGGCAAGATCCCAGCAAAATGCTGAGGCCAAAGAAAAGAAACGTGCCGAAATTGCCGCAAAGCACGCCCAGGACTACGCGGATGATATTGCGCATTACGACAGTGTGCGCAATCAGCATACTCCCAAACACTCGTCTGGAGCTCTCCTACCTGTTACCACCGTAGAAGATGACGCTACAACATCAACCAGAGACGTGGCTGCACTTCGCGCAGGCCAGCGGCTCGGACCGAGGGGCACCAACGACGACAACAATGCCTGCTATCGCAATGCTGTTCTTCTGACGCTTTTGTGTACCGACCCTTTCATGGCTTACATCAAAAATCGTTGGCTCGAACTCCGGCGAGACGCCATCACACAAGACTTGGCGGAGGAAATTTCAAAGCCTGTCGACGAGCATAATCATCCCTTCGAGATACTGTCGACGCTTTGGGATGTATACTGGGACCCAAAGAAGCCGGACAAAGATCTCAAAAAGGCCATGGACGAAGCCTGGAAAGAGATGCGAAACCTACCAAACGTCAGTCAACAATGGGCCACTGGGAGACAATACAGAGCTCAACAGGATGCACACGAGTTCCTCAATTGGCTGCTTTCGGCAGAAGAGGAGAGCCTTCTGTATGGAACAATCAGGTCATGTCTTGAAAGAATACTGACATCTGTGTAGTGACCTGCGAGGAATCTACGATGATTACAGGAGTATCTTCTCCATGTTGACCACACAGCGGCAGCTGTGTGCTTTATGCGCAAAGGACGGCGCTATACGCCACACATCAAAGCAAATGACGGCACACGCTATCTGGGAGGTTGGATTGCCTCCCAACCATAACCACCAGTTTCGCTTGGACGATCTTATGCAACGCTACTTCAAATATGTCGCCGACGGCTGGCTATGCGATGAATGCGATCAAAAACTTGCAATGCAACCGGAAAAACGTGAGGAACTGAGAAACCAATTCAAGGGCCCCGGATGGCGTTACGTCCGTCGACTGCCGGAAGTCCTCTTCATGCAGCTGATGAGAGCTGAATGGACGGTGGATGGGATACTTGAGAAGAACCACCTTTCTGTGGAGATCCCTGCGACAATCAATCTCGAACGATATCTCGACCCCGATCCCTTAATGCTGGACCGAGAGCGCCTTAATCCGGAATATGAACTCACTGGAGTCATAACGCATCAGGGTAGGGCAAATTCTGGACATTATAAAACACATGTGTGCGTTGACAAGGAATGGTATTGCATAAACAAGAAAGAATGTGAACCATCAAGCTTCGAGGACGCTATCGACAAGGAACATCCCAAAGGTTTCACCCCGTACATGCTAGTGTGGCAACGGAAGAGTACCTCTTCCACGGTGGACAGGGCAACCGAGAAGCAGACAGCCTCTGCTCCGGCGAATGCTCCTGATAAGGCGCTCGCGACCAGTACCATCACACAAGATGGCCAGAATGTGCCCCAACGGAACTCTACCAGGCGCGCATCGGCTCGTTCCCATACCAGCGGGCAGCCGGGGCTATCAAACTCCCCTCGAGGTTCCATTACCGAAGATCTATCGACGTACCTGCGCTTCCAGGTGGCTTTGGGTGGGAGCAGGCCTTATTTGGTGCACCACGAAATTCCAACGCAGCCCGATCTTGTCTATGCGGCTTCCAGCGGCAATGGCCCAAATGTCGACATTGCGATGACGCTGGTGCAGGAAGACAAGAGCACCAAGACCGCATTCGAGCTGGATCTGCTCGCTGCGGCGGCGACTGAGGACCGAAAACTCAACGAGAATCATCTCAGTACGCCAGAGCTCGGTACACGTCAATCATGTCGCTGTACGGAGGTACATGAAGGCACTTGCAAAGATATAGTGAAACCGAGTGAGGCAGGTGGGAAGCGCAAGGCTCTCCCAGAGGGTCACCGTGACCGAGATGCCGCCCCAACCGCGCCCTTCAAGCGCACTAAACGCCTTCCCAACATCTTTGCCCGCCCAGGCGACGATCCGCATGGGTACCCGTCGCCCGCCAAACGATGGAGGAGTCAACGCGCCCTCGATCGCGCCATCTACGAGTTTGAGACCAAGTGGAAGCACCTACAGGCCCCTCGTGCTATGCCGGTCGCCCCAAAGCGAGAGGCGTGGCAGCCATTGAGCAGGGCTCCCGAGCGGCGCTATACTTCTAGCAATCCCAGCACGCCTCCAGTACGAAACCACGGACGCCCAGGCGCCAGCTCGGTGGGGAACCAAAGGACTGGGTCACGCATGCTGCCCTTCTACCCGGCACCGTATGTCGGTCGCAAGAACAAGCGGCGTTTCAGCTCTGGCGTCCCTGGCACGCCAAAGATGAACCGAGGAAACAAAGGAGTCAGCTCGGTGGGCGGTCGCCGGTCTGGGCCGATACTTCCTTTCGACGTGGCGCAATATGGGAAGGGGGTTGGAAAAGGGAAACGAGGGTAGAAGAGCTGCTTGTGCTGGCTGTGGACTGCGAGGAGCGTGAAAGTGGCTTGGGCAACGGCCACAGGGCGTCATGAGCAGAGTCGTGGTGATAGTGCGGAAAGAGGGAGATGAAAGGCAAAGAAATTGGTTCACTCAACGTGTGTTTCGCATGTCTGTTGTGTCGAGAGAGTTGCGATGTAGTGCCGTGGGTATGCTGTGCAATAATATTCATGCTTTCTTGCTGCAGTGGTAGACAGAACATTGCGTGCCATCACGTTCACAGCATTATACACCACCCCTTCCACCAAAATCAGTCGCTGCTTCAAGCGCATTAGCATTCCTACTATAGCATGCTCTCGAGCGCCCGAACGCACAGTGGAGGTGAAGCATTCCAGCCAAGTGCGGCCGTCCAAGTCACCGTCCATAGCCGCGGGAGAAACATATCCCCGATCCTTCCTGCCTTTTCTGTTTTCGGCTCCAATCCTACCGAGAGTCTGGTCGAAATCGGAGACTCTCCAACTCGGCGAGTCTCTGTTTCTGTCTCCCTACCTACCTATACATTTTCCTTGTTTACAGTGCCTGATAGATCTGCTAGATAGATTGTACATAGAGCGGATACCAGAGCGGCGCACGAAGCTACCTAAGTCTACAACTCTGCAGAGCAATCCGCCAGGTGTTCCACAAACTTGACACTCATTTCGGAGAACAGGCCCCCGGGCGCGTTCTTGGCCGAGCCCTCAGCCTTCAGATGAGCTTCGCGCTCACCACGCGGCGCACGACACTGGGTTCTCATCCACGCCTTCGAACTACCGTCGCAAACCGCCCGAGTCGGCCGCTACATACATACAGCCCGCCCCGCCCCATTCCTCCGTCGGAAACCACCTTCTGGCCCGCCCGGAGAAGCCGAGCCCCTCGCCTCCGTAAGCTCCGTACCCTCAGCAGCACCGCTACTGCCACGATGGACCGCCCTCAGACGGACATCAAGCCCGACCCCAGCACGCTGCCCCTCCCGCGCATCCTCTGCCTGCACGGCGGCGGCGTCAACGCCGCCATCTTCCGGTCGCAAATGCGCGCCTTCCTCGCCCATCCCCTACTGGTCAACCGCTTCCGCTTCGTCTTCGTCGACGCCCCCTTCCTGTGCGCCGAGGGCGTCGGCGTCGTTCCGGTCTATCAGGACTGGGGACCTTTCCGGCGCTGGTTCCGGTGGTTGGCGAGTCATGAGACCGTGGATGGAGTGGGAGATGTGCACCAGAGGATTTGGGAGAGTGTGGGGGAGGCGATGCGCGGGGATGAGGGGGTGGGGGAGTGGGTGGGCTTGTGGGGGTTTAGTCAGGGGGCGAAATTGGCGTGTAGCATGCTCTATGAGCAGCAGTTGAGGGTGGATCGGGGGGAGGGGGTGGCGCGGCGGAAGGAGTTGGAGGCGAATGGGAACGGGAACGGGGAGGGGCCCGAAGGAGTGTTGTGGAAGTTCGGCGTGATTCTCGCGGGAAGGTGTCCGTTTGCGGCGCTGAGTGCGGAGGGGGAAGCGTTGCCGTGGTTGCAGAGTGCCGGTGGTTTACCCAATCAGGCGGACATGGATGCAATTACGGACAGGCCGGATATGAAGCTGCGGGCGCCGACGCTGCATGTGCATGGACTGAGGGATGAGGGGTTAGAGCTGCATCGCAGGGCGGTGGAGGATTATTGCGCGCCGGGGACGACGACGGTGGTGGAGTGGGATGGGCCGCATCGCGTGCCGATCAAGAAGGCTGATGTCGAGAAGGTGGTGCAGGCGTTTGTCGAGTTGGTGGATGAGTATGGGCTGTGAATGTGTTGATTTGGTCTAGAGTAGGCAATAGAGGATGCTTTGAAGGTGCGTGGTGAGGTGTGTAGACGCAGTAAGCATTGCTTGTCATGTTGCCTGTGTTGGCAGTCAACTCCTAGCCTCTTCTATTACTATTAGACCTATATAGCTTGGGCCTCGAGCCCCAACGTTGTCAGCCCTTTGCGGGTCTCCTCTCACGTTCATGACACTTTGCCATGGTACATGGTGCTGAGTAGGCTCGCCCTCAACGAGCCCCATGAGAGACAACCGGAGTATGGACTCGTGACGCCGGACAGATTAGTCCACGTCTGGAAGACCGTCACGCGTGTATAAGTCTCCGGACTATTGGCGCATAAGATATTGCTCGGCGGCAGCCTCCTCGGTATGATCCAGTGCTGCGATACTTGGATGAAACGAGGCGCGGCGGCTGCATGGCAGATACAAGCACTTGTGCTATGCAGTCAGCCTGTTGTTGGAGCTAATGTCCGAAGTACAGCTCTCCGTCGACGACTGCCGGTGGCTGTTTGCTACTCTTTGAAAGCACCGCCTGTGGTCGACGATCGGCTGCAGACCCACTCCAGCATCCGGCCTGAGGTACCTCTGTTCGAGGTGATTTGCCATGACCGTAGGCTATGGAACCTGCTGAACAGAAGTGGTCGCTCCACAGCGCTTTCCTGTTGTGTCGTCGTCGCCCCATGCTTCTACATCGACACTAGCGTCTCCTTGGCGGGACTACGCCGGGTGAACCATTGACTTCATATTGACGGCCTTTGATCCCAGCTTCCTTGTTATCACCACCTCGTCATTGGTTGTCCACTGATAGCTTGCGACATTTACACAACCGAACAACCATGCAGCTCGTCCCCTACCTCCAGAATGGGTTTGGTGACGGGTGCCCTCGGTGTCGCCTAGGGCTGACTCTGGGGTCCATCCCCTGATTATGGCATCGAGCCTGGTCTGTATTCCGCGAGCCGCTCAGCCTCGCTTTGCGAAGGCTGTCAACACAACACTCTGATAGGTCATGGCTACTAACTACTTCGGAGCTCTCCCCAGCTGGCAGTCCTTCTGCCATGCCAGCACTGCTGCTATTCACACCGGTCGCCAGCCGTCGAGCAACGAGGCCGGGGCTTTTGGCATGCGTCTGTACCGGCTCTCCACACACAGCATGGATGACATACTAGCTCTCGCTTACCGTCGAGCGTCGCAAAGCCCGAAACGGAGCTGTGAGCACTGCCAATGGTCCTGTCGTATCATCAAGTCCGCCCTGAGCAATTTGGATCAAGCAATACGTCACCAGAACACGGTAAGTGTGATCAAGCTGCGAGCCAGCAAAGCCATGACATATCCCTGTGGGCGGTGCATCTTCAGCTTCGAATGCTCCTTGCTCTTGGATCCAGACTGTTCGGAGTCCAACTTCGTTGCCCCTTATATAAGCGTGCAGACCTGCGAAGCTGGACATTAGTTTCACAGCGCTTTTTGCTTCCCCTTCTGACACAGATACTCTGACACCATATCACCACAAGAACCTCGTCAAACCCATCTCGCAACACCAAAATGTCGTTCTTCAGAACTCTCTTCTTCCGCAAGAAGAAAGCCCCTCTAGTCTGCACCATTGACCTCGCCCACGATCCCAACCATGTCCACACCGACGCCTGTTTCGTCGAGATCGCGCCTCTCTCCATCGTCGAGTTCTTCATGTCCCAAGGTTGCGAGGCATGCCCAGCCGCCATCCCCCTGATTCACAAATCCGCCATGGCGAACAACAACGTCCTCCTGCTAACCTACAACGTCACCTACGTAAGCCCTCCCAACAGCATCACCGCCCAATCGACTCACAGATCCCTTGTCTCAGCAGCTAACTTACACCTTCACTAGTTCAACAACCGCACCGGCTGGACAGACACCAAATCCAACACCCTCTGGGACGCCCGCCAAGCCGCCTACTCGAAACGCTGGTCCCGCACCGCGGCCTTCACGCCGCAAGTCATCATCGACGGCATCGCCGACGGCACGGGCGCCAAAGAAGGCGACTTCAACTCCATCCTGTCCAACGCCATCGAAGCGCGCAATAACTCGCCCCTCGCCGTCGGCATGGAGAAGGTCGACAACCGCCGCCTCAAGATCGCGAGCGAGACGGTCGAGACTGAGGTGTATGATGTGGTGGTCATCAGCTATGAGGCAAGAGCGGAAGTGGTCAAGGTGGGCAAGGGGCCGAACAAAGGAAAGAAATTGGAGCATCGGAATGTGGTGAGGGAGGTGGTCAAGATTGAGGAGTGGGCGGGCGGGCCGAAGGTGTTGGAGTTGCTGGAGATGCCCGAGGGGAATGCGCTGCAGCATGTGGTGGTGTTGCAGCAGGGGGTTGGGGGGCCGATCGTGGCCGCTTGTAGATTGTAGAGCTGTGAGGGTCCTTGGGGAGGGTGGAGAGGAAGGTAGAGCGGCGCATAATGTCTAAGATGTGTTGAGGATGAATCATATTAGGCTAGATAGCTTGAGTAGCTGGAGCAGAATGAAACTTCAGAGTTGATCGAGTGAGCGAACGCATCTGTTATCGACGCCCTCTTCCCCTATAGCCTTCACAGCAACTTCCTCTCACCGACCATCCTCTCCCGCATTCCAGAGCCTCTCATCGCCTCGTATAATCGCACATCCCCATCCTCATCCTCCATACCTCTCTCCCTCAACAACGTCTCGGGCCTCTTCCTCACCCTCTCCTCTTCCTGCAAGCCCCTCCCCACAGACTCCCCTACCAAAGCCCTCAACCCCGCCAGCGCCCTCTCCAGCTCCCACGCCCTCACATCCGGCACGCAATCCGTCCCTTCTTCCGGCATCTCTGCTTCTGCAAAGACCCCGCGTATCGTCTTCCCCGTACACATGCCCGAATGGCTATTGACCCCAGGCCCCAGGCCCAAGCCCATACCCCAAATACTTCAGCAGCACACCGCCCTGCAGCCCTGCACTCATATTCATCTTGCTGGACCTACGGCGCAGCCGGATCCCACACCCCGTTAACAGTCAGAATGAATCCCAGCATCCTCTGTTACTATCTAGGTCCATAGAGCTCGGGCTTCGCTTCAACGTTGTCAGCCCTCCACGGGTTCGGGTTTCCTCTCACCTTCGTGACATTAACCACCGAGCCAGGCTGATTTCGCTGGTGCGTGCAGTGAAGTCGTCGCCCTGGTAAGCCTTCGTTGGCCTGCATCCTCCACCTTTCCACACGGACCCGGCAGGCCCAGCTGAAGGAACGGGGGAGCGGCTTCGGCGAACATCGTCATTACTGTCGTGCTCGACGCCAGCAGCCTCGGTGACCGGGCAGGTGAGGTTTGAAGGGCTTTCAAGAATATGGAGCATCGGGCGATTGGTGGTTCAAGTCGCGAGTCTACATTTGTCAAGAACAGTATTCATGGCCTTCGTTAGTTTGGTGTAACGAACGATCTCGGGAGCACCAGCGAGCTTCCACGGGTCGCAGGTACGCGGTAGCATTAAGTTGGGGGTGGGGGTTGGCGAGATTGGCAGCCGAAGTCCATGTCTGATATAGGGGCAGTTGTTGGATAGGGAAGCAAAAGGTCGAGAGTTGTTTTTCCCACCGGGCTTGGTCTTCGTACGAAACTGGACTTGGTCCTGTGCAGGGTATGCACACGCACGACTGCAATTCCTTTCTCTCGGCATACTGATTAGTGGACTACACTAGGAGCGCTGAGAAGTCCTTTCGGGCACTGGACACAAAACCCAGCTTTTTCCAAGCCAATCGCCCAACCTCCTATCCATTGGCTAGTCCTTCTGCCCGGGATACAAATCACCGTAGCTCGCAGACCGCAATCCATGGACTCACCACGCCAAAGAAGAATAGCCTGCCCGTCTTGCTATCCCGCACCACCGTCGTCGTGGCTGGCAGCGTCTCCCCAACGGGATCCTCCACGACCTTCTGGACCTCCCAGTTCCGCCCCGTCTCGCCCTTTCTGCTGATCTTGAAAGCCGCAGTCGGTGCTCCGCGTCCATCTATCGGCGTGCTCGACTTGAACAAATCCATCATCTCCGACAGCTTAGGAAAGACTGCTGCGTACAAGTCGCCATCCTCGTCCTCGGAGATGTTGTCTATCGGGTAGCCGACGCTGATGTCTGCAACACGCTGCAGGGTACTGCCGTTCTTGTTCGTCAGCTCAACCTGCGGCTCGTACACGGTAATCCTGCCGGTCACAGAGCTGGGCACATATAGCAAGCTGTCGCGCGTACTGTAGTGCAATCCGTTAGGGTAGGCATGCTTGCCGCCGACCTGGTTGCATACCGCTTCCGTGTTGGGCTCTTTGGGGGGCTGACAGTGCACAATAGTCCCCGTACGCAAGACGGGAGAGAGCGCAAATCCCAGTCCGGCTTTATTCGGTCCGTGATCATTGCTGATGTATAGAGAACCATCGGGCAGGGGGGCAGGTCGATTGGGCGTTGTGATGAGCTCGCGGTTATAAAAGGTGTGAAGATGCGTGAGCTCTTCGGAGGAGGAGGAAGAGGGGAGCGCAAAGACCTCAATAGTGGCGTTGGGACCGGTTACATCTTGGGGAGCGAGCCGTTGCGTGGTGGCGTTGTACGTTGGGGCGGAATTGACAAGATACAGATGCAGAGAGCCATCGGCTTGATGCATGCCAGACATGCCGACCATGTTGATAGAAGATTCACCCAGGCTGTTCTCGAAGTCACCCAAGCCGAGAATGCGGTAATCGAAGGCGTTCGGGTCCTGTGGGTGCGGAGTATCAATGGAAAGGGCAACGATATGGTCGGTACGGCTGCGGCGCTCGGCGGCGAAGTGCCCAATGGCGGGGTTCCAGGCCTTGCGAGCCAGAGCATTGGAGCAGGCCAGGAAGAGCTGTCGTGAGGATGTATCCAGCCAGGCATCTTCGCAGGCGGCGAGATTGTGGTCGTTGATGCGCCGGCAGTTGTAGGGGAAGGAGGAGAGGGGTTCCATCACGCGGGAGACTCCATAGGTCACGTAGACCACGTCTTTCAGGAGCCATTGCCAGAGTATAGCCAGGTTGGCGACCGTGAAAGCAAAGAGAACGGGTATTGAAGGCATGCTGTCGCGCTCAAATAGGGTACAGTGTCCAGCCAGAGGAAGGGCACAAGGGAAAGCAAGAGCAAATCTAGACAACAATCGTGCAAAAGCCGTCGATCGTCGAGCCAAGCCGACAGGTCCAAGGGGCTCGAACCTCAGTCGGCCGTCTGTCAATAACCACAAGGTCTGACAGAATGTATAAGGGGGTTCCAAGCTGAGGCGCACGGAGATAGGAGGCTTTAGGCGTCAAGTTAAGCTTCCGGGACGCCTGGAGCAAGCGTTCCGCCCTGATGTCATGTATTGTTCGACGAGGCCCGTCAGCCGAGGGGTACACCTTTTATATCACCATATCTGCTAAGTCGTCATGTTCTTTTTCTTCTACTATACGGGCCTCTGGGTTTCTTGAGTCAGACGACAGCATACCCCCTCGAACAAAGTCGCCAAGCGAAGCCCCCAAAGCAATCATGGCATCATCTGTGTTTCGCCCCGGAGCAACTGCACTCATCTCAGGCTCGGCGGGCGGTGTAGGATTCGCCTTTGCACGCATCTGTCGACAACACGGCATGCACCTGGCGCTCCTCGACAGAGACACCGACAACCTAGCGGCCGCCGTAGACCTCCTCCAATCCGAATCCCCCCAGCCCGACCTGAAAATCGAATCCTACTCCATCGACGTCTCGGACCTCCCAGCCTGGAAATCCGTATCAACCAAAGTCAAATCCACCTTCGGCCCCTCACTCGACCTCCTGATGCTCAACGCAGGCCACTCGCCCAAACCGTCCGGCACCTCCCGCTGGCTCGACGTCGACTACTGGCACAAAACCCTCGACACTAACCTCTTCGGCGTCGTCAACGGCATCGCCACCTTCCTCCCCAACATCCAGGCCTCCACGGGGCCCTCGGCCGTTGTCATCACGGGCTCCAAGCAAGGTATCACCAACCCGCCCGGCAACCCAGCCTACAACTGCTCCAAATCCGCCGTCAAGTCCATCGCCGAGCACCTCGCGCACGACCTGCGCACCCCCTCGCACGAGCACCACCACCCCACCGCCTCCGTGCACCTCCTCATCCCCGGCTGGACCTACACGGGCCTCTCCGGCAACCCGGGCCCGGCGCCGTCGCAGGATGCCATCGACAAGAAACCCGCCGGCGCGTGGCTGCCACAGCAGTGTGCGCAGTACGGTGTGGACCGCATCAAGGAGGGCAAGTTCTACATCGTGTGTCCGGACAACGATGTCGACGAGGCGCTGGATCAGGCGCGCATGACGTGGGCGGTTGGGGACGTGGTGGAGGGCCGGAGCGCGCTGAGTCGCTGGGACGAGCTGTTCAAGAACGATGCGGCAGCGTGGATCGCCGAGGATGCGAAGAGGCGGAGGGGAGATGCGAAGGATGATGGGCTTGCTACGAGATAAGTTGTTGCGGTGTCGCAAGTCATGTGCTGTGCTGTAATGTGAGGATGTGGTCAAGGGAAGGCCGTGTAAGTCTGTAGCATGGTGTTGCATGGCCGATAATCAAGTCTCCACAGTCTCTCAGTGTCAGGTGTGTCTCTTTTGCCTCGATCGCTATCGTAGACAGCAAAATTTCAATGTATGGTAGTGACTGGCCGCGCGCTATCCTATACCATTGCTTTTGATATGACCGTACAAATCCTGTTCACTCGCCGTTGTCATGAATGCGCTCAGCCGAAGATCGTCTCAAGGCCTCACTTCAAGTCTCTCGCTCGAGTGTCACACCGCCGTCTTCCCCATCCACGCCTTCCGCATCAGCTGGCGGCACATCACTCTCTGGACTGCTGCTGTTGCGCACCCTGACCTGCTCTGTAGTCTCCTCCACCTTCTTCTCTGGCCTTTTCCCACCCGGGTGCTGTTGCAAGTTGACCAGCTCCGTGCTGTCGTTGAACAGGCGCAATAACATCGCCTTCCGTTCCTCCTTTGGCAACATCAGATTCAAGCTTTGTATGCTCTTCCACAATGGAAATACCATGCGCTCGTTGAAGCCGCTATCGCCCTCTTCCGCTCGCGGCTCCACAACCAGCACACAGCAACCCATGCCCACGTTTTGGATTTGCTCGCCGACTTCTCCGAGATTGCGCCATTCTTCACCAGCAAAACGTGGGAACATCTCCACAAGCAACTTCCGCAGTGTTTCTTTGCGCCACAGCTTGATTACACGCTGCCTGCCAACCCAGGGCTCGATGACTTTGAGACCATCGGTCTGGATCCGCCATGGGCAAACTTCCGGCGACGGCGCATCCTGCTTGACAAACATTTTGATGCCGGCATGCACGAATTTGATGCCTTTGCCCTCGTTTTCGGTGAGAATATCTCTGGCGAGGGCGGTGGTGTAGTAGATATTCTTGGTTGCGGTGGCGGCAGGGTTGCGTACTAAGAATCGATCGGATGGAAAGCGTCCGGAGAGGTTGTAGAAGGTGCGAATGGACTCAAGCTCGGGGATCTCAGGCGATAGATACTTGAAAGGCTCCTCGAAGGGTTGATTGCGATCCTTCCGAGGTCTATCGGAATTCTGTTGTATCGGGGGTTGCAGCATGCTAGCAGCTGCAGCCGGGGTAGATGTCTTCGTCTCGGTGGTCTTTGAAGGCTGAGGCGCTTCGTGTTCTTCGGTCGATCCATTGGCATCGGCCTTTATGCGTTTGACGGCGGGCTCTACGTCAGCTTCGTCATCTCTCTTCCTCTTGGGTGACTGAGCACCATTTTGAACTGCAGCGATTTGGCCGTCTAGCTGGGTTGCAAGCTTGACCTCAGTACCGCTGGAATCAGCGGTCTCGACTTTCATAGCCGGAGCAGCAACGGGCTTTTCTTCAGATTTGGCCTTGATCTCAGCCTTCTTCTCTAGAATGGCTATAAAGAAAGCTCCTGTGTCGTGCTGATGGGGATACACGCGAACGGCCCTCTCCAGAGGCAAATCGTCTTTCGGTGGAAACATGCCCTCGGTGAGTCGGCTGAGAGTGTCTTCTCCACGAGTCGCCTGCTCATTGAGCACTTCGTCGTAACTGTGCCAGATACGGCCAGCTTTGGACATGATACTCCACTTCTTGAGACCTGCATACCTTTTTAAACCAGGCAGATAGCCTTCAGTCTCTACGAGCTGGACGAAGCTCTGGCCACCACAGCGCTGAATGGCTGCGGACAGCACGGCTTCGTCTTCGACGGGATTCATACTGCAGGTCGAGTAAACGACTCTACCGCCGACCTTGAGCATCTGCAGTGCTCTGACAAGGATCCTGACTTGAGTGGCATGTAGGCCTAGACCGTTGCTTGGAGTCCACTTGCTCCAGATTTCAAGATTCTTTCTGGCCGTGCCATCGCCGGAGCAAGGCACATCAGCGAGAATACGATCAAATTTGAGATATCGGTTTTGAGCAGGCTTTCCCTCGGTCGTGGGCTCCGAAGGAATTTTGATCGACGGGAACACGGTCGCATCATGGTTGGTGACAATGATGTTGGGGGAGCTCAGTCGCTTGACCTGGTGCACCAGCATATGAGCACGTTTGTAATCAACATCGTTGGCAATGAGGAGGCCTGGAGACCGGCCATCGTCCTCGTACTCGGCGCCTTCAGGTCTAGCCAGGCCGTTGGCCGTGTTCTCCGCAACCTTCCTTGATCGTTCTTCTTCGCCATCGTGCAGCATCTCGATGAGCTGTGCAGACTTGCTGCCAGGCGCCGCGCAAAGGTCAAGCACCGTCATTCCAGGCTTGATGTCCATGAGCAGAGGCGGGATCATGCTCACGATCTCTTGCCGAGTGATATTGCCAACATCTGTCTCTGCAACTAGGAAGTTTTGGAATGACTTGAAGGGTGGGAACCGGCGGATAATGTGCTTAGGAGTGGTCATGAACCAGGCGAGCTGGTTTGGGTACCATGATACTGGCTGTGGAGGCTCAACAAGCTGACCATCGTATGTGATCGAGGTAATTTCGGGAATGTAGAAGTCTCGGAGACGTTGCTGAACTGCTAAAGCGTGCCTGCATTTGGTCAGCGTATGAAGTCGCAGAAAGGTGGTGAACGAACGATCTAGAGCCTGTAAATCTAAAGCTGTTGGGCAGGTCGCGGCGCATAGCCTCCCATAACTGAGGCTTTTCCTCCTCTGACACGAGATCAAGCTGGTTATAGTATTGCTCGAACTTGTCATTCTTTCGAGGAATTGTTGCCTTGTCGACTCGATTGTCACGAGGAGGGCCACGAGAGCCACCCCACCCGCCTCGACCGCGGCCGCCCTGATAACTGTTAGCCTGGACGCAGGGAGGAAGAGCAGATCCATGTACCTTTTTACCGCCGCGCTTTCCCATGGTAGGTTGCTTGTTTGAGGCAGGAGATTGCTGCGACTAGGTAACGAGCGAGCAGACATGCCCATGCCGCCCGCCTTCAAAAAAAGATCGAGTGGGGAAAATTGCGGGAATCCACTTCAGCCTCACCACCTCGCCGGTAGCCTTGTCAAACGACTGTGCTGTGTCAGATTAGACTACACCTTCACACAAACTCGCACTTCGTCGTCTTCCATCGATGCTGCAGAAAGGATGTAGCAGCTGTAAGCCTTTGATAGACGTTGTCAGCGGTTTCGAGACGCTGATGCCGATTGTGCGGAGTCGGATCCGCATCGACACTGTGTTTTCGATTCATGCTATAAAGTCTAGAACCAGTATTCACAATGATGCCCCTCCCGTACCTGCCGCTCTTGCTTGAGTCAGGACGGCGCACTGCATCTAGGTACGGAGTATCCGCGCTGATGTAGTGCGACCGATGGCCGTAGACCAACGACCATGGTCGATCTCAGCTCAGAGTCTGCTCCGCGGACTTCGACTTCGGATCGTGGTTCGCTGATATCACTTCTCCACGATTCGAGATCCGCGATCGTCAACGTCTAAGATAAGCGATTTCATTCTGGATCTCGTACTTGGGATGCAAGCTAGATTCAACATTATTCTCCAGAGACGCACGATAGCATGCCCGGGCCGCGGCTCCTCAACCCGGCCATTGGTTGTTGTCCCTTTCCATGATAGTGCCTATCTCGAGATAGCGCATATGACGCCATGCTAAAGGTACTAGACTCTCCCGAGATCGGACAGCCCTGATAACGCCGCGATGTGGTTTTGGCCGGATCGTTATAGGGAGATGTACGTCCTGGCGCTGCCGTCGGTGAGGTCCGTGGTTGATCCTCGTTATTCACAGTGGGATCTGTCCGATCGAGGTATATCTCTTCGCGCAGTGTTGTCCCTACGCCATCCGTCATGGCCCCTTACGATTCATCATCGCGGTCTTCAATCTCTATACTCGCCTCTCCACTGAAACTGCCCTGCGGCGTCACGCTCCCTAACCGGCTAGTCAAATGTCCTATGCAAGAAACCTGCGCCACACCTCCCAATTTCGACCCACCCCTAGATGCATTCCGGAATCTCTACGACACATGGTCCAGCGCGCAGTATGGCTTGCTTATCACAGGCCAAGTTCAGATCGATAGCCGCTACTTCAGCATCGCAGGCGACGTCTGTGCCCACAAGGACTCGCTATCAGAGCCCATCCTCAGCAAATGGCGCGAGTGGGCTAGCATCGCACAACGGCATGGCACGCCCTGTATCGTGCAGCTAGCACATCCCGGGAGGATGAGTCCGGCAGGTGCGGGCACTAGACCGGCCGACATGCCGGCGCTGTGTCCTTCGAGTGTACCAGTATCGATCGGGATGGGCGATGGATGGCTCGACAAGCTTGCTTTGGAGAAGTTGCTGGGCACGCCCAAAGCCATGACGATCGAGGACATCGACGAGGTCGTTGAGATGTTTCTCGATGGAGCTAGAGTCGCCAAAGAGGCTGGTTTCGCCGGCGTACAGATCCACGCTGCTCACGGCTTCCTCGTGTCAGAGTTCCTGAGTCCACACACTAACAGACGCAATGATGCTTACGGAGGTGATCCAGAGCGAAGAATGACCTTCCTCAAGCGGCTGGTGAAAGAGGTTCGTGAAGTCATGGGCCCGGAACGGTGTATGAGTGTCAAGCTCAATAGCGGCGACTACATGGCAGACGGAGGCTTGACACAAGATGAGGCTTTGGAGCAGGTGCGATGGTTGGTCGAGTGCGGTATGGTGGATTTTGTCGAGATCTCAGGAGGAAACGCCGAGCAGAAGAGCTCCAAGCTACACAACAGCTTTGGCAACAGGAGTCTCGAGAAGGTCCCCAAACGAGACAGCACCCGGATACGCGAAGCTGCCTTCATCGACTTCGCCGAAAGGGTTGAGCAGATGCAGCCAATGATACCGATCCAGCTTTCCGGAGGCTTCAGAAGTCGAAACGGCATGGCGGATGCTATTGACAGCGGTGCATGTGACCTGATAGGCCTGGGGAGGACGGCCGTCCTGGAGCCGCAGCTCCCGAAGACTATGCTGCTCAACCCTGATATCTCTGATGATCAGGCCTTGGCTCTTCCTCACCAGATTAGAGGTCTGTGGTTCTCGAGATGGATACCGGCAAAAGTAGTTGGCAGTGGTTTGCCTATTCAGGTTCGTACTTATGAGCCGTTTCCCCTTCTCCTACTGACAGCGGACAGTTCTTCTACTGGAATATGCGCCGTCTAGGAAGAGGTCTGATGAGTGACCCGAATGCCAGCATACCTTGGGTCGTCGCCACCAACACGATAGAACTACTACAGGCGGTAGTCAGCGGCGTAAGCGGGAGGTTGCGAGGTCTCATTCCCTCAAGATACCCATGGCAGCATATTGAAGTCGAGACGGGGTGATCTGAAGGGCACTTTGTCGATGAAATTGGCACCCAGAATAGGCTCTGCTATGATCCCAAGAAACCCGCCGGCCGACGTTGTCGACCCCTGGTTACGCTTATATTCCTAAGAATGATTTCAACGGCTTGACAGCCATTGTCTTCGTAGGATGCGAGTACTCTTGACACAATCGATGTTCAGGTGGTCTGTCAAAAGGGCACCAAAGTCCATGGTGAAAGTAATGTGATGCATAGAGATGCAGGATACGATCTCCGTCCCGGAGAATAACAACGTCCTTTCCTTAGCCACCCCCACGCCTTCCGGCCGGGCGACTTGGCCTTATTCAGGCAAGACCTTCAAGCGTGCCTTAGGCGAGAAAAGACGCCTGGGCACGCCGTCATTTTAGGGCCCGTGCCGCCCCCACCATAACCTGAAACACAGTTCCCACTGCCCCTCTTCGTGGATTGTCTCTTCAACGTCCTCTCTCTCAGCTCCGCGCCACACCCTCCTTCGATCGCGTGCTTTCTTGTGCGACGACCTCCTCTTCTCTTTCCGCGTATCGCACCGTCGAACTCACACTCTTTTCCACGCCCAATACCATGTCGACCGGTACTATCTTCAATCAGCCTAAGACGGCTGTTCAATTGCCGCAGGAGCTGATCGATGCTATAAATAATGGAGCTGAACCCTACCCTATTCCCGAGGGAAAAGAGTATGGCTATGGCACTGCTGGTGTATGTGTACACGATACATGTCGAGACATTTCTCTAATAGACCACAGTTCCGCATGAAAGCGTACGGCGCGCGCCCTCATCCAACTACCCTCAGCTGATCGTTCTAGCAAGGCTGGCTTGGACCATGTCATGTACACGGTTGGCCTCATCGCGGCTGCAAGATCCAAAAAGCGGAATGCTACTATTGGTGTCATGATCACTGCCTCTCACAACCCCGCAGAAGACAATGGCGTTAAGCTGGTAGATCCAATGGTTGGTACTATACCTTCATGGACAGCGCAGGACTGACAGAGTACAGGGTGACATGCTTGAGGTACGATCGCATCACACATTGCATCTGTGTAGCTGACATGTGAAAGCAATCATGGGAAAGCTATGCCACTGTCCTGGCTAATACTCCCAGCAATGAGCTTGGCAAGGCATATGAGACGCTCGTTAATGACGAGTTGGTAGACGAGCTTCGGAAGATCCATGACCGTCCCGCGAAAGTCATCTTCGGCCGTGACACTCGTCCCTCAGGCATTCATCTTGTCAAGGCCCTCAAGGCTGCTCTTGATGCGGTCAAGGTCGAGTACACCGACTACGGGATTCTGACTACGCCACAGCTGCACTACCTTGTTCGCTGTATCAATACAAAGGGTACCCCTTATGAGTTCGGCGAGCCCACCGAGCAGGGATACTACGAAAAGATGGCCAAAGCGTTCAAGTCTCTTATGCATGGCCGTACTATCCAAGGACCGGTGACTGTCGACTGTGCCAATGGCGTGGGTGGCCCCAAGCTCAGAGAACTCGTCAAGTACATCCCTTCGGCTTCAGAAGGTGGCATCGATATCAAAGTCACTAACGACGATACGCTGAATCCGGACGTCTTAAACTACGAGGTACAAGTACTTCCTCCTTTCTGCTTCTTCTACTAACGCCTTCAGTGCGGTGCCGACTACGTCAAAACCAAGCAGCGTGCGCCTCCCACATCCACTGCTAACCCCAATGAACGCCACGCCTCGCTTGACGGCGATGCCGACAGGGTTGTGTACTACTATACTGACAGCAGCAACACCTTCCACCTTTTGGATGGAGACCGCATCGCAACACTAGGTGCGGCCTTCTTGGCGGACATGACGCGCTCCGCTGGCATCGATAGCAAGCTTAAAATCGGAATCGTCCAGACCGCCTATGCCAATGGCGCCGCGACCGAATACGTCGAAAAGGTACTCAAGCTCCCTGTAGAGTGCACAAATACTGGTGTTAAGCACTTGCACCATGCGGCGGCACGTTTCGACATCGGCGTGTACTTCGAGGCCAACGGACATGGCACAATCTTGTTCAGCGAGAACGCCATTCGAACAATTCGCGAGACGGACCCAAAATCCCCCGGCCAGAAACACGCACTAGACTCGCTATCCGCCTGCATCGACCTCATCAACCAGGCCGTCGGAGATGCTCTGTCCGATCTACTGTTTGCCGAGGTGGTGCTGGCGCACAAATCCTGGACTCCAGAAAACTGGCGCAACACCTACATCGACCTGCCCAACTTTCTGAAGCGCGTCGAGGTGCCTGACCGACGCATCTTCAAGGCTGTGGATGCTGAGCGGAAGCTGGAGTCACCCAAGGGCATGCAAGAGGAGATTGACGGTTTGGTTCGCCTCTACGACCGTGGACGCAGCTTCGTGCGGGCCAGTGGCACCGAAGATGCAGTGCGCGTATATGCAGAAGCAGGCAACCGCACTGAGGCCGGTAAGCTGGCAAGTAGTGTGGAAGCACTGGTCAAGCGATTTGCGACATCATAAGAAGCGGTGGGGTGAAAATATGGGGAGCTGCACGATAGATGACACATGAGCATGGACATGAGTATGTGCTGGATACTACTGACATTGGACGGCTCCTCATGAACTGTCGAAGTCGCCGGTGCAGAGCGGATGATGTGTGGGTGCAGGCACCCACGACGCATAGCGATTGGCGCCCCGAACGAAGGAACGATACAATTGCATGCAGATACGCAGATAGATATCAAAAGTTGAATGATTGCTCACTAAAATTGGCTCCGATCTTTGATCCTACGACCAATGCACTTATAGTATTGGCAGTCTATGGGTTGCAGAATTCTAATACCTCGTCATTGAGCTGAGCTTGAAGCAGGCACTCGCTCGAAGCCACTTTGACTCCAGTCTTTATGTCCCCTTGTCCACAGAAATTCCACTCTTCCTACGCCAGAGACACCAAGAGGAACGCCATTGCTCACCTCACCACCCTCCGCAGTTCAACCCGCGGCACATCCCACACCACATCCCGAACCCCCCACCGCTGTCTAGCCGGCACCTTCATGCCCAACACCCCCGGACACCCCACCCACTCCTCATTGCGCACCAGCAGCATCCCAAACGCCGCGATATCATCCCCCCTTTTCACGCCTTGTTGCGCCTCCCGCCGCCCTGCGTCTCCCTCTGCGCCTGCTGCTGGCGCAGCAACCAGCCCAATTGCCTCCCGCGCCCCGGTGCTCACGGCTGTATACAGCGCCAAGGCATCCGCCTCCGTGCCCGCGTGGTACAGGCCGACGCCCCATCCGGCCGTTTCGAGCGGGTCGCCTGTGCCGAAGGGAGTGAAGGCGTTGCCGACGTTGTTCACGCCAAGGCAGCAGGAGAGGCCGTACTGGCGCGTTAGGAGGGGGATGTTGAGTGTGCCGCGCGGGCGGTGCATTGGCTGTTGCTGTTGTTGCTGGGCGTCACTTTCGCGAGAGGAAGGTGATGATGATGATGCTGGTGGTGTGTCCGGTGGGCGGCCCATCATGTACAGATCACTCGTGGGCAGGCCGACGAAGTAGACGGGCAGGTCTGCTTCGTGGATCTCGGCTGCGAGGCGCTGTAGCTGCGTGTGCGGCAGGAGGGTGAGGGCCGTGCAGTGGCCTAGGACCACCGTTCGCGGAGGCCTGCTCTTCTGTTGTGAACCCTGCTGCCGTCGAGTCGGCCACGACTGCGCCTTCAATTGCCGCAGCACCTCCCACACCACCAGCTCCTCCGGCGCCTTGGTCTCGTCGAGATTATAGTCGAGGTGGAAGTCCAAGTGCACGCCATACTTCAGCGCCGTGGCGACCGCCCATTTTATGTTCCGCACGCTCGCGTCGCGAGAGGACTCGACGTACGGCGTGCTGCCTAGCACCTCGACCCCCCCACCGGCCTCGACGCCTCCGCTTCCATTAGCACCAACGGCATGCTCCGCCAGCGCCCCCTCCAAAACCCTCCGATTCTCCTCCCCCCACTCCGAGCTGAAGATCGGATCCTGCGCGAACGCGCACAGCTGCACCCGCACTTTCCCCCGGAACTCCCGCTGCAATTGCAGCCCCACCCCGAGCGTTCTGAGCGCAGTGACGTGGTCGACTTCGACGAAGGAGCGCGCGCTGGTCACGCCTTGCGTGAACGAGGTGGCGAGCAGTTGGCGGCCGCGGAGCAGGAGGTCTTCGGGGGTGAAGCGAGTCTTTGCGGCGGCGGTGTTGGCGATGGCTTCGGGGAACGTGCCGCTGCGGGGGGTAAGGTCGGCGTAGCTTGGGTGGTTTGGTGGGGAGGGGTGGTGGTGGTTGCAGGTTAGTAGGTAGGGCTTGTCGAGGTGGATGTGGGGGTGGCAGAGGGTTGGGAGGAGGAGGGAGGAGGGTGTTGATGTGTTGTTGGTGGTCGAAGAGCTGGTTGTGTTGGGTGTGATGGTCGTGATGGTGCTGTTTAATATGTCGATGTCGTAGGTTGGAGGTTGGTCGGTGCCGGAATCAGAGGAGAGGTTGACGGATAGCAGGGCGACGTTGTTGAGCTTCATGCTTCTGAAACGCCCTGCTGCGGACAGTGAGGCTACAAGCTGTGCTTGTGGAACGAGCATATGCTGCACGATATATACTTATGAAGCGTGTTGGAAGATTTGTATCAGGCAGTGAAATGTGAGGCGATGTCTCTCCATGACCCACTTCCCCAAATCGGAGAATAGACCTCACTGCACAGTCAAGGGGCTTTCAGTCTAAAGTTCGCTCGGTGTAGGATATAGAGTCAGGAATGCAGTACGAAGGAGATTCAAAATGATGTGTCTGAGTGGTGTAATGGGTCATCGCAGAATGCAGATTGTCTGGCTCAAGTGCTATCAGGTCCATCTCCCGTCTACGCCGGCTTTCAGCAAGACACAGCAAAAGTCATCAGCAGAGAGTAAGCAACACTAGTTTCGTTGGCCAAAGCCTGGTATCATCCATCAAAATTCGTATCCTTCATCGTGCTGCTACAGCTCTGAAGCCATCGAAGAGCAGTGGTCCATCGTTGGTGTCCCTCATAGGTTTAAGTCAAAGAGTAACAGTAGTGTAGTTCTGGGGCTCTGTCGGCGAGCAGGTCCAGCCGTGACCAAAACTTTCACCCTGACTGATTCGAAGAGACATCGCTCCCATCAATACCTTTGACCACGTTTCTCAAGCGGCCCAGTTCGCGCATACAAGTGTCGTGGTTCTCAAATGCCTGTTCCCACCAAGCATGACACACTTCATCGTCTTTCAACATGGCCATGTAGGTTCCATAACCACCTCTCCCAGGACCGGGATCGTTCTGCGGACCGTCTGCGCGCATACTGATCCAGTCGTCATGCATACAGCTCTCATATTGATCTTGTCGCGCTCGAAAGTGCTCAGTCATCGTCCGTTGGAACGACCTCCATTCAACCATATAGGCGCGCATCTTCTTGCAGTATTCCGACCAAGCTTCCTGTGTCAGCGAGTCCTCTGGCGGTGCGTGGACCGGTCTCGGTGGCCGAGGAAGATGATCCGCGGTGAGTTTGACACGAGGGGCGGGGTCGACGTTAACATCCTTTGCCGGCTTGGATTCAAAGGGCAGGTTGTTCTTGAGATCATCCACCCCATTCAACCCAGAAGTACCAAAGGGTCCAGCCTCCTTCAAGTCGTTCAGATTATCTACGCCTACTCCATTGGTTTCACCTCGGTGGCTAGGCGGCGTAGCATCGCCCATTTCAACATCCTGGTCGGCCGAGTTCGTTGCCGAAGGACCTGTCCTTGCTCTCGGCCGTGCGTTCTTTTTGCTTGGCGACGTGCTGCCTCCCGTACTGCGCAGCCTATCTGCCCAATCCTGGTGCTTGAAATTCGCTTCGCGAAAGACCGGATCAGGTTTGGGGGACGAATTACTTCTAAAGTCAGTATTTGTTATGTGTACACTTGAAGGCACAGCCCAGGCAGGGAAGCCATTGATACGGGGTCCATTGGGGGAAGTGCGCAAGATTTCATACCTGAAAGGCGTCCTGTCCGATGGGATATCATCTGGAGATGTGACGTTCGGAAACGGAGTTCTGGTGGGCTGCTTCTGCCCGGGCGCAGGATAGACATAGCCATTCGCACTGTTCGCCGTCGCTTCGCCAGGAACAACGCGGGTGTAGTTCTTGAACGAGGCTTGTGTATCAAATCCGTCGTCTGTAGCAACCCGGGGCTTGGGTGGGCGCGGTTGTGCCTTCTTCCTCGAAGCCATATGGATAACCTCATCCTCGGACGATTCAGATGAGGAGAAGTCTGCAGTGCTGCCAGCTGTTCTCACCTTAGGACTGGCACTCCGATGGCGAGTCGGCTGCGGGTTCACTCGACGGGCACCAAACGGACCCGCATCGCGGTCTTCCCATTTCGGTTCTACAGGAGAGTTGCGAACACTAGATGAGCGGCTAAGGCCAGGGTTGAGCTCAGTCCGCTCACCAGCTGTCGAGGCGTATCTTGATTGTGCTCGCTCAAAGAGGCCAGGTCTTTGCGGTTGGCCTGCTGGTTCGGATGACTTTGTATGGCGCAGGGGGCTGGCTGAAGAACGAGTTTTTGGTTGTGGCTGAGCACTCCAGTGATCGGCCGGTGTCTGGTTTGTCGGAGGTCTTGAGGCGCGCACGTGCGAGTATGCAGAGCGAGGTACATGGGGAACTTCATCAGGGTAGGCATTCCTCCGATTGCTTGCTGTTCGGGCCATTCCAGGGAAGCCAGGGTTGACGCCACTGGGTATTTCTGATGAGGCAGGTCGAGGGGCTGTTGGGTGAGGTCGAGGAGGTCGAGGCGGCATTTCGGGTGTCTGCTGACCGGCTCGCATCCCCGACAAGCCTCGCGCGGCTTCTGCCCTCGCCGCTTCTTCGAACCTCTGACGGTCCCATGTCTGATTGTTGCCTGCACGAGTGAAGGGATTGAATTTGGCCGCCCCAGCCGAAGCAGCGGCTTCTTGAGGCTGCGGGTACTGTCGGTGCTTAGGCTTTGGTGCGGGTGGTGGTGGAGGTGGGGGAGGGAACGGGGCGGTAGACGTCCTGGCAGGTTTCCGAAAGTTATATGGGTCGTCATTTGCCCGAGGCGGGGGAGGGGCTGCGGTGCGCGCGTGTCGGGCTCTGGCAAGATCGTACTTGGTCTTTTCTGACGGGTCGCTCAAGATCTCATGGGCGGCTTGAACGGCCTGGAATTTGGCCACAAACTCGACCTCGTGGCCTGGATTGCGATCAGGATGGTACTGCTTAGCTAGTACGGATCAGCTATAAATCAGAGATAGCGTGCCTGACATACCTAGTAGGCGGAACTGCTTCTTGATCTCTTCGTGCTCAGCTGTCGGAGGAAGACCGAGATCCGCATAATAGTCCTGCTTCGGATCTGCTTTGACCATGTTTGCCTATGTGGCCTGATACTCGTTACTCTGAGGGTTATGGTGTTTTGCGCAGCGACAGGCGGCGAGATCGAAGGAAAGAAGACGGCTCGCTTATGCAGCTCAGTCAGCCTGAGGAAGACTCAGTGGCTTGTGCTTAGTTGGCATGTCGCAGGCCAATTCAAGGCAGATGTTGAGGCAGATGTAGTTCGATGGTATTGCGGAAGCGGGTAGGCGCAGGCCAAGCGAGGATGGCAAGATGTTTGCGCCGGGTGCTGCGTAGCTCGGAGCAGGCAATTTCATGCGGCACAGTTCGCACGACAGAAGCAATCCGGACAGTGTAGATTATTGGGCGATAGCCACGAACAGTAGATTGGCGGAGGGAGAAGTTGGCGCCCTTTTGCGCGGAGGGTTATGGCAAGCGATTGTTTACGGATTGGTCAACCGGTGTTACTATGAGCTGTCAGGCACGGCGGGAAGGGTGAGAATGCAGGTGTGATAATGAGCGTATGGACAGGCTCGCAGGGTCGAGTGTGTTGGCTGAAGCGCAAGCTGAGTGGTGATCTCAAAGTGGTGCAGCCTGTTTGATGCGCTGGCAGCCGTTGATTTGAGGTTGATTTGAGGTTGGCAGGCAATTACGCATTGAGGGAGAGTGGGCCTCCCTAGCTCGACTGAGTTAGGCACCACGATCTGCTGCAGGCGCGGATACGGGCCCGTCCTTAACTATGTTGTAGGCATGCTTATGATATCACACTATTTGCCTGGACTTCTTGTGCCTCTTCATCCCTGCTGCCGCCGTTCAATGCCTGTCGACCTGCATATATCTGCTGCAGGACCGATCTCAATTCTGTCAGGAACCTGTCAACCTCCTCTGCAGTGCCAACGGTGATCCTCAAGGCGCCCGTGCAACCATGCTCTTTACCGCGAAACCTGACCACGACCCCGCGCTGCCCCGCCATTGTTTCGTAGACGGCCAGCGCCGTCACATTATCTGGCTTACCATTCTGACCATCTAGCAGCTCAACCAGCAAGAAATTCGATTCTGTTCCGCCCAGAAACCGCCCAACGCCGGGTATTTGGGGCAATTCTTTGAGTAGTCTATCCCTCTGTTGTATGATTTTCTCCCGGTTGTTCCGCATGACTGTGATATTCTGCTCCTCCAAGGCTGCGTTTGCAATTGCGCTCGTGGGGCTGGCAATGTTGTACGGTGCTTTCATGTTGTTCAGCAAAGCTGCGATATCCCGGCTGCTGAACGCCACCCCTAATCGAATACCTGCCAGACCAAAAGCCTTGCTCAGCGTCTGCATGACCACCAGGTTTGGCCACTCAAGCACCCATTCTGCCAAACTCGAGCCGTCCGGGGAGAAATCGATGTACGCTTCATCCACCACAATAACTCCATTCCACGTCGGGTGCTCGAGAATGGCCTTGATGTCTGACTTGCGGATCAGTGCCCCGGTAGGGTTTCCAGGCGAGCAGATGTATACAAGCTTGATATTTGGATCCGCGGACAGCCTCTCATTGATCAATTGAGGCTGTAAGGAGAAGTCATCCTGAACGTTCAGCGGCACTTTCACGATATCAACAGCATTGACGTCTGCGCTGACTGCGTACATGCCGTACGTCGGAGGGCATGTTAGGATTTTGTCTTTGCCCGGCACACAGAAGCATCGTAGAAGCGCATCGATTGCTTCGTCTGATCCTACACCACAGAACAAGTTCTCAGGCTTCAGCTCTTTCTGAGTGTGGTGGTGCGTATTTCTCAACCGACAGAACTTCTCTTTCAGGTCGATCTGATGCGGATCTGGATAACGGTTGAGCCCCAAGAAATCGACTTTGGGCTGTGAATTGTCGCCACTGGCGTGGCTCCTCTGGTCGTTGAGAGCGAGGCCAGGACCGTAAGCATTCTCGTTTGCGTCAAGGAGGATGTTGTGACCGTCGTCCTTGTAATCACTGCTTGACTTAGTCTATGACTCAATGTTTTCGCGTGCACGCTCTTACTCTCGCGCGCATCGGTACGGCTTCAGGCTGAGGATGTTAGATCGAGCGCATGTCTCCAGATTGAACGGCGACGTCTTGGACATGGTTGCACAGCATATAACACGAGCAAAGACGTGACTCCGTAGTCGGCATATGTCTAGAAAAAAGTTGCGGGGCATCCGCTCTTCAAATGACTCAAATGACGCATCTTTTTGCGCAGTTCAACTTCGCGGGATTGAGCCAGGATCTTCGATTTCATCACTGTACCAATACTCTCCGGCCTCCCTAGGCCATCACTCTGTGCATCGCGAGTGCTCAAGATGTCTGGCAGTAAATCCGCCTACGAGAACCGCGCTTCGGATACTGACTTTCGTCGCACCTGGAACCGAGAAGAGTACGCCGCGAAGTCAAAGAAAGAAGCCGAAGAGAGAAAAGAGGACGCACAGGCCCGATATGAGGCAAAGCTTCAGGGCAAGAAGTGGCACAAGCATGTCGACACCTCCGCCCTGGACGATACATCTGCTCGTAATTCACGCCTCGATGTCTCGAGTCTGGTCGGCAAATCCACTCTGGTCCCTGCAGGCGCTGGAGTCGGTAAAAGAGGCAAAGGTGCGGGCTTCTACTGCGAGGCCTGTGACCTCACATACAAGGACAATGTTCAATACATCGAGCACTTGAACTCGAAGCAGCATTTGATCAATACTGGTCAGTCTGGCGAGGTCAAACGAGCAACTCTCGAGGACGTTCGCAACCGCATAGACATGCTATTACAGCGGAAGAGAGAAAGGGAGGAAGAGGAACAACGCCTTGCCGAAACCGACATCACGGAGCGCATCAAAAAGACCGAGGAGGAGGACGAGAAGGAGCGCGAAGAAAAGAGGCGGAAGAGGAACGAGTTGCGACGGAAAAAGAGAGCAGAGCACGGTGTCAAGCAGGAAGATCAATGGGAGGGACGCTTGGGCATCATCGCATGAGAGCACACCAAACCCGCAACTTGCATCAATCCTCTCGATGTGTGAGGAAATCACTTTGTGGCCGTTGACTCGACAATGCTACTTCAATCATATGAATCTATGCGACACGACGGGGAAGCTTAGTATGCCATGATCATGCTATCCTGTGCTCCGCCACGCAACAACTCTGCATCATACGTGCCCGGCAATCACAACTTCATTCGGCCATTCAGAACTCCTTCAACGCCAGATTTAGGCATACCGGATCGAAATCGACCGACATCCCACCCCCACAGTGTGAAAGGACAACACAGAACCCGTCGAACACTCTTCGACTGTCCTGCTTGGTCATTGCCGGTATGACGCTGCTCAGATTTGGTTGCAGTCGTCACGCTGTGGAGCTCCTCCAGGGCATCTTATGATATACTAGCGATCAATGCTCTAAGGTCATCCGGTCCGATTCCGATCATCCTCCTCGTACATCCCGCTGTTATCAGCACCTCCTTTCGACATACCCACCATTGCACATCCCCCGTCTTCAGCTCGGGCCAGCAGTTCAGGGCGAACCAATTTCTCCCTCCATGTCAATTATGGCAACGATGTTCAGATTCAATGTCCACATTCCATCTCGGTAAGACCAGTCTCTTCAGACTCTTCGTCGCCTGCTACTCTTTCGGCGCAGAAGGCAGGCAGCTACCTCCGATCCTGGCCGAAACACAACACAGATCCGACCGTTGTCCCACAACACTCACCGGCCGGCTCACGCGGTCTTGTCTGCAGCCTAGCACAACCCGCGCCTCTCGCTGAGGTCAGGATTGAAGCGGTTGGGCACGAGCCCATTCGCCAATTCACCAGCGAAGCAGCCGTCACGAGCCGAGTGTATGACCACCAGCTGCGTTAGAGAGTAGTAGGACGTGTGAGCACAGACAATACTCACAGGCAAGGTCCTCCAAGGCTCTCTCTCCCTCCATTGCTGTTTGTCCACTTACCTGAGGTATATGCCCAGAAGTGGGGGGAAGGAGGCAGCGATACAGTTGGCGCAACAGACCAGGAGTGCACAATTGACAAATGGTTCACGTTGTGCCATATCTCCTACCTTTCGTGCTCCAACCTCCTCGATGATTGGCCACGCGATGCCAGTCTTGCCGCAAAATGACCGTAGAAGCACTCAGTGCAGCGAGTAGGTGAAGAAGATCGATGTCCATCGACAGACTCTCATTAAGCTTCAAAGTCAAGATCAGAGTTGCCTGATGACTCCAGGCATTCCACCAGCTCCGTCTTTTTCAGGCTCTCTGTTCACCACGTAACCTCCCTCACCCTCACCGTCCTCAAATGACTTACCCCCTTGCTCAACTCGCAATCATGATAGAACACAAACCACCTCCCCTTGTACTTGACCACACTATGATGGTTCGTCCACCCAACCACCGGCTCCAACAACTTCCCCTCATACGTAAAAGGCCCCAACGGCCCATCCCCGACCGCATAGCAAATGAAATGCGTGTCCCCCGTACTGTAACTAAACACATACTTCCCATCCTCCCTTCTATGCAGCCAACTCGCCTCAAAGAACCTCCTCTCATGATCATCCGCATCAATCTCCTCGCCCGTCTCCGGCGCCAAAATCTTGATCTCCCGCACCCCCTCCGCATCGAACTCCAACATATCCTCCCTCAGCCTCCCCACCCTGGGCCCCAGCGCTTTCACCCCTTTCCCACTCGGCTCCTTGGGCCCGATCTGACTCTCATCAAAATCCCCCTCCCCCTCCGGCTGCACCTTCTTGTAGCACTGCAACTCCCCTCCCCAAATCCCACCAAAATACACGTAGCAGCTCCCATCCTCATCCACGAAACTCGCCGGGTCGATACTATAACTGCCCTGCATCGGCTCCGGCTGCGGCACAAACGGCCCCTCGGGCTTGTCCCCAACCGCGACACCCAATCGAAACCTCCCCTGCTTGTCCCGCGCCGGGAAGAACAGATGGTACTTGCCCGTCTGGGCGTTGTACGCCGCGTCGGGCGCCCACATCTGCTTGCTGACCCAGGGCACGTCTTTGGCGGAGAGGGCGACGCCGTGGTCGACGCCCTGGGCGGTGGTGACGGCGTCGGGCGCGAAAGAGGTGCTGATGACGTGATAGTCGGTCATGTCGTATTGGTCGCCCGAGTCGTTGAAGGTGATGTCCGTCTCCCGGTCGTGCGAGGGGTAGATGTAGATGGTGTCCGGGATGTGGGGGAAGACGTGGGCGGACGGGTCGGCGGTGTAGATGTGTGTGACGAGGGGGGCCGAGGGGGCGCTCGTTTTGGCGTCTGTGGGCATGCTGGGCGGGAATGGGAGGAGGCTTTTGTCTGCGTTGTAGGGAGGGTAAGATGACTTTGGTGGTGGCGATGAGATGTAAGGTTTGGTTGAGCGTCGAGTGGAATGTGTGAATGGCAAAAACGGGGGTGAATGGGAACGTGATAGTCGTGACGATGTCTTCTATATATGCTTCACGCCATCTACCGACGTCTGCTCCCAAGACTTTGCGAATTTAGCCTGATAGTACCCAATGAATCACCTCCGCTCCGCATGGAGACCCTGGGCTAGACTCTGGAGTTGCGGGTGAATTCCCAGAGTTGCTTCACATGTTATGAAGAGCCAGTTTAGGTATGTCACTCAGGCTGAAGGACTGAAAGGCATGTTTCAATCTGCTACGACACCTTGCTGAGCTTGAAGGTAGGTTTGCGCCTCGCCTTGGCGTTCGGTAAGGCGGCCGAGGCAACCTGCACCACGGTCCAACCATTTTAATGGTTGAGGGCATGATCTCACATTGATTTCTATGAATTTGCTCTCGTAATTCGAAATATACACGCCTAAGCGCTGAGGGTGCCCTTACTCCTTGCGGAGTCTCAAGATCCTGATGTAGCATCCAGTTCTGATGTCATAGAATCCTGTCATTAAGTGTTCGCCTTTCAAATGCTTCCAAGATTCCCCATTCTATAGCACTCTCGCCAATCATGCAGGCTGTCTTCTTGAACATCTTTTTGCCCACGCGCAGGTCAGAATTCCTAGTCCTCTTCGTCTTGACCAACCTTCGCATACCGGCCGCCTTGGCTAACACTTGCGCTTCGTTCTCCCCTGTTTCGTGACACCATGCGACCAATCCAGCCACCCAGGCCTTCACCATCGGGCCGGCGGCCTCGACTTGTCTCAATCGGCTTCCCATCCGGACCAATCTCCATATGTGGTGGATCGATGTCCAGACCCGGGATGGCATCTTGTGCTGAAAACTGACCCGGTACGCCACCACCTCTAATATCGATGGATGATGGCGACCCAATGCCCATAAGTGAGTCTTGTTCTGCCGCCTGCGATGCCGGCGTTGGCATAGCAGTTGTGGCATCTCCAAACAATGCGTTCATGTCCTCCAGACGGACGTTTGCTGTTTCGGGGTACAGGAAATAAACTGAACATGTTAGGATGGCACAGTTTCAGGGAGGGGAACAACTTACCCAGAACAAAACTGACGGCACAGAAAAATGCATGCATTAGATACAACCGCCATTTGATGGCCTCTTGCAGCACTGGTGTCACTTCACCAACCAAGAAGTTGAATGCCCAATTACTGGCCGTACTGAGACTGGCACCCTTCGCACGGATGCTGAGAGGAAGGATTTCTGGGGGGTAAAGCCATGGAATAGGACCCCAGCTAGCGCCGAACGCAGCATTATATATCATAACGAAGATAACAACCAGCGTGGGCGTCGAGGGGATGTCGAGGTACAGGAAGAAAGATATTGCTGACAAGGAAAGGATCATGGCAACAGCTCCGTTGAGTAGGATCGGACGCCGGCCCCATTTGTCGACCACATACCACGGCGGGATAGTCGAGGCAAGGTAGGTAAAAGCGTTGATGCCAGTCATAAGGATGGCGTCTCGTCCGATCCAGCCAGCGGACTCAAACACAAGAGGTGCGTAATACGAGATGACATTAATGCCGTTCAACTGCGCAAATGCTTGTGCAGACATGGCGATGAACACTCGGCGATAGTAGCGCTTAAACATGTCGGAATAACTTCGCTCGCCCTCTTGTCGCTGTATCAGGACGTTCATCTTGATCTCGCGATATTCCTGGCGTGCCTTGTCGTTGTGGATATCACCCTTGCCGTAGAGATTAGCGATGACGATGATGCCTTCCTCGTCGTGGTCATTGTCCAGCAGCCATCGGGGCGATTCGCAGATGATGAGACTGCCGAACCCGAGAAGTGCACCCATCACGCACTGCATGAGCAACGGTACTCTCCACGCATAGTCGCTCTGGATGAAGCTACAGAAATAGTCGACCCACACACTGGCCGCATATCCGGTAATGTTTCCGGTGAACTCGATGCAAGCCAGCTTGCCCCGATTGTGAGGGGGACTGATCTCGGATTGATAGACGGGAACGATGGTGGAAAGCGCACCCACGCCCAGTCCGGCAATGATTCTGCCCAACATCATCATCGGCATACCGTTGGCAAGAGTCTGTAACATTCCGCCAACGAAGAATATCATGGCACCGTAAAGGATAGTCTTCCTCCGGCCAATCACGTCGCCAATCCGGCCAACACTTAACGAGGCAATGAGAGCACCAACTTCCAGGATAGCGACCATGGTACCGATTTCTGCGCGTGAGGGCTGGTTGAAGTAGTCTCTGAAATATGGACCGGTAATGATGCCGGACATGACACCCTGGTCATAGCCGAACAAGAACACGCCTAATGAGACGAAAACGCTAGTGAAGTATAGTAAGGGCTTCCCTACCAGACCCCGCGAGCGGGCGGTGGAAGGATCTCCGGGCGACATGATGATGGCAAGGATCTTCTCTGCCCTTGAGACGTACCTCGGTGGAGGTTCGGGGATGAGGATAGCCTCCTTATCTAAGTCACCAGGAGCACCCGAGCGTGAATGCTCTTGACGTTGGAAAGCGACCCTCTTCTTCCGACCTCCACCGCGGTGGCCGGTGAGACTCTGACCTTCACTGTTCAGCGGATCAAGCTCAATGCGGAGGGGATCCTCCTCGTTGGCAAGCTGCTCTGCGATATCCCCCGTATCACTCCAGAGCGAGAAGTCGTCCGAAGGAGTGGCCGAGGAGTATGAGCTGCGCCGGAGCTGTTTCTCTTTCTCGTTCTCTGTTGGAGAAGACACTGTTGCGTTGGGGTAGTCGACGTCGTCGTGGGACCGAGAAGACTGAGAACGGTGGTGGAGGGTTGAGGAGTCGTTGCGTCGGAACGGATAAATCTTGACGGTGAAAGGGTGATCCAATGACCACCCGAGTGAGAGAACGACACAATCAGAAGGTGTACAGGAGGGAAGCAGTGGCAGCAGACTAAGCGACAAAAGTCTGAGCAGCTGCTGAGGGACGACGTATGTTGGTGGGTCGTGGGGGAGCCGCAGTAGCAGTGGCAGCAGGTCGGGGTCAGGGCGGTTTACCGGCTGATAGCAGCGGACACAGATGGCAGGCTAGAGCTGCTCGATAGACAAAGTCACGAGAAAAGTGGAGTAGAAAGGCTGCGTTGGGCATGGAACAGGATGAGAATGGTGCAAGCGTGGTATCGGCTGTGTGCGGGATTCGGGAAGAATTGGAATTTGGCTCTGGAATGAGCGGTAACGAAGACAGGATTGAGCAGCGAGGGAGGTATGGAGCAACAGAGGGAGAGGGAGTCAGCAGCCTGAGAAGCCGAGCACCGCAGCCAGCAAGACGGCAGCCAAGCGAAAAGGGCAAAGGGGCGCCAAGACGTAGATAGCCGTGCCAAGGACCAGCCAATCAAGCTTTTCTCAACGACAACCTTTGACGTCGTTGTGCAGGCCCCAAGCAAAACGGTGCCTGATGGCAGAAGAATTTTGTCAGGCTGTGCTGTGCGTCCAATCTCGGACATCAGATGACCGCCAATCTATCGCACTAACTGACTAGAGCACCGTAAATGTCCTCTTGACCCCCTCGTCCGGCTCTCGACATGCACTCCAACTGACCACACAATCTCGGAGAGGGGTTTATCAGCTGACCGGGGACGGACACGCATTGTGACCATGCATCAGCCCCAGGTCATCCCGGGTGCCACCGCTTATTCGGATTTTCGGAGTCAAGCGCTTGCATCCCAGATTGGAGCGGCGAACGTTCAGGGACAGTATCAACACTATGTCGACCTCCACAAAGATCTTGGGGAGGATGAGAAAGACCTGCTCGTGCGATTGCTGACGGACGGCCATGCTCAAATCCCACAGGACACCTCCGGAGATGTGCAAGTATTTCACGTACTGCCCCGACCTGGTACCATTTCGCCATGGAGCTCAAAGGCGACCAACATCGCCCACGTCTGCGGCCTCAAGTCGACCGTGAAGAGATTAGAACGAGGCACCAAGATCACCGTCAGTCTGAAAGATGGCAAGCGGGTTGATCCGTCGCTTCTCGATTTTCTGCACGACCGCATGACAGAGGTCATCTCTGAGTCTGAACCAGATCTGGCACTGACCTTTGCCCAGCAGTCACCTGGAAAATTGGGTGTCTATGACCTCGACAATGGCGAACGCCCCCCCGTCGAGGTACTTAAGCAGCTAAACTCCGATCTCGGCTTGGCTTTGGATGCTTCGGAGATCCAGTATCTGGTGGATGCCTACGCCAAAGATGGGCCTGTGGGCAGGGCTCCCACGGATGTTGAGCTATTCATGTTTGCTCAGGTCAATTCAGAGCACTGCAGACACAAAATCTTTAATGCCACCTGGACTATCGACGGCGAGTATAAGCCCAACACGCTCTTTGGCATGATCCGAAATACCCACAGGAAGAATCCTGACTCAACCATAAGCGCCTACAGCGACAATGCAGCTGTGCTCAAGGGCTTTTCTGGCAGTCAGTGGAATCCTGATGATTCGTCCCAACAATGGAAGCCAACCAAGGAGACCGTCCATTTCCTGGCCAAGGTCGAGACTCATAACCATCCCACCGCCGTCTCTCCATTTCCTGGTGCTGCAACTGGATCTGGCGGTGAGATTCGCGATGAGGGTGCTGTAGGTAGGGGCTCAAAGCCGAAAGCAGGATTGGCTGGCTTCACCGTGTCGGACCTATTGATTCCCAATCACAAACAACCCTGGGAACTAGAGTACGGTAAGCCGAACCACATTGCCAGCAGTCTCGACATAATGCTACATGCCCCGATCGGTAGTGCCGCCTTTAACAACGAATTTGGGCGTCCGTGCACAGCTGGGTACTTCCGAACTTTGCTCACAGAAGTCAATTCCGAAGTCCGTGGCTACCACAAACCCATCATGATCGCTGGTGGTGTCGGTACCGTACGCCCTCAGCATGCCCTGAAAGACCCAACCATCGTGAAACCAGGCTCTCACCTCATCGTTATGGGAGGTCCCGCCATGCTCATTGGCTTGGGCGGTGGTGCAGCATCCAGTGTCACCTCCGGCGAGGGATCTGCTGCACTGGATTTTGCCAGTGTGCAACGTGGCAATCCTGAGATGCAGAGACGAGCACAGGAAGTAATTAATGCTTGCTCCGCTCTCGGCTCCAGCAACCCAATCTTGTTTATCCACGATGTTGGAGCCGGCGGCCTGTCCAACGCACTGCCGGAGCTAGTGCATGATTCTGGGTTAGGTGCGACATTTGAGCTACGCGAGGTTGACAATGCTGATGAATCAATGAGCCCACTTCAAATCTGGTGTTGCGAAGCTCAGGAACGATATGTGCTGGCAGTCGCCGATGAAGGCTTGAACAAGTTCAGGTCCATCGCCGACAGAGAACGGTGCCGGTACTCAATTGTGGGTCAGGCTAAAGGTATCGCCAACTCCCCGGAAAATCGCCTCGTTTTGCGCGACCGAGATAATGAGCGCAAAAATGCACAGCCGCCTATCGATCTACCGATGTCGGTGCTTTTTGGCAAACCGCCGAAAATGAGCCGCACGGACAACGCGGCAAGGAAGCAGTTGCCTGTGTTCGATCAAAGTCTGAAGCTATATGTGCCCGACCAAGAAGATAAAATACTCATCAATGAGGCCGTCCAACGCGTACTTCAGATCCCCGCAGTTGGCTCTAAATCGTTCCTGATCACAATCGGTGATCGTACGGTTGGCGGCTTGACAGCGAGGGACCAGATGGTGGGACCTTGGCAAGTCCCAGTTGCAGATGTCTCTGTCACAGCTACCTCTCTCACCACCGGTATGAAAACTGGTGAGGCCATGGCTATGGGTGAGAAGCCTACCCTGGCCCTTATCTCTGCAGCTGCGTCGGCTCGCATGGCGGTCGCTGAGTCACTGATGAATTTGACGGCGGCAGATCTGCCCGATCGGTTGCGCCAGGTCAAACTTTCTGCGAATTGGATGTCTGCTGCAAGTGTGCCCGGCGAGGGTGCTGCGATATACCAAGCAGTTGAGGCCATCGGGATGGAGTTATGTCCAGACCTCGGCATTGCTATCCCCGTCGGCAAGGACTCCATGTCGATGAAGATGAAGTGGCAAGATCAACAGACAAAAGAGGCAAAGGAAGTCACAGCTCCATTGTCGGTCATCATCTCTGCATTCGCGCCGGTGATCGACATCCGCAAGACCTGGACCCCTCAGCTACGTCGATACTCAGAAGTTGGCGAGACCTCGCTCTTTTTCGTGGACCTTGCTCTGGGCCATCGTGCACTTGGCGGATCAGTCCTGGCCCAGGCGTTCAAGCAAGTCGGAGACGAAGCTCCTGATGTTCGCTCTGTGCAACTTTTCAAGGACTTTTTCGATGCGACCCAGCAGCTTCACGAACAAGATCTGGTCTTGGCTTACCATGACCGGTCAGATGGTGGGTTATTCACCACACTTGCCGAGATGGCCTTTGCGGGTCGGTGTGGCATCGAGATCATGATCAATGATATCTGCCCGACCCCATACCTTGAAGATGTAATTCCGACTCTCTTCAACGAAGAACTCGGCGCCGTCTTCCAAGTTCGCAAATCTGATGAGCAGCGCTTCAAGGCTTGCTTCGCTACCTGCGGACCGCCACCCGGTCTCATTCACAAGATTGGTCGCGTCTCTACGAAAGACACCTCACAGAACCTGGCAATTTACCATGGTGGTAAGCTCGTCTATCGGGCCCCACGCTCAAACCTGCAAGAAATCTGGTCCAACACCTCTTACTGGATGCAGCGCATGCGTGATAACCCATCATGCGCTGATTCAGAGTATGCAGGCGTCGCGAACGATTCCGACCCCGGCCTATCCTACAACCTCACTTTCTCCCCGAAAGAAAACATCAACACCTACAAAGCCTCGGCTCTTTCCCTCATTCGCCCCTCCGCGCGACCTCGTGTGGCCATACTTCGCGACCAAGGCACCAATGGCCACGCGGAGATGGCGTTCGCCTTTGACGCCGCCGGATTCACTGCCATTGACGTTCACATGTCGGACCTGCTGTCACCTCAACCAAACAAAACGCATCTCGGCGCTAATGTCGATCTCTCCAGTTTCTCCGGCCTGGCACTCTGTGGCGGCTTCTCCTTTGGTGACTGCCTCGGCGCAGGTCAAGGCTGGGCGAAGAGCATTCTTTTCCACCCCACAACACGCGCCAAATTCACAAGCTTCTTTAAGCGGCCCGACACCTTCACCCTCGGTGTGTGCAATGGCTGTCAGGTGCTCAGCAAGTTGAAAGATCTGATCCCTGGCGCGGAGAAGTGGCCCAGCTTCGAGCGTAACGAGAGTGAGCAGTACGAGGCCCGCTTTGCCATGGTCAAGGTATCAGACCCTCCGGCCAGCACGGGCATGAAACCCAGCGTCTTCTTCCACGGCATGGACGGCTCATCATTCCCGATCCCCGTTGCGCACGGCGAGGGCAGAGCGAGTTTCGTGCCAGCAGACGGATCACTGTCGGTGGACGAGAGGCAGATGAATGCCGCGCAAGCCAATGACTTCTGCGCCGAGCATCTTGCGCCGATCCGCTACGTCGACAACAAGAGCTTGTCGCCCACGACCGTCTACCCACTCAATCCCAACGGCAGCCCCGAGGGCATCGCAGGTGTGCGCAGTACGGATGGGCGCGTGTTGGCCATGATGCCGCATCCGGAGCGCGTCGTGCTCGGTGGCGTTGGCAGCTGGATGCCGGACGAGGATACCAAGGAGTGGGGCGACTACAACCCCTGGATCAGGCTGTTCCAGAGCGCGAGGAGGTGGGTTGGTTGAGGCGGCCAATAGCATTGCATGTGTGCAAGCTGCTTCTTCTCTGGGCCCTGTTTTTGGACTTTGGTTTCATACCATCGACTACTGCTAGACCATAGTTACATTTAACAAAGACATCAAAGACATGACCATCCACTTGGGCCAAACGTACCATCCGGATCCCCCATATCATGTGCCTCGCCAATCGATCAACACTGATCATCGACATGACCTGAGCCTCGCAATCCCCACATTTCCCGCTGCGCCCCAAGCGAGCTCACCTCAACCTATCAGCTACTCGCGCTTTTGAATACGTCGAGAACTCCACCTGTCGAGATCCTTCGCCCAATGACATGTCTTCTCTCTGGCCTTCGAGAACGCCTTGTTCGCTCATCTGCAAGCACCTCCAGATATAGTACCGCAAAGGACGATGCGTGGTGGTCGCGTTTGACTCCCTCCATCCCTTGGCCGATGGATCGTCGTATTCTTCTTTGGGACAGGGTTTAGACTGTGGGTGGGACCTGTTGGCTTGAGGTAAGTACGTATATATGACAGTCGCGCCATCCGGCTTAAGGTCGTGTTTTTGCCTCTACAGCATGTCCATCACTTCATTGTGCAAGTGAAGGAGAAACCTATATCGTCTCGCAGCCCAGAAAACCGATTTGATCAAAGATACGCTGAACACATAAAGCCTCCTGCAGGCCATACGCACGTGCAATGACACAAACCGCAACCATGACACGCAATAGCACCACCTTCCACAATCCCTACGCCCACTCCATGTCCACAGGGGCCGAAAACATCGAGCTGCCGCGCTGGCGAGGACATGGCGCAAAACCCTCGGAAAACACACTCGTCACCGCGGAAGAGAGCATCTACGACAACGACAAGCTGCTCCGCTACAGCTCCCTCTGCAGCACCGACGCACCCACCACCACCTCCTCCTCATCCCCTCCAAGAACCCCAACCACCACCCTCGACCGCCCCATCGTCCGCACCCTCCTCTTCACGCGCACCATCCTCTGGTCCGACCTGACCATCTCCCTCCTCCCCTCCTCACCCACCCCGAACCCCACCACCTCTCCTCCCCCTCCCCCTCAACCACTCTACCACGCATCAACCCACGAACTCAACCTCACCCTCCCAGACATAATCCTCTACGCCTCCACGCCCACACACCCCAAATTCACTGTCCTCGCCGCCGCCCACTTCCGCTTCAGCCGCGACGCCCGCCTCGGCTTCGGCTTCGGGGCCGATCTCGCCAAGCTCAACGGCAAGGACACGCATGACGGCGACGTGTGCTGGGAGAGCTGCCGTAATACCAGCACCTGGCTTAGGCACTATCAGTATGACTTTGCCGTGCCTGCCGAGGGTGACGGTGGGAGAGGGAGAGGAGGGAGGCGCCATTTCCGCCTGGAGCGCACGCGCGCCGCCGAAGACGGTGTGCAAGGGTGGTTGGGCTGGGCGAGTTTCAGGAATTATCGGATCGTTGATTTGGATGAGGATGGAAGGGTGGTGGGGGTTTTCCTGAGTGATAGTCTAAGGAGCTTGACGAGGGTGGGGGAGCTGAGGCTGTTCGAGGAGATGAGTGAGATGGTGCAGAGGGGGGTGGTGTTGGCGGTGGCGGTGGTGATGGAGAAGCATGTGAGGAGGTGTAGGCGGGGGGGCAAGACGGGTGGTGGTGGTGGAGGCGGGGATGGGGGCTAAGTTGGTGGTCTGGCGGTGCGGTCCATGTTTATGACCCTGGTTGTGCGTGTCCCCGAACGAAGCATCCAAATGGCCGATTCGCCGGCCTCTTAGAGAAGGCAAGTGGCTGGTCCATGCAGTTGTAAGCAGAGCGCAGACCCGAACTTGCTGAGGACGATGGGGGTCCCCATACGTTGCGGTCCGGGTATTCCTACCTGTACTACCGGTGTCGAAAGCAATGACCGCAGACATAGCCATCAGAACAGCACCTCATTAGTCAACGACTAGCTGAGAAAGCAGACGGCCGTTGCCAATCATTTGATCCAACCATATCTGCGAAAGACCCCAAGATCTATCTATACAGCGACGTCAATCACATACCTGGCGTCAACTCCCCGGAGCTCTCTGGCCGCCGTTGTCCACTACGGTCGTAACAACAAGTGATGCTTGCATCAACACAGAAACGCCAGGGAAATGTCACAAGCCCATCGAGCACATCTTTGGCTGAGGTAAGCTGTTGTATTTTCGAGAGGGAGCAGCACGGCAATTCGAAAATGCTTCGGAAATGCTTGTGTTAATTACCGCTGGTCAATACCGAAAGATGAGGGGGTAGTCAGCAGCAGACGTTGAGCGAGGCATTGACTGGACACCGCTGAGGCAGATGAAGGGAGCAGTGGCAGTGCTACAAGCATGCAACGTTGCGCAATCGATGCTGTTGAGATTCATAAGCCTAAGGCGAGAATGGCGAGAATGGTCCACGAGGCAGGAATAATATCGAGCCAAACCTCCCTACTTACCTACAGACATCCCTGCCCCTTGGCTCGAGGGACAGTAATCAGTTCGCAATGGTGCGATCGACTATCAATATGACTGATTGGACGCTGAAATGGCTGGCTTCGCGTGTAAGACATCGACACTGCACTGCTGTGCGGCATACGACTCAAGTCGTTCGTGAAAGCGGCCGGGTCAACTAGCGCCAGAGACAAGATCATTGTGGCAGATGTTGATGGGGTCGTTCAGTCCGGGTATCGTAGAAAAGCTCGGTCTTATTCGTATGAGGTATTCGCAAACAATAGATGAGGAGGCCCTAGTCTGAAGCCACGGACATGGCACTGTTATACAGTCCACCAAAGCCACAACAGGCCCTTGAGGTACTCTGCGATTTCCTCACCGCCTAGCTTGCTGTCACCATAGAGACGATCGACGAAGGTGATAGGGCATTCTTCGACCTTCATGCCCATAGCCTTCGCTCGTGTCATCATCTCCATCTGGAACGTGTAGCCTTTTGATTCCGTCTTCTCAATGACCGTCACCAATGCTTCCTTCTTGTATAGTCGGAATGACCCTGTCAGGTCGCTTACGCCCGGGTTGAGTAGAAAATCGGCCAGAATGTTGGCGCCGCAGCTGGTCAGCTTTCGCTTTGCATCCCAACCATAGACACCACCAATCAATCCGCGGTTCGATCGATATCTCGTACCCGTAACAATGTCGCAGTTGGTTTCGTCCTGGATCTTGATGAAGTGTGGGATGAACTTAGGGTGATGTGAGAAATCGGCATCCATGATGATGACAAAGTTGCCCGTCGCAAACTGGAGTCCGTGAACGTAGGCTGTTCCCAGTCCTAGCTTTCCCGCTCGAGGCTTCAGGACGATGTGTGACGATCCGAATGCTTTCTGCAGCTGTTTCGCTCGCTCAAGAGTTCCATCGGGAGATGCATCATCTACAATGATCGCCTCCCAGTCAAGCTTCCTGCCATGGTCAACTGCTGCAATGTATACGTCGCAGGATACACTTACTCCTTGGTGAAGACATCGTGCAGCATCTGTATCAGGATGGGTAGATTTTGGCGCTCATTGTACGTCGGTAAGATGACCGAGTACTTGTTCTTCTTAGCCGGCGCCATGATGGTGAGATGCAGAGGAACAAGCACGCGTCGTGGTGAGGACTCGTGGCCAGATCCATTTCACGGTCGCAGTCTCGCGTACAGGGGCGTTAGCTCCTGGCTAACTCCGGATGTTCCACTGTTGCTCGATTGGCTCACTGTACTCGCTCAACCACGCGAGCCACGGCCTCATTTGCATTGGTGAGATCTTCATGTCGATATTGACACTGTCCAAATATGTCCGGGCATTCTCGCAAGCCCTCGAGCCGGACGGCACTCCCACGTCGATCCACAAGAGGCCCTCTTGATGCCCCAGATGACCTTCTGTCTCCAACACCTTCACTGGCAAGTTCTACGGTCAAGTCTCCAATATCTCCTCAAAGGTCGCCTGTCCGAGCAGCAACGAGCGATAGTACACATCCTATGGCCATCGGAAACTCCGGCAACGATCCGCTGGAGCAGTACGAAGAAGTGACGGATCGAGACTTCTCGTTCCTCCTGGAACCTGGCATCTATCATCCATTGTCCCAGCTGGACGTTCCAGGCCCCTTCAGACGCGCATTCCCACAACCACTGCCAGCCTCAACCAGCATTTCTGAGGCTGTGGCGCAAATCAACGACCTTTTATCGCAATGTGACTATCTCCGTGCGGCACATTTGGCTGGACTTGTGCTGATATCCGGCGCCGTTCGACCTACTGATCAGAAAACAATCTTCCACCTACTCTCGATCCGGTACTCGTGCCTTGAGCTTTCAGGAAACATTCTCCTTGCGGCTCAAGAAGCAAAATCCCTTGAAGACCTGGGTTCTACTTTCTATTATTCGGAGCCGCCACAAGACGAAACCATGACTGAGGAGAGTGCCGATAAGCCTCTCCCAAAACACATCGTACCCTTTAATCTACGTCTTCAGGCCTTGAGGCTTCAGAGCATAGGGTTCTCAGATCCAAGACGCGGAGTAGCTTCACTGTATGATCTAGGTGCGGAGTGCAGAGAATACTTGTCATCATCCACTCTATCCAGTGCTCAGCGGCAACTGTGGTCCCAACGCTTACAAGAGGTCGGCGTGCGAGTAGTTAATGCACTCGTCGAAATGAATGACATTGATTGTGCGAGAAGGACTCTGGATTCCACCAAGCCGACAACGGAAGAAGAGCTCGGGCTATGGACCCTGCGTAAAGTGACACTATCTATCCGCATGGGTCTCCTCGGAGAGGCTCAGAAGATCGTCCGGTACTCCAACATATCCGGCCCGGAGAAGAGCATTCTGGAATCACTCATTGCCGTAGCAGATGACCGTTTTGATGCGGCCATCGAGCTGCTGACAAGACCAACGATGGAGCACCACCGCCCTCTTCTGGCTCTGGCGAAACAAAACCTCGCGGTCGCGTATCTCTACCAGGGTGACATTCAGCACGCAAAGGAAGTTCTAGACACGCTGATCAACGACGACCAATCTTTTCAGACTCTGACTATAAATTTGGCCACAATCTTAGATCTGACCACTGACCGTTCGAGGGAGATGAAGCTGAGACTTGCCGAGAGAGTTTCGAAGCAGCAGAGTCCGCCCAAACAAGCTCGATCGTACACCAACGCGGACTTCAAGCTATAATACCTCCTTACATACGGCTCCATGGATCCCATGCCGATAGTCAAAGGCCTTCAACAATCCCACCAGATGCGATACCGCAGCCATGACCACAAGGACATGAAACAGCTGATGACTGCTCCCAATGAGATCGTGTTGGCCCGGACGCCATCTCTCAGGCCAGCGCGCCTTTGATCCACAAGTCAGCAAAGCTACAACAGAGAATGAGGACTACTAACCGCATAGAGGCCGGCACCAAAGATATACAGAGCCCCCTGCAGCACCAGCCAGGAAAGGCCGATTTGGCGCTGCATCTGTGAGAATCCATACATCGCTAGCCCATCCAGCACCGGGAAGACGGCGGACAGTCCCATAGCCACAAACATTCCAGCCCTGACTGGCCTCCACGCAGGGGTGCGGAAGCGAGGCAAAACCGACACTGCAGTGCATGCCACGCCCAGTGTGCAGATCTAGAAGGAGATCATGTGAGCAACGCTGTTCTCGATCTCGGTGAGGTACAGCTCTTACCATTGTCCAATACAGTCTCTGCTTTACCGGCTCGCACCAGAAGCCATAGTACACACTCGGAATGAAGCTTCCGGTAATAAGGCAGGCAATACCTGCGTAGTCCAATTGATTCCAAAATCTTGCAACTTGAGGCGAGTGATTGGATACGGTATGGAAGGTTGCGCTCATGCCTAGGCACATCGCCGCCCCAACAAAGAAACAAGCCATGCAGGCTAGATCTTCGCTAGTTGCTTTGTCATAACGAGCCTGAAGAAGCGAGTAGAGGAACGCTCCAGCTGGTAGACTCAGTAGTCCGGGCACAAGATGGGACCAGATGTTGATTGTCTCGTTGTGGAGTTGCAATATGCTCGTGAACGAGCGAGCATAACTGTACGATGCCTTGCGGTATGAGGCGTGTATGTGTGCGTTGTCTTGCTGCCAGTGAGGCAGGTCGTTCCAATGTACCAAAGAAGACCACGAGCTCTGTGCTGTGTCTGTAGTGGTAGGCTTCTCCGCCATATCTAGGGGCGTGTCTTCGAACGTTCAAATAAATGTGCCGCTCAATATATGCCCACGGCGTGTCCTGTTCTTCAAATTCGTAGTTGGTAGCCCGTGTTGCAGCCTATGTATATATATATCTTTGCAACATAAATGTGGGACTGGACAGCAAAATATCGTTAACGTCTGCAGTTCGAGATAAATTCTGTGAGTCCGCGAGCTACTCAACAGTTGTCTAAGTCTGTAGAATCTGAATTTGACGTGGCTAGGCTCGATAAACTGTTGAGCTCGATGGAGGCGATGATGGGAGAGATTGATACGAGATACGACAAGCATCGGCGCCTTCCACTTTCCAGACTCCGCCGCCTTGCAGTTGCCTCATCGCTTTCACTCCTCGACTATATTGCCCGTGTAATGTCTTTGACATTGTAGGATTGCTAATGAACTGAGTGCAGCTTCCAGGCGGCCTATTGCGGTGTCCGCGCTCGAGGCACTGCAATGTCTTACGTTCCTCCGCGTCTGGCACGCAAGTCCTCGGCTCCGTGGAACCGGTTGAGACCAGTCAAGCAGGACACCCTTGAGGTTATGGGTTACGTTTCCAAAGGTGACAACAGGTAAAGAACCTCAATGATATCCTAGAGATTGCTGCTGATGCGGCACAGACTACTCGATCCCAAGGTGCAGGAGTCATTTTATAACAAGATCGTCGCTCGCTACATGCAATTCTGCTCTCAGAATTCCAAAGATCTGGATTCGGCGTTCGCTTCACTGACGTTAGATGAAGTCAACAAAACTACATCAAACCTCTTGCTGAATCCAGAACAAATCCGCCAACCAAGTTCCTCACCATCCAAGACACAGGCGGGGGCACAATGGGATCCTTCACCCCCACAGGAACTGCAGGTCATCTTGACAGCGCTCCGCAAACTGAGAGAAGGCCTGCTCGGCTCATCTGCTTCGTCCTCATCTCCTGTCTTCGCGCAACGAGTCCACGTCTTCAACATTCGGCTAGCCATCCTGGCCCACTCATGGGAGTCGTACATGCCATCGTTAATGCACTTGCTCACGACTTTACATACACAAGAGCATCCTCTTCCACAATCAGAGTTGACTGAGATGACATCATACTTGATCATCGATCTGGCAACCAGGCAAGACGATCCACGAGCCGCTTTCGCCCTGCGACACAACAGCAGGGTCAGATTTCGCTACGAGAATCAGACTGTCAATAGGATACTGAGATCCATCATGACTAATGACTGGGTTGCTTTCTGGCGCATCCGGCGAAAGGTTGATGGCTATCTGAGAGCTATACTTTATTGGCAGGCCGAGAAGCTGCGCAAGATTGCTCTCAAGACAATTGGGCGAACCTACATGACTTGTGATGTCAAGTATATCCTGGCCAGTACCACAGGCAGCGAAATGACATGGGAAGAGCTGGTGAAGGCAGAAGACGTCGGCTGGGCCCTTGATGGGGACAAAGTGATCATTCGGAAGCCGAAATCGAGGACTTGACTTGAAGCATCCGACGCACATCCCAGCGGAGCTCGGTCATAGCGCCAAGTGCTGGTGTGGGTCTCCGGCCCGACAGGAACACTGAGACCCGACGCGGTACTTTCTGCAGGGTATGGCATCCGGTCTTTCAGCTCCGTCTACAGAGTACGGAGTACGGAGTATCACATGTCTCGACAATGGCCTTCATATGCAACAGCGAAGCTGGGTGCGGTTCAGCTCAAATACATGATGTCTGGCTCCCAGCCTCGCGGACAAAATCGCGAGGCTGGTGGCTGGCTGGACCAATCGGAGCCCGACAAATCGGACTTGGCGCGGGCTGGGACTTTGGACCTGAATGTCAACCACCACGGCCTCGACTCAGAACACCCTGAGACCCTGCAATGCGCGCAGGAAGATGCAAATCCTATGCCAGCCTCCAGATTAAACGGCTAAGCGAGTCTATGAATACAAGGAAGGTAGGAACATTCGTAGCGAAGGACTTTCCATCACATCCAACTTCTGCTTCATTCCTACACCTTATTCACCCGTACCACATTGCTTCGCTCGACTGAACAACAGGGCTCTACATATCTATCCGCGTTTCATTCTCGCACTGATCACACGCTTCCCGCCCGAACCTCGACACAACCTCAGCCATGAGGCCCGCCCTCTGTGCCCACCTCGCCTTCGCATCAACAGCCATCGCCTTCCCACTCTTCTCCCGGCGCAGCCCAGCACTACTCCCACAAAAGCGCTACAACGTTGTCTCGGTTGACGGCCACGATGCTCCCTCACCGCGCGACCTGGATGCACGGGCAGCAGAACCCGAACCAAAGCCCGCATCCTACTCCGTCGTCGCAGTCGACGGTGGCCCCACAGACACCGCTGCCCCTGCCCCAGCAGAAACACACACCGAGACCCTCGTCACCACGCGCCTCTCAACCATCATCATCACCACCGCCGAAACACCACAGACCGTCGTCGTGACAATAACAGAATCCGCCCCAACGCAGCCTGCACCGACAGCGGCGGATGCAGGCGCTCCCCCACCGGCGGACGCGACCGTCACCGAGACCGTCACCGCCTCAACGCCTGGACCGGAGACAACGGTCAAGCCGTACGACAATGGCCAGTGGCACACAACGTATTACTACACTACCATCGTGGACACTCCCACGCCATCGCCAGCACCCGAGCCATCAGCATCGACGGCTGCTGGCTGGCACGATGTCGCTCCCGATTTGGCGGGTACCCAGGTGGTTGGTGGGGGCACGCAGGAGGAGAACGCCGATGTAGACCGGCAGTCGTGGCTGCAAGGCGCGTGGGCACCCTGGGCTGAAAAGGCGGATGATGCGCAGGGCCAGGCGAATGATGATGGCGCGTCCGCCTCATGACATCGATGGTCACCATGATGGAACGACCCACGTGGTCATGTATTTTTGCTTGGCTTTTTACGTGTCTGTCGCACTCTCTCTGCCTGTTTGTCTGTCTCATACGAACAGCTTGGGGGAGAACGGCGGGCTTCCTCAGCGTTGGCGTTGGTTTGGGTTTTTCCAAACATTGAACTTTTATCTTGGGAACAGGCATGGAACGAGACGATAGACGGGACGACATCAGCAATACGATGGAGGGACAACGCTCAGAAAGCGTGATCTGATACTTTTTGGCATGGTTTGAATCCGCACGGGTGAGTTCTGGAGGGTGACTTGTATGATGTATACTCAAGACCCCTTCGGCGAAGTTGGTCGATATTTTTGAGCATTCGAGAAGTGGGCCGGTGATGGTCCTGCGGAGAGCTTGAATTGAGAAATACTGGAACAAAGAAGAAACAGAATTGATGTTCTGCATAATGCTCAAGAGAAACTTGATCTTACCTTTGTCTCTTTCCCCCGTGCGATGCTTTCAAGACCTATGTACTTTGGCTTTGTTCAACTGTTGCGTCGTGACTGGGAGTTGGCTCGCCCGGCAGGTGTGTAACACCCCTTCCCGCTCTTATGAATAGCTTGCAGCGACGTAAGGCAAACCAAAGCCTAACACTGCTACCATGCCCATCGCACCCATGCCCATTGCCTTAAAAGCCTCTACCAAACCCCCCCTCTCCTCTCCACCCTAACCCTCACGTCCCTCGCCGGCCTCGCCGTCGCACTCGTACTCGCCCTCCCGGGATGCCGCCAGGGCACCTCGGTCTCCCTGCCCAAGTAATCCGTACTCACGGGTATAAAGTCCCAGAGATGCAGCAGCGCGGCCGCGATGTACAGGACCTCGTGCTCGGCGAATTTCTTGCCTTTGCAGAGCTGCGCGCCGCCGCCCCAGGGGTGGGCGGTCAGGTAGGAGACTTCGACTTGGGAGGGGTCGAGTTGTGTTTTCTCGGTTTGGTCCTTCTTGGTGTTGTTGTTGGAGGGGGAGGAGGAATTGGAATTGGTGGGCACCCAGAAGCGGCGGGCGTCGAATTTCTCGGGGTCTGGGAAGTATTTGGCGTCGTAGTGGTGGAGGCTGTGGGGCACGACGACGTAGTCGCCCTCGCCGAGCGCGAAGGTCTTGGGGTTTCCGGGCCTGTGGTGCAGCGCGGCGTCCTCGGCGGACTCGCTGACGACGATGTCGTCCAGGAGGTATTTGTACGTGAGGCTGAAGGTTTCCATTCGCAGGACCTCGTGGAAGGCGCCCATGAGGAGCTTGGCGTTAGCGCGGAGACCGGGGCCGTCAATGTCCAGCCGCGGCTTCTCTTTGATGCCGCCGGGGAAGACGTCGCTTGGGGACGCGATCTTCACGTAAGGGGCGACTTCAGCGCGGAGTTGTTGCAGGAGGGTTGGGTCGCTGTAGGCATAGAAGAGTAGCCAGAAGACGATGCCGGTAGCGTTGACTTGGAGGGCCCACAGGATGCTGGCGTTGCAGAGGGCAGCGACGCGCCCACGGTCCTTTTCGGGGAGGGACTCGTCGAAGTCGCCTACGGCGGCGGAGCCTCTGATGCGGCCGGCCATGGCGGAGTTGGTCTCGCCGATGCGGGCCCATTGGGACCCGGGGTCTTTGCCGTGGTCCCAGGCGTGGAAGGCGACGACGGCCTGGCGCATGCGTTCGACGACGCGGTCGCGGGCTTTTGATGGGCCGGAGTTCGCGGGCGTCCATTGGGGGAAGCCGGCGAAGAAGACTTCGAATTTGGTATCCATTAGGAAAAGATCATCAATGATGTCGGGATAGTTGGACAGCAGGTCGGGTGAGAAGAAAACATCAGTAGCTAGTGCGGCAGTGAAGGTGCGAATCAGGGGAAAGAGAGAGGCCACAGCAGTATTGGGGGATGTGGTAATGACGCCGGAGGTACGCTCCCAAATGGATTGGTCGACGATGGATTTGGAGAATGTGACGAGATCGGCGGCATTGGTAGACAGTGCAGATGTCAGGTTTGGCACATTGATATTGAGGAAAGATGAGTGCATCATAGTGGCGAGGTATCCGTGAATGTTGTCTAGTTTCTTAGGTTCCATGCTGCGTATGAGAGAGCGACTGTCTCCCCACACGTTCTCGATGGCCCGGAAGATGAAAGGCTTGAGGGTGATTTTGGGGATGATAGTCTTGTTGGTCACCATCGTGTGCACCAGACTGGGAGCCATGATGACATGATGCTTCCTGCCGGAGATGTGGAAGGTGAAGGCCGTCATGTCAGGGAAGCGTTGGGCGAGCCGGCGGATGTTGGGGACGAGGTCCAGGTAGTAGGAACCATTGGCGATCCATGGAATCGAGTAAGGCGGTACAGGAGGTGCGATAGGGTGAATGGCCTTTGCTGTGCGGGCGCGGTGAAGATAGAATTGAACGGTGGTGGACACGCGCGTCACGAGCAATGTGGTAAATAGACAGAGGATGATCGCCGCGAGTCGAGGATGTTGCTGAGCGCCATGTAGGATATACTGCTTTCCATCTTCCAGAGTCGCCTTGACAGCGTCGAAGCTAGGAATGTGTTCCATAACTGCAGAGGGCGGTCTGAAAACGGATGAATATACTAGGAGCAAAACTGCAGACGAGCACTTTTATAGCATTGCGAAAGGGAGTGATCAACAAAAGGAAGATCTGAATCGAGCTCGTACTAGGCAATAGACCCGTATAGGTACAACGCGCCGATGCTGGGTAGAGGATGCTGGGTCTAAAAGAGATGATGCGTTGAAGATGATAGGTACAAGGAGGCTACCTGGTAAGTTGGACGCCTTACCAACGGTCTAATCCGAGATCAGAGCTAGCGGGCGGGATTCTGTTTACACCATATAAGTCGTTCCGCTCCCAAAGTCGTTTAGGATGGTATCGCAAGAATTTCCTAATGTTGTTGATTAAGATGTGTCTACGCGTATTTACACATATACGCCCACCAGCAGCTGGTGAGCCTCATGCCCTCATAAAACTTGATGCTGCTTTTTGTTCGTACACGTCTGGAATCGCTCCACCTCAATTATTGCTGTACATCGTCTTCTTCGCCTTTAGGGCCGTTCCTCCCTTCTCAACGACGCCACCGGGCCTTTTGTCGTGGATTGCCGTCCCACCACGCCCGTGGGGTGTCTAGCGGCTCGAACCACAATTGGTCTCCTGGCAGGCGCTGTAGTTTGCTTGTCTTGCTGCCGTCCAGTATCGTTAACTCCCATTCATCAGGTTTGGCTACCTAGGCCTTGCGAGAGCGGGTGACGGGTCCATTGCTACGGCCAGTGGTGATCGCACCGTTCGCGCTGTCCTTGCCGAGCTCAGCAACCTTAGCCGCGTCCGCAGGGAAATCCTTCATGGCAATCAGAGCTTCGCGGCCAGTATTCCTCCTAGGACGGCCAGACTTGGCCTGCTTGCGGTATGTTGCAAAGTAGAATGAAATGAACAGAACCAGGTACGAGCTGAGGATGGCCATGCCTGCGAAGGCTGCAAATTCTTCGCCGGCGCAAGTACCGGCATTTGGCATCCATCGGAAATATGTGCTGGTGAAGTAGGTGTAGGAAGCAAAGTACACAAAGCCAAGGTCGATGACGAACTGGATGATCTGGAGCATAGTAATGTACTGCTTCCACCAGATCCTGACACCACGCGCAGCTTGGAAATAGTACCAGTACATGACCACGTGCACAGTCAGGTTGAGAGTGATGGGGACCCAGGAAACGGCAGTGTGGCCAATGAGCTGAGTGTAGCAGAGCAGCGCCGTTGCGCCATGGTGATAGGTATGGAGGAACGTAAGAGGCTTCTTCTTGAGGACCAGAAAGATGGTGTCGATCAGCTCGAGATACTTGGTCAGGTAGTTCATCTGCAGCATGTTAGCATTTGGTTCATTGTCAATCAGAGAGTGCGGCGCATACGTAGTACAAGATGACCAGTTTGTCAGTCCAGCCTCCATCATGAGCGCAGATGGCGTGAAAGACGCCGTTGCGGGCCAGCTCGGGCAAGAGTTGCTCGATGAATAGGGCAAGAAGACCGCCACTAATGATGGTCAAGTAGAGGTTGTGCACCATGAATGGGCCGTTCAAGACAAATGCAGGACGGTTCTTCATCAACTCGCGCCCACCGAAAACTATGATATAGTACGCGACCAACGCGGTCAGCGTCGCGGGGAGGGTCGAGAGCACCGTCTCGCCATCTTTGAAGCGGAAGTCTTCAGGCGCGTAGCCGAAGATGGTCGAGTAGCACTTGGAGAAAATAGGCCACAGTTCGAAGCCGTACGGACGGTCGAGAGTGGGAAAGGAGATCTTGGTGTCCATGGCGAGGGTTGATTCGCAGGTGCCGTACAAAATTAAAAGCCTGGAAAGAAGGTAATGAACGACAGAACCCGAAATTGAACAAGAAGAAAAAAGAGCGCAGAGCTCGACGAAGGCAAAATGGCTTTGTGAGAGACCTAGGAAAGAAGAGAGGGAGTGCGGTGGGAGGTTACATGTACTCGAGATCTTGTTGAGGCCCGACTTTGCCGGCCACATCGTTCCTTCAACTTTCCCCTGGTTGCAATCCGCATTTTCCCGCCAAGCCCGGAGATTCCTCACCCACTCCGGTGCCTCCTATTTGCTGATTGCGTACCTGCCAATTTGCCCTCGTGCGCAATACGGCTAACCGCGCCGCGGCTGTCGCGGCTGTCGTGTTCGATACGACGCGGATCAACTCAGCCTCGGTTTGAACATGGCGTCGAATGTTGTACAGTATAGCAATCAAAGACGCCCGGTGACCCACAGAACACCATCGTGTCTTTATTTCTGCAATCCGAGACTGCCCAAATGATCTCATTCCTCAACCGATGCAACCCTAGCGCCGGGCTGACCCTTGAGCCCTAACCCTTTTGCTTGGCGTCCACCCTTCGAGCTCGCCGTCAGCTTGAGCCAATCATCGTTGAGGTTTACTGACTCCAGCAAAGTTGCCCGAAAAGAAGCCAGGAGCACTGCAATTGACCTCACACCACGACTCCTACCAGCTGCACAACTGCTCCCATCTCCCTCTCCGCTCCCTCTCAAGCTCCATACTCCACGCCATACCATGGCGTCCACCACTGTCTTCCGTCTGGCAGCTCGCAGCACCTCCACCCTCCTCCGACCCTGCGCCCGTCCTGTTTTCAGAGCTCCCTCGCTAGCTGCTCCCAAGTCCCTTACCCAAAAATCCGCCTTCAGCTCTTGCGCCGTGCGAAGAAGTGGCGGACACGAGGAAGAGACCTTCGAAGAATTCTCGTCTAGGTATGCGCCGCAGCTCTCCGACGGGAATTCGTTCCGATAGCTGAGGGTACATGGTGGACTGACTAGTGGATGAATAGATACGAGAAGGAATTCGATGCCGTTCAGGATGTCTTTGAGCTTCAGGTACATCACATGTGAACGTGTCGGAGGAGATCTGTACTAAATCTTGCCAGCGAAACCTAAATAACGCCTTTGCGTACGATCTTGTTCCTTCGCCAGGCGTCGTTACTGCAGCGCTCAAGGCTGCTCGCCGAGTGAACGATTACCCTACTGCCGTCAGAATATTTGAAGGTAACTGCGCATTGCCTTGACGCTACGGCAGAAGCTAACATAACGAAGGTATCAAGGCCAAGGTCGAGAACATCCAGCAATACGAAGAGTATCTTGAAGAGCTCAAGCCGGTACGGGAGGAGCTTGGTATCAACTTGAAGGAAGATCTCTACCCCGAAGGCACCGACTCACCACACTACAACCCATAAGTGATCGATCGCACAAGCGGACAAAGTTTGAATTTGAGCAACAATGGTCCCGAAACTGTAGACTATCAATCAGCCTTCCTACTACACAAGTAGTAAAATGTACAGTTTGCAGCCAGCAACGATGATTTCCTCTGCAGCAGACCCAGTCAGGGCCATAGTTTGCTCTTCCAGAATGTTTGCTGGTGTTTTTGTCATATTGGGACGCTGCTATCCAAACGACAACTTGTACTGATATATCTCAGACCATCTCGCAGCTCAGGAAGGAGCCTCCTCTCAACTTGTCAAACTAAGCTGTGTCTTTACTGCGGGATCCCCAGAGTGGCTTTGCCACCATGATCCGCTTCAACAACCATTGCCGCACCCCGTTGTGTTACGTTGATAATCGTTAGCGATGCTTTGATACAGATGTTGTTCTTCATCTGCTCTTACCATCCTCGAAGAATCAGCACTGCCCGGTTCCACGCCGAGCCTTTGGAAAGCAAGAAGCAGCTGTTAGCTAACGACACTAGCCACTCACTCAGCTCACTGCGATTGATGGTCCTCGTTAATGCTCTCTGCTGCCACCGGCTCTTGCCGTCACCAAAACTTTTGCCAGCCAAAACACAAATCAGTGACTAACTTCGCAATGCCTATTGAGGCTGCCACAGAGCAATGCAGTCACTGTCCACAAGCCAGTGTTGTCACCCTCCACAAAGCAATGTTGTCACCATTCACAAGGCAGTTCAGCCCGTCACCAAGGGTTTACAAACGAAAATGCAAGACCGTGACGGCGCATTGCCTACGACGCGGGCACTTCACTAAATCACCTCCTTCACACGCTGCCCTCTAGATATAAGTTTAGTACCCTCCTCTGGACGCTACTGCTATTCCGCATACAGATCAGCATTTTGCGCAACCGTTAACGCACTCGTTCACAGAACATCCTCTACAGATCACACAGCAAATCAGCTCTCTCTTGAACCCTCTTTCGATTATCCAAGATATCACTCACTCCAGTTCCCACCTACGAAAACATCTCGATGTTCCACTACCCAAGGACTCCGAACGAGAAGTTCGTTCGCGACATGGCCTGGCCCTCCCTCCGAGTCGAGAACCTGAAGGCGGAGTACGAATACTTGTGCAATGGCAACGTACATCTGCCTCCCCTTCTCCAATCACCCTCCACCCTGCGCCAGATCATAGTCGGCAGGGCATATCGAAACATCCAGGTCCGCGAGAAGAAAGAGCTCTTGGATGCCGAGCTCCCCGAGTGAGCATGATAAGTCTTCACCGCTAAAGGAGTCTACAATAGTCATGAAGACGACGGAGAAGCCGAGTGCCAGAGCATTGTTGCGGCAATAAAAAACTAATGCGATAGTTGAGCCAGCTTCCAATTGACAAGTGTTGCCCAGGTACTGACTTGTCTTGATCATTTGTTTGGGTGAATGGTTGCAGGTCAACGTTGGTAAAGAGACCAAGTAAATCGCTCGCGTTACATGCCCTTGCTCTCTGATCCTCTATCAAGTCGGCGGAGATATCATAGACTCCAAACGTACTTGAAGCGAGAGGTAGACAGCACGTAGCTGTGGCTCGGTGGCTTACGCACACTGCAAGCCAAAGACTCCTTCACACCCCAGGTCCCCCTATCCTTAAGAGAATTCGTAGATGTCCCAAAAGCCTCTCAACTCACCAACCTGGACTCCATCTGTTCCCGTGCTACGGTCTCATCGCCTATACAACGACGACAACTTCAGCTCTCCTACCTTGCTCTGCTTGCTGCAGTATATCCTTGGACACAGTCTCTAGGACGAATGTATTTGCAAGATTCCGCTCTATTGCTAGCTTGACTTCAACAAAGAGGCTAAAGACGAAGGTTCAGGTTGTAACGTGGAAAAGACTAGCTGTTGAAGATGCGGAGGAGGCATATCGCCAGGGTTTACCATGATGAGCCTTCAGATCGCTATCAAAACCAGCTCTGATAGTTGGAGTGGGTTCAAATCCGTTGTTGACCGTTCTTTTTGGGCTTTTTTGGGTATTCGCCGACTGCTCGTTAATGCGCAGTCAGAGTTGTTGCCTCAGGCTTGGCACCCTGCAGGCAGCCAGCCTTGGAACTGTCAGTGTGCACCTAGATGCTCTACGTTCAATTCCGCTTCCCTTGAAGGCAACGATAGCCTGGTCTGAGCAGCAAGTACTGTGGTGTCCATGTTCACGGTCGATTATGGGTGGGTCGAGGCGCAAAAATCATACGGAGTGCAAGGGCTGAAGCTGCTACCCTTCTGCGAAACCATTTGACCACTCGACTGCTACCAGTGTCATGTTTCGAGGCGATAGTTGCAGCTTAGAAGTCTTTTTGTTCATACTGTAGTCTCCAGAAACATCGGATTTCCAGTGCAAGGTCACTTGTAGGCCCTTGAACTCGCAGATAGGACACCTAGCTTCGAGGCGGCCGCAAGGCTGCCAGGCAAACGAGGCAATTTGCCCGCACTAGTCCCTTAGACAACGCAATAGTACAAATATTAGAGATCCAGAAATCTCTTCCAACAACAAACCACGAATCCGCCTCTCCGAATTCGCCAGCATTGCTCGGGTCCCTGACTTGTGGCGGTTGGCAGGCTTTGCTTTGGCTTTTCGATTTCCTATCTACGAAAGACGCTCGGGTCAAATCCCCCTTGTTCTAAACCACAAGCTTGGGGGAGGGCAGGCGCATCTTTCCGATACCGACTCAAACGATATCGAACCGAGAAAATGGAAGTCAAAAAGGTCTACTGGTAAAGGCTCCTGGGATAGGAGATGCGGTGTCGGCGCTGTGGTAAGATCAACTTTCCGAGTGGGGCTTCCACTCCTGCCAGAGGGAATAGAAGTTCTTTGAGCTCTGCTCCTCGCCCTCTGGTGAGCTCGATGTAGTTGACTCCGGCGTTGGCACCTAATGTGTACAGGGTGGTGGAAGGATGAGGGGCGCGTGGAATTAAGGTGGGAGTGGCGCGGAAATAAGTGAAATTTGGGCCTCTTCGAAACCGACGACTACGACCGAAAAAAACCTCCCGGTTTCCGACTCCGGAAAGGTTTCTCAAAATCCGACTTGAGTTTTTGCCTTTTTGGAGACCTGGTAGAGCATATTCTTTTTGTGGGTGTGGCCATCGGTAGACTGTGCCTTGTAGCAAGGCTGACTGCCTCAGGGGCGCCAAGCCTCCACTGGCCTTGTTGCACTCTTGTAAACTGCAACGACCACAGACAACAAAAATGAATGGCCAAAAGCGGATTCGAACCATACTACGACTGGTAATGCGTTATTTCTGGTAGCACTTGGCTGCAATATGTTGGCACCGACCGGGTACCGCCATCTCCCAGCAGCGAGACTCTACACGCAGATAAGCAAGGAGAGAGGGACCGAAGACATCCATATGCAAGTAGCGCCTGGCGCATGAGGGACTGAAAGGTACATTGGGCAACGTACCAGGTATAAGGTAGCGACATTTGACACTTGTACATAAGATTGAAAGAAAGGAAGATGGTGCACTCTACGTTGCCCTCTCAGCGCTCGGATATATCAAGCAACGGAGGAGGTTCTCCTCTCTTTACTTCTCCTTGGTCCATTGCTTCCCACTCCACAGCGGCCCTGTTGTCCAGAGCCAATAGTCCCGCCCCTTGATAGCCCAGATCAGCCAGCTTGGAAGAGCCCAACCCATCGCTGCACCGACACCCTTGCTCTTCCCTATCGGCACCATCTGCGTCTCGCTCATATCTTCCCCGAACGCTCTGTCCTCACCCAAGGTCATTTTTTCCGCTCCAGCTGCCATGAGCAAGTCCTTTTTGATGTTGGTGCAGAGCACCGGGACCTCCTCGAAAATGAGGTGCACTGCTGGACGGGCTGCTGAAGCAGCGTCACCAAGGGCGTACACGCGCGGGCCAGCTTTGTCGACGCGAAGCGTGGATTTGTTGGTTTCCACGCGACCGTCGCTTGTGAGGAGAGTCGGATCGATGAACGAGGTGTTGGGATTGGTTCCGGTAGCAGGAATGTAGATGTTGGCTTCGAGCGTCGTGCTATTATCGAGCAAGACCGTAGTCGGTTGGATCAATGTCTTTGTGCCGGATCCAGCCGGCGTTACAGAGACGACTCTGGCATTCTTTACGACTTTGACACCTACCTGAGCCAGGAACTTCTCGGCCTTCGTCGCCAATGATGGTCGCAAAACTGGGAGAATCTGTGAGCCAGCTGTAACAATCGTAATAGCTACTTTCGGATGATCCATTTTAGAATTGAACCAGCCGGTGCGACCGTTGAGGTATTCGCCAAGCTCACCAGCGGTCTCAACCCCTGCCGGGCCACCTCCTGCAATGACGATGCTCCTTGCGGTCGGGAGGGCCTTTCGAAACTCAGCCCAGTTTTGCTTTAGATGAGGAGTGTCGGGATTGGGACCCAACAGTGGTGAAGGAGTGGAGGCTCCCGTGGCAATGACAAGTGCGTGGTATTCGAGGGTCTCGCTGGTACCCTCGACCGCCCTGATAGTCACTGCCCGCACATAGTGATCCAAAGCGGTCGCACGGCCTTGCAGGAATTGGAAGCTGCGGTCGGGGTATTGCTCGAATTGCCTCGGAATATCGACAAAGAGTTTCGACTGATCGAACATGGCGTCTGAGATCATAGCCCGAGGGCAGGCTGATCGACACATTGTGTCCCTGGAAGGATTGACAAGTACCACACGATACATGTCCGGATGCGGTAGCGTTGGAAGTGCATGCCTGAGTAGGTAGTGCGCCGTAGATATGCCACTGTAGGAGCCGCCGAGGATGACTATTGTTCTCGTCGAGGGTGAACTTTCGTGCGCCATGATGAGTGTTGACAGGTCCTGCTTGGGTTGGATTAACGGGGGCCTGGTGCAGCTGCCACAAAATGCTTGGAAGAGGCATCGCCCGGGGCTGTGTTATATACCATTACCTCGCTGTCGCCAAATGCCGGGTCTACCTAATCGTCCTATTGCCAGATTATATTTAGCATGGCGGCTCATCGAGCGCAGGGACGAATCAGGGGTTGAGCCTTGCCTTCGGTGTTTGATAAGGCCGAACAAGTGCAAAATAGGGCTACCGCAAATATAGCAGGCTAAGTGGTGTGAATCAGTTTCTTTATTTCTTGTTATGTGCCGGTGCTGAGATTCACAAGTCGAATCTTCATGTAGAGCACTGAGGGAAGCAGAAAGCCCCTGTGGGCTGATTTGACACTATCCAGCGTTCTGCAGCATGTACCCGAACATTGTTGGGTGCAGGGAAATCGGCAGGCCAAAGGACGACTCAATCGTAGTGGATAACAATACCAAGACTCTTAACATCAGGTGTGTGAAGACCTAGCCCAACGAGTGCAGCCGTAGCTCTTCGGACCTTGATACCATCAACCAGGCTGAGAACAAAAGCCTGGCACTCAAGAGGCAGACAGAGACCCCACCTGTCTTCACCTCGGTGTCTAGGCTGCGTTGGGCCGTGATTGCAGCCTGGTAGGTCTCGGAAAGGCACCTCTGCTCATCGATGCAGACAAAGCATATCGGGAACTGCGACAGGCAGGTGACACGCTTCAGATAGCTGGTTTATCCACAGTGAAACAACGCAACCAGCACATCCTCTGCAAGGAACAGCACACACTGGGCATGCATGCAGTAGGATCACACTCAGCGAAAGTGAGGCAGACCCTGACTGAGAGAACAAAGCAATGGAAGCAGACTATTCACATTGAAGGCGGCGTGAGACAGGGGAAGATGCTGGTGACGTCAGCCTTGGCATAGAGAAACGCGCGACTTCATGTGAACGCGTTCCTTCCATGTCCACCACTATCTTCTAGCTAATAACCATCCTTGGTTTGCTTACCAGACAGCCTTTGAGTATCAAGCAAGCTCCTCGGAGTGGTGTTGGTTCATACAAGCATCGCCACTCGTAGCAGGTCAATCTATTTCATCCTCAGCCACAAACTCATCCGCCTTCAGGCTAGCAACCGATCAATCATCAGCCATGCCTTCGGAAGCCACATACAGATTTGGTGAGTAGCATACCTCCGACGCCAAAGCCTATATGCCTTCATCAGCGCCAAACATTTTGATTGCAACTATGCTGATCCAGACTCAGAGCAGGCCAAGACTGCCCGTGCAGTATGCCGCAACACAGCTTGCAAGAAAGCTGAAATCAAGATTCAGAAAGGCGAATTGCGCATGGGAACACTTGTCACCATCAAGGACCACACGTCCTGGCACTGGAAGCACTGGTACAAATTGTTCAAACGATGAAGTGGCCACTCCTGCTAATCGTCTCTAGGGGCTGTGTCACGCCACTTCAGATTGAAAATCTGCAGTACATGCTTGAGGGCTTAGATCTCGAGAAAGACGATGAGATGGAAGTCATCGACGGTTGGGAGGACCTGACTCCTGAGAACCAAGAGAAGCTCCGTCAGGCTATCAGAGTTGGACACATTGATGATTCGGAATGGAGGGGTGTATGTATTCCTTGAAGCTTGGAGGTGCGTCGCTGACCCGTGCCAGGACCCCGAATTCAACCGACCGGGTATGAAGGGCATCAACCGTCGTACTCCCAAGAAGTCGCCCACCAAAGAAGACGCGACAGAGGAAGCCGTCGGTCCCACGTCACCCACCAAGACCAAGTCGCGGAAGCGCAAGGCTGGCGATAACGGCGACAATGCAGAGCTCGCCCCGAAGTCGGGCAAGAGCAAGAAGCTCAAGGTCGAAGATGAAGATGAGTTGAACGACAACGAGCCCGTCCCAGTAAGAAAGTCCAGAGGCAAGAAGGCCAAAGCCGAGGGAGACGATTCCGCTCCAGCCGCGATCAGACCTGCTCCGGCGAAGAAGGGAAGGTCGAAGAAGGTCAAAGCCGAAGAAGACTCAGGCGACGACGAGCCTCTTGCTCCGGCCAAGAAGACGCAAGCAAGGGGCAAGAAGGTCAAGCCCGCCGATGATTCCGATGATGTCGAACCCGTTCCGGTGAAGAAGCCCAGAGGCAAGAAGGCTAAGGTCAAGGCCGAGTCTGACTCCGAGGAGGATGCCGAGATGGAAGATGAGGCGCCAGCCCCTGCCAAGAAGAGTAAGAAGGTCAAGGACCAGAAGTCTGAGGCTGTCGTCAAGAAGGGACGTGCTCGGAAGGTCAAAGAGTAGCTCATGCACTCCCATCGGCGCCGCTGTTGCACATCTATCCACACAGCAGCATGACTGGCAATTGAGGAGAACGGTTGTGCTCGATTCTCGAATTCGTTACGGCAAACAGATGGCATGGCGTTTAGGCGGAAAACGGCATACAACAGCAACTTGAAAGCGCGTCTGGCAAGAACGTATCGCGAGCTTCGATACCCATGTATTCCTATCAGAGCATTGCAATTCCCACCTACTTGTGCAGCGTAAGGCTGTCAGAAGCTTCCTTCATCAGCCACCACGTCACTCGAATCCACAGCTTTTCTCTTTCCCATCACCGCACAACCCATCCCTGCTGAGCTCATCCACATAGCACTCTCCCACATGCACATGCTCTCCACGCGTATACACAGATCCAACCGCTGGCCCCAACGCGCACGAGAGTTCCTGCACCACAAACACCACCGGCTCCCACCTGATCACCGGCCCACCCTCCGACGGCGCCAAGTGCGGGTTCGGGCTCTCACTCCAGCTACGCCCCCATTGCAACCGGCGCCATGCCGCGTCTGCTTCGTTTGGTGCTTCTACTTCTGCTGCTGCTGCTGCCGCCGCCGCTCTTTCTGAGTACTCCTCTAGGGTGGTGTCCGAGAGCAGCACCACCGAAGGCCCACAGTCCACCCACCCTCCCCGTCCGAGCCTGAGTGCGCCGTCGCGCCACTCGAACACTGACCTAGACCAGACGCGGAAGCTCGGCATGGCTTTGCGTTTCCGACTCCGTGTCCGTCGCTGTCTCAGCAGCCAGCATTCCTTCACCTTTCCCCACCTCTGCCTCCCCAAGCGGCACCACCGCCCCCCAGCTTCTACCACCTTATCATACACCACCATCCCAACCGCAACCGGTACCAGCACAGGCAGACTCGCAACGAACACGGCGGGTACCCAGAGCGGCACCGGCCCACCACAAAAGGGGCCGCGACTTTGGCGTCTCCGTTGGCAGTCGCTGCGCCAGCTCGCCTCGATTTGCCGGCGGTACCGGGCTTCTTCTGCGTCTAGTGGGCCTTCTGTGATGAGGACTGAGGGCCCGCAGTCGACCCAGCGGCCGCGGTTGGTGGAGATGTCGTCGCCGTACCAGTGCCAGACGCGGAAGGTGGGTTGGGGAGTGCGTGGTGAGGTTTTGCGGTTGGGGTAGAAGCGCTTGATGGCGCGGAAGGCCGCTGTCCAGTGTGGTCTCGATTCCGCTGGCGTGGGTGCCGGCGATGACGATGATGACGGTGTGTCGCGCCAGCACTGCTGCAGCTCCGGGTACGCCGCGCAGACTGCGCAGTGAGACTCGCTGTCCTTGTGCTTACGGTTCTGAGCCGTCTCGTCAGTCAGCGCGCCTTGTAGGTGGTGCTGGTGCAGCCATTGTTTATAGCTCTTCTCCATCATCGGGAGCTTGCCTTCTGGTGTGAAGGCAGGAGGGTTTGCGTCGGAGGGGTCGACCCACGTAGTGCCGCGGAGGATGCGGAAGCTGCGCTTTGGCGGGCTGGCGGTTGGAGTGGCGTGGAGAAAGGTCTCTGCTCCGGCAAGCTTTCGTTTGCGCGCAGTGCCGGTAATGTTGTGGTTGGAGGGTTGGTTCTTCCTGGGATGCAATGATGATGAAAACGGGTGAAGGAGAACGTGATGCCAGCTGCGCGAGTTCTTGCTTTGGTGGGTGGCGTGGATATCTAGAGCAGAAATATCGGTTTGCTTTTCATTGTAGATCCTGTCGGCGTCTGTCACGGTCGGAGTCGTGCTCCCGGTCGAGGTCGAAACCGACGAGCCCATGGGCGGCCGTAGGTGGTCGGCATCCTTAGCAGCATCCCGGAGTCGATCTTCGGGGCCAGATGCCGTGATAGTCACATGTACGCCGCCGTCGAAGTCAACGATCTGGCACCTCTCGTCGCTCAAGAACGAGGGAGGTGATGAATGCGTCCGCCAATTCATTCTTGAAACCAGACATATGGTACTATGACTATGAGGTTCGGTCGTGGAGCCATCGGAGATCAAGCAGGCAAAAGTGAAAGGCGTGGGAGAGTCTCATGGGAGTAATAGATACTGGTCACATAGTAGTCTGTCTCAAAGGCCGAGGAACGCGAACTTGTTCAATGCACAATCGTGCCATCCTGGCCCGGCCCCACCTTGGAGCTCACGGGATGAACTTCCTATGGCTGCGTTGGTCTCCAAATCGATACATATCTCGCCCAGCGGAGGGCTGTCATTGAAATGTCCTTGGAATGATGATAACAATGCCTGAACCTTGGGTAGAGGAAACAACGAATCAGAAGTGGGAGAAGATGCTGGAGCGAATCAGGCAACTGGTTCCCTAGGCTTGGCCTGGACGCCTTGCGAGACGAGCTTGGCACAAGGGTGAGCATTCGAACACTGCCTAATTTTAAACGAAGGTATCAAGAATGCTTTGCTACTGACATTTGGCTCGACAGTCTGATATTAATAGCAATTTGTGTTGTTGGGACTGCACACCGCGGTCGTAATTTTCCATCTGCCAAACCAATACCAAAAGTGATTGCGTAGCAGAAGATGACTGTGTGGACTAAGTAGTGTATTGTTGTACATTATGTGCCTTGGGCTAAGTATTAAAACTCTCCAAAGCCAAAGGTCGCTGTCTATCGAACGTCCCACAAATCCTGCGCTGAGCTTATGTGTAGTTGCTGACAGATTTTCAAAACACTGTACACTGGTATTCGTGATTCGTAGAGCGACTGTGATTATTAGAATTCTCTGCTTTCTCCGATGTCGCAGACGTCAAAGAGGCCGGATTCGGGCATGCTGTGGTGCTTGAGAGCCTCTTTGAGCTTCTTTGGGGGCTCTAGGACCTCTTCCTCGGTGAGGACCCATGTTCCCCAATGCATTCCGAGAGCTTGCCTGCATTTTGTGTCTCGGAAGATCTCGACAGCATCGCGTGGGCTTGCGTGCATGGGTGACATTATAAATCTAGGGTCATATGCGCCAACAGGAATGAGTCCAAGGTCGAAGGGTCCACGCAGCTTGCCGATCTCCTTAAAGGCAGGGCAGGTGGGGAGATGTGACCATTTTTCACTCCAGTCATCCTCATCGTGTCTCGAAGCTTTGGGAACGGTACGATACCCGGTATCTCCGGCGAAATATAATGACTTGCCTCCTGACGAGATTGTCCAGGAAGACCAGAGGGTCGCGTTACGATCGAAGGGGCCGCGGGCGGTCATGTGCTGGCAGGGTGTGCTGCCTATGCGGGCAGTGATTACATTAGTGGAAGGAGATTTTGGCTCCTCGGTTGAGCTGACGGTTGTTTCTTTGCCGCGGTTGTCAGAGGCAGGAGTCAGGGTCAGGTCGACTTCCTCCCACCAATCTAGCTCGGTACATTTGGTGATACCACATTTGTTGAACCATTCCTTGTTGCCCAGCGGCACAAAGAAGTGGGCGTTAGGGTGCAGGTTGGAAATCTTGGTGATGCTAGGATAGGACAAATGATCATAGTGATTGTGTGAAATGACCACGGCATCAACAATGGGAATGTCGCTGATGTCGCAAGGAGCTTCGGTGTATCGCTGAGGACCAAAGAATGTCAAAGGGGAGCAGCGGTGCTCAAAGACTGGGTCGAAAAGGACACGCAGACCAGATGGAAACTCGACATAGTAGCAAGCATGGCCCAACCAGGTGGCTCGGAGCTTGTCGCTGCTCTGTCGAGAAGGGAGAAAACGTGGCTTGTGTACTGGAACTGTGGGAGGGGTGGTGTCCGGAGTGTTGCCTTTTCCGACGAGCCTGCGGCCCCAGAACGTGACGACTAGCTCCAAGGTACTCATGGGATCAAATGAAGGCCATGGATTGGTGAAGCCGCCTTTCTTGAGATGCCATGCCTTAGCTTTGGTGAGATCGTCGTCTGGGCGAGTACTGGCCACCGTTGGAGTGGCCGTCAATGCATATAGCATGGCGGTTGTCGAGCCGGAAGCCATGGCGCGCGTTTGACTCAAGGCGGGTATTTTGGATATTCTGGGGGAGCTCCTGGGAGGGAAGAAGAATTTGAGAAAGGCGCGCATGGCGACGGACAGGCCGGTCTATAAAGGGCAACAACAGCAGCAGCAGGCTGAATAACGGGGAAAGGAGCCATTGTGCACAAATACGACCGTGGGTAGAACCCACCGAAGTTTTGCTGCCTTCAGCTATGTCCAGCAGCCAAAAAGTGTTGACGATGGTGGCAGCTCTTAGGCTGCATTTCCCGGGACGACTGCCTCCGCTATCTCCGTCGTGTGTCCGCTCGTATTCCTACTCCTTGCGGTTTAGTGTCTTCAGCTGGACCGCCAGCGCGTCGAGTCGGTACAGAAATTCATCCGGCTTCATGCGCCCATTCCTCTAGGCTCAACATCCTCTTCCGAGGGTCTCCGGTGTCCTGATTCTACGATTGAACCACGCGACAGGGGCATGCAGGCAGCAGGAAACGATGGTGTTCCTGCCGCCCTCGCCCAAAAGCAAGAGCTAGCAAAGCAGCTGACCACTGCTACGACCAATACTGCCGATGGAGGCTTCATTGCCCAGTTGACCAGCAATCCCTTCTTCACGGCCGGTTTCGGTCTTGCCGGTCTTGGTGCTGCTGCAACTTTCGCACAACGAGGCATTCGCAATGGTGCCGCACTCCTCAAGCGTCGACTGTTGGTCGATGTCGAGATCAATAACCGCGACGAATCCTACGCTTGGTTCCTGTACTGGCTGAGGCTACATGAGCAAGGCCGAATTCTATCAACACCCGCTTCGGCTGCGACTGGCCGGAAGAGCTCATGGCTAAGCTCCGTTCTACAGCGCTTGACGCCGTCTATGCGACAACTGTCCATCGAGACCGAGACCGTCAAACTCCCCAACGGCGCCATCAATGCCGAGTTTGCTCTCGTTGCAGGCCCCGGAAGGCATTTCCTCAGATACCGCAATGCCTTCATCGCCGTCAATCGCGTTCGAGAGACGAAGCAATATGATAAGGATGGGAAGCCATGGGAGACCATCACCCTCACAACTTTGTACTCACAGCGCCACGTTTTCGAGTCTATGTTCAAAGAGGCACACGAGTTGGCAGTCGAGAATACCGAGGGAAAGACTCCCATCTATGTCCCACGTGCCGTTTCGTGGGAGCCTTTTGGAAACCCTCGCCAAAAGCGCCCTCTAAGCTCTGTCATCCTTGATCAAGGCGTCAAGGAGCGCATAGTAGCCGATGTACGCGACTTTATTCAGTCGGAGAAGTGGTACTACGACCGGGGTATACCTTATCGACGTGGCTACCTCTTGTATGGCCCACCGGGAACCGGCAAATCTTCCTTCATACAAGCTCTTGCCGGTCACCTAAATTACGCAATCGCCCTCCTCAATTTATCTGAGCGTGGGCTCACCGACGATCGCCTCAATCACTTCCTGTCCAACCTCCCAGAGCGTACCTTTGTTCTGCTCGAGGACGTCGATGTTGCCTGGGCCAATCAGCGTTCCGCTGGCTCAGATGGCTACTCTGGTGCCAACGTGACTATGTCTGGCCTGCTCAACGCCTTGGATGGCGTCGCCAGCGCAGAAGAGCGTATCCTATTCTTGACCACCAATCATATTGAGAAGCTCGACGCCGCCCTCGTGCGACCTGGTAGAGTGGACATGACGGTGCATCTCGGCAATGCAACCGCCTATCAGATTGAGCAGCTATGGAAACGCTTCTATGAAGACGTCGACGGAGATGGGAAGCACCTAGCATCCTTTATAGACACACTTCGTTCCCATGGCATCCTCTCACGTGACACCAGCCAAACCACCAGCACCGTCTCTCCGGCCGCAATCCAAGGCCTCTTCTTGTACAACAAGTCTGACCCTTTCGGCGCCATCCAGATGGCTGCTCAGCTCGCTCCTCCAGACACTTCCAACCAGTCTCTTGCGTCCAGTCCTTAAACCTTGGGCCGTACTTGCAAGAATGGTCTGGGCGCAGGGCCTTGCATGGCCTCTTGCCAATCCATCTCGGGATCTGCCTCCTTCATGCTCTCCCGATAGCCTTCCCTGTCTCCAACTCTCTTCAGATACTCCAATATAGCGCCATAGCCGCTCAAGTCAAAACCCCAAAACCGCCGCACTGTTGTTAGGCTGAAAAGAATCATCACATCCGCGGCGGTGAACACGTCACCTGCCAGCCAGACATTCTGCTCAAGGTGCTTGTCCAGATGGCCTAGAGCTATCGCAAGTCGCTCCAACGTGCTCTTCTTGACAGGGTTATCGTCGGGGAGATTCAGATGCCGCAACGTCGCACATCGCATGATGACGGGCTGCAAGTTACTGTTGGCCCAGTGCCACCAGTAAATGTACTTCTCGTATCCAGAATCTCCCGGACGGAGCTTCAGCGCACCTGAAGCGTACACATCAACAATGTACTCGATGATGGCGCCAGATTCGGCCAACGTGAGGTCGCCGACCTGGACGACGGGAGCAGCGTGCATGGGATGCAGCTTAGCAAGGTCGGGTGGGCTGAAGAGCGGTGCGCGTTGATGAAGCACCAGCTTGTATGGAATCTGATGACCTTGGAGACGCAGCTCGTGCAGCAGCCAGGGGATCCGCTCGGATTGCGAGTATTGCAAGTGGTGGACCACCAAGGGTTTGGCGCCGGACGACATTGTTCTTCGAAACGAGTGACGGTCGCCAAGAAGGCCGATTGAATTAATCAACAACGTTCGGAATTACTGTAGGAATAGTCGCCTCTTCCGGTCGTGGGGCTGCTGCGTCGACAGCTGTACAAATAGTTTCCGTGCAGGTATGCGGCTGCTGCTCCAAATCGATAGATGTCCTGGTTGCAAAGACCACAGCAAACGAAAGCAGCGGCGACACACGACTTCTTATACCTCCCCAGCACAACGTACAGCGTCTCACTCTCCGTATGACCCTTTCTCTCTCCGTCACAACGAGTTCTGATCGCCGGCACTTTTACTAAGCGTCTCCCGGGCCTAGAACTTTTCAAGCAAATTTCCCACTAAGAAAGCAAGGCAGGCAGGCAGGCAGGCAGGCTCGACCTCTGACTCGAAAAGGACCTCGCGTCACTTACTGTAGTATTACGTCGATTTCGACCAGTAGTGGGTACTGTGGTAAGTACTTCTCCGTACGTAGTAAGCAGAGCTTCCCCCCCCGCCCCTCCCCCGCCCGCCCTCCAGGGCTAAGCCAAATCGCGTAATTTTTGCTAGTCCCAGGCTCTTCTAGTCAGTGCGTCGTGTGTGCCACTGGGCAGTGAGGTGAGTGCATGGCGGGGTACCAAGCAGGATATCTACGTGCCTCAGAAAGCACGGGATTTTGGCTGCTCGAATTTTGGTGGATACAACAGTAATACTCTGGCGATATATGCCATGAAGGTGGATTCGTGGAAGCGTGGTGGGTGGTATAGTTGGGGCGGGGCCGGGGGCGGGAGCTTCGTTGGTAGATGGTATGTACGACACGAGAGGTTTCTATGAACAGGATGGGATGGGAAATTGTGGACGCAGGGCCGTGAGACTCGAAAGAACGCGGTGGTGCTGTAGTTGTAGTGGTGGTGGTCGGAGTTGGGGAAGCGGGGGTTACGGGGGGGCTGGCTCTTCCTTTACCTACTATCTAGCCAGAGTCTACGTGATAGGGCACCATATAGGAAAGCCTCGGGCGGTTGTATACCTGAGAATGACTTCCGTCCTGCTCGCTCAGTATGGCGCGGATGGTAGCTCCGGCACAGGAGATAGGAAGTAATATACACCCGCTTGGTTGTGACACATTGCTGGCTTGTGCATTCTATAAAGTATTTACAGTCGCTTGCGTGTTGGCGTACAGTTTGAAAACGTACCCGAGGGTTCCCCGACGTTGCGCAACGTGCCCAAGGCTTCCCCGGCGTTGAAAATGCCGTTCGGGGGATAGCAATATGTGATCTGTCCTGATCAGGTAGTGTTGCTTCGGGGTTAACATCGTGATGCCGGTCCTTGGTTCCTTTGGGTCGCTGTACAGCCCGATTGGGCGACTAATACGGACATCACTGAGCTACCTTCATGACCATGCGGGAAACCGGTGTGGAGCATTACGAGGGCGAGCGCTTTGCGGACGTCTCTTGAGTTCGATGGCGTGGATGTATTGGTATAAGAAGCTAGCTTATACTGCGGGCGCTGGACCTAGCGTTGTCCCTTCATCAACCTGTCAGGCCCAATCGCCTCTTCTCTACCTTTCCATATATTACAACAGGAACAACACAGATGGAACGGGAAATGTCTCCTCCCTCGCGCCTCGTCATCATCGTCACCGGCAGCGACTCCGGCTTCGGCCTCATGACCGCCGAGGCCCTCGCCCAAGCAGGCCATACCGTGTACGCCGGCCTGCTCCAGGCGCGTGACAATGCCCCCACCAGGTACGAGGCCTTCGAAACGTTCGCACGACGGCACCAACGCGACATACGCGGGATCCACCTCAACGTCGTCCAGGATGACGTGATCCAACAGAGCGTCGCACAGATCCTGCAGGAGCAGCACCGTATCGACGCCATCATCCACAACGCAGGCCACATGTGTCTCGGTCCCGCCGAGGCGTTCAGCCCCTCGCAATTCTTCGCCATGTACGACACCAACTGCGTGGGCTGCCACCGCCTCAACCGCGCCATCCTGCCGCACATGCGCGCGCGCCGCTCGGGGCTCCTGATCTGGGTCTCGTCCGGCTCCGCGCACGGGCCCTCGTCGCCCTACCTGGCAGCCTACTTCGCCGCCAAGGCGGCGCAGGACTCGCTGGCGCAGACCACCGCCCTCGAAGTGAGCCAGTGGGGCGTCGAATCCAGCATCGTGACGCCCGGCATCTTCACCAGTGGCACCAACCACTTTGGCTCCGCCATGCGTGCCGACGATCCAGACGTCGAACGGCAGTACAACGCCGAGGAGGCGCCGACCAAGGGCTGGTTCGAGCGGTGCTTGAAGGGCAGCGCGGAGATGGGGGACCCCCGCCTGGACATCAAGCCGCAGGCGGTTGCGGACGCCATTGTCGAGATCGTCGGCACGGAGCATGGCAGGAGGCCCTGGAGGGTCCATGTCGAGCCCGAGGGGCCCATGGCCGAGCGGACCAACAGGGTTCGTGATCGGGTGAGGGCAGAGTATCTGGAGAGAATGGGCTGTGCGGAGCTTATGAAGGTCAAACTGTTCGGCGTGGAATGATTTGCGTGATATCTTTGGTGCGTCTCTCCGGGGCGTGTCCTTCGACAGGAGACTGGCTTCCTGAGGTGCTAGGGGATACCACTCGTCATCATTCGCAAGTAGGGAGAGAGAGTAAGCTGGAATTCTGGAAGGACATCGTTTGTTCATCATGGCTCGTGGGACTTGAGCAAACGGACCTGGTCCACTTACTGACGCGAGCTGATCATCAGGATGGGCTCCGTGCATGGAACAGTTTGTCGTCCTTGCAACGGCCTGAAAGCCTATCCGGCCTTCTGTATCTCTACCCCTTGAGCAGCGCCCACCCGCTAATGGTACATCAAAATCGCGCTGTACGCGAGGAACAAAGTCAGCTACTACCCTCGCATGGCCTCACCTCGGGCGAGTTTGTAGCGCACTGCCTCTCCCACAATGTCGGATCCCCACACACCATCGCTGCCTCCCTTGGCGAATTCTAGACCGGCGACGTCGCCGCGCTCCATCTCACCGAGGATGACAGATAGATCCCGCTGCTGGGAAGAATGCCACTTCTTAAGGAAACCGACTGGGTCTCGGTTGAAGTTCTTGTAAAACGTGTGCTTGGCCTTGTGGTGTTGGATAGCCTGAATGACAACCGCAAGTTGCTCGTCTATGGTGTTGATTTGACGAAGATTCTGCGCCGTTTGTGAAGATGAGGTGATGGCCATGATTCGGGATCGGAGAGGATCATCGGTGGTGATCTTAATGTCGTAGATCGTCGGCTGTGGCTCGACAGACTGAAACTCCTGGTCAACACGGATGGTGTACTGGAGCTTGAGCGGAGGCAGAGGGTGAAGATGAGGCATGATGCGCTCGGCGACTTGAGGGAAAAGGAAGGCATCGGCGTTGAATATCTATACAGTGGTCAGTTTGAGATTGTTGGTGAGGTCGGTATTATGCGGAAGGCGTGAACATTCCGCAACCGACGCTGAAAACACTGGAAGTCGGTACTTACGCTGCGGAGCCGATCATCACATCTTACATGCCGGCGCTCATCGTCCTCTTGAAGGCCCATCGCTTTGACGTACTCCCAGATACCCATAACCACTTCTGCTCGGTCGGCTTCTTCCATGTCTAGGGTGTTTGCAAGAGCCTGGGACAACCGGTATCTCTCTACCGGCTCGTCGCGAACAAGGCTGATAGTAACGTTCTGGTTCTCGTCGCCCTTGCGTTGGAACTCGAAGCAGTCGAACTCTTGGGACTGGGGAGTCTTCTTCCACTCCACTTGCGTAGTAGGATCAATGTTGAGATTTGGGTTCTGTCTGTTCTTGTCGTTCTCGACCGAAATTGCCTTGAAATAGCTAGAGAATTTCTTTGGAGGTGGAGATTTGGCCTCCTTGGTGGGAGCAGCATCGCTTTCTCCGTCGACATCCATTTCGTCGGCCTCATCGGTCGTCTCGTCCTCGTCGATGATCTTTCCTTCGATCTTGACACGGTATGTCGATTCGGCGCCGGACTCAAAGTCGAACGAATTCTCGTCGAGCGCGGGCCGCTGCCAGGGCTGGTTTTCGCACGTATTTGTGATCCAAATGCGCATGGTTTTCTGGCGGCGCACATTGCGGTTCATAGTGTCCTGAATATCTAGGCGTTTGCGCATGATTGTGTAGTCTAGCTTCTTCTCCACTTCACGCAACTCTTTATACTGTTGCACAGCGTCGCCAACAATCAGGTCTTCGATGCCATCGGGCATGTTGCGATCGGTCGGCTTTTTCGCTCGTCGCTGTGCCATCTGATGCTCGAGGGCGGCGTTGCGTTGCGCCATCTGTTGCTGGTACAGCTGCTGTTGATGTTGCTGCGCTGCAAGGTTCGCGTTATGTGGGGGACCTAGAAAAATATGTTGGTACTGTTCGCGCCAAAGCTTTGGGTACGCAAGGTAAAGGTAGGCCTGTCTCTGAGTGCTGAGCTGTTGTGTGGACATCTTAAGAACTCCAAGGATTTGCGGCCTAAGTGATAAGTAACGTGGAGTCCTCGGGTGCTGGGGCTGGGGCCGCGGGGAGGTGACAAAGGTGAAGCTGTGATCCGAGATAGATGCGGTCGACGTCGGGATGCTAAGGCTGGAAGCAAAGAGAATCCTTGGATCTTTCAGGCCTCCGAGGGTAGTGAAGCTACAGGGGTTCCGTGGTTGCTGCAAATAGGCAAGTTGCAGTCGGCGAGCACCAGATAATTGGCGAGGGATGATGGGACCAACGAGTCCGGGAGCAATGAGTCCAGAGGGCATTCCGGAAGAGGCTCCTAGGGCAGAAAGGAAGGGAATCGTGCTCGGATCGCACTCACCTGGCCGACGCGCACTCGCTGGGGCACGAGAAGCCTGCGCATAGCGCTGATAGTTTTGCATTTGGGGGTTCATGGCGGCTGCGGGCGCCGGGCGCCACCGTTGATGTGGAAACGGGGTTGGGCGATCACGGATGGGTGGCAGAGACAGACAGGCAGATGATAGCAGCGATTGTGGTAGTGGACGAATCTATGCTGAGACGAATGGCAGACTGCGACTCAATCGCGAAGGGTAGAAACACGACATCGCGACTTCGAATGTCGGAACTGCATTAGTCCTGTTCGGGTTAGTCGCTAGTGATGAGGCTGAGACGGCAAGGCTGAGCCATCGAAATGCTTCCAGACATATTTCTAACAAAGGGACTACCACTGTAGGGCAGGTGGTAATGATCATGGAGTGTGTCGGCAATGCTTAACGATGTCTTCTCTTGATGTTTGCGCGGCTGGTGTTGCTGAGCCCATCAGTGAAGAAGTCTAGCTGGTGCATTGCCGGCTCCTCAGCGACGATTATGGTCCTACAAAGGCTTGCATTCAGAAGCAGCTATTCGATGGCCATCATGAAAACTGACACAGCCGCGGCTCATCTCACACGGTCCTGTCCCCAAGTCTCACACGGCGTGTACCACCGACATGACCTCCCGAAACCACGTCGGTCGACTGGCCCGGTCTTGGCGCCTCTCGGGCTACGCACGGCCTCAACCCCGAGCAAACCCGATCTCAGGCAGTGAAATCTTTCCATCCAGCACTTGCAATTGGTGGACTGTCACCCTCCGTGACCACCGCGTTGTATTCGTTGATGGGGCACGCCTTGTGTCTGGGGCAAAAGCGCGGGGTGGAGAGAAGGCCATTTGGCCCTCTGAGCCTCAGTTCAGATTTGTCGGCCCAAGTGCCGATACCCATGTGGAAGCAACCGTACTGGGTGGATTGCTGGGTGACGGTGCCATTTAGCCGAGTATTGCGTTACCCGTGGGAGGCGAGGTCTCCGTTGGGGTAAGCCGGCGGGCACTTGTGTTGTGAGATATATACATGTCTGATACTTCCGCGCGGTGCTCCGTGGCAAGAAAGGTTCGGTGACTTCACGGCCTCTGTACTCACTTCAAGCTCTGTCGTTCACCTCGATTTGCGCCTTCCGCCAAAGCTAGTATTGAATATTCTTATTGTCTACTACCTCGCATCATCTTGATCTTCTTGTGCCCCACATCCGCTTCTCTTTCACCATTGAGTCATCCCCATCTAAACCAGTATACCCGCAGAACGAAAAGATGGGGTCGCTCGGCAATTCGCAAAATACCAGAGTGGCCTTCATCGGCCTCGGCGCCATGGGCTTCGCCATGTCGACGCACCTCGTGCGTACCGGCTTCCCCGTCACGGGCTACGACGTCTACGGCCCCACCAACGACCGCTGGGCTGCCACGTGCGCCGAGATCCCTGGCTCGCGTTACAGCATCGCCTCCTCACCCGCCGACGCCGTGAAGGATGCCGAGATCGTGCTACTGATGGTTGCCAACCACTATCATGTCCACAGCGCGCTTTTCGAGGGCGAAAACGCCGCAGTAAAGGCTTTGCCAAAGGGCATCACGGTCGTTGTGATGGCGACGATCCCCCCTACGCAGCCGACAGAGATCCGGAGACGGTTGACTGAGGAGTTTGGCCGTGCGGACGTACAATTGTGCGACTGCCCTGTCAGTGGTGGTACGGCTAGGAGCATCAATGGCACTTTGACGATCATGGCATCCAGTGACGATCCAGCCAACTTGGAAGAAGCCAGGTTCAAGGATGTCCTTGGTAACCTTTCTAACAAAGGCGCCACGCTGTACGTTATTCCCGGTGGTCTAGGTGGTGGCGAGTCTGCAAAGGCGTTGAACCAGGTTATGTGCGGCATTCATATTGCGGCAGCGTCTGAGATCATGGGTCTTGCGGCCCTTTTCAAGATCGACACGCAGGCGTTTTATAACCACCTTACTTCGTCGGATCCTTCGTGGTCCACCAAGAAGAACATTGGGTGGACGTGGATGTATGAGAACCGAGGGCCTCGTATGTTATCTGCCACACCGCCCTTAGCCTCAGCAACTGCCATCATCGACAAAGACGTCGGAATTATCAGAGACGAGGAGAAGCGCTTGAACACCGAATTGCCTCTGTTGAATGCGGCCAGTGATATCATTACGCAAGTAATGAAGACACATGCTAGCGCCGATGACAGCGTGATTGCTCAGTTTTACCTTGGGATGGGCTCTCCGAGACAGAACGCCGTCGTCGAGCACAACGGCAAGTCAGCAGACACCCAAGAGCAGTATAACAAAGTACTCGCCATTTGTGCGGCTCTGATCTGCTTGAATTCGGCGTACGAAACGACCCAGTTCGCCAAGGCCTTGGATCTGGTGGGTCCGCAGCAGAGGAAGCAGTGGTTCAGCATCATCTCCGGCGCTGCTGGAGGAAGCACCATGTTCGCTGAAGTTATTCCCAAGTCGTTTGCCGATAGCGATGGATCTGAGGCAGCCTTTAAAAAGTTTGCCCAAGAGAAGCTCGGCGTCGAGGCTGCAAAGACCACCGTAAGTCCCACTTATTGATGCGTATAGTCCAGTAACTCTGACAGTGCACTAGGAATCCATCATCGCGCAGGCAAAGAAGGAGGGCTACGAGCCCAAGCTCCTCGAGAAAGCTTTGGAGTTTTTCCAGAAGATCGTTTCATAGGCGACTGAATGGCATTTCTGGCGTTGAAGATACCCTCTCGGCGGTGCGGTAGTATTGAGTTGGCGAACACTGCCATCTGCAGAATTGATAAAATATCCAAACTCAGATCATTCCTCAGCGGACGGCGATATTTACCGATGTTGTACCAGCAGTGGACTGTTCCTGACCCGCCGCCATGGCCTCCAGTCTCGCAGCCTGCACTTTATGCTTCTTGATGATCTTGAGCCACTCAGGCTCAGTCTCGTTGTCTTCTGCGCCGCCGACGTTGCTGGTTGGCGCGAGCGTCGCGATCATCATGCTGAAGTCGGCGCCGAGTCGACCAAGACTGTTGGCTGCGTAAAGCACTTGCATCAGCAAGCTCTCTCTAGCTGCTGAGTCCGTAACATTGGGGAGATATTCACGAAGTGTCTCCATGAAGACGTTGACAAGATGTAGGGGAAAAGTAGCCAGGGCGGATGGTAGCGGAAGCAGATCCTCCTCAGAAGCCTTGTCTTCTGATGGTGGGAAAATGTTGCGGAACATGGAGATTGTAGAGAAGGACTGCTCGCGGAAGATCTCAATGTATCGCTTGAGATATCTCTCGGTCTGCTGGCCTTGAAATGAGTAGCCTTGTTGGTGGGAGGGGCGGCGGGCGGGCTCGGTAGTCTTACTGCCGTCTGGCTGCTGCAAGCGCCTGGCAGTCTCTTGATCTCCAAGATCACGTAGCGGGCTCAACGCTTCGGTCATGGCCAGAAAAGTGCAGAGCCGAGCGCAGAGGAAGATAGCTCCAAAATCATCCTCATCTTGGTGCGATGCAGCTGAAGTTGTCAGTGTAGTTGTTGAAGCGGCAGCGGGTGATAGTTGGTCTTTGTTAGCCAGCTCCGGCAAAACCCTTCGAAGCCAGCCAATAGTCCTGATTGCTGCTGCCAGTCTTATGCTCTGATTTCTCAATGAGTTGAGGAGGTTCGTCGTCATCTCCTTCATCGCCGCCTTGGCCTGCTGTTGGACTTTCTTAACAAGCTTAGAATCGGGGTACAAGATCTGCAGCCTCTTGATGTGGGCGAAAAGGTCTAATGCCTGAGAATAATTGGCTCCTCCAGATGTCGTGGTGCTTGCAGACGCAATAGCTGTAGACAGCAAGGCGGGCAGTTCAACAATGTCCTGGACTTTGTCTGCCTGGCGAGCGAGCAACATCGATTTCTTGCGCGCTTCCAAAGCTTGATTGGCGTCGGAAATCTTGCTGTAGGATGTAGCAAATTTTACAGCGGTCTCGTCAAGCTGTGGTACGGCATTCCTGATATCCGTCACGGAAGACGAGATTCCTTGAAGAGCACTGCCAAGAGTGTTCAGGTGTTCGAAAGAAGCCGTTGTTGTGCGGTACGACCTTGAGCTGAGGGCCTGTATCGACACATTATTGCTATGGATCGACTGTTGCAAAGACTCTGGCTCGGTCCCGGTCAGATCTGCGAGGCGAAGGGACAATACTCGGGACAGATATCTGGCTTGTTCAGGAGTTGGCAAGCGGTCTTCCTCCTGATCTGCCGTTGGCAAATGTTGCCGGAGGAGATCGTAAAGCCCCTCGGCCATAGCGCAAACGGAGTCCTTTTACTTGGTTATGGCTTGATATGTGCTGGAGAAAGTGCATGACGAAGGGCAGACACAGAGATGCGGAATGTGGTGAGGGCAAAGACAATCTACGGCGAGGTTTTGGGCCCTCTTGTGCAGTATTTCCAACAACTCCGCTCACAATGATATTCGCCGCCATGCAGGTCGTGGTCGTCTATAGATATTTTGCAATGTCTTTACAGGTCGTTCGTTCATCGTGACCTCGTTGCGTCGCCCGAATCAGTAAACGTCACCTCGGTGACTTCTTTCGCGCCGTTCCTCCTCCAGAATATGCTTCATTTCTGCATCTTCGCGCTGTTTTGTGCCAAGCTCGAGGTCGGCCTCATCGACTTCTGCATCACTCTGGTCTCCAAGAGCATCGGCCAGTACTGTGTTCGGATCGTCAAACTCTCCTCTGAGTGCTCTTGCCAGGGAGTTGGGCTGGAATGCCGGCTTAGGGTTTCGCAGCGGTTCAGAGTCTTCGTCGGAACCGTACAGAGGCGAGGCCATTCCCGACTTGGATCCTCCACCGTCTCTACCTAGGTAGGCCTTGAGATTGGCATCTTGTGATGGTACTTTTCGTGGATGAGAGTGCGATTTGGATCTTGTCTGTTGACCACCAGCAGTCTTGTTCCGCGTTGCTCCTCTGCTATCCTCAACAACGGTGTCTCCTTGCCTCTCTGTTTCGGTATTAGGGCTTTCTTCGCCATCCTCGTCCGAGCCCTGGTTCGAGTCGTCTTTGAACATGTCGGCTGTAGATCGTCGCTTAGGGACACGAGGTTTGAAAGTACTGCCACTGGCATCATGTCGGTGCTTGCTGTTCCATCTCCGCACGGGAATGGTGTTCTGTGGACTATCCGCCGCAGTGATACTTCTTCTTGCAGCTCGTTCGGCCCGGAGCTCAGACCATCTTCTCAACTGATTTTGCAGGACATACCTTCCGTTACCACCCAGCTTCATGACAAGGAATTCACAGTGGTTTATGTTGCGTAGATCTTCAAAAAATTCAACGCTGTAATGATACCATGCCATCAGAAAGACACGACTGCACAAGCCATGAGTAACCAGCACGGCAACACTGGCCATGTCGTCTTCGGAGAATCTCCGCCAGAGCGAGCCGTTGAATGAGGTGATGCGGTCATAGACATCGGCGCCGCTCTCGCCATTGGGGATGCGGTAGAAAAAGTGGCCGTACTTGGCTCTCTCATGCCACAGACGTTCAACTTCATCAGTCTCGGGCTGGAAGTTGCCAAAGTCCTGTTCTCTCAGGCGGGGTTCCTCGTACACCTTGATGCGTGACCGTTGAAACGGGGAAGGAGCCGGCTCATTGGCACAAAGTCCGGATAGAATGCCTTCCGTGGTCTCTCGCGTTCTTCTATACGGGGAAATGAAGAAGTGTAGAGTGTCGTCGGTTCGAAGCAGGTCCCGGAGCTTACTGCCTGCTGAGAGAGCTTGTTGATGCCCTTCGGCGGTCAAGCCCACCTTGTGGTCAGGTGTGTTCTGGTGAATGGCCTTGTCGCGATTACCTTCGGACTGGGCATGCCTAATGATCAGGATCAGTCTTGGCTTTCCCATTATGATATGCTGGTCAACAATGCATCAGACCAAGGAAAGAGACACATGGTATACATACGATCCCCCACTAAGGATTATCGTGATAGCTACGGCGGAGGACACGGTCACTTGGCAGCACGTTATGACTTGGCGTTTCAGCCTCGCCGCTGGCAAGGCTGTGTGCTTGAAGGCTTTGTCGTTGTCCACCAGCAAAGGGCTTCTTCACCTTCAGCTTGTTCACTGATGTCTCGTCCGAGCACACCGACAAATGAAAAGGCATTACATTTATTATACGTCAAGTATCGTCAATCTTTCCCGGACCTCGTTGCTGACAAAATCTCACAAAACCAGCCAGCAAACGATCATCGTCGCTTGGCTTGATTAGCCGCAGGTGGAGAGCGCAAGTGCACTATTCCGGACCTTCTACGTCGTCGCGACCTGCCTCAAACACGGAGGTCGTGCAGAGCGTCATCACTGCTACCCCGTGAAAGAGGCACAGATGCTTAGCTCGTCTTGGTCCTCAGTTCCGTCCGCCAAACTTGATGTGACTACCAAGTGCTCCGTACAATCTGCTGTCCAACTCTGTTGTCAGCCACCGCGCAACATTAATCCTCCGGCCGAGCTGGCCTGCTTCCTTGCCCAGTCTAGGGGCCATATCCCAAACGAGACTCCATCTCGCAATAACCCCTCTGGAACAGTCGTGTGCAAAAGACTCGCCGAATTCGTCGTCCAGCAGATGCTGGCAAGCCGTTGCTAAGGAAGTTTGAGCGACTACGAATCTATGCTGAGCTTGTTCATGCAGTCGCAACGAACACGAGACACATGACCGCGTTTTTCCAACATAACCTCGTATTTCCCCAAGCATGCCACCTGGCGGCGCTGTTAAGCCGCTCGTGGCTTCGGAGAAATAGCCCGAAACAAACCCATGCCCGCCATGCTCTCGGCCCTGACATCTTGACGTGCAGCCACATTCCGACCTGTCTGCTGCTATGACAAAATAATGCCTTCGCATCGAAAGACATTGTTTCTAGCAACCTCTTGGTATGCTGTTGTGGGAGGGTTCATGCCGAAACAGTGAGAGTCGCGGAAAGCGCTCATCCTTGCAAGGCTCTAAACGCCCCTTCGCTTATGCTGAAGATCCATCTCCGATACTCGATAGTCCGGCTCAAGCGAGAGAAGCGCAGAGCTCGACTTCGCCGTCGCCCTTGTCATTGATGCTCACAGGCGAAGACTCCTTCGTGGTAGCGGGCAAGAAGCGAAATTGATGCCGGGGGCGCGCTGCATGCAGGGAAAAAGCCGGCGGAGCCTTGCATGAGCCCTCGAACTCCTTTGTGGTAAGGTTCATCGTCACTGCTTACTATTCACTCGTTACTCATTAAGCTCGGTATTCCGGGCGGAACTCCAGGACCAGGATGTTTTATATACGAGCTGGAACGATTAGAAGCGCAGAGCGTCACCAGTCCCTCCTGCTAGGACGCGTGCCGAATCCGATTCGAGCCAATAATGGATCTTACTAGGACTTGTAGAGGAGCTCGCACCCTGCTCTACGAAGCAAGCCGAATGTCTTGCCTCCAAGGACCAACGCTACTCATCACGGATTCAGCAACTCCCGTTCAACCGCCCTTCCCAATCCAGCACCCTCCGACATGAAATGCTTCAGCGCAACCCGCTTGTAGTAAAAGGTCACTACACCGCTTCCCACAAGCGTCAAGCGACTCAATCTTCAGGAGTTCCAACCCCGGTCTACCGCCGCCTGGTTCGGCAATCGAGAGAGGGGCACGGAGTAAGTAGTGCTTCACCGTTCTGGAACATGCATTAAACGAACAAATCCGCGATGAGATGGGAGCAAACTTTGCATGTGAAAAAGAAAAGCACGCAGACTGCATGCAGTAATACCGACAAGGTCTAACATCCTTGCCGTCGATCCAAGCGAGAGTGTGCACAGCGCGGCAGTTTCGCAGCGCTACCTGTTGATGCCCTGCAAGGAATCGGTAAGCCCTATGGCACGGCTCGAGCACTCTCTCGTGTGCGAAGCCAGTCACTTTTTACGAGTCCATGGCCCCCCTTCGTGGCAGACAGACAGATGATTGGCAATTTTGGGCTTACACCTCTCTGGCTTTCTACTGTCGCCATCCCACGGAAAAAGCTCGCTTGAGACAGACAGAGGCTTTTGCCACCAATTCTCTGACCTGACAAGCTGGCACACTTCTGCAAGCGAGTCCTGCTAACGCAACAGTGCATGCACACAAACCCACCTTTGCAAGACACACACACCCACAACCATTTCCCCCCTTTGTTGGGGCCTCCCCAGAAGACGTCATCACAGGCCCCCTCCGATTCCCTGCGCGGTCGAACCGATCCCTTGCCTCTACACTTGGAGACGAGTTTCAAGTCGGCTGCCAGCAGTTCTTCACCGACAGCTGCAGAGCCTTGGAATTCTCCCTCGGCTCGCACGGTCGCACAGTTGTACTCTGGCGAGCGGGCAATCTGAAGCGGTATAGCAAAAGTAAAAGCAAAGAACTTTGGAGATCCAAACGGGTTTGACAATTCACACGCACGATCCGTGGCTAGTCCACTACCGCACACCTCACACCTCACGAAAAAGACGTCGGTCGGCCTGGAAGAATACATGTGACAGTACAGTAGGTTCAGATGTAGGGACACACAATCGCAAGAAGGAACGGAGGTCGAACCCTTTCGAGAGTCCATTAACTATATAATATTTATATGTGTCAAAAAGATATAATATAATAACCTAGGCAGGCCCTCACACCAAGTAGACCCGTTCTCGGTGAGCTGTAGCTGTTTGTAAACAGCGTCCCCAAAACTTCTTCAATCCGCTACCCGACCCCGTCCTACAGGCCTTTTTTGTTGGTCTGGTGATACATGCCCATCCCCGTGACCGTCTGTGCGTCCTTGGTTGCCTATCTCTATCTCATAGCCCCAGGCAGCAGCCGACGACCTAGGTGCTCGTGCGTGCGTCTTCCTTCGATGGAAGTAGGGGCTTGTGGCTGTGTCTGTGTCTTTGTCCAGTTGTGCCGTTCGTCATGTCGGGCCATCTTGGTCTTGTTCTGGTGCTCTGTCTGGCTCTGTACATTAGCTGCCATCGCCCATCGCCCATCGCCAACCCATAGCATAGCAATGGCACGGGATAGCATAGCAATGGCACGGGATAGCATGGCATGGCATGGCATGGCATGGCAGTCCGCTGCGTCGAAGCAATTAACCACATTCAACCGCGATAACACGCATGTAGAGCTGAGGTGGGGGGAATATCCTCCGCATTGTCAACCTCCCTCCCCGTAGACCATCTTCCTCCTCTTTTTACCCTACTCCTACCCAGGAGGCCTGACATCCTCATACCTCCCTCTCCCAGCCTCAGTCCCACCTCCCCGCTCCCGCTCTTCCAGGCGCTGCTGCCGCGAGCTGGGCCTCAGGTGCTCCCTGTCCCTATCCCTGTCTCGATCTCTGTGGCTGTGGCTCTCTCGCTCGCCCTCCCGGCCGCTGCCTGCACTCTCACTTTCGCCTTCTTCCGCCGTTCCGCCACCATGCGGATGCTGCTGAAGCTGATGATGCGGATGCTGCTGTTGCTGGGACGGGCCCCTCGTCGCACTTCCCCCACTGCTCCCACTCCCACCCTGACTGCCATTCCCACTCTGATGCGTCATCTTCCTCTTCTTCGGGCTATTCTCCCACTCTCCCGTCGCTGCACCGCCACCACCACCACCACTAGAGGACCCACCGCTAGGCCCACCCTGCTTCCTCAGATGTCCGTGCGTTCCGCTCCCCACACTGCCATACGGGCTTCCCTGCATGCTCTTCCCGCTAGGCGTGGGCGGCTGCCCGGATCCCTGACCTGACGCGCCTGAGGTTCCTGTGGGTGGTGTCCAATGGTGGAAGAAGAGGCCGGCGCCGCTGCCGCCGCCTCCCGAGGAGGCTTGCGCCGATGCGCTGCTCGCTGACGTGTGTTGCTGCTGCTGCGGCTGTTGGGTGTCGTCGGCGGAGCGCAGGCCCCCAGCGGAGGAGAGGGTGGAGGCGTCGCGGCCAAAGACACCGGTGCCTACGAGATTGGAACCAGAGAGCGAGGGGTGCAGACCTTGGCCCGGGCCGCGCGACGCGGGCGCGAAGTCGATGGTGTTGAGTTTCGAGAGGGCGCTCGAGGGAGGTGCGGCGCCGGAAGAGAAGGAAGAAGAACGGTGTGACTGGGTTTGCGATGGTAGTGGTTGCTGCTGTTGGGAGCCGTAAGGGTTGGGAGGGATCATGCGGTCGCGCACGGCGGCAAGTTCTCGTTCGCGCTCACGCTCGCGTTCGCGGCGCAGATCGGGCGACGAGCCTCCAGCGGGCAGGAGGCCTTGTTGTTGTTGGCGCAGGAGTTGCTGTTCGTAGGCGGCGAGGCGCTGTTGCTCGGCGGAGGACTGCAGGGCTTGTGAATGGCTCTGCTGCTGCTGATGGCCGAGCGGTTGTAAGGATGGCTGCTGCTGCTGTTGCTGCTGCTGTAGCGTAAGGTTCTGCATCCAGCTTTGCGCGAATTCCATGGCCTGGCCCAGACCGGAACCAGCAGTAGCGCCACCCATGCCCGCAAAGATCAGCGGCACCATGGCGGGCGGCACGCCGCGCTCCAGTGACTCCCGTAGAATGTCGCGTTCGATGCGCCGCTGGTCCAAGCGGAGACCCTCCTGCCGCGTCTTTTCCTCTTCCTGTCTGCGCCGGTCTTCCTCCGCTTTGGCATGCAGCCAGCTCCGCATTGAGTCATCACTGGGCGCGGTAGTGGTGGACCAGCTGGACGGTGGAGCGGGCAACTGCCCGAAACTGGTGACGCCGCCACCGGCGGAAGAGTGCTGTTGGAGCTGCTGGGACGGTGGTGGCGGTGGCTGTGTCGGCGGGGGAGGCGCTACCGAGGAGGAGCGGTGGTGTGGATCGCTTGAGGTTGGTGTTGGCGGTGGCAGCGCGAAGCCGGAGCCTGTGGGCGGGGGAAGGCCACGGTGGTGGAGGGATGACGGTGGATGTGAATGGCCGTGGCCGGAGCTGCTGCTCATGGCAGCGTCGTTGGTAGCGCCGCCAATGCCGTTGGTGAAGAAGGAAGGCAGGTGGCGAGGCGACTCCGGTGGTGAGTACCGGTTGACAGCAGAGGAGTTGAAGGTTGGTTTGTAGTGGGATGGCGTCGAGGTGGAGTATTCATGGGTGTGACCGAGATGAGCGATGGATTTTATGTCGTGCTGCATCGGGGATGGGGGCTGCAATGCTAACAGCATGGATGCGGCTGTTGGCGGAGCAGAGGCGAGGCGTAGAGTTTGGTAATGGGTGGAGGGGTGGGAGATTTGAATGAGCGGATGGTGGTCGAGCTCTTCAGGTATGTATCAGGTTCATCCAGCAAGTGATGCTGGAATTGTTTGAGAAATGGCCGGGTGCCCTCGCGTGTAATCATGGGACAGAGGAGAATGTGTCAAAATGACGTCTGTGGTTTGAGAGTTGGTATCTCCAGTTGCTGCATGAATTGAAGCGAGAGTAAGATGGTGATGGCAGGGTACAAGCAAGCGAACGAGTGATTTCCAGATTCGAATTTGCCGGCGATGGGTTGGGGTTATTATGGTGGAATCGTAGCAGGGTTTCGCAAGATTGACCTGACCAGGGTCCGGTCGAGGCTTTCCAGATCTGATGAAGTGAGGCCCTTTGTGCTCTTCCGGGAGCACGCGAGACGGGCGAGTGGCTCGGGACCGGAGCAGCAACTGGAACAGGTCTGGGGTGGATGATGGAAGAGGCTACGTCCAGGGCGGGGAGTGGTAGAGTTTGGTTCTGCTGCCAGCGGGTAGTGCGGGTGGGAGGACCAGACGGAAACGGCTCTGGGTAGCAGGGGGTCTGATTTGGGCTGGAGGGTGGTGCAGAGATCGGGAAGCAGCAGCAGCAGGAAGAGGATGGGTGTGCAATGCTGCTTAGGTAGTAGTGGTAAGAAAACGAATCGAGCGAAACGATGGGGTTTTGGATCAAAGGCACACAAGACAGCTCCCAGAACGGGCACAGCGGCCAGTCGACGATTGTGCCCGTATTGGTTTAAGGTCGCACGTTTTGATCCACGCCACGACGACCAGGTTAGTACGGAGTATCCAACGTTAAAGGAGAAGCATGAGCAGGGTACCGGGGCGCAGTGAGCGTGCCTGGGTGCAATTCGTCATAACGGGAAGCCTTGTCGAGTGATTGGGCGTCAGACATGGCGAAAACGGTGCCGGTGTGCCAGGAAGAGGAAGGGCACCAGCGCCCATACTACACTGCGTACTGGGGGCTAGACCAGCACTACCCTTTTCCAGTAGGCCCCCAAAACTCCAGTGCGCTTCTGGAAAGACCTGAAACTCTTTCCGTCGGCGTTGCAAAGCTCTAGGACGCGGTGGAGGGAGCTGGAGCTTGGTGAATAAGCCGCGGCCAATTGGCGTAGAATGCCGGTACCCTTGTTGAATCTTTGGTGGCATTCGTCTTCGTTTGAGATGCTCGCTACCAACCAAGTGCAAAGGCTTTTTGCCATCGGCAGGACCGTGCCATACTCCAGTCGGTTTCGACCTGGGGCGACAGCATTCTTACGGTGCTCCTGGGGCTTGAGATGGTTATGGTTATGGTTCGGGGTATGCCCGGGCCCTTTTTGACGCCTCCTCGGTTAGGGTGCACTGGTCAACGGCGATGAATGCTCGTCTGACATTTGGGAGGCTGGGACAACCGAGGAGCAAGTCAAGGATACGCTTTGGTAGAGGACAGAAAATCCCTGTACGAACGTACTGCCCACGTTCTGCCGTCTTCTGTCACTTCTTGACTTGCCGCTGCCTCGTGCAGCAGGGATGGCCAACCACGTTGCCGGCGATCATTTTCCTGGAAAGCACCAGCCACTGACTATCACCACGTATGTGGCAATGCCGTGGTGCGTCATCCGCCACAATTCACTGGAGACTCGCTTGCGACTGCTGGTGCAGAGAGTTTGGAGATGCAAGTTTAGCCTAGCAGCTTGGACACTGTATGTGGACAAGCCGGCCAGAGGGCTTGTCTACGAGTCGGTGCGGCGGTGCACGCAGAATTGGCCTCAGCACTAGTCAAAGGACATCGCACCATCGTGACTGGCGGTGACCGTGCTGATCCCATTGTCATGGCAATAATAGACATGAAACACGAAGCTCCTCTCGAAAGGGAGCTGCGTCTCGAATGCTGCATTCCTGGAACACACGAGAAACATGCCTCGCCGATCGCATTCAGCCAGCGAGTGTTGGGGATACACCCGGCCAACCGCGCAGCGTGTGGCTGTGGCTAGTCTCTGCTGGCGTCTGATCGTCTGAGATACGGAGTACTCAAGTAAGTGACTCTACTCTTACAATTCGAGGACGGATCTGTGGCGTAGACCACCCACTGCCATAAACAGTCACCCACGGAAGGACGATTGAGCCTAATAGGCCGATGGTGTAGGCCGCTTGTTCCACGACCAGCTGCAGGGTCTGCGCCCGAGGCGCAACCTGCAGATGAATTCTCCGACGCTTGTGCCCAAGATCGGGCAGTTGATAGCGAATTGGTTGGGGACTGCTTTAAAGAGTTGGAGATGGTCATGTTCTAGGCGCTGGTAGCTAACCGCCACGGCTACCTGATACGAGGTGCTGCGAGGTGCTTTGCGCGTGTAACACCTCAACACGAGGGATCGATCTGGCGGTGCAGAGTTGAATCTCGGTAGCCTGTTGACTCCTGGCTTGCATGGTGGCTTCACTAGATGGACCACGCCCTGCATGCCTTGCTTTTACCGAGATATCGAGGCCCAGAAGCCAGAAGCAAGACTTTTGGCTACCCACAGTGTCGCTTGTTGAGTTTGGAGCCTTCAACGGCGCGTTGCGGTGGGTATACGGTGTCGTATTGGCTGAAAACAGTAGTAGCCACAGGGCCATCGATCTTGACAGGACCACAGTGATGTGGCTGGTAGGCTGTAGGCTGTGGGTTCGACCGTCGGAGGGGCAAGACTGGCCGGAACGTGGCTGCGTATTTCGCGATGGAGGCGGCAGGGTTCTTCCTTGCTTCCGCATTGCTCATCTCGGGGCAGATCACCGCCGACTGCCACTTTGGAGTTCCGGATCGAGGCCAGTGATGCAATATACGGATGTCCGCGCACGCCTTCGAGGAATCGGTTGGGGAGAGCTCAGGAAAGATCCCAGAATGCCATGTGCATGTCATCGACATTGTGACGCCAAACACGAGGCGATTGACACCACGTTTCCGACGGGGTCCGCACCACGTGAAAGCGTGGCACAAGCGACGAGATCGGCGGTGCCCGTGTCATCATGCCGTCAAACACGAACTCCGGATGAATTGTGTGAACCTGGCGATCGGGACGGCAGATCGAGCCCTGAGAGTGTGAACAAAACTCCCCGCCCCGGTTCGATTGGTGTGGCTCGGTTCAAGATGCAGCTGGTGAGTCGGATGGTACAAGCCACCAAAGTGAAGCTGCCAAGTTGCTAACAGCACTGACAATACGATGGCCACCGATAGGAACTTGATGACAGCACTTTCCCATTCTTCGTGTGTGCCGCTGTTAATGCTGGCTATGGGCAGTGACCCTCCATCAACCCTGCCTCCGGCGCAAAATACTACGCGTACCTCCTCGGTGGCTTTGACGTTTCCCGAAGATTGCAACCTCAACCGTGCCGCTTTATTGCTTCACTACCGATGATGGGCGGTGAAATACCGAGGCATCATTGCAATGCCCTGTTCGAACGCCTCTGACGTTCATGCAAACACTTGTTAGAGGGAGCAAAATCGGATACCAGTGACCTGCCCTGCCCTCCATTCCCTGGGATCAGTGCCATCTGTAACGATTTTGTACCTTCGTCAAGCAAGAGGTGGCTTCTATTGCACTGTTCTGTGCGCGAGATCTACGAGTGACTGCCTACCAATCTGTACATCCAGGATCGATTACTTCCATCCCTTCTCATTCACACTCTTCCTCTACCCACGCATCATAGCAACTAACCTACAGCACCCAACATATCCCAGCAGTACACCTCACAAAGCCGCCCGCATTCACGACAATGGCGCTTCCCATAATAGCCAGGTCCAACAAACGTCGCACAAAGCGACCTCTTTGTGCCTCTCTGTCCCAAATGCACCATACATGGGCCAGAACACAACAAAACCTGGCCGAAATCGCTAAAAGGTCCAACGACAATACCTGACCAGTCGACGTTCGGCCCTCCAACATCTCGATAAGCCCTACTACAACATGGACAATCCACGCATCTGCCGCTCCTGCTCCTCCGTCAGCCATGACATCTCATGCTGCCCAGAGAAGTCGCCGTTGAATGTTTCCAATGCCATGAAAGGAAAGCCATGGCACCGTTCGAAATCTCCCCGTTCCGCCTCCCATCAACCGGACTCTTCAAAGCAGCCACGCAGCAAGTCAACCATGTGCCAAACGGTCTGCAAGGCCTGGGGCAAAGTGACATGCCACTGGGGCACGGGTGTCTGAGAAGAGACAGGTAGTTCTCTGGCTATCCGGACCACAGACAGTCCTATCTTCTAGACCAGATCAAGCGAGTTGACCGAAATCGATGAGCTTAATGTAGATTTCAAGCCAACAACGCTGCTTCTTCTCGTGTTGCAGTGTACACCATCTCTGAGCCTCGGGCTTCGAACGTCCTACCCACCAACTCCCTGTCGCTGCCGCGTAACAAGTGCTTGCTTGCAGAGCTCGACCAAAATGTCGACTGTGCATTTACTTACAGACACTTTCTGAACACTGCAAAAACTCTACAGATAGAACTAGCAGCACCTTGGTTCACAATTAGGTATTAGGTATTAGAAATAATATCCCCCGGATGAACCCAGTAATTCATGGGACCCCCAATACCTATATCTCTTTACCTGTACATGTACTAGTACCATTTTCACTTTTCCCAAACGCCGCGTACTATGCTATGCTACACATCTCATCTCAATACTTGTTCGCACGCGTACAGTCAGCTAGCCGTCTGAATCGGACGCTTTATGCATTGACGCCTCTCTCTCTCTCTCTCTCTCTCTCTCTCTCTCTCTCTCTCTCTCTGCCTTTCGTGATGCATGTGCCGCCGGTACCTTGCCCTTGCACCATCCAGGCAATCAATGCCAGTAAAGCATCGTATGCATACTAATCTTTCCCTCTCACTGCGCTCGCCGTCTACCTCGCGTGTGTGTATATTTCTTCCATCATTGCTTCATCACGAATCGCCTCACCTTTCACACCATGCCCTCTCTCCTGACAGAGACGCACATGACCATTGATTACCACCATCCCCATCCCTAATCCCTTTCCACGAAATAACCTCCGCCATCCCGCCGTTCTCTCCTCCCACCGGGTCCGCAAGCCTCAAGGCCCCTTCTCCACCTTCCGCCGCTGCACCTTCCACTCCGCCCTCGCGACGCGCATGAACAGATCCTCATCCTTGATCGGCACCCAGCTTGTGAGCACCTTCATTGCGCCCTCAAAGTCGCTTTCTAGCAGAATGTCGCGCATGCCGTCGATCAGCGCCGCCGACGTCGCGTGCAGCACATCGAGCGTCGTGCCGAAGTTTTCTTTCTCTTCATTCGCGGCGCTGTCACCGTTCGGCGCGTCCGCGGCAGCCTTCGATGCGCTCGTCGGCTTCGCTGGTTCAGAAGCCTGCGACGTGTCATCTCCGAGGAGCATGAAGACGTCCCAGACCCGGAGTTGTGCTGGAAAGGGTATCGAGTAGTTGAACAGGGTCAAGTACCACCTCGTGCCGTAAGCGGTCGGTGGGATGCCGGTGTCTACGAGTTTCTTGGCCACCTCGCCCTGGCCTAGCCATTTGTTCTCGAAATCAGCCAGCGCCTCCATCAGGCCGCCGAAGCCGTGCTTGTACAGCTTTTCGAGGCCGCGTAGCTCCCAGAGCCGGACCAGCATCACGAACGCCATCTCCTCGCTGTAGTACGAGAGTAGTGTGGCAGCGAGCGCCGCCATGCCCTGGACGTACCCTGTCTCCGGGAACTGGAGGGACATGGCGTGGAGAACCCGGAAGAGCAGGCGCTGACCGCCACGGTAACGCCGGCGGAACATGATATGGCTTGATATGGTGCGTGGAACATCAATGTCGATTTGTACGTCGTCTGGCGACCCTGCAGATTGGTAGTCGTTGAACAAGGTTATTAGCTGACTATCCGTCAAAGAAGCAGCGCGCTTCTTGGCAGACGCGGACAGAAAGGCGTGCCATGCTGTGGCGCGCCACTTATCAGGTATGCCCTTCCAAGTCCGCTCGATCAGTTTCGAAGAAGTAGTGTCGAAGGTGAAGGACTGGCCACCGCCAACGGTGGAGGTGGAAATTGGTCGCGCCATTTTCCGCCATTTCTCTTCGCGCTCGACCTCTTTCCGCCGTGCTCGAGGGTCATCGTTAGCTGTGGCATTGGGATCTTTGGCGTCGAGATGATTAGATGCCGAGCGTGGAAGGGTCAACATGTCACCCGCATCGTCCATTAGCTTCCGGTCGCGGGAACGGAACGTGCTGTGCCGGGAGATGGTTTTGTAAGCAGAGTGTGATGAGCTGGGCCGCTGCTTTATTGATTGTTGTGAGGGAGATGAGGGTAGCATATTAGACCCCGAGATAGTCCGTACGGATCGCATGGAGCGGGTGGTCGACGGTGTGCGACGGATGGTATGCTTCCGCCGAGGAGCTTCGGAGGCTATCTGTAATGAAGTCGTGACACGCGTGAGCCCCTTAGTAGTCGGCGTGCGAGTGAGGCCTTCGGCGGATGGGGGGTCGGGCTTGGGAACAATGAAACCGTAGCGGTCGACGTCAGCGTTGTCAACATCGTTCCAGTCTTCTATGCCACCAGCAAGTTCATTGTCTTCGCGGAGGACATCTCGTTGCATGCTGGAGACGCGAGACCCATTTCGTTCCGAGGCAATATCGCTGTGAATGTCGGTGGCAGAGTTGCCTCGGGACAGGGAAGCCACGCTTGATGCTTCTGTCGTGGTGCCGCCGAGGGCATCCTGCCATCGCAGGCCGATCTTGTTGGCCACTTGAGATTGGGCATCGCTATCGTACGGTACTTCGGAACCATGGGCGTAGAATAAGCGGACTTTTTCAGACAACATCTCTTCATCAGTTGACAGCACCTTGGCAGAAGGCCTGTGTTGCGACTGCGACTGGCTTTGCGTTGGAGATTGTCGGGGCTCTTGCTGTATAGAACCATGCTCGGGTTCGTCCTCAATCGATTTCAGACCGGGCGGTTTTTGTCTCGAAGGCGAGACCTTCCTCCCGTCAACCAACATGCTTCCTCTCTTGGAGAACTTGATATGGTCCTCTGATAGATCTTCTCCGAAACTGCTCGATGGAATATTCAAGGCTAGCCAGCTCTTCGATGTAGGTGCCCTTTCGTCTTCGGCCACTTTGATTTGTGGAACGCTCGGGGTGGAGGATATACTGGTCGGGGAGTTTAACGACGTCTTACTATTGCGTACGGAACCATTCCCAGGTTGGAGGGTGTCGCCGTCATGTGTCCTGCACTGCTCTGTGAGATTGAGAGTGTTGGTTGAGGCGGGACTGCGAGCACCGGTCGCAGGGGGAGAAGACACGAGCTGAGGAGAGCCTGAGGTGGTGACATAGATCGGCAGCGGCGCCGGGGCCGTCTCAGCATAGGGCAGACCATGTAGACTCTGGCGGAAGGTCGCGGTCTTAGGTTCAGCATCCATGTTGGAGGTGACGGGGCCGATTCGGGGCCAATACGAGGTCGAGTTTGAACGTTAAGACCATGGCGCGCCTTGCCATTCGCCCACACCTGTTGTCTCTTGACAAGTGTAATTGCTTGACCTCCCTGAGTTGAATCCTCGGTGTCTAAAATGTCAATAAACCAGCGACGCGGTGGCGCGTGTGCTCGACTCCGCGTAAAAAGGAGAAACGCAGGGTCCATCTATCGAGCCCGCAAGCGACGTCACGCGGAGATGAACAAGAGACAGGAAGGTTCCACCTCCATTGTGCTGGTACCGAGCCGTGCATCTAGGGCAGATTGTTCTGCGCCTAGTTGGAGCTTATGAAGGATCTCGATCATGCTTCGCCTTTTTGACGAAATCCTGACGGAATACGGAGTAAAGGGAGCCCTAGCGGGCCGAAGGCGCCCAGTAGCCCTGTAGTATCACGCCTATCGGCTTTCGTGGCACAACCGGAGCTATAGCCAACACGGCTGATCTAAGGGGAGCAACTCGTTGCATGCCGCCTGCTTCCAGCGTCTGAACTATCTCATCTTGTATTGTTCACAGCAACAGAAGGAGGCAGTTGCTACCAGACGTACAGATGACCTCCTTGCTTGCCACTCAGCACTATCCAGTGCCTTGGCTTGTCTCAATCCAGGCTCTCCATAGTGCAGATTGTCAATTTCACCGGAAAGTATTTCCGGAAGCCTGTCAAGCAATAATGGCGAGACCTCTGTTCAACGAGCCGGTTGCAAACTGGCCAGTAGTCGAATCTGTACGGTGCTTCGAGGTGCCCAATCCATTCCTACACTGCACAGCGTGATGATATAGCTACCAGTAGTCATCGGGAGCGGAGTGACTGACCCGCTAGCTGCACCTACGCCAAGCATGCGGTTATCGGCTAGAAAAAAAGTTCTGGGTTCCTCGCATATATCATCGTCGCAAGTCTGGATTCGACCCATATCGTTCGCAACAAGGACGACATGGCAGTCACGGACCTCCAAACCCTTATCGACTCCCTCGCATCGGCGACAGCTGTCCTAGCCCAAGATTCAGACGCCTTCTTGCCCCCTCAAGATGGAATATCCATGCTAGACTTGAAGAATGACCTCCTCCTCTCCTACCTGCAAAACCTCGCTTTTCTGATCCTGTTCAAACTTCGCAATGGCGGTACAAAGCTAGAAACAGAAGAGGATGATGGCTACAAAACCGTAGTTGAAAAGCTGATCGAACTTCGAGTCTACCTGGAGCGCGGCGTGCGGCCCATCGAACAGCGCCTGAAGTATACCATTGACCAATACCTACAAGCCGCACACAACCAGAAGCAAGTTCGCCCGGCTCGTACCTCCTCAGGCCATGTCCGTGACCCCGACGCCTCCGAAGACTCAGACTCGGACTCAGATGTCCGGGGCAACCCCGCCTTCGACCCTACCAGCACTGCCGATGAAGCCTCCCAAGCGCCCGGCCTCGCATCCCTCGCTACCTCACTACAGAAGTCTACCACCGCCGACAAGCCCTCCAAATCTGCCAGCAGTAACGGCATCTACAAACCCCCACGTATCAATCCAACAGCCATGCCCTCCCTCGACCCAGATGCGCGCCCCGCCGCAAACCGCAAACGCACCTCCGCCCTCATGAACGAGTACATCGACGACGAGCTCTCCAGCGCTCCGCGAGCCCAGCCCTCCATCGGCAGCAACAACACCATCGTCGACCGCGGCCGCGGCGGCGTCTCCCAGCGCGACCTCGAGAAGCAGCGCGAGCGCACCGAGTACGAAGAACGCAACTTCACACGTCTGCCGGGCGAGAGCAAGGCCGAGAAACGCAAGGCCCGGAAGCGGGGCGAGGGTGAGCGCCGGGACATGTTTGGCGGCGAAGACTGGACTGGCTTGGGCGGACTGGGTGACCGCATTGGGCGGAGCGTTACGGGTGGAGAGAAGGAAGGGAAGTTGAAGCGGAGGGAAAAGAGGCGGGCTACGGAAGACGCGCCCCGAGGTGACGGGTTGCAGATTGGAGACAGCTTCGAGAAGAGGCGGAAGGTACTGGCTGGAAGGGCGGATAGAAGGTCGGGTAAGAGGAGATGAAGTGGCGTATCTAGAACGAGGGGAATGGCTGCACGAAAGATACGTTGGTCAGCGAAGTGTTGTTTGGATCGGTCATGACTTCGATTCAACCTTTCTCTGCCAGCATAGACGAGGTCTTCTCGCACCTGTTCGAGTACCAGGCCCCGCCTATACTCCCCAGCCGTCGCTGACGGGCAGGACCTATCTGTACACTCACGGACCATTCTCCTCCTCTGCCTCCCACTCGTCCCCTATTGCACAGAACTTGACACGGCTTGCTCCGGCACACGACTGCACCGCTCCGCTCCGCCCGCCACATTTCTACCTATCCACAATATGGCCCCCAAGCCCTTCCCAAGCCATCTCAAGACCGCGCCTCGGTAATCACGCCCTCCCACTCCCTAGCCTTGATGTAGTCGAGCGTGCGGAAGAAGTGCCGCTTGGGGTTCTCGAGGCTCTGCTGGTTGCCGCCCTCGGCGTTCGACGATGACAGGTTGCTGTGGATCAGCTCGATCAGGCCGTTGATATACTTGGTCGTCACCTGAGGGTCCATCGTCAGTATGATCCATACATCCGGTACATCCGGGCCATGTGAAAATGGAATGGAATTTGGGGATGGAGAGGGGAAGGATTGCCCTTACTGTCTCGTTCTGCTGGTCAAAGTAGTAGACGTAGCGGTTGAGGATCTCCACGAACAGCTCGACAGACACGGCGGTATCCATACACGCGTCAGCCACGCGCAAGGCGCGCTGTAGGCACTCTAGCACACGTTTACCGTCGCGGTAGAACTGTGGTTTTGTTAATATCTGCTGTCACGGTCGAAATTGAAGGAAAGGGGGACTTGCATTTGCAGGATCTTCCTCCTTGCCAGGGATTTCGATTGCCCACCAAAGATGACTAGCCAAGTACACTGCTCTACACTGATCCGGCTTCTTCAGCAATTTGCTGCCGTGTAACGCTGCCTTGGTGATCAATGTGTCATAGTTCTCTTTACCGAAACCCCTCGATGTCTGTAAGGCACCTGCGATTATGCAAACAGCCTGGAACTGCGCACGAGAGTCGGATATCGAGTCCTCGTAGATGGTGAAAGCTTGTGCCAGGAACTCGTAGGCAAATTCTTCGAAGCCGCACTGGTCTGCAACCTGTCCACATGCGACGAAGAGGCGCAGGCACAGCTCTGCGGCAGCGGGATTGACCCGCGTATACAGCTGCGAAAGAGTCTGGTGCATAAATCGATACAGTGTAGAAGACTGTGACTGCCAGTTGTCTTCGAAATGCTCACGAGCCTTGAAGCGCCGTGCGAGTTTCAGAGAGGCTGTGAGTAGGGCTGGGGTGGTATACTTGATGCGCTCGTTGCCAGCCTCGAACGCCTTACGTGTTTGCTGCAGTAGCTTGAGTTGTGTATCGTTGTCTCCGCCTTGGATGAAGTGTACAATTCGCGCAAGCCAGCCCTGTTCTTCAACAATCTCGTCCGAATCACCACGATTACGATTGCCTAGGCCTGGGTAGCCAGCGGGCTGTTGCACACCTTCCTTGATTAGAACACGCAGGACGGCGAGGACGCCCTCAAGATGTTCAGGCGTCGTTATCTTGACTCGGTTGCGCAAGATGCTGCGGGCTAATTCGCCAGCGACCGATCGTCGAGTCGTGTATGTTTGTGATTGGAATAGTGGTAGGTAGTGGGGTAGGGCGAGTGCGGTGAATAGAGAGAAATATGATCGGATTGGCGCGAGCAGCAGGTTGAGCATGTTGGACTGTGTCGCCGCAGAATGTAGATCCGCCGAGTCCACGTACTCGGCGGTCTTTACGCTTGCATATGCCAAGACCTGGTCGACATATTCCAAGCGATCTGGGTAGATGCTGAGAGCCAATGTGGCGAGAGAGGTGAGGAGAGCCATTGTATCCTGGATTGAAAGGCCCCGAGTCTTTACCAGATTGATGACTTGTTCGTAAAAGATCTCGTACAGCTTGACATCGCCAACTCCTTTGGGAGCATCTCCATTGACAGCTTCAGGGGCTTTCTGAGCATCTGGTTGTGGTTGCACGTCGGGTTGAGACTCAGCAGGTGCCTCATCTTCGGGCTTTGTGTCCGTCCCGTTCGTTTGAGAATCACTGGGTTCGGAAGTGACTTCGGCCTTCTTGCTCTGCTCAAGTGATACTTTCTCTAGCAGCTGCGTAATGGCATCTTCCTCGGCTTTCTGTTTGTCTTCGGTAGACGTTGACTCGGTTTCGCGCTGTGCATAGGAGGATAATCGGTCCATTAGTCCGATCACAATCTTTTTCATGTCGACGTGCGGGTTCAGGCGCGCGATTGCCGAGAGCATCTCATCCAGCGTGTGCAGGTGGAAGTCATCCGGAAAGACCTTGGTAATGACTTCGAGGAGGTACTCCTGCGCCAACACGTCTCGACACTGAACAACTTGCTCGAGCAACGGGTGGATAATGATCGACTTGTAGGCATCCAACTCAACCATCTGACTCAACCTGACCAAGTTGCTGCCAACTAATAGCTCGAGTTCTCTTCTCTCCTGTGTGCGCTGTTCCCGTTCCCTGGAATGACCTTGGTGCTGCCACCGAACCCAAAGCTTGTTCATCTCGACAAAGTTAGTAAGGACAAAGTTGATTGAATCTTGCATTGTCCCTTGCGGCCCATCCTCGGTGGCTGTGGGCAGATTGTCCCGGGCCTGCCCCATGAGATAGTACCTTAAGAACAGTCCACGAATGGGATGTTGCACACCGCGGCTCATCTCCATCATGTCTTTCATGATTTCTTTGACCGGCGCGTCCTCCACGCCCATGTACACTGTACCCACGGTGATCATCAGGTACAGCCGGGGTATTATATTTCCGGCATATTGTACAAGCTCGTAGAGATCTGCAAGGTGGCTGACGGGATGGGAGTCGCGGAGATATTCGGAGAGGTGCCTGAGTGCATCGAAGACAGCCATATACAGTTCATAGTACTGTTTAGGGCTTAAGCTGGGGCTCCGGAGCTCGCTGACAAGCGTTGACCTGGTCAAATGGTCAGTCTACTGCTGGCAGTGACGGAAGCCTTGGGACGTCGGCGACGATTCTGGAGCACATACCCGCACTTCAAGGCGTCCATAAGTTTCCCCGGTGTTTCTAGACATCTCTGTCCGGTATGTCAGCATACGCTCACATTATGTGCTGTCCTACCTACTCGCATCTGCTGCGACTGAGTTCGAACCACAGCCAGCGCCTCCTCCAGCAGGCGACCCTGGTCCTCTGCAGTCGTGGGGCTCGTCGCCATCTTGGCTAGGAACGGAGCCGTCAGAAACCAAGGTTGCGCCTATGGAATCTCAGGTTGAGCAGTCGAGAGTAAGGTATGTCATCGACGTTGCAGTGCGCTGAATCGCGAAGGCGCCGGAGCGTAAGGCTGCACAATCGAGGCTGCCCTAACCCCAAAGAGGTATATGAGCTCAAGCGGACTTTAATTCGAACTTCAAGCTACCTTATGCGAGCTATGCTCAAATCCTATACCCTGATCGTCAAATCTTCGAGACGTCGTAAGGAAATATCAGCGCTCTCTTGGGTGTTGACAACCTTCTCATCGCAATTCGTATGAACCTCAAAGGTATTTCTCCGCACTATCCACGCTGGGCTCGACATTCATATGAGACCTCAACCACCGATGCTGTGCCATGAATCCCCAACATCCAACGCATATCTCAATAATATATGATGAGATCGACTCGACAGCTATGTGTAGGTTGCATGGCCACGCACACAGTGTTCCAAACTCTGAACTCGTTCTCTCGTCACCTTCAACTTGACTAGCACATCTATCCGCCGCGGTGGATCGTTCAGGGCCACCTTCACCTGCATGGATTTGCAGCATCAGGACTCCGAGATCCCATCCCTCTTCTCTCCATCTCTACAGGTTGACTGGAGGTGTCACACGAATCGGATGTCTATCTAAGGATTACGATTTGTGCCGCATTGTTATATTCCATCCTCCGTTTCATTGACTTGTGCAGAGGTGGAAAAAGAGTATGAATACCCCAAGGTGTCCTTCAAGGTCGGCGTGCGCGCTTCGGCCGCCTTCGAATAGACCTTCCAAGCGCACTTACGACTCCTCGGGACCTCAAGCCGGTGGTCGAGCAATACGGTTCTCTCTTATCGAATCTTGATATCACGCTTGTCGCTCGGCTTCAACTACTTCGTCTACCCGGCGTTGATAGTTTTGAAAGCCATGCGAGTGTTTTTGGGATGCGACTATTTTTTGAGATTCGCCGAAGTCTACAGATCACATAACATCAACTGACGTATCTGGATATGGTGCTAAATTCTTGCGCTGCCCAGACAATTACACTTCCACACGATTGCAGTCTATTGGTTTAAGAGATCCCAATGCTTTCCATTGGCAGCTCTATACCATCTGAAATCGATGGACAAGGCCTGTCCACCTTCCAGGCAGTGAAAGCTTAGCGAGATCTACGTTCCGGCTCATTGGGCATTCAAACGATCTTGAACCTCCTAAAGTGTGCATAACATACCATTGGTACCGGAAGCACGACCAGTAATCGATGTGCCCGGTTACCTTAGGTGAACTCGATTCTTCCACGTGAAAGAGGAAGGGTTCGTGTTAGGTTTCAAGGCTTGGCATGCTCAATGACTATACAGCCGCTTGAAACGGCAGATATCAAAAGATGCGTCGGCTCCGAAAACCTCCGCTGTCTAGAATGTGCGCTTCTTCGAACGACGAAGCATGGACCTTGGTTACTCAAGGTAGTTACCGGGTTGCCGGCTTGCAGGAGACTTCTCTGCTGGTCTCATCTCTCTGGAGGCAAAACACAAATCAACGGATCAACGGCATAGGCAGGGAGTTACGGAACAATGGACCCGAGGAACGACAACAATAAGGCCAGCACCCCGACTCGCCCGACTCTGCGATCCGAAATCCCCTTTCACTTCATCTTTGAGTTTCTGACCGCGGGAGCTTCCCAAGAGCCTAAATTCTATTTACCAATGACGCGGAAGACTTGGTTGTCCGTAGGCCAAAAGTCGGGCGAAAGTCGGCGCCACAACCCAGAAAAGGCAACACGATCAGGCATCATGGACACTTAGAGACCGGCCCGCCCAGACCATCTACAACAAGGCTACAACAATTCCGGTATAATAAAAATCCAGTCATCAGCATCTCTTCACGAGCAATACTTCGTATTTTCCATATCTGGATCACCTTGTGAGGGGCAAGATGTGTCAAGTGAAAGTCTAATGTCCTTAAGATTGAATAGCAGTGGCGGGTTCTCAGTCCGTGTAACGCTTATCACTGCCGTTCGTGCCCATGATATTGTTAGACTCCCCGCTCACGAGGGTCGCCGCCATGTGTGCTGTCGTCTATATTTGTTTCAAAGCCTACATTGCTGAAAGCACAAGCAATGGAATACTTCTTGGTTGAAGCTACCGGGATTGATGGTGTGACTCGCTGACATTGACACAAAACACAGTTCGAACTTAAGGAGAACAACAGACTGTAATGGAGCTCTTCTATCTGGAAGAGAATACCGAATATTCCACATCGGCAGCAAGCCATGCTGCACCTGGAGAGCAGGAACAAATGGCCACCAACTATAACAGCCTGCTGCGACAGCAACTCCTGGGCCTTCCTTCGAGAGCACACACATACAATACTGTGGTGAAGAAACGTAAAGTCCGTGCCAAAGGCCGCCGACCAAAAGAGCCGCATACTGTCCGACGTCGATCCGGAAACACTTCCCCGTTGGCAACCGCCAGCCGCACTTACTCCAACATGAATCCCATGACTTTGCTGGGATCTGGACGTCTCGATCCCTTCAACGTATATCCTCAAGACAACTTACCGCACTTCCTGCATTCTGTACTCGATCATACGCTCAACCATGTCTTAAACGCCTACCTTGTCAGCGAACAGCCTCAGCATGGCCACAAAATACGGTCTGTCCTCATGCAGGAGGTCATGTCCGACCCGCTGACATGGTACCCCGTCATGATGTCTGGCATCACCCACTACGCCTTTGTGCACGCCCAATCTCGGGCGCAAGGTTCTCCAGACGACCTACAAGCCAGCAGATCGCATCGTTTGCTCCGACTTTCCTACAAAACGCAGACGATGGCACACGTTCGCGCTGACCTTCAACGCAACAATGGCGTTCCGTCCGATGCAGCGCTTCTGGCGATCTCCACCTTGATTGCGCACGGATCTTCCGCCAGCGATGAGCTTGCTTTTACGCAGGTTCATGAGCCCGCGCAGATGCGGAAGGCGTTTGGCAAAGGAACTGACATGCATTATTACAGCAGTGTGAGCTTCGAATACGCGCACTGGTTCTCTCTTGTTCGCTACGTCAACAAGCAGCGCGGTGGGTTACAAGGACTACATTGGCCAATCATGCAGCAGGCCATGTTACTTGTGGATGGCACAGTTGCGTGGCGGCGTCTTGAGGCTCCAAACTTTGTTTCCATGGCACCGACGAGCGTCTTTATCGGTATGGCGGTGCACACTCCAGACGACGAAGCGAACGCTCAGATGAGAAGGATGTTGGGTGGCCTTCCGCTCGTTTGGAGGACAAGTCCCGAGCAGCCCTTCGCAGGCCTGTATCAGTGTCTGCAGCATATGAGGACGCTAGTGGTCAGGTACAACCAGTATCAGCGCAGGCTGACCTCCCGAAGAGCTGGAGCGAAGCCAGACCTGAATCTGATCTTTTACACAAGGTGTCTGATCATACACGATATCCTGGAGCTACCCGTGCTACCAACGCAGGGCGCCGGCATGAGCGGAATCTACGAGGTGGTCAGACACGCCGCACTGGCCTTCATGCAGCTGGTCCTCTTCCCCATCGCAAGTTCCAACGACACCCCCCGGAAACTGCTGCAGCAGATGCTCCCGCTCTTGAAAACCTGTTGCAAATCCCTGGCGGACGACACCACGGACCCAGACCTTTACCACCGTAGTAGCGCGACGCAAAAACCGAAGGAGGACAACAACAACATCACCGTGTCCGGCAGTCTGATGCTCTGGGCCTGGATGCTAGCCGGCATGCTCGCCTTAGAACATCTACAAACGAAACAAGAATATCACTTCATGGATGAGCTATCCCCATTCGTGGAACACATGGCCATCAAGCCCGCGAAATCGTCGTGGTCCATGGTCAAGTGCGTGATGGAGACGTTTCTGTGGCTGGAGAGCGAGTGTGACGGTGTGGGGCAGCAGTGGTGGAACTATGCGTGCTTGTGGTACGACGCGAGGGGGAGAGAACGGAAGGAGATCTCGCAGGCCTCCGTTGGCTGAAGGGGAAGGAAAACCTTTGTAGGGTTTTTGGGCGATGGGGAGACCATAACCTTCGCGGCAAATCGCGAAGTCTTGGGACTCCTGGGCCTACTGGTCGGGACAGTCCTGCTAGCGATAATACCTACCACTTATCACTGCACATTCTTGCGCGGTGTGTATATTCCAACGTGGCAAGTTGCTCGAGCGAGGGTCTCAACACAATTCATCAGGCAGTGAAAGCTTGGCAACGACTTCACTCTATCGTGCGAAAGCCTCGTTTACAGGTTCATAGGTTCCGACCTGCCGTTGCAGGTTGCAGGTTATGCCAAGCTACGAAGGAACCGAGCTATTACTGCTATGCCGCCCATCATGATCTCAGATAACACATTGACTCATATCCACACACTCTTGCACCCCAAGCAACGGGCTCTCAAAAGGCCGTCCTCCCCGTCTTCACCGCCTTCAACATGCCCACATCCGCCATCTTCTTGATCAAGTTGAACAAGCTAAAATCACAGCCCCTCCGCATTACCAGACTCAGCGTCACGGGCACCATCTCCTCGACCAGCGTGACGTTGCTAAAGTACGGCACCTGGCCGATCGGCACCGTGAAGTCGGCGCAGCCGGCGAACGAGCAGAAACTCACGCCGTTGGTCAGCGTGTCGGGCGGCGTGTAGTTCAGGTAGGTGGCGAACTCGTTGTTGGCGAGCAGATCCTCCTCGCGGTAGCTGGGGAGGCCGCCCGTGCCGATGTCGTAGATCCAGAGCGCCGAGTCGCCGCACTTGTCTGTTGCGCTGTCAGACTGCTGCTGCAGACCCAGGAAGTCGTCGTTGAACCACTCGCTGAAGGCGCGCTTCACGCCGAGGGCCTCATCGTACATCGCCTCGGTGGTGTTGTCCTGGGTGCGCCTGATCCAGCCTGGGCGGCGGGCGGGGTCGACGGGCGGGAAGCGGCCGTCGTAGAGCTGTGCCCAGGTGTCGACGAGGGGCCTGCCGACCCCAACCCATTGTGTGTATTGGTTGAGGAGCGAGGAGGCGTTGTTGCGCAAGGAGCTGTTGAGGACGGCTGGCTCGTCACTGTCGAGGATGATTTGTGTGAGGTTCTGGTCGAGCTGGGTGAGGCCGAGGAGGGTGGTGAGGTTGGCGTAGAATTGCTGGACCAGGGCATCGGCTGCCGGGTTGCGGGCAGGGAGATACTCAGGAGTGTAGATGACGGTGCTGGGGAGGGGTGGGTCTGCTTCGAGGCTCAGCGGCTCCAGGCCGTTGACAGAAGTGTCTTGATGTAGCTCGGCCGTATACCAATGTTGGGCGAAATATGCGAACTTGTACGGGTCACGAGCGAACACACCTGCGGTGTCTTGGGCGGCACCTAGTGGCTGTACACCTTCCAGAGAGATCATGCCTTGGCTGGGACGGTTGCCGTACGTGCCCGACACCGATGCCGGCCTTCTCACTGAGGAACCAGTATCGGAGCCGATAGCATGGTCTAGCCAGTCGTACGCAGCGATGGAGCAGCCTCCGCCGGAAGAAGATGCCGAACAGGTAAGCCATTCGTCACCTCGAGGGTTGAACGGGTACTGAACGTCGTACCAGTCCCAAGGATCGGCGCCTGATGCGAACTGAGCAGTCTTCTGCTTGCCGACAAGTTGGCCGCCGAGCTCGACAATACGTTGAATAGAGGGTGCTGTCTCGTCCGCAATGGGCGTGATAGATGCCCATGCTCGGCTGCCGCCAGCGGTTTGTAGACCTTTAATATCGTACAGATCCTTGATTGAGACTCTCAAGCCGGCAAAAGGCCGCGGGTCTGACCAACTGTAGATCCTTGAAGGCACCGGGATGAGCGGATCCTGATACTGAGCTACGTTGACCGGGAATGGTTTGTATGCATCCTCCGAACTGGAATCAGGGTAGGCGCCGAAGACGAATGTGCGGTACCGATCTTCGTACAAACGGTATACCTTGGAAAATGTGATGGTGCCCTCGGCGATGCTTGCAATATACGGGCCTGGCTCAAGTGTATCTAGGCCTTCAACAACATCTAGGGGACCTCCGGAGCATCCTGGGCCAGCGATAGTTATCTTGGCGCCCATGGATGAGAGGGATGCGACTGCCGAATCATCGACACTGGCTCCCGTGGTGCAGGTTGTAGAGAGGTAGATGCCTTGCAGGAAGGCTTCGGAGATCACATCGTCTCCGTCGAGATACTTGCCAACAAGATCCTGAAATGTCTCTGCCGATATCAAACACTCCTCGGTCTTGACAACCGTGAATGGGAGCATCCCGGAACCTTCCATCCCCGAAGCCTGAGCTGATGGAGTGGTGGTGAGTGACAGGTACGGAACATCGCCCAAGGTGAAGACCAGATCGCCATAGCCCACAGTAGACAAGTGATGAACTGTGTCATTGCCTGCCGCGATAGGGCGGCAACTTGCCACCGAGCTCAGGGCAAGCACCGCCGCGACAGCCTGTAGAAACGCCATTATCTGCAGCAGGTGAAGTGTTGGTGGACCGGGCGAAGCTGGCACCGCAGGATTGTCCGTCAGACTTCCACCGCTTTATACCTCACAGCAGGCCTTCTTGGCTGTGTGTGCACCGACTCGCCTACCTTCACATAGTCCAGTCTTGTTTTCCGGGCCACGTGGGAAGACATTGGCTGGAGCACAGGCTATTTGCCAACGGCTATGCTTGGCCGGCATTAGAGCTTTTGTATATGCCTTGATACTGAGAAGAAGGGCTTGGCCTTTCCGCTAGTAGACTAAGAAAGGAAGGAGGACAGCCGACGTTCGGAGGTGCGGCGATGTTAGAGATAAGGAGCTGTATGGACATCGCCGCAACGTGGGCCACAACGAGAATCTGCTTCCGCGCGAAGCCGCATAGCTGCGATAACGTGCTCCTCCTTCGACAGCTATGAGAGAACTCGCTTTTGATGCTGTCAAGGCGATGTGTCAAGACTAGTGTTGTATAGTAAGTCAACACGTGGTTTCCAAGAGGTGGAGTGGGTGATTGATCATTCGTCCACATCCACCTGCCAAGAAATTCCGCCTCGCTCTTATTGCAGCGCAATGTTGGAGCTCGCTCAAGACATAAAAGGAACGAATGTATGGAGTAAGCGACAGGGGCCGTGATATCAGCAATTGTTGCTCTTTTCGGCATTATTGGACCCACAGAATTGCGAGACTGGCCATCGAATCACTTGCCCCGGACCACCGCAACGGAGGGCTCGATGAACGAGGCCGTTGAAAGGTACCTCAATGGGTAACTTGGTTTGGCGAGTTGGCTCGAGGTAGTAGTGGAGCGCAACCTTCGTGGTTGCCACGCTTAATATCGTGAGGGAGCAGGTCTTGCGATTGCCATCCTCTTCTTGTGAAAAGTCACGGTCTTGATGCAGTTAATGCAAAGCAGACAAAGGAAGACCAGCACCATGAATGCTATGACGATCAGCGGACCCAGGATCGAGAAAACGGTAAAACCATAAGAAGCGTTCATGAAAGCCTGGCTGTTCTGGAGTTGATCGGTGGCCAAGCCAACTTGCATGGCCGTTAGAATGATTGCAATGTATACAATCACACCAGTCAGTAGTCCAAGGTACTCCCCAAAGAAGCTACTATACTGCTGCCAGCTGTACACATAGCCGCGCAAAAAGGGTCTCTTGGTCAGTGTGTAGATCTTGTTTAGCCGACTTAGGCGGAGCTCTCCATAGACGAAGCGGTCATCGATGTCTGGATAGATGTGCTCTGGACTGAGCTCGCGCACGAAAGATGTCCAGTATGGCCAGTCGACTTCTGCCGGCAGCAAAAACTTCTCCTTGGCCATTCCGAGATCGCTTTCGTGGCTGATGAGCGCCACGTAGGAGAAGAGGAACCCGAGGGCTATCTTTCGAAGCTTGTGCTGCCTACACTCCACGAAGGCCTGCTGGTGCGTGGAAGCTGTGGAGTTGCTGAAATTCGAGGCTGCTGCAGGAGGAGTCTGCGCCTTGCCATTCGCTACTACGCACGCACAATTCTGTGCGCAAGACAGGAATCTCGTCCAGAACTGCGGCTCAAGAAGAAAGCGTGGCAATGGCTTTAGATACATACGACCAGTAGTCCAGACAAGGTGCATGTCCATCTGCTCTGTGACGACCACCTGCCGACCCAGAGAGATCTGGTGATGCAGTGGGCGCGGCGGCATTGGCCGACCAACGAGCCAGAGCAAAGGCTGAATCGTGCGCAGCCTCTCTACATTGAGCTCGTTTTCAATCCAGGAGATGTCGTCCAGCCTCGGAGGCACCAGGTTGTGGATGTCAGCACGCTGAGAGGCGGGGAGAATAGAGAGGAAGTGCTCGTCAGTCAGGCTGACACTGCTGCTTGCCGTCTGCTGGTTGGCGTTGCTGCTCGCTTGCGTTGGGCAGGCATTGGTGTTTCCAGGCTGCTGACAGACAAAAGTTATCCTCTCCCGGAGTCTGATTGAGAACGGAGCGGTCTGGGCGGCCATACTCCCGCTACAACCAAGTATCGACTGACTGAAGGCGATCAATTTGGTAACCCGAGAGATGTGTCGAAGAACACCGGATCAGCAGTGCGGGGGAGTCGGTTCATCCCAATTTCGAAAATGTCTCAACTCAGTCCAGAGATTAGGAAGAAAGGCCGACGGCAGCTCTCTAAAAAGCTGAAGGATGCTGCTCAATCCGACAACCACACGAGCACGAAAGCCTGACGCCTCCAGGCCTATAAGGACGGCAACTGTTGGCGTATCATGCCCCGCAAACGGACCACCCTAAAGGGAAAAGTGACAGGGGCTTTTGGCGAGACTTGTTGGGGGCTATGTTGCCTGATTTGCACAGTGAGGGCGCCTACCCGGTAGCCCGTAAGGGTCTTATCCTCAAATTCTCACTGCGAACCAGTGCACTTGTACAACCGTTGTCTACAACTCAGTAATTCCGCTCCTCGCGCCCTCCAACACCACCTTCAACTCCCGCCACACCCACTCCTGCAACTTCCGTCCCTCCTCGCCAGCAGCGAGCCCTTTCAAATCGGTCAATTTGCAATCCGGCAAGTACCCGCCATGCGCCTCAACACCAGCACATGCCCCATATACCAGCGCCCGCGCACCCACTTCCGGCTTCCTGGCGAGCATCTTGATGATCCTGCGCACCGCCGCATTGAGATTGATGTCCTGCTGGCCGAGATCTGTGTAACACATGCTGCAAATCGTTAGCATGCTATGATCATCGACATGACTGCGAGATGAACAGCAGGGAGCAATTGGCAAAAGAGCAACTCACCCTGGCGCATTGACGCTAATCACCACCCCCTTGCCCTTGACCGGCGCCAACGCTGCCATCTGCCTGGCGACCAGCAGGATGAGAAATTTCGAAACATTATACCGATCCCCCTTGGTCTTCGCAAAAGTCTTCTCATCATTCAACGTTGCCAACAACTTCCCCTCCGCCGCCTGCTTGCGCTCCTTGAAGGCCGCGAACTCATAGAGCTCCGAGCCCGTGAAGGTGATGTGCGTCGTTACACCGTGCTCGGCCGCGGTCCGCGCCAGCTTCGGATGCAGCGCGCACGCCAGCAGCGCCGCCGCGATGACATTGGTCTGCAGCGTCTCTTCGTTGCCGTCTTTGGTCTGGTGGTATTTGTGTGGCCAGATGCCGGCGTTGGCGATCACAGCGTCGAGACGGGGGAGGTCGGTGACGGCGCGGTCTGTGAAGGCGAGAACGGAGGCGTAGGAGGAGAGGTCGAGCGGCCAAACGTCGAGGGCAGTGGTGGCGTCGGAATTGGAGCGGCGGATTTCATCGGCGGCGGCGCGGCCTTTGTCGAGGTTGCGGCAGGCGAGGATAATGCGCGTGGCGTGCAGGGTGGTGAGGAGGCGGCTGGCTTCGAGGCCTAGCCCGGAGGAGGCGCCGGTGACGATCACGGTACGGCCTAGGAAAGAGGTGTGCACTGGTGGTGGGAAGGTGATGAACTGGCGATCGATGAAGTCGAAGAGTAGGGGCATCGTGGTGGGCTCAGCGGCCTGCTCAGGAGTTGTGCGATTGCGTTGCTGGATAGCTTTGGTGTTCAGTCAGTGCAGTGCGGGAAGATAGACGGGTCAGGCCGGCGACACTTTATAGTGTAGCACCATGTTACCACTGGCTGGTAGCTTCCAGGCAGCAGTGCGCTGAATATAGCATTCGACGGACGAATGCTGGAGATAGCATCTTAATAGAATGTGTACCAACGTTAGCGTCGAAATGCATTCCGCATTGGGACTAGTCGGTTCGAGTCCGCGCCAATCAAGCCACAGGCTTAGAAAGTCAGGCGCACATGCCCACGACGTCCCTCCTTGTCTGCGTCCGATTTCTCTGGCAGGCTCGAGCGGGCGAATTGCTGAATGATTACAAAAGCTGGTCATATGATTATGACACTCGCGCAAAGACTTGGACCTTCTACATGTGGAAGGCATAACTTCCGAGCTTCGCATAGACATCCCAGACACCAGGTTGTCGCCCCTGCTCCCGCTCCAGAGATTGCGCGATATTTTTGGCGTTGCGGATGCGGAAGTGGTCGGCGATGTAGTAAAGATAGTTGAGAATCTGGTGTTTCATATGCTTCGAGATGTGTGTTCTCCCGGCGGCGTAAAGAGGGAATATGAGCGTGTAGCAGTCGCCCGTGTGAGTTGGACTATGGCTGCGGCAATTTGTGACGTCCGGAACTTTGTTGGGCACATGTGATTGAGAGTGCTTGGCATGTGTTCTGCAGTCGGCAAACTGCGCAACGCTGGTATAGATCTCTCCGGCAAGACGAATAGCGTTGTCCCGTGCTATATCTGTGAGGCCTGCACTGGCACCGTCCACTGCCGATGGCGAAGCATATTCAAGTACAGCCTCGTTGAGCAAAAGCCGGCAGACTCGGATCAGGTTCCGCGCCTGACAGATGTTTCGATGCGGGTAGACATGGCAGTACTGCCCGAACCGTCCTTGGGATGCTGCGTCCAGCTCAATAGTCTGGTACTGCCAGAGGGGTGGCATGTTGAGCTCCAAGCCAGCAATCTCCGAGTCCATGCTGTAGCACTCCAAGACGTAAGCATCGTTCGCGGTGCAATTCGTAGAGAATCTGCTCTGCAATACAGCATAGCGTACAAACAACTCAGTCACACCCGTAGGGTATTGGCCTGCTAGTAATCCGGCTTCTAGCCAAGACCGTAAAGATACGACATCGGGATGAATGGGCTGCTGCAAGGCCAAGGATCCGATCATAGACTGATTTGTCAGGCTTATGAGAACTTGCAAGCTTGTCGAGTCCTTGAACCTGCCTATGCCGATCAACTTCACCAGACCCAGCGCGCCGTCAACATGAGCGGACAGAGGGCGTCCACTGGTGCTCAAAACTTTCTCGACTATGTCCAGAACGAGAGCGGCTAGAACTGTCGAACGATCAATCTGCTGAACAGAGTAACCGAGGGCAGCGCGCGTTTTTCCTAGCGCAAGCCCGTAAGACCGCCTAGCGGCCAACAGTGCGGCTTCGGAATCTACTTCGTGCCAGAGGTATGCCAAGCTCAAGGCATCGATGGCTATACTGAGATGCGGCGAGCTTTTGCTCTGGATCTCGTGGTACGGTTGCAAGAACTTCCAGCACCTTGTCAAGGGATTTGAGACGTAGTAAAAGTAGAAAGAGTCCCGTGCCCGCGTTGCGATCGGGACATGGAAGGATTGAGGGATAGGTGGAGTACAGTGCTGGCCGGCGCTTCTGGCCACCGCGTGGCTCTGGTCGTGAACGCGAAGTTCCGTAACATTTCGCCATCCTGAGCAGATCACTCCTGCCCTAAGACATGAGCTGCAGGTTGGTCGCTGGAGGCTACACTGTATACGACGTAAGCAGAAGGATCACGTCTTTCGTGGTTACTGGCCTTGAGCCTCCTATTCCGGCATCGCTCACAACTTTTCGAGGGTTTCCCTCGGAACACCATAGCACTAGCTCCGGGGTTGGTGCAGACGAAGCCTGTCCGCAGACATCACCGAATGGTGACAAAGTGGTTGATACCGACGAGTTACATTGTGCACCAGCTGGTGGTTGGAGGCCTTGCGGTGTTAAAGGAGTTAGGATTAGGCGACATCAAAGCCCACCAATGCGCGCCTTCCCGCCTGAGCTCCGCTCCCAGCTCGATCAACTCAACATGGAATTTTCATCAGTCACGCACTCGCCAGCGATGCGCACTGCCTTGGTGAGCAGAACGAAGGTCCTGCTATCGGTAGCGGATCCCGTCATCCCCATCCACCGTGCGCGGAGTAGAGTCGTGCCTCAACTCCTCTTGACTCTCACTCCTGTCCTGACTCATGTTCTTCTTCTTATCCTTCAGTGTCTCGCTGGTCTTCGACCGATGCCCGTACACCATACCTTGCTGAGATGATGGTGTATATTGGACAGGCATCGTGAAGACAGAAGCACCGGACCAAAACATGTCGATGATACCTTTTAGGCTCGGAATGCAGGCGGTAAGGATGGAAGTATTGAGTGCCATTTGCCCCAAAAGCAACGGCTCGACAAGAAACCATGTCTCATTGTTCAGCGATGAGCCACTACCGTAATAGGCTGTTGACGGTATAAGTAACGCAGGTACTCTAGAAGGTATTAGCACATTCCCAGAATCTAATTGGAGAATCTTACGCGATTCTGCTCGCGAAGAGACCGATGACTCGAAACTTGATGGCGAAAGTCGTCTGCACAGTCCACATCATGATGCAGGGCAGGACCACAAGTGCGATATCAGTCAAGACATTGACAGTGTTAATGCCCACAAAGGTTTGGGCATTGTTGAGGCAGCGGCCTTCATTACTGTTCCATGGGCTCTCAGTGCCGCACCTGAAAGACAGGATGAAAATTGCTGCTACTCCCCACATCGCTATTATCGCGAAGACGGCAGTGCAAGCGATGTGGAGGTCTTTGCGTGCATTGATGGCCATGATGATGAGCACTGTTGAAAGCTTTCCCAGAACATGCACCACCACCGATAACAGCGAGGCTGCGAATAGTTCCTGTGTGCGGTTAGCATTGCCCATTGTAATTGAGTCTGGCATTTACCTTTCTGACTGCATCCAGGTTTGTATCAGAAACTATATCCTGATGTTGTCCAAGGCCGTTCTGACAGGCGTTCACTATCAGCACTGACTGGGCGATCGCAAATGCCAGTGCTGCCAAAACAGTCCAGTCGTAGGCCTTAAGGTTGAGCGGCGAAAGAGAAGTTCGACGTAGTCGAGCCACCACCTTTCCAGTCACTCCCATGATCGAGTAGATCAAGAACGTGATGGTTACAACGACGAGCCATGCTGCGTGATTTTCAGGCGCGATGGCGAAAAATGGTGGTGTAATGTCCATTGTGACTCAGTCTCTTGCTGGTAGCTGCTCAAACGAAGGAGGATCTTTTCTTATTAAGAGCACTCGAGTCTTCTGTCATATATTGCCGCATGGTCAATACCATGGAAAAGGTGGCCGGAAAGCAGCCTGCCTCTGGCCCGAAGTCACAGATCGATACTCCTGATATGGACGACTCATGGCGAAAATTGCGGCCAGAGTGGCCGAAGGGGTTCGTCACATCGCGTCGGTAGTGTGGCTTGGGGCCTGCCGCAAACTAGCAGATGATTTGAAGCAAGACAGGTCGCCACTAATGTCCTTGCCCTGTCCATGTCTATGATCATACGACAAAACGGAAGAGAGCAACATCCGCTGCATAACCACGCGCCGTTTGGCAATTGCACCAGCCCATATTGGTACGTTCTTTTCATCAAGATCGTTTGGGTCGTAGTCTGGACGTATGATCCAAAACAGGAAGAACAGATTCCAGTATGCTTGGATCAAGCTTGGAGATCAGTTCAGACCGGCACGATAGCAGCATGGAAGAACAAGATCATCATGCCCGGCTGGGCCATGAATCTCGCCAGGCACCGACCGATCGACACCAAAGTACCTTCTTCTTGGTTGCGCCTACTTCCGTTCTTCGGCACGAACTAGTATTATATTGAAGACATCAATGCACGACTGTACGGACTAGTTGTAATCCGACCGCGGATGCCAATACACCTCCATGCAGATACTTACCGCTTGTATGCACGAATTTGAGCTACTGCGACAACAGTAGCCGCAACAGCAGCTAGGGCGCGTGCTAAAGCAGACGATGATACAGGCTACGTGCCTTGTTGTCCAGACCAGTCCGTGCCCAAGTCAAATCACTGTGTTGACATTTGGGTCTCAAGACAAGCGTAGGAGTCACTCAATGGCCTGATCGGCTACCCCAGTATGCTGATCTACCGGCCGCCAGCCCCATATGGATAGTGTCCTGCTCAAGGTACCGGGATTTTGCACCGGTATTCCACTAGTGGCTGCAGCGAGCCGCTTCCACGCGAATTTTGACGGGTGACATGTTCGTGCTACCGGGGAGCCGACGCGCTTAGTCTACGCCATTGCCCGACTGCACAGATCAGGTGGGGAAACGACCTCGTTGCATGAGAATGGACAGCCGCAGATCTGAAAGTAGAGCAGTCTGCATTGATATATGACAGTTTTGAGCGACAGGCTTGAACACGATCATCAAACCGAACTGCCGGGTACTACTTGATACAGCTCTGTGCCATGGATAGACCAGCGATCAGGTTCTTTCGTCAAAGTGAGTCGACTGTCTCAAGGACTGCCTGACACTCAGAAAGATCCGCCTCGCTTGCGCATGATCGCCCAACAATTCTTCCCGCGTCTCTCTATCACATCGTGACGCGAAGAACTTGACACTGCTATTGGCTGGTACCAAGATAAGTCATGCAAGCTAGACTTAAGATCGCATGGCGATGATCCCTGACGCTTCGGAAGAGTCTGGTGTCTAAGAGCATCCAACTGCCACGATTCCATCCTTATCCGAAGAAATCGGGAAGAGAAGACTCCGTGGAAGCCCCAGACTAGAGTCGCGCGTCCAAGCGCACTACTGCCCCGAGAGCTCCCAGGCTCAACTCATGCTGAAGAGCTAACACTTAGTGGATGGAAGAACCTTGGCCCCTTCGCTTCTAGATCGCTCTGCCACGTTGATCTTCATCGTTTCTGCAACTTCTTCATACCTTAAGCACTACATCATACAGCATACATATAACTTTCCCCGGTGTTGTAGAGTAAAGTCACAAACAAAGTGTTCATCATGTCTTCTCGCGGCGAGGCATTCGAGATGTCAGCCACCCGCCCCATGGGTGGCTACGTCTTGGACAGTAAAGACACCGGAGCACAAGTGACGGTCTCTGGACGCAAAAGCAACGAACGCATGAACGGCATTCTGCGTGTCAGGAAGCTGTTCAGCAGCACTCAGATCTTCGCCTTTTCTCTCACGTACATGTGCACCTGGGAGGTGTTGACCTCGTGAGTATAGAATAGTTCCTCCCCCTTTGTCACCAACACAATCATGCTAATGTGTTTCTACCCAGACAGATGATGTTCGCCCTCTGGAATGGCGGGCCGCAAACATACGCCTGGGCGACGCTGATCGCATACTTTGGAGCAGCGGCACAAGCAGCCTCCCTGGCCGAAATGGCCTCCTCCGTCCCCATTGCGGGAGCACAGTACCACTGGACCAATGCCCTCGCGCCGCCTCGGATCAAGAGATTCACAACTTGGCTGCAGGGCTGGATCACCTGGTTCGGCTGGGTGTCGGTGTTGGCCGCGTACATCAACCTGGACGCCATCGTTTTGCAAGCCATGGTTTCTCTGCAGCACGAGACATATGTGCCGCAGAACTGGCATACGGCGTTGATCATGATTGCCTTTTTGTTGGTGTTCGGCTTGGTCAATTCCATGCGGTGGACGTTTGTCTTTGTCCCCTGGCTGGAGCTCCTGGCTGGGATACTGCACGTGGCATTATTTGTGCTTTTTATCGTGGTACTCATGGTCATGGGCTCGAGAAATAGCACCGACTACATTTTCTTTCATCGCGAGATTTGGTCTGGTTGGGACAGCAACAGTGCTCTATCATGGCATCTGGGGATGTTGACTTGCGTGGGCTCGTTCATTTCCCTCGATGGCACGGTCCATATGGCGGAGGAAACCCGGGTCGCAAAGAAGGCTGTTCCCAGAGCAGTCTTCTGGGGTGTGGTGCTGAATGGAGCCATGGGCTTTGCCATGGTCGTCTGCGTACTTTCAGCCATGGGTCCCATGGATGAGGAGCTTGCGTATGCTCCGTATCCGCTGGCAGTTGTGCTGATGCGAACCACAAAATCGGCAGATGCCAGCACCGCTATGCTTTGCGGCATACTGGTCATCTTTGCCTGCTCCGGCCTGGGCTGTGTGGCTTCTGTATCGCGGCTTACGTGGGCCTGGTCCCGCGACGGTGGCCTGCCGAGATGGTTTGCCATGGTTGACGCAAAACATTTGCTGCCCATCCGCGCCATCTGGCTGGGCCTGGCTCTCAACATCGCCTTATCACTCATCAACGTGGGATCAAGTGCTGCTTACGGCGCAATTCTTTCCCTAGCCACCATCTCGCTTTTCACATCCTACGGCATTGCAATTTTCAGTATGCTAGCTGCAAGGTGGCGATCACATCAGGGCCAACAAGTCCTGGAACTAGGAGAGTGGAATATGGGTCGGTACGGCGTCTTTGTCAATCTCTTTGCCTTGCTGTATACGGCTTACATGGCAATCTTCTTGCCAATTCCATATAGTCTACCGGTTACAGCAGTGAACATGAACTACGCCGGCCCTATTTTCGTCGCTGGCTTGATCTTTGTACTCTCGAGCTGGTACCTCTGGGGCAGAAAGAGATGGCCGGGCATCGACAACGACATTGTTGAGTTTGTGAAGGAACATGCTGAGGCGTCAGAGAATTCGCGTACTGCTTGAACTTGGATCACATTAGACACATACTCTGTATGTAACGCAAAATGTTGGTGAGCACTTGCTTCCAGGTACACAGACCAGTCAGCCCAGATCTTCTTCAGGCTCGAAATCAAGCACGTCATGAAAGTTATCTAGACATTTTCTTTGTGCATGACTTGATTCCACTTCAAGTCGATTCTGCCACCAACAACTTTGACGCTGAACCATTCCAGCAGTTCCAGCTCCCGCTGGCAACAAAATGCACCCGCGAGTGCATCACTCTTGACCAAAGCATAGACTGCGTAGTGAATCTCCATCAAAGCCAGCTCTCTCGCAATGCACCTCCTCGATCCTAAACCAAAAGGTATCCAATTCCTTCTCATCTCTTCACCAGCATCAAGCCACCTCTCTGGCAGGAAACTTGTCGGGTCATTGTATATGTCAGAGTTGAAATGGAGCTCATAGGGCGTACAGGAGACCTCGGTGCCCGCAGGCAGCACATTCGTTCCAAATGCCCACCCTCCGGCAGGAACAACTCGGGGGAAGCGAGTGGGATTGGCTTTGCTGATACGCAGACCTTCATAGACAACGGCGCCGAGGTATGGGAGCATTCGCACATCTTGCGAAGGATCGTGGGCGAAGACTTCTTCCCTCAACCGACTATATGCTGCTGGACGCCGCACTAAATGCCAAACGATGGATGCCACGTTGAAGCCGGTGGTCTCCACGCCCGCGAATAGAGCATCCGCGATCTGTGCTTTTGTCTCAGCCTCCGAGAAGCGGACGTGCAATAAGCGTTCGGGGAAGGTGCCCGTGAACTTTTCCATTTCCATCTTTACCGCCGCGACGGCGCGATCGATATGAGTCCACAGGGTATCGATTGTTTGAAAGACAGCTTTGTCTGCGAACCGCAATCTCATCCATTCGACGATCTTGAATGCTGCAGGAGGCAGATACCAATACCGGCCAAATGCATCATAAAAGTCCAGCATGCCCTCTCCTCGTAAGCCGTGGTCCATCTCACCACTTTCAATCATCTCCTTGCATCTAGCCAGAGCTCCCCACTCGTATTTGAGAAGATTGACACTCGCGGCATCCGCAGCAAACGACCTGGCAAGTCCCAAGACATCGACAGGTTTCCCGCTTACTACTGCCTTCTCCTTCGCCAGCTGCAGCACCTCAGCCATCTCCGTAGCCACCTCCAGGGTGCGTCCGATTCCTGCCCTCACGCTCGAGCTAGCAAAACAGCCTGCTACCGCACGAACGCGGCTCTGCCGTTTTGCAGGATCCGTCTCGCTGAAGAGCGCCAGGTGGTGTCCATCGGGGGAGAAGTTGTGGTAGATATCTGGCTTGCGGAAACCACCGTTCGCCACGTAGATGTCATGGAGGGCTGCCCCGTCGGAGATATCGACGGTGTTGGGGGAGATGCGTATCATGGGGCCGTGGAGGCGGTGGAGGCGGTTGAACCATGCTGTCTCGTCACCCATGTAGGAGTGGTAAAGCAGTGGGATGGAGGAGAGGCGGGAGCATATTGGGCCTGGGATGTGATGGAGAGTGTGGAGTGGGGAGAGGCGGTAGAGAGATCTGAGGACGAGGTACACTAGGAAGAGGGTGGAGGCAACGAGGGCAGCGTCTGTGAAGGTAGTCTCAAGCAAACTTGGAAGAGCTTGACGAATAGCCATAGTGTATTACACGGCGGGCAGACGGATGGTCGGCTTACACCATGCGTTGAAGTGTTATAGATTAATGAGAACCGTGGCAGATATCGTGCAATACAGGACGGCCGCCTGTCCAAGACTGTATGATAGAGCCTGACAATCAATCGCCACATGACTCGCGAGGTATTCCAAGCATGCTCAGAGGGAAGCGAATGTCACACCCGACGATTGCTGCGCACTGCATGCATCACTCGTATCAGTCAATGGACATGGGTCTAGACAAGCTCCTAGTCGGTAGCCACCTCATACGAACATGTATCGTACCGTATGCACCTATCAAGCTTAAGACGCCACAGGGATTTAGCGCCGCAGATGATCACTTTAGGCGCAAGTGGGCGCTCGTGGCTGCCGCCGGCATTTGAAGTCCCGCAGACCCGCGACGGGGGAGTCCAGTGCCTAAAATAAGTCCCCGGACAAAATCCTCAAACTGCGGCGTTTGTGGGGTTCGATCCATGGTGGTTGGCTACTTATCAGCCCACCAATGCATCCCGTCTCGATGCTTAGATATCCCAAGTTATCAGCGTAGAGACGAATCGACATCAATCACCTGTGATTATTGCTTCAATATTCGGCCCTACCGAATGTGGTGACCATAGTGTAGCAACAGGCGTACATGGTATGTAGCTTCCTCGAACTCCCGCCCTCTGGTTTGCCAAGCACATTCGTTTCTGAACGCTCTCGAGTGAAGCCTATGGAGTCGCCACGCTGTTGTCTACATGATCGTGTGTGAGTACTGCTGTGCTGTACGAAATACTGATTGTCTTCACATGGAGATGGCTTGCGTAATGAGCTTGGCATGACGCAGTCACGTCTCAGGACTTTGCTCTGTCCATCTTCCACTTAACTGCTGCAGACACCAGACTGTCAAGGACAACCTACTCAAATTCAACATGTCAAACAGAACAATATGTGACCGTGACACACCGGACCCCTGGATGATAGCGGCCAACAACCGCTTCTACTTTACCTTCACCTGCGGCAACCGCATTGAGCTGTGGGCTTCGCAACATCTCGAGGATTTTCGACATGCTCAGACACAAAAGTCGACAATTTGGGCTCCTGCCAAAGACTCACCCTGGTCATGCGATGTGTGGGCCCCTGAGATACATCTCCTGAACGGAACCTGGTACGTCTACTTCTGTGCCGCGCAGCCAGGCAAGGGCAATGCCTCTCACCGCACACTCGTACTGCGGTCTTCCAATCCCGACCCTATGGATCCTGCTGCATGGCACTTCGTCGGCCCCATCAAAGGCCTGCCTGATCACTGGCACATAGATGCCACAGTATTTCAGCTGGGTCATCAGCTCTACTGCTGCTACAGCGGATGGCCGTTGGGGGACCACAGCGACACCCAACAGGACTTGTTCGTCATCAGGCTTGCTTCGCCAGAGGTAGCCATTGCCGAGACTCTCACATGTATATCGCGCGCTTCTCTCGCATGGGAGCGGCCAGAAGGGGGGCGCCGCGGCGTCAATGAAGGTCCAACGTGGCTGTCACTACCCGGCTTCCAGGGTATCGTCTACAGCGCGAACGGTTCCTGGACCTGTGATTATCAGCTTGGCATCGTGGCATTAGTCGGCGCTGACCCTTGCCAGGAGAGCTCATGGCAGAAAAGGCATACGCCTCTGCTTGTCTGCGACAAGGAAAAGGGGCCTTTCGGACCGGGACATGCTAGCTTCGTCCATTCTCCGTACAATGATGGCCGAGTCTATTGCATCTATCACGGCACCGAGCGAAGAGATGAAGGTTGGGCGAACAGGAAAGCCCGTGTCTTGATGATGGGTCCAGAGGCGTTCCACCCTCATGCACCTCCCCTCTGTTGTGCCACGGGCTGGCCAGTACAACAGAGCGGTATGCCGCATGCGCATCACGGGAACCCTGGAACAGGTAATCAGAACAACCCGCTGATTCCGCAACTGCCCTTTGGACTTGGGAAATATCAGGATAAACTGATGCAGAAGTTCAAGTTTTGATAGACACGTGTAGGATGTTCGGCTCGGGGCTTGACCATTCAAGGAAGGTCGCCTGGAAGGCCCCCTGCAGCCGCCGCCACCGCCGAGATCTTGGGCCCGCGTAATGCCCGCGGCCAATCTCTTTCATGCGCTGAACGCCTGGAGCGAGCCAATGGATAACTTATCTCTCGGCACGCGTTCATCCTTGCACGCGGCTTTGCCTTACGGCTGCACGAATGACATTGAGACAAGCACTTTGCTATACAAGACCAGATCGGTGCAATCTTAATACCATCAAGAAGTAACATCGGCATTGGCGATCTCACCGGCGAGCGCCGGACTGGTAGCAACATATATACCACGATGCGACCACGCGACCACAGTCAATGGATCCAGATCAGTGAGGCCTGTTGTTGGTGACTTGTTAGTCCACCGTCCATTCGTTCTCAACATGAAGTCGTTCGCTACGCTAGCGCGCACTTGCGCTGCCTCTCTTTTCTTCACTTCTTCGCTCGCCCAGAGTATCCAATCAATCAACGGGGATGCCTTCATCTCACCCTATAACGGCCAAGCTGTCACCAATGTCACCGGCGTGGTCACAGCCCGCAACAGCGATGGATTCTGGATTCGATCAACCTCTCCAGACAGCAACCCAGCTACCTCGGAATCGGTCTTCGTCTTTGGCGGAAACGTGAATGTTACCGTCGGCAATGTCGTGGCCCTCAACGGTCGTGTTACCGAATACCGCAGCAGCCCTGCATACATCCCGTTAACTGAGATCACATCGCCTTCTGGTGTCCGCGTCCTCTCCACCGGCGCCAATGTCGAGCCGCTTGAGATCGGTTCTGGTGTATTGCTACCACCTACTGAGCAGTTCTCCAGCCTCGATGATGGCGACGTCTTTGGTCTGCCGAACAATCGCAGCCAGATCAGTGTTGCGAACCCTACCTTGGTGCCCAACGAGTATGGCCTGGATTTCATGGATAGCCTCCTGGGTGAACTGGTAACGATCAAGAACCCGCATGCCATCACCAAGCCCAACCAGTTTGGTGATACTTGGGTGATCGGCAGCTGGCCAGTCACTGGGGAGAATGGACGCACTGGACTTACAATGACCGCGGGCGATGCAAACCCAGAAGCCATACTGATTGGTACTCCTCTGGACGGCTCAAGTAATCCGACCGACACCAAGCTCGGCGACAGCCTCGAGGATATTACCGGTGTTGTCTACCAAGCTTTCGGTTTCTACCGCGTCCTTCCCACCACCGCGATCTCGGTCACAGATTCCTTGGAGCCCGCATTGCCAGATCCAGTCTCTTTCGAATCTACTGGTCGTTGTTCTGCAATCACAGTCGGCCATTACAATGTCGAGAACCTTATGCCTGACTCTGACCATCTGCCAAACATTGCTGAGCATATCGTCACCTACATGAAGACGCCTGATGTGATCTTCCTCCAGGAAGTTCAGGACAATTCTGGAGCTACTAATGATGGCGTCGTGTCCGCCAATGAGACCCTCTCAGCCTTGTCGAGTGCTGTCGCCGCTCTGTCCGACGTCACCTATGACTTCGTCGAGATTGTGCCTGTCAACAACGAAGATGGCGGTCAGCCAGGTGGCAACATTCGTGTTGCTTATTTCTTCAATCCTGAGGTCATTGCTCTCCACAAGCCCAACCCTGGATCCTCAACCGATGCTGTCGAAGTCCTACCTGGTCCCGAGCTCAACTTCAACCCCGGTCGTATCGCTCCCATCGACCCGGCCTGGAGCAACAGTCGCAAGCCACTTGTCGCCCAGTGGGACGTCCTTGCCGAAAACAGCACTTTCTTCACCGTCAACGTGCATTTTGCCTCCAAAGGCGGTTCTTCTTCAATTGAAGGTGACGCTCGCCCGCCCGTCAACGGCGGCGTTCTCGATCGCCTCGCGCAGGCGAACCTCACTGCCACATTCGTCGCTGACCTTCTCGCCGAGGACGCCAACGCCAATGTCATCACCGCTGGAGACTTCAACGAGTTCACCTTTGTGGAGCCCCTGATCTCATTCGTCGAGATCTCTGGCCTCGAGGATGTGGAGGACGCGGCTGGAATCCCTGAGGTGGAGCGTTACAGCTACATCTTCGACATGAACTGCCAGGAGCTCGATCACATGTTTGTGAGTCCTCGTATTGTGGCTGCGGGCCCGGAGTACGAGCATGTGCATATCAATACTTGGGTCAGCTTCGATGACCAGATCAGCGATCATGATCCTGCGGTTGCGAAGTTGGACCTGTGCAGCGGTAGTGGCGGTGGTGGTCCAGGTGGTCCTGTCAAGCCAGGCAAGCCAGGCAACGGTCCTGGCGGTCCTGCAAAGCCTGGTAATGGCCCTGGGAAACCTGGCCCAGGCCGATCAAGCCCCCCTGGTGGTCACCAGCCTCCTTCACCCGGAAGACCGGGCCCCGGCAATGGCGGTCGTCCCTGGAAATAAGGCAGCCGAAAGCCGAGCTTTGTCTGACTAACATATACGAAAACTATACTCAGCATAGACCTAGGGAGACGGTAGAGCACCGCTACTGTGGAATCATGACTTAAAGTTAGATGATAGAGCGACTTGATGGTACAAGAACTTCTTCCGTTTCCGCTGACTCGCACGTTCTTGGACTTGCCGATAAGCTAACTTCGGCGGATTGACGGATCTTTGCTAACAATAGCATCCGATTATCATGTCGAATCTTGATCTGGCATCCCAGACTCATCTCAGATCGTGCAAACATTGGTGAAATGTTACGACATCTTGCCGCACTTTACCGCATAATGGCGTAAAGCCCGCACAAAGTACTGAGTCGTCGCGGGATGCTTCCGAGTGATGTGTTGTCCGTTGATGCCAACGTCGCCCCAAGAGCGGCTAATGCATACTACAGCAGTATCGCTATCCATCCACCGATGCAACAGGCCACGAAGAGAAGGAGAACACTACCTGTTCAAACTGCGGGTAAGACAAACCCCCGCGATGACCATGCCGATCCAGCAGTTGGTCCCAATAGCCTCGGGTGGGAAGTTGGTATTATATCAGTGCATCACTATCACGATTGATTACCATGCACCTTTCCGACTTCTTCGGAACTTCGGATCTTATGACAGAATGAGCACTCAAACCACCACCCACACCGAGGCAGCTTCGCAGCCCAAGCTCAAGTTCCAACTCGCCGACCTGAACAACAACGCAAAGATTGAGAAATTCCTTGAACCAGTTGCCAACGATGACTACGCCCGTGCCGTTGATCTCATCAAGAGCCGCCTACCGCACATGTCCCAGATTGCCGCTCTTTTCTGTGTCAACCTGGGGCCCTTGCAGCCAGACTTGCTAATCGATTCTCGCAGCACGCCTGCGACCCTCCAAACCGCGCCCGGCCCGCCGCCCACGACTGATGCCTATCTTTCCGTCCGGCCCAACATGGTCCCCCGCTTCGCACGCGGTGAGATGGAAGCTCGCTACGCCCTCAACTTCGGCCACATCCTCATCCACTCCGGCAGCACACGCATAGGCGTCAAATTCCTCGACGCCCTCTCCCCCTTCGCCGCCCGCACCACCCACCCCAAGCTCTCCACGCTCGACCTCTCCTCGCTCCCCAAACCCACCACCTCAGTCCCCCAAGTCAAAGCCGACCTCGACCGCTGGGGCTACGGCCTCGTCGCCGACGCCCTTACGCCCTCCGAACTCTCCGCCCTGCGCACCCGCCTCTCCGAGCAAGCCGCGGGCGAAGCCGCCGCGACCGTCGCCTTCCACGACGGCGGCGACACCAAGCCCAACCAGCGCATCTGGTGCCTGCCCAACAAAGGCGCGTGCTTCAACGAGCTGCTCGACACAAACCGCGTCATCGACGACTTCGTCTTCGACTTTTGCGGCGACGACGCCATCCTCTTCTCGTACACGGCCAACATCGTGCGTCCGGGCAACGCGCCCATGCACATGCACACCGACCAATTGAGCATCCAGCCGCCGATCCGCGACGTCGCTGTGGGGTTGAACCTCATGTATTTCCTGGAGGATGTCAGTGCGGATAATGGCGGGACTTATATCATGCCGGGCAGCCACAAGGGGGAGTTCGCGCCCGATGACCCGTACAGGCACGAGGAGGTCGTGTGTGCCGAGGGCAAGGCGGGCACGTGTCTGGTGTTTGAGAGCCGGCTGTGGCATGCCACGGGGAGGAATGTGAGGGGCGAGGGCGAGAGGCCGGTGCTGTTGGCGTTCTTTGTGAGGAGCTGGATGCGCCAGGCCGAGCAGTTTGTGTTGAGTGTCAGGGACGAGGTGGTGCAGGGCGCAAGTGACCGGGTCAAGGGGTTTATGGGCTGGCGGTGCACGGGCTTGGTGGGGGGTGTGCAGGGGAAGTGGAAGGATGGAGCGATTGTGAGGAGGCCAGTGGGGGATGAGGTGGTGGGAGTGCTGGGAGGAGAGGATCGGTCGTTGGGCGATGGTGTGTGATGTTCCGTCGCCCTGTTGTTGTCTTCATCACCCATTGCTAGATCTGCTTTAACGGCTGGTGTCGAGGGCCTCCAGACGCCAGGAGATAGTCTCCATATTGACTCGACGTAGGTATGGAACTCAGACATCTTACTGTAACGAGAGTCCACTTGGACGCGCTTCCGTGTGAGTAGCGGAGAGACTGGTCTAACATATAGACTACCTCGTGGGCTGGAGCTGTGCTAGCATGTCTTGCTTGTCCCCGCGAACCCTGGATGGTTTGGACTTGTTCCTCCGTGGTCCGGGTAGAAAACGTCGTCGCTCGCGGTGCCGCAGCATGGGACTGCTGTCTAGCAATGAGACATCTTCACTGATGTACAGCATCTGAGCTTTCGAAACGCTTCAGAGGGGAAACGAGGAGGCCAAGGTTACGACTGATCGTAGCCCGCCCTTCAGCAGAAGTGGATCTCAGGGTTTAACCCCCCACGCCCCTTTTGCACCGAAGCCAACCGCCCACCACCGCCCGTCCTGGCCAGAGTTTGGGTCGTGCTCTGGGCGCTCCCATCCACAGATTTATATTCTGCATCAAGCCGCAAAGACCTTAAAATCAACGCACAAAGATTATCTGAGGGCGCTTGGTCTAGGGGTATGATTTTCGCTTTGCACGAACAGTTCGGCATCGCTGTCGCTCTGCTTCTAAAGTCTGTGAACGGTCGCGGGTTCAATTCCCGCAGTGTCCAATCCTTGTGGGTTAGAATCCCATTGCGTGAGGCTTTGTTTTTTGGTTTTGGTAGCGAGTGGTGGCGGGGACATGGAGCCAGGGGGCCCCGAAGGGGGTTGTGGGAGACTGGATATCTTGGCGGCGTCTGGAGACAGTCTGCGCCTGATGTATTTCAAGTTGTCTCTTTTTGGCTGGCCAGGTACCGAGTAGTCAGGTCTTCAGGGGTGGTGTGCTTGACGTGGTGCCTGAGACCAGGTGCTGCACAACATGAGACCAAGGACTGGTAGGGAGCCTCCGAAGGCCAAAGCGCGACAAAGCGGTCTCAGCGACATTCCTGGCAATGGCCAGCGTTTTCACATCTATACAATAGGCTCTGCAATATAGTTGATCTTCCTTTCGATGTCAATACAGTGCTCATCTCGAATGTTGGTGTTTGATGCCTTGCTCAGGCAGTGAAATAGCCGAGAGAACGAATTGCAGGTGAAATGACGGCACTCACGACTCGCACTAATGCTAAAAAGAATATGCCAAGTCGCTCCCAAACTCTGCCAAAACTTCGCTGGAGCTCACCAGATCCTTCAGCTGGGGCTCTCGGCCGTGCCTATCATCTCGCTTTGTCCGCGCCTCGAAAATTACTAGTCGCTAGTTTAAGGACAGCATTACAACTGCTTGATCTCTGTGCGGCTGATCCCCGGCTGATCTGGCTCTATTTCGCTGCCCAATTTTTCTTTGCAAAGGCTGCTGAACACCAGCCTGGACTTGGACCTGCAGCTCAAAGTGTTTTGCAGCACTCGCCCGACCCTCCCGGATTCCAGTATCTATCTCAAGACTTTCATCTCGCCGATATGAACGGTTCGAAGCCCACTGTGGCCGAGTTGGCCAATATGACCACGGAAGAGCGAATGGCAGGCCTCGAGCACTCTGAGGTTAGGTACTTCACGAGTTACGACCATCATGGCATCCACGAGGAGATGTTGAAAGATGAGGTGCGGACAAGGTCATACAGGGACGCCATCTACCAGAACAAGCACATTTTCAAGGACAAGATCGTTCTCGATGTTGGCTGCGGTACTGGCATTCTGAGCATGTGAGTAGACTGAAATCTCGGGCACAAGCCATCATCTCACACATAGCAGGTTCGCTGCCAAAGCTGGCGCGAAGCACGTCATTGGTGTCGACATGTCGAGCATCATCAACAAGGCGAAGGAGATCGTCGAGCGAAACGGTCTGACGAGCAAGATCACCCTTCTGCAGGGCAAAATGGAAGAGGTGGAAATGCCGCAGCACATTATGCCAGACGGAAAAGTCGACATCATCATCTCGGAGTGGATGGGATACTTCCTGCTGTACGAGTCCATGCTCGACACCGTCCTGTACGCTCGGGATCGCTACCTGCGCAAAGATGGCAAGATTTTCCCGGATCGCGCAACCATCTACATGGCTGCGATCGAGGATGGAGAGTACAAAGACGATAAGATCGGCTGTGAGTGACGCATCTGTTTCGACACTAACATTTGTTGACGTGTGACAGTCTGGGACAACGTGTACGGCTTCGATTATTCCCCGATGAAGGAAAGTGCGCTCAGCGAGCCTCTCGTCGACACGGTCGAGATGAAGGCACTTGTCACCGATCCTTGCCCTGTCTTCGTTATCGACCTAAATACCGTCACCACCAAGGATCTTGCCTTCTCAGAAGGCTTCCAACTGCGTGTTCAGCGCAACGACTTCATTCATGCTTTGATTGCATGGTTCGATATTGACTTCACCGCATGCCATAAACCGATCAGGTTCTCTACCGGCCCGCACACGAAGTATACTCACTGGAAACAAACAGTCTTCTACCTCCGCGAGGTATTGACCGTCGAGGAGGGCGAGACCGTGCGCGGATTCCTTTCCAATAAGCCCAACGACAAGAACAAGCGTGACTTGGATATCAAGATTGATTATGAGCTCGATACCGAAGACGCCACGAGATATGGCGGCGGCTCGTGCGAGTACAAGATGTAAGGAGCCTGTCTCGCTGGTGAAACGTTACTGACCGCTTTCAGGTGTTGATCGACATCATTTTGATGCATTTTTCTGGCGCAATTTACCATTTTTCTGAACGCATTCAACGGCGCACCATAGCCACGGTATCATAGAGATGAACGGCATAAACGATAATGACCCGAGATGACCTCCAGGCCTTACGACATCAAGCTCCTCGTCTTTCCCTTAGATACCCAGACGAGTTGAAGCTGATCTTGATAATGGTGTTCATTAATGGACATTATTCAGAACTACCATGTCTTTGTCTCGATGCTTGACTCGTGCGTGTGAACAAGATTTGCATCTCATTGAAGTGCTGGGATACTGATCAGAAAACCACCCAAGTGCCGAGGTTCGCCTGGCTCGTCGCGCACCCCGCATCCGCCGAGGACAGCTCCAACCGCGAATGGCGCACCTTTTCTCTGCGTTTCGCTGTCTCTATTGATCTTCTCTGTTGCAAACTCGTTGAACTTGAATATCTTAGACGAGTATCTTTCAGATTATACAGCCAGTATGCCCGATCCAGGAGTTGGCTTTGAGTACCCTCGCACGGAGGTATCATGGCTCAAGCGCGACGTCTTGCTCTTCGCTGTCAGCATTGGCTGCACGGTGGATGAGCTGCCGTTCATCTATGTACGGGATCAAGCTGGAGTAGTCTAACAATGAGCTGACATATCCCTAGGAACTCCATCCCGACTTTGCTATGTTCCCAACATACCCCATCATCCTCCGTACGCCTACCCGCTAGATAACTCACAGAAGCTCCATGCTGACCGTAAGCAGCGTTCAAAAAGACATCGCAGGAAGTCATTGACTTCTACGCCGCACAAGCCGCAACGCCCATTCCGGGGGTACCTAAATTCGACTCCAAGCGCGTAGTAGACGGCCAGCGTCTGATACAGTTCCTCAAGCCGCTACCGACCACGTCCGAGGGCCGCAAGTTCGAACTGCGCTCAAAAGTACTCGGCGTGTATGACAAGGGCAAGCCAGGCACCGTCGTGGAGACAGAGCAGCTCATTGTGGACAAAGAGACGGACGAAGTATACTGTCGCGCCGTTGGCTCTGGGTTCTTCGTCGGCCAGGGCGGATGGGGCGGCCCCAAAGGCCCGGCGACGCAGAATTTCCCTCCGCCCAAGGGCAAGGAGGACAAGCCAGATGTGGTCAGTGAGACACAGCTGACCGCCGAGGCGGCGCATCTATACAGGTGAGCAGGTCTGTGCCATGGAAGACAGGAAACGATCATTGACATGCGATTAGGCTGAATGGCGACTACAACCCGTTGCACGCGACGCCCGAGCCCGGCCAGAAGATGGGATTCGGCGGCACCATCATGCACGGGCTCTACTCGTGGAACAACACGGCGCACGCGCTCGTCAAGGAGCTCGGTGGCAGTGATCCAAAGAACATCAAGGAGTTCCAGGCCAGATTTGCCGCGCCAGTGAAGCCGGGCGTGAAACTCAGCACCGAGATCTGGCGGACCGGTGAGATCAAGGATGGCTGGGAGGAGATTCGATTCCAGACCAAGGTCGCAGGCAAGGTCGTGTTGAGCAACGGCAGGGCGTTGATGAAGGTGGTGAGCGGGCAAAGCAGGAGCAAGCTCTGAAGGTCGGCCTGATAAGGTAGGGGTGACCCCCCCTCAAAGCTAGTTCAGTAACCATAAAGCCTCCTCCACACGCTTCTATCGATTCCTCATGCATCGGCACAGAAGCCGTATGGGGTCATGAAACCTCCGTGCGGCAGCGACCGGGTGCGGGATGGTCGGTGGTGGGCATGGATTTTTTCTGGCTTCCGGGCACGAGGTGTCACACAGCCCACGTGCAATGATTCTAGGTGAAGCGTAGATTCGCACCATGGGTTATTCCCTGGGCCTGGACTTGGCTACAGAGTCTAGGGATGGACGAAATCGACGGAAGGGCTCACCTAGCTCAGAGCAGGGGCTTGGTGCCTATACACAGCCTAGCGATACAGCCTGATGAGCCGCCGTCTGGGCGCCCAGAAGCTCGTGCAGCCAAAGCTTTCGCTCCAAGCATTGCCATGATGCTTGGGAGTCTTGTCTTTACCAACACCCCATCTTCTTCCTAGACTGCCGTTGCATTTATGTATCGCTGTGCTACGATATAGCTGTATAGAGATACAACTTGTTGTCGCCGCGAGCAACTTGTCTGCCCAAGATGTTTGAAGACCCTGTGAGCCCGTTCAGAGATTGTGTACCCCACCGGCGACACTCCGCTATCATGCTCAACAGCGGAGAGTCCCCATGGGCGACTTCTAAGCTGTCGCCCCGGGACCCGAATACCGCATTAGTTCTTTGGTCGGAGCAATTCCACCTTGTCTCCAGTGGCTACGGAGTATAGATATGCCCGCGGAACCGCATATCAACGCCGCTGTTGCAGTCGACGGCGAGCGGACGAATTTTTCTCGGGCGCCACCCATGGTCCAAACATGGCAAGGTATCTTTGAAGCGTGCGCTTCGGCTGCAGATCTCCGCCCGTGCTTGCATATCCAAACCAATCATGGGAGTTCGCACGGTCCGAATTGCCTTTCAGGCCAACCCGACAGTAACATGCACCATGGGATCATGCCCCAGCTTTCCACGACCCCCAGTCCCTGGTTGACTTTTTGAGGAAGCCACTTGCGTCCGCTAAGTCGCATTTGCTTTCTTGCTTTTACTCCTCGCTTTACCACAGTCGGGCTCTTAGCCGTCCATCACCGAATCATCCCCACAAGTATCACCCGATCAAACCACTCCCCACCTGCCAGGCTCTCCCGCGTTACACTCATTTCGCCCTTTTCCATGGAGGGGATCACGAAAACGATGCCTTGGCAGCCGCTTTGCTCCTGCTGTGATTTGCTCCCGCCATGTTGCCAAGAGAGGATGGGAGGCAAAGTGCAGGAGCGCCCGGCTCTAGCATTCGCCATGGTCAAAAGTCGGCGCATCGGAGTAACTCGCGAGTGCAACGCCGCCGGAGGACCAGTGAAGAAGGTGGGATATAAGAGTCTTGTGACGCCTTGGTCAGAGATCTTGTCTGGTCGTCCAAGAGAGCTTCTCTCACCACCTCATTTCTTGTTCACACGTCTTTGCGATTTCACTCTTACAACATGGGAGGAGCAGGCAAGAAGCCCGTCAACATTTTCCGCATCTCCCTTGGCGATGAGCCTCGGGAGGTCAACAACTGGCGCCTATGGTTTGCCGTCCTCAGTTTCGGTATCATGGGTGCCGCCCGTGGTATCGATGAGGGCCTGATTTCTGTAAGTCGTTCTTCTGCCTTTCGCATTCAGCCCCTCTCACTGCTTCTTCGCATTCCTCTACGTGCCACAGCATGAGCTCATTCAACCACAGGGTACCTTCAACACCAAAGCCTTCCAGACTCTGCTCGGCTTTGATACACTCGACGAAAAAGAGTATGCCGACATCAAGGGCAACGTCAGCGCTATGGTCCAAATTGGCAGTGTCGGCGGTGCCCTCCTTGCCTTCCTGCTCGCCGACAGAATCGGTCGTCTGTGGGCCACCCGTCAACTTTGTCTCCTATGGATCCTTGGTATCGTCATCTTTATGACCAACGGCGGCAGACTCGGCCAGGTCTACGCAGGCAGATTCATCGCAGGGCTGGGAATAGGGCAGACAACCGTCGTCGCCCCAGTTTATGCAAGTCTCACTTTTCTCTCTCGAAGACGCTAACCCGCCTCATTGAATCGTCCGAACACGGCTAACTCGCGTTTCCAGATTGCGGAGATCGCCCCTAAAGCTGTCCGTGGGCTCTGTACTTGCGTGTTTGCAGGTTCAGTCTACATCGGAATCATGCTTGCGTACTTTGCTAGTTACGGCAGCAACCTACACATCGATATCAACAGCTACAACTCATGGGCTGTTCCCACCTCCATGCACATCATGTTTGCTGGTCTCATCTTCATTCTGTCATTCTTCAACAAGGAATCGCCCCGGTTCCTCATCAAGAAAGGCAACGTGGAGCATGCTGTCGAGAATCTCGCCCGAATTCGCAATCTACCTGCTGACCACGAAGTCATCGTCCACGAGATTCACGAGATCAAGCACCAGCTGGCTGAAGAGCAGGAGGCTACTATGGGCCAGGGTGTCTTCGGCATCTTCCGCGAGATGTTCTGCATGCCCAACAACTTCTACCGAATCTACCTTGGTCTCGGCTCACAGTTACTCTCGCAATGGTCGGGTGCACAGAGCATCACCATTTACGCCCCTGACATGTTTGCCCTTTTGGGCACCACCGGTCAGCGCGAGAAGCTCTTTGCCACTGCCATCTTCGGTGTGGTCAAGTTTGTGGCGTCCATCATGTGTGCACTGTTCCTTGTGGATGTCATTGGTCGCAAGCGTGCTCTCAGCATCGGCATCATCCTACAAGCCGTATCCATGTGCTATGTTGCCGCGTTCCTGACAGCCGTACCCGGCATCGATGAGGAGGGATTCGAGTTCACGCCCTCACAGAAGAAGGCGTCAACTGGCGCTATCGTGATGATCTACATCAGCGGTTTTGGTTGGGCAATGGGTTGGAACTCGATTCAATATCTGCTGAACGCCGAGATCTACCCGCTTCGAATCCGTGCCATCTCCTCGTCAATGGTCATGTGCTTCCATTTCGTCAACCAATACGGCAACTCGCGTGCCGTTCCACAGATGCTGCTACCCGTCTCCAGTGGTGGCTTGACCCCAGCTGGCACCTTCTGGCTCTTCACGGCTATCACCCTGCTGGGCTTGTTCTGGGCATGGTACTTCATCCCCGAGACAGCGGGTCTGTCGCTAGAGCAGATGGACTACCTCTTCAAGCTGAAGTGGTACCGCATCGGCATCTTCGGCAGGAAACAGGCCGAGATCGACGTTGCGGCTGACAGGCAGAGATGGACGGATGAGAAGACCGCGCAGGAGGGCGTGCAGGTCGAGTATGCCCAACAGCCGGGTCAGGATGCTGAGAAGAGGGCTTGAGAAGGTCTTTGACTCTGAGTTTTCCGCACGTCTGAGGTGAAACAGCGGCCTCGCGGCATATCAGGCTCGTGGCAGTGAAACCGCTATGACTGCATATGGTAGCAAATAAACAACATTGCGAATTACGTTTTCTCGCTTTTCAAGGCACCTTGTGCATTAGCCTACACACTACATGACCATTTGATCTAGCATCTATAGCATCGCGGACGCCTATCCGTGTGATAGCCTCTCCTCTGCATCCGCATCCGCATCCGCATTCGTGGACGGATCTCCCCCGCAAAGCCATAGCCCCGGAAGTCTGTCCATCTCACACGTTCTCCGCATCCCGTGCCATATCACGGAGATCATCCACGCCAATCATTCACAGCGCCGTGGGTCAGGCATTGAAAATGTAAGTTGTAACGCAACGTTAGCATCGTAGCTGATATGGTCCTTCGACATCCTGCAGTTCTCGGACCATGGTCAGGCCCCCTGATACTAGCCTGCTAACCATCTGGGAGTCATGGTCATTAGATCTGCTGGAACAATTCTATCATTGTACTATCGCGACAGTCACGAGAGTGTTCCATCTTAGCTTACCACCGGGCGGCTGAGGAATGCAGAGTGCAAGTATACTGCCACTCCCCGTTGCTCGCATATCTACTACGCCTTCTACTATTCCTCGTTTCCACGACTCACCCCCTTACTCCTCGTCGTCGTCCGGATACTCAATAAACATCCTTTCATACTCCCTAACACTCCACTCGCCCGAAGCCGTGTCCACCGTGAGATTCGTGCTCACCACCTCCCCACCCCTCAGGAAGCCACTCTCGACCTTGCCCCCACTCAACGGCCTACTCAGCCGGTTCTCGCCCGCCACAACGGTAAAATTAGCCATGGACAGCTCGTAGGCATTGCGCTCCGCCACGGTGGGACAGCCATAAAACCGGGCCTGCACGTCCCGCGCCGTCACGTGCATCTCGAAGTAGCCGCGGAAGTAGCCTTCGGCCCACTGCAGCTCCGGGTTGTCGGTGATGAGGGACTCGGCTTGGGCGTTGCCCTGCGAGACGTTGGTGCCGTAGCCGGACGAGGAGACGGCGGTGCCGCCGAATTCGACGCCGACCGCGCCCGAGCCCGTGGCGGGGTCGTAGGAGGTGTGGTCGAACCAGACGAGGTCCGAGACCCAGTTCGCGTGCTGGAGGGGGGAAGGGGTGCTGTTAATTACATGTCGTTGAGCGGTACAGGGGCCAGGGGATAAGAGAATGGGCGGGAGAGAGGGGTGGATGACTCACGCTGTCGCCGGCAATCATGATGTTGTTGTCGATCCCATAGTCGAGGAGGGTTTGATAAGTGCGGTTGCGGTTTGCCTTGGCACACGCGTTAGCTGGACAGTGTTCCCTGCAAGGCTGTTTATAGGGATCCTGACCATGTATCCATCCCACTGATCACCATTGTAGGGCACCTCGGACGAGCCGAACCAGTTGGTGACGTTGATGCGACTGAAGACGATCTGGCTGCCGATGATGCGCCACACGGCGCCGCGGTCCTTGCTGTCGATGAGGCTCTGGTAGAACCAGTTCTCCTGGCGCGCGCCCATCAAGGTCCTGCCTGCGTCGTTGCTGATCTCATAGATGTACGGATCGTTCCAGCCTCCAAGCGTTGTGATGGAGCGATCGTAGTTGCGGGTGTCTAGCATGATAAGATCGACGAGCTTACCGAGCTTGAAATTGCGCCAGATGCGGAGATTATCTGCCCTCTTGTTAGTGGTCGGGGATGAATGATGGGGTGAGAGAAGACGGACCGTCCATGGCCACCTGCCGGATGGGTTGATACTCGAAGTATGCGCGGACGGCATTCATCTTGCGCTGGTCAACGCTCACGCTACCGAGCTCGATGAAGGAGTCTTCGGTGTTGTTCATGCCGCTGAAGCCGTCTCTGTAGCCGTTATTGGCGATCTCGTGGTCATCCCACACGGGTATCCAGGGGAAGTTCTGGTGCGCCAAGGTGAGGTCAAGGTCTGTACGATACTGGGCAATGCGAGTTCGGTAGTCATATAGACTGACGATTTCCTTCTGCGGCGAAGCGGCTCGCTCATCACGTCCAATGACTCCATTTTCATACTCGTATAGATAATCTCCTAGATGGACCATGTAGTCGATGTTGTCCTTGCGTGCGGCGTTGCCATAGGCATTGAAGTAGCCGTTGGGGTAGTTGGAGCACGAGAAGACAGCAATGCCAATAGGTGTAGTGCCGTCATCCTCGGCGGGAGCGGTCTTGGTACGACCCACAGGAGAGCTATTGCCAGTGCCGCAAACTGTAAACTTGTAATAGTAGGTTGTGTAAGGGGCAAGACCTGTTGCCTCGATCTGTTGGTAGGAAACAATTAGGCCAGATCAGACAATGAATGGCTTTGCAGAGCTTTACCTTGACCGTGTAGTCGATGTCGCTTGAAGTAAAAGCCTGCCCCGAGCTTACGATAGCAGAGAGACTCTCGTCTGTGGCAACCTGCCAGTCTAGACAAATAGGGCTAGACGAGACCTGGGTATACCGTTCGGTCTCATGGCTGTAGAGTGGCACGTTGCCCTCGACCGTGATGTTGGAGGGGTCACTCTCTAGAGAAGGCGCGATTCTCGTCCACAAGATGACCGAGTCGCTGTAGGGATCACCCTATGCTGTGAGTAGTTGAGGTAGTGAACAGACCAGTACTTACAGATGCAACACCATGCGTAAAGTTCAGGCTGTCGGTGTCCCAGTCCGGAGTATCACGTTTTGCCAGGTGCCGCTTGGTCACCTTGCCAACGTCAATACCCAACGACGGGTGCTCTGAGGATGGACTGCGGTAGTTCAGGTTTCCACTGTAGCTTGCAGAAGCCTCAAGACCCAGAAGGGCGAGCACCGCGAGATTTTGAAGCATTTTGAAGGACAGACGCAGGTCAACTAGTTAGAAGCACAGCAGGACTCACCTGAAGATCCTCAAAAGCAGTTTCTTCGCCCACGCTTTATAGCTTTGGTTTGCAGGACCTCATGATGGTACGGGTATAGCCCACGTTCCTGGCCTGCCGTCCAGTTTGCGATGAGCATGAAGCCATCCCGCCCGCCGAGCACGCTTCGCGTGCTTCGCGTGCTTCTCGGGCGCTTTAGCGGCAGTCTTGGCTGCTCGTTACGGCAGGTCCATTGTGCTCGGAGACCACTGGGGTGAAGGTGTTGCCAATAGACGAACGTGAGAGCACCACGGGTTGTCGATCGTGCATGGACATGTGGTGAAATACATCGAGTCTCATTCGTCGACGTATCTGGGGTCTTGGCATTGCCAAGCCTTGGTCCGCTCTCTTTGAAGTCGACGTCATTGGTTGATTTCTTCTGGGTAGTGAGGACCAGTAGCTGTGTTATCGGCCATCTACACATTGACGCAGTACATCTGACAGTATACGGGCAGGAGATCACCGCTGTTTACTCTTCCACATTACAGAACTCGCCAAGTACAGGTAACGTTGGCATCGGAACAGTCAACTTCAATAACACAGGATCCAGCACAATATATTTGTATTTGGGGCACAGCATGCTGCTTATCTGAAATTTGGAATATTCTTGCTGCTGATCAATCTGATGCCTGTGCTTGAATCGCCTGCATGCTGATTGTGCTGGCACATTCAATGACCATCGTAAATGGACATGATTCCATCAGACGATACTGCTACTGGGTGGCGGGAAGACAGGCACCGACGCCGTCGTAGCCCATGTGAACAACTCTTTCACCCGGCTGAAGATGCACTGCAGGTTTAAATGGCAGCAAGGGTACTCCCATCGTCTGTTCACTTCGACGCACGCAGGTTACCCTCCTCTTTGGCCTTCTTTTGTTCCAACGTCTTGACGCCACTGTCACGGGGGTCTCGAACCTCGTCCTTCGGGTTTCCGTTCGCACGTCGGATTTCTTGAATCTCCTTATGCCCTCCGGCAGGTGTTTTGTCGGAATGGATGAAATAGTATCCTGATACTAATGCCAGCAGAGCCCCAACGCCATAGAAGCTATGCTTTGAATCAGCAACGGATCGCCTTGAGGGAGTGCTTGGATGAATGGTGGACGTACGCAGGACTGGTACCACTCTTTGCGGGTGACGCTCGCTGGGCTGTGCCTTCTTGTTGTGAGGATCCTCCCTCTGAGGCGAAGCGTCGGACTGAGTTTACGGGTCGTATCTGAGGGAACGATTGAAGTCGAGCCGTGGCGCGAGTTGAGCGTGCGATGGCAGACATATTGAATTGGAGAAGAGAAGCTGCTGTTATGCTTCCCTAATGACTTGTCGCAGGTGATGGCAAGAAGGCAGTGATTTTCTTGTAGTACCTAGCTAGTGCAGCACACCTTCACCCCATCAACGTCATGATTGAATAAGGATATGACCCGCAGAGGCGAGAACGGTGCTCCAGCTTCATGTCAGGCACCGCAGCAGTAGACGGGCGTAGGTCAATGTGATTGGCTGGAAGTGAGTTGTATGATGCAGAGTCGATTACGCTACGGAAATGCTTTCCGTCTCTTGCATCTCAACGTCCACCGTCGCTTCATCCGACGCTGGATAGCATTCCGTGTACATTTTGGAGGTAATAATCACAAACCTATCACGACATAAGGTTCATATAAGATCAATGGGCCGAACGGCTTGGTCATGCGCCCCGCTGCGGGCCAGGGCTGAATCTTCTCGAGGGCTGGAGCTATATGAAATACCTCGAATGTTTCTCTTGCCCATGAATTTATCCAGTCGAAGCAAGGGCTGGCCGAATGAGTATCATTACATCGTGCAAAGAAATGACCTGAGCTCTAGTACACCATCGTCTCTCATTATGCTAATAAGCGCCGACCTGCTTGAAACCCTTCGCACTGTTTCGGAATTTCGCGCGGGGTATTTATGTGCTTGACGCTTGCAGCGCTGTTCGCAGCACCCTTTGGCATAAAGGGCCGGTGACCTTTGGTTCGTGTCAGCAGTCTTCAGGTTGTGCCGGTTCTAAAGCCGCTGGCCGTGGGGTGACCGCCGACCCACGCTCGCCGTCTTCATGCCAGGGGTGACGGCACTGTCGATGTCTCCTGATTGGTGTAGATGCATTTGAGGCAAAGGACATCTCGGCTGGGCGCATATCGAGGCCATGGGCCCTAGGCGACTCTACCGGTACATTCGTACCAGCCGCCAAAGTTCCCTGCCAGGGCTACAGGTGGCCGCACCGAGGCTTAGCACAATTTGCACCGATTCAGCATGTTTTGGACTGCGCCTCATCATGGCCTGGCCGCCTCAATGGTAGTGGACGGGGCGTAGCGGCTTGGTCTGCTAATGTGCTGTGGCATATAAGAAGGCGTCCAAACTTCACATTCTCCGGTCAACCTTTAGGTATACTAACGGCTCTCATCGGGTCGATCTTACAGATTCAAAAACATCTATGGACCGATTGTTTCATGAAGGAGGGAATTTCTTCGGAACGACGCTAGCTGGCCTCACTCCAGATGGAGAAGATATTACCACCATCACAACTACGTTGACTGCTGATGAAGCCACATCGCGGCCGACAGACGCTGACGGCGCCCTAGAAGCAGTGAACACAAGTGCCTCGATTGCCAGCTCCAGCAAGCAGTCCCTAGACCCCGGCGAATTCCGAATCCTGAAGTTCTCGACAGTCGAGGTTACCTCGGAATTGAGATGCGTAACGAGTCGTGAGGAGTTGGCCAGAGCACCTGCCTATGTTGCCCTTTCCTATTCCTGGGGTACGGTGGATGTGTCACACTCTATCCAAGTGGACGATCGCACGGTCAACGTCTCGAAAACTTTGTTTGAAGCCCTGACGAGCCTACGCAGCCAGGCCATATTCGAGGCATGCGATGGAAATCTTTGGATCGATGCCCTTTCCATCAATCAGCAGGATGTGGCAGAAAAGACCCAGCAGGTCCAGATGATGGCAAAGATATATCAAAGTGCTACTATCGTGGTCGGCTGGCTAGGTCAGATGACCACTAGTGATCGAAGAGGGTTCGAAACGATTCGCAGCGTGACGGAGACGCTCAGACTGGGAGAGGTCTACGATGGGCTCGGAAATCACGTGATGAATGCTCCCGCCCTCGCGAGCACATTCACTCTTGCCGAACGTGAGGGTATCCCCTACGTTGGTCATCCAGCATGGGAATCCGTGGCGCCGATATACGAGAAAAGCTGGTGGTCCAGGGTCTGGATCATCCAAGAGCTACTTCACGCCCAGCACTTCATGTTCCTCTGTGGTGAAACGGTAATAGAAGATTACATTCTTCATTTTGCAGCCAACTTGGCAAGAGTACCTTTTCTCTCACAAGCAATGCACGAGGCTCGTGGGTCTGGACTGGGAAGGTTTGCGGCATCTTCGCTGGCGCTGTGGCGTGAGGAATGGATTAAGGGCCTCCGATCAAATATGCTCGCATGTCTTATCAGGACTGTGGCTGCAAAATCTACAGATCCGCGCGACAAGATCTTCGCGTTGGTATCATTGTGCAATGACATCCAACCAGATTTCATCAACTACGACTACGGCCTGAAAGAGGTCCTGATTGGGTTGGCAGGTGTTCAGCTCAGGAAACGTGCACCTAACATGGACGGACTATCTATTCCACAAAGTTTTGGAAGAATAGAGGGTGTCCCTAGTTGGGTTCCATGTTGGGCCGGTGCAACGCCAACTGGGGTGGTCGACCTGGCTATGACACGCTTTTCTGCTCTTAAGCACGGCACTGAACTTCCACCATGTTCGGATGTATTTCTCCAGGCAGTGGAAAACACTTTCATCCTCGGCATTCATACGCAAAAAATGGACGAAATTGCAGTCGTCCTCGACACCCACGTGGAAGGCGATGTCCCATCAACTAAAAATATTGCGCGAGATATTTGCTCAGATGACTACTATGCGTGGCTCTGTGCCTTCTATCGTCACCAATGCCGCCAACATCAATTAGAGTGGGATCTAGCCGAGCTCACCGAAGGTCTTGGGACCTACCCGACCGGTAAGCCGATAGAAGAGGTATATTGGCGCAGCAAAATATTCGACGACCAGCGTGCCAGGTCGTCGCAGATAATTGCGAAACACTGTGCTCTCAGCCGCGAAGAAATGCAGGAAACCTTTCCAAGAGTTATCTCACTCGCAACGGAAATAAGGGAGGGAGAGGCTTTGGGGGTGCATTCTTCTCAACACTCTTTCCAACAGATGCAACTCTGCATGTCTTACGAGGACCTGGTCAGAGATATCCAATTCAAGAGAATGGCTGACTCAGACGAGTATACTGAGCGGTCTCCGGGAGGTTTCCGCAAATACGCGGTCACCGTGAAAGGCTATGTAGCCTGGATACCGCCAAATGCAGAGATTGGTGACGAGCTCCACATGGTTGACGGCGCTCGAGTTCCGTACATCCTACGACGGCTTTACGACAAGGGCGAACCTGAGGACTACAATGTTGAGCTGGTAGGCGATGCCTATGTTCACGGCCTGATGAGTGGGAACGACATCTACAGCTCGGATCTATTGGAGGCCAAACAGCTTGTCCATATCTTCTGATGCTCTTCTATACTGTCATATGATGGGTTATACGCAGCCCGAAAACCAGCGATATCGCTTCAGGGTGACTGGCGTCCGGTGTCATCAGGTACCGTTCATGGCTTCGATGAAAGTGATGTTTGACGGCGGAATCACAACATTTTGCACTTTAAACCAACAGTTGAGATGATCGCTCAAATTTGAGAGTCGTATGATCCATACAAATGTTTCTGCTCCGGATAGTCTGCCAAGAAGCAGTGTCCGCCTTGTTGCCTTACAGGTGGGGTGCAGACTTCTTCATATCACTCCATCCTCAGACAGAGGTCAGTTCACGAGGTCACCGCGTCATGTGACTTAAGTTGCCTTGTAATTGTGTTTGTTTGTCACTCTCATGGAAAACGGCGGCTCTAAATCGGCACGCTTTTGTACATTGTTCTCTTTACTTCAGCCACATTCACGACACCGTTTAGCAGCGCATCGAAGATGTCGCCAACAGACACTCCGTGGGATGGGAAGTTCTCATGCTCACGCAGTGATCCATATGGCCCTCTGAAAATGGATCCGAACGGCCTGGCAGACTTGAGCTTCGACCCATCGATCCGCGCACAAGACCATGTCCTCCAAAACCCAAGCCTCTTCCCGTCCGTGCGACCCTCATTCCAAGATCTGCACGACATGATCGGAATTCCAGCTTTCGCAAAATACCGCGATGCTATTGACAAGCAATACGAGTTCCTAGACGCCAGCCGCCTTACCATCATCGCCCAGCTCACCGCCGATGCCTACACCAAAACCGGTCTCCGTCCCACCGAGACTCAAATCAAGAAATCCGTCGAGGTTCTCGACCGGTACTTGCCCATTGGACTCTGCTCCTCCGCGCACATCGACCCCAACCGCCTTCGCTACTCCATCAAACACGGTCAAAGAGCCGTCGCCTTCTTCGTCCTCAAGGGTCTGCAAGCCTGCCTCGCCGAAGTCGAGGTCCGCAACAATCTCAACATGGTACAGCTGAAACATATCGTCATCGAAGCTGTCGAAGCCCTGCAAGAGAAATTGGTGCAGGTCTCCATGTACCAACACGGCGGCAAGGAGGCGTTCAAGCTGGCTCTTGCCGCTAACGACCACGACGTGATCCTCTATGACACCTCAGCGCTGCGTACTCTGCTGGACGAAGCGCAGCAGGAGCTGTGCGACACAGTCGAGGATCACGCGTCGAGGATGGTGGCGGTCACGATGCAGCCTGCCGACTTTCGGATCTGGAACGCGGTTGGCGCATGCAAGTTGCTCTTGAGACGGATTGTGGATATCGACGATGATGATATCGAGGACGAGGTCCTGTGGTGATCAGGCGAAGAGCATCTGGCCCGGAATCGGGGTTTCCACCTACTCCTTGATGGAACGATGGACTCTGCAATAGTTCAGGGCATAGCGACCTGATCAAAACTCCTCAGGCTTCCGTTCTTCAAGGATACTCTCACCCTTTGCGTTAGGCCTTGCAAGATGTCCAAATCAATACTTCAAGACTAGATCGAATGAGAATTGCGTTGAGTGAGCGTTGAGCAAACGACTAGATAGAACGAACAGCTCCTTGAAATGCAACTCCCAGTGCGTCACTGCTCGGCTACCGCCGACCACTCTAGTTGTCACTCTTCCGAGCACCACCATATTTCAGTCTCTAATACAAACCCCACCACGTCTTCGCTTACTATAGCCCTGACGACCTCGTATCTGTTTTCCCTCGTTGGTGTAGGCGCGGCGCGGGCGTGGACCATTTTCGCGCCCACATGAGCCCATTTGTCGCCCTGACCAGGTAACAAAACATTCCATGTCAGATATTGGAGGTCCTAACCCGCTCCTTTCTCCACAGCACCCACAGCCCGCTGCTCAAACAATCGCCGCTGCAAGTGCCCTGCAAAGTCCTGTCCCGGTTGGCACGGTCCGCGATTATTCACTGCCTCTTGGCAACGCCGCGTACTGTGATTGGCCGTCGAATCAGGCGATCAATCAGTTAAACTATAGGATGTCATTGGACTCGGCTCACTACGTGGAAGCTCGATGTAATTGTCATTTATAGAGGCGCTGAGATCGGGGTGTTGATGTTGCAGGGTCTTCGACTGTGGAAGCGGATGGCAGCGCGGTATTCAGACAATTGTGACAGGTGCGTGGAGAAAAGCCACGTGGTGCACTGTGGACATTTGTGTCTACACGAAACATCATAGGAAAGGAAGCACTTGGATGAGACAAGGCTGGAGCTGTGAATCAGGACCCTCTTGAAAAATTTGACAAATGAGGACTGTGGCGATGAATCATACAATGGTGATTAATGGCAAGGCACGCAGTGAACCCGCCCCGTGGGTGACGAGGTCGATACAATTGCATCGGTAGGGATGACTACATCGGCTTACAGGGAGAAGACAATAGATTGTGCAAGAGATTTGATGGTCTGAAAAGGGAGCTGCCTCAAGTTGCAGCTTGTTCCCGCTACCTGTGCCAACATCTTCAGACGGCTAGAAGATGTCCTATCAGGCTATCATAAGAGAGGTAATTGGGGAAGTTTTCGAGGCCGTGTCCCGATCACCGAACAAGCATGATGGTCTTGCTTCCGAAACATATCAGCCGGAAGCAACCTCAGGGGTCTCGTTATCCTCGATCTTGGCATCGTTTAGCTCCTTTGTGGCATCTGCAACACCATCCTTCTCCTGATCCTGCTCGGCTTCGGCTGTGGGCTCAACATTGGCCTGGGCGACCTTCTTGCCGCGATCACGGCGACCTTCAGCAGGCGAGGCAGCGGCCGATTCACTAGCCTCCTTTTCGAGGCGCTCAATCTCCTTCTTGGCCTTCTCGATGTTCTAGTACATTATTAGTATCAGTTGCAGCATCGGCGGTGGGCTCTTACCTTCTCGGTCTGCTCCTTCTGATTCTTCTTCCAGTTCTCGACCTTCGCCTTGAGCTTCTCCACGACACTGGGTACATCGTCTTTGGTGCTTGGCGGGTCTACACCAACCTTGGCCAACTCTTCGATGATACCGATGTTCATGTTGAACTTGGAGTCGGCAGCTGAGGCAGCAGGCTTCTTGCCCTTGCCCTTCTTCTTGCCACCACCACCAACGAAGAAGTCCTCTTCATCCTTCTTCATAACCTTCATACCCTTGAAGCCCGAGTCATCGATGGTGCGTTGAGCAGAAGCAGCATATTTCGCCGGAGTGGCCTCGCCATCTGTAGTCGTGTACGAGGGATCAAAGTGCTTGATCAGACCTTCTGAAGTACGGATCTCATCAAGGAAAGCAGGCTCCGAAGCCTCTTCAAGCTTGGCCTCGGCGATACGGCGACGCTTCTCCTTGTCATTTGCTTCCCGCTCAGCCTTGGCACGTTCGCGACGCTGCTGGTAATAGTTGTCCTCCCATGTTTTGTACGCGCGACGTTGCTCGAAGTAGGCGTCCTTGATAGCCTTGACATTCTTGTAGGCTTCATTCTGCTCATCATACAAGTTGTCCTTGCTAGCTCGGAGGGCATCGATGTTCTTCCGGTCACCTTCACGAGCCGACTTGATCTCATCAAGCTCTTTCTGGTTGGCCTCGTACTTCTCTTGCAGGGCGCGAACTTCTGGATTGTCAAAAGTCTTCCTGAGCTCAGCATTCTCGGCCTTCTTTTCGTCGATCTTCTTTTGAAGGTCATCGAGGTTCGAGAATCCCTTCTTCTGGCGCCTGAGCTGACTGATGTTGTCGAGAGCTTTCTTCTCGTCGACGACCTTCATGGTACCCGAGTCGATCTGCTTGTTGATAGACTCGATCTTTGCATCGATCTCGTCAGCGCTCTTGAAGCCAGCACGGCCGCGGGCGTCCTTCTGCTCCTGGATGAGCTTCTTGATCTCGGCCTCATTTCGATCATGAACGTTGCGTTGCTGGGACTTGGCCGACTTGTGTTCGCCTTGCTTCTTCCGGATCTCTTGTTGGTCTTTCACAAGGAGTCCGTAACGATCGTTGGGATCCCTCCGACCTGAGCCGGTGGCGCCCTCGAACTTAGTCTTAGCAGCTTGCTGGGTACAGTCAGTAGCTGATTCGTTCGTGAACTCGATCTACATACGAATTTCTCCTTGGAGGCATCATGCTGTTTTTGCGCCTCAGCTAAGTCAGCCTTGTACTTGACTTCGTCAGGCTTGCCAGGGTTCTTGACGGCGCCATCGGCGGGAGTAGACGCGGTGTCGGCCATTTTATTTGTCGGAGAGGATGATAACCAGTAGGATGAACCGTTAAGAAGAGTGTGACCGGTGAGCGAGCTGCTGTGCAGAGAACTAGTAGACCATGGCGGTTGACAGCCCGATGACAACAGAGAGGAGTGAGAAGAAGTCTTCTTTAATATATAGCTTCAGTCAACCGAGAATGACCTTGCTGTGCAGGCGGAGCTTAGTGACTGTAGGCGCAGGTAGGGCCATCTGGCTGCGGCGGAATTAATTGCTGCCGGTGCCATTTTTGGTGCCAAGATTTCTACACGATGTGGTGTGTTTGCGCCACCGTAGAGTTGCCTGAAGCAATTGTCTTTGCGCAGTCCAAACTTTTTGTTGTTTGTGAATATTATTTCCAGCGCAGGCCAACATTCATACTTGGAGGAGTGAGCAATCCGCAAAGATGGAGGTCGATCGTCCGGCAGTTAGCAACGACAAAGTCGATGCAGAGAACACGCGACTGTGGCGCATTTCCAAGACTCTTCTTGAGCTGCTTGCGGATCGGGTATGCGCCGCTGAAGAAACAGCCATGAGATCTGCGCTAACCTGTCGCAGGGCTATCAGGTCTCAGAGTCCGAGTTGAATCGAGGTTTGTCAGAGTTCTTGGGCAAGTATCAGGCCGGTGCCGATGTTATCGAGTGAGTACCGCTGGCAGGGACCGGCCCTCGCTCAGACTAACATGCCACAGTCGCAGAAGACTCACTCAATTCTTCAACCCGACCCCAGAGATGATCACCCGCGACACGCCCCGTCCGACTAAGAAGAATCCGAACCCCAAATCAACGGCTGGTACGATGTATGTCGAGTTCTGCCCTGAGGCACCTGTCGGTATCAAACACATTCGCGCCTTTGCGCAGAATCTCGATCAGCAGAATTACAGCAACGGTATTCTCATAACAAAGGTGTCACCGAACGCCGCTGCGCTGCGCGCCTTGGAGCCTTTGGCCGAGCGTGGTATCACTGCCGAGACCTTCTCTGAGGGAGACCTGCTGGTGAATATCACAAAGCACGAGCTGGTTCCTAAGCATGTGCTGCTCAGCGACCAGGAGAAGAAGGTGCTTCTGGATCGATATAGACTTAAGGAAACCCAGCTGCCACGTATCCAGGCAGTCGACCCAGTTGCCAAGTATCTTGGTCTGAAGAAGGGCAATGTGGTCAAGATCATCCGCAAGTCTGAAACTGCTGGTCGGTACGCTAGCTACCGGTGGGTGTACTGATCGCGCAGCCTTGGAAGTTGTGTTTCTTCTCTGAGCGTGGAGTTGGGGCTGGAAAATTGTTGCATTTCAGGGCGTGGGTCATGTTGGGTCGCGGCTCCCAAAGGGCGAGATGCTTCTCCCCGCAGATCGTTCCTGACAAAGAAGCATGCTGTGTTGAGATGCATGCGGTCTTTATTGTATCCGCGACGCCCCAAGTAGGTGGCAGTTGCAGTTGCCGGCAGTCATAGGATTTGACACGATTCCTGATCATCGTGGTGGATGAGTTCGTCTCTTTTTTCCAGATGCATACATGTGCACCCAGATCTGCCTCCCTCTGTTTCTTACATCTTCGGCCATCATAGTAAGAAGCTGCAAAGCCCGTGTCTACTACTCTTCGTAGACATCTCTTCGTGCGGCAAGGCGGAGGTTTATGCCAAGATTTGCGCCGCTGCTAAACCTGATCTGTAAAGGGGCAGTCTATCTCCAGTTTATGTTCTTCCGTCTGCCGGTGAGCTCTCAGATTCATCAAGTACAACGATGGCGCAAGGGCCCCAATCGCAGCCTATCATAAGATGGCTGTTTGCCCTTGCCATTGTTTCGCTTCTTGTGGCACCGACGGCGGCGTCCATCGGGGACCGGTTACCTGACTTCCGTGAATGTGTCCAGGTTCGAACTCATCACACTAATTTGCTAATCCGTAGCTCGAGACTGACATAGCACAGGTCTGCAAAGAGCAGAATTGTGACGATAAATCCGCCACCATCCGTAAGCCGCCCAATACCGACAGTCCGGCCCACGACTACGTCTTTGCCCGTGGCTCACACTTCCCAGCCTTACATCACCGCCTCCTTCTCTGGACCTGCCCCACGGAATGTGATTATGTCTGTCAGCACATTATCACGCAGAAGCGCCTAGCACGCGATCCTCCCATGTTGGAACCTATTGTGCAATATCATGGCAAGTGGCCGTTCCACCGATTTCTTGGCATGCAGGAGCCCTTTTCGGTGCTCTTCTCTTTCTTCAACTTCCTGGCGCATCGGAACGGCATGGAGCGTCTCAGAGAAAATGTGCCAGTCAACTATCCATTAAGGATATACTATATGCTATTTGGGTACTTTGGCTTGGCCAGCTGGATCTTCAGCATGATTTTCCATACCAGGGATTTTGACTTCACTGAGAAGCTCGACTATTTCGCTGCTGGCGCGTCGGTACTCTATGGTCTGTACTTTACACCCATTCGTGTCTTTAGACTGGATCAAAGGACGCCACAGAAGCAATCAATATTACGCGTATGGACCATCACCTGCTGCCTGCTGTATGCGGCTCACGTCACATACCTGACGGCGTGGAGCTGGGACTATACGTACAACATGGCAGCGAATGTGGTTGCTGGAATTATTCAAAACCTTTTATGGAGCTGGTTCTCGATCATGCGTTATCAAAAGCTGCAAAAGACTTGGGCAGCATGGCCCGGCTTGATTGTTGCATGGATCATCATGGCTATGAGTTTGGAACTGTTCGACTTCCCTCCGTGGGGTGGTATGCTCGATGCACATAGCTTGTGGCACTTGGGTACAGTGGTACCGACGATCTGGTGGTATAGGTAAGTGTTGGCTGCAACTTTGCCAGGCTTTAGCTAATACGACCTAGCTTCCTAATAAAGGATGCGCAAGAAGACATGGCCGGTGAGAGGCTGAAGCAGTAATGAGCTGTTCGTGAATCGTTGGATTACATGTGCATAGAGTGGCAAGTGTATACATGTCCAACTGCGATCCTGGGTGTCGGACTGTCCTCAAGCTTCAGTACCAAGAATTGATCACTCCATAGCTAGGTTCTCTACTCGCAGCGCAGAGACCACAAATGCCGCTCACGACGCTTCACTGATGGCAGTGTACATATCCTACCTGCCAAATCGCCACAGTTCGGCGTCGCTGAACATGAACTTGTAACCACTTTTCTGCGGTCTTGACCCACTGACTACGTCGGCGAGCCCCAATGCTCGACGCCACAGTCTTCCCTTCCCACGAGCCTCAAGCGTGCATAAAACAAGCGCGGTCCGTTCCTCTAGCAGGTTCCTGCTGCAGGTGCGGAGGTCTACGTCTGTGCGAGCTTGTCAACCGTAACTAAAGCCTACCTCATCCCAACTGAGTTTGAGAGCGTTGATATCCCTCGCCTAAACACGCGTTTCCAAGCTGTTCAGCAATGTGCAGGCTACGTCTCTAGCATAGTGCGCCATTAACTTGTGCCAACGGTTTCCAATCCCGAGCCTGTCGCATTTCCACTGGAGGCACGGGTCACGCTACACCTCGGTCGACGCCAACCAATCCTCCATTTTGCTGCCCGTCACTGATGTGATGGAGATCCAAGTATTGCAGAAAAACACGGAGCTGGTTCGAGAGCGTTTTGCAGCTTTGTTCCGGAACGCCAAAACCGACGCTTACCATCATGGCGACTTGTGAGGTACCAGAGATCCTACAAACGAGGATCCCTCCACCATCTCTACAAGTTTCATGCTCTCGACATCGACCACGGACTTGGCATGAGCTAAGCAGCGCGATGCCGCAAAGCTTAGCTGCAAGCTGCCCAGTAACCCTCACTCTAGGCGGTATGAATGAATTGATACTACTGAACACGACTGCGCGATGATCTGCCCCTCGGAACTCACCTAAGACAGAAGCTACAGTGGCCTTGGCGTTTGCCTCGTTGCCTTACCTCGACTCACCTCCTACCACCACTCCTGCCAAGCAACTGCCTGAGAGAGCCTCAACAACCATTTGCCTTTACACTGTTGCCACTCATGCACCCAGGCAACCGCGGCCATCTGCCTCGGCGTCACGGCAACAAGGGGTGACACGATGCTAGACTATTTATCGCTCGCGATGGATGCGATGCAGCGGTGCTTAACATTCATCCATCTTCAACTACGACGTTCGTTGCAGTCTTGACACCAAACTCCTTCCCCTAGAAACCACATCAAGAGGCAGAGACGCGTATTGTACGCACGAGAGTCTTTTTTAAGGCCCAAGTCGTGGCTACCGCAACCCCGACCCTCCTTTTCACTAACATCTACAACCGACCACACACGATGCTCTCCCGCCGCGAGCTCTCAATGTACTCCCCCTCCAACTCCAACAATCCTCCTCGCCGCCGGCCCGCAACACCAACCACCAGCCCCCGTCCAACCCGCCGACCCCCCATCTCCCTCGAAGCCCTCTACGCCAGGAGCAAAGACGAACAAGACTTGGCCAGGATCGGCCGCGTGCAGACGCAGTTCCGCAACGCCGAGCCTATCGCCACGGACAAAGAGTCGCAACCCACGCCGCTCGCTTATGACTTTGATCCTCGCGTGAAGCGCGCTCGCGATCACCGCGTGAAGAAGATTCGGGATCTGAAACCGAGGGAGAGTGGGTTTGCGCCAGAGGTGAAGAAGCAGGTGGCGAGGTTTGCGAGGGAGCGGGTGAGAAGGGAGGAGGAGGAGGTTCGGTTGCATAGTGGTGGATACGACGCTGATGACGAGGAGGGGGAGTGGGAGTGGGAGGATGCTGCTGCTGCTGAGGATGAGGATACATTGTTTGTATGTGCTGACGAGGGTGTTGGTGCCGTTGACCAGCAGCAGGGTGAGAGCTATGACAACGGCATGGCTGGCGAGGACGACAACAAGGGCAACGACAACAGCAACGCATATCACGGCGCGTACACGATCCTCCCACAGGCGCCGATTACGCCCACCAAGGCTCAGATCCGACGCAATCCCAAACCCGTCAAGTCTGCCATCACCGTCGAAATCGAGCGTCTCGCCGCCGAAGCCGAGGCATCACTTACGCAAATGAGGTCCAAGCAAGCCGCGTTCACCAATCGCCTGACCCGCAGCCGCAACCGCATCCGCACCAACCGCCAAAAGAAGATGCTGGTTGATCAGAAGGACCGCGAGGAAATCGATGCCGAGAACAAACGCAAAGAGATCCAGCGCAAGGTCGCGAGTGGCCGCGTCGTCAAGTTGCCGGCGAAGAAGAAGAAGAAGGTGGCGTTGGCGATGCTGCCGACGACGCAAAAGGGGAATAGGAAATGGAGTGGATCTTCTCTTGGATATGACGATGTTGGTGCTGCTGCTGCTGCTGGTTTGCAAGGTTTGGAGGCCGTGCTTGGTCCCATCAACGATGATGAAGATCAAGAGGTGACCAGTCTTGAAACCACCACGGCTCAGAGTGCTTTCAAGTCTGCTGTTGCTGTTGCAGCTCAAGACAACGTGGGCGATGGAGCCAGCGAAGACGACGACAACGATGGTGATGATGACAACGAAGACGACGACATCCCCATGCTCAGCAACCGCCGCGCCACCGCTGCCAAGCGCAGAGCGGCGCAGCTCGCGATGGCGATCCACCAAGATGAGGACGCGAAGACGACTGCTGCGGGCGAGCTGGGGCTAGATGCCGATGGTGATGAAGACGATGAGACCCGTGCGGAGATGCCTGCGCCAACGACTGTTCCAGGTCCTGTGACGCCGAGTCCTGGTCGGCGCGAGCGGTACGTGGCCAGCTGGTTCCAGAAGGCTTTTGAGGATGAAGGGGAGGAGTGGTGAGGTTTGGAATGGAGATAGGGGCGGGAATGGAGGTGAAGATAAGGGTGTGTGTGCTTCATAAAGTTGGCGTGTGGTAGATGCCGTTGCATCTGCCTGTGGATACTTGTCCCCTCTGTATGATAAGCATGATGGAGATATCACTTGTGGAGCTGCTTTATTCAAGGGAAAGGGGCAGGTCGATGAGACTGTGGGAGCAAGATCCGGCCTTCATGCTGGACTCTGTCCATATGAACATGTACGATAATGACTTGAGGCTAGTCAAGGGCTGTTGTTTAGCAAGTCATGCGTGAAATGAAAACATATTTTACGTCCTCAAACGCTTGCATTCACATTCGCCAGAACATCAGACGCACTCACCCTTCTACCTATGTGCATAGTCGAGTAATATCATGCCTCAAGCTCGGACTCGAATTCCGGCTCAACCTCCACCGGTTCGTCCTTACCCTGAATCCTCAACCTCGGCTTCGACAAATTCGGTGATTTAGTCATTGGCCTCTCCCACACGCGCTTCCAAGGTAGGTCTTTCCGCCACAAACAGCGCGGACTGGCTGCAGTCACGCCCAGCCGAGAATCGAGGATTTCAGTCAAAACCTCCTCAAGCAGGCTTCTCATGAGTGTATACGGGTCGATGAAGGCGGTCAAGCGGGTCATGATGTCGTCCATGAACCTCACGTCGGGGAAAAGGAGAGCGGTTCTCTTGATGAACCATGGCCGCCTTGCGCTGCCTCGGCAGGCTACTGCGCCGGACAGTAGGATATTGAACAACGTGAGCGGTGAAAGCGTGGTGGCGAGGTCAAGGTCGATGCTTTCGAGTTTCTCCATCAGGATCTGTGCATTCCATCGAATCCGTGGCATGGAGGTGTTGCAGTTGATGCTGTGGAGATATATGTCGAAAAAGAGAGCGATTTGAGAGCACAGCATCAACTCGGTGAAGTTAGTGGAGCCAAGGGCTTTGGCATTGGGATCCAGTCGAACTATGGCATCTTCTGTTCGTTCCAGCAAGGCCTCTGACGGTTCTTTGTCGCGCCATGTCAGGACTCTTCCGTCCATCATGCCTCGATGGGCGTGCCAGACGCTGTCTGATTTCCACAAGGTACGCTCGAGCTCGACGACGTGGGCCAGTTGCATTCTGGTGTGATTAGGGTGATGCTGAATGACGACAGTTGACTGATCGTGCAGGAACGCGCTGATTATATTGACCTTGACTACAGCCAGCTCGGTGTTCAGTGATACTTTGTCCATGCCGACAATTGACCCAATGCGCCGCATTGCCTTGGCATGTATCCTTGCCGACGGTCCATCGGCCAATAGCACCGATATGCGGAAAAGGAACAATATTGCTTGATAGCAGGCTTGATCAACCTCTCCAGATGTTTGCAAGATCGACTGTAGCTCCGATAAGCAGATGGTTTGCAGGCGCAGCCACGGCGGCATGGGCCATAGAAATGGCTGGCCCGGCTCAGCTGGTGGAGGCAGAACGACGCCAGGCCCACCTTTTAGGCAACCTGACAGGAACAAAGATCCAAATGCGGCCATAGCGTAGGTGAGCACCCTTGACGACTGGACGTGGGAGATGCTGTCGAACCATGTCCAGTCATTGATCAGGTGAACAGCGAATGGACGAATAACCTTGAAATAAAAATGCAAGTTGGCCTTCACTTCGAGATCCATATCCGTCCCAAACGAAGAGAAGGGGTCGAGGCTGTGGTGCCCCACGAGCAAGGGCTGCGGTGTCACGAAGTCCTCAAAAAGCCTCCATGCGTATACAGTGGTTGTGCTAGAGTGCTCAGCGGTTGGAGCAAAGATACCAAGCCTCGAGGTCAGGCGTCGGTAGTCTCCATCGACAACTTCTTCGCTAGGAAGGCGCAAAGCGATGTCTGGCTCGATAGCGGAGATATGACCAGAGTCCCCACGGGTCCGAGGGCTGCCTGGGGAACAGATCGGCGAAGGTTCCGATGACAAGGCTTCGGTTGCGGGCTCGGTTGGCGCGAGTGATGTACACTGTGAAGTGTTTTGTCTGATGAAGCTGGGTCCATCGACTTTGCGCCGCTTTGCGTCGAGTATAGCTTGCGTGGTGGCATCGAGGGCTAGCTGCTTGCGGTTCGTCTTTCGCCATTCGCGGTACCGCGAAGAGACATGCGAAGCCACATCTCTCGAGTGCTTACGGCCCTGGTTGAAGTTGGAGGCGTCTTTGATGATGAACATAAGAGGCGTGGCATCGCCTCGTACAGGACTGGCTTGGCCGCGCGCCTGTCCAGGATGTTGAGACAACGATCGGTCCTGGTTGGCCCTCATGATGCCTACAGCGGCAGATCGTTGCCTGAGTTGGCTAATCTGCAGAAGAGCCTTGGACAAGAGCCTCTCCTGTAGAACACATGCCGTTTTCGTACGTCTTCCGCGGGGATAGATCTTGAAGGAGTGCAGGATACGGGGAGGAGACCGGACATGGGCAGTGGGGGGTGGCTTCGCTTGTCATGACTAAGCGCCACACATCTGCCAAGGACGAGGAGCATCTCGCTTCATTTGGTTGTTGCAGCTTCAGTATCCAGATTTTATGTGAACCTGCAAGTCGCCCTTCATTGACCAGCGAAATCCGCTATCTCCGCCGTAGGCGTTAATGCCTCCAGCGGTCTCACTTTCTGCTGCATCATTGTGCGCTGCTCAAAGGCATACGCCAGGCCGACCAGCTTCTCCTCACTCCAACGGCCGGCTACAAAGGCCAGCCCGAATGGGATACCGGGCCCCGTTTGGTTCAGATCCCCGCGGCTGTTCTGCGTTACCTCACTCCCAGCTGGGTAACTGCCCATTGGCACGCTGATGACAGGACTACCCAGAATAGCGGGGAAATGGCTGGCAAAATAGGTTGGAAGCACCAATGCGTCCAGCGAGTAGTTTGCCAGTGCACCTGTGATACCCTGAGGGCCCGCCAGCTCCAGGCCGAGGGTGTAGTTGCCCCAGAACTCAGGAGAGGTATTGTCCTGTCCACCGAAATAATCGAGTGCTTGGTCCCACACGCCTGTGTCGCGATCAGGGTAATCCTCGAGTGGAAATGATTGTGTGAAGCGGCGCACGTCGGCGAGAGATGTGATGTTGTTCGGATTTACGGTCAGTTGGGCGACGTAAGCGGCGAGGTCTGCGATGAAGTCACCCTCCAGCACTACCGAGGTGCGGTTTGCAGGCTCGATGTCATACCCAGGCCAACTGGTGTTGTCGACAATGGTTGCGCCGGCGGCGCGCAGTATAGGTAAGGCGTAGTCATCAAAGCTGGAAATGATTGGGGCATAGCTGGAGTTGCGGATCGACGGTGTGTCGAAGACATTGCGCGGGATACCAATTCGAGCACCTCGTAGAGCGCTGAAGTTGCACGCTGCCACGTAATCCGGAATAGTGTAGTCTGGGAAGGGAATTGCCGAGGTGTAATTGTCGTAAGGACTGTAGCCAGCAATGGCATTGAGCAGGTAAGCCGCATCTTTGACAGACCGAGCCAAGGGGCCAACCGTATCCTGGTGTGAGGAGATAGGTATCACCAGATCGCGTGAGGTCAGTCCCACGGTTGGCTTGATGCCGACCAAATTGTTGGCGTCGGCCGGTGAGATAATGCTACCGTCAGTCTCGGAACCCAGGGAAGCAAGGGCAAGTCCAAGCGAGGAGGAGACGCCGCTGCCACTGCTACTTCCGCTTGGATCTTGGTCGGGGAAGTAGGCGCCCAGCACCTGCCCCCCGATTGCCGACCAGCCGCTGGACGAGTTGTCAGAGCGAAAATTAGCCCATTGGGACAGGTTGGCTTTGCCTAGGATCACGGCTCCGGCTTGTCGAAGTTTAGCCACCATGGTGCTGTCACGGGGCACACGAGCGCCAGCGAGAGCGTAAGATCCAGCGGTGTTGTCCATGGCGTCGAAAGTGCCGATGTTGTTCTTGATAAGGATCGGGATGCCATGCAATGGGCCACGCGTCGTACCATTCGCACGTTCGGCATCGAGCTGTTCCGCGATGGCGAGCGCGTCTGGATTCAACTGAGTGACTGCTCGGACCGTGCTGTTGACTTCATCGATACGGGCAGTATACGCATGAACTAGGTCGACGCTCGTGAATAGTCTCGACTCTAGACCGATGGCCAGCTCCTCGAGTGTAACATCCAACAACGAAGGAAATGCTTGATCGCCTATCGTTGTCGAATTACACAAGCTTTGGGCAACCGTGAAGACTGCGAGCGCCGAGCTCACAAGCGAAGTGAGGTGGAACCTCATCGTGCCGTTACTTTGGGGACAGAAGAAGTGAGGAAGCCCCTGTTGGCGGCCGAGGTAAATATATCCTAGCAGTGACACGAATCTCGCGTGGGTGATCGACATGGAAGCTCACAGCGCCGGGTCCCAAGGCTGTGTGCCCCTGGGTACCTGGTCTGGGGATATCGTCACCAGACGACTCCAGCCAATGAGACGAGGGATGGAGATAAGGCGGAACTCGAACTAGTCTCGGAACAGCAGGTGACGGTGACTGGCATCTGGGATAGGCAGCTCGCCAACGTTTGATTGTCGCTTGCGGGGAAACTTCAACGATGCTCTCAATTGGAGCAATAACACTGTCCTGAAGACAGGTGACAGTAGCCCTCGACCTGGAGTGGCAGAGAAGGGGAAACGGCAGCAAGCAGGGCCGAATACCTCCAGACAAACGTGTGCTTGGGATTTTTCAATTAGGGTAGAAAGGTAGCAAGTTTTCCATCCGATGTTGAAGACGTTGTCGTAGGGAATTGGCTGAGCCTCATCGTGGAACTTCCTACTACAGCGAAGTAGCTGGCTGGAGAGATCATGAAGTTCCTCAAATTCGATGCTTGTGCCGAATGTGAAGAGGGAATGGAGGATGCTGTTCCTAACCCGGCTGAGAAGATCGAATCAAATTACTTGCAAAGAGGCGACGGCTGCGAGAGGCTGCTCAGGCGAAGACATCTTGAGCTACGCTGGCAAGGAACAGCAAAATGGGAAGCTTATGGTTGTTGACCAAGTGCACAGATGCAGACCGCTTCTTGACTGATCGCCCCGTTCGGTGGGATAGAAACTTACCGGACTCTTGGGTCTTATGTTTTGTAGCATGCCGAAAGCAAGGTGATGATGCGTGGGAACATTACGGCGAGCTTCCAAGTTCTCCGGTACGTCGCTGGGAGTTGGAGACGAGGCGCAAAACGGCGTGGTTCATTCATGCACCCGCGGCTCTACCCGTTATCGATAAGAACCTGGAAATATTTCTTCTCGGTCCCTGTCCACGCCTGTATGCGGCCAGGTCAAATATACCCTTTTCCTCCCTCGAAAATAAGCTCGAAACCTTTCAGCAGACACGCGCAGTCATGGCGCGGCCCAACAAAAAGAAGAAGACTGGCCAGGTGCCTCCTGCCGCCAACGCGAAGCCTGGCGGCGCCCGTCCTCCCAAGTCGCTCGTCCTCCGCCTCAATCCCCACGTCAGCGGCCTCTCCCTCACAAACCTCGTCTCCGACTATCGTCTCCTGATGTCTCCCGACACCTCTGCCCGGCTGCGCGAACGTCGCGCCAACCGTCTCAAAGACTACCTCGCCATGTGCGGGCCCTTGGGCGTGACGCACCTCTTCATGTTCAGCCGCAGCAAAGCGGGCAACGTACATCTACGCGTCGCACTGACGCCCCGCGGGCCCACGCTGACATACCGCGTGGAAAACTACGTGCTCGCAAAAGACGTGCTGCGGCAGCAGAAGCGGCCGCGCCAGGGCGGCAAGGCGGGCGAGTACCTGCGGGCGCCGTTGGTGGTGATGAACAACTTCAGCCACACGCCCAAGGAGGGCGAGACCAAAGATCCCGTGGAGAAGCAGCTGGAGAGTCTGATGACGACGGTGTGGCAGGGCATCTTCCCAGCCATCACGCCCTCGACCACGCCGCTGGGCAGCATCAAGCGCATCCTGCTGCTAAACCGCGAAAACACCAGCAAATCCGAGGGGGAAGGACAGTACGTCATCAGCCTGCGACACTACGCCATCACGACAAGGGAAAGCGGCGTCAGCAAGCGGGTGCGCCGCTTCGACGCCACGGAGCAGCGCAAGCGCGAGAAGCGGAAAGACGGCCGCCCGCTGCCGAACCTTGGTGGGCTGGAGGATGCGGCCGACTACGTGCTCGGCGGCGATGAGGCGGGCTACACGAGCGCGAGTGACACGGAGCTGGACAGCGAGAACGAGGTCGAGGTCCTGGAGACGGAGGCGCAGCGCGTGGTGGGGCGGCGGGAGCGTCAACGGCGGCGCGAGGCAGAGGCTAATGGCGAGGAAACCCCAGCGGCCAAGCCAAAGAGCAGGGTGGAGAAACGGGCGGTCAAGCTGCTGGAGCTGGGCCCGCGCATGCGTCTGCGGCTCGTGAAGGTCGAGGAGGGCATCTGCGAGGGCAGGGTCATGTGGAATGAGTTTGTGCACAAGACTGAGGAGGAGAAGGTCGAGCTTGACTCGCGGTGGAAGGTCAGGAGGCAGGAGAAGGAGGAGCGGAGGAGGTTGCAGAAGGAGAATGTGGAGAGGAAACGGCGAGCGCGAGAAAAGGATGGGAAAGGTGGGGCTGAGGGCGAGGACGATGAGGATATGCAGTATGGGAGTGATCTTGAGCCGGAGGACTTTGATGATGACGACGATGAAGGTGATGATGTGGACGTTGAGGGAGGTGCAGTTGACGATGGCTGGGAAGACGATGAGGCATCTGAGAATGATGACATGCAAGAGTGAAATACCAAAATGCTCAAATCTGCACGGGCACGGGCGTTTATTACTGGCGCAAGGTCGAGAACCGAAGATATGGATCAGGCTTTGGCCAATTGCGCGCAGAGGTGGAGCCGCTATGCTATAGCTACTGGAAATGATGAGCCAGGCTGAAGACTGAAATCACCGGAATCGCAAATTGGACTCCTCCAGAAGCAAGCTATGTTCAGCGTATTTGATAGACCTTGCTTCGCGGGGCAGAACGGGACGCCGCCACGCCAGTGGAATCGAGTCACTGCGAGTCTTCAAACGTCTGCGAATTGGGAGCGTGTGAATTATGCTCGGTTGCGCGTGTTGCCCTTCCTCGAATGCTCAAGCATGCACGCCACATCGAAAATTGCGACACAGTCCGGAATGGGGATGTCAAGTGACGCCAGAGCTCGCGTAACCTAGAAGCGGATGGTAGCAGCGTTGATGCGGTCTCCGGATCTGGCAAAGCTGAATGATCGAGCCTATCGAGCCATGACACGATTGAGCCCTCTTGCCAGTACATTCCCCGCCCAGGATAGCTGTCGACAAGGACAATAGTGAGCCCGTTGAGGTCGGTCAGAGTGATGATGGGTGGTTGTGTTCGCCTCGCTGGAACCCCTTCAGGCTCGTTTCCTTTTTATTCAGCCACATATGTGCTAGTGGTGTCGGATGCTTCAATCGACTGATGGAGATTCTATTTCTTGCTCGCACTGCCGATGGCGTATCGCTTGGTCCATTCGCGTGCTTCTTTCTCGTACGTTACCTTGTCTTGTCGATAGAGGTCTGCAATCTTGGCCTCGACAGCGTCGTCTGGGTTAGGCTCTATTCGAAGTCAGCAAAGCGCCCAGCAAATGTAGCGAGGCAGACCCTTGAGCAGCTGGCGAGTGAACTCCAGAACTGAGTTCAGCTTCGTACTAGGTTTCCATTGGTCAGGCTTCAGCATGCCGAGGCACATGGTACCAGAGTTGGGGGGACTATCATTGGAGATGTTCGGGTGGTAGACCTTGGTGGTGAATCGAACTGTCGGTGGCTTGAACGGATAGTCAGGTGGTAATTCGAGCCTCAGGCTGAAGACTCCACCCTCGAAGACAGTCAGCTTGAGGTCAAACGGACACCCAGATCAACTCACTGCGAATGGCGAGCCTTCTGGACCCTCCATGGTGACATTCCACTCGAAGAGATTCGCTTCATCCGAAAGGCTGACCGTAACGCCAGAAGGTGGCGAGTTGGTCAGCTCTCCCAATTCCTGAAGAGAAGGTCAGATCATGCTGAACGAGACTGATTGTAAGAGACCTACCTTCGTGATTCTCTTCTGGGCGGCCATGGCGAAGACTTGTGACGCGGGGTCGTGGGGGTCAGCGCCGGGACCGGTATCCGAAAAGAGCGTTGTTCTGGTGCAGCACAGACGCGTAGTATGACGACGATGGATGTGCCAATATGTCAAGTCTATGGATGAAAATGAAGATCAGGATGAAGGATAGGCGGAAAAGAGAAGGCAAACAGAAGAGCGAAGGCAACTGGGAGCGCTCAAGTAGGCGGTCATCGCCAAGGCTTGCTCCGATTGGTCCGGCGAGAGCGTAAACCGTTCCTTCCTTCTGGCTACTAAGTACTCCAGATGCTGATGGGTATAGAATAGTACTGCGACCTGCAGCAGGACGCGGTCCGTGGCATCGCTGTGCCAAAGATAGGCTGCATTGCTCTACGGCTGACGGCTGTCTATACACATGTCATCGTCCTGAAAAAAGACTCCTATCCGTCTGTTCCCGTCGTCTTGAACGCTAGGCAGACCTGCGCGTATTCATGCGTCAAGTCCATGACATGCTGTGGCAAGCTGGTCGACTGAATGATGCTTCTGATCTTCAATGCGCCCTCTTCCTCGATCAACTTTCGAATTGAGAACAGCAACTCTGGTGAGAACTACAAATTGTCAGCAAGCGCTTTCACCAGGATCACTTGAAGCTTACCTCCGAATACCATCTGTACTGCCAGGTAATCAGACGGATCAAGCACGCCAGGGTGCTCCTCGTGTCTCCCTTGCTCTCGTACATCTTCATTAGGCCTTTCATGGCTTTGGGGGAGAACCGAATGTTGAGACATTGCTGGTACGCTTCTAGGGCTTCGTTGTTATGATGCAGACGTTCAGCCAGGTCACCCAGGATCTCCCATTCGGCGGCCGACTTCTTGTACTGCATCTGCTGTTGCCGGTACTGGCTCATCTCCGTTCTCCAGATGGTGTAAATGCGCAAGTCTTCATAAAGCACCATGAACAGATTGTCTAGCCACCTTTCGCAAAGCCTCTTGTTTTGGAACTGTGTATAGTCTTCGTTCGACGTGTCTGGGTCGTCGCCGCCAGCCTTGACTTCTTCGGCCTTGATCGTGGGCAGAGGCTTCTCCATCGACTGAGTAGCGTCGAGTCCAGAATCTCCTACCGTGCCGTTCAATGCCGAGTCTTTCGAGGATTCGGCTAGTGTCTCTTCATCATCTTCGGACCCTGAATCGTCAGCACCATTGTAATCATTGTTGCCATTTGGTGTGCCGGTCAATGCAGTAGTGCTTGCATTTTTGCTGGAAGGCACCTTGGGTGTTACCGAGTGCTGTCGCTCTATTCGATATTCCTCCTCCATGACAAACACTACACTCCGTGTCTTGAGTAAAGCATCCCAGCCAATTCGAGCAGCAATCTCGGTGAGAAGGCTGTATGCTTTGAGAAAAGTGCCCTGATATGTCGCGGCTTGAAGCTTGCGCAGCGAGACATGAACCTGATCAAAGGGTTCGCCCTGCTTCGGCTGACCTTCATCAATCTCATCTAGGGCGCTTTCTGACATAATCGGTAGCAGTACTCTAGACGGCTCAGGCATCCGGGGAGAGTCCTTGTCCTGGTATGAGAACATGGGACAAGAGTTCAGTGTCAGCAGCGCTAAGTCAAACTGCTCGAGGGAGACGTAAACCTCGCATAGTCGCGCCCACGTGCTGAACTCGGACGGTGCTGCCGTCACAGCCCTTTTGGCACATTCTAGAGCCAACTCGTTCTCGCCCTTGCTGAGGCAAAGCGCTGCTTGCGCGTCGAGTAACGCATAATCCATGGGCACATCCTGGAGAGAGTCATGTAGTAGCCGGACCGCCTGCACTTCCTCGTCCCCTTCTACCAGTATCCTTGCCAATAGCGATGACACCTCGACATCTTTGGTGCGTAGCTTTTCGAATAGATTGATGCCTGAAGTGTATCGGCCGGTAGTTTTGAGGTATTTGAGCAGACCAGTGGTTAGGTGGTTTGAGGTAATGTTTGGTATCTGGATTTCTGGATCGGAGCCCAACTGTCTGCCGTTGAAGAAGAGCCGTTCGGCCGCATCGAGGAATCTATGCTCTAATTCGGTCGAAGTTATGGGGTTGAATCTGCGGACGCCAATGATCTTCTTGATTGTATCCCCACTTCCATCATCGGCATAGAAGTAGGCTCGTAGCACTCCGCACAGAAAGGTCTCGAGCCATAAGCTCTCTGTCGCAACTCGTCTGTCACCCCGCTCGTCCACACAATAACTCTCTACTCCTCCAGGAATCTTGACTTCGACACGCATGTCGAGGTGCGAGAAGGCATTGTAGCAAGAGTAGAGACCAGACACGACTTTGTGAGTTTTGTCGGCGTTGTTGTAAGTTAGTGTATTGACGTAAGCGGCTAGGCTTGCCGAAGAAGACGCATCTATCCCGGTGACATGATGGTATACTCCGGTCTGCTTGTTGGCGGCTTTGGTGCTCTGCTTGACAAGGTGCACCAGGTCAGGAGGTCCGAGTTCGCGAAGTCCGGCGAGGCTCTCAGTACGGGCATCGATAGCAAGGCCGATATCGTCGTCTTCGATGATTCTATACAGTGGTTAGAAGAATGGTGCTAGGTGCTTTTTCGCTTGATCGCATACTCAGGAACCGCCGGCGCAAGCATGTTGGGCGCGCTCCTGATGGAGCAGCGTGTCGGTTACGGCAAGCAGTCTTAGCAGCACAGTAGATTCGTGGCAAGGGTAGCTAGCGCTTGACAGCCATATTTAGCGCAAGAGAGGAGGTACAATAGATGTGAGATGAATTGCGCAGACAGTAACAGCTTGTGTGTAGTGTTGTCCAGGCCAGTGGCACATGTGGACATCTTGCGAAATTCAAAGGTCCGGCAGGAGATAGCCGGAGTTAGAGACGAGAGTCACGTCGTTTCAACTTGGCCGACAACTACACGTGTCTTGCTGTTCCATCAGTCAACGCGACCTCGTTCTTTTCTTTGTTCGACTGCTGTCTCTGAACGTGTCTTTAGGCGAGTACGATGTGGCGACACTGATCTGTGGATCCGACGACTCAAATGGAAGTTTTTGAGCGAGATATCGATGGGTTTCTAATAGGAGCGTCGTTCTACTTCAGCACTTCCCATTCTGCGTCCCTAGGCATAACCAATCGTCTCAAGGACAACTACGACACAGTAACATGCACGGATTCAAACCACTCAACGTCGACTCGGAATCCGAGGACGAAGTCGATGACACAAAAGAAATCCAGATCGAGGAAGCCAACAAGGCCTACAATCATGCCCTGAAACTACATTCTCAAGGGCCCTCGTACCTGGCGGAGGCAAAAGCGGCGTACGAAGTGCTGTTTCAGTCGGAGATTTTCAAGTACCCTGAAGCACTTTCTGAGTTTGCTTTGGACCAGGTCGATGACGCTCCTGTAGCAGCTGTCCTACCGACCGACGATGAACCCGTTGCCGTCCTGCCAAGCAATGCCGCAGACTCATCCGCCAGCCTGCCGCAGATCGTCCACCTATCTTTCAAGAACCGTGGTCAACTCGCGCTTGATGAAGCGCGCTACAACGTGCAAGACGGGCTTTCACGAAGCGAATTACGCCAATATTACTCGGCTGCTTGCAAAACCGGCCTCACCAACTTCGCCGAAGCTCTCGAGCGGGACGATGCAGATATCGATCTTTGGAAAAAGGCAGCTCGTGTCGCAGAGATTCTTTCCACTCCGCGCATCGCTCGCTTTTGCCTCGAAAGCGTGTTGGCGGGCGACGATGATGGCCTCGAACAGACCATTGACCTCTCTGGACTTGACGAGGCATTTGCCGCAGGAGAGCTGAGGGATGTCATTGCCTTACTTCAAGATGATCTAGCTCAGCTGCGTACGGCCGGCATCCATCCTAAGCCTAAGTTGCTTTCCCTCGTACGCAAGACGAACGACCCTTGTCCCTACCTGCCCAAACGAATTTCGGAGGTCGAATACATCAAGCAATCCTCAATTTCCGCGCCTGCCAGCCATATCGCTTTGAGATCAGACACAATGACAAGTCTAGGCAATGAGATTCATCAACTGATCACGAAGCACCTGGATGGAGATGTCGTTGTGTCCGCTCAGACTATGCTGTCGATGGAGCACCGAGAGGCAGCTTACTCACCCGCTGGAATGGACAAAGAGGAGTTTGTCGATGCAGCAGAGGAGATTGCGGGCACCCCTGCTGAGCAGAGCAACATTGCTGATGCTGCAGTCACAGACGGTAGCGAACAAGCCGAGCCAATCAATCAGGTTGCGATGGAAGAAGCTTTGGTGAATGAAAATCCCGAACCTTCTGCGGAGGTAGCAGATGAAGAGCTTCATTTAATACCCACACGCAAGAGGTCCTCGACAGTCGCGGGCAACGAAGAACCCGAAGGCAGAGTCAAAAGCAAGCGATTGCGAGCCAGAGAGTCTATGCTTGAAATGACCCTCCAGGATGAAGACGCTGTCCCCGAAATGCCTGCTCACCAGTCTTGGAACTGGACCGTCCTGAAGAGTGCGGACGCGGACATGCTGAAGACAGTGGATACAATGCTCTCCAAACTCGAATTGCCTCAATTTGGGAGTGCGGAAAACATTCTTGCTGGCCACCTGACACCAGATTGTCATACGACGATAGGAATCGAAATTACATCCTCTCGTCAGACGCTTGCCTCGGATTTGTCAACGATGCTTAAGATTTGGAGCGACGAGCATTCACAGGCCCTGTTACATGGACATGGAAACCAGGACTTTGTGGAGAAGTCAGCAGGCTTAACATTGTTCATGCAGCATCTGAAGGTCTCCCAGGATGTTCAAGCTGGTTCCCCGCCAGCAGAGGGCTTCGACGATGTCGCAAATTTCGCCAGCCAGCTCGAGAATTCTACAGCTACTCTGTACGAGGCTGTCCTTCTCTGGCTGTCGACACTGCTCACATCCAGGCATCAGGATGGCAATCTCATTCTGTCGTCCTATCTTCGCGATACATGGTCCGGCGAGATGAAGCAGATTGTTGTCCAGCTACTCATTCGATCCGAGGAGCAACTTTATACTCTGATCTCACAGATGTACCGCGCTCTCTCTGAAAATGGCATGCATGATAGTGGAACATCGCGTTGGCGTATGCAACGCACGGCCGAGCTGACCGAACTCGTCCTCACCATCTTCGAGCTGCATATTGACATTCATTCTCGCATCACAAACCCCATCAGTCAGGTACAACACAACACTCGTATCGAGCAAACGGACAGGCTGGAGAGATGGGCCGCCATGACCGACGATTTTGTGCAACTCTACACGCACTTAGATAAGGATCTGGCACCTACAAGCGATCTTCTCATTCGGTTTCTTTGGGCCACTACTGTATATGCTGGTAAGGCAGATGACATCGACCGCAACCACGTCATGACATGCCTGCAAGATCTGAAATCTATCTTGCAGAAGCTCGACACCAAACCGATATCCTTGCCCAACAACGCGGCCATGCCATTGCTGTCTGCGTCGGCAGCTGAACAGGAACTTTTTAGACTCAGCACTCTTGATTTCTTTATGAGTGTGTTTGATGCGGACAACAGCGACTCAGTTGCTGTCATTGAGAAGCTCGAGCCACTGCTGGAAGCCGATAGTTCCCCAACCGAGAGAAACTTGATATCCCCGGAGTCGGAAGCGGGCAAATTAATCCAGTTTCTCAACTCGGGCGACGCCTCCCTCAGACTCTTCCTGTGGCGTCGGTTACAAAATGCATACACAACAATCTCGTATACACCAAAGGTCGTCTCTTGTTTGTTCAGAGCTGTCGAAACGATCGTGAACGAGCTACAACGAGTCACCGAAGAGATGAGCGACGAACACGAGCGCCAAATAACGGAACTCAAGTGGCTGAAAGATGTTGATGATCTACTAGCCAGAATTCTGTCAAAGGTCATCGGCGAACCTACCGCTCTGGAGGTCATGGATGAAGCTCACCTGCGCTCGTCACTCACGGCTGTGACTTTCCTTCTGCGACTTGTCCATGTGCACGCCCTCCACGAGGACAACCTGCGCTTTGGCTATACTGCAGTGCCACAATTTAAAGGCGCTGCATCTACCAAGTTGTATGAGAAGAGTAAAGACCGTTTGCGAGAGATGCAAGTCCACCTATGGACACTTCAGTACATCTTATTGAAGGAAGCGACGGCACAGATTCCCGAATTGTTTCCTGACCGTGCAAATGATTTGGCAGATTATCTCTGTACCACCCATCACGCCCTTGGTCAACGACACTACTGCAGATATGCCAACAAGCAGTTTGTCCGTCTTGTTAAGCTTGAACTCAATTCACTCGAAACAACCAATAATTATCTCGGCGACATGGCCCAAGTTATGTTTGATCTATACCAGCTGCGCTTCAAGATCAGCGAAGGCGATTTTGATCACGGCTGTCCGCATGAGAACTTGGACAAGAAAACAGCAAACTCTCTGGTGCCAATGGTTATGACATACGCAAAACAGCTCTCAATAAAAGACCTTCTGAAGAGCGAACTGAGGAACACAATCGATAAAGTTCAGACAGCCTCAGGCAGTGTCAAGAGCGGCCCTGTCGTGCTCCAGAACAGGAAGCTAATGACAACTTACCTAAAATCACAACTCATACCAGAAAAGTTCTACAAAGCATACAAAGGGCAGGGTGGGCTAGTCACCAAGTCACTTGCCGAGGACGATTCGACCAAAGCCAATTATGGGTGGTATTTTCTCCTCGGACACATTACACTCGCGAAATACCGAGCAGTAAAACGCGTCTCACCTACTCCAACAGATGACCTAGATCAAGCTGCCAGCCTTTTGAGACAGGACCTCGAGTACAACTTAGAGAAATGGGAGTCCTGGTGGAGGTTGGCTCAAATCTACGATATCAAGATCGAGGATGACTTGATATGGAATTCCACGAAATTGAACGACTCAAGAGGTGACATTGCCCAATTGGAGCGAAACTCGATCAACGCATACCTCATGGCGATAACAATGGCTATGAGAATGGCTGACGACAATGTTGAAACAGGCCAGAAGCTAGAGGACATGTTTCGAGAATTTGCCATTCGCTTGTATGCTTCTTCCCGTCCTCCCCTCAACATGGAAGCGTTCAAGACGGACAAGCACATGCGCCATCTGAGTAATAGCGTCAACCAGTCGATGTCAAAAGTGCCTCTGCGTGCACCATGGACGAGCTACCAATTGTGGAGATTCGCAGCGCGATTATTGCAGAAGAAGTTTGTCAACAAGCCGAAGCCGTGGGCAAGTCACTATTACCGTCACAAGTGCCTGTGGAAGATATATCAGTCGCCCGAAAATGCCAGCGCTCGACATCCCGTAACACCTGAGCAAGTCGTCGGCGCTCTTGTCGAGTCAATCGAAGCCTTGCCGCACGTGAACAAGTCGAGTGAAGTGATCTTGGAACCACACATGCGTATGGTCTCCTTGATGCACAAGATGGTCCTCCGAAGTGCTATGACGCCACATCAGGGATATCAAGCATTACAAGCAAGCCGATTTGCGCAAGGTGTACACCTTGCTGAGGACGAAGATGGCCCGGATTGGGAGCGTTATCTTCTCAATATCCTTAAGAAGCTTTCCTCGGCCGACAAAGCCAATTGGCAGCATCGCATCATTAACCGTGCAGCACATATCATCTATGACTCAGAACAAAGTATGCCCGGAGCACTGGGTGCAAAGCACGAGTTCACGCAGCAGGTCTTCACCAAGACCATGACTTATCAGGTCTGGAAACCGGAGTTTGAGCGAGCTGGTCGGCATTATGTCTATACTGGTGCATATGTGACGTTCTTCGCCCACCTACTAGATCAGCTGAACGACCGTGCGAATATGGATCAGCTCGTGCGGCGGGTGCGGCGGAAGTATACGGACTTTATCGACCACACGAAGATTTGGGAAAACCTTTGCGTCACATATGTACGACTCTTGCGCCGCATTGGCAAGATCCCCGAGGGCAAAGAGCGTGCTCTATTTGATAACATCAGCTTTGAAGAGTTCTCCCGTCTCTCTGAAAAGGTCGAGCAATGGGCGCTGGAGCCTGACAATACCTCGACTGTTCTAGACGTGATGCGAGACACGATAGAGCTTAAGAAGCTCAACAACAGCCTGCTGAAAGGGGGAGTTATCGACGACATGATTGGAGATGCATATGCATGTCTTTACGAAACCTTTGTCTCCCAGTTGACCGAAGAGGAACGGGCTCCACCTCCTCCCCCTGCGCCCGTACCCGGGTCTTTCATCAACATGACGACCAATGCTGTTGGTCCGGACGGTAAGCCGACCGACGGAACACCAACGTTACCAGGAAACGTTCCCGGTGAGCCAGGCCAGAGTATCCCTGCAGCCTCGCAGCCGTATAGCGGAGCGCCGGGACTGCCTCAGGATCCTGCACAGCCTACCCGAGCGGTGCCGCCTAACAAGCCGGGTCGTGCGAAGACCATTACTCGCAGAGAAGTCCAACGCAAAGCTGAAGCTGCGATAGCCAAACCGCCCCCAATAAAGACCCCAACTCTCAGTAAGAGGCCTGTCATTGAGATCGCAATGTCAGACGGTGTACGGCGGAGTGCATCACCCGCAAGTCCATCTGGCGATGTTCGTCTTGACCGACTGCGCGATGAAAATGGCGATGGGATGGACAGTGCCGTCACGTCGCGTCGAAACAGCGTCCAAGGCAGCCTCGACAACGATGGCGAGAATGATGCAGACCGCGAAGCTGGCAACGAAGCCGATGACGAAAGCGAGCTCAGCGACATCAACGAAGACGATGAGGAGCCAGAGGATACTATCGAGGTCGGGTCCAAGCGGAAGCAGAATCTCTTTCCGGGCCTTTCAAACAGGATTAGCCATGACAGTGCTAGCAGTGACGCAGATGATGATGATGACGGCGACGAAGATGAGGAAGACGGCGAAGGTCAGGGTGAGGGTGACGGCGAGGAGGATGAGGGTGAAGAAGGCGGCCGGGATGGTCAAGCTCATGAGGATGCCATGGCCGTGGATGATGACGGCGAGATGGAGATTCAAGATTCTCAGCAAGCCGACGATGGTGGGGAGCGGGCCATTGAATGAAGGGTGCTCAGGTTTCTAGGTACTTTTGGATGACCAGGCTGGCCAGAAGGCGGCCATGACGAGTCTTGGCATTGCTCTACTTTGACCTCCCCCTCGGAGGTCTTCTTCCTGTTGTAATATCTACCTTGTTCCACAAGATGATCCAGTAGAAGACATCGGCGACTGTCAAAGTGACCGTGGAGCTGAGCGATCGTACCGGACTATGTCATGCGGGGAGACTTGTGGAGGCGCGCTCATGCCCGAGCATGTCGACCTCGGGTAGTGAAGCTATATGCCACATACTAACTACTGTTTGCTCGACGGTATACATGCTGAGAGCTTCTTGGACAATTTCCCCTCTTATTTCCATTATTGATTGGAAGCCGCCCTCCCTCACAACTCATCGATCAAATCTGCGAATATATTCCTAACCCGTGTCGCCGTGGAAGGTCCCGGACCAAAACGTTGCCTGGCATGGAGCCCGTCCCAGCATTCCCAATATACCCAGACCTCAAAGGTAAGACTGCTCTTCTGATGGGAATCGGACAGACAAAGGTCCCAAACTCCACAACATGGGGAAACGGAGCCGCCACCGCCCGGATCCTGGCCCATAACGGCGTCAAGTTATTCGGCTGCGACATCAACCTCGAAGCCGCGAATTATACTGCCACTCGACTACGCGACGAGGTATCAGGATGTCTCGTCGAAGTGACCACCGCAGATGTCACCAAGGAGGACGACGTAAAAGAAGCCGTGCGCAAGATGGTGGCCGACCCGCGTTTCGGTCGAATAGACCTGCTGATCAACAACGTCGGTAAGCCATTCCCCTCCCGCAACTGCCCACCCACGCCCAGCACACGCGCTGCCAGAGTGCTCACAAAACCTGCCTCCACTCAGGAATGACGGCCATCGGTGACCCAGCAAGCATGCCCTCGGACGCCTTCCAAGCCCAACTCACCCTGAACCTCACCTCGGTGCACCACGCCGTGCACGCCGCCCTCCCCATCATGACCTCGCAGACCCCACGCGGCGGAGGCGCCGGAAGCGCCATCGTCAACAACGCCTCCCTCACCGCCCTCCGCTACATCGGCAAGCCGCAGATCGGCTACGCGGCCGCCAAAGCCGGCCTGCTGAACTACACGCGCCACCTCTCCGCCATGTACGCCGCGCAGGGGATCCGCGCAAATTCCGTCGTGCCGGGCATCATCTGGACGCCCTTGGTGGAGAATCTGGGGAACTCAGAGAGGGAGGCCGATCGTCAGGTGTGCGAGTCGATTAGGAAGACGGGCGAGCTGGCGCCGTTGGGCCGCATGGGGCGGCCGGAGGACGTGGCTAATGCGGTGGCGTTCCTGTGCTCGGGTGTCGCGGCGGGATTTATTACGGGCCAGGAGATTGTGGTTGATGGGGGGTTGACTTCGTGTACTGCGTTTTGATGGCAAAACATGGTTGAGCTCTAGGATTGGACCTGTTTGCTGGCTGGTGGTAGGCTTGCCAGGTACGCAATCTAGTTGCTTCGCTGGCAGATATATCTGCTGTCTTTGCGTTGGCAGCTACGTTGCAAAGCTGGCAGGATCAAGATAGAGAGGGTTATCGCTAGATTTAGATCCGTCCATGTGCGCTTCAATGTCAGCCCGCTTCCGTGGCCTAGCGAGAGCAGAGCTTATATCCCTAGATCCGGCGGCGGCACAATGACGACATGAAACAGGAGACTGAAGAGTCGGACGGTGCCAGAATGAATTAGAAGACAGCATGTCCCCAAACTTCTGATTCTATAGTTCTATAAAGACATGCTGATCTGGAGGCAGATGGTGTCTCCTATCTGCACCACAATTGAAGCTACAAACGCTGCGTGAAAAAGCCCCGACTCTTCAACCACCCAGCTCAACACCTTTTTCGCTGGCTTTTAGAAGTTCTCTTTACCCCAGACGAACTTGTAGCCATTCTCGCCTGCCTCAGTGTACATGTTGCACTTGATGTGCAGCTGGCTGCCGAGACCCTTGGGTCCGCAGAAGAACACGCCGCACTCTCCCGGGTTGTGGATCTTGCGTATTCCGCGGAAGACCATGTCCCAATTAGGGCGGCCGAAGTTGGTCGCGGTGCGCAGGCCGGTGATGGCGTCGGTGTCGCCTGAGTTGAGGATGATGTTGGAGGTGTCGGCAGCGGAGATCTTGGCGGTGAGGTACTGCGGGGAATGTTAGTGTCTGGAAGGATGGGGTGTGATTAGGGAGGAAACTCACTGCGTGGATCTCAATGGCATGTGTCTTGTCCTGGCTCTCAATGGCGCCGAGTAGGGACTTGAACCACTCCAGCGAGCCGAAATCTCGACAGACCCAGAAGAAATAGACCTTCCGAAGCCGTGTCGAGTGTTTTGTAGAGGGGTTGCTCATTCGGTACCATATCGACTTGAGAATGGAGGCAAAGGGTGTTACGCCGATGCCAGCGCCACATAGCAAGGCGGTCTCGAATTTGAAGACGTCTTCGGACGCGCTACCAAATGGTCCATCGATGTATACCCGAGGAAGGAGTTTCGTGACATTGAGCTGCTTCTTTCCATTGACGGGTGCCATGGAAACGACCTTGGATCGATCGGTCTTCTCCTTTGGGTCTGAGCATCCCAAGGCCTTGCCAAGGGCTTTGGTGAAGTTACCAACCATGCGCACATGTACCGAAATGTAATCTTCCTCAGGTGCCGATGTCAGCGTGAAAGGGTGGTATTGCCACAATGAGACCTCAGGACAGCATAAGAAGATGTACTGGCCGGCTCGGACTTTGACATTCTCTTTCTTGATCTGGATTTCGACAACATTGGACGGATGCTGCACCACCTTGCTGACATAGGTCTTGTGCGCACCACGAATTTCTCGCAGGATGCGCTCGGTCAGGTACGAAAAGCCTCCAATCATCCACCACTTCCAGAAGGCGGCATTCTGTAGGCAGAATGGTCTGTTGTCCTCAGGAATCATGCAGAAGGCTCCGTGTACTGACCAGAATACAAAGAAGAGGATAAAAAGATGATGAGTGTTCCAGAAGCGCTCGAAGTTAGCACGTCGAGGACCTTCTAGCGCAGTGAACCACATAGCCATGATCACGATGGTAAGGACGTAGCCTGACCAACCAGGACCCGTCATGAAGTTCCCCTTGAGAAAACCCACGAAACCTTGGTTATTCTTAGCCGATAGCTGAGCGACATTGTTGAGATGGGCAATCGTATGAACCCATGTGAAAAAGACGATAGAGTGTCCAATGCACTTGTGGAATGTGATGTTTTTGTCAAAAGGAATGATGCTGTTCAAAGGCGTCTGTCGCGCCAACGAAATGAGTGTCCGGCATACTGGTAGTAGGATGCAAGCGACATCGAAATGCAAGCAAAGAGCGGCAGAACGGGCAATCGGATAGCCAAGGCCAAATGTCGCGCGCGCGTTGTTGAGGTTGTCTTTTAGTTGATAGTTCATGAAGCCAAAGGCGTAGATCATGGCGTGAACGACAATGAATGTGCCGACGAAGATTCGTCTGGATCCCTCATTAACCATCCACCGATCGAACTTCTCCATCGGACTCAGATCCCGTGGTGTCTCTCCGCTGACTTCCCCCGAAAGGAGCATCCGCATCAGCGGCGTTGATCTGGATCGTTCGGCCATGACTGTCGAGGTATTAATGGTACGGCCGGCGACCGGTAGCAGAAGGTATGGCCCGACCAGCAGGCTTCGAGTTCGCGAATGAGCTCTGTGGATGGCTCACAACACTAGTGAATGAACGACAGGGGCTGTGACCAAACCAGCGGAAGTGTGCGCTGCGCTGACGCAGCTGCCTCGTCAACCTTATACACATACTCAGCTGGCATGGCTGTGGGAAAGTGGTGTGATGAAGGGGTTACCACGAGACGCTTGGGCATACAGCCGAGTCTCAGGATTACCATCTGCTGCGCAAGTGGATTGCGGCGCGGAACACCAAGCACATGGCGGAAGGCGGGTCTAGCCCAATGTCTGAGCTATTGAGCCCACTACCGTGGGAAAGGGCGGGCTGGGCGGACAAGCCAGGCAATTCAGTCGCTGCGTGGGCAACGTGGGTGGGTACAATTATTGCCTTGTTCCAAAGGTGGAATCACCATGTCACAGTCCTGTTTCAGCACCATTGCCATGGCTGTGTAGCCGCCGGGATTCTGATCCGCCCGCTCGGGCTTTGCAAGTATTCGGATGCTCAGGGATTGGTTATCGACACTGGATTCGAGCCCGACGGGATGTCTGGCTCGTCATGAGCCTCTCCAGGGACGGGAAAGAGATACTTGAGCGACATTTGGGGCGAGCTCGGCGAGTTGGACAAGGCGAGAGAGACCCATCGACACGCCAAGCTCAAACAAGGCTGAGACGAATCGGCAAGGCTGAACCTAGTTACGACGGCAACCAAGTGAGGCGAAACTCGGAGGTCCGTAGCGAGTTCGGACTCTCGTCTCGCTTCCTGTGTGAGCTGGCAAACCATAGCATTGCGCTTACACAATGTACCTGCACAACCTCAGGCTCGTGGAAAGAGTATGCGGCTGCTCAGATGCATATCTCTCGAGTTGGAGGAATTCTATGACTCCGATATCCCGCCTTACGCCATCCTCTCACACACGTGGGACAAGGGTCAAGAAGTCAGCTTCCAGGAGGCCATACACCTGGCGAATGCCAAAGAGTCTTCACTCCATGCCGTAGATGCTGCTGAGAAGATCAAAGCCAAATCAGGCTATCACAAGATCATCCAATGCGCTCGCCAGGCGGCTAACGACGGTCTCGATTACGTGTGGATAGATACCTGCGCTATTGACAAGTCGAGCAGCGCGGAGCTATCAGAAGCCATCAACTCGATGTATGAGTGGTATCAGAAGTCTGAAGTTTGTTACGCACATCTGGCCGATGTTCTGGAAAGCAGAGGGGAAATAGAAGAACAACTTGCGCAGAGCAGGTGGTAAGTCGTGGCGTTAAATTCTGTGTCCGTCGATCGTTTACGTGCGACAGGTTTCGTCGAGGCTGGTGTCTGCAAGAACTCCTTGCTCCAAGAAGGGTACGATTCTTCGGGCGTGACTGGGTTTATTTGGGTGATAAAGCCGGCACTGTCGAACACGCGTCCAGCATCATCGATCTATCAAGATCTATATCAGAGATTACGGGAATCGATGGTGAAACCCTCCGGGATGGCAACATTGAGCGCGCCAGTGTAGCCAAAAAGATGTCATGGGCAGCAAGACGACAGACATCGCGCCGGGAGGATATGGCGTATTGTCTACTTGGACTCTTCAATATCAACATGCCACTCTTGTATGGAGAAGGTGACAAAGCTTTCACACGTCTACAGGAGGAGATTATCAAGACTTCTGCGGACTATTCCATATTCGCTTGGCGCAACCATAAAAATGAAGACCCGCGCGTTCGCTATAGTGGCATGCTTGCTCCATCAGTTCATGCATTTGTGGACGCGGGCAGCGTCATCCCGGTCGGTACCACTCGTCCGTACGCGATGACTAATATTGGACTGAGGATCGAACTTCCTCTACGGAATGCCAGCTCATCCAGAAATCGAGTTATTTGCGTGCTTGATTGTCGCTTTGAATCGGGTCCATCGTTCCAGCGACTCGGCGTGTATCTCTCCGAACCGTGGACTTTCAACAGCGATATCTTTTCGACATCAGAATTGGAAGGTCGAGTACACTCTTCGCCGCTTCATGAACTTCAAGGTCTTGCAAGGGACAATGGCGAATCGTCGCCTGTGGCCACTGTGGAGCTTACGGTAGAAGAGAGCCATCGACCAAGACCCGCCCTATATGTCAGGAACCTACCAATGCCCCCAGATGCTAAATCAACGAGCTTGTTTCTAGGAACACAGCAGCGGCTGATCTATCTGCGCAAGATCCCAATCGAAAGTCATCTTCGTCACAATTACCCCTCTCAAGCGCGCGAACTTGTCCGTCTGTGGCCCTTGGATGCCCAAGGCATGGCAGGCATCGTACTGCAACCCAGGCGGCTCGGCGTTGACGGCCTCGTACTTGTTCTTGTGGAGTATCAGACAGAAGATGAGAAGCCGCCGTATATCCTGCAATTAGCTACGCCCGGCCTTTTCACGCAGCTGTCTCTTTCTCACCTGACCACGGAAAAGATAGCGTATATGTTGTCACTGTGCCACACCCAGGGAACAGCTATTCAACATGGCTCAAGCGAGTTGAACGAGCCGATGTGGCTTACATGCAAGAAAGCGAAGCGGAGCTTCGGCGATGTCCTCGTTGTGGATCTACACGATGATCTGCTGAACGGCTTGCTAGCCCCTGGAAGCATACCTGCTGTAACGCTTAGTGGCGTGCCTACAAATAGAAACTCAGGAGCGGCTTCTCAAGTCAAGCCACTCGAAGGAAGCGTAATGCCGTTCAGCATGTGCCTGCGGATTCAGTTCTCCTCACGTGATGAATTCAACGAATACTTTGGCACATGAGAGAGGCATTCGAGCAACCTTTGAAGGAACAGGCGTGGTACAGACATACTCGACAGACGGCTACGAGCCAACTTGGTTGACTTTTGGTAATAGAACTGTGACGAAGGCCCGGTCAGAATGTCTTCAATAAGGTCGTCTGGAGGATGAAACGATACTTGCACCTCTCTAACCTTGCAGATACTCACTGTCACCTTTCGCCCGCCCACTATCTATCTTCACCTGTGACGTACACTACCCGAAACTCACCGAAAGGCATGACTGCACTCGCAAAAGTGCCAAGCCTCCTTTAAACGTGCAGCCTCGTGACGCAAGAGCGTTTCCCATTGTAATTAAGGCAACCGAAATTGACCAGGCTGGAGGGGTTTCCATTGCTACTATTGCGTCGATAAGGGTAGGGATGGATTCTGTCGGTTGTTCGACGACTTGCTGATGCCGCTGAGTGTCTTACGAACTCCCAGGCAGGGAAGGGAGACCGGGTAGGCTGATAGCAGGTTCCATAGGTGCTCAGAAAAAGGAGACCGGTGTGGTCTTGGGCGCGCGATCATTGTTTCGCCTACCTCATCGCCGTGGCGAGCGCGGACAGTTGTTGAAGCGTTCGTTAGCTTCGTCATTGAAATGTGGTCATTGCACGGGACGGCTAAGTAGTGGTTGATCCGTGAGGATGAATCTGTACCCTCGCCATTCGCTCTGGTGCTGGATTAGCGGGACACGTGGGACTCACCGCTGTGAGTGGCCAATCCACGCAACGGCCAGACCAAGTAGGCAGCATTATATCCAGAGCTCTGAACAAGCGAAACAAGCGATCGTAGAGGCCAGATCGAGGAGGCTCTTCTAGGAAGTGATAACCCCCCACGTGCGCTAGAACGATTGGTGTACGGAGTACAAGTGCCGTCCCCACTCGAGGAATGATGGCATTGCATTTTCTTTCTGCCATCATGCCGAAACAGCGTTTCCTCCCGCAAGCGGTCTGCGCGCTTGCTCTTCACCTGACCTCAGCTACACGACTTCTACCGGTGAAGAGCTCGGTCGCGTGACAATGGGTCGGCTGACCACTGCCGACAAGAGACTCAGGCAATGAAGTTCGCAAAGTACGCGCTTCTCCGACTGCGACCCGTGCGCCAGCTAACAAGTTATCAGAGACTTGGACGACGACCTCGTCCCAGAATGGAGGTCCAAGTACCTGAACTACAAGGTGCGCGCTCCGGGAATACTCCCTCATATCATTTGCTGCATACTCACCAGCGCAATAGGGAGGCAAGAAGAGGATCAAAGCCGTCACTCGAGCACTCAGAGACGCACACCGAACTCCAAACCAAGCCGCCCGCGCGCAAAGACCGGGATATCAGACTCCAGGCCAGCTATTCACTCACTATGACTACAATGCGCGTCGTTCCCGCACGCAGCCCCAGCTGGACGGAGCTGCCGATCACGTTCCTCCCCATCAAAGGCCAAATCCTGACCGCACCCGTCGCGAGAGCGGCACCCTGTTTGCTCAATCCCCACCTGTCCTCATACCTAGTAGCCAACCCGATAGTCAAGTCCAAAGCTCACGGACTTCACCTGAGGCCAGCCCACAAGAAGACACGCCTTTACAACCGGCAAGGACGGCCCGCTATGGTAGTATCATTGGCTCGCCTCCCAATGACCCTGCAAGATTGCCTAGCTTAGACCTTCCAGATCCTGCCATGAGTCCTACCAGTGCTCGTCAACAGCAAACCACCGACGCAAAACCCCATTCCAATCTACCCCCTCCAGTCACTCAACCGGAACAGTCTTCGCCAGATCCGTACCATGTTGGACAAGATAGCACAAAGAAAGGCAGTCTCGCTCGACGCATGTTTGCAAAGAAGCATCAGACATCGCAGCCCGCCGCAGAGAATACAACCGTACCGAACACCATCTCCCGCTCGAGACTACGTCGTATGTTCAGCTCTGGGTTGCGACAGAGCCCTGCTGGTGGTGACGTGCAACTTGAAGCATACGAAAAGCTAGATGCAAGACAAGATGACTTCTTCACTTTCCTGGATAAGGAGCTCAACAAAGTGGAAGAGTTCTACAAATTCAAGGAAGAAGAGGCCAATGATCGATTGCGAGTTCTGCGAAAACAGTTGCACGAGCTGCGTGATCATCGCCTAGACGAAATCAACTCCCTGACTAACCAAGCTCACGCCGCCGCCCAGAATGGGGCTCTCAATGGCATGAGTGACAAGCAAAAAGGCCCTCTGAGCAAGGCTAATGGGTTCGGCACTGCTGCCCTCAAGCCAATTGGCGATTTTGTCACCGGTAAATCCAAAATCGGCCGTGTCTCGACGTCCTTGCAACAGCACACTTCGCCTCAAATTCTTTCCGAAACCTCCGACGGGAATGGAGCTGCGGATGACAGAGCTGATTTCGTAAGGAGGCAGCAGCATGCACCATCCTACCGCGTTGCCAAGCGGCGCTTGAAGCTGGCCATGCAAGAGTATTACCGTGGCTTGGAGCTGCTGAAATCATACTCGATGCTGAACCAGACGGCTTTCCGGAAAATCAACAAGAAATACGACAAAGCAGTGAATGCCCGTCCCCCTCTCCGTTATTACTCCGAATATGTTCAGAACGCCTACTTTGTCAAAAGTGATGTTATCAACCATCACATGGTGACGGTCGAGGATCTTTACTCACGCTACTTCGAAAGGGGCAACCACAAAGTTGCTGTGGGAAAGCTGAGATCCAAGCTGAAAGGCGGCGACTACTCTGGCGTTACCTTCCGAAATGGCCTCTGGCTGGCCGCTGGTACCTGCCTGGGCATCGCCGGCCTCATCGAGGGGCTGAGGCTGCTCTTCCGATCTGAGGGCATACGGGCCACGCAGACGAGTTATTTGCTCCAACTGCACGGTGGCTACTTCTTGGCTGTGCTCCTTGGTCTGCTTTTCATTCTCAATTGCAGAGTCTGGAAGGCGAACCGAATCAATTACGCCTTTGTCTTCGAATTCGATCCGCGACATACACTCGACTGGCGACAACTTGCCGAATTGCCCTGCTTCTTCCTGTTTTTGCAAGGCCTGGTCATCTACCTTAATTTCCGTCACCCTGATGTCGATGCCCTTTTCCTCTATTGGCCAGTTTTACTCATTGCCATCACCGTTCTGATCATGGCTCTGCCTTTCAAGATCATCTATCCCCACGCCCGAAAATGGTGGGCCTATTCCAACTGGCGCCTGCTTTGTGCTGGACTTTACCCCGTCGAGTTTCGAGACTTCTACCTTGGCGACATGTATACCTCCTCATCCTACACAATGAGTCAGGTTGCTCTGTTCTTCTGTCTGTACTCCAACGAGTGGGACAATCCGCCTCGATGCAACTCGAACCACTCGCGGCTCCTCGGCTTTTTCACTGCTCTTCCAGCAATTTTTCGAGCGCTGCAGTGCTTGCGGCGTTTCAAGGACTCCCGCAACTGGTTTCCTCACATGGCCAACTTTGCCAAGTACTGCGGCAACATACTCTACTACACATCTTTGAGCTTATATCGGATCGACCAGTCGTATCAGACACGAGCAGCCTTCATGACGTTTGCTGCGCTGAACGCCGTCTATTGTACGCTTTGGGACATCTTAATGGACTGGTCCTTGGGCGACTGGGTCTCCAGCAACAAATTCCTGCGTGCGCGCCTTGCATACAAGAAAAGAAGAATATACTACGCAGCGATGATGGTCAATATCGTGCTGCGGCAGCAGTGGATTGTGTATGCAATCTTCACGGAAGATCTACAACATTCGTCTGCCGCAAGCTTCTTTGTTGGATTTGCTGAAGTTTTTCGACGAGGCATGTGGTCGCTTCTCAGAGTTGAGAATGAACATTGCAACAATGTGGACAAGTTCCGTGCCTATCGCGATGTGCCCCTACCTTACAAGCTGGCTGAGGAGGAGAGCGTGTCACAACGGCCAAGCGTCGGTATTCGTCCCGACATGCAGCCTAGAGCTATTCCCGACGGGGTCCAGGGCGCCACTGGCGCAGACGTGGAACGGCAGTTCACTGGCGACACCGAGACCAGCTCTATACGCCGCAGGCGTATCGAGTCTCAACCGACGCCTACCTTCCGTGCTCTTGCCCGCGTCGCAACAGTACTCGCCTCAGCCCACACTCAAGACTTTGAAAAGAGAAGACGTCCTGTTGGACAGACACCGGAAGACGAGGCGCTTGACCCGAATGATAGCAGTGATGAGGAAGATGATGAGGCTGATGCTCAAGAGGAGATCCGAGCGTCAACTGAGATACCAGATCGCGGGAGGTCTGAGCAGGCTCGTGATACACACGAGAGACCTGCACGCAGTGGTCGCCCGGCCTGATAGACATTGTCTGACTACATGAAATATATGAATGCATGATGCTGTAATGAGAACACTATGAACTTGCGACCGGGTGTCGGTGAGGCTCCGACCGAAGCGGCACGCTGCGGACGTAAACATGACGATCGTGGAAGCTAGATTTCCGGCATATGAAGCTTCCCCTGACCCAACATGCCGGCCTAACACCATCGCAGAAGTGAGGAAGACGTCATTTGCACTGCTGACTGAGAATGACTGATAAATACTAATGATACACGTTTATCATTGACTTGTTTGACTCATTACCACCACCACCACCACCACCACCACCGCCACCACCGTCTCAATAAGCATTCATTCTCGCACGCGCCAAGAAGTTCACTGCCTGCTCTCCCACTTCCTGATCATTTGCTCGCTCGCCAGTCGTCCTCCAGATCAACTACAATGTCCGATCCCCAGATTCCAAAGCTATATCCGCGCAGCACGCCCTCATGGCAGGCCAAGCAACGCGAAGCCTTCTGGTCCGTCAACGAGGGCCGCACACAGCCCTTCAATACGCGGCCAGACCAGCTTGAGGCATTGGCCCGCGAGTGTCTCTCACGCAACGGCCGTCTGTACGCCGAGTCCAACGCCGGTGCCTCGTGGACGCATCAAGCGAACCGTGATGCCTTTGTAAGGACCTCCTCCCCTCCTCGCTAACAGCGCATCGTTGCATCCCTTTTAGCTTGTCACGGCCCTCCCGCACAAATCGTGTCGCAGTACCCACTCACTCACTCACCTCCCCCAACAGTTCCGACACCGCATCATCCCCAAACAACTCGTCGACACCAACCAGCGCGACACAAGCACCACGCTCTTCGGCCACAAGGTCGCTGCGCCCATCGGCTTCGCCCCCATCGGCATCAACAAGATCTACCACCCGCAAGGCGAGCTCCCCGTTGCCAAAGTAGCGGGCGCTCTCCGCCTTCCCTACGGCCTTTCGACCGCAGGCTCCACCTCCATCGAGGCGGTCGCGGCGGCCAACGACGCCGGGCGGCAGGCCGACGGTGCTGTGAAGATCGATGGCGCGGACAACGAGCAGCCCGTGCGGTTCTTTCAGCTATACATGCCGCATGATGACGAGTTGACGCGCAGCCTGCTGACGAGGGCGGTTGAGAGTGGGTTTAGTGCGTGCATACTCACGACGGATACGTGGCAGCTGGGGTGGCGGCACGATGACATCTACACGAGCAACTACGCTTTCTACAGGGGTATTGGGGCGGACTTGGGACTGACTGATCCGGTGTTCCGGAAACGGTTGGAAGAGTGGGGGATCGATGCTGAGAAGGAGCCGCAGCGGGCCGGCGCGGCGTGGATTGATAGCGTGTGGCACGGTAGGGCGTGGAGTTGGGAGAAGATGCCGTGGTTGATCCGGACGTGGAAGGAGATCAGTGGCGGGAAGCCGTTCCTGCTGAAGGGGATTCAGGATGTGGACGATGCGTGGCGGGCGGTGGAGGTTGGGTGCGATGGCATTGTGGTCAGCAATCATGCTGGACGGCAGGTACGTCGCAGAGTCCCCGAGGGTACAACGAGCCGGCTAATCATCTGGGATAGGTGGACGGCGCGATTGCCTCCCTCGATGCGCTCGACAACATCATCCGGGCCGGCGTGGGCGACAAAATCACCGTCACGTACGACAGCGGCGTGCGCGGCGCATCCGACATCGTCAAAGCACTGTGTCTCGGTGCGAAGTTCGTGTGGGTTGGCCGCCTGTGGATCTGGGGATTGAGCATCATGGGTGAGGCTGGTGTGGATCACGTCATGCGCAGTTTGTTGGCTGAGTTCGACATCGCCATGGCGGTCGGCGGTTTCTGCAGTGTGGCCGACTTCACCAGGGAGAGGCTGGAATCCTACGAGCGTGGCAAGGTCCCTCAGCGACGTGAGGAGCAGAGGGCGAAGCTGTGAGGGATGATAGGGCAGAGAAGATACCAGCCCTTAGGTGGCATGTTGGGGGTTATAGTGTCGTTGTTGATCCTTTGCAAAAGTGCTTCGTGTACCTCTGTCATCTCTACCGGGCTGACCATTTGCTTCTGTATTTTGAGAGACCACTACTGAGTGCCAGCAGCTTTTTCTTGCAGCGGTGAAGTGCAGCAATAGGCGACGCGCTGTTCTGCCGTCTTTACCGATCTCCAAGACCTCGCGCCGACATCGCTCTTCTCCCCATCTCGAGGAGTATCATAGCATTACGTATCCTTTACAGGCCTATATCGCAAACTTGTGCGTCATTGAAACTTATACAGCGTCATTACAGCCACCGTTTGTCCCATTTGGAGAACTGGCTAATCTCTCAAGCGTACGGCATGTCTCCGACGCCGAGTCTGGCGAGCATTCGACAATCAATATCCTGCAATGGCGATCATCATGGCGCACCTGGAATCCTCCTCTATGTTTATTGATATGTGTTCGACATGGCCGACGATGAGCACGTCGTTGAGAAAGCTGAGCCACGCTCGGCACTCCGACGCACCCTCGACTTCATCTGGTTCCTGATCAAAGACCAATGGTTTCTGATCGGCATCGCCTGCGTCACAATCATCGCGTCGCAAATCCAGGTGCCGCTCGAGCAGCAGAATGTCAAGCAGGTCGTGGTATCATATCTGTCCGGTGAGAGCTATCCGGACCCTTGCTTCATTACAGCTGTGCCACCGCTGCTGCATCACCGACTTAATCTTCCCTTATCGCTAACCAGACCATCTTTCACAGTCTCGCTCGTCTTCTTCGTCGCCGGCTGCACAATCGACACACGCATCCTCATCGACAACTACGCGAAGTGGAAGCACCATCTGTTCATCCAGATCCAATGCTTCCTCATGGTGTCCGCGCTGGCGTACGCAGTAGTGCGGCTCGCAGCCATCAACCACTCGTTCATGGACCCCTGGCTGCTGATCGGCATGATCTTCAACGGCTGCCAGCCCACGGCCATGGCATCCAATGTGCTCTTCACGCGGCAGTCGCACGGCGCCACCGTCTTGACCGTCGTCGAAACCACGATTGGGAATCTGATCGGGCCGTTCCTCACTCCCGTCCTGATACGCATGTATCTTCTGCCCAACTCGTGGTTCAGCGCCGTCATCCCCCAGCAAGGCGGCGGCTACGAAGCCCTGTACCGCCGCGTCTTCATGCAGTTCGGCTTGTCCATCTACCTGCCGATGGCCATCGGCCAAGCGGTGCGCCACTTCTTCCCCAAGACCGTGCACAAGGTGTTCGTGCAGTGGAAGTTCTCCAAGATCGGCTCCCTCTGCATGTTGACGCTGCTGTGGCAGACGTTTGACCGCGCCTTCGCCACCAACGCCTTCGCCGATGTGAAGCAGTCGAACCTCGTCTTCATCGTGTTCATCACCATCGTCAACTGGTCCGTCTGGCTGCTCATCTGTTTCTTGCTGTCTATCACCTGGCTGGACCGTAAAGAGACGGTCGCGGTCGCCATGTGTGTGCCCGCCAAGACGCTGGCGCTCGGCATGCCTCTGAGTTTCCTCATGTTTGAGGGCATCTCGCAGCTGGAGGAGGCGAAAATTCAGGTGCCCATGTTGATCTTTCAGGTCGAGATGTTGGGGTTGGCGAGTATTTCGACGTTGTTCTTTAGGCGTTGGGTCGATGCGGGAGAGAGGCGCAAGGAGATGGCGGCGCCGGACGAGAGGGATGGTGGCGGTGCGGAGGTGAGTAGCGATCCGAAGCAAGGTACCGCGAAGGCCAGCGAGCAGGATATACCAGTGTGAGCATGCGAGCGATCACACACAAGTCCAACTATTGAGTGTGGTCCGCGCCTAGCTGGCCGCCGAGCGTCCCCGTCAACTGCTGCCACGATCACACAGCTCACGTATTTGCCTCGCGGATCATGAAAGCTTGATCAGCATGCATCTCTACAAACCACCTCCGGCACGATGACGCGCTTCGGCAGTTCGCCCCTCGAGCACCAGTGATGCCATGGCATGATATGGCGGGTGCCGATCGCAAATGGATTCGGCGACGTGTCAAGGGCTCTCAAATCCGTAGCTTCTGCTCATGCAGTACTCGAAAGAGTGCGCGAAAGAGAAACTGGCAAGACGCCTCGGGTCAGACCTGGTAAATGATCCTGCAAGCGGCCGATGACTAGCTGTGGACCAGGTCATGCCATCGCACAGGTCGCCTCGGGACGGGTGCAGATAGACCCTATCTGTATGATCAGAGGACTCAGCTACATACGCGTAGATAAACGTAGAGAGTGTCACTTTGCGAACCCCTCAACATTGAGATTGCCCGGGTTGCCACATTCCCATGGGCCGATGTCAGAGGTCTGCTCACCGCACACTCCCGAATGTTACAAGCGATGAAACTACACATAAATCTTCATTGAATCTCTTCCTGCACTCATCAAAGCCCACAATAGAAACACGCGCAACCTCGAAGCTTAGCTTTCCATCACAACTCCACCGCCCCCTCCGGCACCCCCCTCCGACTCCTCAGCCTCCTCGCCAAGAACTGCATCATCGGCAACGCCTCCTCCCTATTCTTGGGCATAGAGTCATCCACTTTCCTCCACTCGTGGTATTCGACGAACTCGAACGCGTCTCTGACCCGCTTCACGGGGCTCTGCTCGTCCTTGGCCAGCGCGCCGCGCCGCCCGCCGAGAAGCAGGACCGGCGTGCGGTTCTTGCTACCGGAGGTGACGGCCGAGGAAGCGAGGGGGATGGCGCCGCCGATGGATGTCACGCCGCCCAGGGACGGTATGTCTTGGAGGGCGGGGTGGAGTAGGGTGGTGAGGGCGAGGGAGCCGCCCTGGCCGTAGCCGAAGAGGTGGATCTGTGGGGGCGTGAATTTATGCGTCGATTGCAGAGTGGTAATGAGGTCGGCGAGTTGGGCGGCGGCCTTGGTAAGTGGCGAGTCAGGGTCGAACGTCCCGGTTGAGGTGTCGACTTGGACGTCGTCTGACCATTGAGAGCCGGGGCCGAAGGGGAACGGTAGCGGGTAGGGTGGCTGGAGGGTGATTGTCACGGCATCTGGGAGGTTCAATGCTTTCGCAAAGGATGCGAAGTTGGCGGTTGTGTCACCTAGGCCAGGGAGGAATATTATCACATTGGTTGGCTGACTGTTCGGGGGAAGGTAGATGACAGGCTGAAGGTCTTGAGAGAAGTCTGCTGGCGTTGGTACTGTTGGCATGATCAAGCCCGCAGGACGTGGGACTCTGCAGCCAAAGAGCAAGCTCCGAAGCCCGGCGTAACGTCCCGGGTGCTCGGCTGTGTACAGTGGCGGTGTCAGCCACTAGGGTACGGGTATCGGTTGGTCTTGAATTGGTATGCGAATGATGTGAAACACGGAATTGGCAGCAGTGACGTTAGCCACAAAATTAACTAAACTTTTAAGCACTAGAACCAAGCATTTACCCGGCATTTCTTAATCTGCCAGCCGACCCACATGCATCATCAGCATGCAAGCCCGTCTTCTGTTCTGAAGTATCTGCTTAGCCCGTGGTTGTGAGCAGTCGGGAAGTATTTGCATGGCCGGAGTGATCGAAACTGTGGATGAAGCAGCTGAGGCCTTGTAATCGATTGGGAGTGTCCGGCGGGTCAATCATACTTTACTCAGTGCATGCTCAGTTGCACCCTCCCTTTTGACTTTGGCGGGTAGCTTTCGAGACCCCTGGGCCTTTCGTCACTGCCCGAGCCACAGAGAATCGAGACTGTGTAAACGCTCTGCAGAAGGGGGCTTAGCCAGGCACAAGGAAGCTGAAACCCAGCTCAGCTAGGGGTTGACAACCTGAGCACGAATCTTGCGTTCCAATTGCTTAGTGGAGACGGTGGTAATGATGCACGATTGCGTTTGCTGCATGCTGAGTGGCACAAACGCTGACCCCGAGGTGAGAAGGTGACGCGTCAGGGACGGAGGGGGACGAGGGGCATCACTCCCTCACCGCAACCCGAGCTCGAATATATACTCACGTTCAGCCTCTGTCCCTTCGCATTTGCCAAGTTTCGGAGCACGCCTATACTCTCTTCACAAACACCACTATACCAGCTAGATCCCCTCAAGACACGACAACCTACAGTCAAGATGTTCGGATTCGGTACGCAACTGACACCCTCTCCCTCTCCCCCTGATCGTCGCCCATCCCCAACATATACACCAGACTAACCTCCCTCCCTCACCAGACGACGCCCGCGACTCCCACGCCCAAGTCTACGACGACTCCGTCCCGGAAGAGCACCGGGCCAAGTTCTCGCACGAGCTCATCTCGGGCGCTGCGGCCTTCGAAGGCATGAAACTGTTCGAAGACCACCAGCGCCGCGAAGGCCAGGCCGTCAGCCACGGCTTCGCCAAGGAGCTGCTGGCGGGCTTCGTGGGCGGCGAGGTCGACAAGTTGGCCGAGACCAAGGGCGAGGATGCGTGGGACCGGCGCGAGACCAAGAAGAGGGCCGAGCAGCATGCCGAGCGGATGTATGATGACCATTATGGCGGGCAGGATCAGTATGATCCGAACAGGAGGGATGCGCCGGACTTTGGGTACGACAGGAGAGGGGGTGGGGAGGGGAGGAGGGGGGATAGGAGGGATGAGTATCAACAGGGCGGGTATCAGCAGGGAGGGTACGATCAGGGGGGGTACCAGCAGGGAGGATATCAGCAGGACAGCTATCAGGATGATCGACAGGGTGGATATGACCGGAGATACTAGCTATGGTCGTGACGAGACATCTCGATAATACTCGATCATGTAACTGCCATTGCTCGGCCGAGGAAGCAATGAATCTTTCTACAGAAGGTCAATTATATCGATGTGCTGCCGTATTTGTACAGGGGTATTTTTATGTGCCGGTGCATCCTGCACTCACTTCTGCTCTTTCGGCTCACTGTTGACGAGCTTGTCCAGTTCGGCTCTTGCTTTCCGCACACTGGCCCACGCCGACCGCCATCTCTGCTCCTCTGCCTGATCAACCCTTGGTCGCGCCCTCTCCTCAACCAGTTGTCTCATCCGGCCGACAATCCTCCTAATCTCACTGCGCCCTTCGTCAAAGAGCTCGTTTTCCATCCGCTTCGTGGCACTTTGCCAGCCGCCCTGCATACGCCACAAGGCGAAGGTCGTGCCCACAGCAACAATGGTGCCAGCCTCGTATAAGCTGCCTGGCGTGATGGACAAGTAGGTCAGACCAGAAAGGCCGGCAGAAAGACCTGTGATGGACATCGTCCGGAGAACGAGCTGCTGGGCTTGTGTAGTAAGCGACTCAATGGCTCGTGTGATCTGTGTTGTCCGCCTGGCAGATATTGACACGGATAGGGGAGTGGGTTCCGGTACAGGCTGTAGCACAACACTTGCAGCGCCAGCCTGATTTGTGATCACTGGTTCGGTGACTTCCGAAGTCGAGGCCGTTTGCGCCTGGAGAATGGGCAAAGGCTGTGTTGCTGGGGAGCTATGCTCTTCGGCCGTCTTTTCTATAAGTTCGCGAGGTGTGAAGGTAACATCCATAGGAGAGATCCCAGCTTGTGCGAGGCGTCCAGAAAGCTCATAGACTGCCTTCTCCGTGCGAGGCAGCCATGCGTTGGTGATGAGATCAGTTACGATTAGACCGACGTCGTCCACACGCCAGAAGAGTTTATACCAGGCTAGCTTGCGCCAGTTGCGTGAGGACCAGGCTGAAGCCAAGCCAGACTGTAGCTCTTGATGGGCGTTACGGGAGAATTCGTCAATCGTGGATCCTAGATTGGTAAGGGTCGCTAGGTCGAGATCTTGAGCATTTGTTTGTCGTTGGGCTTGGAACTCAAGACTCCTCGAAACAGACTGGAGGATCGAGGAGATTAAGGACGAGATCTGCGACGGCATCGTACCATCGGTGTTGGACGTCCGAGCAAGCCATTTGGACAGGTTCGGCATGCCTGAATCAACCCAGAGGTGTTCGTATGTCGTAGCCTCGGCTAGGGATTGGCGGATCGCGTCGATGCCTCGCTCTGCCCTGCCTGCATCGACAGTCAGTATTTGGCCATCGGCAGCGATATCCGCATTTTGCATAGCGATTGCAATAGACTGTCTATCTTCTTCTGTGACGAATTCGACTGATGCCAACAGCTCCGCCACTTGAAAGAGCTCTTCGAGCCCTTTCGCTACAACGAGAGCTCGGTGGACAGGCTGGCTGATCATTGTTTGTCTGCCGCTATAGGCTGTGGGCGTTCCCACTGCAGGTGCGAGGAATGCTTCGATGGGAGTGCGCTGTGCCTGTGTAGCCGAGGGTCGGTTGACGGACGACACGAGGATCTCGAGATTGTTGCGCTCCAGCAAAGATGACGGTATGTCGAGCGTAGGTATTGTAGACCGTGATTGAGGGACATTGGGATTCGCAGATTGGCCGAAGCGAATCACCACACCATGTTCGTAGCTCTCACTATTACCAGCCAACTCTTTCTCCCATCTTGCCTCTTGATCCAACGGATCCGCAAGTAGAAGCCTCACGATCCTTCTAGCTGTGTCTTGTGCGTTCAAGCCCAATACGGCCACGCGGATCTTGGGTGTGGTGGTTTCGAGACCTTGAAGTGCAAGCTGCAAGCGGCCAAGGCTAAGATGGACGGACGCACCACGTCGTAGATCGCTTAGCGCAGTGTAAAGCGTTTTGTATTTGTCGGGGACGCTCCGTGAAGCATTGACAGCGGTATTCGAGCTCAGCGTAGAGGCTGATCGGTGGTGGCGGGGAGATCGTGGGTGCGACCGGATTCCATTACGCAGCTGCGCACATGAGGGACAGACAAACACTCGCTCGTAGAGCTGTACCAAAGCCTTGGTGTTCCTGGGCCGTTTCGACATGCTCTGGCGACAGTGTTGGCGGTGCGAAGAGCAGCGAAGAAATGTTACTGCTGTGAACGAGCTGGGCGGGCGGGCTGCGATCCCGCCAAGACAGACCTGCTCTGACTTAGATTCAAGGGATAAGCTGAGATCAATTCATGCCAAATCTGACTCGCGTCTCCAAGGAGCAATGATTGCTACGGCGACTCAGTGTGGCACACTCACAGAGGTAAGAGCAGAGGCCGCAGCCTGAATTATTACTAGTGCTGTCCAACGACCCTACTCAAGCTCACAATGTTCTGCCTTTCTCGCTGTAGCCGGTCCCGATCATGTATCTTCTAATCGGGTTTCTCCCCATCTCAATTTGAGTCGATGCAATCCGGACCATTCAGGCAACTTGAAATCGAGTACCATCTCGGGCTGGTCGATGTTTCTCAAGAACACATAGTCTTTTCCGGGCAGGAGCTCATCCACGACGATGCTCGCAACAGCCTCTAGTTTGCCGTCCGGCAACGCAAGGTGTTCCAATCTTGCCTGGCCCATGCAAGGATGCTCTGCCTCTACCAGTATCTCGACATTGGAAGCTTGAGAAAGGGCCCAGTGGTGCGCAGCCGCAGTTACTGCCACGTACTCTCCATTTGAACAGCTGTTGCTTGTTCCGCCAACCGAATGTGCCGGAGAGCTACCCGCCCTCGACTCGGTCGTCACGCGATCTGGGACCTCGCTATCAGCACCGCCAGTCGAACTTCTTACATGTGTCGCACGCAAGCTCTCACTCATCTTGGTCGTGCTCGATGAACGTGAGTGCGACCCTTCGATGGAGGACACTGGTACCTCATCAATGTGTACGCGACTTGTCAGAGGGAATGCTCTAGGAACATATTTCTTCTTCGCGAGCCGGACGATCGTGGCATTCATCAGGTCGATGGTCTGACGAAGTCTCGTTACAACTTCCTTGTCAAATTGTACCAGGTCGGGCACTGTCCACTGATCGAAGACCTGGCCATGGGGCAGTGGCGGCTCCAAGCCACCATAGCAGCTGATACACAGGAAGCACAGGAAGCAGGAGAGCTTCGACGTACCCATTACCCGTGGAAAACAACGATCTGCGGGCTGCTCGAGCACATAGTGGCATAGAAGCTGAATTTCGGCATGCACATAGCAGTCGACCTGAGACTTTCGAGATGAAATCTTGTGCGAGATCTTAGATCGTACTGGCCGGTAGGGCGCTAATGTGGTGATTTTTAGTTCCACATTTGACATCGCCAAGGTGTTCAATATCTCCCTGTACACCTGTACAAGCGTCTTCGCCACGCGACGGTAGGCCCCAATTTTGTCGACCTCCACAAGGGATTTGTTCTCGAGCCAGAACCTCACATCGAGACCCGCTTGCTCGAGGACTTCGCTGAAAAGGATGCCACCGCCATTCTGTCCTGTTGTGGTCAGCTGGAACGCCTGCTTCGAGACAACCTCCAATCTCTTGACAACTGCATCATCTGGACTCAGAGCTACATCTTCAGGAGTCCAATTGGCACAAATAGCACAGAATTTCTGCTCCAACTCCTCTAGCTCCGCTGCAAAGGAGCGACCGAACGCTGTCAGATGTCTCCACTGCCGGATTGACTGAATACACCGCTTCAGCCTGTCTGTTGAAGCTGTCAAGAACCCAGGCCGCCCAGAAATGAATCCCGGGGGATAGCCGAGCGCATTTCTTATGCGCTGTAGAATCCGCGCGCCATTCAAGCAGACAATCTTTGCGAATATCGAGTCCCGAACGGCCTTGGACCTACCGCCTGGCGGACACCGTAGACTTAGCAGCCGATCAATACCCAGCACTCTGACTGTGGCTCTGACGGGCTCACTCACCTGGCCCTGCGCCGGTCTGGGCAGTGCGCCAGATTTCCTCCAACGCGCTTCGCACGGTCTCGGGAATACCTCCATTCGCCGCAAGGCGTAATGTCAGCGTCATCTCGGTGCCAATATCGTCGCCACCGTTGTTTTCCTCGATACACGCCGCGGTGACGCTATGTACACCTTCCTGCGCGGCTGCTATATAGGCGAGATCGTTGCTGAGTCGCTTCTCAATTGCCAGCGGCAGACGGTGCTCACTCGAGTGCATGTTGCTCAAATGGGGTACCGCAGCCATGCTCGCGATCGGTCGCGTTGTTCGCGTCACGACGTCTGTTGTCCACGCCACACCTGTGCATGCTCGAGCTAATTTGACGACGTTCCGACGAAAGGCGTCTTCACCAGTGAGGCGCCATATCGACTGCTGAGGTGCTGCAGTGCGAGGATTTAGGCGGCTATTGTTCGAGACAGCAGCCATAAAGGCCGTGCTTGCAGCAATTCAGAGACTGCGTGCATCGTGGTTATACTTCAGGGCCGACGCCGAAGAGCCTCCAGGACATACGGCAAGCCATGGTGGTATGTGGCAGCTACTTCGTAGCGAAGAAAAGACGAGTAGCCAGCTGTCTCGCTGTCATATTTGTGCCTATAACAAGTTGCCAGTTGGCGCATCTGCATGCATACTGTTCGCTGGCCCTGCATGCCCCAGTCTGCGATCGTATTGGCTTACATCCCAGGCGCTTGGTCCAGGCACATCTAACGCGTTGTCGGATCTAAGTGGCCGACTAGTTACGAACCTCGGCCTTTTGAACACGACTGTTAGGATAGTCCAGCGTTCATGAAGCTCGAACAAGGCGACCAGGCGGATGCGGACAGACTTTCCGCAACGATCAATATGTCGGGCTATTTGAACGCCAATGAGTCCTTCCAAGTATCGCAGTTCGGTCCATGCTTTCTCATAGGCCGAGATGATTCGCTTGCAGACTTGAATAGTGCATTTTATGTTACTGATTCCGGCTGCTGCACCCAGGGACGCTTCGTTATCTCGGTATGGCAGGATCTCGCAAATCACCAACTTTCTGTCGTTTCGCTGATGATTTTCGGAACTACTCCCGAGGCGAGCTTTGGGTCCCTGTGTCCTCTTTATAGATTGCTGAGAATGAGTTTGGCAAGATCGCAGGCTGTGCTGGCTATGGGGCTGGCATCATGGAAGCCGCCCAAAGAGTGGCTCGGCTTTCAACGCAACCCATGGCAGTTAATAGCTGACAACACAGACACCATCCGAATACAAGACCTCTTCTCTTCTGGCACCTACGGCGGTATCCTCGCCAACACGAGAAATCCTGCATTCCGAGCAGAAGGAACCACAAGGCAGCGTTAGTAACACTTCATCGAATTGAAGCATACTGATGCTCGTACGACGAGATGCAACTTCATTCAGGCACCGAGAAAGTTGAATACGTACCCACAGCACGTTGAGTGCTACACAAGCGTACTATGGATGCAGTCCGATGACCCCGGGGACGATACTGTACAATCGAGTCTTTCATGCAAAGCTTGCCCTGCCACCGATCCTGCGCAATTGCTGCAATGCAATGTACCTTCGGAGGACAGAGCGACTGCCAAGTTTCGGATAACAGAAAGCGCCGGTTGAACTTTCGAGCAGGTCTTCGATTACCAACTGTGGCATAGGGTACGAGTTCTTCACGCGGACCACATGTAATCATCCACAGCTTCTGTCGAGATTGGCGCCGGGACGCAAACGAGGCCTTGGTGTAGAGCTGCTCAAGCCGCATCCGCCAACCAGGCCCAATCGATGTCAACATGGCCATGACTCAATTGTTATCGCCCATCTCGCTTGGGTCCGAGCATTGCATTTCCGCCGCCGCGGCGCATACGACGAGACCACAGCCGAAGGCTAAGCGAGGATGAGGGGCAATCATCCCCGTTCAGGCGAATGATGACGGCCTAAGAGTCGGTCCCAGAGCCTGTCGAGTTTTTCTCTGTATCAATCGCTAAGCACGGGCAACTGTGATATCTTTTGCACGATAGCTGAAGTCTCTCGGCTACAACCATGTACACATATGGGAGCCCACCAGCATGTACCACTCCCGTAGTGCGTTAAGCACAGTGGAACTTTGACACATTGTACGTACAGAGGGGCTCCCCATCATGCCACCGCCCCCCCACCGGGCTTTCCCAGGGCCAACCATTGAATTTTGCGGCTGAGCCTTAACCAAGATACGGTCGCTCCGGGCCCAATCGCAAACCGTGGCACTCAGTAGTTTTCGGATCCTCACTGAGTTTCGCACCTCTCGTTCGTTTAAGTGGTTACACGAACGAGCTTAGCCCCACGATCGCCAGATTATTGGGAATAGTGCCCCAGGAACCCTGGTAGAATGGGCCCTTGACGCCCACGCCCCGGAACGGCAGACATTCCTAGCCTCAAACCGCCCGTCCGCCGTCCTACCCTACTTCAACGGCTTTTGTGGCGGTCGAGAACAATCCTTCTTCAACATCAAAGCTGTTACGAGACACGTCGTACGATTCACTCCCGAACAATATTTCTGAATCTTAGGATAATGCAATTTTGATGGCCGCTCTCTCATCTGGCGATGTCCTCTGGCGACGATCCCCGTGTTGGATCTGCTCGCGATGGAGAACAGGCCCCTAATGCTTCCCGCCTAACTGCTGGCGAGAACAGCTCGAGCCTCGTCACACTTGTCGCAACACTCGTGCCCGTTTTCATTTGGACGGTACTATGTCTTATCTTCTTTCTCGGGTTAAGACGTCGCTGCCGACGAGTGTATTCACCTCGCGCAACCCTGAAAAGCCTTCATCCAAAGTAAGTGTGCTTGGAGGCTCAGAGCGAAGAGTTGGCTTTGCTGACGATGCAGTGAACGGATCGCAAGTCTCCCACAGGGCTTGTTGAAATGGATCAAGCCTTTCTATCGCACGCCCGACAGCTTCGCCCTCAAACACGGCTCCATTGATGGATTTTTATTCTTGCGCTTTTTGAGGGTCTTATTGCTCATCCTCGGCGTCGGTTGCGCTCTCATGCTTCCAGTGCTGCTGCCGATTCACGCCACCGGCGGCGCCGGCAATGGAGGCCTTGACCTCCTGACTATGGGCAACATTACTTCTAAGCAGTTTTATTATGCGCATGCTATAATGGCCTGGCTGTACTTTGGATTCATTCTGTATGTGGTGCTTCGAGAATGTATCTTCTGCATTCACCTCAGGCATCTCTGCTTGACATCCCCCTTTTTCGCAGATCGACTCTCGGCGAGAACGGTTCTAGTCACATGCGTTCCTCATGCGTATCTTACGGAGCGCAAACTACGAGAAACCTTTGGAAGCTCTGTGCGTCAAGTGTGGATCCCCAAAGACACCGAGGAGCTGCAAGACCTGGTCAAAGAACGCCACCAGACAGCTCTACGTTTGGAGAAAGCCGAGGTCAGACTCATCAAGATGGCAAACATGGCTCGAACCCGAGCTTCGGGAAAGGATGGGAAGCGTAAGCCTTGGTACCGCCGAAGACGCAAGCAAGAGGATGCCGTCAATGTTCTTGCCGTTGCCAAAGACGAAGAAGCACCGCCGGAGGCTGCCACTCCACTACCCGACGTCAGCGGCTCGGTCGCCTCACAATGGATCACCCATAGCTCCCGCCCCGTGCACCGCCCGCTTGCAAATGCGATTCGGCGCGTGGACACCATCAAGTGGACGCGCAACAGGCTCAAGGCGTTGGCCAGGAGGATCCTCAAGGAGCGAAACGAGCTGCTACTGCACAACGAAGAAAAGCCCGTCATCCCAGCTGCCTTTATTGAATTTGCCAGTCAGGCTGATGCGCAAGTTGCTTGCCAAACACTCTCTTATCACCAGCCATTGTATATGGCGGAGCGATATGCCGGTGTTCGGCCATATGAGATTGTATGGGCATCGCTCTCTCTGGCCTGGTGGTCAAGAATCGTCCGAAAGTTTGGCATGCAGGCATTCATCGCAGTGCTGGTGATTTTTTGGTCCCTGCCATGCGCTTTCGTAGGCATGGTGTCCAATATCGAAGCTCTGTCGGCGAGGATACCGTTTCTTGGCTGGATCATGGATCTCCCAGGCCCCATCCTGGGGGTATTGACCGGTTTGGTACCGGCGCTGGCTCTTGCCTGGCTCATGAATACTGTGCCGTGGATCGTTCGAACCGCAGCCCGCATTGCTGGCACACCCACGCTCACTATGGTTGAGGTGTACACACAGAAGGCCTACATCATCTTTCAGATTGTACAAGTCTTCCTAGTCACCACCCTCAGTTCGGCGGTCTCGGCAGCCCTCACTCAGATCCTACAGAACCCGATGTCGGCCACTACACTTCTCAGCGAGAACCTACCAAAGTCATCGAACTTCTACATCTCTTACATTCTGGTGCAAGGACTTGTGCTCGGTTCGGCAGGTCTGGTCCGCTTCCTCGACATCATACGTTATTACATCTTTCCCATGCTACCTCACGACCATCGCAAGCGATACGAGCGATATCACAGCCTTCGGCCGGTGCACTGGGGCGGCGTCTTCCCCGTTTTCACCAACCTTGGCATCATTGGCATCTGCTATAGCTGTATAGCGCCACTCGTCTTGCTTTTTGGCGTTATCGGCATCGGCTTCATATATCAAATCTACAGATACAACGTTCTGTACGTCTTTAACTCTGAAGTTGACACGCGTGGCCTCCTTTACCCGGCAGCGCTCATGCAGTTGATCTGGGGTCTCTACCTGGCAGAAGCCTGCTTGATTGGCCTGTTCGCATTGAAGGCTGCAGCTGGGCCGATCGGTATAATTGTCGCACTACTTGTCACCACCATTCTAATTCACCGCTCTCTTCTGCAGGCACTCGGTCCACTTCTGTTTGATCTGCCAAAATCACTTGCTGGATCGAGTACATCGGCGAGCCCGAATGGACCTCTCGATCCCTTCAGTCTGGCCAATGCAGATCATCCTCTTGCACATGTGGGTTCGGATGCACTCGACGCTTCTCCGACGGAACATCAAAACACGCTGTTTGCGGACATTGCAGAAGATGAGAACGCAGATCACATACCTGGAGCAACTCGGGGTGATGATGGTCTGATTCATCGACATAAAGGATCTACCGGGAGCAAAAGCCACTCCACGATATCCCACCACGGCCCAGAATCATCGGAGTCTCCTTCAAGCACCAGCGATATCGGTGGACGGACAGAAAAGAGCATGATAGGCGAGAGAAGCCCATCAACAACCCGAGATTCCGCCCTCGAGGACATCGAGACCACTCGCGGCACTCATCTCCCATCGGAGGCAACCGAGCCCTTCCGCCTCGAAGGCGTGGCTGCTCTCTTGAAAGTCTTCTACAGCGGCGGCACCACCATGCTCGGCAAGCAACTCGCGCCACACAAAGAGCGCCTCTCTAAACGGGTATCTCCCGTCACCACGCACCCCCGCTTCCTAGCTTCGCACGCCCGCCTCCGTCGCGCGATCCAGTACATGTCGCCCCTCTACTACGCCTCCTCGGACCATGTCCCCAACCTTGTCGCCAAGCTGCACGAACTCGATCCTCCCGAGTACCCCAATGAGACCAAACGCCTGGTCTACCTGCATCCGAGCATGTACACGCCGCCGCCCCGGCTGTGGATTCCACGTGACGAGGGCGGAGTCAGCAGACAGGAGTGCGAGCACAATAACCGATTGGGCAAGGGGGTCGTGGAATGCACGGATGAGGGCTGGGAGGTCGACGAGAAGGGGAAGCTGTGGAGAGACGTCGAGGATTCGACGGCCCAGTGGTGCATGGATCGCGGGTGGAGGGGGCGGTGGTGATGGTGATGGTGATGGGATATCACTACTCAGTTGAAGCACGCGAAGAGGAATCCCGGACTTGGTCTTTGTAACATATACACCTAATACATACCTACCTTGACACCGTCTTTCGAACCAACGCCGCCATAACCGGGGCGGAGAGTCTTGGCCACTACTTGCCAAGGCGCAGACTTCGTAACCTCGGATCCCAGCTCCCGTCACGTAGCTTTTTTCTTGCAAGTCTTTCTTGTCGTTACCAGCCGGCTCTGAGCTTGCCGTGCCGTCCACCCACATCCCCATCCCCATCCCAAGCTTCTGTCAAATGACGCGTTCCCTCCTTGTTGGCCGCGTGATCGTTCGCCGGGAAAGGAGGTTGGCGGTGTGGTGTTTGCCGTGACGAGACAAGGCTTGGGGTGTTAGTGCCCAACGGGCCCTGTCATGTGCGGGATACCTTGGCCGAACTGGCAATGACGGCGCCCAAGCGGCTGGGATTCATTTCTTTGCAGTGCCAGTGGTTTGAGCTGTGTCTTGTGCTATGACGTGGGCGATGGAAAAAGTATGCTGTGATATGACGATGGCAAATCAAGGTAAGTAAGGGTCAGTGTGCGTTTGTTGGTTCGACGCGTCCCCGCGTGACTGGTTTCCTGCTGCTGGCTCGAGATTTTTACCTAACTGCCTGTTTGTTTGCCCTTTCTCGCCCCTCTTTGTCTCTCCTGCAGTTCAATCTATACCAGTCAGCCTTGCGACTAAAGCCTCTCCTTTCGGGATTCTTAACGACGCAAAAAGCATTCCGAATCGTGCACACAAGCAAACAAACACGACACAAAGAACGCTATTCGGCTTGTTACAACACATCCGACAGAATGGACGGCACCACCCAACGCCGCGGCGGGCGCTTCTCCATCACGTCCATACTCGCCCTCGCCCTCGCGGGCCTGCAGTTCATCTGTGCCATCATCATACTCGGCCTCGTGGGCGTGCGCTTCGGCAGCACGTCATTCTCTGCAGCTGTAAGTCTTAAAATCTCCTGGTCTCCCCTCGCGCGCCCGTGCTCAGTCCTTGTTGCGCACGGTCATGAACCGCACATCCCGTCTAGTCTCAAGGCAAGAGCTCGGGTGGACCTCAAATTGCCTGGGCTGCCTGCATCGACCTACATACATACTTCATACAGCCACCAAACAGCGATCCCCCATCCCCCATCCCCCTTGTACCCAATCTCCCACAAAACTAACGCCTCCTCTCCCCCCCTTCTAGGTCTACTCCATCGTCCTCTCGTGCCTCACAGTCGTCACGGCTCTAGCCTTCGGCTTCCTCGCCTCCCGCGCCACGGGCGGCGGCGGCCGCTCCCTCCTCCTCGGCACCCTCTGCTGGCAGGTCATCATGGTCATCCTGTGGGCTGCCGCGGCGGGCACCTTGGGCAGCTATCGGGGCCGGTCAACGGGCTTGCGCGCCGCCATGGCGCTGGCGATTATTCTGATGCTGAGCTTTGTGGTGGGTGCGGCCGTGCAGGGACTGCGGGTTTGGAGGGGACGGAGGGCGGAGGGGAAGGTTGGGGGTGTTTGAAAGTGGCGGGGGCTGGGTAGTTGTGGGAATGTGTGAGAAGGCCGGTTGGGGGAAAGGCTTGTTGAGGGTGAGCGACTTGATGGTGCTTTACTTGCGAGGCTTTGTTGGTTGCTTACAAGTCCAACGATGCGATGGTGGGCGTTATCTGATGCTGAAATACCAGTACCCCGAGCTGGGTGGGAAAGGGACCAAGCGCGCAACGAATACCCAAATTTGTAAGGAATAGAAATGTATCTTCATAGCAAGTCAAGTACTGCACTTTTCTGTCGCTATCTTGAGATCTGGCTTTCCGCTTCATTTCCTGCACATTACCACCAATGTCCCTGTTGCCAACCTGGGTCCGGTCAGGAAGACTTCATGCCGGTCCCAGCCGGAGCCCATTCGTCCTTGGCCAACAACTCCTTCTTCGTCCACTCCTCTAGCCTCGCAGCCAGCTCCATATCCTTGGCCAACGCGCTCTCCGACCCTTTCTTGGCGAACTTCAAAAAATACGTCCCACTCTGGTCCTTTGTCATAGCCGGGCTTGCGACACAGAACACGCTGCTCCAGGACCCCTTGTCAGGATCGAGCGGGCCACCTAAGGCTGTATACCACGAGAACAGCGTCTTTACCCCGAAGGGCCACACTGCGTTGTCCCCCAGGTTGGTGCCGACGACACCTGGATGAAGCACCGCAGTCCAGATCTCGCCAGTGCCAGCTTTGGAACTAGGTGAACCAGGTCCGTAGAGCTTGTGCAGCACCTTAGCGTGGAGGATATTGGCCAGCTTGGACTGGCCGTAGCGGGTCAGGGGGCTGCTGCTGGCCAGGGCGGTGTCGGAAAGATCGATACCCCCATTCGGTGCCATATTATGACCCCCAGATGATACGTTCACAATGCGTACGCTTCCTGGCGAGAGTGACTTGGACGTCTTCAACATCAGTGGTATCAGGTGGGAAGTAAACAGCCAGTGGGCGAGATAGTTGGTCTGCCACTGTGCTTCGTAGCCATCTGAGGTCATCTCAAACGGTGTCGCCATGATGCCGGCGTTGTTGACGAGGCCATGGAGGCTTGATTCTCTCTTGAGGAGGGTCCTGGCGGCAGCTACGACAGACGAGAGAGACATGTGGTCAATCTGTAGGAGAGTGATGTGTGCTTGTGGGTAGAGGGCTTTGATGCCGTCAATGGCGGCGTTGCCTTTGGTAGGGGAACGTGCGCATAGGTAGACGTGCGCGCCATGTTCTGCAAGCCGAGCAACCGTGTAGTATCCTCTGTTCGGGGGTGATTCTTGTCAGCAGTGGTACTTGGGGACGAGCATTCCGGGAACAGGAGGACCAACATGCCAGCGTTACCACCAGTGACAACGTATACCTTGCCGGTAAGATCAGGTAGACTGTCAGGATGGAAGGTCATGTCGACGGAGAGTGGCGAGATTGACTATCACCGGAAGACAGCTCTGCTCGAAGAGGGAACGAATACGTCGGTGGTCTATTGGAAAGCGTTTTCAAGTGAGCAGATGGGTTTCCCTCATGATGGCGGTTCCAAGCATTAAATACTATCCCGAGCCGTTAGTGCGTTTCATGGATCTTTTGACACGGACGGTCGAGATGCTCCGAGTCCCACAGGACTGGATCATGCCCACCGACTGCCAGAGTCTATGCCTCTCGCTGGCGCCTGGAGACGTTGCGATTTCGCGAGGATATGAATGCTATCACAGAGCTAGAAGCCGCAACAGGGAAAGCGCGAGGGTAAGCCAGCTGCACGACGCTAGAACATAATGGGTTACACCTGGCGGGGTCGTCCCGACGGGTGTCTGGGCACGAGACTCGGGGCGTCGACCACCGAGTCCGGGCACTCGTCCAGGTAAACACCATCTAAAGCCGATGAACCTCATTGCTGTTTGGCAAGGCCACGGAAGACTTGGCCATTGGCTGTATATATCTGGGGTAGTGCCACGCGCAACGACTCGTAACAAACTTCTGCACCACTTAAACGACCACCACTGTGCAGTTACCATCTCAGCCTTGCACAGCCTTCCCTCCAGTTTTCATGGTAGCCTAGAAGGCCGTCTCGTAATCGGGACCATACAGTAAGTCTAGCAGGCACACGAGCATGAAGGATGAGGTGCAGCCCACACTGCACGAGCTCCTTCCACAAGTCTGTGCATAGTACTACGGACTTTACGGGGTTACCGTGGGATTAGCGGCTGCTGAGCTGCTCCTTCACCTAGAGCACCCAAATTGCGAGCACTAAGGTAGCCATCGTGTTTGAATCCTCAACCGCAGACCAAGCAAGGCACCCATGATCCGTTCTACTCATATGCCGCTTGACTTTGATTTGCTCGCGCTTGGCTGATCAATCAACATTACCAAATATACTGTCCCTACGCCCCAGGCCTGTCCGGCAATGGAGTCCGTCCCGGGCCGGGATGTCGTGCCCGCAAAGCTCCCAGTCCTACCCATGCCACAGCTCGCTGATGTAACATACCCGGGCGAAGCTAGATGGACCGAACCTCGTGTTAATTCTTGGTAGGCTAGAGACAGCGACGATGATTGGACCGGCATCACAAATGCTGCGGCTCGTAAGAAGAGGCAAAACCGGCTCAATGTCCGGGCTTATCGTGAGTAGAGTGGCATGGCGAGCCGCTCCGATCGTCGTCTCACAACCAGGAGCAAATGAGAGCTGACGACAGCACAGGGCGGAGGCAGAAAGCTATCAGGCAACAAGCGAAGACCACAGAAGCCCCAGGCTTCACTGGGTGCATCGCCGAAGAAGATGCCGAGATACCATGCTGGGATGAAGTTCGTCAGAAACTGACTATGCTGCCCACCTCAGTAGCCAAGCGAATGCAGAGTACGAAAGGGCCGATGATGCATTTCATGCCATCCGACGAGCTCATCTTTCCGCTAAGCTCAGATCACCTGATCATTCTCCTCCAACTCAACGTGCTCCGTGCCTCGATAGAGAACCGTCGTCTTCTAAGGCCCCTCGAATCCAGTTCAATCAAGAGTTGCGACTCTTCGTCCCATACAATCCTGCCACACCTCTCGGATCCCCGCCTACTCCCCCCGGCTCTGCATCCCACCACTCTCCAATGCACGGTTGTACACAAGGATTGGATCGACATTGTCCCAGACCCTGCCTGGCGTGACAACCTCATCCGGCTAGTAGGACAATATGACGAGGCTGATCTCTGGTCCGATGTGATCGGCGGCCTATTCGACGGGTTTCCGGACTCGGAAGTCGGACATCGCGGCCTCGTTGCTTGGTCACCGCCGTGGGATGTGAGTGGCTGGGAGGTTTCGAGCGGTTTCCTACAAAAATGGGGTTGGACTCTAACTGGATGTGACGATATGCTTGACACGACGAACAGGTGGAGGGCGATGAGGGGAGAGGAACCTCTCACGATGAAGTCGTGAAGTGACCGAAAGGTGGTACAATTGACTGGACGTGTTCAAACAGAGACTTGGCGATATCAAAGGTCATGTCCGCCGGAAGGTTTTCTAAGTTTCAAAGAACATCTAGAACGCGACTTCGACCATTGAGCTTCCTGAACCCTCGGAGGTATCCGCCTCGTGTTCATGCTGCCCAATGCAACCACTCTCGACTATATCTCACAAGACAGCATGGCTCGGAATTCCCTCCACGTCGACTTCGCGCTGCAAAGCGTGCCACCGCCCACAAATACGCCATGATCCAGCCTATGGAATCAGCGACCGCCGGCCGAACGATCCTCAGCAATGCTCGCATCTTCACCAGTTTGCCCGGCCAAGATGAACTATTCGACGGATCGATAATCCTACAGGAAGGCTTGATTGATTATGTTGGGCCATCTGATTCGACCCAAATCTCGTTAGCTAGAGATGCCGGCGCCGCCGACGTCGATGTTCGAGGCCGTGTCATCACGCCCAGCTTCATCGACGGGCATGTACATATCATGCACTTCGGACAGGCTCTCAGCAAGCTCAATGTCATGACCTGCGCCTCACTGGCTGAGATACGGACCAAGATTAGGGGCTTCGCGGCGGCGCATCCATCAGCGCCACGGCTACTGTGCAGGGGCTGGATACAATCCTCTGTCAGTGGAACCGCTCTCGCCAGCATGCTTGACGACCTCGATCCGCGGCCCATATATGTAGAAGCCATGGATCTGCACTCGGTGTGGTGCAACACTGCCGCACTTACCGAAACCGGCATCATCGACATGTCTACTGACCCAGATGGAGGGAAGATCGTGCGCGACGAGCACGGCCAACCATCCGGCCTTCTCGAAGAAAGCACATTGCATGGCATTGTAGTGCCCTTCCTCTTCAAGGCTCTGACGGAAGCCGAAACGCAAGATATCCTCCACCAAGCCTTCACCGCGTACACCTCCGCCGGATATACGGGTGTGATTGATATGGCCATGGATGACCAACAGTGGCATGCCATTGAAACCTACCGCACCAACCACCCTCCCCTTCCCCTGCACATCGCCGCACACTGGCTGATTCCCTACTCCGACAAACCCTCCGAGGTCCAGTCTTACCTTGACACCGCCATCGCTATGAACCAACGCTACCATCCCTCCACCTCTCCCGACTTCAGCATCGTTGGCATCAAAATCATTGGCGACGGCACTGTCGACGGCTGCACCGCAGCTCTCACCGAACCCTATGGCACACTGACCGACCCATGCGTCCCCATCTGGCCCGCCGCCACCCTCACCTCGGTAGTTCAAGCCGCCGACGCCGCCAACCTCCAAGTCGCCATCCACGCCATCGGCGACGTCACGATCCGCAACGCCATCGACGCCATCGCATCCCTGGGCGCCTCACGACGCCAACGCCACCGCATCGAGCACCTGGAACTCGCATCCGCGGCTGACGCCCGGCGCCTGGGCCAGCTTGGAATCATCGCCTCCGTGCAGCCTGTGCACTCGGACCCGGTGCTCTTCCGCGCATGGCCGGAGCTGCTGGGCGTCCATCGCTGCAAGCGCGCGTTCGCGTACAGCGAGTTTGTCGCGGGTGGCGCACCCCTGGCGTTTGGGACGGATGCGCCGACGGCGGCGCACCTGCCGCTGCCGAATTTGTATAATGCCACGACGAGGAGGAGTGCGTTGGAGGTGGTGAGCGCGGAGTGCACGAATGAGGAGTTTAAGGTTGGGTTGGCGGAGGCAGTGCGTGCAGCGACGAGAGGGGCGGCGTATAGTCGTGGGGCGGAGGGGTGGTGTGGCAGTCTGAAGAAGGGCATGAACGCGGATCTGTGCGTGCTAGAGACGGAGTGGCGTGCCGAGGGGTTATTATGGAGTCGTGTGTGGCAGAGCTGGTATCGCGGGAGGAAGGTATTTGATCTTGAGGCCCAGGAGCCGAGCTGAGACGATCATACAGGAAGGTCATGCTACCGATCTGTTCTATTCCTGCCTCTCAGGGAGACAGAGCTCCTGCTCCCCTGTTCTCAAGCAGTGGTGCTCGGCAAGTGGTGATTTCTTTCTCCCGAGCGGGTTGCGACATGGCAGTTTGCACTCGATATCGATGCCGCCATGGATAGAACCGCACCGCCGAGGCCATTCAAGCTCCCCATCTATCCCACTTCAGCACTTGGACTTGTGGCGACAGATTCCGTCGGACATCCATCGAAGGAGGCAAGCCTGTAGTCCTGCAAAACAATAAACCGCCGTCATCGCCAACAAGACATAAAATTGCGTGCCCCTCGACTATTCGCCTGCGCCCATGCGTGACGCGTCCCCGGATCCAGATCTGTCAGGCTTGCTTCGAAGAAGCTTGATTGAGCTTGTCTTAGGTATGTTTTGACCTCAAAAGGCTTCGAGAGGCTATTGAGGGTGGTTTCGCCTCTGCGGGAAGTCAGTGACGCGGCCTTCGACGGGTCCACCCGAAACGGTCGAGGCTCGAGACCGCCTTTCCGGAAGAAGGCAACAAGTTGGATGTAAGGCAGATACGGCTGAGGACTTCCGCCGAGTATTATGTTGGACGTTCATTGCAGCGCTCGCGACTTATTGGCGCGCCCCTGATCGCTGCAGGGATATGCGTTCTGCTGACTCGCAGTGGTTGAAGACTGGAGAACCAATGGCAACTGTTCTGCGAGAGAGCTCTTCCCTAAGGGCATTCTGCAATATGCTTTATGCTTGATGCTATTTCGAGGGCCGTGGCAGCCGTTGGCTTGGCTCGAATTGGAAACGGCGACACGAGGTTGTTCAGGGCCCCGTCCATGAAAGCACCTCTTGCAAGCATGCAACACCATTCCTACCAACGAGGCCCTCTTGCTCACACACACTGTCAAGTGGCATGCCTAGTACCCCAAAGGATAGTCTTTGGCAACGTCGACATGGCACTTGCAGACGGAGCGTCCAAACGGATGGCTCAACCATCACCTTTGTTCTGAAAAGCAAATGATCTGACAGGCAGTTTCTCCATATCACTTTACATGCCTCACGCTTTCTTCAAGCGTTTCTTATTTGCCCTGCTCGTTTCCCCATACCTCGAAAAGAACCTTCCGGCTCCGGCACAGCCAATAGAGAAAAGTCCCTCATAACATCACAAAGGAGGAGCCGGGTCTGTGCATCATCCCTCTAGGTCGCAGAGGTCCAGACCACTCCCGAAAGCAGCTCCTTCCCCGCGACGCACAGTGTATACGTCTCTGCTCAGCCACCACCTCGTCTCTCCTCTGCTCCATTGGAGAGCCCTCTTTTTGCCAAGGGTCGGAAAGGTAGGTCGAGCCCCTGAGACCATAGTGGAAGGGGACACGCAAGCCCGTCAACGATGAGTAGAAGGGGTAACAATCAGGGGACCGACAGGACTCTTCCGCCTGCTTCACATATAAAAGCCCCGTGCATCACCCGTGCTTGCAATAGTCCTCAACCTAGCCACCCAGCCTTCGCCTGAACAAAGACACGACACTGACACCGACACCAACACTCACACTCTTTTCAACCCAACTCTCCTTCCCCCCAGTCCACAAACCAACCCTTCCTCCTACCAAAACCCACCATCCCACCACCGCAAAAATGAAGGCCCAAACCCTCCTTCTCCTCTCCCTCACCACCCTCGCCCTCGCCGCCGACACCACGACAAGCACCGACCACAGCACCAAGACCGACACGACCCACACCACCCACACCTCAACCAAGAGCGGTGGCGCCGCCGCCAAAGCCACTTCGTCCAGCTCCCATACCAGCAGCAGCAAGCACAGCAGCTCCTCGACCAAGTCCAGCGCCGCCGCCAGCGCAACCAAGTCCGGCGCTGCGGGCATGGTGGTTGTGGACACCGGTGTTGGGGCGGCGGGGTTGGCTGCCGCCGGACTGTTGGGGTGGTTCTTGTAAGATGGGGAGCTGATCGTCGGAGTGGCTCGTGGAGGCTCGGGGAGGGATTGACCCTGATGTTTGGTTGGATTCTTCCTTCGAGAAACATGGGTTGGGGGGGGGGGTTGAGGGGCATCGGGTTGATGATGGATGTTGCTGAGCGTTAGTTGGGGGCAGGGGTAAGAGTGGCTTGTGTAGACGCTGGGAGGTTGTGTGAATAGAATTGGTAGGAGATGAAGCAGAGACACCCAAATTGAGTCGGACGGTCTTTTATACAGACTTGAACCGAAGATTGCTTGTACATTTTGTTGTTGGTCGCCGTGCTCTGAGAAGAGTATTCCCCGCCTACCTTTGGGCCCCCATCTCCGCGGCTCAGGTATCTCCATCCTATACGCGCCAAGCATGGGCGCAAAGTCGAACCTCCTCCCAGTGTCAACCCCTGCCGCTAATCGCTAATATTTCTCCTTCATGATCTTCTTCAGAGCCCCCTGCTTCGTCTCCATGCGCTCAATCTCCTGCTGACTGACGAGCAGCTTGTCCAGCAGATAGCGCACGCGCGGCTTGAGGTCGCTCGCGTTGGGGAACTCGGCCAGGACTTTCAGCTCGGCCTCGCACTTGTCGATCGTCTTGTTCTCCTTGGCCACCAGGTCCGTCAGCACGGCGAACTCGAAGCGCGACCGCAGCACCTCGTCTTGCGTCAGGTACTCAAACGCCGCCTGGTAGATGGGCTTGCCGGGCTTGATGGCCGTGGGCCGCCCGTTGCGCGACGCGATCGAGATGAGTTCGGCTTGCTCGAGGGATTGCAGCACCGACTCGCCGTTGCTGCTGAATGCCGAGTCCAGGAGGAGCTCGTTGTAGCGGAGTTTCTCGTTGTTGGCCAGCTCGCGGATGAGGATCCACGCTTGCTGAGGCGTCCACTCGCCACGGTCGGCGTCCAAGAGATACATTTTGAGGATCTCGGACGCGGATTGCTCTGTGATCTGTTGGACCGCGCTGCCAGGTGACTCGCCGGCTTTGATGCGGCGGGCGAGGAACTCTAGGTCGGTAAGACGGCCGCCGAGGACTTGAATGACGGAGTCGAGCTCGTCGAGGTCGGAGCGGCGTTGGGACGGGGTGAGCTTCTTGTCCCCAGACTCCGATTCTTCCTCGTCGTCGTCGCTGTCTGCATCGAGATGTCGAATCACCATCTTCTTGGCGACTTCAGGTGTGCAGTCTCCGAGTGTCACTTGGCGGAAGACGCGGTCGGGGAGAGCTTTGGAGAGGGATTTGCTAAAGGAGACATCGGTGGTCAGGAAGACCACATGGGCGATGTTGGAAGTTGTGAGCCGCGCAGCCCATTCGGCGATTTTGTCGTAGACCATGTCGGAGCCACTGTCGCTGGATTTGTGGAGAAAGTTATCGATGACAACTACTGGCCGATGTTCTGGGTGTGCTTCCAGCCAGTCATCGTCTGCTAGATTTGAGTCTTTGTCATCGCGTTTTCGATGAGCCAACGCAACTTGTTTGAGAGCGACAGCTGTATTATTCCAGATCTTTGAAAGCTGCTGGTCGAGCGTCTCGGAGAAGCCGGTCTTGGTGCCGATGGTACCCATGGCTGCGAGGTCCACCATACTGCTCAGACTGTTCATCCAGGAAAAGATTGGACGGTAGCCCACTTCACTCGCCGCAGCTGAGATGGTTGCGCTGTCTCCGCGAGCTTCTTGGATCTTTTTGCAATCAATTACGAGCTTCTGCGGCCGATCTTCAAGAACGTAGTCAATGACAAGCTCTTTCTTTCCAGCCCCTCGTGGGCCTTGAACCACGATGAAAGTGTCGGCCGTTTCAATGAGCCAGGTCCTCAACTGTTGAACAGTATCCTGCCGGTCTTCCCACAAGATTCTAAAGCTATCATCTTCGGCTCGGGGTTTGCGCATCCGGATGATATCGTAGCCGCGCATGAATTGCTGCCGAAGCCACTTGATAATGAAAAAATCTTTGTACTCCCCGATTCCGAAACCATGCGTGACATGCGTCTTGATTGAAAAGATTCGGATGGGGTCGAATACAGCAACAGCCGTGGCTGAAAGCAACGCAACGACCAGTGGTATGACAATGCGAGGATGCGAGAAGACCCAATCGAAAAACCAGTTGCTTTTTCTCTTGGACTCATATGATACCTTCAGAACGGTGCCCTGTTGACCCCCACCCTCGCTCGCAGGTAGTACAAAGCCGTGCATGCACGCTTTGGCCATCGTCGCGAATCGCACTCGCTCGAAGTCAATCAGCCCATACTTGGGAATAACCTTGGAGTCGGATGGTTGTGGTTCGATATTGAGCAGCTTGCCGTACTTTCGGAAGAGAGTATACAAAGTTTCTTGTGTAAGCTCAGCGGCCTGAGCTTCCGGGGTAGTTGGCAGGAATTCGACGCGTACTCTAGAGCTAGGCAGTCGGTAGAGATCCTCTATCCATGGCTTGCCGCGTACCAAGAAGGCACGAACTCTTCGGAAAGGATTGAACCAAGGACGAATGGGCTTCTCCTCCATGTACTTGCGTAATGTGCTCTCGAGCTCGAAAGCATCAATCTGCGCATCGTGTGAGAATTTGACGTATGCGCCGCCTTCTCTGAGACGTGGTAGCACCTCCGTAATCTTTACCGGCAGCGACTCAGGAAATGCGCGTTGAATCACACTCGACGGGCTAGCGAAAGCAGCATCCGGTCGGTTTGCTTTGCTGATGAGCTCCACGACGGACTGCTCCCAGTTGATCAGCGGGAGGCGACTGAGCCACTGAAGCTTCAGCGGAAAAACGTTGTCGAAGAAAAATATGCCCTCATTGCGCTGCGTTTTGATATGGCCAGAATCGTTCTCGCCCGCCTCAGAGGCGCTGCTGCGTCTTAGCTGAGGAGTAACAGCGAGTATTCTGGACCGGGTATTGGAGCTCCATATGCTCGGTGGCGCACTCCTTGTCGTATGTCGAAGGCCTAACTTGCCTACGATTCTCCTGGACAACATGGCGATATAGTGGGAGCTCTGCACGGCCAAGACGCGTCTGCTATGTTGCGACCGATTGCATTCTCCTGTTTAGTGCTGCATCAGTTGAGACGCGTTCTCCGTTGTATTAGTGGGTTGTGATGCTTATGTCTTCGCCAGACCAGTAGCTTTGGTCGCAGATATGTTTGGCTACCTTGATGTACTGATGAGCTCCCAGATCACAGGTTTCTTCATTCGCTGTGACATCATATCGCCGTTGCGCCACATCATGTGGCGCAAGAGATCCGTATCAGCCCAGCCACAGTCTGTGGCTTCGAGCCAACTTTTTTGCACGCGTTGACCGCGACAGTCAGCCGCTGGACCGCACATCTTCATCTGCTCGGGTCAAGATGGGGTGGCTTTGGAACACATCGAAGTCAACTACGGCAAGTGAAGCCACGGTACCAACAGCATCTTCAGCGGAATCCTTCGAACCCATCCCACCCGCTCCGGAACCAGTCAAGCAACAGCTGTCTAGAGAAGAGCAGGCCAATGAGGATCTCAAGCAGTTCATGAAGGAGATCGAGGCGGAGTTCGACACTGCGAGGAACGAACGAATCCAGTCCAGAGAATCCGGCGTGCTCAAACACACCGCACCACTGCCCGACGACATCTCTCCGGATTCGTTGTATCCTGCTGAGATTCACTGCCGATCCGCCTTCGATTATGCTATGTTCTGTAACAGTTTCGGTGGCCAGTTTGTGAATGTGTATCGATACGGCACTTTCAGATCATGCTCCAACCATTGGGATGATTTCTGGCTCTGCATGCGCACCCGGAATTGGGACGAGAAAGACCGGGCAAAGGCTGTCAAGGAACATTATCGCAAGAAAGCTGTTAAATACAAGACCGGACCCAGCAGCGAGGATATCTGGGATGTGCGGACAGAACCAGTCAAAGACGCTTTCCAGGATAGCTTGGAAGAACTCGAGGCAAAGATCGAACATTGGAAGAAGGCCAATACAGGAGCCCGTGATCCATGGGCCGACCAGAAGGGCTATATTGCAAAGTCTCTTGCGAGCCCCTGAACCGCAGATGACTTTGAGATGACCATGACCTCAACGCTGAAGCTCAGGTGTTGTGGCACCCGATACTTCACCACAGACGATGTATTATACCAGACCGAAGACGACTTCTATCGTCTCCATCCCCGCTTTTGATCAAGCTCGCTACTCGCACCTGCATCGAGCACCTCCTGTCAGCATCCCATCGATATGAAACCGCGCGGAGGCACCATGGCTGATGATCATTTTGACTCAACTGTGTATCTGCCCACAAATCAGTCTATCGATGACAAGTTTAGTGAGAAGCTACAGCACCTTGGACACGGCGGCCTCGGCGACTGCGAAAATACCGACGATTCAAGCCGGTCCGTTGATCGGGGTCTGTCCGATACCCAAGGCAAGCTCGCTGCTCACAACAGAAGTCGTGAGGCCGAATCGACAGCTGCAATCTGCTGCGGCGCACAGGTCTTCGAAGAAGCGGTTGACATCATGCCAGCTGAGGAACACTCGCAAGCGAACGAAGAAGCCTTGTCTGTGCCAGAGCAGTGCGTCCTCCAGGCAGTCGAAGGGGCGGTCTCAACAACAGCTGCTACCAAGCTGCCTTCCATGCATCAGAGGAGTGTCAATGGATATGGCAGACCTTACTATGAATCGGAGGTGAGAGGCGAAGAGGGCTTCCGAACGAATAGTGGCTGGACTGCAATCAACTTCCGTGGCCCGCTAAAACTGCGATGAGAGGTGGACAACACACAATTGTTTTTGACGAGCTCACAACAGACAGACATCGTGTCGTGCGAGGCTCGGACTCGACAAAGTCAGCCCATCGCGGGTACAAGGAGATTCGACTCAGGTTTCCAGGGCAACTTGCACAAGCTCGTCGTCTCAAGCAACCCTCGCAGGACGTTGGCACTACACCGAGGCGATTTTCTTTTCGTCACAGATAGTTGACAATGAAAGATGTTGCATTGCCACCAGATCCACTGAAAACAAGTGACTTCCACGACAGTGCTGCCTACTTGACTACAAATTTGGCACTCTTGAGCAAGGTGTCTTTTCACCCGTTGCAAAAACACGTCTTGCGAAGCAGGTCTTTGCTTGATTGTTTCCATTCTTTGTTGACGGCCTTCGCTGGTACCATGACGCTCAAAACTCTCCTCCGTCAACTGAGAGATTCGTGCAAGATCTTGAGGACGATCGAGCAATCACTCATCAAATATGAGCACCAAGAGCGCGCCAGACTCCAGCGTGAGATGCACCCCAAGCCCAAGTCGATCTTTCCAGAGACATTTCACGTGGACCCTGGTCGCGTAGCGCTAGAATCGGTAGTCTCCGACCTCGCCATCGCTACCAACTTGGTTAGCCAGTACCAAGCTGTACTGTGCGGCGAGCCGTTAAGTTTCCATGGTATCGATGCCTACAGTAAGTAGAAGCCACCAGGCCCGCAAGGCAAGACAACGCTGATCAAGTCGTCCGCGTAGCTTCAGCCATGGATGAGGACCCCAACGGCCCCATCAACGCGTTCTTCGGCTGTGGCGGAGAACTGCATGTCCGGTCTAGAATACCTCTTGCGTCCAAGCGGTGGAGAAGATGTTCTTGACGCCGACATCTTCACCACCTATCGGGCCATGGGCTGCCAGTCATTCACCAGGTGGGAAGTGGGGATTCACCGGGTGGTGCAGGGTGTTCGTGCCGAGGTGGAGAGGATGGCAGAAGGTCTTAGGCTCGATGACGACAATCAGGCTATCATCCCCAAGACATCTCAGACATGTATGACGACGGGAGGAGACGATGGCGGTGTCGAACAGTGAACACGGGTTGCGATAGTCTGGGAGCATCCTTGGATGCACGCAGTGCGAGTCCCCAACCTCTCAGGCCGGTAGGAGATGCGGAAATAGAGAGGGGAGGGCTAGGCCATCGATCCCTCCCCTAGGTCGCCCATTTCGCTTGGCCTTGCCGCGATCGATCGACCGGGTCTGACCGACTGGCGTCCGGAGAAGTACCGTACGAGGCACCAATCCAAATCCCAGACTCACAGCCAAGCCGATGATATTCATGCCCTTTGATGATTACTGATCACACCAGTGGCGTCTCAATACTCCGCACTTGTAGTGTGCAACTACCGATGGACTGAACATATACGGCCTCGCCCCTCGCCCGCTGCTGGAAATTGCAGGTTTCAACTTGGCTTGATGGCAGAACCCAGCAACAACGCTACAAGCTCGGGCAGTAGTAGCCTTTCGCGGTCCACTTCAACCTCAGCACCCCGAGGCTATCACGCATCTGTGGCATGTGGCAGCTGTAGGATCGCCAAGAAACGAGTACGACCGAGGCCTTTGCCTGGCTACGCTGACTCTTGCACAGTGCGATCAGGGCCAGCCTTGTGACTACTGCCGCAAGCACCACAAGAATTGCGTCTACGATGCTGGCCAGGATGCTCGACGTCCCGCCGTTCGCAAACGTAGAAACGAGGACCTTCAGTACAGGAGCAGAGCCCTTGACACCATTCTCGATACCCTCAAGACTGCTCCTCCGGCACAAGCCCATCGTGTCCTTGAGTTGATCCGTCAGGACCAGCCACTAGACCACATTATATCCTCCATCTCTCTGCTTCAGACCGCCTCCGCCCGGGGCCGCACTGGCAGTAACCACACGCGCGACCGATTAGCCATAGACGTTCTCTGTGATGCGCCGCCAATTCAAGTCCCAGCTAGTCCCTGGACGTCCATAACCTCGGGTTCTGACACTGCATCTCATCTGATGTCTGCTTACTTCAACTGGTGCCACTTCTACTATTACTTCTTTGATGAACAGCTTTTTCTCGAGGGCATGCGGCAGGCTGATCTCAATTCGCCGTATTGCTCTCCTCTCATGGTCAACGCCTGTCTCGGAATTGGTTGCGTATGCCACATGCACAACAATTCTTGATGCGCCACTGACCATGACTTCAGCTGTTCACCGACGACCCCTGCGCCTTTTCCGATGCGGCTGACCCATCCACTCGTGGTCAACACTTCTTCAATGAGGCCCATCGACTCTGGACCGAGACAGCCGCTTGTGCCACTCTGGCCAATGTTAGCGGTCTCCTGCTGCTCATTATGCTGTTCGACAACCCTACCGGCTTCAGCATGGAACGCGCTGATGCCAACGCAGGTCCGCATTGCTAGGTAAAGACCGCATTTCTATCATGATCTTGCCTCAATTGCCGGTCATGTTGCAGCAAGTGCTTAAAAAGCATGCCAAAGACGAATCTTTACAGTCTCTCGATCGACAAAGATCAATCAGGATTCTTCAATGGACACATTTTGTTTGTCAAAAGCACGTCAGTACGGCCCATTGCAGGTCCAGTTGCTGACATCACCCAGCGCTTTTGGCATTTCGTTGATGAGTCCGGGTTTCGACTACAAGCCTCCCACCGAACTGCCTTTCAGCCCCTACGAGCATGACCGACTCGGACCATGGTCAGCCTACCCGCTCCGCCACGATCCCATCCAAATCAATCGTTCTGCCGTATTCAACTGCATATGTGAGGCCTGGAAATTCGGCGCAGAAATCAAGAACATGGTTCTCACCAAGTTTCCATCAATGGGAGTTGAGGAGCGCTATATAACAGCCACCGCCATCCACAAACGAATGATAGAATGGTACCTGTCACTCCCCGAAGAATTCAACTGTGACAGGCCAGGGTTTGTATTGTGTGGTCCTACAGCGGATTTGACGTATGCACTCTTTCCCCCGATTTGGCTACACGTGCTAGTACTAACCCACCAGAACGACATACTGCAATCTTTGCCATCACTGCTTCTTCTGGATCCTCTCCTCCGACGCTGATACCGGTCCGTCCCACAAGTCTCCCGAAGATGATATCCGATCTGTCCTAGTAACTACGGCGATGGCCTTGCGCGACATCATACGACGGTTCAAGGCAGAGTTTGGCCGCTCCTCGTGGAGCATACTAATGCCAGCACCGTGCGTCACCGCACTGAACGCTCTCGTACATTACCTTGATTCGTCCGACGTGCAGGACCTCTTTCAAGAACTGTTTACCTTGCTCTCCGAAAGCGCACTACGTTGGAACGTCACCAAGGGCATGACGCGAGTCATCCTCGGCATGATCGAGAGTAAAGGGGACGCCGTGCCTCCGGAGCTGCGCAAAAGCCTTCAGGCAATAGCCGCGGGCCAGTGGAAGTCGCAAGATCACCTTCAGTTCAGCAGCAGTTATCCCAACTACGTCATGGTTCGCCAGAAGCTCGAGGCGCCCGAGATGAGTGACCTCCTTGAGCAATGGGCCGGTCTGAATTTTGGTGATGAGCCCGCCGAGATTGGAGATTCTACTGAAGCAGGAGCCGCTAAAGCATTGGGTTGAGCGGTCAGACAAGCCTTTGTCATATGACAGCAAAACGCAGATGGCATGATCAGCAAAGACAGTGTGCCTGCGCCGGCATAAGCACCGTCGTCCTTGCCAATATGCACCGCCGTCCCTGACACGCCAACGTCCAGCTCCCACATTAAGTGACTACTATTGCCCCCAGAGATTTCGATCTAGACCTTACCCTCCGCCCACTCCCCACCCCCGCCCCTGACCTCGCCTCCCATGCCTCCTTTGTCCTAACCATCAGTCCTTTCGTTCCTCCTCCTCCTCCTATCTCCTTGACAGCAAGTCCTTATCCGCCAACGAAGATGAAGACGCCCCATCGCCCCTCCCCCTTCATCGGCCTTCTGCCTCGTCGCTCGCGCCAGCAAGCACATACTCCTCGCCCCCACCCTCGCCGCGGCCCGCTTCGCCATCCCGCACCACAAGCGCCAATCCACCAAGGCCGCCGACCACGCTTCGCGCCCTCTTGGTGGAATGTAAATTGAGTTAACAGCGATCAGGGCGGCGTTGTGGCGCTGTGACATCAGTGTGGGACACGGGAAATGTGTGAGGCAATATACCAGGCTGGAGATCGAGTCGGCGTCCAGCGAGTTTCGGCAGGTGATCGTGCCCGTGAAGCAGCTGCTGGCGGTCCGCGCCTAACAGGTAGCTGGTGGGGCTGGCGATACGCGTTTGATATCGTTGGGGCCGAGGAGGGGGGTAGATATCGATGAGCTGGATAACAGGTGTCGGGCGTGCCGGGATGAGGAGGGGGCGCAGTCGGTTGGTCGTGCTGTGGACGAGGCGGGCGAGTTGACGGGCGATTCCTCGAAGCCGGCGAAAGTTTTGGCGATAACTATTTGGACGTGAGAGGGGTTAGTAGGCGTGAAGAGGGTGAACGGAGGGAGTAGTAGGGGAGGATCCATGTTCGTATTGCACTAGAGCCGAGGTGGAATGGGTGTCAGACGTAGGCGTCCTTGTTTAGTGTAAGCTGCTCTACATTTTAAACGCCGCACTTTCGAGAGAGTCAGCCAAAAGATCTAGCAGGTCGCCCACTTCAGCACCAAGCCCGCCTTTTATTGCTGTGGTAGACCCGTTTGCGTGACTACTTCCAAGACCCGCTCTCGCCGAGCCTCGCAGTCCAGCAATCAGCAGGTTCATCAACTTCCTGAACTGCGTCTTGACCTTGCTCAGTGCAAAGCCATCAAGCTCGCTTGTGGCCTCGGCCACTTGGAAGCCGAAGCCGACACAGAGGTCGAGCAGCGACACAAGTGTCTCACGCAATACTTTGAGATTCTTGGCTGTGAAACATGCGCGTTCCAGGGCGGTCGTGTAGGTTTTGTGGACAGCGATCATCTCGTCGACGGTGCCGTATATGCGCTGCCGCATCTTGGCCGTGAGAGGACCGACGACGCAGTGCATCAAATGCGCGTAGAGAATGTCTGTAAAGAGTCGGAGGTTGGGGTAGATGCCTTCAACGCTGATCTTGGAGCTGGCGTGCTTTGCTAGATTGGGAAAGGCGCACCTTTCGAGTACGTACTTTGCACGGCGGATTTGCATGAGCATGAGTGCGACGCGGCGATAGGATGCTATGCTGTCTGTGGACAGGATGTTTGCAATCGGCCACGGAATGGTGTATTCTATGGCAATGTTTTGGAGGATTTTGACCGTCAGGCGTGCCTGCATCAGGTCTGCGACCGGCAAACGGTGCGATTGGACGATGATGCGGCTCGAATCTATGCAAGGAACCTGATCGAAAGCCTCCTGCATGATGTCCAAGATAAGGAAGCGATCATTCCAGCCAGGCCGGCCGCGGTCGAGCGGGCCAAAGGTCTGTTCTTCTACGCATGACGTGGCATATGGTGCCTCCGCGAAGTAGAGATGCGAAAGTGCGGACAAGGTGTCCGTCAGACTGAAGTGCTTGTCGAGCATCTGCTGCATTGCAGAAGTGGCAGCGTCGAGATGCTCATCGACATAGTGCTGTATATTTGCGAGCAAAGTCGGTGCAAATGGTGCCAGGCTTGTGGTAGATGCAAGATAGGCATTCTCAACGGCGCTGGCTAGCGTGTTAAGGCGCAAGGCCGCGGCGTGAGTGGGTTTGTGCTCCTGTGGAAGAGCCTTGATGAACGCCATCGTTTTCCCGGCAACGAACATCCGCTGTGAGAACTGCTGCAGAAAATCCGGCAGTCGTTTTGGACCTTCAGAATGGTAGAGATACCAGTTGTGCCAAAGTTTAGCCTTTTCGTCCTGCTCCTGTGCCCTTTCAACGAAGAAGCAGCTAGGTCGCTCTGGCAAAATGCCTTGCTCCACCCAGGCGCTAACAGGTACGACAAAGGCCTTGAGAGTCTCGCAAAAGACCTTGAGCATTGGGCGAAATGCCGATTGCTGGTCGAAGAGTTCAAGTCGGCAAGCCTGTTGGCACGCAATCTCGACCAGGCCAATCGCGTCCTGGCCTTTGCCAGCAGTGACGAATTGTGCTGCCATGATGATCGATCGCGCGTTCTGGTACACGCTGTCAATGACTTCAAGAAGGCTACAAACCCCACCATTGCTCGAACTGGCAATGACCTCGCTCTGAGACTGTGCTAGAAAGTCGTCGAACTCTTGCGCAATGACATGTATTCTGTCCTCCAGTACCTCGACAAAAGGCTCTTTCTCATTGACGAACACCCATGAGCGGACTATTCCTGCCGCCTTGGACATGAGAATAGCTTTTGAGGCAACGGAGGAAAGAATGCTCATATGGACGATTTTGTACTTCGTGTTGAGCTTGATGCTGCGATTATCCTTGGCATATAATGTCGTTGGGAAACCCTGGAGCATAAAAAGGGTCTCGCGAATTGCTTGGATCTCAGTAATGGTGATATCACCCTCTGCTGCGCTGAGCATGCCGCTGCGAAGGCTCTCCAACGTTTCCGATGGCTCGATGACCTCAAACTGTGGACTTAGAAGGTCGATAGCTGCGGGAGCATTTCGCCGCTTCGCACTTTCTGGAGATGAAGGTGCACTGGATTCGATGATCTCCTCATCGGAGCTCTCGTCGCTAAAATGCGGCATCCGCCACATGCGGTCCTTGCGGTTGATCGGGTCATCCTTCTCGATCTCCGCCCACGTAAGCTGCGGCGTTACCAGATCATCAATGACAACGTTCTGCAGAGCTGCCAGCCCGCCAGCTGTCAACGGATCTCGTGACATGTGTAGCAGGAAGTCCAACGCGTCGGGAATCCATTGATCGAAGTGGAGCCGCAATTCATCGCGGCGTCTATGTATAGCATCACTGAGATCATCGTGATCGAGCACCTGGAATTTCTCTTCTAGACCGGTCAGGCGTTCTTCGACTAAGAATTGATTAGTTCTGCCGAAATTGTGGTGCCTGATGTTCCGGCCAAACTGAGATTTCAGCTTCCTGAGTTTTGAAGGTGGGGTGTTCGTGGGGAGCAGCGACGTGACAAGCTCCTCAATCCATTTGTTCATGGCGGTCGTAGTAGCCATGATGGTCGGTCCCGGTTTATGCAGTTCATTAGCATTATCTGTTAGCGAGGGAGCTGGCTGTTGCTGGCATTGAGGATGTGAGCAGAGAGGGATGGACGAGCAAAGCGTGAAGCGCGTCGTCGATGGGGAGGGCTTGGCAGTGGATACAATACGCGGCTCTTAATTGGAGGAAGTGCCAAGAGGCAGTGAATGAAGCTGCCCCTTTTCAAGGCTGGCCTTGAATCACCAAATTGCTTGGATGGAGTCCATCATCTCTACTCCACAAGCAGGCGCATAAAAGGGTTCTCCTCGATGTCACGGAATGTCTTTATTGCTGCTATTGCTACATTGACAGTCTCGCATAAACATGTTTGCTCATGCCCGAGTTCTAATCGCATAGTCATCCTTTTGGCACCTCGCCTCGGCCCCTATTCTCATGAATAATCCGGAATGCTGTTGCGTCTGTGATGCATCACCTTATCTTTTGCACAGCTGTCGCACAGAACAACAAAGTCTCATGGCTGTGGTAGCATGCCTTGACTTCAACTCCTGGGAAACTCGACCTTCCATGCATGATCGAACACTATGTTCACGACTCCTTCGCAGCCATTGCTGCGCGCAGCCGATCAGTAGGGGCGCCGAGGTCCTCGGAGATGGCCTGACCCCACACCAACGCGGCTTGAGGATGGTCCCAGTTAGCTTGGGCCGCTCTGGTCATATGCGCTTTGATGGTCTGCAGAGCAGTGGCAACTGGGCCATTCTCTTGCGCTACACTATATACTGGTGCTGACGCATTTTAGGTGTCGTCATGATCATCGAGCTCGAGGTCAGGCTCTGTAGACTGCTGCACAAAGTAGGCATCTGTCTCTGAACCGCTTACTGCTGACTTCTGCACGTCTTCTGCCTTGATCTGACTGCCTTCTTTGGCAGAAGCATACACCTGCTCAGCACTCGAAGCTCCAACATGATGCGTGGTATCGTTCGACTTCAGCTCACGTATCAGGCAAAGCGCACGCTCCATCATGATAGTTTGCTTCTCGAGAGGATTTTTTCCAGGAAGCAGGTTGGGCGGTACTTGCGCAACAAGAGTGTCCTGTAGCTCTCTGGACAGATCCTGGACTTTTTTCTGGGATTGAAGTTCCGTAACATCCACGTTGTCAAATACTGTCTCAGTTTTTGTCCCCGCCAAGTGGTCGATATACTTGACGAGCCCGTGCCCAATATTGGTAGACTGTGATCCTGGCAGCACACGATGGCTACTGGGAATGGCTTTCCTCAGATGCCCAAGGACAACGTTATAAGTCTTCTTAGTGCTCAGGGTGACTTCTTTTGTCTATGACGACATTGGCAGGGTCATATCAGACTTCGTAATGGACTTAAGCGAAGGATGAGGCAGAGTGTCTGTGCTAGGCGTGGCAATTTTCATGGCGGCAGCTGAATGCGGGACGGCGTGGGTCAATGATGACGGACTTGGCACTGAGGCTCTCGATCCGAGGCTAGACTGGTCGTTGAATGGCTTTGTCGAAACTCCGAAAGAAGGATAAGGTCTCTTGCAAATTAAATCCGGGGTTGCAACCGCAGCTGAATCTGTATTCGGACTGTTTGACAGTGGCACAGTCGGCACCATAGCGCTCGAATTGAGGGTGAACTGGTTGGGGAGGCGCCGTCCGGAGAGCTGTGGGCTAGCGCCATTCAGGCCCTCAGTGAAGGTACACTTTTGACCGATGATGCCAAACTGGCCGAAAGTGAAACCCCGCTCCTGAGATTCCACAGGAGCTCAGGGAGAAGAGGCGAGCTGAGGTAGACCCCAGTGAAGGGCTTTGGAGCGGACGGTAGGCTGCTATTTAGAGGTGGCATGATGACGGTGAGCTCTCGAAGGGAACGAATGACTTGATTACGAACTGGAGAAGTGGTCACCGGAAAGTCTAGTTCGTATGCAACTTGTCGTAGATGCGAAATGTAGCAATGCCAAGACCTTGTGCCATGCAAGAATCAATACGGGACGACTTTGATGAAACGCGTAGACTACATTTGACATTGGGTTCTCCAGAAAGTCTCTCGAGGCATCAAATGGTATTAGTGCTGGGCGGCTATCCGAACCTCAGCTGCTCTCTGAATGTACGTGATTATGATACGGAGTTACTCAAGAGGCGTAGAAGCCTTTTGAAAGTCTTTCGTGATCGTGCAAACACCCTCGGCCCTTCTTAAAACATAATTTAAGTATTGCTGCAACCATTCTTGTGAAGTCTTATGGGTTGATACTATCGCTTGTCCCCACTGTACCTGTTCCGTTTGAACAGCTACGCCTGTTGCGTGCCGCATGCAACTGCTCTTTCTGTCCTGGATAGGCTGGACCACAAAGCCTTTAACCCATGCTCATCATAACATCTTTGCCAGCCATAGCATCCTTGGCCTGTTCAAGAGCCTTGGAGATTTTCTTCAGAGACATTTCTGTCTCAAAGAGCGAGAGAGGAACATTGGTCCAGTCCAGTTTGAGAGTGGTAGCATTCTTGATCTGCGTTTGAAGTGCCACCAGTGCCTGTTCAAGAAATCCACCGTCATTTGCAGCTTGAGGTGGGTCCGTGGCCACAGCTTGCTCAGCATCTCCTGCGGTATGCTCCATTTGGATATGTTTTGGAAGCAATGCAGGAGCCGTGTCAATCGCAGTAGAACTTGCAAGTCCTGCAGAGTTTTCGGATGACACTGGCGCTTGGGAAACTGTTGCAATAGATTTTGGCTCCTGAACGTGACCCATTGCTTCCACCTCGTTTTGCACATCGGTTGGAGGTTCAGTTGGGGGAGTGATCTCGCGGATATAGTACTCGTGTGGACCTTCGGCTTTCATTGCCAACGTAAGTTTGGGACGAAAACCCTGGGGCGTGATTTCCCGAATATAGTGCATTGGCTGCGCTGGAGTGGGATTGGTCAGTTTTTTCAGATTAGCAACGGCGCGAACAAACGCACCAAGACTCTGGCTGGCAGCATCGTCGAGCGCTTTAGTTTTCTCGATTGCACCAGATTTCCTCAATGATGCTTTTCGAGCACCCGTAATTGCGGACTGGGACTCTTGCTGACCTTGGAAATGGTGCACAAGTGCTTGAGCCAAGCAATACAGATTGTTTGTCTCATTCTTGAACTTGTCGCTCTTGCCGCCTGTACGTTGAAATCCGTGCTTTGCGTCGAACTGGTGGAAGAGCTCCTGTTGCACCGTGTTCAACCGCGCAGATGCATTGGAAGTCGCCTTGAATATCTTCTGCACCTTACCGCTTCCTTGGAACAAATCAATGTAATGAAGTGCCGCAATCCAGACACGAGTCTTGGGCTTTTGGTAGCCAGTGCCCGCGAGGAGCTTCTGGGGTATCAACGACTGAAGTTGCGACAAAACATGATGATATTGCTTCAACGAGGCTACCGCAGGTTTGTGGTAGTTGTTGTTGTCATTGACAGTGGCACCGCCGCTTTTGGACTTGTTGGGTTTTCTTTGTGGCTTGTTCTTCGGCTTCTTACGGGGCATCTTGGATCGCTGCCCAGATGTTCCAGGATTCGCAACTGCAGGAATGGTGGGTAGAATTTTGCCGAGAGATTTGTTGACACTGACGACAGCATTCTCGACCTGGTCGGCCTCCTCTTCATCGTCAGAAAGGTAGATAACTTCCACTTGCTTTGTCACCACCTCCTCCATTTCGCCGACATCTACTTCTTCTCCTTCTCCTTCGTCTTCATCTTCATCTTCGTCATCAATCTCGCGGTAGTTGCTGAGGGAAGTAGTTCGAGTATCCGGCACCTGGCGTTTCAAGCCCTTAAGAGGTTCAAGATAAAGGCTCTCGCCCGGCAGCAAAGGCCCGAGCCGACGACGAGGACGAGGTTCCTCTTCATCATCGTCGTACTCGGTGTCAGCAAAGCTCCTCTTGAGGCTGGTTGGGCGAGGGCTTGCTTCGCCACTGCCGTACTCGATATCCGCGAACATTAGCTTCAAGCGAGACTGACCAGATGCATAAGCACCGCTCGCTGGAACACGAGGCACCCCACTGAACGCCATCTTACATGGCGGCCGGCGGGTTGATGCTAGAACCTAGAGAGATGACAGAATCAAGGTGGATGGAAGGCAAGGTGATATTGATTAAAGATGAGTGGAGGGGTGATTACAAAGTTGCAGAATGCAGCCAGCGCGGATGAACTGGTGGGATCAAAGCCTTGGCGCGAAGTAGCCGGTTGCAAGGTGGAGAGTGAGGTGAGGGTGAGGTGAGGATGGGAGCAGATTGATATCGCTTCTTGGCATGGCGTTCTCGAGTCCAGCCGACGAGCGGTTGCCGTACCATAATTGAGTTTGTCGTGGCTGCAGGTAATGGTGGCTATAGTGCGTAGCACCTTGTATGCCTTCTCAGGAGGCTTCTCCAGCTGCAGCCAGCCCCAGGAGGGTCATGGAGAAACTCCAGACGCTTCCAATGGCGAAATAGATTGCTTTGCAGTTCTTCCCAACACTCAAGGGTAATCATCAATGCCAGTCTTCTCACCATCCACCATGCTCGCTGCCATGAGATCGAACGCTTGTTGAACATCCGAATCCTCGAAGCCATTTGTCGCTGGGAGACCCCTGGCTGTAGTTCCCAGCCCAGCTTCTGTGTCTGTCTCGGTTTTCGGCAACATGCCCTCGTCCTCGTCGCCATAGCACCGGCCATTTCCGTCTGCATCACCATTTTCTCCGCCTCCGTCCACACTCAAGCCCCGTCCCAATCTCGCTCCGGCAACAGCCAGTCGATCAGCTTCAACGTTGCCCTGAGTGTTCGCGTGGCCCTTCACCCAGACCATCAGCGTTTTCCGTCCCAGCTGCTCCCTCTCCGCCATCGCGGCCCTTACTCCTTTGACGAGGTCCACATTCTCCACCGGCTTCCCTCCGCTGTTCCTCCACCCATTTCTCTCCCAGTTGCGGTACCAATTGGTCACGCAATCAATGGCGTACTTACTATCGGTGTAGATCGTAACATCTCTATGCTTAGGTGCAATATCCAGCGCACGCTGGATCGCTGTCAACTCAGCACGCTGGTTCGTTTGCTTGGTGCCTTTCAGAGCTTCGGAGACGTTTCTGTAGCGCCAATTAGTTAGCTTGGGTCCTTTTCCTTGTCCATGTGCTCGCTCTTCGTCGTCGATTCGGTCGTGTGAATTGCTTCTGGGTTTGGTTTTGGGGGTGCCTCGCGCTTGCCAGTCGATGGTATAGACGGTCTGCGTCTGCAAAGCCGGAGGGGAGGGAGGGGAGCTCGAGAAGGACTCATCGTACTTAGGATCTTGGGGGCCGAAGAAGACACCCACACCAGCTCTGGCACCCGCAGTGCCGTTGCGGAGACTGCTGCCATCTGTGTAGATGCGCAGCATACCGGGTGGGTTCTTCTCTCGGGGGATATCCTTCTGTTTCGCCTTCTCCTCGTCTGTCTTGTGAACCAACCGGCCAGACTCGTCGAGACGGATATTAGGATCAAACCCATCTTCTGCCCCAAGCGGCAAGGGGCCTGTGCCGATGCCGTAGGCATCGCCATTCTTGTCGCGCGCGATGTACGGGCCCTTAGGCTGCAAACCAGGTGCAGACTTGACGATCAGCTGCCGGATTTGCTCTTCGGATGACAATCCGCCCGCAGAGGCTGTGCCGCCATTATGCGTCTTGAAAGCAGCCACGAACGCTTCGGCTTCTGTGCGGTTGTTGAACTTCTTATGCCGCGGATGTGAAACGCCACGAATCTGCTTTTGTGCTGACGGCCAGTCTAGGTAGACGCCTGGAACGAGGCCACGTCCGACTGCATAGTACTTTGGCTCGTCTTGGTCCGTGCCTCTTGAGGGAGGCTTGCCGGCAACGAAGTCTTGCGCTTCAGCGAGGGTGTGAAAAGACTTGACTGCGTAAACAATTAGCTGGTGTCTTTCCGCCAGATATACCCGAGAACATACACTGAGCACCACGGTGACCGCGTACTTGATCGAGGCACTCGTCCCATGTGTTGTAGATGCCGGGTTTCTTGCCCTCCTTGACGGCGTAGAACTTCTTTTCCGAAGGCCGCTTTCGCTTTGTGCCGGCCGCGGCGTTGTTGGCTTGAAGAGGAATAGCTGCGGCGGGGGTGGTGCGCTCTGGTGCTAGCCCAGTGGACGGAGCTGGGGACGCCATTCTGGTAGAGCGGAGAGATGGTTTGGTGAGCGACAACAGGCCCCGAAAGCGCTGTACGAGTGCAGACAGATTGAAGGACGTAAGGGAGATGGTTGTGGTCCTAAAATTCGTACTCTTTCAAGGTGCCGGAGGCGACGAAAGGTTCACAGCCTGGTCTAGCTTGCGTCCATTTGCTTGTCGGCGTCCTTGGACGCGCGGAACTTGAGTCGCGAATGGAAGCCGCAAGGGCTATTGTAGAGAAGGACGGCGGGCCGCTCGAGGCGGAGAATGGATTGCGTGTAGCTTGGTCTGTTTTTTGAGTATCTGGCCTTCAAACGTACCTTGGAGAGACACAAGCAAGTAGCGAGTGGCCGAAGTTGGCGGTGGGTATGCCAGCGCAGACGGGGGAGGGGTGGCGGTCTTAGCGCGATGGTGTCCACCAGGCTGGAGCAGGGGGCGGAAGGGAGATGTGCGTAGTGGTGTCTGCACCTTGCTCGGCGGGATGTAGCTGTAGCGGTCACGGTAGGGGGGACCTGCTGCGGGGCTTAAGGGTGGGCGCTGGAGGAGAAATGTGTTAGGTCGAGGTTAGGTGGGAGGAGCACGTTGAAAGAAAGGTGCGGTGGGTGCGTCAGCCAATGAGAGCGCGTCACCTCAGCAGACCCCCCTCCTAGGCTGTTAGCTACATACTGCCTAGTCGAGCATCCCTGGTCCGCGGATTCTGGTCGCCCGACCTTTCTTTTCGTCGCTTTCAATTGAGCTGTCGTACTCGAGCCCATCGTTTCGCATGTCTGTATGCCAGGGATGCGGCTCCGCTGCTGACCTCCTGAGATCGTAGCCTCAATACGATGCCATGGCTCAGCACAAGACTTATGAACTGGATATGTCTCGAGGCATTGCTTCATGTTCTGCCACGGTCTGTGATTTTTAATGAGATACCGGCGAGTCCAGCTTGGTTGCAAACAAGAGCTGCCTCCAGCCTTCCAACTTTTCGCCGAGTCCTGGCTTTTGTGCTGCATGATCAATGTACTATTAGACCTCCATCTGACCTCTCGCTCCGGACTCCTCGCCTGATCTACAATCCTCATCGCGCGAGAGGCCGGAAGAAATGCTTCGCCGTCTTGGAGTGTTCTCACCAGACGTCAAGCACCTAATTGGCCTGGCTGGCTCAGGAGGGAAAGCCTCGTCTGCTCCCTGCTTTTGTTCTGTCGAATTCTCATTCGAGTCAACAAGCCTAAAAACCGTGCCAGCAGGCTGGCTTCCCTTCTCCCTACGCTTCCGTGTCCGGTACGTGGGCCCTATTCTTGTGCCCAGCGGCAACTGTCCCTCCCTCTCGTCTTCCGTTAAGCTCAAACTCATAGATATAGTCCGGGGCAAATGCCAGCCAAGCTTTCCCAAAGGAATCGACAAACCGTGGACAACGATACTGCAGATGGCGAGAAACCAGATAACGACGCGCATCACCTCCTCCAGCTGCCGGGCATCCTCTCGCGGAACACCGCTCACTGTGACCTCAGTCCGCAGAAAGTCAATGCTGATGTATAGGTAGAAGATGGCACTTACACCGATCGGTCCAAAGAAGCCCACGAACAGCGCATGCTGCATGTGTTCGATCTGATGGATGTATCGGTGCATTGCCATCACCATAGGAATCCTCCTGACAAGCAAGATCAGTATGCCCAGAATGATCAGCCGCCAGATCGGGATCACGTCGTTCACACGAAACTCCACCCACGGACACACTGCTCCAAACCAGGCAAAGACACTGATGTTCAGCAGCATGTCTATTGTCGGCTGTAGGCTATCGTCCTCCGTCTCCTTTCGGAACCAATCATCCCATGTGAACGCATTTCCAGCCACAAAACAAGCCAGGACGTCATCACTGCCAATCATACCACATGTTCCTGTGATGAACAATGCCAGTGCCACAGCGAACACAATAAAGCTCTCGCGGTCAACGAACTTGCGTATTTCGGCAAAGTGAAGCAACTCTTTAGCAAGCCAGCCCACTACGACACCGTACACAACACTTAAGATGATTGTGTATACCCAGGTCTCAACAAACCATTGCTCCATCGCCCGTCCCGCGCCGCCGTCAAAGCCGCCTGCGCCTTGCGTGTACTTGATGAGATACAGCGCCAGGAAGAGAAACGGGTAGCCCAGGCCATCATTGGCGCCCGACTCGGCAACAATGACGTGCTGGAGAGGTCGGGGGATATTCTTGTCGGCGAAGCGGCCCTTGACAATAGAATTGCTGAGGACCGGGTCAGTAGGCGTCACGCACGCTCCCGTGGCGAGAGCCTGCAATATCGAGATGTTGGGCACCAGAGCCCAAACGAGCAAGCTAGCAGACATCCACATGGCGCACATGCCCGGCCCTAAGAGTAGGGCAAGGCTTTTCCATTCGGTGCGCAGATATCGATGAGGCAGTTGGACGCCGGCGATGACGAGCTGCACGCCCAGCACCAGGCGCGTGAAGTACAGTGTGATGTAGTCGAGATTATCCTCGGAGCCTAGAGCGTAGTCGAGAGGCCGTATCCAGTTCGTGGCGTGCGGCGAGAACACAATGCCAGCAACGAGTGAGATAAGGGCTTCAGACAGGTAGAACCGCTCCTTCAGGAGATAGGACACGAGCCCAAAGAGCAGGATGAAGCCGCCCAACGCCGCGGTGACGACGTTGAACGGCACCAGGTGTATCGTCGGCATTCTTTTCTTAGGCCAAGGAAGAACAAAAAGCGTGGTAGCGAGAGTATAGCAGAAAGAGTGAACGCAAAAGACTTTCGAAGCAACCATCAAGCCTCAAAACAGAAGTGCTTGACTAACCCCAACCACCCACAAAGCGGGCCCGGGCATATTTTGTGAAAGGTACCTGGCCTCTCCGTTTGTTTCATCGGGAATATGACAAGCGGTTGGGACAGGAGTGACATGCTACGCCACGAAGGTCCAGCGGATAGACGGCGTCCACGTCTTGGCAGACGCAACGGATGCGGGAGAGGCGAATCTTCAATGAATGCATCGCGATTGCGGAGCTTGCAGGCGGTGGAAGTGAAAAAGTGTCCTGAATTTTCGCATGTAGCGGGATCCGAAAGGAAATAAAAGCATGGAAACATGTCGGCAGTGGTTGGGTAGGGTACTTGGATAGGTCACTTGGTAGATGTCGTAGCTCGCTGCATTGATACATTTTGTAGCAATGTACTCGACTACTCATGTAGGAGGAAAGCAGCCTGCCCATCGCGATGAGGCGGCGACTTCCCCGTGTTGACTCGCGCACCAGACGCCCACATCAAGCTGAGCACTGCAAATACATGATCCCATCCATATCTGGGCTTCCAAGCACTTCCTTCCGGTCGCATGTCTTGCCATTGCCATTTGACGCCGCCCCGAGAATGCATGCGCTGTCTTTGAGAGGAATTCAAGCTGCTCTCTAGTTACCCGCCACTTCATTCGCCCCGACGCCTTCGCTAATAGTGATGATAATGCCGTGAGTCTATGCCGTCAAGAGATCGGAAAAGGTTAGGTAGGTTATTGGTCGAAAAGTCGAGAAATCAGTAATCCACATATCGATCGACGCCATTGGAGAAAGGAATGCCATAGTCCAGTGACCAGCAGGCGTCTTGTCTATTGTACAGAAGAGGTTCATGTTAGTCCAGTCGTATAAATACATGTGATGATGAAGATGGCCAAACGAGGTTGTTCCAGATGGGTAGGTGAGTGGGTGGGTATGAAGGAAGGTGTGAGTGTGTGTGCCAGGATTAGACGTCAGGGTGTCGAGCTCGCCTCAGTTTGTATTGCTCCTCGTGAACGAAGTCGTCGGTTTCAGGGTTCCAGCGATAAGCTAGAGCAGTGTCAGCAAATGTAAAGCGAAAGGTGGGGCCTCTTGGGGCAGGCGGGTCATCTTACCTTTGAAGTCAACACCATACGGTCGCTATTATACCAATCAATACGAGTCATTGATGCAGGAAGAGTCGCTACTCACCGGCTCGAGAAGATACGCAACGCCAAGCGGCACATCGAGGTCCGAGATGTCTTCCTGTTTGAGGCCCATGAAATACGCCAGCAGCACGCGTGTGATGCTGCGGTGACCAATCAGAAGAACATGGTCCGTCATCCGTTCGACCTCGAGAATCACCTTGCGAAGGCGGCTGATGATGTCGAGGTAGCCTTCGCCGCCGGGGCCAGGATATCGGTACTGCAGCTTGTCGTGCTTCCGCAGCTCATACTCTTCGGGGAAATTCATTCGGATATCGGCGTAGGTCATGCCGTCCATGGAGCCAGCATTCAACTCGTCCAACATCCGCATCTGCTTCAGGTCATACTCGTCTTCGTTGAAGAACTGTGCCGTCTCAATGCTGCGGTTGAGCATGCTAGTCCATACGCAAAAATTGCGTTCTTCGCCAGCCTGCGCTGTCACTTCTGGGTTGGGTGGTGTGGTGTCGCCCGGGCGTGGAGGGAAATGGGTATTGGCTTGTTTTTCTCTCTGGTGTTCCTCCCACAAAGCTCGCTGCTCGCCGATAAACTTGGCTAGTGCTCGAGCGTATTTCCAGCCTTGCTGGCTGAGATCGCTGTTGCCGCCAATCTTGCCATTGACATTGTCCAGTGATTCGCCGTGTCTCGACAGCCAGATTTGTCGTGGAGCGAGGTTGAAATTCATGAGGTATGTCACCGTTTGAATGGACAAGAAGCCGTTAACCTGATAGGACACCATCTTGCGGCCGACATCGATGAGCGAGCAATATGGAGTGCCTCTCTGCTCCTCAAAGTCGCCCAGGGGTTGGTACAGCTTCTCATACTGTGCAACACGGTCTTGGAAGTCTCGCAGAGATTTGATCGGGTCCTTGTCTTTGTAGTCAGGTCCTGACAGCTTGAGGCGCATGTTGGCTTCCAAGAGGCCCTGATCTTGACATCTCGACTCCAGAAAGAGGAAATTGATGTTGGGGTCCCGCTTGCGGATATGATCTATCAGAGATTGTCTCCGTTCCTGAGTGTGGTTGGTGGCGTCAAAGATGCCAACGGAGCCGCCGTCTTCTAGCACGTACTTGAGGAGATCATCAAGGGTATCATGAGCAACCTTTTCACGCAGCTCCTTTGCACGCTTGTTCTCCGGATCGAAGAAAGACGCAGACTGATCCATACGGTTGGGAGAGGGAGGTGTGGTAGGTCGATCGGAGTCGACTTCCGATGCGGTATAACTCATCTGCAAAGGGGATATAGGCGCAGATACACTGGGTTCACCGTTGATGAGCATGGCTGGTGGTGGAAGAGGCGCCGCATGCTCAATGCCGTTGACGCCGTTTGTAAGGCTCATCTGCTTGACAGATTCTCGTAGAGCACCGTCGATGGTGCGATCGCTCTGATGCAGCGCCGGGCCAGCAGCCACACGTCTTCTGTCACCAACATTGAAAATGCGGGTGGGGTGTTGCAACCAATTCAGATATCTTGCGATCTTCTTGACCAGGTAACTCTTGCCTCGCGCGGGCAGACCGACCATGATGATTATCAACTTTGCGCCCACATCTCTTTCTGCTATGCGACCGTCGGGGGAGACTTTCGACCGAGTCAAGCCGGGTATATCGAGGGTGGTAGCACGGAGTTTTGGGGTTGAGGAGCCAGATAGGCCTCGCGGATTGCTGGTTGAGTTAGCACGCGTTCATGAAGGTCAATATTGCTGTTTGACTCACATCTGGGGACTGCCAGGCTGGGAGGGCATGGGCGTATCGGTCAGTGCTGCGCCCATGGCTCTTCCAGCGACAGGAAGTGGCGACTGTTTGACGCCATGAACGGTCGTAGTACGGCCGAAGACAGTAGTCGGCGGCGGCATGAGACTAGCATGGTACTCAGCGGCAGCGTCCACGTTAGTCGGAACACTCGAAGTGCCCTGGACGCGCTCGTAGTCTGGTGGCACCGTGGTCGGGCGCACCGGACTCACTGGCGACTGCTGAGCATTGGACATGATGACCGTCTTGGCCAGGTTGGAGAACTGGTGGGACGATGGTTTGCGGACTGGCAACCTCCCGGCGCCAGTCGACTGCGAGGTAGGCCTCGTTGCCTCTGCCAGAGACATACAGTGTCAGTAATTATGACTGGAGTTGCAGGAGGGTAAGATGTTGAGTCAAGCGCACTTTTTTGAATAAGTTTAAGGTTCGGAGGTGACCCTGGCCGGACTAACTCCGCCGCCCAAATGCGCGGCCGTTGAGCCCTGCGATTGAGCTAGCTTTCACGCTGAGTTCCCGGGCAGTCGTACCCGCGGGTAAATGCTGTAAGAGTGTCGGCGAGAGAAGATGAAGCAGAGGACGGTGACGCCTGATGGCGCTGACTGCGGCCTCTCTCTCTATGCGACGCAGCTGGTGTCAGGATGATGCGGCCCCTTCACTGCCTCAACATGCACCAGCGGCCTTGGCTTGCCTCATTGCGAGCTTCCCCGGCGATGGCCTGACCCCTGGAGCCAGCTTTCCGGCATTCTCCCAGGAGCCCAATCTCATCGCCCACTAGACCACGGGGGTGGCGGATTGGTTTCCCCAGCGTCCCTCGGATAAGCAGTCCGACGCACCCCGCTAGAACGCCTGCGGATCTCGCTGGGCTCGGTTATGGGCGCTGTGTCCGTTTGACGGACTCCGTTTCGGCGACGCGACCAAAATCGGGCACGCGATCAAAGTGATAGCCACAAGGCGGTGTCAAATACTGTACTATTCAAAGCTCTCGTGACACCTGTGAGCGCCTCTCTCCCTGTATACTAGAACAGGGTGTCACTCAGAGTGTCACTATTAGTCCGCCAACGCCGCCGCTCCGAAATGATGACCAACCTCCTTTATGACTCCTTCTCAGCCTCTCTCGCCTCCTTTTCCTTCTTCGCTCGTCCTTCTGCTGCCCGAGCCATGATCTCCCTCCGACTCAATCCTTCGTTACTCGCCACGTCTGTACCTTTGCCCAGAACAAAGTCGCCGCCCGTCCAACCGCCGCCATCTGCATGGTCCGCATCGTCCATATTATCATCAGGATTGTAAAACTCAGCACGCGCATCCAGCTGATGTCCACCGTGCTGCGTGTCGTTCGCTGCTACCTCCTTTTCGATCTGTTTACACAGGTCCCAGAAGTTCTGGTCGTGCGGACCCCACACGTTGTGTGTCAGCTCGTGGCACAGCGTCTTCCTGATGACCTTGTAGTCCCGATAGCCGTCGTATGCATCCGTCCGTAACCTCAACTCGATGACTTCACCCTGGTTGCGATTGAGTCCAAGCGTCCTGCTTTCGTGCGTCGTATGTTGGGAAGGGTCCATCTCCGTTAATAAGCCCACGGCAAACTTCCGCTTCCTCATCGTAGCCTTGATCCCAGGGTCCGCGGCCAGCCTTTCTAGGAACCTCCTGCTCCTTTCCGGATTAGGCAGCCACATCAATGGCTCGATCGCCCCAAAGCTGTACTTCGCCTCCTCGCTTGTCTTCCTCCAGTCTCGGTAAGGTGTAACTTTGGCTACTGGCCTTCCGGCAGGTGACCTTGACTGTGTCCTGGCTTTGATGGCGGCGGCGTGGTCATTCATCGTCTTCACTTCTGCAGCAGGGGTGCCAATCAACTTAATGCGCGAAGCAGGTGTCAAGATGGATGATAAAGGCGTGTCTGGGAATGGATGCTTCATGAATCCTGGTTTGGGGAGGATGAAGAGTGAGACGCGGGAGGGATCAGCGCAGATGGTGGTTGCGAGGCGGACGGCGAGCTGCGATATGGTCTCATCCTCAACGTCCTCGAGCTCAAGGGTCGTGGCGCGGTGCTGGACTTTCATCTTGGCGATCAGGCGAAAGCCGGGTATCGAATTTTTGTTTGCAGAAGACGGAATCTGGGAACGCAACGTAGATTGACGCGTGGAACGAACGGAAGACCTACTGGTACGAGTTACTACAGATCCTCATGTTGTAAACCACAAACGGAATTTGAGGTTGCTGGCATCTTTTGTCAGCGAGGAGAAAGAAGTCGAAGGCAACAGTCGAATGCGTCATGGCGCTGCCGGAGTTAGGTGATAAGCTGTCGTTCACTGCCTGATGTTGCTTCTGAGTCGAGCACTTGAGAGCCGAGCAGAGCTCGCTGAGATCTATCTGTGTATATCTATCGTAGAGTGAAATTCTGTTTTATTTCATCGGTCCTTTCTATACTCCAGGCCATTGAGCTCATCGTTCATTGCCTGTCTCACGTATAACACTCTCCATGACTCCACCGACAAGGGTAACTGTAGCATCCACGCCCTGCATGGCACCCCTCCGATGCGCCACACTGACCACAGTCGAACCGTTTCGCTGCAGCTCGTCCCTTACCACGCGGTATACCTGTTCCGCAGTCTCCAAATCGACACTTGCGGTTGCCTCGTCCATAATGACAACTGCACTCTTCCGGAGCAGTGCTCTTGCTAAGGATACCAGCTGGCGCTGACCTTGAGACAGGTTGTGTCCATGCGCGGCTACTTCAAAGTCCAGCGTAAATCTGGTTGTGTCAAGGCAAGCAAGAGACAAAGCAGTCGTACATTCCGCATCAGAGTGCTCGGATTGAGGATCAAGGTTATGGCGGAGGCTGCCCGGGAACAGGATTGGGTCCTGGGCAAGAAAGGTGATTCTGGAACGCAAGGTGGTCTTGTCAACGCGAGATATATCGATGCCGTCTATGATGATTTTGCCGGATGATAAAGGTGTGGTGGCGAGCAAAGAGAGGGAGAGGGTGGATTTACCGGAGCCAGTGCGGCCGACGATAGCAGTGTGCTTGCCTCCTTCGATCTTCAAGTTGATGTCGGATACAGCTGGTGCAGCTGTCGGGGTGTATTTGATGCTAACATCCTGGAACTCGACTTCAGCACCATACTTGGGCCACGAGGCAGGTGGCTTGATGTCTCCTGGCTCCTCGCTCTCCAGATGAATGAGCTCAACGACACGCTCCACAGAAACAAAGTCTAGCTGTAGCTGGCCATACTGTCGGCACAGTGCATGCGTCGACGCCACGAACTGCTGCGCTGCAATGAGCACAAATGCTGTTAGACCAGGGGTCAAGCCTGAATAGACAGCAAGGCAGGTAAGTGCGAATGTCGACAACGAGGACAGCACATCGAAACGATACATCAACCACTCTTGTAAGCTCCAATAGAAATGGTCGTTCTTCTGGAACTCATCCACAACTGTGATAACTCGTGCAAGGAACGCGGGTTGTGCACAAAATGCTCGTACCGTCGTCAATCCGCCTAGAAGTGCGCCAAAGTTGGACATTAGTGGGCTCAGCGACACCATTTCGAGCCGTCGCAGACTTTGCGAGGTAGGAAGAAATCGCATAAAGATCCACACGAAGGTTGCAGTGAGCAGGAGCGAGAAGACCAGGAATGCTGGCGTAACACCCGCAAACACAAAGATTGACGACAGCCACGCAACCCCTTGGAAGATGACTTGTGTGAACTGTTGCGAGATGTTGCCATCGAGTGTGCCCGCATCAGACGTCAACCGATTCAAAAGCCGCCCAATAGGAGTAACGTCGTAGTACCGGAATGGCGCGTTGCTGATGCGGAACATAATCTCTCTAAACATGTTCTTACCAGCCATGTAAGTGAGCGTCACCATGAAGGCCTGACCGATGACAAGCGCTACCGGACCCAATACGACGATGGTGAGATAGCCTTTGAGCCAAGGATACACATCCTCAGAAGGGTCCGGGAAGCGTTTGAAGACACCAGAGACAGGTGTCTCGAGGACACGAACGTTCAATGGAAATGTCAGCATCCCGACAAGCTGCTCGGTGCCTCTGTTGTATGCTTCACCCCACTCTTTCAAGAACCAGCTCTCGGCAATCCGGAGGAGCTGGAAAGCAGATGCAGAGATGGCCAGCATGAGCCACCATCTCAGTTGGCCCGCTTTGATGTATTCCCAATACACCGCGAGCTGGACGCCTCCGTGCGCCCGATGCTCTTCATCTTCGAATTTATCGCGGATGGCAGCCGCTTCCATCTTCTTCTGTTCCGTGTCTAGTCGATGATCGGTCGAAATCACGTGCGCGAGCTCTGCAGCGCCGTCCACGTACGTGCCCTGGACCAGTCTAGCTGTTCCGTCTGTGACCTCAATAGTCTGAACAGCGATGTTCTGGCACAGATCTGTCCGATGAGTAGCAAGCACTACTGTCCGGCCTTCCACGAGCTTTCCCGTAAAGCAGCGTTTAACGATCCACTCCGCCGTCTGCTGGTCCAACGCACTGATAGGATCGTCCAGCAGAAGGATAGGCGCGTGACTGTAGACAGCTCGAGCAAGGGCGACCCTCGCCTTTTGACCTCCAGAAAGGCCTATGCCATTCTCGCCAATAGCTGAAAGGTCGCCGTGCTCAAAGGTTGCCAAGTCAGGTGTAAGGGCACAAGCATCTAACGTGCGCTTATAGCGATCATCGTCGTACGGCGAGTTGAAAAGGATGTTATCACGAATGCTCATACTCTCAAGCCATGGAGTTTGAAGGCAATATGCAATCGGCGTGTCTGCCGGCTTCACCAAATGACCAGATTCCAGGTCAAGCTCGCCCAGCAGACCCTGCAGCAATGCCGTCTTGCCCGCACCGACTCTGCCCACAACGAGCGAAAGACCTTGTGGGAATTTGATGTCGACGTTGCGGAGGATGGTGTGGGAGATCCCGGGCCAGGAGAATGAGGCACCTTTCAGCTCGAGCTGGTCTGAGGAGTCTGCTGCTGGGTTTTCGGGTTTATCGGGCTCATTCATGAAAGACTCCAAACGGCCCATTGCCACCTTCGCATTGAGTAGCACAGTGATCATGTTTGGGAGCTGCTGGAGACGCTTTTGTAACATGGCGAAGAGCTGCAGAGCCGGAAATGCTATATCAACGCGTAGCTCTTGCTTTGCAATAGCCGTGTAGGCGAAGAAAGCTGCAACTGGTAGAACGCCGCTGCCAAGCTGATTGACGAAGATGACAGCCAGTGTCCAGAGCTGTGTGACGACCTTGAGGTTGAGCTCACGCTGGCGGGCGCTCATGATTCCTTCAAGCCAGGATGGGTGCCACCCATACCATCGCAAATGCCGGATGGCTTCAACATACTCGGAGATTCGTTGCAGCTTTGTGTCGGTTGCAGCACGTCGGGTGGTCTCCCAACTAATGAGTATTCTGACCAAGAAAGCGTTAATAATTTGAGCGAAGATTACTACAGCTATGCCGAGGAGGCATGCCCAGCCAAGTAGTCTCCAGACCAGAAAGGCAGCGATGACGGTGCCACATGGTGCAAATATGAGGGTCTGAAACTCCCAGAACCGTTGTGCCACCTCATAAACGTCGTTCCGGAGAACATTGAGAATCTTGCCAATCGATGCCGACTTCTGGGCCGGTGGTTCTGGTGCCCTTGCACCTGAGAACATGCCGCGAACTCGATGCAAGACTCTATCGAGACGTCCTCGGGTAGTGCTGGCAGTCTTTTTGGACTGGCCGTTCAGGAGCCCTTCCGTCTCTTCGCTATTGTCGGAGCCATCAGTAGCTCCGTTAGCCTCTGAACTCCCATTCGCTTCTTCAGACTCTTTCGCTTCGGGAAGATGGCCCACAATCTTTCGCTTAAGCGTCTTCTCGTACAGCATGGTCATCATCTCACCCCGGGACCGCTCGTACGCTCTCCTTCCGAACCATAGAGCAAGGACCTGAACCTGAGCATCCACCAGTCTGACAGCCAGCATCAAGACAGCGAACTTCATTGCCGGGACTTTGTCAGAAGCAATTCTGTCCATGGATTTCAATAGCAGCTGCAGGACAAGAGGCGTCGAGAAGTCCGCCGCCAGCTCCGCAAACCCCAGCACGGTGAGCACGAATAGATCAATCCAATTGGCACGAAGAAGGCGCCCTAGGACAGAGCCCTGTAGCTCTCGGAAGGCATCGTGTAAAGGGCGATGTTGGAATTCATAGGGCAGAAACCAGACATCGCTGGTGTTAAGCTGCCTTTTGGAGCCGAGCTTGATGAGAGGCTCCATCCAAGTCACAGACATCCACTGCCATGTTGTTAAACAGTCCTCAGGGCTACGCAATGCCACGGTGGGTTCGGAGCCTGGCTTTGCTATGCCGTCGCGTGGCCAGGTGGAATCCCGCAGGGGCATATTGAGCTCGATCAAGAGAATGAGGCATGAGATGAGTGTTGAGATGCAGTTAAACGTGCCTCCAAAGCCTTGCCGGTTGCGTTTTCGAACCAGCAGAAGAGCGATATGTGCGCTCACAAGACCTGCGTACGCTAGGGCTCGCAAGGATGAGCCGGTCCGTGGTCGCCATAAAACCAACAGGAGCGTAGCTCCGGCCCAGACGGCAGCGAGGACGATATTGAAGGCGAAGCCAGTCGATGGCACGAGTACCGTGACCAGTTGGCATGCCAGACCGATTGAGCACAGAAAGACAGCGATGGCGGCGGTCCAAGGGAGTCTCAGTGAGCGCTTTGGATCATCTTGCTTGTCACTTGGTATCGGTTCTTCGATGAATGGACGCATCCACTTTGGCTTCTTCATTTTGGTCCCTCTCCACTCCGACACACTGTCTGCAGAGACAAACAGCGAGAGCTCATGGAAGGAGCTGTACGATTCAAGCACAGTCCTCGAGAAGGTAGGGATGCATGGACCACAGCAGAATCTGCTTGCCTCCACCGCATCGACGTCCTACCCGGGTACAGTAGACGGCGTCAGCCTTCAGATGTGGAGCAAGGTTGCAGTGGCACAATTTTGGGGGTAGGCTGATCCTGTGGGGGCTGTCGTTCGACTGCTTGGGGTAAATTTTGGGTTATGTGGCTCGCCGTACATCTTGGTATCACTGCAGAGTCGATACCGTCGAGCAGGGAATACGGATGGCAAGGGGTGTTCCTACTGGAGAGTTTGCTGTCTATTCTCAATCTAAGCATTGCTCATTTGACTGCATAACAGTATCGCCCGAAACGTGCTGTCTCCGCCCCTATGTATATGCATGTAGTACGTTGTGAAATATTCCTCGACACCACCCGTAACAGTCTGCTTCAATGTCCGTTCACCTTAATGGTACCCGTGCCTTGTAGATGACTGGCGGCTTGCCCTTGTACCTCGCCATTAGCAACTCCATTGGTTCCGCTATGACAGCAACTGTCGACCAGGACAGAAGCCTCGTTCCGGTTCCCAGGAACGTCGAGAGCGGGATTAAATTCGAAGAAGTCAGCTGGCCTGAGGTGGATCTCATGCTTCTCAATTGGCATCACTGGCCAATCCTCCACGCGCGGGTTGTGGGTTAACCCAAATACATTCCACACAACGACATCGCTATTTTCAATGTTGTCTTTCCGAGCAACCATATCAGCAACGCCGCCCTTCTCGACTTTGGACTGATTGGTGAACTCGCCGGCGGCGAATAGCTCATCATCGCGATACTGCGACACCCAGACATGGTGCTGGGCAAAGGCGGCACGCTTCGCAACAATGGAGTCGGGGTCGGCGAGCAGTAGCTGCGATGGGGATGGAATGAACTTGTACGCGACGGGCCGCTGCGAGTATTTGTTCAATTTATTGGTGTTGGCGATTTTCACGGTCAGATTCTTGAAAGGATCCGCATCGAATCCTTCGGACGTTGTAACAGGTGTCCGCCGAACCTCGTAGTAGTTGCCGTGCGGGTTAGTCTCCGGGTTCATCTTGACAGGCAGTGACTCCTCCTTGATGACCGTGTTCTGGTGGCCATCAACAGCAGGATCAATACGCACGGCAAAGATGTGCTGGTGGTTCTGTGCTAACACGCCAGGTGCAACAACATTGCCGTAGGGAGAGGTCTTTCCAGGGTCAATGTTGACGACCGACACGATTCCGGTGGCCCGGGTTTCAATCGTGATACCGCCGGCTTGGTCGAACTTGAAAGCAAAAATGTACTCGTAATTGGCCAAGGTGATGATGAACTGCACAACAAGCTCACGATAGCGGGTCACAACTGCTCGCTCAGTGCGGAAATTGGTGTGCTTCCAGCCAATGCCATTGTCTTGCTCGTGGATGCAGACGACATTCTTGGACACAGAAGGCTTTCCTTCGGTATCGACGAGCATGGCATCAAGATACTTGATGGCGCCCAAACAGTCGCAGCCCAGCGCGAGGTTGTTGGCCGCACGACCCGCTCCCGCATCGCCGAAATCGAAAGCTTGCTTACGGTGAAAAGGTGGGCGAGGGTCGCCGTACGGTACTGTCATCTCCGACAAGCTGAGGCGATACAGCACATCGCGACCGTCGTATTGAACATCATGCAGAACAGCACACTCTCTGGGGTTGAAACCGACTCTGAAGCGCCATTTTTGCCACTCGATCAAAGACTCGTCACTAACCTTGAATGATGGACCGTCGGGCTGAACGACGTTGAGAGGCTTCACATCGGTTCGCAGGGGTAGATTGAGAAGTTCCGGTGCGTACTCTGCAGGCTTACAGTGCGCCAGAATTTTCTTGGTCTTGTGTGACCCATAGGCGAGGCCGTCTTCAGCGCCGCCGGTGGCAAGGCGGTCGATCCGAACAATCTCTTTCTTGTAGGTGTCCATAACAGGAATAATTGGTAGTGGATAGCCGTAGTGATTTGAGTCTGGATTTCCATTTCGGACATCTTTAGCAAAGCATAGGCCCTGGGTGTATCTAAGCAAGTCAGCTATGATCTCCGGTGGCGTTGCCACAGTGTGAGCCTCACCTAGGAGCATCCTCGCTGAGATCTGGCCCACCATAGGGCCAGGGGTCGATGGCGACCTCAAACCCCTCCGGCAGCTCGAACTCGGCGATGGCTTTCTTGAACAGGTCTGATACTACGCAGACATCGTAAAATTGCTTGAATTCATCCAACGTGAACGCTTGCTGTGAGCCCTTCTCCACGGTTCTCTTGCTGATCTCCGTCCGGCTTTCAAGGTCAACGATGGATTCGGTATACTCATGAGACTTGTCTTGGCCAATCACGTCGTACTGAAGGCGCGCTTGACGGGCGGGGCGAGGGGTAGCTGCAGAGAGTGTGCCAGCATGTTCAGCAGCTAGAAATTCCAGCAGCTCGGCTTTGGGAGGCTCAACGGCGAACACATTGCGGAACATCAACAATGACTGTCGTGCCTTGGTGACGACTTCGCGGGCGACAGCCACCTCATCGCTGCTAAGCTGGTCTAGCGGGTGCCTGACCAGAGTCTCATCCTCACCGATGGAACCCATGACGCAACCAAAGTACGAAACTCGAGGTGTGAAACAGAGGTGGTGCGGAGGAAGAGGAGAAAATAAAGAAAGCTCCTACCAGAATTAAGTCATGACTATGAGCGTGGCGATTTACATTGAAAGCTTTACGAAAGCGAAATCAGAGGAGATGTCCTGTTGCTGGAGAGGAGGACGTGAGCTGCAAGCCAATCAATCAATGCGCTATTCCGAATCGGGTATGTCCAAGCGGGCGTAGGTTCTCGACGACAGCGCAGTCCTCCACTCACAATATCTAGAACCACCTTGGACCGTTGTCTAAGGCCCATCCGAACTGGATTCGTTATCGGAAGGCCAACTGCCCATCTGAAGGGCCACTGATACGAGCCTAATTGGACGTCAAGTTGGTCAGCAGTAGCACATATGAAACGAGTGCTTAGCCAACATCTTCGGAGCCGAGATCACCTCCGATCGTCTAGGGAAACTCATCGTCATCGGCATCTGCCCACAGAGTCTCATCCAAGAGTTCCTGGTGTTCGCTCTTGAGACCGTCGTCAGCCTTCGCGACGATGCCCTGCTGCTCGATACTGTATTCGAGAGGCTTCGTTCTCTGGCCTGCCCACGGAGCGAAGACGACGTTCATGAACCGTCGACGTTTGCCAACTGCGGCTGCCGCCTTGGATGTTTCTGCTTCGACTTTGAGAACGATGCGCGCATCGATTTGGTTGGCCCAAGCGAGACCGAGGGCAGGCGCCTTCAATTCTTGATGCATGTAAGCAGGCTTGTCGCCCCAGCCCGTGAAAAAGCGTGATTGGTGGTCCAGGGTCATTTTCGAATCCCGTTCGGATCGACGACTGCCCAGCTGAGATGGCGTGGCAACCGACGAGGATGGCGAGGATGATCGCATCAGGTCCTGTGAGGGCTGAAATAGACTCTCAGCAAAGCGGTCCGAAACCTGGTTTGCGACAACAACGGCAATGTTCTTTTCCACTGCAAGCCGGCGCAATATACCTCCGACTTTGGCAAGGTCTACTGCCCGGTCAACTAGACCGTTTGTTGTCGCCACGTCTCGATCAGCGCGAAAGTTGGCAGCAACTGAGTCCAGGATTATCAAGCCAATGTCCAGTCGTTCGACGGCGATGGGCAGCTGGAACTCAATGAGCTGCTGCTGAACGGCCAGGTTCGTGACAGTCTTGGCGTGAATACGATCAAAGGACGGGATGTCGCTGTCTGGCAGTTGAGCGTAATATGGATGGGACTGGAGTATCTCGGCAAGGCGGACGGTATTAAGAGGATCTTCGGTGCTGATATAGAGCGCGCCCTTACCCAAACCTTGGGGCACAGGCAACTGGACGGACAGCAGCAGGCCGAAAAGGATCTGGGTCTTTCCAACAGCACTAGGATGATTAGCAGTAGCCTGTTGCAGGCTTCGCGTCACGCACCTTTCGCCAACGACTTCCGTAACATAGCCGGCAGGAAACCCTCCTCCTAATAAAGCGTCGATCTCCAGATCCAAGGTGCGGACAAACATATTTTGGCTTCGAGTAGGCTCAGGGTTGACAGAAGAGTCGGACGACATGTCGGGGGCGAGGAAATCGCTGCTGATGGAGTGTACGGGTGGCAGCATATTGAGATCCCTCTGCAACCATTCGATCACATCAGCTATGAGACGACGAACGTCAAGTAGCGGCAAGGGACATCGGCGAGCAATTTCAACAGGATCCAGAGACACTAAGTCGGTCACAGTAAACTCATTCTTTTCTAGGGAATGGAGTAGGTGCGAGTAAGGCTTGAGGTTGAAGTCAGGCAAGACCTGAGCGAGGTCGCACATCGCGATGGAAACGTGGTGGCAGCCTTCCCGTACGCGCCATGTTCACAAGGACGCGTCGTGTCCCAGGAACCTGAGTCCTGCGACCCACTGCTGCTCGCTCGTCGCTTCCACAGACAGTTCCTACACCGTTGGAATCACCAAAAGACTTTGCGAAGTATTGAAGGAGAACTAACGCGTCTTGACTGCAAGCGGGATACGAGGCTTACTTAACCTGCGTAAGCTGTCTTTACGCGCCACCCGAGCGAAGCGACCTCGTTGCTGCCGCTGCTGCGTTGGAGACTTGGCCACAACATAATGCCTTGAATACGTAGACCATCACAGAGTGCTGCCCAGATCGACTGCACCATGGCGTCCATTGCTCAACCCTGGCTCATCAACAAGTACGACATCCCCTCCAATCCTCAATCCCCAAGTCCTGACCCTAAGCCAGATTCGTCGACCCCCTCTTCTCGGTCGCTATGGGTGTGACTGCGGCCGCTCTCCGTATACAACGGGAAGAAAAGGAAAAACACCCTTCTCAGGACTCGAGTTATCCTGCACTTTGGCAAAAGGGTCGACGAATGGCCACGCATTACTTTGGCTGGGATGAGAAGAGCTGAGCTTCGAATCCGCTGGCTGTGCTGGAATCGCATTCCGAGATCCAGAGAAAGCCCGCGCTATGCAACTTCTGCCTGATCTCAGACCTCATACTTGGAGGGTTCGACTTGAGCCGTCGCCTTGTGGGGGCCCATCGCACTCCTGGCCAGTCCTACTGAGCCAACCGTGCGCCGGCAACCTGCCGATTGACGAGCTCACCTTTAGCCGAGGGCATTGAGCCCGGTGTCCCAGTCATACGACTGTGCGGGCAGGCCATTGCGAAGGTGACGAGGACGATGACAGTCGCCGCTCCGCCCAAGGTTGATGATTCTTGAACGTGACCTTTAGTGGTACGCGCTAAGACATTCAAAGATCGACTTTGGCGGCTTCGCGGGCAGACAGCGCCAATAGGCACGGCGTGCAAAGTAGTAGACAGTCGGGGCAGTATTGGACGGCGCATCTCTGCTGGTTGGCCGGTGAGACGCGCGGAAACTTTCCATTTACTGCAGTTGCCGCCCAGTTACACAATGTGCTGAGGAGGGAGAAACCTAGGGCTCAGGCGCTGGGAGCGAAATCATGTTTCGGCCCCAGAGCACGCGTCTAGATAACGACCAGAATCAGAATCAGAATCAGACACGAAGAGTTTACACCATAGTTCTCGAATCTCCGTCTCATCTACAGGCTCTCACTGACCCGCAAGCCCCAGCTGCTTAGTCTGATTGCGCGACGACAAGTATGACGATCAAACCACAGCAAGGCAAAGCTCCCCCATGGGTTTGCCTCACAGCCGGGACATTCTAGCCAGACCCCCCGTACATCAGCATGAAAGATCAACTAACGACGATGAACAGTCAACTCCACCGAAGCTGCCAGCGAACAGCAGCATCGTCATTACATGGTCGTCACTCGCTCCAGGAAACACCACCGCAAGGCATTTGTGTCGAAAACGACTAGCCCCAAGCAGCTTCTGCAAGTCAGCTCCACGTCGACACCTTCCTCTCTCTGCAAGGCATCCTAGCAGTCAGCCACGCGCAAGAACCCTCCTACAACTCGCACGTATGCCTCCAGGTCCTCCACGTTGCTCATGTGACTGCAGCCTGGGAATGTATACCCTACAGACGTTAGCACGCCGGTACTCGAATCCGTCTGAAGACATGGAAACTTCAATGCGCGACGAAGAAGGGAGCCCCTAGTAGCATAGGTAGTGGTCATCCTTCCAGAGGAGGCGTGGCTCTTGCTCCTCAGACTACCAAATTGTAGACCAGGACGACCAAAATCTGCTAGTATAAATATCCTAAAGGGCATCAATGACTTACATTTGCACTTTTTGATGCCCTGGAAGAAAGGATACACGCAAGAATCCCGTGCTTCATCATACTCGCCATTGAGCACCAATGTAGGGACGTCGATCTTGTACAGATCAGGCTGAACGTCCCAATCCTTGAGATTACCGATGACTGTAAACTCGGATGGACCGTTCCTATAAAGAGCGACACTGTTAGGAGGCGTGGGCTGTGGATTGAGGAGTAGCGCATCGAAGGGCATCAAGATGGGGGAGATACATAGTCCTGTAAACAGTGTCATCTTTGGTCAGCCACTCCAGACTTGCTTGGGCATCGGCTGGAAACGGCCAGATGCGACACATATGTTTCTTGTAGAAGAGCAGAACAGCCTGCATTCGGTTAGCCACAACAGCTCCTCAACCCACTGTTTCGAGGGACATCTAACCTCCTCGTATTCCTTAGAGTCGTACTTCTTCCTCTCTTCCCCTTCATTGATCGCCTTCCTTGCCCACTCCGGCAACGTCGCAATCCACACCCTGCAGCTCTCCACCCAGAGCTTCATACTCGCCGGACTATTACTTATCACCAGTCGATTTAAACCCTTGGGCTGCCGGCACGCCCACGTGGAGCCCATCATCCCACCCCAGCTCTGGCCCAAGAGGTCATACTCTTTTACCGTTGTCCTCGCCACACCATTTTCGTCCACAACCGACGTCTCGCCGAGACCAAAATGCCGTAGTAGATTGTCCAACTCGGCAAGGAACAGCTCCGGCGTCCAGAAGTCAGTGTCGAGGCGCTTCTCCCGCAAATGTGTCGAAAGGCCATTGCCTAGTTGGTCGTAGAAGATGACCGGCACCCCGAAGCGGGTGCTCAAAAGAGAGAGATTGACTAGGTAGTTGTGACAAGCGCCGGGACCACCGTGGAGGACGATGAGGGGAGTGCTTCCTGCGGACAGATCTCCGAAGACTCTGTACCACGTATGGCAGGGAGTGGTCAAGGGGATGGAAGGGTGGTGAAACCGAATGGTGCCCTCACGTGAAGGCGTGGTGTTTCCCACATCAGAATCAGTGGTAGTTGCAGGGTTTGGAAGTGAGTCTACTCCGTGTTCCGAGTCAATAAGCTGGGTCATGGTCCTGAGAGTGTAGCTCTGGTTGTATCAAGTCGTTCTTGTCAGCGTATCTGCGTTCCGTGAGGTTGCGACCGATGCCTCGTTCTTGATAGGCGGCGGATACGCATAGAAAGATTTCGTGCGGATCCCAGGGTCTCTAAGAGAGTAAGCTGGAAAACAGCGTGCTTTGAACGGCTGAGGTGAGATCATGGCCAGCGCAGAAACCGGGAGCTCTCGTTCAATTGTTCCAAATCGAGAGAAAGGACATCTAGACTTTAGATTTGACATCTGTTATTGCATAGTATTCAGCCGAGTCACAATGTTACCGTGCTACCAAATGTGAGAGATGGGCAGGGAACGCCATCTTAGCACCTGCCTCTTTAGGCAGCTCGACCGTGCCCTTGTGCAGTGGTCTCGATGAAGCGTCGCGATGTCGGACCCTGCCACGGGCGTCCATAATTGTACTTTGCATGATCTGGGCGACTTCTGTCCTGCGCATACGTGAGCTTTCGCGAGTTGTGGGAATGGGAAAGACGTGAGGTTGCGACGACATCAGATTTGAGAGAAGATGCGCTGTGCCGTACGTACTGCGTCTTGCAGCTGCTCAATCTCAGGACTCCATCTTCACACCAGCGTCGCCAGAAAGATGGATCAAGCTGTAGTCATCTGCAAGGGATCTGGTGTTCTCAAGGCATTAGAAAGTGGTGATTGAATTTTCGTATCGAACGCTTGAATAGACTCCCGCAGCAGCGAAGCATAGAGCCATCAGAAGCTTGCCGCAAGCCAGCCTCTTTCCCAATATTAACACAAGTCTGCCCGGCCAGGAAGTGGCCTGTGGGTTACAAGACTGCCAGGCACGTCATAATCGACTTTCTTCCGCCAATGTGGCCAACTCAATGCCTGTAGAGGTTCGCTCGGCGGCGGCGCGGCGCGGCCAGACGTGTCAGATACAGCGCGGTACGCTTTCAGTCCCCGACATGCGAGGACTACGAATCGAGCGTTGGCCTGGAAGGTCGTGGGACAGCCGTTCACACGATCTTGCCGAAAGCCGGGATCAGAGTCTGTGCCAGCCAAAAGCTAAAGACAAGCTTTGGACCAGTCATCAGCATCTTGGGAGTAAGGCCTTTAAAGAAAGAAGTGATGCCCTCGTTCTTCATCATCTTGCCGATGATCTTAAACCCGCTCTCGGGGTTCTCGAAGTTGCGGTTCTGAATCCTGGTCTTGATAACATCGAGAGGCGCAGAAACAATGAGAGACGCCGATGCGCCGGCCACGCTGGCGACAAAATTCTGCGCCCATGTTGCCTTGTTGTAATCCTCGAGCTTGAACAACTTCTCTTTGGCCCAAGCACTACCGCCGAAAAGTGCGAAAGACCCCGGGGCGTTGCGGGCAGCAGTCCAGCCCGCACCACGATAAAGCCCCATACCTTCGTCAGAGACGATGCGCAAAAAGCCGCGGTTCCTGAAAGCTTCCGGATTGGTTTGTCTCTTGATCTTCAGAACGTCTAGGGGCAGGAGCACAATTTCACCGATACCGATGAGGGAGCCGGCGGTCGCATTGAGAATGGCCTTTCCAGTGCCCTTGCCAAAAGCATTATCGAACTCGGAGGAGTGGTGCTGCGTGAGGTAGTCGCGGACGAATGGCTGGCCGCCATACTTGTAAATTCGCTGAAGAATCTTATATCCAGCAGCGTATCCCAGACCAGGAAAGAGGGAGGTGAATTTTGAGGTGATAGGAGCCGAGGCGTATTCTCTGAAGATGACAGAGTTGAAAGCTGATACTGAAGTGACCTGCGACAGTAAGCAGAGGTGCGATACGAAGCTGTCTAGCTCTTACCTTGCTCGAGTTGCTCATTAAACGCTTTGCGATAGTGTCGACTGGGTGGAATACGAGGAGCTCAGCAACGCCGGCGGACCCTGCAAACGTGTCTGTCAGCTGATGCTGCGGATGCCGGTAGCAGGAGCTCTACCTGACCCAAGTAGACGAGCCACACCAGACTCTCTTTTGAACTCCTTCCCAGCAGAGCCAAGCGCAGGTGCCATGGCTGGCGGTGACATTGTCGCGTCGAAGATCTCAGGCGAACAAGACGACAGAAATGGATTTAAGCTGGTCACGGCACTTCAGGATATACAGGAAAGAGTTCAGGAGGAGAGTATAGGCCGGAAACGCAGCTGGCAGCTGTTCGAAAGTGTTGAGTTTCTGGACGGAAGCACCGCGGCCTCGAGTCGACTGCGAAAAAAAGCTGCGAGAATCGCTGCACGATTTCCCCGGTGCTCCTTAACTCCGTATCTCCTAGTACCATCCGCCATACGACCACTGCGAGACCGGGATCAGGTACATTGCCCTGGATTTGCATGGTCTGAAATGGGTACTGGAAGGTCGCAATAGTACTAGGGATCAAAACCATAGTGAAGTTGGTAATTCGCATTGATTTGCGTCTGCATCGCGCTACATGTCAACGGCAAATCCAGACCGCCAAGATGGCTTCCCAAGCCTGTCATGCGAGCGTTTCTACGCCTCAAGCTTGACACGCGACGTGACTCCATTGAACTCCTGTTCGGCCTTTCGCTTACCAAGCACAGAATCAGGAGTACTAGTTCGCAAACCTGCGCCTAGAGGGGTTGTGTTGCCGGCATCTCTATCACGGTCTTTGGTCACTTCTCTATAACAGCTAGCATGATAGTATCGTCCTCCCACCAGCACAGCATCTTTCCAGATGAAGTCCTGAACTTCCTCACTCCATTCACTCTTGAACGGCTCCTGGTCAATCGGGCAAGGCATTGACCGAAGGATCGGGTCACTCGGCGCCCTCACATAGGCTTGTTGTTGCTTCTTAGCAGGAGATGTGCTGGTCGAGGCTGGACCATCTTCAGCCAATTCATCGTCGACCTCCTTACTCTTGATCCATGTCCGAACATCCACATACCAGCTCCTGTTTTGACCACGCTTCTCAGCCTCTATCATGCGGGCTTTGGTCTTAAAGTGCCAGTCCAGGTGTCTGGCCTTCTTCTCCTTGCCAACGTCGTCTGATGTAAATCTACGTCCACACGTGCTGCACTGATTGGGCCGAGCTGACAGAAAAGATGTCAGCATCTGAGGTCGAGAGGCCCTGATAGATGCGGTGGAGAAGGTGACTTCAGTAGAGGAGTGGCCAGAAAACCCAAGGATAGGTGGTGTAACTCCTTGAGGCGGCGTAGGTGCTGCCGACATAAGTCCCGCAGCTTTCAGTTGGTCCAGCAGCGAGAATGCCGGAGTTGGGGCCTGAGACGGCTGCGCTGGACGTGCGGGTAGCAAGGGTGGCGTGTTGACGTTAGGAATTGTCTGTGTGTATGATTGGTTGTATTGTGGTGGTTGAGGAGTGGTACGTTGGCTTGCGGTGGCTCGGAGAAGATCGGCCAAGTTCGTCGTGTTCATCCCAGCTGGTAGGGCGCCAGGAAGGGGAGGCGGTGGCACGGGATACTGCGCTTGCGATGGGTGCTGAGGCATTGTCTGCGGCGCAGACAGGTACGCCGGCCTGGCTGGAAGAGATTGTGGAGTTGGATTGGGTGTTGAATGTCGCGCATCTGCAATTCTCTTCGCCAGCTGCTGGTCGATAGATTTCCGTATATCCAAAAGATCACTCGGTGACGCCTTTCCAGTTTCTAGAATTTCCTTCAGTGTTTGAAGTGTGGTCAACTTGTTCGAGGCAGCACCATCCATGGGATGGGTCGTGCACTCGATCTTTGCATCGGTTGTCAAATCGTCGATGTCAGCATGGAGTCTGGTCATATCGACGTGGACAGGAGGGTTTGGCAGTTGTGGCGCTGGGGCAGCATATTGTTGCTGAGGGGTTGGTGTTTGATGTGGATATGGCTGAGGGTATTGCTGGGAATACTTGCAGCTGTTCAGCACCGTTTCAGAAGCACAGGAATAGGTTTGACTTACCGATTGGGGGTAGGCAGGCTGTTGTGCTGACGATCTATGAACCATATGTTGCGGCGGAGTAGGCGTGTCCCGATATGCTTGAACTGAAGGTACACGACCTGGGGGAGGAGCTTGGGCGACGGCGTATCGGGGCTGTGGTGCTGCTGAGGCTCGGAACTTGGTGATATTATCAACGATGGCCTGAGTGGCAGAATGCTGGAAGACAGGCTGTGTGCTCGTCGATCCTGGTACGGGTTCTCGCCAGGTCTTCAACATCTCCTCCAACTTCCGGCGCACATTGGTGTCGACTTGTGAGTAAGCACCCATAAAGGTCTGGTAGAGATTGCGGCTGAAGTAGACGGTATACGGACTGCCTACATTCTTGACGATAGAGTCCAGCACATACAGAGCTGGTAGCTTCCGAGCTGGAGGGGCCTACACTCATCAGCCTCTGTTAGATTCGTCGCGCGTGCCACACTTACTCTGGTGATGTGATTCTGTAAGACTCTTGAGATGGCTTCGGCATGCTCAATGTTTTCCTTTGCGATTAACGTAAGGTTGGAGATCTGGTATCTGTCATTCGAGACGAGGTCTTCGAGCGAGCCCTTGTAATCTTCCGCAACCTCGTCCGAGGTAACAGTGGCAGACATTGTGAGATCAGAGTGAGAGCTTTTGTGGATTCAGCTCGCAAGAAAAAGAAATGGCAAGAGTGCGATGATGTTGAGAAGGGAGCAGCACGAGGCTTCCGTCAGATGAGGCGCGACCGAGGACAGGGCCCCCGACAGTCATATATGTCGAGTCTGTAGTGTTTCAGAGATGCCAGCCCTGGGGACGATGTCCAAGATGGAACAGGATGGGCAAAGTCTGTGTGGTTCTTTTGTTGGCTATCTAGCAACAGGTCCAGCTTTTGCTTGGTCCTCGTCCCCACGACCTCTCAGCCACACCCTGCTACTAGACCCGCAGAGAGTCCCACTGCAGTCCCAATATCCAACACTGCGGTCTCGCAGCTATTGTGTCTCTATCGCGGTCGTTGCGGGGGCGCTGGCCGGTTTCAAGGGAGAGCCGCTCGATGCTGTAGGAAGAAAAGCTATTGTGAGGAAGGGCAGATGGGGCGAGCGGGGATCCGGCCGCGATCGAGTACGTCGGGAGTCGACCTTTAATTCCTCACGAGGTACGGATTGATGATGCCAGAGCAATAAAAGAGATGATAGATGTTGATCGCGGACGCACCGACAAAGAAGATTGCGTGCGGGTAATTGAAGTCGGTTGTGGTCCGGAAGCCAGATCACCGCCTATGACAAGCGCCAAGGCCCCCGGATTCATGCCTGGGGCCTGGAATGTCTTGCTTGTTCCATCTCACCAAAGACCCGACTTCACTTTCCAGTTCTCCCTTTCACCTTGTACATTCCACACAACTTCAACCAATTGATTCAGTGCAAGAAATCCCATCCTCCTGTTCTTCACCCAAATATCACACTCAACGCCATCAACTCTCGAGTCACAACTTACTCTGTCAAGATGCGCTTCTTCATCCTCTCCCTTCTGTTTGCACTGTTCTTCGCCTCGGCCCTCGCCGTGAAGCAGCAAAAGGCTGTTATAATCACATACCCAGAAGAAACCCCCAAGAGTGAGGTGGACAAGGCGATCAGTGTGCTCAAGGAGGCTGGAGGAGTGATCACCCACGAGTACAGTATGCTGCTCCATGACTCTAAATGTGGCTTGGGGCTAAAACTGTTTTGCAGAATTGATCAAAGGTTTCGCTGCGAAGGCTTCAGATGCCGCCCTTGAGGCTGTCAGGACGTTGGGCGATAAGCACATCCCCTTGATCGAGGAGGACTCTATGGTCTCTATCGACGGCACCGTTCTGGAGAACGGAAAGACCGAATAAGATATGGTGGTATACGACGCGCACCAACAATGAGACCAAGACTGGCATGATGGTATGGAGTTATGGCTTTGGCATGGACTTGATCCGCAGCTCCGGCTTAAGGGTGCTTGAGGCTCTTCCTAGGTTCTTCTGACTGCTGTGAAACCAAGAACAGCCTCAGTGACCTCATGTTTAAATACAATTAATTATTACAACATCTTCTACCAAAAATGGTTTTGTAGTCCATGAAACGCAGCTGACATTACTGTAGTCGCTGCCCAGTAGACATGACGTCGGTCGCCGCCGTAGTAGTGCGGCGACGCGGGTCACGAAGTGCGGATCGCGCGTCGTGACCACTTTGAAACTCGACACATTGCGTTACAGATCCATGTCCGGCCACTTTACAGTACACATATCCCTCGGCCTTTATCTTTGCACCTATCGCCTGCTATCACGCTATACAATGCACTTCGACCGATCGATCTGAATCAGATGGCGACCGTCGAAGACACGGCCGCCGGCCTTATAGCGTGGCTAAACAACCTCGATGTCGCGGACGACGTGCAGACGGCTAGTGACCTAAACGATGGAACGGTTATCTGGAAGGCTCTACGTACGTCATGCTCGTCCCGATTGAAATCTTTCTAATCAGCCGCAGAAAGAATAGACGCGTTGAGCTTCCCAGGCAAATTGCCAGAGGCGCCCAACGCAGAACAATGGATACCACGCTGGAACAACCTCAAACGCATCAACGATGCTCTCAATATGTTCCTTGCAGAGGACTGTGGGCAAAGACTGCCACTGCCTAGCGGCGCCCCGGACCTCAAGGCCATTGCACAGAATGCCTCCCTCCACGACACCGTTGCTCTTCTCAAGTTGATTGTTGTTGCTGCTATCAATTGTAATGACCGGATCGATTTCCTCACCCGAATGCAAGAGCTCGATACAGCCACACAGGAGGTGCTTATGCGAACAGCTCAGGAGGCCAGCGAAATAGAAGAAGCTCCGGAGGATGAGGGGCCCGAGCCTGAGCATACTCAAGAGCTGGAACCGAAGTCCAGTCCTGACCCGAGATCGCCACGGCTCGACAATGACTTCGCTGCCGAGGAACGGCTGGGGCGAGTTCTGGCGGACAACCAGCGCATCGCCCACGAGAAGCGGGACGTGGAAAGACAGCTAGACGATGCGTATGCCCGATATGAACGATTGCAAGACACCCTGGATAAATCTCAAGACGAGTTGAAGGAAACTAATGACCGTCTGACCGCTGTACTGGCCGGTAGAGCCGAAGGTACGCACCGAGATGCCAAAAACGAGACGATTATCGCGCAGCTCGAATCCCGGGTGTCCGCTGCAGACAATGAGCTTGAAGAGCTACGCAAATCCAACGAGCTCTTGAAGATACGGGTAGAAAAGACGCAAAAGCTACAGGACGACTACGACGAAATGAAGATAGAGAGGGACAAGCTGGCCCGGAAAGCGAACGCGGCGGAGAAATACAAGCAGAAACTCGAAGCAAGCCAGGATCTCGAGAAGGAGAACCAGAACTTGAGGGAGCGAGTCACCGAGCTACAAGGTCAAGTACGTTTCTCGGACTCGACAACCATGGCCAAGTCAGATCTGCAAAGGGAGAATGAGGAATTAAAGAAGCTGTTCTCTGTTATTGAGCAAGACTACAACGAAACAGCGGACATGAAGAAAAGACTGGAATTTGATTATCAAACCTTGGAGGCTCGTTTCCATGACCGGGGTGAGGATCTTCGACGGCACCAGCAAACCATTGAGGACTTACAGGGACGCTTGGCCGACTTTGACGAAGGTGTACAGTTGCCGCCAGTCACCGTGTCCGATACTGCCAAAGTGCTCGAGGACGACGAAGCTGAGGGTGAACAGGACGAGCAGGACGAGAAGGACGCTGCCAAAGCAGACAAGGAGGAAGGATTTGCAGACAGTGAATCTCGCTTGACTGCAGCTCTCATAAATGGGGAATCTGATAAGGGTGAGGAAGGCATCTCTGAAGACGAGCTCAGGGCTATCGTATCGGCGATGCGCGCTCAGGCACAGGCTGGAACAGCCACTGAACGAGAAAGCAGCACAAAGGCACAAAAGAAGCTTGTTGTCGGATTGGAAAGAAGCCGGACCAGGAATTCGGAGCTGCTCGAGCACATCAAGAAGCAATCCGACCTCATTAAGAATCTGCAAACACAGGCCCCTGCGGCAACGGTGGAAAAGAGAGAAGAGGAAAGGCCACCAACGCCACCTCCCAAGGACGAAGAGTCTCGTGCGCCGTCGCCAACACCCTCAGAAGCAGACACGAACCTTGAGGCGGCCGGCAAAGTGATCAAGAACTTGCAACGGGAGTTGAACCTGATCACCTCAGCCTGGTATGAGCAGAACAAGCGGATAGCCAGCAGCGGTATGGCCACCTTACGGACGAGGGCCAGTCCTGAGCCCAAGAGCTTTCTCGGTCGACAAAGGAGGACTGTGGATGTGATTGCTCTCGGAGGAACAGCTAGATGAACGCAACAAGCAACTTTTGAATAGGGATTCGAAGGACGCTTGATACGGACAGGTAGATTTAGCAGCATTTCATGATACCCCCGGTCGACAAGTTCGATCACACTATTCCTGGAGGAGCAAACGCGTGCACCGAGCTTCCTGTTCCTGAAGTCGAGCTTGAAGCATTTGCTTCTTACGAACCGTTGAAGCTTAGTAGAGCTCGTAAGTCAGCCGAACAAGGCAACATGTAAGCGATCACAGCCTGGCCGCGTTAAGTCCGCGTGAGTGCGCTGGTAGTACATAGTCTGCTTCTATGGATTTCGAGGTTGCGGATGAGGTAAGCTGCCGTATTTTATATCATTCTCATTTGTCAACGTGAGCTCCTGCGCGGTGCTACCGTGCCGACAGGCCGGGCGAAGGCAAGATTTCACTGACGTATGCAGCGTTGAACTGTTGGTGGAGCCTCTGCATAAAATTTGGATCGTTGGGCACCTAGGTGTGCAGTGCTCCCGCCTTTGTCGGCTTTTGTTACCAGGCATTACGGTCCATCAGCGTCCCAAGAGAGTAGCCGTATACCGTGCTGACCCGGCACGCCGGTACTCCCGTACGAGCGATTCATCAAACGGTACCCGAAGCCCCTGTACGGAGTATGCTCAGTAAAGCCTTGATCGCTTGCTCATCCAGTTCCGGTCACGCTCACACAGCGCTCCTTTGGCGGCCACTCGCGACTCAGCAAACACCGGGTGCTCCGTTCTCAGGATCCTGACAGGCCCGAAAGACCTCCCTTTTTTCCACTTTGCTGATCTTTCTATTTGGCCACGCACCCCTCGGTCTGCTTAGGCACCCGGGCTCTTGACCCTGGCGCTGTCAGGCCCTCGAGACCCTCTCTTTTCGCGCCGAATCCCAATCATTGTTTGCCCCTGGTGTCTGAGATGAGGACCACAATTTATTACATACTTGAATCTTACGTTTGCCGCTCTCAAGACTGACCTCGTAAACATGACTTCCAGCCTCTACTCCTTCTCTCAGCACTATGGCCGGTGACTTGTGCTGTCTGCCGCTCCGCAGAAATTCTCGTCGTCCGTCGCTGTCGGAAGCGTCCACACCACCGGTCAAGATGAACGGCAACTCAAGGTCTTCAATGAATATGGGAAGGAAAGATAGTGTCAGAAGGAGCATTTCTGGCTTGGGCCGAGCATTAAGCCTCACGCGAGGTGCTCAACAGAATGGCGAGGGTATGCTCCCAGAGCGTAGCAAGTGCTCTTGGTTAACAACTCACAGCACAAGCCGCTGCCGACAACAAGACCATTTTCCAGGGATTCGAATGGTATACCGAATCGGCAGCATCACACTCCCACTGGAAGCGCCTCACAACCATGCTACCCTATCTGAAGTCCATTGGCATCCATATGATCTGGCTGCCCCCTGGTTGCAAGGCGGCTCATGCCGACTCTACGGGTTACGATATCTATGATCTCTACGACCTTGGCGAGTTCAACCAAAAGAATGGCCGACGAACCAAGTGGGGCACAAAGGAAGAACTCCTTGACCTCGTCGCCGTTGCAAAGAAGTATGATGTTGGTATCATGTGGGACGCTGTACTCAACCACAAGGCAGCCGCCGATGCCACCGAAGATGCCATGGCTGTCAAATGCGATCCAGAAGGTACATCAAAGTCTCTTATCCTACCCAACCCAGACTGACACACAATCTTCTGCAGATCGGCGCAAAGAAATTGCAACCCCCAAATCCATCTCTGCGTGGACCTCTTTTGACTTTCCTGGGCGCGGCTCCAAGTATTCAGCGAAACGCTGGACCGCCACCGACTTTACGGGCATCGACTACGATGCTATCACCCAGAAGCCGGGCATCTACAAGTTTCTGTCACCTTCCAAGCCGCCAAAACAGAACGGATGGGCTACCGATGTCGACAGCGAGCGTGGCAACTACGACTACCTGATGTTCGCAGATATAGATCACCGCGTCACCAGCGTGCGCGCTGACCTCTTCAACTGGGCCGACTGGATCACCAACACACTCGGCCTGGCCGGCATGCGCCTGGACGCCATGAAGCACTATAGCACCGCCTTCCAGGTAGATCTAGTGCGTCACCTCCAGGAGCAGCATGGGCGTGACTTCTTCGTGGTGGGCGAGTACTGGACCTGGAACGCGCTGACGTTGTCGAACATCATCGGCAAGTTCAAGGGGCGCATCAGTCTCTACGATGTGCAGCTCGTCTACAACTTCAGCGATTTCAGCAAGGAGCACCCGAAGCCCGAGACACCTGTCGGCGGGGACCTGCGACGCATTTTCGAAGGTGCACTCCTGCAGATGCATCCGCAGAGGAGCGTCACGTTTGTGGCCAACCATGATACACAGGAGGGACAGAGCCTAGAGGCCCCCGTGGCGCCGTGGTTCGTACCACATGCGTACGCGTTGATCCTGCTGCGGCAGGAGGGCCAGCCATGTGTATTCTACGGGGATTTGTTCGGCAACAATGGGCCCAAAGCGAGGACGCTCGCGGCTGGAGGGAGATTGCCGAGACTCGTGGCGGCGAGGCAGAAATACGCCTACGGGAGGCAGAAGGATTACTTTGACCAGGCCGACTGTGTGGGGTGGACGAGGTCGGGGAGTCCGAACAAAAGCGAAGGAGCTGGTTTGGCGGTTCTAGTGAACAGCAGCTGGGAGGTGCGGAACAAGAAGATGTTTGTGGGAAACAGCCACAGGGGCGAAGTATGGACAGATCTGATGGGCTGGGCCTGGGGAGAAGTGGTCATTGATGAGTGGGGCCAAGCAACCTTCCCTGTAGCGGCGAGAGGAGTGAGCGTGTGGGCGAACAAGGGGGCAAAGGCGAGGGACAAGATTGACCGGCTGGTATGGGACTGGCAAGGGTGGGACGACAAGGAGGTGGAGGAGAGGGAGAAGGGTCAAGAGAAAAAGAAGCAGCGATGAATTGCGTTGACGTTTAAGCAGGCGTCTTACGGTAATGTTGCTGGATAGATTGGTCATGCGAATTCGACTGCCTTGGGGCAGCCAAGAACGATGATACCCATGGATTCAAGTTACAAGGACAGCGAGGAAAGCAACAAGGCGCAGCGGGGGTGGGGAGGTCATTATGCGGACCTTTCGGGCACCATGAATAGAATTGAAGAACAGGTAACCGTGATCTGATTCAATAATGATCGAGACTTCAACCTACCGCTGCTTCTGTCACCGACTATCTACACAGTAAGCACACCTTCAAACGAGCACACGCTTGTATTTGGCCCAAAGCATCCGCTACTCGCACATTGCTAGTGTTATGGTGATGCACAGTCTTTTACGACGGCATCCGAGTCCGGATATCCATCGACTCTCGGGTCTCGGGCTTCCGTTCGGCCCGCACAGAGCAGCAATCACTAATGGGGGTCCTACTGAACTTCACACCAAAGCCATCGGAATCGGCTCGCTCCCGTATTCCTGTTCTGTCGATCGCAGTTATGCAAGATGGGGACTCGGCACGAGATCTCTTGTTCAAGTTATTGTATGGTAGGGTTCCACTCAAGGCTGTCTCACATGATTTGAAGCTCCGACCCGTGGATGTCAGTAAGGTTGAATATAGGGGAGGAGACCTGGAGATAGGGTGTTGGCGGGTAGCCAGCTCAAACCATTGCTTCATCCTTCAGGTCTGCCTTTTGACTCGTTCGCTGTCCTCTTCGAGAATACGTGAGGCTGGAGCTGGCAGCTCGGCCACAGTAGAAGGTCGCGGTTTGCATTACTTCCTGATGTACATTGCACATTATTTGGACCTCAATCTCTCAGCGTCTGCCATGAGGTGGAGCGGAGAAACTGAACATGCGAAAAAGCTCATGTTCATCTTCGCAACGCACGTTGATGTGTAACATGGCATCTCTTGCAAATGGAGCTATCCAAACCTACGCGGTCTTGGCGGTTAGGTCCCAAAAATGGTTAGCCACCAAAACTTTTGGCCGCTTTCACAACGAGTTTCTCATAACGTTCACGTCGCTCGCCGACATTACTGTTGGCATTTGAGCACTACGACGCCGACAATGGAAGAGTCCAATCCTTCTCCTTCTCAGCGTTCGGCTTATCTGCCGCCGCACGCCAGATCGCAAGCGTCAGTCAACTGGCGGCAGAAGGATGACACGCCTCGCGCTGATCCTCAGACCAGCTTTCGCAACAATCGTGCCCCTCAGTCTCCAAACGGTACCAATCCGGCGTCGTCTGGTGCTGGCAGCCATGAGACTTCCGCCGGCACGAGGCTGTATATTGGCAACCTACTCTACACGGCTTCGCGTGATGATGTCGAAAATCTCTTTACTGCCAATGGCTTCAACATCACTGGTATCTCCATGAGCATCGACCCTTTCACCGGCCGTAACCCTTCTTACGCCTTTGTCGATTTCGAGACCGCCGAAGAAGCATCCAAAGCCATGGATACCGTCAACGGCATGGAGCTGCTGGGCCGTGAGGTAAAAGTCAACCCCGGTGTGCGGAGGCAGCCAGGCCAAGGCGGTGAGCGACGAGTCAAGAATTTGGCCACCGAGGGAACGCCTCAGCGTGAATACACTCCTCGTAAGCGCTGCCGAATCCAATTTCAAGTCCTCCACTAACCCAGCTAGGCAACGATGGCTATTCTCCAAGCTACAACCGTTGGACACGCACCGACGGCGCCACACACTCCGCCAACGCCAACGCGCAAGGCCTACGCCTGTACGTCGGTAATTTGCCGCGCATCGAACCGCAGTCAGCTTGCGAAGAAACCATCCAACAACTGTTCGCCAGTCAAGGCTTCCAGGTCGCTGCTGTTTCCAAGATCATCTCTCCCCATCCTTCCAAGGCTGAAGAGCCTGGCAACCACCACTACTGCTTCGTTGACATGAACACTCTTGAGGACGTCGAGGGCGCGGTTGAGAGACTGAATGGTGTCGAGACCGAGTGGGGCTTACTCAGAGTTGGTCGCGCGAAGGACAACAGTGGGCGTAAGTCGGTGCGCGAAGGATATGAGCGTCGTGAAGGTGGCTACGAGCGCCGCGAGGGCAGTGGTAGTGAGCGTCGTGGTGAGCGTACCGAAGAGCTCCAGAGATCAAGCTGGAGATGAGTGGCGTGCAGGATTGCCTCTGCTAGTTGCATCTGATATTGCTTGATGCAAGCGTGTGCCGGACAGGCCCTAAGACCTGTGATTAGAGATACCCTTGAGCCGATAACGAGAGACGGTCATAGCGTGATGCGTCGCGGTGGGCTGCCTGGATATTGGTGTTTCAAGCATGGCAGGCTCTGCTCAATGCAAAAGGAAGATAAGAATCTCTGACCTCCCTTCCTTGGTATGATCCAGTCATTCCTATGTGCCCTTTTGCGGCCTGAATGTTTCCGAACGCGTTTCGCATATCCGCTCCCAGGTAGGTGGTGCTCCTCGTTCTGCCTCACGAATCCAGCCGAATGGTCAATACCAACAAACAGACATACGCCGCCAGGCTCAATCCGGCCAGCACAACCACCACGTTCCCGCTTGTCCGAAACCTCTTCTCGGCCACCTCTCCACCTCCGGGGCTCACCTCACTGAAGAACTGCCGGTTGCCCTGCTGGCGTCTGTATGCGCCGACCAGCAGCACGCCTGTGCCGTAAAGTGCAAATAGCGCGCCAATGGAATAGAACTCCGAGGTGAAGATCTTGAGGATTATGAGCGCAAAAGAGAACTGCGCCAGCGATGTGCGCACGTACGCCCCCTCAAAGGTGCGTTGCGCGGCGCGGATCTCAACCAGCTCGTTGGCTGTGAGGTCGACCGACCGGGCTCGATGGAGGCGCAAGCGGAAGCGGTCTTCGGCGTGGTGTGTCTGGAGGCTATTAGTAAAGAGATGGGGATCGAGGGGGTGTGGTTGGGGAGGAGACGGACGCTGAACATGTCCTAAATGATGCAGCAGAGTCTCAAGCTCCTTGTATGTCTGTAGGTTCACTCTAGCTGCGATAGGACGTACAGTCGCACGGGATGGGTCTGCACAATTCTCTATCGAGGTAGAGCATGGAGATAGACAGATACCTTGATGCAGCAGATGCAGCAGGATGACGTGAATCTATCCTTAACCGGAAGGAGCAACATACCCGCTCCGGCATTCCAGCATTGTTCACCTGAGGTTCAGCAGCATACGTAGTAGATATGCGGGCCACTGCAAACACAGCAGGCATCGACCTGGAGACCGCGTATTTTACAAAACATCCTCGAAGTTCTGGGTAGTTTGGGACCAATGCACCGTAGGTGCAGATGTAAGCAGTGATTGATGGCAAGACGATTTCTTACGAGGAAGCTGAAGTTCGCTCGGGACAGGATCCCGGTCCAAAACGATCGATCAGAGCGGCTTTCAAAGCCCATACACTTTGACGACATTTCCTTGCTATCTTATTCATGATGTTAAACCAACGGTTGTTCGCTATAGTGAAGTGGCTTGCTCTCAAATCGCCGAAGAACTGAGGTTGTTCGGCGTATCTCGCTGTTCTGACCGACCGGCCACCGAGCTTAGCGGGAACTCGCCAATTGCCGACGTGCCAAAGTAAAGTTGGGCTTTCGGTGCAGCTGGTACCGGCCGCAGAAGTGCGCCGTGCCCGTGGGGGAACCAAAGCTACTCCAACGCTCCAACCCAGCTGCGGCAAGCCAAAAGATTCCATGAATATTGTTTGCTGAGGATACATCGGCAGACAAGTCTGTCCTTTCTTTCGCCATATACCTCTCATGCAGTGGTGACCGCAACTTGACTCTCTACCTCGTTCTCATCAAGGAGCCCTTCAAGCATACTCTACCATGTCTACACCCATATCGTACTCAGAAGGTAAGCACCCTCGTCACAAGAAAACCGGCACTGACAATGCACAGTGCAGCAGCACAAGTCCAAGGACAGCTGCTGGGTCATTCTGTATGGTGAAGTCTGGGACGTGACAGAATTCCTTCCTTCGCACCCCGGAGGCGCCTCCATCATTCTCAAGCTCGCCGGTCAGGATGCCACGGAAGAATACGACCCCATCCATCCTCCTGGGACGCTCGAGGAGAATCTGCCCGGCTCAAAGCGTCTCGGTCCGATCGATCCCACGACACTGCCTGAACCGGTCAAGTCGGCGAAAGAAATCGGACCTGAGGCGGACCAGAATGTCGAGATCCCTCTAGAGAATATGCTGAATCTTGATGAAATTGAAGAGGCAGCAACCAAGAAGTTGTCCAAGAAGGGCTGGGCTTATTATTACTCAGCTGGCGATGACCTAATAAGCAAATCCTTCAACAACACAGTCTACCGCCAGATCCTATTACGGCCACGAGTCTTCGTCGATTGTTCTCGATGTGATCTCTCCACCAGCTTCCTCGGTCACAAGCTCGACATTCCCATCTATGTTTCACCTGCGGCCATGGCCCGCTTGGCTCATCCCGACGGCGAGTGGGGCATCGCGCAGGCCTGCAAGAACTACGGCACTATGCAAATCATTTCCAACAACGCATCAATGACTCCCGAGCAGATTGTCAAGGATGCCTCACCGGAGCAGATATTTGGCTGGCAGCTCTATGTACAGACCGAGCGCAAGAAGTCTGAAGCCATGCTCGCCAGAATCAATAAACTGGATGCCATCAAATTCATCTGCCTGACGCTGGACGCCCCAGTACCCGGCAAGCGTGAGCACGACGAGCGCAGCAAGAATATCGCTGAGGACACGAACGAAGCTCTCAAGGACGCCGGCGGGCATCAAATAACGGGCGGTGGCGGTATCGGTCAGAGCTTGTTCTTCGGTACGGATCCGACACTGACCTGGAAGGAGACTTTGCCATGGCTAAGGAAGCATACAAACAAGGACATCATTCTCAAGGGACTGCAGACGCATGAGGATGCCTTCATTGCAGCACAGCATGCGGACCAGGTAAAGGGTATTATCCTTAGCAACCATGGCGGCAGAGCGGCAGATACCGCACCTCCAGCTGTGCACACTCTGCTCGAGATACGGAAATACTGCCCGGAGGTCTTCAACCGCATTGATGTTATTGTTGACGGCGGCATCAAGCGCGGAACTGACGTGGTCAAGGCACTTGCCCTAGGGGCAAAGGCTGTTGGTCTCGGCCGAGGAGCACTGTTTGGCCTGGGCGCTGGTGGTATCCAGGGTGTAGAGCGGACACTCGAGATTCTGAAGAAGGAGACGGATACAGCCATGAGGTTGCTGGGAGTGGAATTCGTAAAAGACCTTTCACCACGGCAGATCAACACAAGGGTTGTCGAGCGGGATATCTACGATGGTCCTGCGGGCCTAGACGGTACAGGAAATTTTGGGCTGTGGGTGAAGTCGAAGCTATGAGTGGGCAGCACATGCAAAATCATACCTCATGGCGTTGGCCTTGGTTTCTGGGCGTTGACTAGATTACGACGACGTGCGGATTGCGTGCGCATAACGTCCCGTCACGTACAAGTCAGGAACGGTTCTTCATCTTCCCCAAAGCCTGCTTCAGTCCAGCAAGAGCATTGATGAAAATGTTTTGGCCCGCAGAGTGCTCAGAGTGGACGCTGAACAAGGCCTTCCAGACTGCCTGTCGCGTCCCAACAGGATTACAGCATATCGCAGCCTTTTTCCCCACCCGTCCCTGTCCGACCCTCTCCACGAATCATTTTCCAGACCGAACCAGGAGACTTATAGTGATTTGCCGGACACATCGGTCTAACGGCGCCAGCTTGTATTGCAGCAGAATATCTGGTAAGGCACCCTGAGAGTAGCAGCTCGTCTCCAGTCCAAGGGAGAGAGTGTGGGTTTTATAACCTTAGTAAGTGATCTCACGGAGATGAAAGGAGCCAGGAGGCAGATGGGGAAAAAGAAATGCTCGTCTTTGTGAGCGTCGTTTTTGACGATAGGCCGGATGGCTGCACAGAACAACTCGAGTTAACGATGTTGCGGCGCTGTCCCATGAAGGAAGGAGAAGTAGGAGGATGTGCTGGGTTGAATGGGATTTTATAGATGGATGGGAATGCCAAGAGGCAGTGAAAATCAGTGGCGGAAGAGGCTGGGAGAGAAATTGGATGCGCACGCGACGAAGCACCCACAGCATCCATGGTGTCCACGTGAGCCTCACATTTCGTAAGGTCGCTCTCAATCTCAAGGTTAGCCTTAGAGACGGAGCTACACCTTGTTGCTCGGCGCAAGGCCGTAGTATCAAACGAGGTCGAGTGCTAAGCCACCCTATAGGGCAGTCAAATTATTGCCAACGTGAACTTCGACATTTATATTCAATGTAGTCTCAGCCAACCGAAGACCTAGTTGTAAAGATTTGACCATCATAGTACAAGTATGAAGATTGCTCCGTGGCTGGCAAGCAGGCCTACTCGACTGGCTAATAGCACTTTGACCGACACAGTCAGACCGGCCGACAATTGTCCATGTCTGCGACCCAATCACTGTGCCTGCTTCACCAATGTCTCGCGAGCAGTAGATGCAGTGACTGAACAAAGAAGTGACCAGCCTTCACTTCGAGCTAGGTCGTTTGTTCTGAGTGGTTGCCAGGGCTCGGAATCTTCGTTGTTGCAACCACTCGAGAGTTTGGTGGCTCTCTGTGCAAGCTCACACGCGATGAGATCGAGTCCGAGGCTGATATCTGGTACATCCATTGACCCCCAATCCGAGGGCATCAACAGTGCTTCGTTGTACTCGCAAGGACTTGATATTCTCACCATTCCCATCTTTGAGTCTCAGGATCTCTCTCATCTCGAAGTTGGGGACCGTCGAGGGATCTATTATATTTGGCAAATTGCGCTCTGGAAATCAAGGGGTCGTTGCAGCTGAGGAGGTTCTGGTGTTCGCTTGGGCTGAATACATCCACTCATTGGACCACGCGTTCCCTGGAAATGGCTTGAAGGCTAACATGTAGACGCACGAGTATGCTCTTGGAAAGTAGAGACATCAGCATCGACATGATTCATGGCTATCGATGCGCTCAGAACGCCTCCTGTCCAACCCCTGTTCCAAACCACGTTCTTAACTCATCAGCCTCGGTCTTAGGCCCAGAGCCAGCAGCATTGAAATAGCTGGACAGCTGCATGTTGTCATCATCGCCAACAGCCGGCCAGTCAACCCTCTTGCCAGGGCCATTCTTTGCGTCTAGCATATCTTTGACCGTCGACCAACTGAAGCGGCATTCACTGCCCCAGCCGAAGGTGGCATCGACCGACTGCTTGAGCCACGACACGCAACGAGCGTCTGAAGGATATCCTGATCCCCAACCTGCAGCAGTCTGTTCCTCCTCGCCTACCATTTTCACGTACTCCTCGAATAGCTTCTCGCAACTCACATCTCTTGTAACCTTCGCGACCACACTGGCTGCGCTAACGCACGGGTACAGACTGTCTGCTTTTTTCTCGACCGTGATTTTGATGGTGGGGAATATTCTCTCCAGTTTCTTTTGGTACACAACCGGCATGCCAATAGTGTCAACATAGATCTCTGTCACGTTAACGCCCTGCTCTAGCACGCCCCGTATCAGTTCCACCGTCGCATCCATGGCCTGCGCATTCAGGTTATATGCTCCACCATTTTTCAGCATGCCGGCGCCAATGTCTCGTGCGCTCAGAGATCTGATCGCCCATCCGCACGACTCATAGAGGTCTGTTGACTCGGAGCAGACAGCCTTCATCAACCGGGCGCGTACATCGGCCGTCAAAGCTTTCGAGTCGTCAAAGTGGTAAGTCTTGGTGAGGAGTGTTTGCTGGATCTCGATAGGTAAGTAGTACACGCCGTAAATCATGGGTCCAATAACAGGACCTCTGCCGGCCTCGTCGACGCCTAGTACACAAGGTGTTCCGGGTGTCGGGACATTGCCCGTGCCATTGGGACTTACGAGCGCGGGGACTGCGGAGTAGTGCGAGTAAGACTGGCCGGCAATGAGGGCATCGTAGTTGGCGACGACGGATGGTGGGGTGGGGAACTCCGTGGCTGCGACAGCAGCGTCTTCCGGCATTTTGACGCGTGTTGTACGCATATGAGATTCGTAATCACTTAGAAATTGTCTTGGGCGGGTGCGGCAATCGTGGAAGTGGACGCGCTCGTCAGCCATCTTCACTTGGGGGACGCGTTTCTACGGCGGCCCAGATGGACCGAAGTTGCCCCGCCAAGTTCTTCCCCCATTGTTTACCTTCTCCTCGCGCGGTCGCAAAGGCCATTGAATACGCACATCAGTAAGACTCAACTTCCGCAATACAGCGACGACATGGCGCGTACACAGCGAGGCCCCAATACCAGGGCGCGCGATGTTGACTTCTCCAATGTCGGCAAGACTGGGAGGTGAGCATACAGTATACGATAGAGAGAGCGCGACTGACCCCTCGCAGACGCACCGGTCTCACGCTACCCCAGCAGAAACTCGACGAGCATGGCCTTGAGGAGATGTCCAACCTGTTCTCGTCACCCAAAAAACCATCCCCGTTGAAGCAAATGTTCACCGCGGAGGATGTCGCAACTGAAGGTACGAACGAATCGACGGCAATGACTGGTATAGACAGTACGTTCAAATCAAGATCGCAAACGTATTGTTATGCTATTCTGTCAAGTCCGTCCGCATAAAGTGCAGACTAATACAATACAGGCTCCGGCATTACTCCAAGCCAAGTACTATCAACGCGCAGAAGTATACGCGCTTCGCTTCCTCGGTCTGCTTCACCACGAAAGTCCGGTATCAGCGGTACCGCCCGACGGAGTGGCGCTTCGTTGCGCACGATCAACCGAGATTTAGAAGACGAAGTGGACGAAGACGACGCAGACGACGAGGCGCCCATCTCAAGCCCCAGCAGAGCGAATCACGCAGCACGTAGGATGTCAAGCGCTACTCGTGATGCCTCTCCGCTACGCGACATCACTACCCGTAATGCTCCCACCACAGCTTCCAGGAGGACGCAGGAAAAGCGTTCCGCGGATGGGTACTCAGTTATGACCTCTATCGAGAACGAGTACCAAGCGTCCGAGCCTGAGGACAGGGACGAGGACGAGGCAGAGCCACAATTCGAAGACGCACAGCCGTTCATGGACGATGCTGCTGGCGAGATAGATGACTACAATGGCGAAGCCGAGCAAGAAGAAGAGGCCGATTTGGATATTGAAAGCGTTGAGCCACCGCAGCAGATCGATGACGAGGAAGTCGACCAGACATTCACGCCCCATGATGGAAAAGGCAAGACTACAGCAAACTCGCGACGTAAGCGCAAATCTGACGGTGAATCCTCCGCACCTCCCGCAAGCAAGAAGGCGCGGAAAGACAGTGGTAAAAAGTTGGTCCGGCAGACTAGGAATTCAGACGCAGCGGAGCAGTCTGCAATGCCACCTCCGAAGCCCCAGAACCGCCATCCCCTCAAGAAGAAGGACAGCAATTCTCAGATGTCGAAGCGTCAAGCAAAGGAGCTTGATGATATTGTCGAGAAGGTCCGAGCGCGACCAAACCCGCCACGCTCGCTATACGTTTTGCGAAAAGAGACGCCCGCGGACGATAGCGTTACTCTCACTCGCAGTGGCCGCATGAGTGTCAAGCCTCTTGCCTACTGGCGCAACGAGCGCTGCGTCTGGGGTGGCAGCCCTAACACCGAGCTCAAAGAAGGCACTCGTTTCCCTCTCAACAGCATAAAGGAAATCATCCGCACGGACGAGCACCTGTCTCCCCTTCCCAAGAAGTACAAGGGTCGCAAAGGGAAGAAGAAAGGCAAGAAGGGAACTTCCGCGGACCTCGATTCTGATGTCGAATCAGATCTCAACGACGACCAGACGGAACCATGGGAAACCGATTCAGGCACCATCCGCGGTATCGTTTCCGAATGGGACAGCGAGCAAGGTGCGCCTCTCAACATCGAACAAGAGATCGACATCGCGCATTCAAGTCAGGCGATCCAGACTTACGTGCCTGCTGCTAAGAGCGGTAAGGAGCCTCCACTGTTCCGTTACAGCAAGCTGTTCAGCAACGAGTTCATGAGCGTAGGGCTTGTGGATCTGCCACCGGGGGGCATCAAAAAGCCCAAGAATGCACAGAAGATGCAGATGACGTTCTACGTGGTGAAAGGGCGAGTCACAGCCAGTGTTGGCCCGGTACTGGGCGAGTTGACCACGTTCAGCATTGGTAAAGGTGGTTTCTGGCAGGTGCCGAGAGGTGAATCCTCCAATCCCAAGAGAGGAGATGGTGCTAACCAGCCGCAGGTAATCAGTATGCTATCGAGAATGAGCTGGGCAAGGAGGCGCGCCTGGTGTTCTGCCAGGGTTGTGAGGTGATCCCGGAAGCCTTTTTGGCTGATATGGAGGAGTAATTGGCGACTTTTGTACAGTCGACGACTTGTGCTTGTGAGACGAAAGCGGCATTATGGAAGTCGAACGCATGGTATTCACGATGTCATGACCATATCGTCTATTGTTTGCTTATAGCAGGAGAAAGCCTTACCGAAAGCGTGTCGCCGGTATCGATCTGGATAGTGCTCTACACGACCCGCGAGCCACGACTGCATACCCGAGCTGAGCGAGAAATCCTGTTTCTTCTGCAAACTTCCCTCCGTCTTCAATGTGTTTCATTGCCATCTGCTTTCCCCCCACACACCCTTCATCCTTCATATCTCCTCCATATCCTCGTCCCCCAGATCATCCAGCACGCCCCACTCGGTCCCAACCTCCATCTTCTCCGGCCGCGCAAACACGCCATACTTGTCACCACACTCAAACACGCGCCTGGTCTCCGTCCGCTTCTCCGTCTCCTTTTCCTCTCCCTCCCCGCGCTCCACCACCACCTCCACCTTGCAGCTTCCATCGTTTCGCCCCACTGGCTCGTCCAACTGCACGCCCACCCAGACGCACCCGGCCTCACGCTCCCCGCCTAGGCCGGGAATCTCTCCCACGAAGCGCACAACGCCACGCCGCCCGTCGTCGGCGCCTACGCGGCAACGCTCGCCCACCTTGATGCCCTTGCTCTGCACGAGCGCCGAGTCGTGCGACAGGCGGGAAGACGCGAGGTCCGCGGCGCTAGGTGCCGAGGGGTCGAAGCGGCCGAGCTTCTGGTTCTTCTTCCAGGAGAGGACGGTGTTGGGAAGGGCCGCGTAGGCGGTTTCCGGCATGACGTACTTGTCAACGGTGGGGTCGTCGAAATTGGTGGTGGCGCGCAGGTGAGGTGGGCGGAGGTCCTGGACCTATGGGTGGAATCATTAGCTGAGATACTCACGCGTTCCATACAAGAGAGGGAGGGGTGGGGATGAAAGAAGCTCTTCTGGGGAGATCTCGATGGGGGTTGATATGCCGTACCTCTATCTCGGCGCCGCGGCGGAGGCTGTAGCGCGCGTCGCCAACGATGGAGTCTTCGTCGTCGAGTTGGATCCATGTTCCGTCGAGGCTGCGTGTGCGGAGTGACTGCGAGGTGGAAGGAATGCCAGTGATGGGCTCCAGTTTCGTCTTCAGATGGCTAATCGTCCATGATGGAGTAACGCGTCGCTCGGAGGAGACGAGGGGCGAAGCGCCAGCAGCTTCGCTTGGGACAGTGATTTGAAGGGGAATATCGTGAGGCGTATGCAGAGACATGGTAGTTATTGCAATGCTCGATAGTTCAGTGCAGTGAGAAAGCGGGATACCGTGCCGCCGGTCGCTGCGAGTGGACGGGTTAGGCAAAGAACTCGCAAGGGAATCCTAATGTCGTGAAAAGCTACGTCTCTATCACACAGTAGATCACAATTTCGATGGTTCTTACTCCAGAGAAGCGCTTGCCTGATATTCTGAAAAAGAGCAGAAGAACATCAAGTGGAGTAAGAAATTTCCCTTGGCAGGTTTCGACGCCTGATTCAGGCAGCCTTGTGAACAACTCTTCCACATGTTTTACGGCGATGGTTCATTGTCGGCGGGTAGAACCTGTGTCTACGATACAACGATTACCCACTTCTAGCGAGTCAATGCTGGGTTTGGGCCGCTGTCGTTGCGCGGAAAATCTACGCTGCGGTTCGTATCTTTAGGAATATAAATGCACCGTTTTCACCGCGCAGCTGTACAGAACAGGAGTCCATCTACGTAGGCATCGAAGTCTGGGATCTCATAAATCCTCTTTAATTGAGGTGCTGTATGTATCATGATCGTGACACGCTAGCGGCCCATATGATAGATACATAAGTTGCGGCCCACCAAAGCCAACTCCATGGTGGAATATCTGAGAGATGGTGATGCCTATTGTAGGTATTCCCGTTCTCTGGAAACCTCGAAGCGCTCTGACAATTTTCCCACATCCCTTCGCCTAGACGAGTCTAGCGAGTCGTTGTACGATACCTGGAGATGGGGACCAGTTGCCCAAGCCGGCCTCACATGTCTTCAGGGGCTCCAAGAATCGCTGAATTAGAACTCCTCGAAAGACTCCCTCAACCATTGTCGACAGCCCTGGGTAGCCGACACAGCCAACTATGACGTGTCGTCTGGCGTCTTTGCCAATAGAAGACGGCGAAGAATCTTGCCCGTTGAGTTTCGTGGAATCGCGGCAACAAAGACGACGCCCCCTGTCAAGCGCTTGTAGGAGACCAATCGAGATGCCAAGAACGATGCAACATCTTCAGCCGTCAGCTCGCTGCGTGCAGCGGAAGATTCAGGCAACCTCTGCACCACGTAAGCACGTGGACGTGTGACTTCGAGACCGTCTTGGTTGATAGCATAAATGCCCACAACAGCAGCATCCGCGATGCTCGGATGTTGGAGTAGGACATTCTCGAGCTCGGTCGGCGACACCTGCCAGCCATTGACCTTCATCGTCTCTTTGATACGGCCATCGATGTAGAGCTGGTCCCCTTCAACGTACACGCGATCGCCAGTGCGGTAGAACCCATCGTCATCAAAAGCAGAAGCACTTGCCTCAGGGTTGTCAAGATAGTCCGAAAAAAAGCATGGGGAGCGAACAAGCGCCTCGCCGTGGACGAGGTCCGTACAGATGCGGCGACCGTCAACATCCTCCAACTTCAGCTCGACGTTGGCCAGGAGGGTACCAATGCTGCCAGACTGGTCTTTCTCACCTGGAGCAAACATAGTGACCCATCCTAGCTCTGTTGCACCCCAAACCTGGCCGACAGTGGCATCGGGATGGAGGAATTGGTACAGCTTAGCCTGGAGTTCGGCAGTGATGGGAGCGCCCGCGCAAAGTACGTAGCGTAGTGACTTGAGTCCTGTATCTGCGTGAGGTCGTCTTAGTAGAGCGGTAACGATGGGCGGGACTATAGCCGCATCGGTGATCTGATAGGTTCTAACAGATTCGATGAAGTTGTCGAGATCGAACCGAGGGAGGAAGTAGGTGGTGATTCCCAGTCGAAGAGGTTGTACAAGACCGAGCTGTGCTGCAAATGCGTGGAAGACAGGCAGGCATACCAGCTGTGATGGCTGTCAAATATGTCAGCATGAATTTGGCTTCCGGAGCAAGATCTGCCATTGCACACCTGATATGGTCTGGATTTGAGACGCTGTTCAATCATTGCGGCTTGTGCAACCACATAAGAGTGCGGAATCTTGGCTGCCTTTGGCAGTCCAGTCGTACCACTTGTGGTGCAGTAAGCCGCAATTCTGGAAGCCAGCAAGTTCTCGTGGCCAGTAGACACATCCCATCCACATTCACCATGACTCAGGAGCTTTAAGAAAGACAGCCGACCAGCAGGAACCGACTGGCTGGTCTTGGCCAGGACGAAGACTTGGTCGTCGGCGATACCACATGATGCTGCGACTTGTTCTGCGACGTTCAAAGAGGCAACTTCGGTGACAAGGAGCTTGGGACGGGTGGTGCCCAGATTGTGAAGAAGCTCGGATCTGGGGGCGGATGGGTTTGTACCGAAGATGATGCCGCCAGCGCCAATGACAGCCTAGAGTGGAGATGTTAGGGGGGGTGGCTTGGGCCAATGATTAGGAGACCGCGTACCAGCCATATGAGTGGATACCAGATCTGTCAGTTTCGGAGTCAGCTTCCACCTCATCCATCTCTTGTGTGCGTACTCGCGTGGGTGATGGCACGTAACACAGCAGGGATGAATGCGTAAATGACCCATACTTACAGTATTGAATGCATGGAGCCAGACGCAGTCTCCCTCTTGCAGGCCGTGCGCCTTGAGACCTGCAATGAGCTTGCGAACCGTAGCTCGAGCCTCTCGGGCGGAGAAGGTATTTGACGCGTTTAAGGCATCAACAAAGATCTGTCAGAAGAGCGGGGTCAGACATAGGAGCCTCAGGATATCTCAGCCACCAGAGAAGCTATACTGACAGGCTTGTCCTCATCGTACTGACCAAGACAGGCGAAGGCATAGGAAAGGATATCCGCTGTTGGACCAGTCGGAATCTTGACAACGCTCTCAGATCGCCAAATCTTATCTACTTCAGCCACCAAGAGCGCATTGCATTGTTTGTGACTGCCGCCAGTGGCTGCTACGTGTCCGGTGGCAACAGCCATGGTAGGACAGACCGGACTGGGCCCGGACGGATGCTTGCTGAATCTTGAGACGCTCTTTCAACGATAGGCTCACAGATTGACACTGTTATGTTGGATTTGCAATCACCCCGGGGGCTTAATGCTTGAAGGCACCACCGGTGGAATCGATGGCGGCGCGCAGTGGGGGGAGTCCGGCCAAGACGGCAGTCGATCGGATCACCGCTGCCTTTGTTCGTTGCTAGAAGACTTTATGGAAGAGGCAGAATGAGAGGCAACGCAAAGAAGTACCGATCGCTTGGTGTCGTTGACTGCTGCAGCGAGGCCATCTGTGGAGAGTCAGAAGGCAGACAGCCATCGTCACCAAGCATGTGACTGCAGACACAACAATGCCGAGGATTTGCGGCTCTTTGCCGCGAATAAGTCCAACACATTTCACATTCACTAGGCGAGTGCGGATACGTCAATTATGAGAGACCACTGCATTACCAAGTATCAAGGTCGATGATAGGCGTCAACCTGTTGTCCAAGTCTCGGACAAAGTCGAACCCACCAGCCAACGGTGTACCTTTGCAACGTGTGTTGGTATTGGTTGAACCAGGATGTCAAACCGTCAGAGATGTCCCATAGTGACCGTCTGCTAGGATGGGATCCCGAGTCTAATCAGCCCGATCTTCTGGGAGGTGTCTATTTGTGTCGCATCTGCACCAATATGCGACGAATCCATACATCTCTACCTCTGTCGGCTCCTGCATTTTTCACAAAACGCAGTCATTCTTCTAAGGATTGTTCCACTGGGACTTTATTGGCTACCGACTAATACATGGATCCCCAAATCCCGGTCAATGCCAGCCCAAAGCTGACTCCATAGCATTGGAACTGCAAAACCCTGCGTGGGAATTGCCATGCCGGTGTTGAACCTGGTGAAGGCGCGGCCATGGAGCAGCCGTTGAGCACACGTACGCTGCGGGCTCGAATGGATCTTCTAATCCGCCTCCGCTGTCCCGCTCGGATGATCAGATCCGCCCGTGCCTTGATTTCTCATCTCCAGTAGTCTCTCACGACAGTCGCCATCTCGTCAACATCGAGCCGGAGGCATAGATTGGAGCTTGGCATGGTGCCTTTTCACGGCTGTGCCATCATCAGTGCCCTGTGGCGAAACAAACTGTGTATCGCCTCGTTGACATTGGCCTCTTTCGACTTCACCCTTGCACCGCAGCAATTGGTTAGACTCCTGACGTACGAATCTTTTGGCCTCTTGCGGCTTCCATTCAACCCCCATCGATATCACTTTGAAGCCCGTCGGAGCCGCAGCCGGTGAAATCTTGCAGAAATCCGTGAGTGCATCCCGTTCCCTTGTCTCACCGTAACAACCCGCAGTGTCCGCAGAATATGGGGCTTAGCAGCGTGTCTCGAGGGTCTGGACTGGTGATGACAGTGTGGTCATGGTTTTTCGGTGGAATGAGGGGATCCTCTGCTCGACGCAATGCGTTTAGATCCATGTCCTTGATCCTGCATGCTATAAGAACTCCGTCACCCCTTCCCACCCCCATAGCGTCCCTCAGCAGCTGCTAACATGTGGCCACCGGCATTCACAGACTTTTACCTCCAGGATATTGATATGCCGCTATTGTTTGGCGGATATAGTCTTCGCGAGGTCGGAGATATCGAAGCATATGAATCAGCACTCACGGAAGACTCGCATACTCGGAACAAGGAGCAGCATGGCGGGTCGAGGCTGCATGTTGAACATGAGAAAGGTGGAGGCGAGGACGAAAGTGAAGTTTTCAGTCGTTCAGAAAGTGTCTTGTCCAAGTGCCACGTGCCACATGGCATCGAGTCATCGGCACACTCTGCCTTTAAGGAAGGAGCCGGCCTGGAGTCACTTCAACATTTCAACAGCATTTCCTCTCACAACATTACCTCATGTCAACCTGCCGGGAATTCATCGTTTGCCAGCTCATCTACCACTCTTATGGATAAGCACAGTATAATCGCGCAGGGACAGTCACTCCCACCCAAAAGGTAGGTCCCAATGCAGACCTTGATGCCTCAATACTGAGTCAGAGCCAGATATGATCGCGTCCTGCGCAATGCGAGGTATACCTTTCTGAGCGTATATCGCCGCCTTCACCTTCTCGTCCTTCTGCCCAACATCATCGCCATGGTAGTTCTTGGCGCCCTCAACGCACCCGGCGTTCTTCGCCTTCCCATCTCCACTGTTGCTACAGCATCAGCTGCCAATATAGCCTGCGCAGTTGTTATGCGCCAAGAGCTCGTCATCAACGCCCTCTTCATTCTGTTCGGCCATTGTCCTCGATGGTTTCCTCTCCGTATTCGAAGACTCAGCGCAAAGATCTATCACCTCGGAGGTGTGCACAGTGGTGCGGGTGTCGCAGCCACGATCTGGTTTGGGTTGACGAATGTCGCCACATTCTCTATGAACCCCGAAGCCGCAAGCGGCGGCACCTTGATTGCACTCTGGACGATAACAATCGCCCTTGATATACTTTTGCTCTCGATCCTGTTGATGGCTTTGCCTGCATTCCGCGTGCGCTGGCATGACTGCTGGGAATGGTCTCAGTATGTACCTACTCGGTCCTCTGAGAGACTGCTAACTTATCTCCAGCCGTTTCTGTGGTTGGGCTGCCATAGGACTGTTCTGGGCTCTATTCCTGCTCATCTCCATCACCGCCAAGCGTACGATGAGCCCGGAGCCACACCTGTGGAGAGTCATCGTGGTTTCACCAGTGTTCTGGCTGCTGGTGCTCATCACCATTTGTCTAATCGCCCCGTGGCTGAATCTACGGAAAGTTCCTGTCAGGTCTGAGAAGCTCTCGAACCATGCCGTCCGCCTACACTTCACTTACGCTAATGTGCCACTGTGCTCCGCGCCTCGTCTCACGGACAAGCCGCTCAGAGAATGGCATGCATTTGCTTCCATCCCGGAGGAGTCTGGTAAAGGATTCTCCGTCCTCGTCAGCAAAGCGGGCAATTGGACTGGTGCGATCATCGAGAACCCCCCATCTTATCTATGGAAGCGTGGATGGCTGACCCGAGGTGTCCTGGTAAGTCGATCGAGAGGCCGATTTGCTAGACGAGACTGACAAAGCCGCAGAATGTGGCACCGATTTTCAAATCCATGGTTCTGGTTGCAACCGGATCCGGGATCGGCCCCGTGCTGAGCCTCCTCCAGGCGAAACGCAAGCTTGGGTTCATCCGCCTTCTCTGGTCAACCAAGGACCCCATCAAGACATATGGTCAGCGTGTAATGGACAACGTCATGGCGGCTGATCCGAATGCTGTCATAATTAACACCTCAGTCGACAGACGACCAAATCTGTTAGAACTAGCACACGGGATGTATGTGGACAGCCAGGCCGAAGCGGTGTTTGTTATCAGCAACCCCCGTGTGACGCGCAAAACAGTTTATGGGCTCGAGTCTAGGGGAGTTCCAACATTTGCTCCCATCTTCGACTCCTAGTGAATCCCAGGGATGAAGGTCTCGAGCATTCCCGGTTCCCTCATGTTGTTCTTGATACCGGATGTTGTACATAGCTCAGCAACCCGAGGGACCTGCTGTTGTCAGCACATTTGGAGTGATGGCGCGGGAGGGGGAGGATAAAGAGGGCGTCCACAGGCATGAGGATCGCAAGGTGAAGACTCTGGAGGAGCATGACACAGGATGAAATGTCGCACACCACAGCAAGGTCGGCTGAGGACCAGAGCACCAGATCTCAATCACTTATAGAGACAGCAGCAGCAGGGAGCTCGCCACTTTTCACACGCCTATTTTGGGTTGTTCGTATACGTATTATGTACAGCCTGTTCACCATTGAAAGCATACCATGGCAGATGCACAACTAGTCAGAGCACGATAATGTGGCAAGGACATGCCATTATGCATTTTGATGTTTTCTTGAGTACATCTACGAGTGCTGCTCTTTGGCTCCGCGCTCCTTGCTTCCTGCAATAAGCCTACACAATCGGCAAGCAATATTGACTGCAAGTCGCGGCCATCGTCTCACGGCTGAATCTCGCGACCTGGCCTCCTTTCTTTCGGACGTAGCGTGGCTTTCCACGCTTCTTATGAATCTTGAGTCCACACACAGGCTCACGTTCTCTCACACCATCCGCTTATTGCCCCGTGGCCATCAAAAGACCGATCGCACCACCGAACCCAAGGTTAGCCAGTAGCGGAAGGTGAACATAGCACTGCAAAACTATCCACGTGCAGCACCCTTCGCCTTCTTCTTGGTCAAGGTGCTGGAACCAGTGCTCTGTTCAACGGCTTTCTTCTGCTGCCGTCGGTCCCGCGTCTTTACAGCCTTGCATGCCTGTGCAGCATCGCTGCCCGGGTCCATACGGGTGATCATCTTGTCAAACTGCGCGCCGTCGGTACCCGACTCGCGCAATAGCCAGGTGAGTCTCTTTACTTTGCTCTTAAGTTCATCAACTCGAAGCTTGTGACGCTGCCTCATAGCTTTCTTCTTGACTTTGTAGTCCTTCTGCGTCTGACGTAAAACCTGTGAGACATGGACCTTGCCACGAACGGGACTGACAACCTCAGCTTCGCTTGATGGTGAGCCACGATTGCGCCTCGATCGGGCCGTGGGCTTCCAAGTAGAGGAGCATCGATGTGGCTCAGGTTGCTGTAGTCCGTCTTTGGAGTTTTCCTCGTCTGATTCTTCTTGCTCCTCGTCAGAGTTTGTGTCGGTTTCGTTGAACCTCGTGCTATTGGCGTCTGCACCAGTCCCATTGCACTGGGATGGAACAACGACGGCCGTTGGGCGTGCAACAGCTGCCTGCTGGATCGATGCCTTGACTTTACCGGGCTTTTGTCCAGAACAGACAGGGTGGTTTAGGGTAGGTCGTGATCCTTTATCTTCTTCTTTCGGTCGGTTGACTGTTTTGTAAGGCTCCAGCACTGTGACCTGAACCAACGTACCATCGCCACATCGCTCATACTCAAGAAGCGGGATCTGCGGCAGATCACAAGCAACCTGGATCTGAGGCGACAAACACCCAGGCCAGGCGAGTGAGACGAGCTTAAGTTCCGCTCCAGGTACGACAAGGCGATCCTTAACGCTGCAGTGCACGTACACATGGAAGAACTTGACAATCCCTGACATCACTCGCTGCATGATATTGCCACCATCATCTGCAAAATAGGGGCTTGGGATCATGCACATCAGCCATCGCAATGATGCGAATTTTGACCGAGGCAGACGCTTCCAGGAAGGACGAAAGGCGATGGGTCCAGAGTTGTACGCCTCTTCTGCAGCAGCTATTACAACTTGAGTGGTCGACGTGCCATAAAGACAGGTCGTGCCCTTTGCCTTCACGAGAAGCTTGCGCAACGTATTGAACAAGCGGGGATCGCAGGACGGATTCGGGAAGTGACCCAAGGACTCCGAATTACAGATAGCATCCCGAAATTCGTGCTTGAGCACGTCCCAAGCAGGGCGAATAGGTTCTGTTTTTGAATGGTGATCAGTACAACGAATTGAGGTCAGGCAGGATGCGTCGTGCTCGGACTCAGACGGGACCGCCGTCATCGTCGCAGCTTCTAGCGACGCCACTGCGGGGCGAAACGTTGACCACGTCAGACGTTTTGGAAAGGTTTGGAAATGTTCGATGTTGCCCGAATCCTTTGGACTTCCACTTGAGAGGTGATGGTTGAGGTAAAGAAGTAGCCGTCAGCGGCGCCGGCAGACATGGACGCCGTACGGCACTAGAGCATGGAACGATCACAACAAGGGGTCAAGAAACGCGATGCAGATATTGAAAAAAAGTGCCGGCGGGAGAGATCTGGGAAGTTTGAGTGCAGCTCTGGAAAGACTAGAGAACAACTTGGAGGTCGGGCACGAAATGAAAGTGAATGTTGGTTCACTTGTACCTCACTCGTCCCGAAACTTGTACCTACCATCAGGCTTCATTGCTTCGATCACACGATGCTCGACCTCCGCCCGCGTCCTCTCTACCAACTCGTTCCGCCGCTTCTCATCTTCCTGTGTCCCTCCAAACTCGACTTCCCAGTAACCTCCCCCGGGCCACTCTGCTGTTACGAGTGGTGCACTCCTTTCTGCAAACCCCTGGGCAATCTTCTGGATTCGAGCTTCGTGTAGGGCGTTGTCCCTTGCAGTCTTAGTCATATTAGCTAGCATGTTCTTCGACCCAGCACCCAGATAATCTAGCAGCAAGTCCTCCTCAGAATGGTCACTTGCTCCCAATGCCGATTTTCGGCGATCCCTTGGTCTGTGCCACTCCTCCAAATATTCAGGCCGAAGCACGAAGTCTGAAAGTTTCAGGCTGCTAACAGGTCGTGACCGAAGTGGAGGCTGCTCCTTCCGTTGCGGCGGGTGAGGCACAAAACGTGGCTTTCGCCGCACTTGGCGATCTGTCGCCTCGAGGTCACTTGAGCTCTTGCGTAAGGTTGGAACGGATCTGTTGTTGGCCCTTGGGCTGGCGGAAGTGGGCCTCTGCGCAAACAAGTCGACAGATGGCGCTGGGGATCCGAGCAGAGCGTCCAGTCGACCGGCAGCATCGCCTCTGACGGCAGGATCTACCTTTGATGATTTAGACTGGTGTTTGCCTTCCCTGCTATCAACCTCCCCATCTTCTGCTAAGATCGGAATTGCTGCAATTGCCTTCTCGACACGATCCACCGACCGGGGAAGTAGCTTTGTGTTGTTTTGAACCTCTCGCAGTGGCGTGCCCTCGCGCGACTCGAGACGCTGTTTCTTCCTTGGTGGCGATGATTGAACCTGAATCTGTGGACTGGACCTGAAAGATTCGGGTCGACAAGCAGACGCCACGGGAGTTGACGGTTGCGAAGTGTTGGTTTGATCTATCTCGTCCGAAAGCACGACTGGTGAAGGTATTTGCGGATTCTGCAGCCGCCACTTCCGTTCCTTCGCTTGTGTCGTGCCTAAAACCTTTTTCAGTCGATCAATCTCCGCCTGCTTCTCTGACACGGACTGAAATAGCCGGTCAATAACCTGACTCTGTTCCTCCACCTGCTTAACCAGCGTTTGACTTTGCGAAAGTGCCTGAGTGAGTAGCTCGGTCAGCGGAGTGTCTGCTTGCGGCATTTTGGGTGGGGAACAAAGATTGAATACAACCCCGAATCGACTACGTCCCTTTAACACTCAGAACGCGCTCTCAGCGCGTCTTAGCTTGGCAGAAGGAGCCATTGCGCGTTTGAAGCCGCTTGCGCCACCGTATTGATGCAGCGATGTCGCATGTCTCCACATGGCTTCCTGACGACTTCCCACCGTGCAGGGTGCATCTACAATGAAGAGACGTCTGTCGGAAACCGCAGATCCCGGGCACGAGAGGCGCCACAGTGGGCATGCTGGCAAGAGACAGCGTGTTGGCTACCGCCGCGCTCTTCTCGAACTTCCCGAAGAACTCCTCTCGAGGATATTCGCCTTCCTCGACGTCCGACAACTAATCGCTCTCGAGTTGGTGTCGCACCGTTTGCGGTATCTTTCTACGGACAGTGAACTATGGAAGCAGCAATTCTATCGGCAATGGATTGAGCCTCGGGCTCGACGCATACCCATTGACCTGAGGCCGAATCCAGCGAAGTTGGTACGTTGGCTCGAGCATGGTGAGTCGCTGAAGCATGGCGCCAAAGTAGACTGGAAGCGCCAATTTAGGCTTCGCAACAACTGGGAGAAGGGCGAGGCCCACTTGCAAGAGGTGGAGGTCGCACACCCTCTGACGCCACCAGTTTTGGCGAAGGTGAACAAGGGACAGATTTTTACAGCCGACGCCGCCTCCGGGTTGAGGGTGTGGTCGCAGACGCGGAAGGTCAAGAAGCTGGAGGCGCACGTGGAATTGCACAACGTTCGCCCTACAAGCCTAGCCGTAGACGGCAGCTCGACCGAAGCAAAGATTGCGATAGGCTTTGAGAATGGCCACTGCGAGATTTACCAGTTCAAGAACTCGACCCTGAAGGCTTACTTCAATTACACTGTCTCGCCAGGATCTATGCTCACGTCAATGGCGCTGGCCATGCCATATCTCGTAGCCATGACCAGCGATAGACACATCCATCTTTACCAGTTGACAGAGAATGACCCCAATCGATCCCTATCGGCTTCGACCATGGCTGTTCTTCACGCGGACTCTCCTCTGCATCCAGCGACGTTATCACTACGGTGTACCCAGAAGAGCGTCATCGCGACCATCGCATATGCTTTCAACAGGATAAATGAGGGATGGTGCCTCGGTATTCAGGAAATCAAGCTCTCCAGAGAGGATGGCGTGATGGAGAGCAGGACGGCTTCAAACATCGAGACGCCATTGGATGCAAGGTATAGAGGACGAAAGCAGTGGGACATTTCGTCGAGATCAGCTTTCTCAACACCGCTCACCTTACCGTTTTCACTGAACCCAGACATCAAGAGTCCGCCGACCTCTTTGTCGTACTCACATCCATTCCTCCTTGCCAGTCTCTCCGATAATACGATCATGTCTTATATTGTTCAATCAGATGAAGAGAAGCTGGAGGTGAGCTCCGGTCGACGCCTCTTTGGCCATACCTCAGCCATAACTTCGGCAGAGGTAAGCAACAGAGGTAAGGCTGTGTCTGTGAGTGCGCGCGGGGATGAGATTAGGGTCTGGGAGCTCGAGCAGATGCTGACCACCGTCCGTGGAAGAGCGAGCACACAAGTCAAGCCACGAAATGGTGCGCTGAGCGTCGCGGCGGCGTTGGCTCTGCGAGGAAATGGCCTTGGTTTGGTCTTGCAGGAGATGAAGCGAGAGCTCGCTATGACACGAAGATGGGTGTCGTTCGACGAGGAGCAAGTGGTTGTGTTAGGCGAGAGAGATGAACGGCAGATTATGGCATGCTACGACTTCGCGTAGACCGCGAATGAAGAAGGCGTTCGGCCTCATGCTGGTCATATACCGGGATACTGCGCATCCCATACTGTGCTGGACAGAGCCTCCGAGGTGCCTGGAAATCAACAGTTCATGTGACTTGCCTACCTCGAGGAGAGGGGATCTCCACGAGCCATAGAGGTAGTAATTCTCTTTCGAAGCCACCGCCTGGAACCGCATTCCACTCGATAACGACCCCGCGCCACTAAAGTGGGGCTCGCGACCACGTGTTTGCGCCTTACATTCCGCCAAGCACAGACATTTCTCTTCGATTGAACTGCGGTTTGCAACTACTGATTCCTCTCCAGCTACTAGCATTACTACTACTTCTTCGATTCTGAAGTTCGGTGGTTTAATTAATCGGCTTGCTCTTACAACCTGTAGGTCACTTCTCTGCAAGACATCATTGCCTACATTCTTGCTAATTGTGCCACTGCAGCCCACTCACTCTTTATCCGTACCTCACCATGGATCGCGGCTGGTAAGTGTCCCAACCCTACGGCTTGGACCTTTCAGCTAATGATCTCCAGTTTTAATTGCGGCGCTGCCGACCATCAGGCTCGCTCTTGCCCCAAGAAGACTCCCACCTGGTTGATTTGACCCCGCCCTCCTTCGAACCTACGCTGATCGCACAAATAGCTACAACTGCAATCAAGAGGGTCATGTCTCTACCGAATGCGACCAACCTCAAGCCCCCAAGACTTGTTACCGTTGCCAAAAGGAAGGCCATATCGCACGGTACGATCCAAGCAGACCTTGCTGTGAACCAGAACTGACCGAAACAGCGACTGCCCTGAAGCACCCGAGCCTGGTGCGGGCGGCAGAATGGGTGGTGGCGGCTACGGTGGCGGGTATGGCGGTGGCTACGGTGGTGGCGGCGGCAACCAGGGCCGAGGATGCTTCAAGCAAGTCATCACGCTCCATATTAAAACACTCTTGCTAACTGACAAAGGTGTGGCGGCCAGGGCCACTATGCACGGTTCGTCTACCAGAAACGTTTGCAACACTTTGATGCTGACATGGGTCCAGTGAATGCACTTCGGGCGGAGGCGGTGGCTTCGGCGGAGGCGGCTTCGGCGGTCCCGGTGGGCATGGCGGCTTCGGCGCTCCTGGAGGCCGCCCTCCCCTGACCTGCTACGTAAGTTTTCCATCGCCGTTCGGTACGCTCAACTAACATTTCCCAGTCGTGCGGCGGTGTTGGTCACATTGCTAGAGAGTGCGTCGCGGGAGGTGGCGGTCCTGGTGCTGGTCCTCCTGGTGGCGGTAGCGGCCAAAAGTGCTTCAATTGGTTTGCTTGTCCATAATGTCTGCGGTTCTCGAACTGACGATCACAGCGGCAAAATCGGCCACATCTCATCGGCTTGCCCCCAGCCTCATTCCTCAGCACGCATCTGCTACACTTGCGGAAACGAAGGTCACATCGCTTCCCAGTGCCCCGGTGCCTAGACATGGTGCAAGCGTAACAGCTCATCTTTGAATCTGCAAGAAGGTATCAGCAAAACACAAGTCGGTGATTCAAGCCGGTACGTGGTCCCACCACAACAAGAATGCGTCGTTTGCCGAAATCGTGGCTGGATACCTGAAGATGGATTTGATTACGACGACAACGGAGTTTCTCGATTCATCGGAGAGAAACATCTTGAGGAAAAGTGATTTCAGTGCGGGCTCCGCCCCGAGCGAGGCGGTGGCCAAGAAAATGGAAAATCGTGGAGGATGTCTTATGGAGGCTTAGAAGCGCTGCTCACGCCAGGAACGTACGTTGCGAGACGAAGCATACTGTCAAGGCCTGCTTGATGACGAGAGTCCAAATGAATGAGACGAGATGATTCTGCGAAAGATTGATTGTTTTGCGAGGACTCTAACACATCTTCTCTGTAACAGGCTTCCTCAAACTTTTGTTATTGTGATGAGCCAGCGACTACTACCAGGACGATTCTACAGTCTCACCTGCCACTTGGAAATTTACCTACGGAGAACGTGCCAAGCTCCAAGGTGCTACTCTTCGTTCACCTCCCTTGCCTGCGAAGCCAGGTCTTCTCACGATTCCCTCCTCCGTCAACAGACTGCACGTCCTCCTGGTACCGCCTCCTCAGCCCGATTTGGCGTTCACTTGGTCCACTGTACCGGAGCTCTGCACGACCATGGAAGACACGTCACCCGTCAAGGGCAGTCCCCGAGCTAGCCCGATTTCCAAACCCCAAATCGATCTCTGCACCGACCCCAGTATCCCACCCTCCGATGGAAGATGCCTGCTTCTGGAAGCCGCCGCCGAAGTGCGCTCACGTATCTACGAGGAGCTGTTCAACGAACTCGGTAATGGTCTTTTTATCAATCTCTTTGATAACGAGGGGGGATTACCAATACTCGAAGATAACTGGGCAACTTCATTTAGCGAGCCAGTTTCGCTGGAGCTAGACATTCGTCAAACATGCAGAATGGTCAAGCAAGAAGTGGAACCGATCTGGGCCTCTCATTACTACTTCCTTATCACCTGCTGGGCTCCGTTCACAGGTGCCCGGCTCTACGATAAGTTCTCTCGGTCGATCAGCGAGAACATTCAGGAAGTCATGTTGTACAGCGAACCCCTTCATAGCTGTGCACCCGCTACAATCGCGGAGCTCAAGAAGCTGCGGTCGCTCAAGATCCTTGAGATTCACGACAATGGCGATGTTTGGGAGAAAAGGACCATGGTGCTTCATCTCGGAGGTCTGCCCCCGACCAAGTGGGAAAACATGGATCGAGGCCTCAACTGTGAACGCTTCGTTCAGCTTTGGTTTGATCTCGTTGCTAATGACCAGAGGGAGGTGGAGCACGTAAAGCAGACTGCTCAGGATATCGATTCAGACAGCCCCGATAGTTCGGAAGAGGCGGAACGCGCTCTTCCTGAGGCTATCCAACGTGCGCAGAGATGGTTTCCCCACCTTGCCGACAAAGAGCAGCGGTCCTTCGCCGTGCGAGTAGCTTTCTATGTTGATGTCAGGGGCTGGAATACTGAATGCCTTCATCATCCACAGCCGAGTGGGTTGCTCACAACGCATTCCCAGATCTATGTAAGCCCGAGTGCCTGCGGGCCTTATTTGTGACACAGGGCTGACATTGTGAAGGCACCATTGTTTGATCTCGATACGCGTGAAGTCCTGGAGAACAAGAATTGGGCGAATTGAGGCACTCTAGGTTCATTGAGGGACCTACGTATGTATTATTGCCGAGCTCGCCAGACGGGATATGCTAGATCTAACTCGCACACGGTCCGCCGTATCTGGTCGTTGAAAGGGTTCGCCACTCGCAAAAAGGGCTCATGAACGTGTTTGTACATACAATATGGCGTATACCGCATGCTCTCAGGAGGGGCATCGTTTGACTCGTCAAGGATCAGCTCGGTCCCAACGCCCATCAATGCAAGCACTTTTCCAAAGTAGGCTGTGCGACTCAGGTCATGTTGTGTTGCTTACCGCAAGCCTAGCTTTCCGAGGACACCGCCGCTTTGCTGCCCTTTCGCATCACCAAACACGCCCAGGATGTTCTTCCATACCAGGCCAGGCTCTTGGCTAGCATCGATGCCACTCCAGATGCCCTTGTCCTGATAGTATGCGACCACGGGGCTGGTCTGCGAGTGGTAAGTAGCCAATCGCTTCTTGAGCGTATCGGCGTTGTCGTCAGTGCGTTGGATGAGAGGCTCTCCAGTGACATCATCCTTACCCTCCGCCTTGGGTGGGCTGAAGACCTTGTGGTACGTGCGGCCTGAGGCAGGGTGGATGAGACGACCGGTGATTCTTGAGACGAGGAGGCCGTCATCGATCTCGAGCTGGATGGCGTGCTTGAGAGGTTTCTTCTCTTCTACCAGCATGTCGTCCAGACCCTTGGCTTGCGCAACAGTACGCGGGAAACCGTCGAGGATGAAGCTGTAGGCCAGTCAGCGGCTGACAGAACCAATGAAGTCAATGCCTGGCCGCAAGTAAGCTTCGCGGCAGACAGGCTCACTTACCCATTTTGACACTCGCTGTTGGTCGTTAGCTCGTTCCGAATCATATTCAACATGATATCGTCGGAAACAAGCCCTCCCTGATCCATAATCTTCTTTGCTTCCTTCCCTAGCTAGTCCAGGATCAGCGTTGGGCGTCTCCAACCCAAGGTACTTGTGCCAGCGAGGCCTCGCTTACCGGAGTCTTGCGTGCAACTTGAGCTCTCAGCATGTCGCCAGTAGCCTGTAAAACGTGTGAGTAGATGTAGACAAGCTCTGTACGCGGCTGAAGCTCACCAGATGGCAGACACAGTACTTCTCCTTGATTCTAGGCGCCTGTGTACCCTTTCCCGCTCCTGGGGGACCTAAAATTATGAGCACGTGCAGAAGGTGCTGCAGAGCTGTACGCACCGATCAGAATCAGGCGCATGCCATCGCTGACTGTTTTCTTGTCCTCGCCGGAGATCTTGTGTTCAAGTGCCCGGACGCGGTTCTCCAGAGTTCTCACGAGCTCTTTCAGGTCTTCGGCTTTCGTATCGACGGGCGCAGAGGGAAGGTCAGCTGTTGGACATGGAGGGCTAGAGATTTAGCTCACCCATGGTGTGTTCAGGCTCTAGTCAAGCGGCCGGACCGAGGCAGACACAACTCGAGAGGATTGGGGTAGCAAAGCTGCAGGAGAAATTGCAAGAGAGAGGGAAGGCGGTGGGAAGATGTTGGCAGAGAGCAGTGTGAAGCGAAGAATCCCGAAGCTCGTACTATTCCCTACCCCAAAGCTCCAGCCGCTCCGTTGCACCGCGCCAAGCTAGAGTTCTATGCCAAGGCCCTGCCTCGGCAGATTGGCGTTGACATCACTTCTGGGGTACCAAGTCTCGCGTTCTACTCAGTACTAACAAGTGGGCGGAATGTCTCAACCCTATTACATGAAAGCGGTTGTTAGCTGCGGGAAAGCTTCCTTTGCCTCGCTTCAACACGTAGAAAGAGTGCTTGGCTTTGTAGACAGAAAATCCAGTGCGTCCGGGTGTCCGAGCTCGAGGTCGCCAGGCAGAGCCTCTTCGCTTGATAGGACTGGTATGACAACGGGATTGTGGTCCGGCAGCTATGGCATCGTTCGGACAGCTCTGAGTGAGATGGGCTACATGGCTTACGCTCTGGAAGACAACGCAGAAAGTTGGCGACGGGTGACTTATATACATTTCTCAGACAATAATCTGCTCGTTCTTTCACCACAATCATACGTCGTTCGCCTCTGTAATGAAATAATAGCTACGCGTCGATCGTTGGGTCAACATACTCTTACGCGCAAGAATCTTCGCTGTGAATATACATGCTCGACACTGAGCTCCCCAAACGAGAGCAGGTCCTGCCATAAGATGACAACACATCCGCTCTCGCGGAAGACGACAAATTCGCAAAGTACTTCGTAGGTGTTCCGACTGCAGTACGTCGCTGCAGTACTCGCACAGCAATGAGTTGCAACTCAGGCTCATACAAAAGCTGTGAGATCTTGATGCTGGAATCCGAACGACCAGGACACATGTGGTCGAGCCTTAAATCCGCTATCTCCTAACTCTGCTGCGTCCGCGCATCAGCGCCTGCGCTTCGAGGGAAACATCAAGTACAGTCGACCATCTCTCCCTCCAACATCTCGATCAACCAGCCCGTCGATCCGCATCTGTTGTCCCGCGAACTTTGTCGATTGCGCGAGACGTCACCGTTCTTTCTATACATCATGCCGGGCACAACAGGCGAGGCACTGGCTCTCGTTAGCAAGCAGGTTTCCGTGGCGCCGTTGGTACTCCTCAGCTGTGCAGACCACTACAATCGGAGCGCAAGAGGTACTCGCAAACGAGTCATCGGCTGTCTCCTCGGGTCAAATGAGGGCAAGAAAGTCCGTGTGACAAACAGCTTCGCCAGTGAGTATCCTCGCTCCATCCCCAATGTGATCAATCTAACGATGGCACAGTTCCGTGGGAAGAGGATGAGAAAGATCCTAATGTGTTCTTCATTGACTTCAGCTATATCGAGCAGGTAAGCACACCCAATACAGCTTCGAACTATCGCTGTGCTTTGCAATTCTCGTGGATCTAGGTCCCTGCGCAAACCGTGACTGACATTTGATATGAAGATGAAAGACATGTACCGCAAAGTCAATGCGAAGGAAGTTCTAGTCGGCTGGTACTCAAGCGGCCCTCGCCTTCGGGCGTCGGATCTTCAGATCAACGAGGTGTTCAAACGTTGGACGCCGAACCCGCTACTAGTTGTTATCTCTGTCGAACCTACCGAAGTTGGTGTACCAACGGATGCTTATTTCGCAGTGGATGAAATTCGTGAAGATGGTACAGCGGCGTCCAAAACCTTTGTCCATACCCCGTCAAACATCGAGGCAGAGGAGGCTGAGGAGATTGGCGTTGAGCACCTTCTAAGAGACATTCGAGACGTTGCGGTTGGCACTCTGTCCACGCGTATTACAGCACAGCTCCAGTCCCTCCAAGGTCTGCACCTTCGGTTGCGGGAGATTGGCGCGTATCTCCAAAAAGTACTGGATGGCGAACTACCTGTGAACCATGTCATACTCGGCAATCTGCAAGACATCTTCAATCTTCTTCCCAATATCTCGACGCCGCCAGCTTCAAGACCGAACGCCGCAAACCAGGTGGAGAACAGCGAACTTGCCCGAGCCATGCGTGTCAAAACCAACGATCAGCTCATGACCATCTACCTGAGCTCACTTGTCCGCGCCATCACTGCTTTCCACGACTTGATCGATAATAAGATACAGAACCGGCAGCAGGCGGAGGAGCAAGAGGCTAGGAAGGACGAGGAGAAGAAAGATGGTGAGAAAGGTGAGAAAGACGAGAAGAAGGCAAATGGTGTCAACGGCGATGCGAAGAAAGAGCCTGAAGAAGATGCAAAGGGAAAAGGCAAGAAGAAGAGTTGAGCAATTGACCGACGTATCCATTGATTGGATTGAGCTTGCATTAGCATCGGCGTTCCGCGAGCATGGCTCGGGCGGTAACACAGTAGAGCAGTCCATAGACTGCGGGAAAAGTGATCCGCAAGGTTACGAATGTACCAGTACAGGGGTTGGGACGAGTTGTGGTCCTCACATCGCGCATTTGACAAATTCGAGAACTCGCTGCGCCGATATATCAAAACCTATCTCCCCATCCCGCACCCCATCCGGCCAGCTCCTGCCTGCCTGCCTGTCGCTCACGGTCTCTGCCCTCCCTATCTGGTGACAGCACGAACGCGGGCATGTTTCTCGCCAATGCCGCCGCTAGGATATGCTTGCAGACCGGTGCCATCCCTCCGTTCATGGCTGTCCCTCCGAACCTGAAGTCCTCTGCAGCGGACCCTTCCCTGCTTCCTTCTGCCATGGCAACATCATCCTTCCCCAGCCCACCACTGCCTACGTCTGCTTTCCACACTTCCTCTCCTGTCGTCAGTAGAATGAAAGCCTGGAATGCAAATCCCGCACAGCTGCAATTCCAGCTGTCTAAGCGCACTTCGTAGAACGTGTCAGTCGCCTTTGAGCGCAGAGCGTTGCGGAACCTGCCTGTCCCTCCAGCCACTCCAACCCGAGACTGCTCCGCGTCGGTGATGGCGGATGCCGACTGGACGTACCAGACCTCGCGGCCGCCGCTGCTGAATTTGTGCTCGCCCTCAGAGACATTCGATGGGCAGGTCAAGCGGGTGACAAGGCCGCGGTCGAGGAGGTCGAGAGCGGGCAAGAGGTCGTGGGGAAAGAGGAGATGAAGGGTCAAGAGGCTTGGGCGAGCGAGGATTGATGAGGGGGGCGTGAGGCGCGTGAGGATGTTCTGTTGCTGAATGTTGCTGATGAAGGCCATGTTGGGAGCCGCGTGAGGGTCCGGCTCAGTCAGGGTAGAGAGGCTGGTGAGTAGGCGTGTGATGGTCGTTGAGAGATCCATCGCAGATTTCCCCATGGCAGTCAGGATGTCAGAGACAGCCTAAAGCCTATGAATTGGTTCAAGACCACCTTCATAACTTTTGAGTTTGTGTCGTGGTCGATCGAAGCTGTAACCGGCACTTAATGGTGAGGTAGTCGGTCCCCTTCTTCGTGTCTCGTTCTGGCCTATGTCTCGATAGGAGACCTCAACTTGAGCCAACAAATTTCTTGAGGATTTATGCCACGATACATGTATCGCGAAGTAGAAATCGCTGCTCGCGAAACATCACCGGGCACAACTTTCACTAGTGAAGAACGGACAATGTCTTTACGAAGCAAAATATTAATAAAAATGCACTCAGACCGCTCCGGACCCGGCAAGCTTTAAAGCGCTTGCCACCCTAATTCCCGCTCCAGCAGATATATCACTTCGGGTAGCTAGCTCGAGTTTCGTAGATTGTCCCAATACACCCGCATTTCAAAATCACGACAAATGTCGCTCTGCTATTCACAGTACGTAACGCAAACTTTGGTCCCGGCCTGGTTCCGCTTCATGTGCGACTCATATGTCATGTACAAGCCAACCTGGCTGATCCTATAACACCTCAATTACTCTTTCCTGAGCCCCCACCATACGATCCATAACGGGGTTCGTGTTGATGCTGCGAAACAACTCGAAAATGCCTGAGCTCTTGAGCATCAATCCAAGCACGATGGCGAGTATGGGTATCTAGAATGTGTCAATGAGAAGAATCCTTGGGGAGGGGTTATTGCATACCCAAACGAAGAATAGTTTCCTATCCTTGCTCAATTCCACGCGCTTAATATCGCGATGTAGGAGTAACTCGCCAACATCTTGATCATGGTCGCGATTGTGAGGTGCCCGACTCGATGACTGTGCCTCAAAATGACGATCAATGATGAGGTCTGCAGCAGCCTGTTCTTCCGAAAGCTTCTTCAAGCTGATGTCTTCTGGTGAGGGTCCATCCGCAGGGAAAAGCGACTCATAAGCGGGAGGCTGCTGTGTTGGTGAAGGTGAACGGTTACCGGTCAAGGCGTCCCACCAACCGTCGTTGCGACGCGAGTTCGACCTCGAGGTACCGGGCCTTTGCGGGAAAAGCTGACTAACACGTCGAACCATGGCACTACCCTGGTACTCCTGCTGCAGCGCCTGGAGGTGACCGTTCAATGCTGGGAAGCTAGGCATCATCGACTGGAAGGCCTGGGTGGCCTCGTTGTACCTTTGTATCGAGTTCTGTAGCTGATCTCGCCATGCTGCCATGAAAGTGTCATTCGCTTCGGGCTCCATCGAACGATGCGCCGTCAACGTCGCAAGTCCGTTGGTAGGAAGCTGCGCACTACCACGCCTTGATGCAGTCCGGCTTCGTGTTCCAGTACGCGCCAGCTCTTGCGACAGATCAGTATCGTCGATTGCAGCCTCGTCGGAGTCCGAATCCATGTAAGTCGAGTCGTGGTCCCAAAAGGAGTGTAGAGAGGCAGAGCTTGCCTTCCGGCTTTGCAACCTCATAGGAGTTCCACCGACGCTCCGAGAGCGATAATGAGCGGAGGGAACCGTCACCGCTTGGTATGAGAGTAGAGACGTTGCCATGTCTGCAGGCGTGAAGTTCTTGAAGCTCCGAACCTTATGGCTAGCGCCCGAGAGTCGCAGTCGTTGTAGGATGTAAGTATGGCCATGCATTGCCGCATGGTGCATCGCAGTGTGCCCATTCCTGTCCACCAGATGCGGGTTGGCACCTCTCGCAAGTAAGCCAGCGGCAAATCTCGTCAAACCGAGTGACGACGCCAGGTGAAGTAGAGTCAGTCCGGAGGGACGTCGGAGATCCAGCCTAGCCAGAGCAGATGGCGCCCGTAGGTCCATGTACTCGAGCAGTCGAACCATGGTGTTCTCCAGCTCCATTGCATCCATTGGTGCACCAGTCATACCGCCATTCCTCTGATGACCCATACTGTAGCCTCCATTCGGAGCTCCCCACATGGATTGGTGAGAGCCCTGGAGAAGTTGCTGGGCAGCGGAGTACGGATCATCAGTCGGGTGGTTCATCTGCTTACCGATCGTTCGAAGCGCCAGCCGAAACATCTCCAACTCGCGGTCATCTGTGTAGGTGAAGAGAACCGGCCTAGTTTGTGCGCCTTGTTGCATGTAGTTGCGATGTTCGTGCTTGAAGATGACCGTAACGGTACCCGGTTGCAGCGCTGGTGGGGCTATACAATTCAGGCACTTCTCTCCCCAGAATGTTGTTGTCGTGGCTTCGGTGTCTCCAAACATGACCTCCAGACCCTGGTAGAATCCATTGCCCAGCAGTGTCACCTCCGTACCGCCGGTGACGGAGCCTTCGGCAGGCACAAGCTTATGGATCAGCGGAGGAGCTCGTCTCGATAGCTGGTTCTGCAGCTGATTGCTGACACCCGAAGCAAGAGATTGATCAGCTGCGCCGAAGCTATTTCGGCCCGAAACGGGGCTACCTGGCCTGCTTGGTTGCCGGGAAGGAGGCGCCGAGATCATGGCTTGCCTGGGCATGTTCTCAAGGGAGAACGACCGATTGATAGAGGCAAATGTAGGATCAGTGCCGTTGGGGGTAGGTGGGCTCGTTCCAGATCCTGGAGGACGTTGCGGAATATATGAGCCAGTGGGTGGCGGCATATACGAGGTCATGTTGGTCGCGTACGGCGAGGATGCTGCCGAGTTTGGCATGGTTGACGAGCTGGGATGAGAGGGAACTGTATCGAGCCTCGTCATTGTCAAGCCTGACGGCAGCTTCCCGGAGCCACTTTGTTTCCTGCGCTTCGTTGACGGTCCCATTGATGCGTTCGGCGAGGCCGGGCGGGAGAGGTTCCGAGGAGTCAATGTTCCGGATGTTGCATTTGAGATGCCAGAAATAGCGAATGGGTTGCTAGAAGAAGCCATCGGGAACTTTGGGTTGAAACTGTTCTGTAGTCCATTGAGGTCGTTTGTGGAAAAAGACTGCTTGAACATCTTGGGGGTAGCCGATGACTTGGGGTCGTTCCCCGAAGTTTGAAACACTCCAGCACCAGGAAGTGTTGGGGCATTGGGCAGAGGCGCAGCCACCGGTTGCACAGCAGTAGGAGCGTTGTGTGTCTTATGGTCATCGGTGATCATGATCGGGTTAGTCATACTCTGTGCGATAACTCGATCGCGATGGTCTTTGACGGTGAAGATGACCTGAAAGCCAAGCTTCTCGTTCTGGTGTCGGCAGTAGCAGGCAATTCGCATTGGCAACTCGACCTGCATCGCGCCAGGAGGAGCAGAAGATGCTCTTGGAGCTTTCGCCGAACCTTCGGCACCCTCTTTCGGAATCTCTGCCCAGTCCTTGATCTGGCTTGTATTGAAGACAACCACGCGTCTTTCCTCGTCTCGTTGAAAAGCCTCTTCTTCCTCTGGCTTCTTCTGCTTTTTGCGAGACGCGCGCTTTCGCTCTCGCTGGATGCAGCCGGTACAGATCTTGACTTCACCACCGTTCAATGGCTTATCTTCATCATCTCTGGACGAGGAGGACGTTGTGGAGGATGCCGGACTGGATTTGTTAGCAGCTGGCAGCTCTTCACCACGTGCGCGCGCGAGAGCTCGCTGGAGCTTGACCTTGTCTTGCATAGCGCTGGTGCAGACCAAAGACGTATGCAACTCAAGAACCTCTGGGCCCGGCTCCTGCTCGCCCTTGACGAGGAATTTTGGCTTTGAGACTGTGTGCGTCGGTAGCTTCAACTTCTTAGCCCCAACGGGCAATGATGACATTGTCAGAATGATCGGTATCTGCGTCTCTACGCGAGACTTGAGCGAGGTCGGATGCACGGTTAATCTAGGTGTTCCATCAGGAGCAGAGGTAGAAGTTGAAGGCGGAGAAGCAATGTCCATCCCGAAGGAGGATGGAGTTGCACTTGAGTCGGCATCAAAGGTGAAGTTGCCGTTGAATTGCATGTTTGGGGAGAATGCCGGATTGCCGGGCGAGTCCCCATTCATGGTGATGGTGTTAAATGTTTCCTCGAGACCGGCGGAGGGCGAGTGTTTATTCCATGGAGAATGACCAGATGGTCCAGAAAGCATGGCATTGAGAGGCGAAGCTTCTCTCGAGTTCGCAATGTAAAACCCCGATTGTGCGGCGTTTGCCATTTTTGGAGAGGCGCTTTTCGCCTGACCGAAGCGTGCCACATTTGCAGCCCTCTTAAGCGACTGTGAAGCAGGGGCGACGACGGGCGCGAAGGACATCTGCGGATCGAAGCCGCTGGGGGTGCTGCCGGCGGTCTCGAAATCGAAGTCGGAAGCCATCTTTGCCTCAAAATCGTTCTCCACACCGCCCATCATCGAGTCATTATATGCTGGCATACTGAGGCCATTGATTCCGGAACCCCAAGCGGCATTCTGGGCAAAAGCGCTCGAGGATATGGACACCTCAGAGTTTGTACGGTTGTGCTGTAGTGATTCATCGGAGCTTGAGGACTCGGATCCACGGTGGTTCTGCTGGAAGTCCAATGCGGGACTGTCTGCGGACTGTTCTTTCTTTATGAGGTCGGAGGGGTTTATGAGGCCATCATGCGCGAGATCTTGCTCGGGTTCGTTGGCGAGGAAGGCGTCAAAATCGTTTGGTGTCGGCGCCAGGCTGCTGTTGAACAGATAGAAGTCGTCGTCTGTGCTACCCATTTTCGTCGTTTGACCACACCGATCCGAAGTATGGTGCAATATCCGATTTAATGCATTTGACCTACTACAAGGGCAAAAAACTTGAGGTGCACGAGCAGGACGAGCGACGGGATATTCTCCTCGGGGGGCTTATTCGCTTCTTTCTTGACTGAATCAGGCAGCTCTTTCTGGAGGGGTTTCGCGTCGCGGCGGCAAACGAGGAGGGCACCAGCAAGATGCAGTCGAGGGCCGTAAGGTCGCTGCCAAGTTCAATTGACTGTTCGGTATTGACAACAAGGGTCGTGGCAGTGAACAAGCGGGGAAATGAACAGACGATGTAAGGGCCGGTTTGAGTTCAGTCGGTGACCCCAGAGTGCTGGTGAGGGAATCTACGGTAAGAGCTTGGCAGGCATCCTCTGGCCTGTTCGGATAACTTGCGCGTGGACTACTAGTAATTACGTTCTGCCATCAACTCCTCTTCCCACTTGCCACCCATCAGCCACCCACAGCCCATCCATCCCCAGAAGCCTGGATGGACTTTCCAGGTTAAACGTGTGGCGAGGCAATAATCACCTATTGGCGCTCTTGTGGCATGGTCGGTTTGCACTTCGGCTGATTTTGTGTGGGCTATCGGCGCGATTTGCGATCACCAAACTCTGATCATTCGACGCCCAAGTCAAAGTTGCCGGTAGGCTACTCACGCCTAGGGCGTCGTGCAGATAGCCGCTGAGTCTAGACGAGGATTATCTCTCAACAGCATAACGAAGTATCTTCACTTTTCGCCATTAGTGCACTTGCACCACTGTTGTTCCTCGATTTGAGACACATCATCGTTGCCATAGAAATTCGCGAGCTACATCGATGCCAGTTCAGAGCTTTAACCCACACCTCTTGCAGCTCGAGCGCGACGACAGGAACTGCTCCAGGATACCTTCAGACTTCGCCACATATGCAAGCCATCGTTGAGCACGGACGCCTGGTTGTCGAACCTCAGTCAGGCAACCCTGAGCGTGTTCTATTCTCCCTTTCACTATCGGATGCTGCCTCTTGCAGGCAGATGAAAGAGTTTGCCTGACTTGCCGCCATCTAGACGATGGAACTGCCCAGTGACGGAGGAGCTATATCGCTCGCTCGCTAGGAACAAGCATGAGTACGCTACCGCCGACATTGGTGTAGGACGGCCTTGCGCCACTGTTGCTACCTCCGTCCATCCCTCCAAAGGATCTTCTGCGATCTCTTTTCGAAATTGAGGTGTATCCACGGGGCCTGGAGCAATCAAGTTGACACGCGCTCGAGGATGTATACTGGCCGCATCAGGAGCTAGACTGAGGACTAGGCCTTGTAAGGCTGCTTTGCTCGATGCGTAGTCTGCATTACTCTTAACACCCATCAGGCCAGCTTCCGATCCAAAGACCACCAAAGACATATTCTGCAGTGTGTCTGGGTTTCTAGCGGACTGTATGCCTCGCAGCCATTCGCGGGCTGTCAGAAATGTTCCTTCTAAGTTCACTCGGTTCGTCTGCCGGAACTGTTCTACGCTCATCGTGGCCATGGTAGCATGGTGTTCTGTTTTCGTCAATCACCGGCGCAGGCACATTTGCAGCCCTACCTATGAAGGAGAGGTCTTTGCCGGCAACTGCGATACACACTCCAATATCCCCGAATCGAGCACGAGCTTGATCAAACGCGGTCACTAAGCCGTGCTCATCTGTGATATCAACTGTCTGGCAGAACATGCGTTCCTTCTCGGCCGTCACTGGCATCACATCAAAAACAGAGACGTTCGAGCCGGCTGCGAGAAATGCCTGGGTCAGCGTCAGTAGAATACAAGTGCAGGCACGAGACGTTGCTCACATCCACGACAGTGGAACCTATCATCCCGGCTCCTCCGGTAACAAGGACATGTTGACCTTCTAGCCCAAGACTCAAATCGAATCCCTTCATCTGGAGACTTGTGAGTATTCTTGGTGATCGATCGTGCCTTTTCTACGAACAGCAACGGATACTGTCCTGTAACACTGTTCCTTATATGGAGAGCACCGAAACCTATGTAGGCGTACCCCACCGCGGGGCGGAGAAGCCTTGAAGGCCACTTATTTCCATGGGAGACTCGTCATCTGCTCGCTGATTAGGGATACTCAGTACTGCTGCATACAATTGCGCTTCAATTGCCACTTCAGATTAATGGCTCGACTATAACACTGTTCTACATGTCGTGTAGATGGTTTTATCTAAAGGGTATCTCTTGACGCCAGGGAGTCCATCAAAATCTGATCTCAGTCTGTAATATAGCCATCGCTGTCATTCCGGGAGCACGTACAGCATGTGGCACCCTCACGAGTACCGTGGAGCATTCCCACCGGGTATTGGTGCTGCAGTGGGTGCAGGACCAGTACCATTGTACCCGCCGGTGTTTTGTCTCGAGGCCAAACTCGATGCAGAACTCTGACTTTCCTCATAGGAAGGGAGGCCCTTTTGTTGAGCAATATTGTAGGGCGGAGCTTTGCCTTGAGCACGCTTTCGCCGAGTCTCGAACATGGCGACGAGCAGGGCATACAAGGCGAACATGACGCCAGCTATAACTCCATACACAATTGCACTCGTGCGCGTCTGAGCATCAGTGCGAAAGGGAGAGAAGCTTGTCAGCCGGATCCCGAGTCCTCCGTTGATAATACCCAGCACGATTAGGGAACGACCAACCCACAGATGAACACGACCACTATTGACGATTAGCATTGTTGCCTGACATTGTTCGGCGGGCGCTTACATCACTGTGCGTCCAGGTGGCTTCGTTGGAGTACCGGCTGTTGCGGCAGCGGACCGCTTTTTGAAGATACGATGGTGAACAAATCCGAAGATAGGCTGGAAAAACGCGATGGCGAGGATTGCGAGGCCGAGTCGCGGGTGGACATCGTTCCAGACACCGTAAGGTGCCATCTGCTGCGCCAGCCAGATTCTATGAACCAGTCAGTGCTGTTCGTATTACGTTGTGAGATGAACTTACCCCATGCCAGCACCAGCAATGTATACCAGGTACGAAAAGATCTGCAAGCCCGCATGCAGCTTGAGCACGATGGGGCTTTTGAGGTTGATGCGAAGAATGAGGGCTGCCCATGGTACGAACAGCACCCTGCAGGCACAGGAAACCCCTCATCAGTTACTTTGCTCAAGACAAGGGCGTTGATCAAGGTGCAGAGAGACCAGTGGAGTGGCTGTTGAAGCATTGAATCCGCCAAAAAGAGGACTTGTTCTTGATCCGGGTACACAACTCCGAACTGCGGAATGGCTGGTGTAGGCTTCACTTACCATACGGCTGAAGCGACGATCGCGTGGGCGATCAAGACATTGTTGGCTCGGTCGAAGGACGCAGCACTTCCCAGCCCGAAGCCGTTCGCTTCGTCGCCGTAAATGCTATTACCGTCGCCGTCGTCGTCGTCGTCGTTGTCGTCGCCATACCTCCATCCTCGACCCCCGCCGTCTCTGTTCCAGCCGTATCCGTTGTATGAATCAGCTTTGACAACCGCCACGAGCAAAATCGCCGCTAGGACATTGGCCATGGCTGTTCGGAATGCCATTATGCTTCGGTGTCAATACTCAGTCCAGTACACTGACTTGGTGATGGGCCGAGAGCAGACAGGAGAATGGATGGCTCGTGGCTTGCAATATACGAATTCAAGGAGTTCGGGGATCAGCCCTGCCCGTTCGGACGCCCAGTCCATCGGCGCACTCTCCTACTATTTTCGAGGAGCAGAAAGTCTCCCATCCAATCAACATCTGCCATTTTGCATCACAGGACGCGTCAGGCTCAACGGGATCGTCGCGGGACAGATACCGCAGCTCCGATTGCCCGACTTGATTGGCTCGTAAAGTTTCGCGCACGGTGCTCGAGCAAGAGCCAAGCCCGACATCGTAAAAGAAGTTTAGCGTCGTCCGGTTGAGGATGGCTTGATGCTTTAATCGGCCAGGAACCGGCTCTTGTCAGGATGTCTGGGATTCGTGTACCGTCAAGGGAGGCATTGCTAACGCCCAGCTTTTGTGACGACGCTTCGCAACGCCCAGCCTGCAGGACGGAGGGCGTCTGTAGAGAGCCACGCGTCCGGTCTGCAATATGTGAACAAGCGGTAGCTTGAAAGGGTGGCCTTACATGCGACTCCATGTTCGACTATCCTGGCGAGAGACGAGCAACACGTACCTCTCCAACAGCGGGCTTTAGCGAAAAGCGCGATCTCTATCGACATGCGCTGATCAGCCGATGCTTTGACTGCGTGCCTGCTGGCAGGGTCTGGCACTCGGGTGTCTGCCCTTGGCTTCAGCAGCAGGCGAGACACGTTTACAGTCACCCATCATTGGCGACCGTGCCTCTCGTTTGACACGCTCAACACGCGCAACCCGTGGTCAGTAGCGACAGCAATTTTGAACGGCCCCATGATGCTGACGAAAGTAACACTGACTCTGATTGACCGAGTAGCTTCTGGAACGGAGTGCTGTTAATCTGGATTTCAGAATACTGCAAGACCATCCGAACAACAAGCTATGCGGCACCCGAAGTACTCTTATTCGCATGAACCATTGATCTTGCCCCGGCTTGGCGCCAAGAATCGCCCGATTTCGTTTGTCTAGACCTTCACCAACCTTCAAGATATGTACTTTGTGCCATCGACGCGAGCCTCATCTGAAGTGACCACAAATGCTACTGAACGTTCCGTCCGGATTCGTATAGTCGCGCTGATGGCTCTTGTGCAACCCTGCTAGCCCCATATTGAAGCCCCAATTGCAGCCTTGGGAAGTGCTCCGTTTGAAAGTACTCAATGTCATCACCCATGCGGCGATCGCGGCGGGAACGCCGGACGAATCCGCGCTACGTCGGAGCAGATTGGGACAGAGACACATTAAGAAGAATCCGTGCCGCATCTACTTCCTCAGGGTCCTCGCCGTCTGATCGCGATATCATCTACGACCAGTCCGAGGACGAGGATTTCCGGCAAACTACGACCTTCGCCGAAGAACCTTCTTCTGGTAGCGATGACGTCTCTCTTACTTCGGAAGGCTCGAGCCCCGTCTCCGATAATGTCGGCCGCAACGACTCCTGGTCGCGCATATCTAATGGTGGTATGAAGCCAAAAGTGACTGCCCAAGGGCTTCCAGTGGCATCAGCATCAGGTCTTTCTCGTGGTCTGAAGGACCCACCAAAGAACGGCTCGCCAGCGATACTATACCCAACATTGTATGGGTCAGGTGAGGAGGATCTTTCGCCTATCTTACATGCGAGGGAGGTGTGGCTCAGAGCTCGCGATGTCACGCTTCCTAGTCAGTCCACCCTTCGAAGTCCCGAGTCCTCGTTCACCTTTCTGCAACAACAAGCGGAGGGGCAGGTAGAAGCTTCTCTCTCACATCCGAAAGGCGGCCCGCGGGAGACACATCCTTGGCGCAAGAGCGAAAAGCAGCGCCCGACAATTGGAGTCAGCGATTTCGACCTGAAGAGTATACTCCTGAAGCAGAAGTTGAAAGTTATAGACGAATCCATCGCCCTAGCGCAGCAGTACTTGCCAACTGGTCTAACACACTCCCTTGTCCGTGGCCACAACGAAACGCTACATTTGTCCAATGTTGGCATTCGCAGTTGCTGCTCCCTCGGTGGCGATGTTACACCACAACACACCTCGTCGGCGTCTACACCGTCACAAAATCAAGTCGAAGGATGGATGATCAATGTTGGCGAGAAAGTCAAAGCTTTAGCGTGGGCTCCAGTCCTCGGACCGAAACAATATCTTGCAGTTGCGACAGGCTGTACGCCGGCTCAACGTGCAGCGCACAGCACACCTCGCCGCCTCTTTGGCCCAGCATTTACCCCTTCGTCCAACTATCCCTCGGCTGTGCAGCTGTGGAGCTTTGGCTCAACTATCGTGCCGACTCAAGCAACGTTACAAGAGTATTTTTCCCTTGATGCAAGAGAGGAACCCCGGCTGGAGCAAGTAATCGGCATCCGTGGTGGCGACATCCGCTGTCTAGAGTGGGCTCCAACCTCACCGCTCAACACTGACCAGGAGGCCCCGCGGATGCTGGCTATCTTAACAACTGATTCTCATGTTCGAATCCTCGCGTTGGATTTTCACTACGAAGGACCTGGCACAAGTTTCTTGGAGCTCGAAACGAGTCCCATCGATATATCACCGCCTGCGCAGTCCACTTCCCCAATCATCATGACTAGGGACGATTCTGTCTTCTCAACAATCTCCTGGGCCTCCAGCAAAGACCTATTGGTCGGCTGTTCCAATGGCATGCTCTATGCGTATGATGTCCTTGAGTGTGCCAAATCCCCAAACCCACCCCAGCCTTTCTTCGACCATATGCTTCATAACACTTACATCATGGCCCTCGCTCCAGCTTATCCCCTTCTTCCAGCGACTGGCAACTTTGTCGCATCCTCGTCCGCTGGCGGTGACACCACGCTGACAGACCTCCGCCACCCTGTTTCCGACACCGTCACCTTCCCTCGCGCTCGTCTTCCTAGTAAACCTCTCACCTACTCGCCCTTCACGCGCAGCTTCTTCACGGCATACGAGCCCAGTGCACGCGGCTCCGCTGAAGGCTCATTCTCAACCACAGTCGTCTGCCACCACTTGCGCCGTTTCTACAAGATTTTTCACATTGCACGCCTTCCATCGCAAAGCGGCGCCGCTACCTCACTCGCCAGCTCGATCCATCACCCATCCCTGTTGATCGGCAACGCCTGCGGCGACGTTTTCGCCACCAACTACCTGCGCCGTGTGCTCGTCAACAGGCCGGCTTCGCGCACCCGTAGCGCGTGGCTGCAGCAATTGTGTCGCTATGATTGGCGGCCGGCGGATGAGGCTAATCCCAACGTCACTGGTACGAACGACCCTAACAATACGGATGTCTTTCACGGCCCGCCGACGAGGCCCGGCATCTCGCGTCTGACCTTTGGCTTTCGGCCAGAACACATTGACCTCTCCCTTGGACGAGGTGCAGAATCGAAGGCCCGCGGCAGCAAGAGGTCACGGAAGCGCAAGGATCAGGTAGAGCAGGCCGATCTGGATATCGGAGGTGATGTGCCTGAGGGACGAGGGAAGGAGAAGGTTGCCGCAAAGGGCAAGGACGACAAACATGAGGATCCCGCAGCGGCGGAAGTGATCTTCGAGGAGGAGCAGGCGGTCACAGCGATGGATTGGAACGTGAATCGGGCGGCCGCAGGTTGGGCGGCGATAGGGTGGGGAAGTGGCCTTGTGATGATCAAAGACCTGAGTATCGAATTGTGAGAACAGAGCCGGGCGGAGAATGTACTCCAAATGAGAGAGCTCTGGCAACACCACGCAGCGTTTGGCGTTTGGCAACAATGATAATACAGGCAGACAGCAAGGCCTTCGACAAGAGAGCATCTGACGATTTGTCACGCAAATAGAGCGTCAAGCAATCAGGGAGGCCAAGGCATATGATTGATGCAGTGGCGAGAAGCTCGCATGCCAGCAGAGCAGCTTACAAGCCACTCCGACAAGAATCGCTCTGATACTGGTACTGTGGCAGACCTCTCAACTTTTCATCCGTAGCAGCAGCAGGCCCTGATACCACCTCCCGAGTCGCACACAAGCCTTGGCTTCTGCTGCTGCCTCGCAACCTACGGCATGCTCTTATACACCCTGACATTCTCGGCAAGTGGTGTACATGCGTACCGTGAGGCGTAAACCGTCGTGATCTGGTGGTGGTACATTTTCATAATGGTCCGTTTCGTTTTTCATAAGGTGTTCTTTTTTGAGTATTCGTGTCCGAGTTCGATTGCGCAACGCAAGGAATGCAAAATGGGCAAGACGACCGCTTGCTTTTCTGACTCACCATTCGCCATGCTTATCGTAGAGGAAGAAACGCCCCAGGAAAAGGCACAGAACGACTCTCAATCTCTATGACCACTCTGCTTCTCTTTCATCGGCTATGCAGCAGCACGTGCTTTTCACGCCTCGATTAAGGGAGTGGTATCAAGAAAGCTCCACAATCATATGAATGTGATGACACCTGACTGCACGGCTCAGCTTTCAGTTTTTCAACTGCGTTCGCCACGGTGACCTCCTCGGCCGCGCCCTTCGCCAGGTCTGCCCCGGCCTCGGAAGTCACCACGCTGTCCGCCACGACCGCGTCCGCGGAAGTCACCACGCTGTTGTCCTCCTCTCCCACGACCACGTCCGCGGTGCTCAGAGTGCCGGCCTTTGACTTGCTCAAAGCCATCGTTCTCCGGAACTGGTGGAGGGTTGTGGTCCATCTCATCAGCCCAACTGTTACTGTTCTCAACCTGCGCCGCTGGAGCAGCCGGGGTAGCTTGCAAGCCGGTATCAGTCTCGGCGGGATCACGAGGAACATTCACCCAATCCTCACCAGCTGCACTGACCTCGGTGTGGACAGAAGCTTCGGGATCCCACTTCGATTCGGCAATGGCATTGGCGGCCGAATCGGCCGTGGAAGCTTGCTCGGGCCCGGCAGAGGCGGGCTCGGTCTCGCCGGCGCCGTTGGTGCGAATTGGAATAGTTGTGGTGTCTTGCAGCTCTGTCAGACCCGCGTTTGCGATAGTTGGGTCGGTGTCAGCGGAAGCTTCATGACTTGAAGGGCCATCAGCTGATTCCCCTTCGACGGCTTCGACCTCGGACAAAGCGGCGTGCTTGATCTGGGCATAGGTATAGTCGACAAGTTCACCCTGCGTATCGGTGATCTTGTCCTCGGAACCCTGAATGAGGTTGCGGAGGGTAGACAGAGAGGACTCGTTACCCTGGTAGACTAGTAGCAGAGCACCTTCGAAGGCGCGTGCTTCGTCGGAATCAGGATCTTCGCTCTGGCGCTTAGAGGCAGCCGCGTGGAGGAAGTGGGTGATGATCTTCAAAGACTCTTCGAGATTGCTGGACTCGGCAGCTTTCGCATTGTTGGCAGCCTCCTCTTTCAATTGGGCGATCTCGGCCTCGTGAGATTCGATGAGGGAGGACTTCTCGCGGTTGAAGCGTTCCTCAAGCTCTTGAGAGAAGCTGCGGTACTGCGTGACTTGTTCTTCGAGCTGTACCAGCTGAGCCCTCAGGGCTGGCTTCTTCTCAAGCTGGTTCTTTTGATCGGCATTAAGCTTGCGGCTCGCGACCAGTTCGTCGATTGTCTTGCCAGGGTTCTCCGCCAGGACACTGTCGGCTTTGGCTGAGGCTGAGAGCTTCTTGTTCAAGTTGCGAATTTGTCTGCATGACAATTAGCGGTCAGCCAAGTCAATCTCAAGACTAGCTTACTTGGACAACTCTCTAATGTAGGGGCTTTCCACGGAGTCTATTCCATTGGAACTTGCAGCAGGAGTGGGATCAGAGGCCTGACTGGCAGTCTCGGTAGAGGCGACGACATCGACCTTAGCCTTCCTCTTCTTCGCGTTCTTCGAGTCCACGGAAGCCATTGTATCGGGATTGATGCGGAGAACAAAAGTGTTTGTGGGCAAGGAGTCGCAGATAGTCAGCGATGCGATGTTTGTCGAGCGTAAGTGAAACGAAAGCAGATGGAATTTCTGAACACGAGAAGTAGTCCTGAGGTTTCTTTGTTCGGTGAGCTGTGAGGGAAATCCATCGATCGTGCCAGAAACCTGTCCGGGCTCCACTAGACGCCAAGACCGGCCTGCCTCCGTACATGTACTGCTTCCCTTCGAGCTTTCCTATTGTGTTGCATCTACTACGCTGGGCATCGAAAGCTAGGAACGTATGCTATTTGTGTCGTGATTCTCGCCCTCCCAACCATGTACGATGGACAATTCGGACAGCTCGCGTGTAGAGCCATATGACACCGGCTTCCTGGGCGAGTCCGCGGGATCAGATACCCAGTCCGCCCCCTCCCCTGCGTAAGGACGTAGAAAACATCCTGTGTCTCTGTTCGATATATCGCGCGCCTCGAGTGGTCCGTGTGGTCTACGATCTTCCGTGAGACCCCAGCGGGCTACCCAAAGCGTTGGATCCGTATCCAGCTGGCTCATGGTTCTCAACCCTTGAACTTCCTCAACGTGCTCTAGATATTGTCAGTCACTTCCCGACGAGACTGATAGACGCCCACTTACAGCTGTCAGCATTCTGATATCGCGTGCTGCAATGTGCTTCTCGCCGCCAGCCTTGGCTTTGCGCTCAGCATTTCTCATTAACCTGTCATGTCTCAGCGTTTCGGACGCATCAATAATCGCGGAGAGACATACTCTTCCATAAACAGCACGTATTCCAGGTAGACTAACGCGTCAACGTCTCGAGTTAGGCGCTTCTGAGAGTGGCCTGTCAAAGCTTTGCGAATCGTCGCTCGGGGATATCTTGCGGGTAGGGCCATCATGGACGAATTCTTGGGCTGGGCCGCGCCTGATATTGTGCTGCATACCCGTCGAATAGGCGGTACAAGTTCTGTCTACAATGGCATAATGCTGGGTTGCAAATTGATAGGTTGTTGACACAGCCTTGTTCAGATTAGTGCCAAGATTTGCTCCGGATATGCTATCCGGTTGGCCGGCACAACACGGTACGGCTTGACTACGACTATAGCGCAAGAGCTCGAGAGCAATGCATCGCCATCTACCTCTGTTCCGCAGCAAACTTTCTGGCAATGATAATCATATTGGCAGGCCGGAGCCTGTACGACGTTTGTGCTATCGGAGCTGCACTCCTCACCTTGTTTCAAGCAGGCTAGAGAAAAGATGGGCTGCTGTCTTTGCTCGCTCTCTCACGTCCAGATCCACGTCGTTCTCCAATTTAGAGATCTTCTCACGGTAGCCCATCTTTGTCAATTCCAGCGCACGCTGTTTGCATGACGCTCTGTCACTGACGTCGTCCTCGAACATCAGATTGATGGCCAACCAGCAAATTTGGGTCCGAATGTCGCGTTCCGGATGACCGTGAAAGCCAAGAACAACCTTGAGGAGCGTCATTTCGCTGACTAAGTTCTTCCGCCACCGCTGGCTGCACGCTGCGATATGCACCACAATGTACAAAACCTTGCTCACAATGCCAATTGGGGCCGGGGATTCGATAGTATCCTTTCTGGTGGCCCCATACAGCTTCCTGCCCACGAGACGCTTCCGCAGAATGTCGAAGAATTCGGTCTTGCCCATCTGGCCAAGCACATAGTCGACAAGGTCAGATGCAGTGTCTCCACAGAACAAATTGCGTAGGAGGTCCAATACTTGCTCTTGAATTGCTAAATCGTCCTCGGGTGTATGACGATTGAAATCATCCTCGGGTTCGAAGGGGTGCGGGCTGGCGTCTGCGAAAGGGGTAGTATCCTCTCCATCAGAGTCTTCACTCATGATTGTGTCCTCTGAGGCATTCACCCTGGGAGGGTAATCCTTGTCCACGATAAGTCCAATAACTTCACCACCAGGAATGTCGTATGGATCAGTCCGGATAAGTAAACGAATCCAACTAGATCCTAACTCGTTCACAACTTCAAACTTGAGGGTTTTGGAGGCGTTCACCACTAGTTGTTTGAGTGCCCAAATGGATTCGAGTCGTAGTCTCGCATTGGCCGAATGGGCTTGCTCACAGAGCTTTTTGACCACCGCAGTATCCCCAACAGATTCCTTCATCGGGCTAAAATCCATTGCCAAGTTCGCAAGGACCTTGGTCGCAGCAATGCGAACCTCCGGATCAGGGTTGCTCATGAGCCTGATCACGGTCTTCGCCACCTCCATGTCAACTAGCTTCGTGCGCAACGCAGTCACAGACCGTGTCAGAGCCCGCACGGTACCACACGCAGCCAGAATAGTCGAAGCCGAATTGCCTGCAGCTTCGTCCTCAACGTTTGAAGTAATAGCCTTGCGAATGTGGTAAGGATCCATTGCCTGCATGATCTGCAACAGCACGCCTTGGTCGCAAATCTGTTTTCGATAGTCGTCGTTGAAAGGTGCGACAGCAGCGAGGGCTTGAAGGGTGCCTTCCCGGTACAGCATAGCTTGTCGCATGGTTGGTGATGGTCCTCCGTGGCCAAGCGTACAATCTTCTGACGTTGGCTCGATTTCCATCGGAGTTTCCTTGTATGGTCTCCAAGGCGTGTACTTTCGATTCGACGATGTTTCAAAACTTCTCTTGAGACCGACAGCAAGCTTTACGATAGCCTTCGCTTCCACAGCGGCCCTCTGAAGTTCCGGATCATCCACGATGAGAAGTCCAAGTACCGCGGGAGCCACCTTACTATAGTGTATGCCGGCAGCCATATAAGACCCTACGTTGGGCACACCATCCTCTGCAGTCGGCTCGCTGTGATCCAGCATCCGAGCAAGCAGAGGCACGAGAAGCGCGCCAAAGGTTCGGGATCTGCTTTTGGGTACCAGCTTCAGCACGTGTAGGATAATGAGCACCTTGCAAGCCAAAAGACGTCGTCGCCCCCTCGACTCCCTTGCAATAAGAAGCAGATAGGGAACAAGAGCTTTCTCCTCCTTGTCATCTTGACTGTCGGGAGCGAAATTTATGTTTGACAACTGAGGTGGAACGGGGTGGAAGGACGATCTGCGACGCTGCAACGGGCCGCCACTGCCGAGAGGAGGGAAATTGAGGTTGCTGGCCGATCCAACTCGTTCCTTTGCGGGCACCTGAGGCAAGAGTGCATCCAGGGCTCTGTGTCGTGGACGCGGTAAATTGGTATTGCCATATGTCCGAACGTCTGCTGCGGAGAATTCTTCGCGGGATTGGGGTAGGACAGTATTAAGGGCTGGTTCTGACAAGAGGCCTTCAGCACGCTCTTTGGAGTTTTCGATGAGCAGAGCTATCGCTTCGAGGGTGGGCGAAAGGTGCGCGTTTGGCGGTGCAGGATCAGGAAGACCGAATGCTATACTCGACGGGAAATCCAGAGCTTCAGGAGAAGGTACAACAAGTCCATCCGAGACGACGAACGATGCTAGTCTCTGCGCCAGGATTCGCAGTATCTCAAGGTCCACCAGGGTTCGCTTCTGCGCCTCTGTCTTACAGGTCTTGCAGAGCAGACTTATTGTTGAATCACAGATCTGTTGAGAGATCAACGAGTGCGAGGCATTTGATATGCCTGACACAAGGCACTGTGTGTATGGTTTGATGTAGAGCAGATCTGCTAAGGTTGTATCCTCCGGCCATTGTCCAAACTCCTTTGAAGGCAGGCCATCTGCAATGGTGTTCAGGCACCGCAGGATAGCAAGCTGGTGTCGTGGCGGCGCATCTTTGGAGAGTTGCTGGAGAAGGATGGTAGGTAGAGCGCTCTTGAGGATCGGAGAGACATAAGCTGGACCTTCGTGCGCGATGGCGGAGGTGATATAGGCGGTCTCAAGGACGAGCTGGGTTTCGGAGGAATTGGTAAGGATGGCACTCAAGGCCGGGAGTAGTCCATAACGAATGTACTCAGCCTTCGCGAGTTGCTTTCCAGCGATGGCATTCCGAATTCTGCGAATGGCAGCCGGACTGCACTCTTTCCGCAGATTATCGACATTCGCCGCCGAGATGTCGGTCATGTTGCTGACGGCGAAATGAGCACCAGAAGTGCCCAGAGGACCCGTCAACCTGGCCGGGGAAAGGTTCTCGGTTCACAATTCCGAGGTGGTGGTCGTGGGTCTTGTAGAGTTTTCAGAATCGACACGCGAGTCCTGTTAAAAGACGTCTTTTGGCCACGAGGTGCCGATCAAACCTTAGAGAGTGGCATTAGGCATGTTTGGGACGCAGGAGCAAGGCCTCGTTTCACTACCATGAAGAGATACGAGTTCTTGGCACCCCGGGAACAACCGCTGTTGTATACCTGCCTGGATACGAAGAAGCAATCTACCCCCACCACACGAGCCACACTCAGCGAGATGTCGTCCATGAAAGGTCGTGCCGAAGACGAGGGTGATGACGACCCCGAGCTCGACGTTGCCGAAGAAGAGGGCGATATCTACGCAATACAGCGGATCCTCGCCGAGCGGACGAACGCCGGCACTGTTGAGTATTTAGTCTTGTGGAGTGAATACGCAGATGTACGTATTTGTTTGCTCGTCGTACTTTCTTCTGACGAGATTAGTATGAAAGCACATGGGAGGTTGCATCTCAGTTCCAAGATGATGAAACCATCGTTCAGTGGAAAAGGCAGCTGGCCGCTGGCGACACTTTGGACGATCAACAACTCGCTGATCTTGAGCGGCGGATGCGAGAACACGAAGAGAGGCAGATTGAAGAGGCGGAGAAGATTTACCAAGATCTCGATGATTCTTCGCAAGCAGAGATGGCCAGTAGCTCGACGAGCGCACAGGCCGACCAGCCGCCTTCCAAGAAGCGTCGGATTGACAGCCCAGCCCAACTAAACAACGGCCCATTTCCACTTCTCAAGAATCGAGCATCCGGTCGCACCCAACCAGGAAGAGCAGAATCGGCCATGAAGACAACTACCAAGCCACCTCCTCCGAGACCGATCAACGCAGAGCCTACCAGACAGCCTTCCGTCGGCTCTAAGTTTCGCAACCTCAGACATATGGGTAACGCAAGGAAGAAAGCGGCAGAAGAGCCTCAAGTGAATCCAGACGATCCGAATTTGAAATTCATTTCTACTGACAAGCAAATGTCGCTGCCACCTATCGATCCACCTTCGCCTGATGGCTCTTTACTCTTCTTTCCCGAATCCACAGCACGAGCCGAGGACAACTCAGTACCGTCGGTCATGACAAAGAAGTTTCTAATTACTCCAAAGCCTACGGGGTTCCCTGGAAGTCCTGCTGCAGTGACGGATAAGCCCACATCCGCTCCTGCTACATCGCTTCCGAAGCCGGCTGACACCACATCGGTGCCTGTTATATCGCCTCCGAAACAGGCTAAAGGGTCCGATGGCCAGAGTCCTGCATCCGGAGGTTCGGTGCATTTTGGCACACAACCTCAACACACTGCAAGGAATGGACGAGTTTGGGCTAAGAACGAGCTGGTTGTTCACATCACAGTTGGCCCAGGTGTCATAGGCGATGTCAAAATTGTCAATCTAGCCGAACCTGCGCGTGCAGTGCTGCTCAATTATAAGAAGGCCATGAACAAATACGAGATCAATCTCAATTTCGCTCAAGATCATGTCATGCAGCCTACACAGCTACGGGAGATATCTAAGTATTGGAGAGATCTTGGACTTGGTGGTGCCCCGATCAAACCATTTGACGATACAGCGGAAGGTTGCAAAGGCTTCTCTGAGCACTTACAGAGATACGACTCAACCGCTGCCTGGTATCATCCTGATTCATCACTCATACTCCTTCTGTTTTCGCCCAACTCTCCCCCGTGGAGTCATACAGAGCGTTACAAGAATATGCAGGCCCGTCCTGATCTTGTCATGGAAGTTCGTGAAAGCATTCAAGGAATGAGTGTGACCGCGATGGCCACCTTAGCTCCGCCACCGAATCGACGCACAGTGGTGTGCTGGTACTGGGGGGCTGGGAAAGCATGTTGGTACGGTGACGAATGCAAATTTTTGCATCCAGCTGGGCCTGCAGCATCACTACCTGCTCTGATTGAGGCCAAAATGCAATCGAAATCAGGGTTGGAAGAAGCAGCACCAGCAGCTTCATGCCACCCCGTGCGCCCAGCTCCTGTGCGTCGTCAAAGCATTGCAGGAGTCGAGAGTGCGCAAAGTCCCAAGGCTACGATCGATCAAACGGCTGATCCCAGAATCGACAACGAGCGCCGCAAAAGTGTACATGGAATTGCCGATTCGAAATTGCTTGCGAATCTTGATGACAAAGCGACCGACATGGACTGGTCCTTTGATACCGACTATCGCGCTCTCGTCAAATTGATCAAGAATTCTGCGGTCATTGAAAGTCGGATGCCTTTCGTATTTGTCGCTTTTACCAACACCCATGACATTCAAGCTCAAGCTCTCAAAGCATGGGCGATAAAACAGACGAGTCCGCGATGCGTCTTCGGCGAAAACGACTTGAAAGAGTTCCACCGCTTTGCGACAACCACAGATCCGAGTCTGTTCTTTTTCTACGAGGGTGATCCGAGTTACACGTGCCTCGAGTCGTTCCACAAATTCTTGCACCGTGAAGAAGTTGTGTGTCATACTGTATCTTGGGAGACTAGTCCGGCGACCCATACAGTGAGATACAAGCTGAAACCACTTTTCCCGCAAGGACAGCTGGTTCTCATCACAGAAGATGTCTTTCTCTCGAAACCAATCAACGCTTTATCCCTCCTCAAATGGTACGAGACACACTACAAAGGCCGAGGATCATCTTACAAGTTGATGGTCCGTCCAAATATTCGGAGCTTCCTGGAGACACGTGCGTTGGCGTTGGCGGAGATGGATGACCAGGATGAGCTGAAAGCAGTACTGGATCTCTTGGTACTAGTCAACGAGCTTTCGTCACCGACAGACGTGACTATACCTGGTTCTACAAAACTGCTGACCGAACCCCTCGGGACGGATGACGTGGTGAAGCAATCGAGCTTTGTCCCATTTCCTCGTCTGCCCGGATACGACCATACCCCAACGGCCAGTCTCGAGCAAGGAGAAGTGATGAAGCGAGATCAATTCCTCATCGAATACTTTATCGAGTACTCCATAGCGGAATCGAGCAGGTTCAAGAGATTCTTGGTCGTACGTGGTGAGAAAGGGCCGCCAGTGGCTGACAGCCAGCATATCGCATTCAGAACGGCTGCGACGTTTGTCAGAGAGCTCGAAAAACCAAAGATGAAGTAGAAGCGGCAACTTGTATCAATAGAACAAAGGCAGCATGAAATTCTAGATGCGGCTCATCAGTATCGTCGTTGGTATATCATGCACCACCTCTGTTCATCCTGTGGGTGGCTCCTCGAACCTGTGCGTCTCGCTACGATTGACCAAAGATCGATAGTAATCCACCAAGACCTCCGGCTTCGGAACAATCCTCCACTCCAGTCGGGTCAAGAATTCCAATTCCAGCAACGCCAATTCCCTTATACTGACTCCTCCCACGCGAGCGTACGTTTTGTTGGTCCAAAACGAGTCGCTAAGGCCTTTGCTTGCCACTGTTCCGCTGGCAATCAGGAAGCGATGTACGGTGAGGCTCGTAATAGTAAATGCGGGGTACAGAGCGCAAAGTCGATCAATGTAGAAGACCATGCTAAGGAGGATTGGTGGTGAGAGCGTGGCATGCGTTGTCAAGCGTTGGAGGTAGTCCTGGACCGATATACCAGGCGGCGCTCGCGAATGAAAGCGAGTGAGATGGCCATCTCGTAATGGTATTGCATCATTGTAGCTGATGAGCTCCAAGATCATTGATGAAATCAAAACAACAAGATCGCGAACATCACAGTCCTCGTATTGCGCGGGTACCACTTTCCTAGGAGGTGTATCTGCACGAGCTTTCTTGGTCGGGGAGTCGTCGTCGACATCGGACTTCGCGTCGGCGTCGGTCATTTGCTCGTCATCCGCCGAAAAATCGTCTGAGGCATGCCGCTTGATCGCGAGGTGTGCGATTGAGCGTGCAGGCTCTAAGCTGCTAGGAGGAGATTCTGCTTTTACGATCGCCTGCTCTTGGGTGGCCCGCGGCGCTTTATCGACTAGTGGGGTGGAGGGGTTCTGACGGGAGGGTCTGGTAGGAGATGAGGGCCGAGGAGGAGGCGACGCTCCGACTCCACGATCAACGTAGGTCACTCGACGTGGGCGGAACGAATCGAGGGACTTCGTGCTTGTTCGTCTGGAAATAAAAGAATAACGTCCGCTTTCATGTCGAGGCTGGGGAGCAGAGACTGGCGATCGAGTGAGCATAGCCTTCAGCAGGAGAATCGCAGGAATTTAAAGTCTGCCCCTCTCAGCGCATGAGCCATTGCAAACAGTAGGGTATGCGGGTTGAAAATGAGCCAGAGCGAGGAATTGGACGACTGTCAGTCGGAGAGAATGAGGCAATTGGGTTGATTGAAGTTAGGTAGCTTTAGCAATTGTCCGGGGCCACTACACCGCTAATCCTTTTCGAATCACTCCCTGCAGCGGTGCTTTCTTGTCTTGGCACTCGACTACTTCTCGACGTCAGGCTTCATACAGTCGCGCAGAACTGATGAGACGTAGCATTCTGTGACTTCGCAAGTGCTGCATTGCTTTAGCAAGCTTGCTTACCAGCTCACCATGATTATGCCGCCCCCGAACAAGCCACCCTCTCCAAGTATCATGCTACAGTAGAATCATGCAGAGCTCATGATAGCGGAGATGTTTCCAATTCGCGAAAGGCAGGAGTTCTGAGCTCGTGCCGATGCAGAGTTGTTTATTGAGCGTACTGGTGGTTGAGCAGAAGATATTCGCGTACATTAAATCCATCGTACGACGGTGCAGACCTCAGCGAGTGCTTGGTGAGCAGGATCGCTGCATATATCTTCGTCTGTTGCGGCTTTGCGACTACGGCAATGGCATTGGAAAAGGGGAGAAGGGCTTCAATCTCGTGTTAATTCGGCGTTGAGGCCATGCCGCCTCGTCGACCTACGCAGTACTTTCATGAAGTCTGAGTTACAATGCTAATCAATTGCGACTTGACACTTCTCCGCAACATGCTATTCTTCGCCCACAATCTGGCAACAAAATCTGATCAACTTTCGAGAAGACGTGCCAAAATCAAACAGGCGTTCATCGGATAGAGCTAAGTTGTCTCCGCCCTTCATTTTCGGCTCCTCAGACTCGCACGGAGCTTGAACACTCGAGCGAAAACGCAGTCAATCGAAGCATAGAACAAATCCAGTACAGTCTGTAACTGCTGTTATTAGAGAAGTCAATGTCACACGGACATCCTCTTGTTTATTATACGTCTCTTCGCGCTCTCCCACTCTGCTCAATATCATCTTGCTCCCAACCTCTCTCCCATCTACGCCACAGCCATGCCGCTAAGCTATCTCCAGAGGTTTTGCTTGGAGCGCTTGCGATAGGCCACGGACTGAATCTTGCACAATGATGCTGAGGCCGACTTCCAGGTTTGCATAAGTGCAAATGGTCGTCTTCAGTAAGATCTGCCATGAGCCCGCAAAGTTGCTGATCCATTTCGTCTATTCCTGCCGCTACGCGAGAGATGTTCATGCTAAGGACCAATGGACAGCTCAAACTGCTCACTTAGATAGATGCCACTCCTCTCCTGCGCTCCACTGTGATCGCGACAGTCACTAGCCACACAAAAGATCGCCTTCCGCACTTGGGGCACGGCGAATCGACCGAGGAACGCAAGACAACGTTCGATCGCCGCGCAATGACCCCGCCTAGCAACAGCCCACGAAGACCGCAAGCGAGTCGTCGACGACGACGGGGCAAGTGAGGAAACGGACTACGTTTTTTAGGCACAGTTCATTGACGCCAGTGTCGTGGAAACTCGTGAATATAATACAAAGGAAGCTGGCGAAGGTCCGGCGGAGGACAGCTCGAACGATACTGGGTCAGATCTGGCGTCGAAGACCGCTGCCAACATCCGAGCGGTATGCCGAGGCCACGGAAGGCGACCACGCCATTCATGGTTGATGCGGCGGTCGATAGAAGTGAGAGCTCTGCAGCGTGGCGTTGAGTATGCACAACCGAATAGTCAGAATAAACAAACATAGCCTATGCTGTGCTCATCAGGCGTCTAAATTATTCGGGATGTTTTAGCTTTCCTGGGAGTCGTGTGAGCGACTATGAGACCGAGCAGACAATGTCTACGTCTCGTCGTCAGATGCCACCTCAAGCATTGGATGTCTAAACAAGGGACGTCCATTCAGGTCCAGCTACCTTTTCGAGGATCGATTCACATCATGCCGACCACAAGTACGAGAGGGCAGCGCACATCTATGGCTGTAGAGAGTCATTTAAGCTGCTATTCTAGCCTCCTCATCCCGCACATCGACCGCGAGGCTTCTACTGACCTCACGTTTGGTGGATGTCAGAACAAGCACCAAAGATGATGCAGCCTCGGCGAATGGTGGGGGCGTAGCTCGAAAGGGTCCCTTGATTTGCCAAGACGAGGCTGTGATCTTGGCATAAGGCGCTCGGCGCTGGTGGTGGGCGAGGGCAACGCAGGCTGCGCCGAAACGGTGTTGTGTCTTTCTCTACGCCTCTGTGCTGCGAGAAGTCCTGTTTAAGAACGTCAGCCTTGCCTCCCGAGTTTTGATTGTACTCATTACTCCTTCTTCTCCGTCCACAGACTTCGACCGTCACCGAATACCATTGTCAAGCCCGCTCCCGTTCCCTTGATCGATTCCACGAAACCTCACCCTTTCTCACGATTCTCATCTTCTCGATCCCTCAACATGGCTGACGAGTAAGGCACTCTGTACACCTAATGCAGCCCCGAGACTCTATCCCGCTCGCTCCGCAGCCTGCATCTGTGCGCGCCACCTGGCCTCAGAACTGCGCTGACAAGTTGGCTTAGGTACGATTTCCTCTTTAAGGTTGTCTTGATTGGAGACTCCGGTGTTGGCAAGTCCAACCTACTCAGTCGTTTCACGAGGTATGGAAGATCTCCATACCAACCGCCTTTCTCTAACTGAAGCAAGGAATGAGTTCAACCTGGACTCCAAATCGACTATAGGCAGGCACTCAAGATTACCTGACTCACGAAGAAGCTAACCGCCCGGTAAGGTGTTGAATTCGCTACGCGCTCGATCTCTGTCGATACGAAGACGATCAAGGTGAGGAAGTGCCGGAAGAAGCGTGGAGAGACTGACAGGAGACGAACAGGCGCAAATCTGGGATACTGCGGGTCAGGAACGCTACCGTGCGATCACATCTGCGTACTACCGTGGAGCGGTTGGCGCGCTGCTGGTGTACGATATCAGCAAGCATCAGACATACGACAATGTGACGCGGTGGCTTAAGGAGCTACGGGATCATGCGGATGCGAACATTGTGATCATGCTTGTGGGCAACAAGAGCGATCTCCGTCATCTGCGAGCGGTTCCGACTGAAGAGGCCAAGCAGTTCGCCAGTGAGTCATCCCCACGTGGTTGAGATGGGCTAACATGTCAGGTGAAAACAACCTCTCATTTATCGAAACATCTGCTTTGGACGCCAGCAACGTTGAGCTTGCCTTCCAGAACATCCTCACCGGTAGGTAGCGCTAGTCGCACAATGAACGAACTGACAGTTACAGAAATCTATCGCATCGTATCGAGCAAGGCCCTCGATCAGGGCGAACAGGGTCAAGGGGCGCCTGGTAGCGGTGTGAAGATTGACATGACGCCTTCAGGAACGCCAGATCAAAAGGGCAACAAGTGCTGCTGAGCAGCTCACGAAACACGATTGACACGGCGTTAAGGTTTGACGATTGCAGCATCATACAGATTACAGGCACATTGCAAGCCTTGCTCGAGTCTATGGCGAAGGATCAATGTAGGTTCGACATGGTAGTCATAATTCGATGGCCATGAGGCGCTATCTTCCCGTTGCTATTGTCTCAGGAATGTGTTCCTACGCGTCAAAGCTCTCCTTGATTTTCGAGGCGGTGGTCCCGGCTTCTTCATCGTCTTCCTGAACTCGAGTCGGCTTCCCAGTTGGTTTGATATTCTCATGTTCTCGCTCAGAGTCTCTCATTACCACGGATTCTCAGGTATCGCCTCTTCACTTCTTTCTCTTGTTGCAAAGATGGGAAGCACAGCCACCCATCGCACACGCTGTCGCGAAAATGTACTGCTGAGATCACTCTGCTCCGCACGACGTAGCCTTCGACCTCTTGAACACGTTGCTCGTTGCGCTTTCTGGCTAGTCAGGATCTCATGCGGAGTCGATAATGGGACGAGGCTAGCACGAACCATTTTGGTTGATTGTCCTAGACCGTTCATTTTGCATCGGCTCTCCAGACTACAGTTGCGCCAAGGGCCACACCGTCTCGACATGTCCCCAAGCTTGCAGAAGGAGCTTCAGATGTGCCACGTCAGTCAAGTACGCCACGTTCTCACTCACCAAGACTTTCCCGTCGATATCTTGAGCGGAACACGGGCAAACGCATACTTACTCAATCCCGGCAGATCGCGATCGCGATACATTCCTCGTCTGTCCGAAACTCCGGTTTTAGCAGTCTCCTGGCGTACACCACCTCATAGTAAGATTTTCGACGATTTCCACGACAATGGCCCCAGCATGGCGGCTCCTCAACACTGCAGCAACTGTCGACTTTCATGTTGAAGCTCGATTGCAATCCCATGTTGGCATTCCAAATGTCATATTCCTACTGCAGAGCCTCACCGTCGGTCGCTGCTGCGCAGGTGAGAGGGCTCTCCGAGATTTGCGCCGTCCGTCGAGCAACCGTGCTTCTTTGAGGTGTCTACCAAGCTATATATTCGATCTTCAACAGGAATGGAGGCGCTTTCCCATCCCAGGCAAAATACCACCCGCGATGCCTGAGCAGCTGCTTAGCACTGCAGTCCATCTGCCAACCCGCTGTTGCTGCATGAATCCCCATCAGCAGATGTGAGCTCCCTCATGGGCGGGCCGCTGCCGTTCTGTTGAGATGGGTGGGTAGCACTCACGCTTCCTGCTGACACGGGATTACCGCATGCTAAGTGCCGCTACCATGGATGCCTAGTCTACTCAAGAGGTGTCGCCGCCCGGGCTATCGAAAAGCAAATAAGCACTGTCGAGAAGTGCGGCAATTGTTGTCGTTAGGAACAGCATACTCGAACTCATCCCATATCATCGTGAACACAGGTCCCTTCACCAGCTCACCAGGATATTCTCCTGTGAGACATGTGCCCAGCGAACAATCATGCCATAGCTACGACTCAGGCTGAGTTATAGTTCCCTCGATGCGGCGGAGGTGAAGGGCCTCGATCCCTGAGACGAATACCGAGACGCCTGATAGCTTCGCCTGTCACGGAACTTGCTCACGATGCCGCAAGGCCTTTGAATAGGCCTGCTCAGTCTTGCTGGCCATGCGGCGCTCGGCGATCGCAGTCAACCACACCCAACATTCAAGAAAGTTTTCTCTCCTTGGACTTACAGTTCGACTATGACTCTTGGTCTGGACTCACACTTTGCGCTTCTCTGAGACCACTTTCGCGAAAGCTGTCGTTGTCAGATCAACAACAGAACACGCAATGTTGCCTGCTCAACGATCGGGTCTTGTAGAGCCTCACGGGGTGAATTTTGTTCACAAATCTAGCGGTAGATGATCATAGAGAGACTACGAGCAGATATTCCAGTCTATGACTTGACCCTGATCGTGCAGTCCTACTGTCTTCCACTCGTAGCACACTATCAGTTCCAACCAAATAGCTTCTTTCGTGCGAGTCCAGACCTATACATTGAGTGTAAGAGTCACTCGGGATAGTGTGAGAGGAGCCTCGGGACAGATAGGTATTAACTGTGATTCTCTATGTACAACGATTCAGTACTTGCAGGAGCAAGTCCAGAACCAACACGATCCTCCACGCGAGTCGCGTGGGAGATTGTGTGCCAAGTGTCTTGACCCCTGAGACCTTGGAGTCCTTGGCAGTAGAGGGCCGTGGCGCCTCGTTGCCTTGTCTGGCCTCGGCAATCGTGACACAGCAAGGCAATCGATCCAGGGATGTTTTACATGTCGTTTTTGGAAGCTGTTTGATGCTGCAATGATGCAAGTGCTAGGAGTCGCGGATCTCCAGATGTATTAGAGCGCCATAGAGCGCCCAAGAAGGCTGAACGTTCTCTATAAACGGACAGTACTAGTATCAATTGGCGGAACCGTTTCCAAGACGTTTTCTCAACTACCATATAGGTGTACGCTATGTACTCGCGTACTGGAGCATGCCAGTATTACACCTTTGAGAGACAGCAAGTACAGCACAACTAGCATCCTCCTACATCTACTCATCGATCAAAATGTTGTCGCAAAGAGGGAGTACTAAACATTAAGACTGAACTATGTCAAGCCGTTTAGGGCAGAAAGCCCGGATGGCAAGAACTGTAGCCGGTTGCCGAAAACACGCTTTATAGACAGGTTGGCTGTGGCGGACGGCTACGAATGAACGGAAACAAGGAGCGGAAGCGTCAGTCTAAGTATGTCTGTTATTCTATCTCTCTCTATCGACCCGTAACAGGTAAGCTTGTACGGACTACATCCAGAGCCTTGCCAAGGCAAGGCTGTGGTGCCAGTCCTTGGCCACCACATTGACTACGAGGTTATACTGGCCGGTTGACTGGTAAGGTTACGGGCCGGTCGACAGCGGCATTCAGTGTCATTCACATAATAGACAGGCGGGCAACCGGTTGACAGAAGGTTGTTCGAAGCAAGAGTCTCGTACAGCTAAGGTCCGTATTGGCGCTAGGTGGAATCTGACTTCGCTGTAGCGAGGGTAAGCAAGTGGCTTTTTTTGCTAGATTTTGGTGGGAAGGTTGGCCCGTTCGAGACCTCGTTTGACAGTTCTACATTTTTTCACGGAAGAAAGGTCGATTTGAACGTGACTGATATATAAAGAAGGCCTAATGTTGGCCAGGAGGCGCAAGACTAGAGAAGCTCTCGTGTTTCAAGCTCTCGAAGTCAACTGCCGGACTTAGCCAAAACAATTTTCGGATGTTTGGATTTTCTGATCCTGCAGGGCTACGGTATACGCTAGGTAACCGGGGAGCGTTAGGATCAAGCGCCCCCTCTTTCCCCCCTCTCCTTCCCCCTCCCTTGTCCCTTCCCTTCTCTACCCACTTTCCCCGTACCGAGCCAGGAGCCTCTGGCTGAGGCCAGCCGACTAATCCGCCTTAAATTAAGAGTGATAAAGAGAAGTCACTAAAGCGGGCGCCCACAAGCGCCTGTTGCTCGGGTCATGGGAGTCAGCTTTGAAAGGTGGCTCCCGGGGTCTAAGCTTCGGTCTAAGATTGCTCGGGTTAGGATTACTAGCCGGGACCTACTTAGGCCTATAGAAGTGCTGTAGACTCGTTTCCGACGGGATCCAAAATCGTCCCCTAGGAAGGATTTAGTGCGCCACTGAGTGTCATCCCGCCGTGATCAGGCCGTTTACCCCCTATCGCAGCGCCCGTCTTAGGGCGCGAGGGAGGGGCGGTGGCCAGTGAAAGAG